GGGAGGGATGGGATCCGTCGTCACGTTGATGAACGTCTTCTATGGTTAGACTTTTGCGCGTGACAACGGCCGTCGTGGTGGGTCTTTTTGCCAATCCCATCTGGATCGCGTGGAGTTGTCTCCGTATAAACAGGGTAAAAGATTGACAAGTAAGCCCACAGCGCGTGAAAGGGTCTAAAAAATTGTTTGGGCTTTCCTCATTATCAACGAAAATAAGAAGCTGCGCTATCAGAGGGGCCTATAATTAGCTCCCAACAAAGAAATTAGTATAGTGTTATTCACTGTCTGGGAGGGACAGATTCGATGCAGTAGTTGGCAACATGGTATTTCGCCGTGGAGAACTCCCTGTCACCAAAAAATAAATACTTTCCAGCCTGTGCCTTGACTTTCTTTTTTACTCCTTTGTCCACTGTGTTTGGAAATTGCCCGTTTCGAGAAAGATAGTAAACGATGGATAAATACAAAGGGTACTGCATGTTGATTATCGGTGAAAGTTGTATCTAATGTGTACAGCCAGGCGGGATAAATCGTCCGCCGGATTCGCATTTCCGGGTTGGTGTTGTATGGTGAAGTCATACTCCATTACGGCAGCGGCCCATCTTGAAAGTTTCGGCGATGGCTTCGGGTTATTTACGACGTATGTCAGAGCGGCATGATCGGTTCGAAGAATAAATTTTCTTCCGGCTAGGGAGTGACGGAAATGAGCAATGGCACAAATAAGCCCAAGAGCTTCTCAGTGTGTCGCGGATAATCCAGCTCGGGTTCTCGCAGACTTCTTGATGCATGATTCTTCTTCGGGGCGATCCTTTGAGGTTTGCCATAAAATCGCTTCGAGACCTCTAGTCGTTGCGTCCGTTGCGGAATGCTCTTCTCACGATCGGAAAAAGATGATGATATCATCTACCAACACATATGCGAAGTTGCCGACATAAGGATTGCAAAACTTGAGATATGACTCGTTGAAAGGTAGATGGCGCAGAAGTGAACCCAAATGGCATGACCGTATTCGAGCGTTCCTTGTTTCCTTCATGAACCCGGTTTTCTCAATGGAGTTTTCAGCAATGGGAACCTGCCTGGACTGTACGCCCATTATCGCGGCTTTTCTGTATAGGATAACCGCTTTCATCCGCTTCGATAGGCTCATCCACGATGTTTTCGGGTAACGCTTTGAACAGAGACCATTTTCCATGCAAGGTGAAGAGGGATACGCCGGCCCACAGGGTTCATGCATCGAATTTTGTATCATGGTTGCATCTGCATTTGGATGGACTTGCGAGTTCGAGATCTCTGCTGGCACGATTTGATCGTAGACTGCTGGTCCTGTTGATTTTGCACTCAGGAGTTAAAATGAGCAAGATCTGAGCATGCTGTAAACTGCGCTTCTCGGACTTCACCACTTGAAGGGCAGTGATAATTCCCAATACACTTTTGTTCTCAAAACAGCCATTGACACACGGAGCTAGCAAGGAGAATAGAACTCGGCAAGAAATAAAAACGAAGATCCGTATGCCATCAATGACCAAGATTCAAATACCTTCATGGAGACTACGCGAGACGTCAAATCAGGACGATCAGCGGCAGTTTGACCTGGCTTCAAAACACGGGTGATCTCGATCCAGGTGGGAGCACATGTAATTGTGATGAATAGATCAGGTTTGCCGAATTCGCGGACAATAGCTAGGGCATCTTGGTACTGCTTCTGCATGTCTGGTGATCCACCGAAGGAAGTAGAATGCAGAAGATCGAGTGCCGATTTTACCCGCCATGGGTTTCGCCATTTACTGCATCCCTCATACCGATCAGCAGTATCTCGTATTATAAGGTTCAGTGTGTGGATATTTTGTCATAGAAAAGGGATAAGTGAAAAATCGAGCTGAAAATATGGGAACTTTGCATTTATCCCAATTTTGTCACACTTTTTCATTCGGCATTTAAATTGAAGTAGAATATATAAGATAAGGAATATAAAAAGTAGGACATATGCAAAGGAGATATTGAAGAGAGGATACAGTCTTACTAACAAAGCATGACGCCAGGTTTTTTGCCATATGTCTTTCGAAATGCAATCGGAATTTTGCTCAATATCATTTCGGGTTCAGTGCAACCGTGAAGAAGTCCGACGCTTTTATGCAGACAAATCTACATTGAAATATAAGAAGACACATACAGAGTATATCAAGTAAAAGTAATGGAGACGCCATCATATACTTGTTTTCCAATAATGATAATCACATTTTACAGACATTCCAACGACCTTGACACTATTAACCAAAAATGCTAAGGGGAGAAGCCCCGCTCCGCTTCAACAATTGCTCCTTTGTCCTGTCAGATTTGAGTACTCCTTTAGAGTTCAGTTTAAATCTGTAGTTTTTTTTCATTCTTTATTTCTACCATAACATGGTCATATTTATATTTTCTATCAAGATCATTTTTATGTCTACAATCTTCAGGAAGGTTCTCGTCAACTTCCTGCACGGTTTTCTATTATTCCGAAACATAACCAATCAAGAAGTATTGCGGACCACTTTAATGCTGAACGGATTCGGTCTATATTTCTTCCGTTTTCCAGGCAATACCTTTGGTATGCCTCGTTCATCCATTGGTCCTTCATACCTTCTCGAAGGTTCCTCCAGACATCGATCTGCGGACGAGCCAATGCGCTGTCTTCCGTATTTGCTAAACTTTGGTATAGCAAATCTAATCGGCGCAAAAGAAGAACCGGCGTAACTGACAGTCCCACCTTAACGAGCCGCAATATACTTCATAGGGATACCACCAGCCACTTTATACCATATACGAAGAGAAATGGTATGTCAAGCATATGACACTCATTACTAAAAACAGCATCTCGGATAGTATAGTGGTGAGTATCCCCGCCTGTCACGCGGGAGACCGGGGTTCAATTCCCCGTCCGAGAGTTATTTTTTTATATTTTTTCAGTTTTAATTTTTTTTATTTTTATTTTTTTTGTTGGTTTTTTTTTAATGATCTAAGCAACCACCATATAGTTTTGGGTACTGTGGACGGAAAAAGAGTAGAATTTTTTTCTGAATCCTTGAAGGCATTTTCTTTGCAAATTCCTGTTCAATCGAGCACCTGTTGGAAAATGTTCAAGCAAGAGAACGAAAAAATGTTAAGAAGAAATAATATATTTGGGAAAGAGCATAGACTTGGTTCTATTTATCATATCTGTAAATCTTTGATCTTTGGATTGCTTCTTGTAAGTGTTTATCCGGAGAGAAATCATATTACTGGTGGGTAAACCAGTTCGTTAAATGCCTTTGTCAAAGTATCCATGCGGAAGGTCCATGTTCGCATGCATTATCTAGGTTAACGTAAGCGTACAAAAGAGTGAGCTTTATAAAAAGAAAATGACAGTAACCATACATACAGCAGTAATATCAGGTTTAATCGGGATAGACCGCTCTTCGTTCTGGCATTGAGCGAAACCTCATGTTACTCGCCATATCTTTGCAGATCAATGTCAAATTTTTTTCTTTTTCCCAGCCATTCCTACAATTGCCATTTTGGCAGCGGATATTGTTGAATTGCAATTTTCCATAATATCAGTTCATTCACAGGTATTGCAACAAGTCCAGAGTGAAATTTATATATATCTTCAGTAAATAACGACATATAAAGAAAACAGCACCCTTTCTTCCTCTAGGTCCGCAGCAAGATCAAACGACCGAAGAGTCATAATTGATTAGTGGGATTTGAGAGCATAAACTCTGAGAAATTGAGCCTCTTCTTCCATTGCCCATTAGTTTTAGTAAAAGTTGGGTCCTGCGACCTAGTTGGTATGAGCTTTACGGATAAATATATTCTCCAGCTTGGTTGTAACATGATATGAAAATCAATGACTATGCTTTTGGAATGTCTCTGTTCACGGTTAGCCATTTGGTCAACCGCCACTTGTCGTTCTAGTCAGCTGTACGGGAAAATCCGTTACTGCCTTGAGCTTCTTGTCGCAATCCCAAAGATAGGTAACGTCTACTGCGTATCGGCTTCAACCAAAAAAAGAGAACGATAGAGTACAGTTGTGGCAAACTTGTACCTAACGCGACATTGAGCCCGACCCATGGCAGAAGCATGTCGGCCAATGCCAAAAACAGCTTGAACGGCTTTACATCACACTGCAAACCCTTAATTTACTGGGCTGACAAGACACTGTTGACGATTGAAAATAACTGACATATTTACTTGCGGAGCGCTTGGTTCTGCTTGAAGGCTACGAGCACCTGTATCACCGAACATTTTATTTTCGGGGAATGTGGCAAAAAGTTATCTAGGTGGCACCGTCAAATAATTCCCTAAACGGCGCGCAACTCTATAAATCAGCGACTACTTTGATGAACAGGACCTTGAATCAACCAGACACAAACAAGGCAACTGAATATTGAAATGGCACACAAAAAGAAAATTGCTTCGGGAATGGCAAATACTACTTACTTTGTACTGGACAATTCGTTCCCCGATGGAACGACCGAATAGTAACGGATACAATAACGGGGACCTGAAATAGAGCGATAAAAGAAACAAAAAAATTGCGCCTAATGGCCACCATTGAACGGGAGTCACTATTGATGGATCCGGGAAGATCGTGTTTTCCGTTTAAATCCCATTGTAGGTAACAAGGGTCGTTTTCCCGCGTTTTCCCAAGGCGGCTTTTTGCCGGAAACCCTTATACAGCTCTTGCAGTGTCTTTGGTATACCGACCGTCAAGCATGATCCGTCTGCACCCTTTTTGAAATCTGAAACCTAACATATGTTTTTCTCTTCTTTTTTGGTGTAAGGTCACCACGGGAGGACCAAAAACTCGTTCATCTAGAAAATAATAGAACGACCAAGGCACTCCTTTTCGATATCTGAAACGGACGTTAGGTTGTATGTTCATTTGTAATATTAGCATTTCGTTGGTCTTGGATTAAGGCTTTCGATATTCCTCCAGCAGTAGATGTGGTTTGCACTCTTTCAATGTAGCAGGGATTTTTTTGTTTGTTTGTTTGTCAGAGACGTAGCCTTTCAAATACATATATATCCATGAAATCATAGTGGTGTCGTTCTGTTATTTGTTATTCTTGTGAAATTATAGATCATAAAGTGACATTGAAAAAAAAAAATATACTACATAGCCACGTTGTCCAGCTACGCGCGCTTATTTGCTCTCTTGCATATGTTAAACGATGACCTCCCGGGTGACAATCGTAGAATAAAAAAAATGAAATGGAAAGCCTATATCGTGCGACAATATAGTTCGCTCTTGTGTTTTACGGCTTTGTTGAAATGCTAGATATCTTTGATGTGCTTGACGCGGTTGCATTCGTTGAGATGTTCACCGCGGTATTTGATAAGGTATTCTCCTTGATCTTTAAAAGTAACTGTTTTGTTCACAGGGCAGCCCTAATAATGTCGATGCCGGAAAGAAAAAAATCGAAGAGAGAAAAAAATAGAAATGAGCTATAGTTAGTTTCCCATTTGAGGCATATTTTTTAAAGACATTTTTACTAACCTTGTGACTATTGGTGCATTTATAATAGATGCTTCGGTAGCCTGTTTTCTTGTGAACGGTATTTCCATTATTTTTCCATAGGTATTCGTCGTTGTAAGGGAACTCGCGAGTCTCGATGATCATGGTTACGGCTTGCATCTCTCTTCGTTTGCGTTTTTTTCGTGCCATGGCTTTCGATGTACTTTCACTGGAACTGGCGGTCTGATGTTTTGGAGGTATAGGTAATTTGGGAGAGGTTGTGGTGCGAGCATTGTTTGGATACAAATCTGCAGCGTACGAATATGATGATGAAGAAGAAGAAGCAGACGCCATAGTTTCAGTCGTGCGACTCGGTTGGTGATGAAACGTATTTCGAAATATTGAGGGTGACTTTTGTCGTTGTTCTACGGGTTCTCCAGCCGGAGATGAATTGTCCTCCAATGAGATATGCTTTGCCTTTTGATTAAGGACCGTCTCCACCTCGCTTTCAGAGGATACTCTACATAGTATTATTTATAAAAGCAGATAAGAATATTCGCCACATTAGGAGAGCATTCTATTGTATGATAAAAGGCGGAAACGAAAGAGAAGCGAACCAAACCATTATCCTTCTTGCTTGGGGCTTTCGGATAAAACCTCCAATCATGACAAGATTATGACAAGTTCAAAACGAAGCAAAAAATAGAAGAAAAAATGTTCCTGGACATACCGAGAAAAATTATCGGAACGAGTGCCATTATCACTGAAGGTATCCACTTGCATGTCGGATGAAGCTTCGGAGGAACATTCGAAAGAACCAGAACCGTCTCTATAGTAATTGTTCCGGGTAATGTGAGCCGGAGGTTTGGCGAAGAGTATAGAAGGAAGCGATACGCTCGTTGTTGGCGGGTACGATTCACTGTTTGTTGGTGCGCCCGTTTCCTTGCTTCTGAGTGGGGCATGTTCGTGAAGGCTGGTGGGACATGAGGTTCGAGGATTTTTATCCCTTAATCTTTGGCGATCCGGTTCAACGTGGCCAAGCTCTCCAAAAGACGAAGGTTCTCTGCGGCTAGTCGTGGTATAATGGTCGGCTTTCGGCTGCAACGTATGTCGATTGCTTGGCACTTCGTTCATGCAACGATGTTCCAATAAAGTGAATTCAACAGGCGCACTTGAAGAGTAATAAGACTGAGGCGAACGCTGACCAGCACAACTTTGTTCATCGATAGCTCTTGAAGAAAAGTAATCCGTTTCTCTACGAGACGCAGGAAGCGAATAGGAACTGTCAAGCGCCGACGACGCAAAGCCGGGATGTGGGCTTGACGGTCGCCACTTTAACATATAATCGATTTCTTTGCTACGTAGTTTGGCTTCTTCTGCGCGACGCTTATCTTCTTCTACTTTGCTTGATAATATGAGTTGCAATAAATCCGGTGAACTGCCGTATTGCTCCACAAGCGCTTCCAAATTATAGGATGGTCTTTCAGCCTCGGCTTTTGGTAACGGTATATTAGTCATCATCGATCTGTGAGATGGCCTGCGTGCGGACTCGGGACGATCGTAGGAAGGGGTATAGCGTGTAGTATCTTGCTGTTGCGTCAGTACGGAGGGTTGATTGACAGATCGAGATTCTAGTGGCCTGCATGTCAAATAATCGGGACCCATGTTATCTCTCGACATTGCAGTTCCAGGCGGTGTAATTGGACGAAATGACGGAAACGGGGACATAGAACGCAATACTCGGTTGGATGGCGATGATGATAAATAGTGTGGCGCCAAGTAGCTTTGACCAGGTCGAGAGTTGGCCGCTTCGGAGTGACAAGGGTTGGATTCAGTGGATTCAAAATTAGAGCATGAAGGCACTGTGTGGGGATGATTTGACATCTTCCTTGCACAAAAGAGAAAAGTTGGAAGAAGAGGAAACACAAAATGTGGGAGAAAGAAGATAGAACATTTGTCACCAGAAGGCAAAAGATAAGAATTAGTAAAAAAAAAAAAAAAAAAAAAAAAAAGCTCGACAAAAATAGCGATCCGTTTATGGATGAATAATGGTCCAATCACTATATGAGCACCGAATGAAACCAAAAGAAGTGCAGCAGACATCATCCGTCGTGAATACTTTTTTTCTTACACAATGTGTGGCATTGTGTTGCGAGAACCCCACGTTAGTGAGTAGACCGCAGTTTTAGCATCACATGGAATAACCATGTATGGTTTGTTTCTGCCACCTAATGCGGATGTTGCAAGCTCCGTATTCTTCCCTGTCCTCCCGAAAATAGCCCGGCGCCCTTTCTTCCGCAGGTGCATGGTCCCCTTTATGGCTTAGCTGATTCTTGCCAAAGAACATTCGTTGGCAGATCAGCCAGCGTCCGTGGCAAAGTTTGATTCTTTACGCACTGACAGTTTTATTTCTGTCATAGTCCCGACTGATACGGCTTGGCAAGGTTTCGGCAGTTACCGAAAAAGGCCCATGCGAGATATCAAGCTTCTGTCGGTAGATCGAATGATGAATGGTAGACGATTAATTAAAATGATGTCAAGGAGGCTGATGTGTGACTCATAGCAACAGCTGGCTTTTGACTCGCAACTTAAAGTGGTCTGAGAACAATTGGTCATGGAAAAAGCGAATGGGGTAGCGTCGGGAAATATCCAGGTAAAAAAGAAGCAGTATTGAAAAACCATGTCAAGGGAAGACAAGCGAGCGTTTAAGTTGCCATGTCAGAAACGGAGCACATTAATGGGTTGACAAGTGTATTACTTTTTGACAATTTGACTGTCAGAAACAGTAATTTCTTCATAATTCGGATAGACCACCTGTAAATGCTTAGATCGCTTACCCCGCGTTTCGGTTAATGTCGTGATTACGAAACTCCGCACATGGAATCATGTGGGATTTTCTCACGGACCGATTGTGCATCTCAATGCCTTCAGCAATAGGCTCTTGCGGAACAATAATATGTCACATCTAAAATAGAGTGGATGGATTACCAGTACTATAACCTGTTTTGAATGACTATATATCGCGCCTTCTAATGACCGTCTCTTTTGTTGTAATTACCTGGGAAAACATCGGATTACGCAATCGCAGGGTCTTGAAATATTTCGGTTCCAGTTGCTTCCGACGATCATTGATTAGGTAAAGGAAGCAAGTTCCGGTGGTTGGTTTCAGTTTCGATATTAAAACGTTCCTGAATGGTCCATATTCCCGACCGTTAAAAAAATCTATGGATCGACAAGAAAAGAGGTCGGGTTTACGGCAATTAGAAATCAAAAGGGACTCCATCATTGAAAAATATGGTTCGACACTTTTGTTCCCCTTCAAAAATTTTTAATGTGCGATCACGCTTCCGAAACTTTAAGTAATACCACCATGGCAAAACGTACCTTCAGCGCTTTGGATTGAAATTATATGGTAACAACGGAAATCTGAGTTATATAGCAAGTGAATGCTTTCTCATGCATGATTAGTTAAGCAATTGACTCAATATACCATTCAAAAAAACCGAAAAAGTTATATGCAAAAGCTTGACGCATAACCTTGGAAGACACGGCTGCAAATAAATATCTGTTGTCATGGTGAATAGGCCAAATTTCCCGTTCTTCGGCAACCCGAATGGTCCACATATCACAAAGTTACGAGGAAACGATGTTCCTGTTTCTTACGCGTGATGTCTCGAGTTTGTCGTGATCCGTCTGCCTTCCGTCCCTCCCTGTCAATTCATGGCAACAAATCCATATACTGCTTTTGGAAAAAAATGTATGTGCTCAGTTGGCAACACCCAGGAAAAAAATTTCACGTTACCACGCACGAAAGATTCAATGTAACGTCATGACGAATTTTTGTAACCAGTCATTGTAGCATCCATCTTGACTGCCTTTCTTCCGTTCCTATAGTAAATCGCTCCACAAGAAGACGCGCCTGCGTTCCCCATTACCATGTGTTATTCTTAAAGATTGACATAAATATGTCGAATCAAAAGCTTAACTGAGCTGGGCGTGTAATTTCATCAGCTGCAGAACCAATTGGCGCCTTAAATTATTTTGCCGCAACACATGAACACTGAAATGATTCTAAGAAAATTTTTATCATTTGGAAAGGGGCGACTATATAGTCAATTAGATCCATTGACTATAAATTACACATTTTATGTGTCTGACTATGGTCTATCTATTTTGAAATATGTTTATACTGCCGGAGGGGGTTTATCGATTGGCTAGAGTCTATGTTTGTTGTGCTGTTGACAGCGTGTAAGATGGAGTAATCTCCGCTTCAATGGTATGTTGCGCATCATTTTTCCGTGCATCTTTCAGAGAATCATAAAGCCAAACTATTATATACCTGCTACTATTAGTAGCCAGGCCATCCTAAGCGCTGTCGCTGAAAGGGTATTCTGTGATAAACTGGAGAATGATAATCTTACGGCAGTATTTTTGAATCAGTTACTACTTTCAAAATTGCCTTGCTTTGAAAGTAAGGCTACCAACATGGATAATGTGGGTGTTGAAGCTGCATCACCCAAAACCCCACGCTTGAATCTCAATTTTCAAAAGCATAAGAGATTTACACGTTTTTGAAGCCATTTTATTAAGATCTTTACTTCGCTTGAGATAATACAGTCAAATCTGATAGAAGCTGCATTGGCATCTACACCTTCTGGTATAACCGTGTCAGTCGTCTGAAACGAAGGAGCGAGAAAACAGTTTGCAAGAGGAGAGATGTGGCGCCTTTCGGGAGCACTGTCCTCAAAAGATTTTGTGACGAGGATGGTTGCTCAAATGTACGTGCATTATATGATATCGAAGGCTCTCGTGTTCTCATTCACTTGACGATTTAACCAAACTTTGAGAGGCCTTTTTTAAAACTCCATTCAACGAATCGATTTCCTCAATGCGCAATTTAATCAACTTTGGGTTCAGATGAGTCCTTGTGACCATGGCGACGACGACTTTCAAAGCGGCATAAAGGCCCCACACCAGGTGTGGGGAAGCCGAAAGTCAGAAGTTCCTTAATAAGTTTGGGAATAGGCCGCGTATAATTTTTTAAATACCGCATTTTTTGTTTGAATAAAGCGCATGCCATCACATGAAGCTAGGAAAGCTTCACACACCGGTCTTTTTAGATCACACACAAACATACCAGAGTCAAAAGAAATATGTAACTGTTATAAACAAAAATCGACCATTTTTATTGGGGCACTGCCTAGGTATATTGCAAAAGTGCTAGATTTTTTGTACACTAAATTTGAGAGAAGCGTCCTTGAACAGGACTTTGAAAGAGGATGGGAGGAATACGGAGGAACAGACGTTCTTAATTTTGGAGTTCGCTTTCATAATAAGTGCTGAGTTGCTCTTCAGCATGGCGCTTAGCCTTCTGCTTATCAATGAAGTCCAAACCTTTGGTTTCGATGCTATAATAAAATCAAATGATCAGTAACTCTCAACTTTACATGGCGACTTGGTGGCCAATAGTTTGAAGCGACGATTCCGTCCAACGATTCTCCTGGTACATATACTTACAGCTTGTCCAAAGCACCAGCGGCGAAACCAGCCATGAGTTGCTTAGCGCGAGCGTGTTCGACGGGTTTGCTGTAAAAAAAAGTTGATGTTTAGTACTTTTTATCATTTTTTCCCCTGCTTCAAATTCAAGTTCGACTGGTTCCTTACCCCTCCTTTTCACAGTGTGCCTGGTAAGCCTTGACAGCTTCAAAGGCAGCTATACAATTTGAAGAACCAAGAGTCAGTTTGAGGATGTTTCGCGAAAAAGGTGACGAGTTACATACCAGCGCCAGCAATGAGTTCGTGAGTGAAGGAACCCTTGTGTTCGCTGCTTTCTGAAGCGTGAACTTCCTCGTGCTGCTTGCCAAAGTGATCGAAAAGTCCCCTGGGAAACGCCAACATCAGCATCACGGTTTTCAAATCTCAACGCAAACACGCGCAAATTCTTCAAAGGTCAGCAACTTACATGGTAACGATTATTCAAGTAAAAAAGATAAATTGAAAGTAGACTCGTACTCAGTTATGGTTCGCTTTTTATATTTTTCATGAATCTTGGGCTGATTCTTTGTTGTCCCACATGGATTAACCTTGAATTGTTCGTATTGCATGAGAATAGTGTTTGAAGCGGCGAATGAGATGTCAGAACGATGGCTGAAAAAGCTCTCAATAAAGTAAAATTAGAACGGTGCACTTGTTACTCTTGGCAGCCAGCGTCAAATTAATAGGCTGCGAGGGCTGTGATTGGCTTGGAAATACCAGTTTTAATCATATAAAGTAGAGTTATGGAAAAAAGCTTTCGGAGTCCCTGCCCATTTTTGCCTTTCTAGACTCGTTCTCCGCTGTGGCTGGATAAATTGCCTCTTATTAGAAATTTTTCTTTCCCGTATTCCAGGCACAGAAAAAAGGCTTTTCCGAAACAAGCTGTAACCCCGAGCTGCCTTCTGCCAGTTCGCTTTATTAGAACAAATAATACGGCTGCGTAGACCTAAGTATTCTTTGCAAGTGGGGGAGGTTGATAGCATGTTGGGATAATCATTGCATATGGGGATGATCACGCTGAGATGGTGCCAAAAGCTTAAATTTTTCGTCGGATCCTCGTGCTCTGAAACCGGCTACAAGTTTACTGTTGATATTCGGAGATGACATTCATGACGGTGCAATAGTCGCCGTGATACGCAAATAAACTTTATACAACGAACTCATAGTTGCTCAATGCTTGAACCTCCAGGGTGGATCGGTCCGTTCTATCGAAGCACTTCAGATACACAAAAAATGCGTAAATTCCAAATGTCATTTTGGAAAAAAGAGATAAATGTCGAAAGACATGAAACTTGCTGCTGTTGTGTGGGAAACGCTTTTTCGCTTGTGATTTGTTATGATCACGGAGCCGCGCCTTTTTGCCGGTCGTTGCATAGTCTGAGACTATAAATACACTAAGCTGAAGTGGTTGTTTTGCATGACGATGTTTTTGCACACGTCGCTGTCGTTTGTTTTACGACTCAACTGTTTGTGTGTGACTATGCTGGTGGGGGGGGGTGTTCTAGTATGCATAAAATTCTCTGAGCGAAAACAACCAACAAAGAAATAGATAAATAAAGTGTGGGATGGTATTGCGGAGGTGCCGAGGATGATCGCAACTAAAAACCGTTGCTCAATGAGGTGTTTTGTAACACAAACGTGTCACCGCTGACGACGATGGCCACTTGCTCAACAGCATTGGGTAATGGTGATCTTTGCCGCTGCAAATCTTTATGGACCGTTGCTCGAAGAACGGCAAGCCGCAGAGGTGTGCTTGTGGGGCCTAAAGTTGCTTTCATAGTAACTGTCAAGTAAAGATAGTGGCTTTATTGGAAGAATCTGATCAAACAGAAGCCGGACCATTGAATAAATTTTATCACCATTATTTGAGACTTCTGCTGCTGATAGACCTTAAATAAGCCGGGATTTATTGGGCATTTATAGGATGAGGACATGATACGCAAAGGATCTCAAGGCTTTATTCGACGCTGCTACTGCATCTTAGGTGACAAAGAAAGTCGTCCACAATGTATTGTGCATCTTTGGATTTTTGCCAGCAGTATGACATAGTCTGAGAATGTGTAAATACGCTAAATTGCATTGATTTTTTTTTTTTTTTTTTTTTTTTTTTTTGGCGGATGTGCATCTGCTCTTACGATGAATAATATCTTCACCCCAGCTTAGATGCGAAGATTATACTACTTATTTAGAATGAAAGGAGCGGAGCATTATTGTGGAGGATCCAAGGGCAATCGCGACCAAAATCGTTGCTCAATGAGAGCTTGTCTAAATTGCTCTTGTAACGCCGGCATGTCGTCGCCGATAAGGACACCGTCTTGCTCAGCAGGATTCGATAAGTTGATCTTAGCCGCGGCGAGAAGTTGAGAACCTTCACTGGAAACAGCGATGGGTTTGCCGTGTCGATAAGCGTCGAGTACAAACATCACCGGTTCTTCGTAGGGAAAGATGCTGAGATTATCCATGAGGATGGACATGGCTTCCTGTCCGCCCGGAACGTAAACAGCATCAAAAAGCACGGAGGATGAAGTCATATAGGTGTTGGTAACATTCAATCCATTGTGCACTCCCAATGTCAAGCCTATGTATTCGGGGTACGCGCCTTGTTCTTCCAAGTAGTTGAACATCTCCTCGGCTTCCCCAATGTTAGTTCCCGGAGCCGTGAGAATGGCGACGGTACGTGTGCGGATGTTATCAGGTTTAGGATATCGTTCGATCGATAGTCCTACAGTGGTGCGATTTTGATTCACGACAATGGCATCGGGAGGTTGGACACCAACAGCGATAGCCACACGCCGAGCAAGGCTGTTATCGACATGGTTCAAGGTGTGGATCATTCTTTTGCGTACATCCAGCGACTTGACTTTGCCAATTTCGAAACGTGCGCCATTAACCAATTGCTGTTGTTCTGCTTCCGTCAACGAGTTCCAGAACAGCTGAGGTTGTGAATAAAAGTCAAAGAATTTGTCGACACGGCCCCTCATTTTGCGGCCTTCCACCTGCTCTGGAAATTCAATGTAACCGCCGTCCTGACCATCGACCACGGAGGGCGTATTTCCCTGAAGGCCATTAGGATAATATGCCACCTTGCCTTCGTGAATAGCATGCTGCATAAACCCATCTCGTTGATTGTTGTGCACAGGGTTGATGGGGCGATTGATAGGAAGCTGCATAAAGTTGGCACTGCTCATACGGTTAAGCTGCGTATCCAAATAACTGAACAATCTTCCTTGCAACAACGGATCATTGGTAAATCCGATACCTGATTTTAATAGATCCAGTGAGTCCTTTTCAGTTTATGAGGTGAAAAGACAATCAGCAGCAAAATGCAAGTGTCTGATGATTGATAGACTTAAGGGAGAGGTATTTTTTTTTTTTTATCTTACCTCGAACGATGTGACCAGGATGGAATGTAATTTGTTCGGTTTCAGCAAAGAAATTGTCGACATTGCGGTTCAGTACCATTTTTCCAAGGGGCGTGAAGGGGACAAGTGACTCGGGGATAATCTTCGTAGCGTCGAGCAGGTCAAAGTCGAATTTGTGCTGATCTTGTTCTGGAACAATTTGGACACCCAACTCCCATTCGGGATAATCACCGCGACTGATGGCTGTATACAAATCATTGCGATGGAAATCGCTATCTTTGCCAGCAATTTTTTGAGCCTCGTCCTATAAGAGACCCAACATTAGTTCAACTAAATCAGAAATTGGACAGTATCCAACTCAGTTATCGATGACTTACCCATACAAGGTTTGACAAACCTTGCTTTGGTTTCCAAATAAACTTGACAAAAACAAAGTTGCCATTTTCGTTGATCAGACGGAAGCTATTTATGATATTGTGGAGCAACGAAGAGCCGATGTAAGTAAAGTCAATCATCTCATCATAAGCACAAAAGAAGTGCACAACTTACGTATGTACTCCAAAGCCTTCCACTTGACGGAAGCTGCGAGGGATACCACGACCCGAAAGCGCCCATAGAAGAGTATGAAGAGTCTCTGGGAGGACGGAGAAGAAATCGTAAGCTGTATCGTGGGCGGTAGCTGCTTGAGGTACCTCTGTATCTGGCTCCGGCTTGGCCGCATGAATCAAATCAGGAAACTTGATCGCATCTTGCAAACAAAACAAAACAAAATGATGATCCAATGCGTAAGCATACAATCTCACCAAACGAACGCAAGAATTGTCTATTTTATGTGTACCTTGTACGAAAAAGGGAGCAATGGCGTTGCCTACGAGATCGAATATACCTTCTTCTGTATAGAAGCGTGTAGCGAATCCACGAACATCCCGCACAGTGTCTGCTGAACCTCGGGATCCCAACACGGTGGAGAATCGAACAAATACTGATGTCCTTTTACCAGGTGTGCGCAGAAATCTGGCTGCAGTGAGGTCTGACCAATCTTTGTAAGGCTCAAAATAACCGTGGGCTCCCACGCCTCTTGCATGCACCACGCGTTCAGGAATACTATCACAGAGTATCAGAAATCAGTAAGGTTTGCAAATTCATCTTGTCTTTGAACTAGGCAGTGAACGAACCGTTCGTGATCTATACAATAAAAAAAAAAAAATTGAAAGTCAATACAAAGGCTTCTGATAGTGGGATGATGAGGTATGTACCAAAGTGCATAATCTTTTCGCGCAGCATGAAATCTTCCATGAGAGTAGGGCCACGGAGGCCGACCTTCAAGCTATCGGTGTTGTTGATTTTGACACCAAAGTTGGTAGTCTCTTGCGTGCCGGCATCGGTGACACCAAATTCATCCAACTGATCTTGCTTCGGAGTATTGTCGCCTTCTCTGCGGACCAAATCTCTTTTAACGTGGAAGGGACATTGCGCTCTCACCAATAGTAGGTTTGACATGCACAGCAGTACGCTGATGCAGTAAAGAGTCACTGTCCTCATTCAACAAGACAGAATTAACAAAGAAAAAAAAAAGGAAGATAAGAAAAGAGACGAGGAAATATGATTATTGAGACTAATATAAGACGATGATTTATATCATATTCTGATGTTTTAGGATTAGGAGAGTAAGCAAACAAGGGTCATGCATTTGTTTGCTTCTACGTGTGCCTGCGGAGCTAAATCCGGTGTGCGTATACATGTGTGTGTGTGGTCAACCCTTAGTGTGTTCGTCCATTGGAATGGAAGACAGGGTCAGAGTGATGTCAATGGGATGACTCTAAACAATAGCCACAGCACTGATGGTTTCTCAGCAAGAAGCTGCAGCTGCTAAATCATGATGTAGTATGCAAGAAGCATAGGTAGCTTGCACAGACTAATTAATGTATTACCGTTCATGATGCATTATTGTATCGACCAATGAAGTCCGTGGCCATAGAGCATTCGATTGCGGTTTGTGCAAGGACTGCTATTTTATGTTCATTCTTCAAGGGATACACTTATGTCAGGGGTTCGCACTGAGCAAAAATGGAATGGAAAAATCCCCAGCTTGTCTTTGTTCCGCTTCGAAAAATTTCCTTTTCGACGTTCCGCCTGTGCACGGAGTTTAGAATCACCTTGTGTTTGTGTGCAAACCGCTTTTCGTTGCTTGATGTCGATAATCAAGCGGTTAGAGCTACAGTATACTGCATATTGAAAAGCTCCCGTGGAAAATATATTGCTGTTGTAGTTTCATCCATTGTAGAATAACAGGATAATCGTCATTTGTATATATGTGAGCATGATCTGAGCTGGTTTTTCGCCGTTAAACTAATCTTTTGTCATGTTGTTGTGTATACCTCCTATTGTACCCAATCAGGCACTGTTCTCGGCAGTACAGCAAGTATAATCCATAGCTGTATAATCAAGGTCAACATTTGGTTATAATGATTGACCTTTACTTTCAACTTGAAAACCATGACAACAATCTTCAAGTCCCATGATAAAACAGTAGAATGGTACGTTTTTTCGTCATCACTTTCTCATGCCAAACTTGCTCAAGTCTTCACAGCCTCATAATAAAAGTGTCGAAATGACGTGCGTTCCTCATTCTCTCCTTCCCATAACCGCGAAAAAACTCTACGTACGACAACTATATCAAATCTAGCCAAGAAGATTTTTTCCGCATTCTAGTCTATACAATGAAGGGGCCTGTAAATGCAATCAAAGAATGATACAGCGTTAAACGAGCATCTTTTCAAGGTCAACCAAATCGATTAATAGACAATAAGACAGAAGTCAAAGGCCAACAGAGAAAAATAGTGGGAAATTAATGATGTTTTTTAATCCATCAATCGAAACACAAATGATAGTAATTAAAATAAAAAATACATAGATCTAGAAATGCTTAAATTTAATTGTAGGCCTTGGTCTCTTCGTAAGTTTCCTTGCCAGCCTCAACAGACTCGACGGTTTCAACACGACCACCAACCAAGGTACCAACGGCATGACCATCTTGCAAGTTATCGACTTCTTCAACGGTCACGTCAGGAACTGTCCAGCAGACGACGTAGGTAAGGAGCAAACCAACAGTGTTGACAGCGAAAGTAATGATCAATTCGGTCATATAGGGAACGTGTTGAGCATCGATCTGGGCAGCAATGGCATTGGCAGCGTTCTGAACGGTCTTGTAGAAACCACCATAACGAGCAGCACGTTCGGTATCGTTGGTCATTGTACCCAACAACCAGTAGATGAAACCTTGGTAGATAGCGTCACCGAGACCGAAACCAGCGTATTCAATAAGAAGACCAACATAGCCAGAGGAGAACACATCAGTGGGAGCGAAACCTTCGGCCTTGACAGATTCACGAGTGAATCTCATTTGGATAAAGATACAGGCGATCCAGAGGGCAGTCATACACACAAAGACAAGAGTGTTACCGATCATAGCACGGCGTCTACGGTTACCAAGGCATTCCAAATCAAGAAGCCAACCAAAGGCACCAGCGCCGAGAATCTGAAGAAGCCAATAGACCAAGTTGTTAAGACCACGAGCACGAAGGTTGAAGTAACCTCCACCGTTGTAGACCTGGAATTGGTAGGTATAGAACCAGTTGGAACCAGCAAAGAGAGGAATCAAGATAAGCATACGCCAGTCCTTGAACAAGTTCATAATTTCAACGGCTTCACGACGCCAGTTGGAGAATTTGTGGAGCGAGACATAAGAACCATCAGCACGGACGACCTTGGAAGCGGGCAAAAGAGCAAGAGCCAAGAAAGCACCAACAGTCATAATGACCATGAAAGCAATGTAGGTACCGGGCTTAACATCACCCTTAACAGAGTTCCATTCGTTACCAAGGGGAATAGCAGCACCAAGAGTAGCACCCAAGTTGAACACCATCCAGAAGATAGAGAAGGCTTTACCCTTGTCGTTTTCTTGAGGGTAGGACATCATAATACCAGCTTGAGCAGTCCAAAGGAAACCAGCTCCAATACCGAGGACAGCACCAGTAGCAATGGTGAAAGCGTCGCTGGTAGCAAGATAAGAACCGACATAAAGCACATAAGCAAGGGCAGCAGGGACAATGATACGATGGCCAAACATGTTATAACTGGAAATCAAGATCATACAATTAGTATAAGAGATCCAACAGTAACCAGATCCATTATCAAGAAACACTTACGCAGGGGCACCAATAAGGGAACAGAGAGTGAAAGTGATAGACAAAGCCGTATTGGCATTGTCGGTAGCCTTGGGGCTTGAGCGACCAGCACCACCGATACCGTTCAAGGCATTGAACATACCAGGACAACAGAAACAGATGAAACCAACCAAGAAAACTTGGAAGTTAGGAGAGTTGTAACGGAATGGCAACTTGAATCCCATTTTCGTTAAAGGAAGGAGAAGTGAGTAATAGGGAAGATCTGAATGATACCGAGCCTTTGAATCGAAACGCTTGCTGTATTTATACTTGCAGAGGTATAGACATCAGGCAATTCTCAGGGTCCACCAGAGAAAAGAACTTTGGAAAGACGAGCATTTTCGTTTGCTTCGTGTCTCACCAGAGGTTTCAGCGGAGAAAATCCCTTTTCTTTTTCAAAGCGCATAACGTTGGTAACGACGGACGTTGAAAGTGGTTCAACTTTCTTATTTTCTTTTTGCCCATGGGCCTTCTGTTATACAACGCCACCACTTATTCCATTCAGTATCATACTCGATAAAAAAAACGACACCATGGAAAAAGGGCTGACGTACGGTCTACGAGACAACGCTATTTTTGGTGCACCGCTTACCGAGGAATAGGTGAAAAAGCTCCATTTCTATTTGCTGCTCCAGCCATGCACAGAAAAAGGAACAAAAAATCATTAGACAATTTCACCCAATCATGGAAAACCGTGCGTATTTTCCATTTGCTTTGAGGCAAACCTCCGCTCTTTTCTATTTCTATTCGTTCTTTTCTTTTTTCGGATGTGGGGTTTCATGCATTAAAGTGGAACTTGCGCGAAGAGAAATTCGAGCGGGATCTCATAATCATGCCACTCAACCCTCAAATGGACCCTAAGGACCCTAGGACCCCTTTTCTCGTACCAATCAGAATATTCTGAATATCATACGACTGCCATCCATCCTCTTAGGTACCGGCTTTTTTTCAGTCTCACTAATGGTTTGGAGCAAACCAAGCGCCTTTTTTTCTACCAAAGAATCAAACGTGGAGGTCCTTTTTACTTTGAGCTCAGAAAATAAAAATTCCATTGTGATGCTATTGAAAAACTAGTATGATTTTTGCCCTATTAGGCGTTTCGTCCTAACTTGTAATGATTATGTAAACGTGCATGCTCTTTTTTTTTATGTTGTTCTCTATGATAAATTTATAATCTTCTTTCATTGGCTTTGTACTTGATGAATGCAACGAGGTTGGTGAGTGCTTCGTCTGCTCTTGAACGAAGATCAAAGTTTTTTCGTCGATCTGTGATTTTCACCTGGTGCAAAAAAATCAAACCATAAAGGAAAAAGTCAGAGAGAACCGGTCAACAAAGCCCAACCGCCAAATCAGTCCATGAGGTGTGAAACCGCCGACTTACCATGGAACGGACCGATGGGAGGATTTGTCTCAGCTGAGCTAGAAATCCGCCTTGAACGAAAACAGGATCATCGTAGTCAAAAGCGCAGTCACTATAAACATCATACAGGAAGTTCAGGGCTTCAACCGCCACTTCAGGTGATGTTCCATGCGACCCAATCTGAGATAAAATATTCATAATGAACACGCCAATATGCTAACCATGGAAAACAATTCACCTTTAGCATGCTATTTTCTACCTCCCCTTTCCAAAATTTAATATAGAAGCAAAATTGTTTGCCTTTGATTACCTTATTTGTTTCAATATCGCCTCGACGCATAGCAATCGGTCCAAGACAACCAACAATTTTGACTCTCATCATGGTCGACGAAGAAGCTTCATAAGCACCACACAAGGCTGGCACATCGGATGGTTCCAGTGGCTTTGAAAAAAAAGATAAACAGGGTCATCCATTAGCTAATATGAAAAAAAAGAAAAAAGAAAAAATTCACGGAGAAAGAAGTTCAAACTTACGATGTCTTGACCTAAACCCCGACCAAGGGCCCACATGCAACCCACGATGCTTTCCAGAACGGTGTCCCGGTCCTCGCTTTGCGGCGCAGCTGCCACCGTGTTGGCTGTGTTGAACAACCATCGCCAACCTTGTATGGCATCCGATTTCTGTTCTTTGAACCAAAACTTGGACGGAATTTCGTTCATGCCCAGTAAAAAGTTGTTGAAGCATTCAAGGGCTCGTTGATGGGTGAGCGCCAGCGCTTGGGAAATCGAAGGAGCCACTTCTTCATGAGGGAATGACAGAGAAGTCGGAGTCGCAAGACGGATCAAATGAGGGAAAATTTCAGTGGTAAATGCATGCAAAACTGGATTGGATCGTATTAAACTGTCATTTACGGCAGCCGCATTGCTTTCGTCAATGGCCGATGTATCCTGGAAGAATTCGTCAATGTTGTCTTCGTTGATCACATCCGTATTATCAGGTGCATCTTCTTCGCCCATATCCATATCGGCGTCTTCCCATCCGTCATCTACATCGTTAAAGTTGCTTTATTGAGACCATGTTCTGCATTTTCACCGTCTCCACATCCGCTTACCTCCTGATTCATCTTGCAAACAAATATCGGCAAGAATTTCCAGAGATAATTGTAAAGTAGCAAGACGTTCTTCGACGCTGTGAATATATTTCTATACGCATTTTTTTATCCGTTAACATACTTGTTGCTTCACACGGAGAGATCAGAAAAAAAAGGAGCGGCTGGGCTCGTTTCTTACCTCTTCATCCGACAAGGGTTGTTTTGGTCTCGGTGTAATTTCTCCAGTTTCTTCATGTTTCGTGACATGCTAAACACATTTGAAATGGTCATTAAACGAATACAAGGAACCATTTACTTGCCCAATCCAAAACTTACACCGCTGTTCATAGCTGCTTTTGTCTGTTCAGCAGCAGTTTGAATATCGTAATCCAGTGACGTCGTAAGAATAGGCAGCAACTTCTTATTAAGTTCACCCAATGCATCAAAATCTTCATCCCAAGAGCTCGACATTTGTACAACATCGCGGATATTCATCAAGATGGCTGCAAAAAAATCGACACGAATTAGTCGCCTGTCCAATACACCTTTTTTTCCCAGCCCAACCAGATTGTTCAAAGCAACGTACCGCATGTCAATACTCTAACAAGAATCTTTTCCGTGCCATCAAATTTGGAAAGAACGTCAAACAGCATACGCACATATTCTGGATGGTTCTGGAATTCCAAATAAATCTCTTGATTATCATCCGTTAACGTTGTTAAGCATTGTCCTAGATTAAGCAGATAGACATGGATGAGTCTGTGGGACGAGCACCATTCCTTCAAATGTGCGATGTTTACCTGCAGCAATGACCACACGGCTAGGGCATTGATCGGCGACGGTCAAGAAAGAGATAAGGAAGCTCACAATATTCATTCGGTTGATGGCTGTGATGTATTTATCCGAGGCCTCACTGCAATCCAACTTCCATGAGTATGTGCGGTGCATATTACTAGAGGATCCATATCACCGGGGTTCTCCCCAGTGTTCAACAACTCACCCAATGCTCCAGATAATGTAAATGAAATTCTCGGCCAAATCCCATACTGTACGTCGTCGATCCTGCTCAGCTTCATCTGCCACTGGTGCGTTATTAAGAATATTATCAATGGTTTGAATGATCTAATAACGCGACAAGTTAGTCAGTCTGGATCCATCAAATCAAAACGATCACAGCTTCTCCCACCGTACCTGCGGAAGCAAAGTGCCGAGAGGAGTTAAAATATCGCGTGAATAGTATTCCTTGGCAATGACTGGATCCACGGACACCAGATTGCGAAGTGTACCAACAGATTCTTCCAATACATCCCGGTTATCGTCCGTCAAGCGCTCAATGAGCTTGGGAAGAATGCCTTTGGACAATAACAGTTTGCGAGTCCCGGCGCCGGCCATGATCAAGTTGGAAATACAAGCTGCTGCCCAAGCACGCTCGGTGGAATCGGGCGAACTCAACTAATTACAGTACGTACATATATGATTCAGTACTGGCTGAAATGGATTCTCTCGTGAAACTGGATCGCATATATTACCTTTTGAATCACAGGTAACACTTGTTCCGGTTGAGGTACTTCTTCCATGACGCCTTGCTGAACACCGGCAGCTACACGAGAGCCAATAGGATTGGCGCGATGCTTAATACTTCTGCGTTTATGTGTCTGTTTTCCCATGGCGAATCCCCACTTCTAATCAACAACAATAAAAAAATAGTGCCAATTGAGCGGCAGGAAAAAAGTTAAATGGCAGCATGGATTTCAAAAAATTTTGTGGCTTTGTATGACTGCAAAATTCAGAAGACACAATAGGACGATAAGTTTGAAGTTCATAGTGGTGATGATGCCCAGCGAAGATGACTCGCGACGGTGACGGAACGAAATGATCTGATCGAGCTGTTGAGCATTTGTATTATTATGCCTATCATGAAGAGGAGGCTTGTTCTGCGGATTGTGAATAGTAGCATAACCCATTTTCTCCAGCAAGCGTAACAGTTTTGGGCCTATGGGACCATCCCCTCCCGCTCGACGGATGGCTTCAGCTAATGTCACGCCTCTGTCTTGCATGAAGCGCATCAAGAAATCAGTGGTATTGGTATAACGAGCATAGTCAACATGAGAAATAGAGGACCCTGCTTGAAACGGCTGTAAGCTGGTTTCCAAGATGAGTCCATCGTCCCCTAAGAAGAGACCTAGCGAATCGGGGGTTGTGGCGTATTGATGCATATCCAGTGCCGTTGCAAACTGAGGTGACAGCAGTAATTCTCGGACAGTATCTACTCGAAGTGTATTCAACTCGGAGGTGTATGTGGACGTAAATTGTCCTTGAAATTCCTCCTCGTTGTCTCCCTTTGGATTGTTCAACCGTACCATCCAGCGATCCATCGCTGATTCAAGGAACTGGTGCACTTGGACGTTGCCTGATTCATCCATTATGAGCAAAAGTTGTCGCGCTAGAAAAGGGGTCGGATCGGGTGTTAACGCTTTTACTGGGAAATACTCATTCCAACTTGAATAAAATCCGAGCCCGTGCATAAATTCATGCTAATCAAGGGGGAGGAACATAAATTTAGCATCATTATCACCGCCCATTCGTAAGTATATGTATTTACCAAGATGACAAATAAAAAGTCGGCTTCGTTATGAGCAATATCACGTCCGTCATCCTATGGCATTGGTTAATATTTCAAATCTATCTTCACATAACAGCTTCATGCCGTCAATTTCAGCGATAAAATTTACCTGAAACCAGAAAGGAGCGTCGGCATTGAACAAACTTTGAATATCGTAAGGTGCAAAGGTGGGATGTCTGTTCAAACCGAATTGCTTCACCAGTGCTTGTGGATGCATGCGCAACATACCATCATCGCTCAGAAGAGGAATCGACCGTGTTGTAGACGATCCACCTAATCCGTGGTTTGTAAGTAATAAAGCGAGTTTCAGAGTTTTGACAAAATGGGTCCATAGTATACCTAGCGTCATCAGACTTTTACCGCACTCGCCAGTGGCCTTACAGAATGATAACAAGGTAGCATTCACGCGAATGGGTTGACGAAAAAGGATGGTATCTGTGATGATGCGACCTGCTTCTTCAAAGGCTCGTTGTGCTTTCACACATGTTTCGGGATTGGCGTGAAAGCAGTGAAAGTCGATATCAAAAGGCGCGGATTCATTGGAATCCGTTTTTAGTAACATGTTGGCAGAATTATCCGGTTCATTCCAAGGGCAAGGTACCCATTCCCGCAAGTGACTCTGTGTGGGATCGAGATGATCGAGGCACATGGAGTTGAAGCTAGGCCCCAGTAATCCATCGATGAGATCCAAAAAGGATAATATTCCGATGCATCCAAATAAAATGGTACACTGTATACATAACATCGGCATAACCTAAAGGCAGCAGTAAGCGATTATAATCAAGGAAGAAAAGCTGATGGTCAAAATTTAGCGAAGAGCATTTCTTTTTCTAGCCTTTCTTTCACTTTCTATTTTGAAGATACCAGTTGAGATGTCAATGTCAACCATTTTATCACTGAACCCAATCGTACGGTTTGGGGTGAACCTGGATTCACAAAAAGAAATATGAAGCTTCAGCATTGGATAAGCCATATAGAAAGCCACAGAAATAAACCGAGTGCGCTTCATCCGAAAAGTCGATACTTGATTAAAAAATAATGGCGCACACTTCTTTTGGATAGATACCATATAGAGGAACAAGGGTGAAATGGACTGTGAAAGCACAATAGATTGTGAAAGCACAATAGATGCTAAACTTTCATAATGTTGATCTGCAGAACCCCGGTCTCATCTTCACCTGAAACTGAGTTTCGCTTGCTCCGCTCGATGCGCCGCATAAACATGGTCTTGGCCGATCATCGATGCTATGGAAACATTCTCGCCAAAGCCAACGACAACAGTCTCTATGGAATATTTATGCTCAAATATAGTATAATCTCTGTTAGAGTAATTGTATATGTTTCCTCAAGTCGAATATGAAAGCATGTCAGTGCACGATGGATGGTCCCCATTCTTTTGCTTATCGGCCTCAACAGATGGAACTTCATTATGCAATTGTAACTTGATATAAAAATGGCTTGTAGTAATCAAATATGTTTATGGTTTCCTTGTCTGAGCATGGGCGATTAATCGACAGCCAAATTAGCCTTTAGCTTTAATTTCAGACGGAGATGGGTTTGGAGGGTTGTGCTTCATGCATAACATCAGACAATAAGAAGCGCTTACAATATAGTCTAGAAGTCGGTACGCAACCAGGGAGTAGTAATTCGTTTTATGTAACAATAGAATACATCAAAGCTGACAAGTTGTGTCGAGCACTGTAAAAGGAACCTCAATTTATTCCGTCATATGGTGATCCTGAGTTTACTGGTTGTTTCACTGTGTGACCTAAGTGACAGGACCATGTATCAAGTTCAGCGCAAGTTTCATGGGATGGCTCAAAGACATATATTGGTTTTTGTTTGTCGAAATACCGTAATAAAACCAATGCATATATAAGCTTATTAGACCATGGTAAACAACTTTCCAAAGATCCGAAACCGGTGTGCCCGGAAAAAGGTCCAACCCACTGAGTTTTTATTCGGGGATAACCGTATCACGGCAGACATAGATCTTAGCATTATGAATGAAAGACACATTTGTGGCAGGCTCATCAGGCTTACAGCTTTTCTGGCAAGCAATTCAATGCGTATGTCGTTTTTTGAAATTTGGTGTTGATGACGCAATTGATATGTTGATATTAACGCGCACTTCGGCTGATATGCCGTTTTTTATTTGTCTTTTATTTACAGTTCTTTCTGCTGTTATCATGGCTAACTCCAACGTTTCCAAAATCCACCTCGCCACCAACAATCAGATGAAGGCGCTCATCAAGCTCACCCAGTACGTGTTTGAACCATTATTTGCGTTAGTGACCTTCTACTGACGTGTAATTATGTAGGACCGATGATCAAGCCAGCTCCCTCATTGTGGAGGCTTCGGCCAAGTTCTTTGACACGGTCGATAAAATATTTGCCAAGCTCAAGCGCAATGTTGTCGCTAAGATGGAAAACCGCCAGCTTATCACTGAGCTTGAAGGCCTCAAGCAAGAAGTCCAGGGCCAGCTTGAATTCGCTGAACTTCGTGCTGCTTTCTCCTCCCGTCCATTCTACCGTTGTTGCGCCCGCTTCGGTCGCTTTTTTTGCTCCCTCGCCCGTTGCTGTGGCTGCTTCTGTTCCTTTGCCCGCTTCTGTTGGCTTCTTTCGTTCCTTCGCCCGCTGTCGTGGCTGCTCCTTTGTCTCCTCCCTCCTCTCCTGTGGCTGCCTTTGTGCCCACCTCTTCCCCTGTTTCCGCTCCTGCTTCATCTTCCTCTCCCGTGGCCGCATTTGTGCCCACCTCTTTCCCAGTGTCGGTTCCCGCGTCTGTGCCCGCGTTCGTTTCCTCCTCTGGTGTGACCGTGCCTTTCCTTGCCGCGTTTTCCTTTGTTGTGCCTGCTCCGGTTTCTGCTCCCGCTGGTGCCCTTTCCGGCCAGCAATCGAGGAATGAGAACAGCAGCAACAACACTTCTTCCAAGAAGAAGAATATATCGACGACCCAATGGACATCGATCAACGCGACGAATTGATCGATTGGATGGACGTCCATCCAGGATGCCTTACAGTACCACTCGCAAAGGTAAGCTACTGGGTTCACGAAACAGATTGAAGAGCCATATTTTAACGCGTTTTTATTCTGTAGCCAAAGGCCAAAAAAAACGGATGATCGACGTCCAGACCTTTTGTTGTTGCAGCATAGCCTTTACAATGATCTCTTTTCTTAATGATGTAAATATGTACAGCAAAACAATATTCCTTTTACTTCCTATGTTTTACGTTATCCCAAAACGTTGTGATAAACCGTGCTTTGCTGGCTTCATTACCGTCTACTGCATAATTTTCACCAAACATAAATGAGCAACAAGTGATTGTTTTCGTCGAGCTATGTCTGAATCTTGATTCGTTTCTATTAAACAAGCATCATGAACAACTTTCAAGGCGCCTGAAGAGGCGCAGACCATCTTCTGCTTTGATGCTACAGAGGGGTACCGTAGAGTGCAATCAAAATACGCGCTACGGTCGCCACAGCAAGGTGAGTAATAATAAAGTGGCGGGTGATTATCACGGAAGCGTTAGAAGATCCTCGCTTAGGAAATCGTGCCATAGGAACCAATGGAACGTTCGTGTAGCAAAGACAACGACAATCTTCGGACATTGGTTGGGTCTCTCGTTTATTTCAGAAACTGTTGCTTATAGTAGATGTTTCCTTAGTTACCTACAGCCACCCAGTACCTTTTAAATCTTTGGCTGGAAAAGTGCTACCGAATCATACATTCTTCATTTATTTATTATTGTTGGAGAAAGAAGGTCTCAGTCTTCAGCGTCAGGCTCAGTACCTACAGCCCATTCACTCATTAAACAATGTACTACGATTTTCATAAGGGTGCTGTGACGCTAATCGATTTTGAAATGGAATTTGGAGGGCACCAAGTGATGGCCAAAGGAGAAAACGAAATGGGTTGATGCAGAGGAAACGACATCTCACTGTGATTGTAGAGTTCATGCGGTCGGCTTCGACAATGATATTTTCCATAGTAAGCCTTCCGCCTCGCCTTCACCCTACAACCACTCTTCGCCCACGCAAGACAACAGGACTTCTCCACCACCAACCTCTGCTTCCACATCAAGAGACATCAATATCAGAGCAGTCGTACCGTGGATGTTCAACGAATCAAACGTGCCTGAACTGTTTCACATATTCCAACAGAAAGTAGCGGCATTGTCAGGAGCAAACTTACTCTAAATTGAAACATCCATCCACGAGATCCTCGCTTCAACACATATATTCTTGTTACTGTATCCTCTACCAGCATGGTGAAACGAACGATCGACGTTTTCCAAGGAAATGTTACATGACATTCATCAAAGATTTGTACAAACAGCGATGGACCAAACGTAGACATTTTACAGGGGGAACCTGCACGAAAGTTGCCCGTATTGTCGGTTCAGCTGAGCAGAAGGTTCGATCTGAAGATGACGCAACTGCTCTATTACCATAGCTCTGTATCGACTTGGGTGAACACGCTTCCTCAATGATTCCTTGGGGTCGTCAAAGGCGCTGAATGAACTGCCTCTGCAGATATTCTCCTCCTCAGATCAAGACATCATTGTGAATAAAACAATTCTATTTTCTTTCTCGTTGACACCTTGGAGTTTTTCACTTTAATACTAAGGGATATAAAAGAAATGCGTGAAATAACTAATATTTCATGTGCCAAACGTTTTCCTTTTCATGCGCAAGAAACAGGTGAATTAAAAGTATGCTCAGTGAAAGCGTTCACCAATCAACAACATAAAGAGAGCTTTTTGTGTTCATTTCTTTGTCAAGAAAAGAATAAATTTACACATTTCAGAACGTGTGCCAACATGTCTTTGGGTAAAAGGATCAATCACTTGTGGACAAAGGGTGGCAAAGGTTCGTTAAAAAAAAGTGTATAGACAAGGATGGAGGCAGTAGCAGATGTGTATGAAATTTATGCGTGATGGTAAGTGTGAATTTTTGATGGCGCGAATGAATTGAGTGTTATGTCGGATGGATGAGGTATGGATTTTCAGAGGGTGGTGGTTGGACATAAGTAAGGGTGATAAAGGAGTGTATGATAGGATTTTACCAATCTTTACAAAGATGATCAGTAAGTCCAAACCCGAGACCATCCTTCATTTTGGATGCTTCGCTTTTACTGCTGCTTTCACTGATGCTGATATTTCTCTCTTCTTCTTCTACCACCGTCTCCATCGTAGCAGCCGCTTGTGCGAGGTTCGTCATGCTATTCATGCGCCGCGGTCGTAATTCAGGATCATAGATAGATCGTTCGCGGACACTCAAGAGATGGACTTCATTGCCTCGGGACAAGACTAAACTGCTGCTGTCAGACTGAGTACATGGCAATCCTTCGTTTTCAAGTTCTGTCATTCTAAAGACGAGCGAGTCATCGTCATCAAGAAAGCTTTTCCTTCTTGGTGCATGTGTTGTTCCTATTCTTCGATAGAGCTCATCACTGTGAAACTCTATTTTTCCTTTTGCCACATGACCCAACCCACGTAAGCTGCTGGTATCAAAGGTATAGCCCTTCTGCTGGTGCTTTTCAGTCCATAGCCCTTCATCTTCGGCTACTTTGAATGATCCATGCCTGCTGCCCCACGGTAGTTCTCTGTTTTCCGAACCATCCAACTGAGACGAGGCTACTTGGGAATCGAGACTATCCTGGCATGAAGTTGAGCATGCTACGGTGTCTGTATCGAGCGGCACATGATGCAGTGAACGTGGTGTGGATATCATGGGTAGCGGAACCGGATGCTTAGTATGCAGTGGTGAAGGCACTGCAGGTGCGTAGGAACGACCCATCGACGAAGATGATGAGGAACCTAGAGAAGTGCCCGTATTGAGAGCCTCAGCAGTCGTAGTGGTAGATGTGGTAATACTGTAGGCCATTGACTCGGACAGCGACGTGTGAGTATCTTTCAAAGATTGATAGTAGGACAACGCTTTCTATCAAAACCATGGATACTCAATATTTGCCCAACGTTCCTAGTGAGTGACCATCATGTTTGTACCTTTGAGCGATAAATAGATCCCATGTCGGCGTTATCTGCGTATAATTGACTGTTGTTGACTTGGAGCGACGACGGAGAATAATCACCATCATTCAAGGTACACTGCTTTTCAAATAATTTCGCATGTTCGTCTGAATGAACGAGACGCATAAATTCCTCCAAGCTTGCATCAATGGCATCGTTCTGTCAATGTCCAACGTATATCAGTCATCGATGCTTTTAGACGGCCTCCTTTTTCCATCAGTAACGGTAGCTTACCTGGACAAAGGAACCATGATCATCATTGACTGACCATTGTCGGGTCATATTCAGCTGAGAACTACTTTCCCTGCGGTGTGGACTGGATCGCTCTTTGTATTTTTCAAAACTCGAAGAAAACTTGGGTTTTCTTGATAGAAAGGAATTCCCCATATCTTCGGAAGACGATGAACGTAGCTTATCGTCCGAGGGTGCACACGATCGCCCATTGAGAACTAGTTATACCAAAATATTCAATCATGCATTCAATCAGGACCTTTTCAGGTGTGTGGCGACTTACACATGGTTTCTGCCTGAGGAGAAGAGGATAGAGAAGGCGACTTGAATGGCGAAATCAGGGGGATGTTCCCACGCTTGGACAGGGTATTGGTCGACAACGAGGGGGCTATGTCACTAGCAACCAAAGGTGATTGTCTCCATGACGAGAATGCGGTATCACGCAAGCTAGAAGCGCGACGCGGTGCATGAGATGATGTCTGCAATTGATTTTCCGCAGTAGATCGTGTGTCCACCGTCAGCTTGGATGCTGGGGAAACAGACGGTGCTTGGGCTGCCTAATGGGATTAGGTGAGACACTGTTCTATTCATGGTAGGTCGCTGGATCCATGGACAAGTAGTACCATCAATGTTGATGAAGCATCGGTTTTCAACGCACAGTTATATTCTTTTCTTCCTTCTTCGCGGTATTTTGCCATGGTTGGTGTGAAGAAATGCTCGTCCATGTCAATGAATTGTGTGCTCGTTTGTGTCTCGTGTACGTCTAACTGAATATCGCAGCTGGTCCTGTATCGCACGTCTAGTTGAAACACTCTAAAAAAACAATGAAGGCCGAATATCTGAAGAGAGTAAAGTGTTTGTTCATCACTTACCCTAGTGGCGTAACAACTTTTGAGAGTTGATATAACTTGGTCGATGGCTGCGCGCCACCCTGCATATTTTCCGTATGGTTGAAGCTTACGTTGTGGTAGTCACTTTGCCTTGATGCTGCAGAGATCTGATACGCAACGAATAGTTCATTATATTGGGCATCCAATAATTGACGAACTAATCTGTGGCCTGGAAGTAGACGCACCAAAGAATACAGAGAACGGAAAAAGATAATGGATTTCTTATAGACATTGGGCAAATCCACGCATCCATCGGCTGACACATCTTTTCTACCAAAGTCTATCGCGTAAGCATTGAATATAGCCTTACCAACTATTTACCAGCACTTACTCCAAGGTCAAAGTCCACTGTTCAAGCAATACAGAGTGTTGCGAAGACAAGGGGATACGGGTAGGGCCATCGACCATACAACCCGATGTGTCGATCAGCTGTGATGTGTCGAGATAAATATCAATTTTCATTGGTGGAAAAATGGGACCTGAGAAATGGAGTTTACTGGCTCTCCAGTGACTCAAATCGTCACGCAGGGTTTCCATCTCATCCATTGCCATATTGAACTAGAGCAAGTGCTGGATTAGTCCTGTTAACAAGTGTGATCCAATAACAGAATAAATCAGTAAATGACCCCGGGTTTCAGCTTACCCATTTGTTCACACGCCTATTGCCGGTTTTTCGCATGTCATCATGTATCCTTGCTTGGATTACGATATGGGCAGTTTTTGTGAAGAAGTTCTATAGTCGAGAGAGCATTACTACCTCTGCCATGGTTCCGGTATTTTCTCCTGAACATTTTCACTGCGGAGTGAAACTCCGCCTTGTCTCCGCAGGTGCTCACCTGGATAATTTGATCGAGCTTACTATTGCGATTATTCGTCGTCAGGGACGATGAGGAAGTTGATCTTGATAAGCTGGGAGACGGTCTTGCTGAAGGAGTATGATTATGCGTCATGTTGGCGGTAGATGATGAACTACTGACATGCTGAGGGGAGGCTGCATGTCGGAATGGTTGACGGGCATCCGAGGAGGTGGAGGAAGAGGAGGGCGGCGGTGAACGACGAGATGGTCGATGTTGAGCAGAACGAGAAGGAGATGGTAGAATGGATGGTGACAGATTTCTTTCAGTGGAAGCGGATGCAGACTTGGACTTTATAGGGGAAGAGCGAGAAGCAAAAGGTAGCATCGACTTCTTCTTATACCCTATATAAAATGGCAAGAGAGAAAAAAAGAAAGAAGAAAAAGAAAAAGCTCGTATAACAAACAGGGCAACGAGGTTGCCTGGTTAAAGGGAAGCCCAATAAATTATTATATCAACTTCTGTGAATAATGCTTGAGAAACAAAATAAATGTTCTCAAAATGTGCTTCTTCACCAGAAAAAGAAGCACAAGAGTTGGCAAGAGAAAGAGGAAAAGAAAGAGAGAGAGATGAAGAAGGACAAGATACAGAAAAATTTAAAGACGGAGCCCAGTGTAGCGCCATGCATTCTTCTGTGTTTCTGTTTTTGCCCTGGTGTGCATGGTTCATCTGCCTGCTTTTTTTTGCCCTTTTTCTCTCCATGGATTGTATGAAATCATGACGCGTGACTGGTCAACGTATGATGCCAAGCGTGGTGAAGCTAATTTGGCAGTCCTCTTTTTTCTTTTTGAACAAACAACGACAGCTTGATGCAGTCTTTTTTCTTTTGGCGTCATGATATCCGCAATGTAAAAAGGAAGAAGGGCTATTTTTATTTTCTTGTTCTTTCTTTTTTTATATACTTTTCCTTTGGATAAAAGAAAATGCATGTACGGTGCAAAATGATATCGGGTGACATTGAAGGAAACGATGATATTTGTCGGGGATCAATAAGAAGATGAATCAGGAACCAGAAAAAAACCGCAAAAGCGAACTGTAAAAAGTGTATAAAAAAAAGGAATCATCCACCACAAGACCACCATAAAGGAAATGTGACATGAGAAAAAAAATGGAAACAAAAAAGAAGGCAAGAAAAAAAAATGAACTCCTTCACCAAAATAGAAGCAAAAAGGGTAGGATGGGAATTACAAAGGGGGGCGCGGCTTTTTTGTTTTTTTTTTCTTTTACTCGACGGTGACCGACTTGGCAAGGTTTCTTGGGAAGTCAACATCAATGTTACCCAACACGGCCAAATAGTAAGACAACAACTGGAGAGGAATGATGTTGATCAATCCCTGAAGACAGTCAGCAGTCTGAGGCACTTGAATGGTCTTGTAATCCCTGATCAAGTTATCGTCACCGGTGTTACAGATAATGATAGGTTGACCCTTGCGGGCTGTCACCTGTTGCAAGGCACTTTGCACTTTCTATTTTACCAATAAAGGTATTAGTATGACAACAATTTTAAACAGGTGTCGCCATCGTTACTTACAGGATACAGGGAATCCTTGGTCATGATCAAAATGACAGGCATGTTTTCGTCAATCAAGGCCAAAGGACCGTGCTTCAGTTCACCGGCCAAGATACCTTCACTGTGCATGTAAGAGATTTCCTTGATCTTGAGAGCACCTTCCAAGCAAGTGGCATTCTGATAACCACGACCCATCAAAAGCAAACTCTTTTCCTTGGACAAAGTCTCCTCGGCCAATTTTTGGAGGTTAGCATCTTGGGCAAGCACTTCCTTGACGTGACCAGGAAGACGGTACAGGCCGTCAATGATTTCCTCACGGCGCTTGGTGGTGGACAAACGATCCTCGGAAAGCTGAATAGCCATCATCACCAAGGCAATGTATTGCGATGTGTAAGCTTTGGTGCTAGCAACACCGATTTCAGGACCAGCGTTGATGTGGACGCCACAGTGGGTTTCACGGGAAATGGAACTGCCGACGGTGTTGGTAATGCCGACACACACAGCACCGCGTTCCAAACAATAGCGCATCGCCATAATGGTATCGGCCGTTTCACCTGACTGAGAAACAAACACACAGACATCATCACGGAAAATAGGAGTACGGCGGTCCAAGAAATCAGAAGCGAGATCAACCTGGCTGGGAATTTCGGTCAACTCCTCGAAAATGGCACGAGTCTATTTTCAACCCATTTGAGAAAAAAAAAAGGGGGAGGGGCCAGTCTTGTTAGTTCAACGGGTTTCTGAATGGGGAACGGAGTTTTTCACAAAAAAAAGTTCACTTACAGCCAAACAACTGTGGAATGAGGTACCACAGGCAATGAAAACGATACGTCGGGCACGGCGGATGATGGAAAGGTAACCACGCAATCCACCCAAGGTCACTTTGTGGGTTTCGAAGTTGACACGACCACGCATGGTGTTGACAACGGATTCGGGCTGTTCGTAGATTTCCTTTTGCATGAAATGATCAAAAGAGCCCTTCATGATTTCGGCCAATTCAATTTCCAAGGTCTGGATGGAACGGGTGGCAGGGGAGTTGCCATCATCGCGTCGAAGACGATGAATGTGGAGTTCTAATCCAATACGTAATTAAATCGCTGTTTCAAAAAATAACACTTCAACCCCGGGGATGAAAAAGCCATCAAAGGGCATAGAAAAACCCCCATGGAAAAGGGGCGGATCGCAGGTCGTAGAATACCGAAAAATCAAAAGAAAAAAAATCAAGAGGCGAATGAACTTACCACCATCGGCAATGTGGGCAATATCGTCATCTTCCAAGTAGAGAACACGCTTGGTGTGTTCGACAATGGCAGAAGCATCCGAAGCAAGGAAAAATTCAATGGGTTGAGGCATACCATCTTCGCTCATGAAAGCACGAGAAAGGCTGCGGTTCATCTGGGGACGGCCACCTTCCGTAGGGTCCATGAAGCCAGTAGGATCCTTGTCGGGAACTGAAAGTCAGGGGCAAACGACGGATAAAAAAAGGTTCATACAGGAGAGAATAACAAAAGAAGAGCCAATGAGAATCGTGATTTTTTTTGGATAGGCATAGGGCGTTTTATACTTCACCGCCACTTTAACACTTACTGTTAATAGCATCAGGTGCATTGCCGAACTCGACATCGACAAAGTCGACCTTCAACTTCTTGGCAGTCTTGACACCGATCAAGAGAGGCGAACCACGGCGAGTGGCTACGATTTCATTGGGGAAGTGGGTGCTCTTGAAAATGAAAGCAAAGCTACCCTCCTAAAAGTGCAAATGATAAAATACAAAAAAGCGTGAGAATTTGCCCTTCAATCAAGAATTCAATCCCCAAAGTGATCTTTTTTTCAAGGGAACCGATCCACGTACCAACTCCTTTACGACCATCTTGACCAAATCGGTGAAAGTGATATCTGAGTTCTTCTGAGAATCATACAAGTACTTTGTAAGTTTGGCAACACACTCGGTATCAGTTTCGGTTTCAAAGGAGAAGCCCTTCTTCTCAAGCAACGTCTTGATTTCCTTGTAGTTGGTAATGATACCATTGTGGACAAGGGTGAATTCATTGTGGTTATCCGAACGATGAGGATGGCTGTTGAGTTGTGAAGGTTGACCATGGGTAGCCCAACGTGTGTGTGCCTAGCGTATAACATCTTCTTGGTTATTCTTTTCCGTTTTCTTGCCTCAATGCCCCACACCATCACCATCATCATAACAATCCGAACCCGACGCATTTGTGTTTTCCCTTCTTTGCGTATTTGTTTTCTTTGTTTGCCTGCGCCTTTTTTGGGGGGCGAGAGAAAATTTCTACCACCGTAGGGTATCTTTGGCAAAAGAAAAGTAACTTACCATGCCGCAGTGGCTAATGTATGACTTTTCAAAGTCAATTTCTTGGGTGTCGACCAACTTCTTCAAAGCAGCGACTTTGCCGACCTGCTTGAAGATGAAGGTTTGATCCTCGGTGTCACCATCCACAGCCAAACCTAGGTAGAGGTAACGACGATGAGCTTACGCGGTCCCATGGTTCAGAAAGAGAGGTTGCTTACCGGCTGAGTCGTATCCTCTGTATTCTAAGCGGGAGAGACCTTTGATCAGAGTGTCGAGGACAAAGCGTCTGTCTCTTTCGACGAGGAAGTTGAGATAACTAGAGTGGAAAAGTAGACAACAGTGGTGAGCGACGACACAAAAAAAATCAAAAGAACGCGCCGACGGGGGAATCGTTATGGAAAGCTTACCCGAAAATACCGCACATGTTACTATATAGATGATGATAGAGGACAAAGGAGAAGAGCAAAACGAGAGTCAACGTTTGGATGCTTTTATAGATGATTGCGCATGCACGTCAACAAATATAGCGTCGTTTTTCCGCGGCGTGCGTTCCGCGGGACATAGGTGCCAAAGGAGCAGCAACCGTTCCGCGGGACAAAAATAGATTGGCTGAGAACGATTTTCAGCCAATCAAACCGATTATATTTTCAGCCATGTTTATTTTTTGAACAACAAGAAAAAAACCAGCGAGGAACCAAAATCACTTCATCCCAGGAGTGTGCCACATTGCATGATAGAATGCACGTTCTTTTTCGTGTAGCATCCAAATAATAACTGGAATATACAAATGTAATTTATCGGACTTTGGATCTCACAAACACACCTGTGAGCCAGCGCATTTTTCTTGTTTGGGTAGCTGCGTGTCTTCCAGGCCATCGATAACAATAATTTATCTTTCATTTCACAGTACGCTCCTGTCGAATTCGCTGACATGGCTCGGACGTCGGTTTACCATATCCGGGAAATCTACAATAATGGTTTCACATGGCGCTGCCGTCGGGAATTGGTCAAAACAGGCTTCGACCTTTCAACTGATATATCGATCTGAAGGCACAAAAGATCGTGTTTCTGACATTTTTATCTCATTCCATTTTCAGCAACATGGTGGCACATCGATCGCGCCATGGCTGAGTACCCATCAGCCAGAATGCTTCATTTATTGCAAGAACCATAAAACACGTTATTCTATATTTATCTGCTTTCTATAGATATCATCATACGCATCATCGGGTTTCATTTCGGAATGAACTTCATTGACTTTGATAAAACCAACGTGTCTTGCGAAAAAAGTAGGGATGAGTCCTCCGGGTTGAAAAATTCACAATTTTTTTTTGAGGTGACGTCATTTTTCTTTTCGGCTTTGGGCGATGTCATTTTAGTGAGACTGCTCTTTTGAATCGGCAGAGCAGCTGTAAACATGATGGATTAAGATATTAGCTTATCGCTCCTGATCTTTGTCAATTCGAACACTATGGATTTCTCTCGCTTTAATCAGGCAGAACAAGCGCAAATTGCCGCTATGATTGAGCACAAGCAGGTAAAAACTATTGGATCGTGTGCGCTGGTAGCATCGATTTAACTGACAATATACTATTTTTGTTTTTTGTTTTTGTTTTTTGTTATAATAGATGAAGGATTTCCTTCGTTTGTACAGCAGTCTCGTTCAACGCTGCTTTGACGATTGTGCCAATGACTTTACCACTAAATCCATCACTGGCAAAGAGGTATATTGATTGTGAAGTGAAACAAGCCAGGTTTTAGTGCGGTTGTTAACGATTATGGCGGTGACATTTTTAGGAAGCATGCGTGAACAAATGTGCCGACAAGTTCTTGAAGCATTCGGAACGCGTGGGTGCCCGCTTTGCTGAGCTCAGCCAAACCGTAAGTTTATCCTGATAGGGTGAGTCACGAAACGAAGATTCTGATTTTTTTTTCTTATATTTTAGATGACACCTCCTGGTTCGCAATAAGCGAATTATCACTGCGGAACAAAATCCAAGCAAACCACCCCAACAAAAACGTATAAATTCCACTTTGTTTAGACGCTTAGAATATGTTTACCAAAAAAAAAATCTGACCATGATGCCCCAAGATTTCAATCAGTTTATACGTTTTCTTTATGAGCGATGAAATATGCAGAACAACATCGGGTATCGAATCGAATCGAATCGAATCGTATCATGACATGGGACTGGGTGATGAATGGGAAAATGAGGAAGCATTATCGGAAGAAAACAATTTGCAAGAGAAAAATTGCACTGAGCAGAAGGCAACGCGCCGGGCGGTGATGATGCGACAATCATAACAAAGTCAAGAGCTTTTCTCGCTGTGCATAAGTTTGCGGAAAAAAAAGAGTAGATGGAGGGATTCCATGGCGGACGTTGGTTTAGGATGGCGTGTCTGTCATAGGAAATCATGCGTGAGAACGAATAATATGCATGGATGCATGATTTATTTCTTTCAATACATTACCGACAGAAGACGGATCTTTGGCCGAGGGAGAAAGTGGCCTCCGGCATGTGGGACAGGTGGGTTTAGAAACGTGATGCTGGATCCAGGAATGGAGACAGTGCCTACAATAACGCATGTAATATGTGAGTCTTCCATTAAAGCGTAAAGCAGCTGATTGTAAATGTTTATGTTTACAGGTGGAAGAGATGTCCGCAGGCTAATTTTTTCGCCGTTTTCATCTTCTCTCGACAAATAGCACAATCATCGTTGTGCAACGAAAGCTCGGCAGGCGTCGCATTGACGTATCTAAAATTTATGAATGATTTGTTTGAATTACATGGAGACAGGCGATACTGCTGAGCCTGTGAAGGGGAGCCTTTTTACCTGTCTCGAACGTAGGACATGGCTCGCCATCGTTCGCGATGAATCAGCACTTTGTTATGCAGGTTTTTTAGTACGCTTCTCACGTTGAGGAATAATACAAAGTCCACGAGACCAAACGATACACCATGCATCCACTACATAAAAATATTTGAGAGGTTTTGGTTAAAACTTTGCGGTCTATCCATGCCAAAATTGGATTGCATTTTTCATTGCTGGCTTTTTTTTTTTTTTTTTTTTTTACCATGAGTTGCAAATACTGCATTAAAGTGCATGCTAATATAAGGACATCGGCCCCCAATTCGGTGTAATAGTTGACGAGGCATTTGTTTTCAAACCCGTTTTCTTGCCATTGATCCAGTAGATGTGAAAGGTATTTAGTCATGACATGAATGGTATCGAGTATGACCGGTAAAAACTAACAAACAAAAAGAAATTCACAATGAATAGGGGTGACGCGAGTAACATTTTAATATCAGGCAGCGCAAGTTACCTCGAGGGTCAAGAAGGTCAGTGAGGCGGGGAATAGAAGCGCACTTCCAATGTACCAGAGTACATCCCCAAGCAAGATAAAGCACAGTAAAAGTGTGATTTTGTAGTATTGCTTTGGCGGAGTATAAGCAATGGTGGCCAACTAAAGGAAGCTTGGGGTAAGTTTTTCTTATGCAGACAAGATTTCTCGCAAATACGCTGTAGGAAGGCTTCCGCTCCAAAGATGGAAAGCGCCCTGGTATTCAGCTCACATTATCAAAGCGATCTCGGCTCAGTAAACAAAAGATGCGCAGGAATCCAAGCACGCCAATCCATATCGATAATCGCAAGATGTGTCTCCAAATAGGATCCATGACCGCACCAATAAAAATGACTTTGAACAGAAGGAAATTCAGCATTCGATCGTACATATGCTACGAGCAGCAAGAAGGTCATTGTCTTATCACACGACAACTTCCTGAAGTCTTCCCTTCCCTTTTTTCCTTGTCTTTTCACCTACCTGACTCTCCATAGGCCACAGCTCCCCAAAAAACACTTTGATAATAATAGAACCCATTACAATAGCACAACATATCGCCATATTCGTGTGGAACTATACATAGACCTCCACATATTAGTACAAAGCAACGGGTGTGTTTCTATTGTTTTCGGCCTTTCCGGTCACGGATTACCAATAAGCTGATCTTTTGTGACTCGACATAGTTAAAGTAGGTGGCAATATAACCGTTACATGCAGGCGCCGGCATCTGACGATGAAATCGGAAGGGGAATGGAGCACCTTCTCGCAGTAAGCGTAACGTGCTGTCGATGGGTTCCACATCATAAGCGGCGTAGCATTCCGAGACGCTTTTGTATAACTCTGATTCGACAAATAAGCGTAGAGAAATAACGAATGCTACTGTGAATGTGAGCGTCGAGGTTAGTGCATAGGTTGCTATATCAAAGCGCATAAAGGTAAAGCCAAATAAAATATAAATAAAAAGGTGAAAAAGGGTAAAGCAAAGATAACCAAAAGAACGACGTAAGATTGAAAAGATTCACGCTGTTTTCTTGGCTGATGAAAAATTTAGCCGTCCAAAAGGCAGGGAGTGAGTCTCTCTACCTCCAACGATATCTCATCCCAGCGTCTATTCTTGTACCTTGTATAAAGCCATACACAAAACATATAACCTCTGTAATTGTTGCCTTTGTTATACTGGGAAAACAAGAGTTTATCGCAGAGGCAAGAGGCAGTTTAGCAGCAACGGCTCATAAACATGAAACAACGACCTTGCATTATTCGCACTTGCCGTTGATTGGTCAATTTAATCTGCATAGTTTTCTTTTTGTTTTTTCTTGGGGGGTTTATTGATTCGCTGGTAAATTCCCTCTCATCTGGCAATTGTCTGCCAGAATCCATAACCGATAAAAAACTATGACAGATAGAACATCATCTATAAATATATAAACAAGTCCTTCAATTGCGTTGCCGCAAATTTCACTGCTTCTTTTTTGATAGTTGTCTCAAAAACCTCTCTCCTGGTCACATGCACCTTTTTTTTTTGTTTTTTACAAAGAAACGATAAACACTGTACACGTCTCAGTGCGAATGAATTGTATGTATGTGTGACAGGTTTGTATGCAATTATATATTATGAAGAAAAAGAAATTATGAAGTGAGTCTAGGTCACGAAACAAATGCCTCTGTACAAATAGAAACTAAAGCAAAACAATTAAAAATGGGTCTAGGAGTAAGGTATTCAGTGGGTGATTAAAAAAAGAGTTACAGGTTCGCTCCAGTGTGTGTAGTTTGTGCTGTTTTACGACGTTGAAAGGTGTTGTTTCCTTGCGCGGATGCGTAGTTGAAGTGAACGATCGAAAACAGGCCGTTTACTGCTCTTTCGAGGCCTTAAAAGCCTGTTTGTTTGGATTGATCGTAAAGACGATGGCGGGTGACGCGCTGGCGGTGCGTCGGCATCACTTTCATGGGTGTCCTCTATTGTCGGTGCTACTTCGAAAATGGAACTGTGGTTGCTCAGTGATCGGTCATCATAATCCATCTCCGTTTCCTCGACACTGCTTTGATCATCGCTTTGGATTGAATGCAGCATTCTTTGGGCGCGCAACGATACGGAATCGGAATGAATCGATTGTGTTTCAGCCTGATCATTGTCTGATCGTTGATATCGATTGCGTTCACTGCGGCGTCTGGCTTTTCCTTGAAGGTTGCCCATACGCAGCTTTTCCATTAATCGATCCATGATCTCTTTTTCTTCTTCACCGTCGGCATCTAAAATGAGAAGAATACCCGTAAATGGATCTATCCAGATTCACTGCTTTGAAGGTCCTATGGAGCAAAACTTACAGTTGCTGATGTCAACTCCGATGGCTTTGGTCGCGCCAGAACGCGTTCGTGTACGTCGCTCATATTCGCGCTGTTTTTGCAGTTCGAGGCGTTGGTGCTTTTGCTTTATCACTCGGAGATCCATGGAGCATTTCTGTCCAAAACGAAGAAAACTGATTAGTAAAGGATGAGTCAGTCTAAAAAAACGGACATTCTTATTTACCTCCCAGCTTGTGGTAAACTGTTTGAAAATATCAAAGAATTCATCGGGTTGCATCTTATTCGGATCTTCACCGTAGAATTTCACGACTTCATTGTACTTGGCCACCGTTCGATCTTGCAGGTCATACAATCCTGCAAACTCGGTGGATGCTTCTATATGAAACCGCCTTAGCGTTCGCGCAAAGGTATCTGCTGAAGCGTCTTCATCGCTAGTCGAAGCGTCTGGATAATGGGTAGAAAGTTCGTCATCAAGTTTCACAAGGCTCGTGCGAAGATCGTGGAATTCGTTCATCATTTCTGCTTTGGACACTATTTATAAAACGTAACTGCTTGAGCGCCATAATCTTAATATAGTGTCAACAGTCATTTGTCCTCCCACCTTGATATGCTTCTCCACAACTTTTTAGTTCATCCAAGAAACTGAGGACATCGGGGAAGTTCTTTTCAACCGTGTCTGCCAAGAAATGCAAAAACGTCGTTGTATTGCCGGCTCCTTTGGTATCAATAAGCTATGGTGGGGTATGATTAAATCCGCTTCGTTGTACCATTCATGCAAATATAATTACCTTGTTGATGCTGGCAATTTTGACACCAAATGCTCCTCCTCGATAGGTATTGCCATTCAAGAAATTTCCCAGAACCAGAATAAGCTAAAAAGACGTGGAGCTTTAGATCCAGCTCATGGCATTTAGCAAAACGGAACATCCCGATGACTTGCCTGTAAAAGCTCCCTGAATTTTTTAGCATTTAAAAGTGATTCAGACGCATCCACGACCGAAGTCATTTGCTATAAAGTGGTTAGTTTCATTCTATAAAATTTATGGGGTGACGGGTGGTAATTTTTACCTTTTGCAGATGGCGATATCGTTCCCAAAACGTTGATCTGAATAGCATGCATTCGATACGTTCTTTGAATCTTGGAATATTCATCATCTAAACAAGTCGGATGAACAAAAAAAAACAATTGGGATTGCTTTTTCCTTTGATATTGTTGATGCTTCCTACCTGCACAGAGAACTGATCGGGGAGCGACAATTTCTGCAATTCTGTATCGGATGCCTTGGTAAAGGAAGCTAATTTTTCAATCTCCTTCGAAGTAGGCATAAATTTTAGAAGGTTGGAAAGCAATTGCTCATCATCAAAGTAGGGATCCATGGACAGCAGACGCGACGGAATATCGTCAAATGGAATCTTCTTGGTGATACTTGTCAAGAAAATATCTAAGAATTTGAGCCTGTTTAGATATATTGCTAGCTTTGTTCGTTTTAGCGCTTCAATCGGTTCCTTACTGAGATTATACGCTTTTTTCGCGTCAATGATGTAGACTTGTTCTGGTTTCTTGCGCATTTTGAGCTGCACCGCTGGTTTTTGGGCAAATTTTTCTTCAATATCGTCAAACACACCGGCTTTGGCAAGTTTATACTCGATGGAACGTTCAAATGGATCCTCTTCAGCCGTATTCTGCGCATCAGTTTCCTTGTCTCGATCCAAGTGATTCCAGACGGTTTGCCCGATATTGACAAGATTCATTTTCTCCCATTCTATGAACTTCAGCTTTTGCTTGGCTTGAAATGCACTTGTCTTGCGACTGGCCATACCAAACATCATTGGCGGCGTTGGAGCTATTGGTGTTGTTGTCATTGGCGAAAGTGTCTCGGGCAAAGTTGAACCGGATAAGGATGCTGAAGGTGGGGGAGGCGGAGGGGGAGGCGGAGGCGGTCCTGCAGAGGATGCGAGATTGTTCATTGCACCATTTAATGGAGGAGGCGGCGGCGGGGGTGGAGGAGGAGGCGCTATTGCAACATTATTTGGACCCGACGCTGGTGGTGGTGGAGGAGGAGGCGGTGGGGGTGGTGCTTGACCTCCCACTGAAGGAGGAATCGGCGGTGGTGGAGGAGGTGGAGGTGGAGGTGGAGGTGGAGGTGGAGGCGGTGGTGGAGCCAAGGCATCCGATGAAGATGGTGTTGGTAAAGAGGATAATTGGGGATTGGTGGTCGGTGTGGGTAATAATTCAGGGCTATCGCTAAGGGTATGAGGCGCAGCGTCGTCGTCGTTGTCATCTGCGACGGTTGGAGCTGGCTCGGTTGATAAAGGATGCATGCTAAGCTCAGAGGAAATACGTGGTATCGAGTGGTCGTCCGTATTTCTTTTAACGCCGCTACGGGAAGTACTGCTACTACTGCTTGTACTGGGGATGCGAGTGAGATCATTCTTGTCCTTCTTGTGTTGTGATGCTGTGCGTTTGACCAAGCTTCCCATCCTTGATCCCAGCTTGGTCCGGAGCGACTGCTTGAACGTTTCAGATAATCCTGCCGCTTGCTGAGCAACAAAAATCGGTTCGGAAAGTGACTCTGACTGTAAACACCAAAATAAGAACATACTGCTTTTTACCGCATTGAACGTTACATTATGCAACTTACAGACAGTGTTTGTTTTTGCGAATCGTAATTGACGTTTTGCATATTCCACATTTTAATGTCGGTGTCAGGTTTGCCTTTGGTTGGCCACGGAGATCGATCGGCTTCCGTTAGTTGACGGACAATGGAATAAAGCCTCTTGATCTGGGAATTCATCGTTTCCAACGTGTGTTGATGTTCCATTTCGAGATCCTCCAACCTTTGCTGAAGCACCGCGTTGGTTTGATTGGCCACGCGAATGTTATGTTCCAATGCCTCGTTCCTCACACGCAATTCGCCAACCAAGCCATCTGATGAGACGTGCATTTCAGTACGCTACCGTCAGCCATAAGAGTCCGATCATCAGCGTATTTACCTGCTTTTCGATCTATTTGAAGCCGCAATTGCGCTTCACGTTCCATGGCCACCGTCGCCATTTCTTTGGCATGTTCGGCCTCCTTGAGCGCTTGCTCCAACTCGTCTCCTTCAGCAAACTTGGCAATCAAATTACCAACACTGATGCCATACATGCTGGTAAAATCGTTGGGCACCCCTTTACGATCCAACACAATTTGTGTGATGAGTGAATCAATCAGCTGATAATACCGCGTTCTATACAACAACCTGTGTATCAGTTTGATCCCTATTTTCTTCAGGAACCCACACGACCATACCTTGTTTCTGGATCATGTTGGATTAATAAAAGGTGTTGAAGAATGCTTTGGAGAAATTCATGGGCACGGGTCCCTTCCGTGGATGCGCGGACTTTGTCAAACAGTTCGTCTGGATCGTAAATGTCATTGAAAATCATGCTGCCATACATGGTGGAGGCATCGTTTTCTTCGAGTTCGTGAAACTCGTCGATTTTACGATTGATCAATTCGTTATTCAGTGCTTCCATCTTTTTCAGGACTTGCGCAAGTCCGCCTTGATAGAGCTGGTTTCGTAATGTGACACGCACTTCCTGATCTTCTACCGTATCTGGATCCACTAAGGCATTGATCAAGAGGAGATTGGCAAGCTTGTTGCGTAGTAAACGTCACAGATCAGTCTCATCGTTCAAATCATTCATTTAAAAGTTCTGTTCGCTTACCGCATATTCCATGATATGGGTGTCTGGGTTGCCTGTCATTCCCATTTGTTTCCAATCTTTGCTCGCTCCTACCAAAGATCCCATCTTGCCGCGACCATCCAGCACGGCTTGCAAAGAAGCAAGCCATGCATCAAAACGGCCATATTCGTGTCCTTGCTCCTTTAATAGATCCATGCCCCTTAACACCATTGAATGACCTGAAGGCTGTTCACAGTAACACATAAAAGTCAAAGTATCGCAAGCCAATCGACGCGCAGGCATAAACGGTGACAACAATGATAAGATCAGATTGTTGATACAATAATGCCCATTTAAAGCTTCTTGAATCCCGTACTAAGTAAGATGCAATGGATAGTTAAAATAATTTTTCCTTAGACAGATCGCGCAGTTTCTCTTGATCTACTTACGACGTTGTTAAACATGGATCTCAGGCACTTGATAATTTCAAGTTCAATCTGACATTGTTGCTGGTTTCTGCGAGAAAAAAAATCAGTCCGCAATTCGACTTGATGCCTTATTGACCGCCCTTTTGATCACTTACCTGTCTGAATTTTTGTTGATCAACCCCAATTCGTTTGCAATGACTTGCATGCCGCGCTCTTCAATAAATTGGCGTACCCAGCTAATCATGTCCGAAAATAAAGAAAAACATCGTTCGCTCAATTGCTCACCACACACTCTGTAGGAACCCATGTTTGAAACGCTTACCTGAGAGGCATGGTACGCAATCTTACGGCCAGGTCCGATACAAGTTTGAATGTTACCCCTCGTTTATCTGGTTTGAGGAAAGCGCGAATATAGTAGGATGGCATGAGTTTGGAGGTATCTAGCACATCGCTTGTAGATGATTTGCTTGAAGGCACGTTGCGTGTCACTGCTTTTTTACTGGCAATGGATCCCAGCTTCGTTAACTGACTTTCATTGCACAGAATCCACCATTTTTTATCCGCTGGCAAATCCCGTAAACTGGCATTGCCGAGATTCAGGTTCAGACGACCCTAATATCAACCATTTAAAACAAGGTTCCTGATCAAGTCTATAGGAACCGTAGTAGGTATTTCCAGAGACTTACGGCTACTTGTTGAAACAATCGTTCGATTTCCTGATCCGACGGACGATCATTGCTGCCATCAGTTCCTGGAAACGAGGGCCAACCACCCCCACTGCCTTCACTCGAAGCATAATCGCTTCCCATGGTATGAACAGAGTGAGCACTACGTACAGAAGCATTGACTATGATAATGGGTTAAGCGTCGTCTCTGTCTGCCTTTTTACACGGTTGTTTTTCTGGATTATCCTACCGTGATCCCATGACTGAATAGATGGGCTATTTGGACTGTGAGATTTGTCGTGTGTCCGCGGTGTCTTTGCGGTAGGACTTGCGTCATCGGTTGACGATCGCGTTGTTTGACTTGTTATACCGTTCGAGTCCTGTAGTTTCGTGCGCAACGGTGGTGGACGCAAAGGACCCACTTGAGGGGGGTGCTGTGGCGACGTGGACTCGTAAGCGACGGCTGTTGAGTGCGATACAGAGGACTTATGCTTGTTATGTGGTCGTGGTTTACTTTTTCGACGCTTGCCTCCAATGTTTGAGAAGAGATCCATGGCGGAGAAAACTAGGCTACTCTTCGCTGAATGGAGCTAGGCATGCACCAAGATTACGCGGGATGGGAGATGGAGTTCAAACCCGTATAGTACTCGTCAGGCGAAAAAGCCACACGTATAAATAGACCGTTCAGGTAAGGTGAGAATTATCACAATAGAAGGAAAAGGAAAAAAAAAAAAAAAGATTCGCCCACACACACGCACACACACACAATACACACGCAATTAAAACAGCATACAATGGCTTGAACTCAGCGCTTTCTTTTATCCAAAAAAGGCAACTGTTTTTGAATTATTGAATCCGGAATTTTTTGGTTGCTCTGTGCAAAAATAGAGGCATTGATCTTCAAAAAATCTTATCACGATCGTGGAATTTTCGATGCTCAATATGTTTCTTATCTGCCATAGCATCGATAAGTAAAAGTGGGTAGACTAAACGGCGATCATATACAGTAAGGATATAAATTTACGTAAACTATGCAACTAATCATATGGAAAAGGGTCCCTATTCTAATGCCTCGTGGCTTTCATATCATAGTTAGTAAAAAAAAGGGAAGCGGTCACTTGCCTGGTCAATTTGAAGCTGAACTTATTGAAATTGTCATCAACAACAATAGCCTGCTCTTGACCTTTTTTTTTCTGTTTTGCATTTACCAAGATAGAAAGGATTTTTAGGGCAGTGAAAATAATCGATTCAACCGAAGAAGAGATGGTGCAACATACATTTATTGATGCAGCAAAATACATGCAATAAGAAATTTTTTTTTTCTTGTTCAAAGTAATCTTCTATAAGAAATGTGGACAATATACAGGAAAAAAAGACATGAAAGAGAAATATTAAAGATCTGGCGAAAAATCATACAATGGAAACTACAAGAAGAAAAATCAGAAGATATACAGTATAGTACAGTGAGATGTTAACGTGAATCCGACCACCAAAGTGAGGATACCCAGTTTTTCATTTGATTAAGCAGCCCATGGTGGCGTTGGTGGCCCACGCGTTGCATCTCTGAAACACTGTGATAACTGGACGTTTGAGTAAGGGAGGGAGCATCAGCATCGATGGGAAATCGCTGACTCGTAGCTTCGCATTTCGCATTTACTGGGTGTCCAGGAGAACGAGGAGAATGAGGAGACGGAAGACCAGAGGAGGATGAGGATCTCGCGCTACGAGGGGATGGGCGAGATAAAGTGTCAAAGTAAGACGTTGGGCTGGAGGGATCCGTGGACACGTTGGCATGGTTTATTGGAGATGGAGGAGTGGTAACGGCGTTTGTTTGAGTATAGATTCCGGATGGCTGTCCACTGTAGACGCTCCATCTATCATCCTCTTCCTGACTGTTATGCTGATTAAAATCTTCGGGGCGGATCGGTGGCACTGTGTCATATATGCAAGCTTGCCCTTCCCATTGAATCGCTGTACCCGAAGGCCAGGGGGCGGCTGACGACGGTATCATTTCGTCCTCTTCGTCCGATGAACTGTCTTGATCACCATCCTCCCACGACGATTTTGAATCACGACGACGTTGCGCTTCGGCCCGCAAAACGTGCCCGGAGAGCGATGTTCTTCTTCGTGAAGATTTGCCTTTGGGCGTAGACATCATCGAAACGTCATCCTCTGGGTCTGTCTCGTGTTCAGAATGCGAACTACTCTTCAATCGCGCAGGAGCAATTTTCTTCATCGACGACTGGATGACCAGCGATTTTCCATCGTTCTCTTCCTCGTCTGAATCGCTGCTTGTGTCCTCCTCATACAGATTCGGCTGCATATTGTATCGCAATCGTGCAGAGGTTCGTCTTCTGTCGTCACCGTGATTGAGGGTGACTCGCTGTTCCACATACTGGTTGAACCGCAGTTTGGGTTGACGATGGGTGGCAATGACGGAAGGCGAAAAAGCCCCCAATTGCTTATTCGCTTCGGTAAGTGTATTCGGGTCGTTGAAAAGTGAATTGTATCGATCCGATGCAGGACCGGCCATATTGTCGCCGAGTTTACTGACTTGAAGCTCCGATGCCGATCGTCTGAGAATATCCGAAAGCGTCACTCTCTTTAGTGCCGATTTCAGTGGTGTTCGATGAAAGTTCGATTGTGCATTTTCAGATGTGTTTGTTTGTTCCACAGACGGTTCCACCTTGTCTTGTCGCTTCTCGGTTCGTTGACTATTTGTCATTAACCCCAAGGTATCCTCGGTGGTCGCTACCTTGGGTCTCGAATACCGGTCCTCTTTAATGACCGTATGCAATGGCCCATACAACCAGGTGACATCGCTGTCTTTTAACCTGGAAAAAGATACGGAAAATAAAAAGTATATACGGTAAAAAAAATAGTGGACGCATGATCAGAAAAAAATAGCTCGGAGCTGATGGTGCGATGAATTAACTGACTATTCTTACCAGTTCAGAGTCTCTGGACTGATGGTCTTCAGCTGATTTTTCTGTTTGGCCCACGTGCGCCAGGATGCGTTTTCAAGGCGAATACCGTTGGCGATATCGTTCTTTTGCCTTGTTAAAGCTCGCCACGATGCCGCTAAATCCATTTCGTCAAAATTGTAAGAAAGGTAATCAACGCAGAATGTTGGTGCTTGGACATGACGACTGCCCGACTTGAATTCGTCGTCGTCGACAACGGCGTTCTTTTTGGGTAACAACATGAGCCTGCTTCCTTTGCAATCTACAGACTCGAAGCAGCGAATTAACGTAACCGAAACAGAGACGGAGACGGAGACAGTGACAGTGACAGAGAGAGAAAGGAAAATAAAGGACACAATTGTCCTTGGAAAGAGTGAAAAGACAAAATTCCTAACAATGGAAAAAGAGCCCACAAATTCGGGTTCGCATTTGGCATAAAGATGTCCGACTCAATGGGACTGTTGTTTGTGACGGTTAATTCGGGGACGAGAGCGCTCTCGCCCAGATGAATGACCTCATTCCCTTTCCGTTGGTCTGTTTTTGGCTTTTTTCTTTTTTTTTTTTTTGTTTGCTATCATTAGATTAGAATGGTGATCTTGACACGTGCCTTAGTATCCAACACTGTTCGATGGTCTCGTCGCTGTTACTCGAGCGCATCTTCTGACATCGTCGTCAAGGCCATGGTGTATTCGTCCTACGGCAAGCCTTCCGAGGTCTTACGGTAAGCAGGAAGAATAAAAAATAAAGAACATAATGATTGGGCGAGAAAGCTGCATGAGATCTCACTTGATTTTTTGTTTGCTGTTCAGTTGGCACACGTACAAGCTTCCAGCTTTGACTCCTGGTACGGTGCATGTCAAGTTTCTAGCGTCGCCTATCAATCCTGCAGATGTAAATCAAGTGCAGGGTGCTTATCCAATCAAGCCTCCTTTTGAGAAATTGGGTGACACAGAAGCCGCCGTGGGAGGAAACGAAGGTGTTGCTGAAGTGATTGCAGTGGGTGACAATGTGAATTCGCTCAAGGTGGGCGATCAGGTCGTGATGACCAAGAATGGTTACGGTACATGGCGTACCCATGCCGCCGGTCCCGCTGAAGATTTCCAAGCGCTTCCTTCTGCCAAAAACGTCTCTCTCATTCAAAAAGCGACCATAAACGTGAACCCTTCCACGGCTTATCGTATGCTCAAAGATTTTGTCCATCTTCAACCAGGTAAGGGAATGAGCGATTTCAATGCTGACTTCCTATTCGTCAACCAAAAATGGGTGTGACAACAAGGCGATAACCGACAACCAACGTCATAGGGGATTTTGTTATCCAAAATGGTGGAAATAGTGCCGTTGGCCAAGCCGTCATTCAGTTGGCTAAAGCATGGGGCATTCAGACCATCAATGTGGTCCGTAACAGGTAAGCACACCCACTCTTATGTCATCTGCGGCACCCTTGCTTTGATTGCTGTGAACTTAAAAAATTCGCTCATTTGCGTTCCGATACTTTCGGATAGACCAGAAATTGACGAGTTACGTCAACAGTTGACCGATCTTGGCGCTACGTATGTAGTGACAGACGACAAGTTGGGTCAGCATGACATGAAGAGTCAAATCAAAGAGTGGGTTGGAAAGAAATCGCCCATGCTTGGCTTAAACTGTGTGGGCGGCAAGGCGGCTACAGAAATGGCTCGCTATTTAGGGTAAGTCTTGTTTTGGGCCATTGCCCCTTTTGGAAAATGACTGCGCACCGAGATCATGTCCTAACGGGTGCGTTTCCCGAAACGATAAACCAATCAAAATTTTCGATTCGTCGGATGCTTAGTGCAAATGGACAGTTTGTCACTTACGGTGCCATGGCTCGCGCTCCGTTGGCTCTTCCTGCTTCCATGCTGATTTTCAAAAATATCTCGTTCCGTGGTTTCTGGATGTCCAGATGGTCAGATGAACACAGTCAAGAAGAGCGTCAAGTGATGCTGAACGAATTAATTGATCTCATGGATAAGGGACAATTGGCTGAACCTCGGTGGTCCAAAGTAGAATGGACGGAAGAAGCCATGAAGTACGCTGTGGACCAAGGCATCAGCAGTTTCGGCACCGGAAAACAAGTGGTGCTTTTTTAAAGGACAGAAAATAGGATTAGACTTGTGTCACCATTGATTGTATCACCACTGAATATATATTTCCACTCTCTCTCCTGTTCTTGTTCGTTTCGATTTTCTTCCTTTGCTCTTTTTTCTCCGTCGTCTTTTTTTTCTCTTCTTTTTTATCCTTCCGTTGTCGGTATATCTTGTAGTGGCCGGGCCGACTGTTTGATCTTGTGCCTTTTTTTTTTTCCTTTCTCTCTTGGACATTGTTGTCTTCCTGTGTATATATCCATTTTATCGCTGATTATCATCTGTCACATAGTTTGTATTTTCTGTCCCCCTTTTTCTATTACCAATGTCGTTGCATATCGTCGCTCCGTGTCCTCAAAAGCCATCATCGGTTCATTGCTTTCACTGGCAAGCTGTCAACGAACCGACCACCAATGACACTCAGTTAAATAACCTGGAAGACGCTTGTCGGGAATTGCAGCAGATTTTAGCTTCGCATCATCAGTTCATGTTCCCTCATCAGGGAATGCAATCAAAATCCGACAGTCAACTCATTGCGCGCACGGCCAATCCTTTGCCTCACGACTCGAGCTTCATACCTTTGCATCAGGCTGTTGCTGAGCTTCAAGTCTCTGATGATGATATCAGCCCCCAAGCTCTTGCCAAGCCTTTGAGCGGTTGGTGAAGGGTGTCACGCACAAAAAACCATATACGTACTCCACAGCATCGATTGCTTCTTGTCTATTAACGTTCTTTTTTTTTCGTATACATGTTCATTCCATCTTTGATGTAAATATCCCCTTTGTTTTTCCGTACTTGATTACTTGTTTTTCTATTTCTTTCTTTTGATGTTGTTATTTTCTTTGTCTTCTTTTTATTTTCTTTTATCCTTGCACCCTCTTATTTGAAATACATTTGCCCTTTCCTTTTTTTTCTTCTCTTTTCATCCTTTTTTTTTATATTTTTCTCTTGATATATTCAATAGATTCAACCATTGTGTTGATGTTCACTTAAACTTTTGGCCCGTTTTCCTTTCTATGTGTCGAATGCGGCAGTGATGTGTGGTTGAATGGTGGAGATGATGTGTTCCGTATAAAATCGGGTGTGATTGGTATGGCGGACCATGTGTGTATGACAAAAGCCGGAGACAAGGTGAGAAAGATGCGTGGATGCAATGTGTGAAATATATAAATTAGATGAAAAGGTAGTTATTTAGGGGGATGCAGATGGAAAAGAACAACCATTCATTGAAGCCCTGCATGGCTTTTCTCTTTGCGTCGCTCCATTTTTTTATTGGCCATCCTTCTTTTTCCCCTCCTCTTTCTGTTCGAGGGAGAGGAAGAAGTGGGCAATTCAAGAGCACAACAAATACTCATTTACTGTTTTGCCTGTGCAACTGTAATCGCACGTGCCAAGGTTTAACAGACATGTTACCGTTCCACGTTCTATCTTTGTCTGGTTCCATGGGGCCAATAGTTTCGGTTTTAGCTTCGCAACGGTGTGAATTATTTTCTTGAAAAAAGAAAAAAAAGGCACCGGTTTTCTTCTCTCTTCTACCAATGCTTTGGGATAAAATGTACCTTTCTCGACTAGTATTATAGAGATAACTACAGGGGAAGTTGCTGACTCGTCACTTACATTCACTGTGTGCATTGATTATATGCTTCCATACGATAGTGATGGTCTGTTGGAATCTTCCCGCCTGTCGTAACAGCAATAATGCACACCAATGTATCTTAATGATTTGCTTGTACATATCGGCATTCAAAATGCGCGGGCATCTTCCAATTCTAGGCATCCTCTCGAACATCATGGAAGATAGTTATGCTGGGATTTTGACAGTTTAATGTATGCAAGAAACGGCGATTTTCTTTCCCTCCATTATTCCCATTCAGTATCCGTCACCGCATATGCCGACCAATCAAAAGATCCAGCATTCATCCAACTACAGTTACATTTTTTGAGCTCCAACAACAACATTTGTAACAATAAAACTTCTCAGCAAAGATCTATTCTATTAAATTAATGGACTCTCAAATAGGAGATATGTTATGATATTAGATGACTGAGTGCTTTTTCATGTTTGAAATCAGAATAATACAATCCATAGCGTACCTTGATGAGTCTCCCTCTGTTGTGATAAAGTCAGAAATGCTGCGGTGACCAGTAAGCGGTTACATAACATACAGTACACGATGATGATGTATGATGTGGTGGTACATATTGACCATACGAAGGTCAAATAAAATGGACGAAAGCAGCATCAGTAAAAATCGCCACGCATGATGCATCTACTGTATTGCAACATTACGGTCGGCCGAAGATGCGTTTACCCTTTTTCGTTTTTCCGATTGGCTCACGTTGGCGTCAACAGGCATCAAACGCGCGTACGACGGAGATCGGTGGTCGAGAAGACGCTGGTCGTGACTAAATTCGGTTGTTCTGTATGTCATGTTGGTTGCTACACTGCGCAGGCAAAAGAGTGCAAATGGAGTTCAGGGGATAGGAGGTTTTAACTGTAATAATCAATTTACATCTTTCTTTCCACTATTGACTAATACCATTTACAAGGCTCATACGTTTTGACGTCGCGAGATTCAAAATAGAAAGCGATCTATTTTTGAAAGGATATGATTTGACTGCGCTTACGCAATTGATGATGGCTTGACTTTGAGGGATATGGCCAATAACTGCCTAGTTACCACGATTCTTACAGAGTGAGCCCCCCTGACCGATTTTTGTCGTTCATCAACATTTTTCTCCTATTCAAGCAATATTCCCCCTTTGACTAGTTATATGAAACACATCTAGGGGCTGTGATCAGATAGCATACAAATATACCATGACAACGAGATCTCCATGTTGGCTTTATGAATTCAGGGTTTCTACTTTCTTTCTTTTTTTTTCCGGTTAGAAGATCAACCACTGAGGAAGTGGATGTGTATGTGCAACAAGCATCGGCCTAAAACACTGTATTAAACTACCTTTTTATTCTAACACGTGTGTTTTTACCAGGGGCGGAAATAGTTATTGTAGTAGTAATCCCGTTGATAACCATACTTGACAGACTGTCCTGTTAGGACATTCACGTTCACTGTGTCTACACACTGTATATTTTCATTGATGTCAGACATACAATATATGATAACTCCCGTACAAATGATCGTTTAGCAGAGCTGGTTGGCAAAGCGGGGGATATGACTGTGAATCATAATCGTGGGTTCTGACGCTTGTATGTTGGATAGTTAAGAGGATCCACTTTTTGCCTGCTTTTCATTTTCGTTTCGCATTGAAAGCATATCATTTAACCCCTTATTGGATGCTGAAGATGCTTAATTGACAAAAAGACACATGAAATGGCAAAGGAAAAGAAAAACTGGAGACATTTTCTTTTCCATATCCTCGTGTATAATTTTACAATGTGTATAAGCATTCGGTTTACAGATGAAATGAAGCCGCGTTGCCATTCAAAGGGTAACTCAAGGGGCAGGAAGGAGAAGTACCCAAAAGAAAAAGCAAGGTTTATTTTCGGTCGACAGAAAAACATTGGTGTCTGTGCATTAAGCATGGTTGAATGAATATATAAATATGGTCCATTTCCTATCTTTATTTTTGCTTTTTTTCCCTTTAGTTTTTTTATAGAATAATCACGTTGGCCTAACAAGAGCATTTTACCGTTCATTTATCTTTTTGCGTATAGTTTTTCTGACATTTCCAGTCTCTCACTATTTACCTTACCCATCCAATTTGCCCTGTTTTTTTATCATGGATTTCTTCTTTCCTTCGCCTCCATCGTCGCCCATTCAGCATGCCGCCGATCAGATCAAGGTGTTGTGTGGATCTTGCGACCGAGCCCTTTCTTCAGACTGGTTCTGCTCCGATTGTCATAAAAAGTGTGCTACTTGCAACCGGTTCCTGAGCTCACAAGAATATTGTTCTCGATGTTGGTCGTACGATACATTACACAATCTTTATGTGCGAAAACCATACCAGCCTCATCCATTTACCATGCCGACCGATTCCTGTTACCAGGAAATGCCCAAAGAAACCACCGCAACCACGCCTGTCAGCAATCGATCGCCATCTCCCTTTTATTGATTCAAAGGAACGCATAATGGATCATTTCAGGGGGAGCCGTCTTATTTCGAGGCTGGTTTCTTCGACACATAGTTCACATGAATTTCCTTAACCTCTTCCCTAAATGCGCCTCACTTATTTCAATCTTTCTCTATGTGTGTGTGTGTTTTCCACTCTTGCTCTGTCCACGCCAAATTTTTTTTTTTGTTCTTTGTTTTACACGACTCTCCTGCATCTACTGCTTCATTTTTCTTTCTCTCTCCGTTCCTCCGACTCCTATCTTCTCATCCGCCGCTGCGCACGCACGCTCAGATTTTCTCATTCTCAATCCACGCAAATCGTACATACACCCACGCACCATAGTACAAAAAAAGAATACATCGTACCCCAGAGAGATACACATGCGCGTTCCTATACATGTTATTTCATTTTTTTTCACATTAATGTTCCTTCCCACTTCATCCCTTTTTATTACTCCATGTTTTTGACTTTTTTCCCTTTTTCCCTTTTCTCGCTTTAATTTTTATTTATTTATTTAGACATTTGCCATGTCAATTGAATTCATTTGACGTTAATTTATTTATAATCTGTATTGTGTCGAATACAGTATTGTTATCCTCACCCTTTTTTTTCTTACAGTATCATTTTCCCCTGTTTATACTACCATACCGTGATTTATATCTTTTTCATTTCTTTTGTCTTTTAGCTACACGATAGTGATTCGAATAAAACGTTGGATCTAGTTTTTTCATTTAGTCAGTGATTGTTGTTCCACCTTCCATGGGATCGGCTGGTTCTCTTCTGACCTATGTCAGTTCCTTTGTACTGAGCCAATCAGAAGTTCAGTATCTGGAATTGGGGTGATAATAATCACAAGTAACGTTGTCGTGCTTGGTTTTTTTATTCCCAAAGTAACAAATCAGGACCGTTTTTGTTGAACACAGGGCAGCACATAAACGTACCACATACACCCAACTTGTGCACATTTTCCACGCGGGCTCCCTTATGCGCCAAATTTGCTTCCATTCTCTTCTTCCTTGCAGTTCGCGCAACAGCTTACAATGAAAACCAAAAACATGGAATCGTATCAAAGAAACCATCTATGCATCATAAAAATTATTATTTATTGGACGGAAACTTTATGCTATGATACTTTTGCGCTTTTCTTAGATCGGCTGATATGCATGTATCCAAATCATGTATTCAATCGTTGATGCTGTGACTGTTGTGCGCGCGATCCATCGATTCTTGAACTGTTGGTTATTGTCAGTCCTATCGCTTACTTCTTCTAGGTAAAAGCCCGTTTTTCGAGGTTAAATACGATTTTCTTTTTCGATTGATAATACATAGAGAAAAGGAAGAAAAAATAGGAAACTAAAAAAATGAATGGATATACAATTTTCTTTTTGAGAGAGGAGAATGAGATAGAAGGGAAAAAAAATAAAGATTGTTGAATAGGAAGGACATAAAGCAGTAAGAAAAAAAAATTATAATAATTCAATTTGATCGCCGTTTTACAGAGTCCAGAGCATGAGATTCTTCTCTTTTTGATGACTTGCAGAGGCCACCATTGTTTGGCCACTCGCTTTTGTACTGCATATGCCGACAACCATGCCTGCCTGAGATCCGACCAGCCTTGGCTGGGCTCCAGGAATCCCAAACTGCCACATGAACAGAGATTCGTATTCACCATACGCCACTCGGAACTTATCAGCGCCATTACCATCCACCATCATGAAAGCACAGCCTGAAATCTTGGTATGCGCCGATTGCATGGAAATCGGTTTCCAGTGGGAGGTCTCGTAAACGTACAGTGCTTCTTCTGAGGATGTTACCAAAAAGTTACCGTCAGCCGACCAATCCAAGCATGAAATGTTTTTGTTATGATTGGTGCTGATTGATCGGATCGCCATGTTATCGGCTGCACTGCTCGAAGTGTTGTTCTTGGCAGCGTTGATGTCAATCACATACAGTTGATTGGCTACTGCGCACGCCAAAATATGGCTCGCCCGTGGATGGAATCGCATGGGATTGGCTGAAAAACTGGATTTTGACGTCGCCTAATATCATTGTCACCGCCCATAGTTCGTTAGTCAAATCATATCAAAATTCACCCGTGTGCCAAACAAAAGAAATGATTCCATAAAATGAACAACAATCAACAGACTCCGTCTTGTGTATTCTTCGATCCTCCATAGATACATTACCGCCGCCCTTTTAATCCGCGCCCGCCAAAAAAATAAACAGTAATACTACGTACCAATCGTAATGTTTTATCACATTTGGATGTGTTCAAATTCCAGACTTTGAGTTCACCTTCCGCGTCCAAAGAGCATATAGTTTCTGGTCGATCCGGGGCAAAATCCACTGCGGTTACTTGCGCTTTACAATCCAACTTTGCCAACTGTTTCGCGGTCTTGCCATTCTCTGATAATGCGCTGCCAACATCCCATACTCTCAATGTTTTATCGTACGAACACGTTGCTACCAGATTTCGGCTGTCAGGACTCCATCGTGCACAGGTGATTTGCCCGGTGTGGCCTTCGAGGGTCAATCGACTTCGTTTATCTTGCACGCCCCATACAATCGTCTTTTTATCATGACCGGCGCTCGCCAGTAATCGTCCATCGGCTGAGAAGGCGACCGTGCTCACTTTGTTGTTATGTCCTTGCAATTCACCGTACACTTGAAATGTCTGTCCCGAGGTCGATAACGCCATCGCATTGTCCACGCCAAGATTACCGCCCATACTTGCCAAAAATCCACCACCAAACGGATCCAGTTCACCGCTATCGCCACCCATCAGCAAATTCTGTTCGGCACTGTCGTCCCCCGTAGCAAAAATTTCACCGAAATCGCCGCCATCGCTCATCATGAATCGTTCCAAATCAAATGACAGCATTGTATTGTTGCCTGCGTTGGCTTGATTCACTGAATTGGATGGGGAAGGCGCTCCATCGTTGGGATTGGGGACGAGAGAAGGATCCACGTCATTGGCAGCATTCCAGGCCATGCGTTGCGGTTGCTGTTGAGGGTGCATCGGGGACGGTTGGTTGGTTTGAGAGGTATGTTGCTGGGAAGGAAGTAACTGTGGCTGTACAGGATGCTGTGATGGAGTTTGCGATGCTTGCTGTTGTTGTGACATTTGTGGTGTTTGTTGCGAAGGAGGAGCTTGAGACTGCGACGACGAAGACGACGGCGGTTGTTGCTGGGATGGGACCTGTTGCTGTTGTTGAATTTGTTTAGTAACGCCTGGAGCGTTACCACGATGCATTTGTGGGGATTGGCTGGATTTCACGGTTTGATTTTGAATAAACGGTGAATGCTGCGACTGTTGCTGCTGAGATGAAGGCACAGATTGTGGTTGTTGCTGAGCCGCCGCTTGCTGTGGTGACGCTTGAGCGCCTTGACCCTGCTGTTGCTGGGCAAGCCTTGACTGGGCGCTCATGGTGGGAGTTTCTTGTCCGATGGACGCTGAATGAGCGCGATCCATGCCTACCGCTTGTCCTTGATTCATCACATGTGGGCTACTCATAGTATGCATCTGAGGAGACTGCATGGCACCCTGGACTGAGTCAGCATCCGACGGATTCGTTCGCTGTCTCTTCTGAGGATGCATGTTCGGCATCTGCGATTGTTGCTGTTGAGCTACATACTGCTGTTGCTGCACCTGTTGCTGTTGTTGGATCATGTGTTGCATGCCGCGTTGATAATTTGCCAAGCTCATGTTCGCGCGCGTTTTTTCCACATCCTGAGGTGATCCTTCGCCCATGGTTGCCATACCTTGCGTACCAGCATTTCCCATCATATTCATGCCCACATTTTGACTTGCTTGCATTTGCTGTTGCTGCTGCTGCTGCATCATGCGTCGATGGGTCATCAACTTTTCTTGCTGTTTCCGTGTAGCCAGCTAAAAAATAACAACAGAGTAAAAATAAGAATAAGAATACGAAGGAAGAATACCATTGTCAGGTACATGAAACATCAATCAATGAGTGATTGGCATTTCCCATGGTCATCCCGGGCTATGCGTTTGTTTGTGATAAGAGGATAAAATAGATAGATACATACCTGCTGCTGTTGTTGCGGCGTAAGGTTCATTGCCATCATTTGACTTTTATTCATCATTTGTTGTGCCATCATGAGATTCATGGCTAAAAAGACATGGGATATCCTTCAGTTAAATCCGAATCGTCCGCGACCAATTTTTCAATTGCACAGTTACCATCACCGTTAAACTGGCCTTGATTCAACATGCCTGCATTTTGCATGGTCATCATCTGGTCCGAAGCAAACGACACTGGCATACCGCCAGCCGCCGGATTCCCTGATAACCTTGACTGCCCATTTCCTTGAGCAAACGCTTCCATTTGTGGATTCCTTCTTTTAACTCCTACCACGCGATTTGTATCCTCCATTGTTCCAGCTGCCGTCATCATGCCACCTCGACCGATTGCGTCCGCTGCCATGGTCGGATTTTGTCCCATGGCATGGTGAAGTTGTGGATGCGCTTGCTGGCCTAGATGAGCCTGTTGAGGATGCTGTTGGCCGTGCTGTGGCTGCTGTGGCTGCTGCTGCTGCTGCTGCTGTTGTTGCTGCTGTTGTTGTTGCTGCTGTTGCTGCTGAAGTTGTTGCAACTGTTGCAATTGCTGCAGTTGGTGAGGTTGCACATGTTGAGCCTGGGCTTGATTTTGAGCTTGCCCCTGGACGTGAGGATGATGATGGGGGACCTGGTGCTGTTGTTGCTGTTGCAATTGTTGCTGGTGGAGTTGATGCTGTTCAAGCTGCTGATGTTGTTGCTGTTGCAACATTTGTTGGTTCATAACCACTTGCTGTTGCAAAGCTCGGGCTTGAGCTGGATTAGCAAAGTTGGCATTGCGCATCATCGACTGTTGGCTGGCCTGCAATTTCCGAATTTGAGCATGCAAAGCTGTCTTTTCTTCATTGGTGAGGGTTTGCGGATCGCGATGTCCAAGACCCAACGAGTTCAAAGCGGCTTGGACAAGAGCACTGTGAAATACCATGGCTTGTTGCCGTTGTTGATTTAACATGGGTTGCCCCTGAGTTGTCATGGGAATGCCTTGAGCGCTGACCATGGGCGTGCCCATGTCCATGGATGGATGACCCGCCGCCATGCCTTCGGCGCCAGCTGCACCGGGACGTTGCATTTGTCGTGGGGAAAATGAGGGTGATGCTTTGGGTCGACCTTGAAGATGTTGAGGTGGTAATGCTGCTGGCATGCTTTGAGGGGTATGTACAATACTCGAAGAGGGTTGACCCGTCATGGCATTATTAGGAAGCGACGCCGTACTACTGGCGGGCGAGGCACGCGCATCTCGTTGTTGAGGGGTTTGCTGTGATGGTCCATTCTGACCCTGAGGACGCTGATTAGCAAGTGATTGTTGTTGTGACGGCTGCGACGGCTGTTGTGCCTGCGCAAGTTGTTGCGCGGTATCTTGTTGCTGAGGCAACTGGTGGAGTGGACGTTGCTGTGGTGAATGAACGGCTCTCTGAGGCCCCGCGATACGTTGCAAGTGTTGTTGTTGCGAATTGAACGCTCTTTGCTGTTGGAGGACTTCCTCTCTGCGGGCTCGAAGGAACTCGTGATACTACAGTGAATCAAGGTAATGAAGAAAAAAAAATTCAGCTTCTACTGGACTTGCATATCACCCTCTCCTCGTGGGTTTCATCACCACACCATCTCAAAAGACTAAACGAAAGATCAAGCCTGTCTCTTGTATCTCGCCTTGCTATTTCCCTCGCTTCTTTTTCCCTTTCCCTTGTTTTTTTTTTTTTTTTTTTTTTTTTTTTTTTTTTTTTTTTTTTTTACCTCGTTGTGAACGACCGCTTCTTTACTTAATACAGTCTCTTTGCCTTTCACACTGTATATGTCCCAAAAGGTACACCACCAATCGTATAGAAAGGCGGAAGGCACATCGACAGGAGGCGTCATGTCGGTTGGCACATTAGCTTCTGCAGAAAAGGCCCGAGCCGCCTGGTGAAAGTTCCTCTTCTTGCAGTAATCGTAGATGTACATGTGCAAGAGTTCCGTTGCCCTGACATCTACTGCAGAGCGACCATTTTGCCTGCAAGGAAAAAAAAAGTAGGAGAAAAAATAACACAGATTAATAACCGTTCATGGATGAACTTCTTCATGACTCCAATTCCGCCAATGACCAAAACTCTGAAGGATGGCATGGACCCTTTTTCGCTTTATAACGTGGCTCTTTTTCGATTTTTTTTTTTCTTTTGCTTTGTTTTTGTCTCTTTTGCTTCCTATTTCCACTCTCCTTTTGGTCACTCTTTTTCTTGTCGACTGTCACTGTTTGTTTCCAGCATTGGCCATAACAACATTGCAATGGCCCATGGAGACAGTGCTGTTCCAACCCCTGGTTGCGTCTATACGGAACTTACCCATCCCAAGCGGTTCTCCGGATCTGTGGCTGTGCCATTGTCGTTTAAAAACACAGAGTTTGTTGCTTTATTCCGTTTTTCAGTTGAGTTCGTGTAAATATCAGTGGAGAAACAGGCAAATCGAAACAAAGAGCAAGTCCTTGAGTGGATAAAATAAGGGGGAAAAGCAAAAAAAAAAGAGAGTGAGAAAGGTTGGAAATTGGAGGAGGAATAGCAAAAGCGGACATTTGGGGAAAACCAAATTTATAATGAGCCATAGGCCCGACCTGACGTCACATACAGGTTGCGCGCTTTTCCAGATCACCTCACTTGATCATCTTGGAAGCATACCCACTCGTCCCTTTGTATGCCGATCTGTCTCTCCATTCGCTGGAGGCTCACATTGGGTTAAGTGTGCTCCATCAATCGCTCTCTGTTGGCATCCACAGTGATATGATTGGGGTGAATCTCAGACAATTTGGCAGTCCAACCGTAATGACACAGGTTTTCCAATGACGTTGATCAGCTCAGAAGGACGGGTGGTGGAGAGAAAACCCACAGTGGGAAACCACATCCACGGTATTTTACTGCACTTTAACTATGATTGATCTGATCTACTATATCGTCTGTGTGAATAGTATTACAGCCTATTTTGCATCGGGAAAAAGTGGCGTGACTTGAAAGCTAAAGAGCAAATTGACAGGAACATTTCCCTACAAAGTTCCACCTGCATGTCACCATGGTTATTCTGGAGAACAGCATGTTTATCTTGACTTCCCACTGTCTCTTTTCTATCTTTTTTTAACAAGTTACTTGGCCCTGAATGGGCTAAAAAGTACCATGCTCCAAATCCGTCGCTCAGACCACTACAACAGTGGATCCTGATTTTGTCGTACGAAATCGGAGAGGAGAGTCAATCCAATGAAACAAAAAAAAAAAAAAATAACCTTCCCTTGTTCAACCATACGCTCACCATGCAAATGATTTATTTGAGGCCAACTCATTGATCTTCTGATAGCAATGTACAGCGAATGATATGGATATCCTGCTTTCGCAAATGATCTATCATCACCACTACCGGTGATACGTCATTTACATTGAACTCCGAGAAAAAAAACAGGGCTAATTTCAAGCAATTCCGCACATTCAGCTTGAGTGATCGTCACACGTTGTATCGCCAATGAGCAGCTGATTTTTCTCTTGCAAGTACTCATCAACCGACATTACAGGATAAGCATAAAAGCTGCTCGGATAAAAAAGACGAAAAAGAAAAAAAAAAGTGTCTTTCTCCCGCATGTGCAGGGATTCATTGAGGATCACCGACATACAGGTGCTGATCTTCTTTAATTACTTGGCCAACGTAATTCCATGCTTCCTTGATGATATAATTATTATGATGCTCATTTACTATAGGTTCGTGGACGCGGGTAAATAAAGCAAGAAAAATAATTTAAAGTTGGGGCCTGACGAGAATCAAAAAAGTTTCCATGTTTGGAGAAAACCGGATTTTGAAACCGAAAAAGCCCAGAGTTGGGGAAAAAATGAGGGCTCGAGCGCTTCCCTGATGATCATCCATTCTGACTTTATTAATTCCACACATTTGATCAGATATTTGATCGCCAATTTTTTGCATAATCTTGCTATTTCGTATCGTTTGCACAAGTTGTTCATTTGCTGGCAGCTACTAGTTTAACAGTGCCTAGTTCAATAGGCACTATGCAACGAAAGAAGGGTCGGGTGTCACACGATACCAAAATCGGACAAGTGCGAAAATTTTTAGTTTTTGTAATCTGGTTCATGCATTTAAAAAAATTCGGTATGGTATCCCTGCTGGTCAATAAAAAAAGGGAATCAATTGAAGTCTTGCTCGTTGTCAGTACGGTATGCAGAACAGATACCGTTTGATCAAGAATGTATGATATATATGCAGTGTACAAAGAATAATAACCCATTTAATGACCGAAGCCTACGCCCTCTACGACCCGGCGATGCTCAATTTCATGCTCTGCAGTGTAATCCAGATGAACAAATGCTCGCTCCACATTTTCCATCATCTCCAGCGCATTTTGCAACGCTTCACCAATATCGTGAGCTTCTTGCAATGGACATTCTGGAGGCAAGACAATATCCACCTCGACTAGTAGACGGTCGCCAATATAATAGGCACGTACCTATCGCAATGGCACCGGAAAATATGGATTACAATTAGCTGGCAAATCTCAATAACGACAAGTAGAGCTTTTCTTTTTTACCGTATCGACTGCCTCAATCTTGGTTGAAAATCGGTAAGCCATATAGGTAAGCTGCTTGACATCGTCCACACTCGCTGCTTGACCAGTCAACCGTCGAATGTTTTCTATAGGACAAAGGAGGTAAATCATGCATAGATGATAAGCCCAATCAAGTAACAATGTTTGTCTCTTCGTGTATTAGATAGTTTACCCAAAAGCACAACCATCCATTCTTGGATAATATAAATGGATAGCAAAATGGCTCCCACTGGATCGAGCCATGGCGCTCCAGCCGAAACAGCTAGTGAATACACCAACATACTACCGATCAGCATCGTCTCGCAATGAAAAACATGTACATTAATTTTAACCTACCAATGACCGGGAAAATGGTGCTAGCAATATTAAACACCACGTCGTTCCCATGATCTTGAGCCAAGGCTTGTACACTTGAGCTTCCGCGAATGGTAAGACACCAAATCCACAAGATTCCCTTTAATACGATATTGCTGATCAACAACGCCAATGCTAATGGGCTGAGATCCAGCTCCTCGGAGGCCTTGGACGGATCAGTCAATCTTTCAATGGAAGTGATCAACACTTGAGAGAAAGATGTTGTGATGATAACCGCAAATACAATAATTCCCAATGGTTCCATACGTGACTAAATCCATCAATATATTGCGAAATAAGATACTTTGCAGGATATCTCGGCTCCCATGAATCAATCTTTTTTTTTTTTTTTTTTTTTTTACCTTTCCGACGGGATATGCATAATGATCCTTTTTTCGAATGATGCGAATGGTAAAGTAGATGATGGCGTTGCTTAGGACATCCAGGAAGCTTTCAAACGCGGAAGCGAGAATAGACATGGAGCCGGAATAAAATGCGAGAAAAAGCTTTGTTACGAACATAACAATATTGACCACAAATGACAAGTTGATAGCCAATTGAACAATCCACTTGGGTGTGTTTTTGGAACGCAGTTGAGGTCTTATCAGTGGCTCGTTTTCGGCGCTCGCTCCATTGGTCTCAATCTGTTCTTCTTCATCGGTTACCATCCCACTCGGTGCTGACGAAGGCGAAGACGACCGATGAGATGGTGCCAATGTTGTGCCATATGATCTCGGATCCATCTCTCGTTGTAAGAAATCCAATACTTGATCGACCTCCATGAAACGATCAATCATCGCATTCTGATGCTGTGGAAACACCATTCATCAATGACTCAATTGCTCGTCGATTTTTCTTTTGTTACCCTTACCATGTAAAACTCTTTTAAACGTTTATTCTGTATCTTGGCCAGTTGTTCTTCGGGCATGCGAAGGGAATTAAAGCGCACCGGTGGTGGTAATGTATCCTGAGCTATAGATGCCAAAGATTGTCGACTTCTTCGTGAGAGACCTTGTTCCGATAATCTGTGTTCTGCTGTAATCATCGTTCCACTGTAAGGTGATTCAAACAAACCACACACTTGTGTGCCAGTCTGACTTCTTTTTTATCCCGCGCGCACTCAAATTTTGTTCGAAGCAAACAGACCCCTCCCGTCAGAATTGTCGTCACCTTGGACCTATCATCGCCATTGTTTTCAATTTTACAATGTAATCCTTACATTGAGGAGCAACACCATTATAATCATGCTTTAAAATATTGTAGAAAAATATAATAAATGACAGCATTCATTACTCGAATTCCTGCCCGGTTGTCGTACAAATCCTGCGTTGACAGGATAGCCAAAAAAGGCAATTGATAGCTTAAATCGGGGAATCCCAAAACGGGATTTTGTTGATCGCGCGACATGCCAATCGATTGAACGGTATTCTTTCATTCCCAAACTCAATTGATTGATCTACAGATACTTGGCACACAATAGTTCCAACGTCCATTCATTGGCACTCTGGGTAGTTTAACCAGCATTCGCTTATGATTTAGTAAAGGATCAAGTTTCTAATCGCCCTATCTTTATTTGATTAATCCTCGATCGAAACAAGGCATGCACCCGAGAACTTGGATGCATGTTTTTTTGTAAATTACTTATGCTTCGCTTTGCCCCATTTTCTTGAAACCAAGCGACCACACAGATCCCCCACTTCATTCAGAGCATTTTCTATCATCTCTAGGCGCTGCACGGAAAATACTCAACACCCTTACCTTAGGACATGTTTTACTTGTGTAACAAAAGACATATTTTTCAATATGACGTTGACATGCCCTTGTCTCGATTATACCAGAGCTTTTTTTTTCCGCACATGGGTTCGCGCATTTGGAGGCAGATTATTCATGTCACATAGTAAAAAGCTCAAGACGTATAATTAAAAAGTAGAGGAATTTTATTAAATTACTAGTTGTAGAATATGTTATTCGGTCTTTTCCTCTCTATTATGGGCCATTGCCTTGGTGATTAAGCGAGCATGACAACGAAGCTGGCGATGAACAAGGCGACCAAAGCGGAAGCTTGGAACATCACAGTGTTGGAGTTCACCATGACGGCGTTACCAGGGTTAGCTGGGTGACCGTTATTGCCCGTGGCAGTGGGTCTTACAGAGTTAATCACGCTCGAGACATAGGACGACGAAGGAGCGCTCACGTACGAGGACGACACCGGCGAGCTAACGTAAGTCGACGAGACCATACCGGAGTTGGTGTGGGAGCCATGTTTTTCGGTCAAGGACGAGACACTTAAAGAAAAAGGCAGATCACCACAGTGAGTTAAATGAGTGCCAATGGGTTGACGTTTGTACTTACATGGATCTCAAGGACGAGAGATTTCCTTAATATGATAACAAGTTTTAGTGTTTGCTTGCAAATATCATGCAGCTGATCATTTTCAACTTACCGCCATTGTCATTGCCATTACCGTTATTGCCGTTGCCGTTGTCTTGGGCTTGGACGGCGATAACCAAGAGAGCAGCAGCGAAGACAGTTGTGATGAAAGACTTTGTGTACATTTTGTTTTTCTTTGCGATGATAACAACAAACAGTAAAAAGTGATAATCTCGAGGATTTGCAAGTTGATCCCTCTTATATAATGGTGGTTAATAGTTCCGACACAAGGATCTGTTCATGGTGATCACGTATAATGAAACCTAGCGATCCCGCCGATTTATTTGGATGAATAAACCGGGGGATTCAACGGCGGTTATGTCTCGGTTCATTTCCACAAAACCCTGGAGACACATTCACGCAGTCACCGGTTTCCTTTAGATGATACGTCATTGCTTTATCATGAAGTTTATTACGGGGCAAAAGAAGAAGTTAAGCCGTATATGCACTGGAAGCAATATTAGACATCCATGGAAACACCAATCAAGGTCCAGCGAAAAAATGCAGTATCCTTTTTTTTTTTTGATCGTTGCACAAAGGGCGGAGTTTCCTGATTGGCCACTGTGAGTCATCTCTCTTAAAATAAAAAAAGAAGAGGTATTTCGATGCTTGTTCATCGTTTCTTGCCCCTTGATTGATTGCATGCTTCATAAAAACGCACAAAATACCACTCGTCCCAACAAGAGTTCTTTGACGATTGTCATTAAAGTGGGAACTTCATCCATTTGCGATGAGAAGACCCACTTTCCGTTACTGTCCAACTTATCTTCCCTGGTGGAAGCGGTCCTGAAGCTGAAATCGCTCGGTCATCGAGTTGTCTTGGTGACAAGTGCAGCTATTGGCACCGGTCTTCGACGATTGAATATGGCAGAGAAACCTTCCAAACTCTCAGCTATTCAGGTATGCCGCAGTGTGAGCTCATTGTTCTCTCTCCGTTACGCTGATCAGCTCTATGTTCTTTTTCCATGGTACTTCAGGCTCTCGCTGCCGTGGGTCAAGGACGTCTCATGGCTCTCTATGACGACTTATTTGGTCAATTCCATCAACCCGTAGCTCAAATTCTTTTGACTAAAAACGATCTGGCCGACGTATGTTATCATCAATCTGAACATCAAACTTCCCTGGAAATTTTTTCTCACTTTTTTTTTCGATTGTCAGCGATCACAATACTTGAATGCTGTAAATTGTCTTGAAGAATTACTGACAATGGGTGTGGTGCCTATTGTCAACGAAAACGATACCATTTCCACCCAGGTAAAGTACAAAGAGTCACAAAACAGTTAGAGAAAGGAGTAAGAGGGACATGGGTTAACATAAGGTAACAGGGCGTTCGATTTGGAGACAACGATACACTTTCAGCTATTACGGCAGGGATGGTGAAGGCGGATTATTTGTTCCTGTTGACGGATGTGGATTGTTTGTATACGGATAATCCTCGTTCTAATCCTGATGCAAAACCGGTATTGGTATGCGACGATATTGGATCTCTCAAAGAGAAAGGTAAAGTGATGTGAATGCAATTGAGGGAATTCACTGATTCTCATACCCAGTTGGGAACTCTTAGTGTCTGTTACATCGCGAGGATCTGCATTGGGTACGGGCGGAATGATGACCAAATTAATCGCTGCTGATCTAGCGACTGCGGCGGGTGTAACCACGATAATTGCTCATGGTGCCACGCCCAGTAACATTATCAAGATTATCCAAGCCGATGCGGCAGATGAGAAGGAATTGGAAGTGGCTCGCTCAACGGCGGCATTGCCGATGTATACTCGATTTACAGCCAAGAACAACCCCTTGTTGGACCGCAAATGGTGGATTCTTCACGGATTACATACGGCTGGTATCATTTACGTCGATGAAGGTGCGGCTCGAGCTATTCTGTCTCCCAAACAGCGATCCAGTTTATTTGCAGCGGGTATTGTCGATGTGGCGAATAGCTTTGTTTCTCAACAGGCGGTTCAGATTGTGTACCGAAAACAGATCAGTGACAACGAATTCACCGATGTGGTCATTGGCAAGGGATTGGTGAATTATTCAGGCAGCGAAGTGGCGAGAATTAAGCGATGCAAAAGTTCCGAAATCCCCGGCATTTTGGGTTACATCGATGCCGAATGTGTCATTCATCGAGATAATCTCGTGAGAACCATGAAAGAAGAGCAACTGTAAATTTTTGCCCTCCCTTCTCCTGGTGCCGCTGTATGATGTTATTGGTTGTTCATAGATAGTTTTTATTTTCGTTCCGGCTTATTTTTTTTTTTTTTTTTTTTTTTTTTTGTAATTTCCCGTTTTACGTCAAAATTTTCATCACTATGGTTTTCGTTGTCAGTTCACTTTGCATGAATAACGGAGCTTACTTTGCTCGTGATACATTGACTGGTTTATAATAAATTTTTGGACAGACTCTACGCGGGAAAGCATAGCTTTGTAGGGAAGGGGTCAATGATGAATGCATTTTTTTTTGGACGGTTTGATGGAGGATTTCGACTCACAGTCCAATCTGCCAAAAATGGTAATATCAAAAACAGCTGTCAGAGATCTTTGGGAAACGATTAGTCAAACTATCTATAGCTTTTATACGGGTTATTACTGATAGGGTATAAGTGAGGGTAGGACACAAAGTGAGAATAGGACAAAGAGAGGGATAAACGGTGAAAAGGGTAGCGTACGTCTAGGTGGTAATGGATCGTTTGATTTCAAACAAAGTTCTTTGCAACTCTTCTTTTTGATTTTCGCTTTGTGCATATTTCATTTTCATATCAATCAGCAACGCCTCAATCGATGCCAATTGATCTTCCAGTAGACAATTCTTGTGGACTAGTTGGGAGTTCTCGTTGCACAATTCATCGAACTGACTTCGGCGTTGCTGTTCCACTTGGGATGGTAAGCCCGTCACTTCCGCTTGAAGTGAATCCACCAGATCTTGGAGTGAATCGCGCTCGTCATATAAGTGAATCAGATTGTCTTTGCTCTCGATTAGTTGCTCCGACACATCTTGATGTTCTCTCCGGAGTTCTGCAACTTCGAACTCTAAATCCTTCGCCTTTTTCTTGAAAGCGATGTTTGTTTGTTGCAATTCATCCAAAAGTTTAGCATCGGCGAGTTCTTTTGCGAGTTGCTGTTTATGCTCTTTCTCCAGCTGAAACAATCGCTTCGGTGAAATTTGCAGTGCGCAAGCGTCATCTACCAAGCGCCGATCATTGGACTAGGGAAAAACATGTCGCATACAGTTAGTTAATAATGTCACGAATGGTGTCGGTAAATGACACCTTACCTTGTATTCTTCAAAGAGCTTGTTTTTCAAAAAGTCGAGCAGCTGCTCGAAATCCAGGCCGAGAATGGTGGTTTCGTTTCGTTTCAGTAGCGCAATGGCAAACTTGAAAATGGCGCTGGCTCCTTCGGCGAGGATCACGTCGTAAATGAGAAACACAAGCTCCAGCGGGAATTTATACGCAAAGAGCGTCATAAACCACTGAGAGGCGTACATAGTGGATCGTACGCCTTGAAGTTGCAAGTGTCGAGCTACGTGAGGGAGATGCTCAGCCAACAAGGCGTCAAATTGATACAGACGCAAATGCAGTCCTTCCATATCCGGGGTGAAATGTCCACGAAATCCGTACTTATTCATCATTTGCACAAATACACAAAATGCTTCTTCATCTGGCATCTGAGAAACATAATCATGAGATGAGTTTTTGGAGTTTTTGAATTGAGAAAAGGTACGCCAGACAAGCAAAGAGTCTTTCAGCTTACATTGAGTAACAGCGGACCGACCACAAATGCCAAACCTTGGCAATAACCGACTTCCTGATCAAACACACTGTAGGCTCGCATCACGTTGAATAAGCCTTCCTGACCAATGCCGTCTTTGTCCTTGAACACTTCATGACCGGGGAACGTTCTTGCCAAATCTCGCTGAATCATTTTCTCATAAGGGCTCGTTAGTTTTAACAGTTGGCTGTATTCACGCTCCAGGTTGGCGTTTTTGGATTGAGCCAATAGCTGCCACACCATGCCTCGTAAAGCGGGCGGAACACCACGTTGCACATGTTTGGGCAGCAGTTTGATCGGTTTTGTCAGATCCTGTTCGCAAATAATACTAGCCCATAATTCTAAGGGTAACCAAAAAAGCAAGGGTTACCACCTCGTGCATCGGCCTGTATGGAAGCAAGAATACAATATTACCCCAGTCATAATCATCCGTCATCATATTTTCGTCTTTTCTCTCCAATGGATTGCCGACCATTATGCTTCTTCGCATGGATTGCCGCTTGATGTGTAAAAGCACTTTAGCTTTCGGATCGTTCGTATTGGCACTATTGAGTTGTTCCATTTCAGCGAGCAAAGCTTCCTGTGACACTGTCAGAGGTGCAATAACACTAGGCGGACGCGACAACATCTTTTGTTGACGTGCAGTAAAAGTACTGGAAGGCCTTTGCGTATTTTTACTCGCGGATGTTGGCGTTGCACTAGCGGTACCGCGTAAACTCATGGAGACGTTCTTGAATGGGGACCACAACCCATTAAATAAACTACGTGGACTTGCTGCGGCGGTTGGCGCGGTAGCCACAGCTGTATCAATTCGTTTAAGGGGCTGTACAAATAGGAAATTAAGAATATGAATTAGTTGATGAGTATAGATGCAAATAGATCATATTGGACGTAGAAAAACAAGAGCTTTCATCACTTACTTGGGACGAAGTGACTGGTTTGGATGCGGCATGAGAATCAGGGATTAACGACGTGAGGGCGCTGATGGGGGAGGTGGATTCATTTGTCACCGGCGTTTCTTCGGATAACGGAATGTCCTTGAGATCGCTTACGGTAATGGTTTGAAGATCACGCGTTACAGGAGTGACAAGCTGCTCAGGGTGTTGGTCTTTGGGCGGCATTTCCTCGATTAATTGGTAATCGGACAGGCCTTCAATCTGGGAGTCTTTATGAATGACCGATTTGGGCGAAGTTGCAGCAGTGTCGGCCGAGTCGTTTCGATCCATTTTGTAAGGAACATCAAAGTACGAATCTGCACGATCATTCAAAGACTCGTTCATTGACGAAGAAGAAGAGGCTTGCGACTCGGTTGATGCCGGTGCTGTCGCGCTGGCATTGGCGTCCGTCACAGATGCCTGATCCAACTGACGTGCATGCATAGCTTGGTCTTCTTCGAACTCTATGACTTCAATATCGCTTGAATCCGAATCATCATCGTCGGAAGCATTGAGGTGTATATCAGACATATGACCGTCCGATAAGGTACTAGACACTGTATGTGGCGACTGATCGATCATCACTTGTGAAGCTCGTTGGGTCTGTTGAATCGTGGCTTGATGTGTATTATCCATGGGTACTGCTGCATCAGATGGCCTGCTTTGATGCGATTGTTCACTGGAAATTCTTTGGGCGTCATATTGATCTTGCTGTTCGGCTAATCGCTCGCAAGGGGCTGGATTGGATTCGTGAGATAAAGGCGTTGCCGGTTCTATTGATTGGACTGATTGTTCTGCAGAGGATTCGGATATCCGTCGAGAGCACGCGGTATCCTGTACCGTATCCAACGGCGCTTGGAGTTCTTGTTCCATCTCGGTATCGGCTGAGGTGGTTGTTGGTGAAGTCCTTGCCTCCTTGACTAGTTTGTATTGGTCATCATCGTCATGTGTGGGTGGGGATGAGCCCATGGTGTTATTGGATGGCGACGGGTGGGTGGTGTTAGTGTGAAATTCAGTCAACGACAGCCGGTGGTCATCGAGATGCATAGTGTTCAATAAAGTTCCAGACTTGTTTGAAACCGCCGTGGCATGGCTAAGCAACCGACTCTGAGAAAAAAAAACTAACTAACGCTTGTCGTTGCAATTACAATCTGGTGCTTGGAAGCACGAGGTTTTTCCATTTTTAGGCTTTTGACAACTGCCGGCGTTCGAAAACCATCTTGCATTCCAATATTGCGCTGCCCATTGACCATCTACTTTAAGTAACCTTAAATCCACCTAATTCTCCCAGCTTTCTGCTCCGTGACAAGCTATACCATTTTGTCATCCTTTCCAAAATATTCTTTTCTCATAAATATATAAGCATGCCCTGATGCTTCAACACCCACGCTGTTGACTCATACAACGCAACGCAAAAGGATTCGTCGTGTGAGCGCGATGAGAAACTTTTAGAAATCATTTTTTAAGTCCACTAAATGAAACAATTCTTATCTGATCAGTTTCGCAGATCAGGATTTCCTTCAACACTACCTTGCCGCTGATCCCCACCCACTTTCCATTAACAAAAGAGAACCATGTATGGATGATCCACGCGATCACAACTAAAGACCATGATTCAGCAACTCTAAAAATTTTTTGTGTCACGCTCCAACGTGGCGTAGATAAATGCATCCTATATGAGATGGCAAGCTTTTAAATAATACCCTCACGTGGCTAATTGCAAAGCTCAAACACTGAATCAAATAAGGAGATTAATAAGTTTTGCATCATGTATTCAGGTCTGCAATTGATAGTTATTAAAAAAGGTTGCTCAGATACAGCCAGCTGTTTCATTTATCATGGGTATGGGGCAGGAAGAAAGGCTAATAGTCGGTACTTGCGACGGCGCGATATTGATTGCGTTCACGACGTTGCTATACACATGATCGGATAACATGGTAAGCATTTCTTACTAATATCGTCTTTTTCCCAAAGTTTACCTGTCGCCATTTGTCAATATATGGCTTGGCAGCTGCAAAAAGGACCAAAGCAAAAGCCAGGAACAGGAAAGATCGAATAATCATTTCGTCTTTGAAAGAATCGCGCGCTAGATGAAAATGTCGTTTGATATATATGAGTGCTGACGTAGTTAGCGACGAGTTGGGTAGGACGAAGCACCTACCGAAACAAGCGGTTTTGAAATCGTTACTGGGACATGTGGCATCCGCGATACCATCGCATATACCCTCTTCAACATTATCCAAGCAAAATTGCTTGGTACAATTCGCGCACGGTTTGGGATCCGTCAAAGGTAACTCAAAGACGGTGCTGTTGGATCCACAGAAACATTTGCAGAATAATCGTGGCTCAGGTTTTCCTGCATCCACAAACACAGCAAAGCACTAGATGAAAGTAAGCCCGCTTCAATAAACAAGCACAGTCCCACAGCCTTTCTTTGCCTAAATAATGGGCCACTTACTAAACTGATGAGCGTTAGAATGAACATTGATACAACTCTTCAGAATGAACGAATGCAAAGTTGTTGATCACATTTGTCCCCTTTTGGAAGTCACCGTCACTTGCAGGCAGACGCTTATTGCCGACCCAAAATTTCCACCACTGAAACGAAACTTGGGTTCAAAAGCGAATAAAGACTTCAAAAGACAGTCAAATGGAATTATGGTGATAGAAATCGGTCACTTTATGAAAGCAAGTCTGCCGCTAATCTAACGTTGTATGTGACGAAGGTCGGGAAAGGAGAGAAGGCCGGCAGAAAAAAAAACAAGCTATCAAACTACAACTTCCCGAAAGGGGCGAGGGAAAATAAAAAGAACGGATATTGTAAAGTGACGAGAAATTATAAAAGGGAAGCCAAGAGTTTTGATGGACGAATCTCCCGGAAGAAAGGACCAGAGCGCCAAACAGACAAACCATAGAGCCAAGCAGAAGACCCGAATCCTCAGTGGCACAGAACGCAATGAAAACGTCGCAACAATTATGAGGGAGCCCTGGAAAGTTTAGACGGTCGCTTCAGTTATGCAACGATGTTTACTGGAATGAGTTGATACCCTTCAGCAACTTGCATTCACAAAGTATATTTACCCATCCTCACAAATGGTTTGGGGGTGGTCTGGATCAAATGGCACAATTGGAATGAAATCATAGAAAACTTGGCCCATTTCAAAATCGAAATCTTCATCGAAAATCGTAACGATGTTTCCGTGTTTGACGTAGCAGAGCATCCAATGTTTTCTACAGATTGTCAGATAGAGTTTTGATAAAATAAAAAAAAAGAACAATACGCGCTTACCAAATCCGAGAATTTTGATTCAAGTACTCCAGCAGCTGCTCCGACAAGGTGGAAGCACATGTGAGTGGTGATTACGAATTTCTTATCCTTCGTAGATCGGGTTTCCCACAGCGGGTCGGCGGGATCAATGATAAAGCTATGGGACAAGATATCGTAAAGCAGTCAGCAATTGTTTTACTACCAGCAGGAGAATAACACTTACTGTTCGAATTGGCATTGGAGGCCACGTCGGAAAATCTCATCTTCGACGACCTTTTCCTGTCTTCAAAGTTGCATTTTTTGTCATTGGACATTTTCGCGAACGCCGTGCGAAACCTATGCAGGGACACCGAAGAGACAATTCCTGCACTTTTGCTGCTTCTCGTGGCAGTGCTTGAGTTACTGTTAGATGAGCTGGCTGAGGTTGCACCATCTTGTCCTAGCCAGCCGAGACCTCAGACTGAATAGCTGCATGACTATTCCCGAAATGATATCGAGAAGACACCTTTTGCATTGACTTTTGGCGGCCTGCGTTTTAGAACCTTTGGAGCGTTTCTGGAATAAAACGCTCGCTTTTCCATATCTTGTAGAGACGCAAAATCCATTTTTCGGCTACACCGTTTGCGCGAGGATGACCAAGTAACGAGACGCTGATCGATGCCAGAGAGTTCTGTCATCAACTTCATAGTTTCGCGGACGGATTAGGTTTCGTCATCTTCACCGTTCAGATGGTATGCGACAGGGGTTTGTTCATGAGGTTCCAACAGAACCTGCCTGAGTCGGAGCTGCGATCGATTGAAAGCGTAGACGTAGCCGATTAAAAAAAATACGATCAAATACTTAGCATAAGCATGAGCATACGAAATAAAACGCCATAATTTCTGTAAACATTTACCGTTATAACATGGAGGTGGAACAGGTGGCAATGAGGAAACAAGATGGTTTTTGAGATGTGCCAGCCTATCTTTTTCTCAGGGAATGTTTACCTTATGTGGCCTGCCAAAAAAAAAAAAAAAAAAAACCGATACATCCAAAGAGAAAATCGCAACCATCATGAGGGAACCAGGGGAGTTTAGACGGTCGCCCCGGCTATGCAATGATCGTTACTCGACCCGAATCCTAAGAGGCACGAAGCGATACAAAGGTAGGGCCTATTCATGAAGAAACAAAAGAAGAAAAGGAAAAAGAAATAAACCGAAACACCCAAAGAGAAAATCGCAACCATCATGAGGGAACCAGGGAAAGTTTAAACGGTCGCCCCGGCTATGCAATGATCGTTACTCGACCCGAATCCTAAGAGGCACGAAGCGATACAAAGGTAGGGCCTATTCGTTAAGAAACAAAGATAAGAAAAAAGAAACCGAAACACCAATGAGACAGTCGCAACCATCATGAGGGAACTAGGAAAAGTTTAGACGGTCGCCCCAGTTATGTAATGATCGTTATTTACCCCCAAATCTTTAGTGCACGATGCGATACAAAGGTAGGCTCTTGTAGCCACATGCTTTCATCTTATGCCTTGCATTGGAAAGAGAGGAAGAAAAGCCATGAAAACGTCGTTCAGAAAAAAAAAAATTTACACGTCACAAAGTAAACATTCCTGAGACAAAGGCGTTGCCAATGGGATGTTTGCTCACTTCTCGAAGCACATATGCCCCACTATGTCAACTGTTCCACCTCCCTTCTATGATGGTAACTGTTCACATGGGTTTACGCTGTTATTTTGTACGCTCATTATTATGTAGTTTTCTTGCCATATTTTCAATCGACGACCTCTCCGACTCTGGCTGATTTCGTTGAAACTCATGAGCAAGTAATTGTAGCATATCACCGAAAAGGGGATGATCTTGCTTCCGTGTGGTCCGCAAGATACGGAAAAGCCCAAGCCTTCTATTTCAATAACTTTTTAAAAGTCAAGCCGCCGAAAGTTGATGCCAAGAGTGTTGATTTCGGAGAAGTCGCAGATCCTTTCGGTAATAGAGAGAAAAATTCTGCAAAAAAATTGTGTTATTGATATAGCTATCTAGTCTGGAGGAACAGCCACTACCCCTAGAACGTATCATGCATGTTGACGACCTCACAACATCATAATACCACACCCATAGAAGCCTCGGCTGATAAAGAACAAGAGAATGCAAGCTCAACCAGCACATCCAACAGTAGTACCCGAAGCACTGCCACGAGAAGCAGTAAAACTGCACGGACTGTCACATCTGAGTTCCTGGATAACTTTCGCAGTGCGGTTTTAAAACATGCCCAATGAGAAAAAGTGGAGGTTAAAGACGGGCAAGGTCGTTGAGGACGAGATCTTTCGACATGGCCTTCAGTGCCAATGCGAACAGTAAGTGTGTTTATCTTGTTAGCAGTAAGACTCGCTGACTGCTGTAGTATAGCTTGTCCCATAGCTTTATCATTGATCCCTCCGACCCGCTGTGGGAAAGCCGGTTCACGAAGGACGAAATTGATGAAATTAGCAGCCACAAGGCACACACGCTTCCACCTTGTCCGGAGCAGCTGCTCAATTACTTGAATAAATTTTCGGATCTAGTAAGGGCGTCTTTTCTTTTCGTTATTTACCATTTATCTGACAATGTGTAGGAAACATTGGACGCTTTGCGACGACAAATACGGAAACGTCATTACGAGTTCGATGAAGATTTCGATCTTGAATGGGCGCAATTCTCCATTATTTCAGCGTTGCGGCTCTTTCAAGGAAACTATTTTCCTCTCACAGACCAAACAGAAGCTGACATGATGCGACGCATTTGGTCGTTCATCGACACAGCATTCGACAATGTCAAGGTCGACATAAGATGGTAGGGCTGAAAACATGTTGAATTAAATTAATAACTTGATTAATTGATTATACTTGTTTTTTGTTAGTGGCGAAAAAGAAAGTGTGGCAAGCAGTCATCGCCGAAACAGAGGCCGATCGGCAAGCCATCGCAAAAAGCACGGCCACAAGACGGATTTGTTATTTAAATGCACTGAGGGTGAGCTTGGGTGCACGGAGGTTGGAAGAAAAGATGATGGAGACAATGGCACCAAAGAGCTGCACGAATTGGGATTAAAATGTCCCAAAATGATGAAAGACCAATAGTGTCACTTGATTCAAGCCTCCCGTCATCAAGAATACAGTCTTGCTATTGCCCGGTTTGTGATAATGGGTAAAATGAATTTTGTGAATGTAAGCTGTTTGAAGGGTCTCATTCCAGTTTCTATGGTTGACAATAGGTCTGAAACTTCGCGCTCTGGTCAAGGATCGCCCATCGGCGTTCGTGTGCCGAGTCAAAAAGACTCCAGCCTTGTTTTTCCCGGACAGTGTCGACTTAGTGGGCTCTAAACTGGAAGCGTTGTTGGCCTTAGTGGCGCAGGTAAAGAACTGATTTGCCAAACCATGTCTTTGGCGCAGGAACCGGTGCCAATTGTCAGTCAAGGCTTTAAAAGTGAAAGCAACAACGTCGACTGGCCCTTTTACTCGATTGTCATATACTTATTCTTGTTATTATATGATCTCTGTTTCTTCACCAAATAAAGCCCCTTTATTCTTTTTTTTTTCTGAACCATTTTTATAATTTTTCTTTGTCAAGGCACTTGCCAAGCATGTGTATCCTTGAGAGTGAATATACTCAACTATATCAGTTGGACAGGAGCATTATCCACGACAAGAATAGTGCCCCTTCATTTCTATTTACGTGCCCATATCATCGAGAGTATCCTTTACGAAGCTCAACTAATGAACTGTCACTGTTTCTGTGCTAATTATCATCAGCCACACATCCAAGATCTTCTCTTTTGATATGCTTTGCAAGTCTCAAACTGACATTACTTAAAGCCAGTGGCAGGTATTGCATGTAAAAATCGATGTAGCGTTGCCTTAGTGTGCCCACAGTAACTACTGCAAAAGTTCCCGTCTTCCACCAAGCCATATCTCGTTTCAAGTTTTGTGAAACGCTGACTCATCCAGATTTTGTTGTAGAGGTTCCGGTCAGCTGTCGCCAGTTTGGACAAATTCGCATCTTTACTGTTTTTTCCCTGCTGTTCCTTCCCCCAGGCTGGAACCGTGCCTGCTTAATGGGATAGATGAGGTTGGGTTGCCATGAAGTTGTAAATTGTACCACGAGATACATTATAATCAACAAAGCTTAAAAGTGTCTACATTTCAGTCACAAGAGCAGATGGAATGTCAGGTAATTTAAAAAGCAATTGCTTCTGGTTCCTCTCCAAGAATGCGATGGCAACCAATACCTCATTCTTCTTTTTCAGATTACTTTCAGGATCTTCATGATACCGTTCTACCCATAACTGGACTGCGCGAATACGATTTTTAATGTCGCTTCCCTTCATGTAAAAACTGAAGCCAACACACTTTTTCACGGCGACACCAGTTTTCCAAAAACAGTGACTTCACTTTTGAAATGGCTGGATGTGCTCACTTTTTGGGATTGTGAAACTTTTTGGATCACAGGTCACACGTACGGAGCGACCAACACTTTTAGTGTAATTTTTTTAGAGTTTTGTCGGTTTCTCTTTTCATTTTTTTCATCTCTCTTCTCTCTCTCTGCTCTTGACTTGTTTTGTTATCACTTTTATTGTAAACTTCCTTATAGGATACAAAGCAACTAGAGCAAGTGTTTATATTCGCCTAAAGATACCCCTTTTTCATTCTGTCTATAGAGAGAAATCACTGTGCTACATATAAAAAAGAAAGGTACTCTTTTTGAAACTGCACGTGAAGGCACGCATCGAAACGTTCACCCACACGTATGATATTTGCTTAGATGAGTACGGCAAATGCACGTCAGGCCGTTGAAGTATATACCAAGGGGATCAAAGCTTGGTTCACGGATGAGAAAGAGGCCTGGGTATCTGCCACCTGTGTATCGAGCGATATCACCGACGATAAAGTTCGGCTAGTTTTTGAAGATGACGGCGACCAAAAGGTGAGTGGCTCCGCCCATCACTTCCCCCAGCTCCGATCCTACCTTGACACCGTACCCCTTTTGCGTTTTTTCTTTTTTTGTTTTGTTTTTAGCTTTCGACCAATCCCCATCTTTGAATTTATTTTCAGCTATTTGAAACAATCATGAACGTTTTGTCAGTCAGACACTAAAAAGTGAATGTAAAATACACAGGAACATGTATTCGAAAGCACCCTCGCCGAAGTCGACAAAACCGGCGGATCCACCCTCCCGCCACTAAGGAATCCTCCAAAAATGGAATATACCGATGACTTGACCAACTTGAGTTATTTGAACGAACCAGCAGGTAATAACGCACCACGGACTCAAGAAAAGAACCCTTGTTTGCCTTTGTCTGTGAGCAGCCGTAATAACTCGCTTTGTCTGTTGGCAGTTCTAAACACCATCCGAACGCGATACATGCAACATCTTATTTATACGTACTCTGGTATCGTGCTTATTGCTATGAATCCTTTCGATCGTGTGGCCCTTTATGAGCCAGATATTGTACAGCAATATTCTGGTAAACGACGAGGGGAACTGGAACCTCATTTATTCGCTATTGCGGAAGATGCGTATCGATGCATGATTCGCGAACAGACTAATCAGACGATCGTGGTATCTGGAGAGAGGTAAAGAAAAAAAAACCAAAAGCGGGTGAAAGGAGCCAGCTGGATCCACCCAACATTCATACTGATTAACGGCGGTTTTATATTCTATAGTGGTGCGGGTAAAACAGTCAGTGCCAAATACATTATGCGTTATTTCGCTACCGCCGATGATCAAGAATCCGCGGGCAAGAAGCAAAAGTTGGACGGCAATATGACGGAAGTCGAAGAACAGATTCTTGGTAGGTATATAAGGTTCCTGCATGCATGCAGCAATACAATGAACTGCGAATAAAATTCAATGGGAACAACGAAAAAATGAGGAGGAAAAGAAAAAGAAAAGGGAAAGAGAACGATACAATACGCTTGTGTATTGCCGATGGATAAAAAAAAGCATCAAGCACAAGGTCCTAATGACAACTTTTTTTTTGTATGATAAGCAACGAATCCCATCATGGAAGCTTTTGGTAATGCCAAGACGACACGCAATGACAACAGTTCTCGTTTCGGCAAATACATTGAAATCCAGTTTGATGATGGCGCCAATATTATTGGTGCCAAGATAAGAACTTACTTGCTGGAACGATCTCGCTTGATCTTTCAACCAGAAACAGAACGAAACTATCACATCTTTTATCAGGTAAGTGCCTGAAGCGCAAACTTGGCCAAAAATAAAGTACAAGAATCAGGCGGTTTCCCAGTTGTCCATTTTTGGTTTGATGAATTTAGCCTCCGTTGTGTAACCATGGATCGTCTTTTTTTTTTTGTTTGTTTAGCTTTGCGCAGGTGCTCCGTTGTCGGAGAAGAAAGAATTTGAGCTTGGGGACTATTCGTCTTTTCACTATCTGAATCAAAGCGGGACGGGAACCGTGTTGGGCGTGGACGATGCCGCGGAATTTGAAGTCACCCAGAGAGCGTTATCGACGGTGGGACTGTCGGTGCAGTTGCAGTGGAAAATTTTCAGGCTGTTAGCTGCCTTGTTGCATATTGGTAACCTGCAAATCTCGGGCCGTGGCGATGCCATGCTTTCCGACCAAGATCCGGCTCTTTTGATCACTACACGCTTGTTGGGCATCAATCCTACGGAATTCCGCAAATGGATCGTTCGCAAGCAAATTGTCACGCGGTCCGAAAAGATCGTCACCAATCTTAACCCGACCCAGGCCCTCGTTGTTAGAGATTCCGTCGCCAAATACATCTATGCCAATCTCTTTGACTGGCTTGTCAGTGTCATCAACGACAGCCTTTCGTGTCCTGACGCCGAAAAGGTCTCTACTTTCATTGGTGTCCTCGATATTTACGGTTTCGAACACTTTAAGAAGAACTCGTTTGAACAGTTCTGTATCAACTATGCCAATGAGAAACTGCAGCAACAAGTAAGTGTTTTCTTTTGGGGGGAGGGGAATAGGACATACGACTGATAAACAAGATCACTCATACTGAAAGGCTTCTTTTGTTAGTTCAATCAACACGTTTTCAAATTGGAACAGGAAGAATATGTACGGGAAAAGATCAACTGGACTTTTATCGAATTCAGTGACAATCAAAGATGCATCGAACTCATTGAAGGAAAATTGGGTATTCTGTCCCTGCTCGACGAGGTAAATCAGTCGTGTTTCTCTGTGTTTTGGCGTCAGGTGTACTCATTTTTTTTTTCCTTTGTACTTCAGGAATCGCGTCTTCCTTCTGGCTCCGATCAAGGCTTTTGTCAAAAGTTGTATAGCAACTTTGATAATGCCAATTTCAAGAACTATTTCAAGAAACCACGCTTTTCGAACAATGCGTTCACAATTGCGCACTACGCACATGATGTGCAGTATGAAGCAGAGAATTTCATCGACAAGAATAAGGATACTGTGCCAGACGAACACTTGAGTCTGCTCCAAGGCGCAGAATTTGACTTTTTGAAAGAAATCTTGGAAAAGGCCGCTGCCAATAATCCGGCTCCTACGGTAAGCTTCATCGCTGCTGGCATTATGAATGTATCAACTCAAACGCTCCCATCAATGCAATAGCCCGAGAATAACAAACGTATGAGTATGGTCGTCAGAAAACCTACGCTTGGTTCCATCTTCAAGGTAACTCGTTGAGCCTAGTTATTGAAATAACTCCGACTAATGTGTGATTTGGGTCTTTTCCCTGCGCTTTTAGCTTTCTTTGATCAATCTGATGGACACTATTGGCAATACCAATGTCCACTACATCCGTTGTATTAAACCAAACGAGGCCAAGAAAGCTTGGGAATTTGAACCCAACATGGTGCTGTCTCAACTTCGTGCATGTGGTGTTCTGGAGACCATTCGTATCAGTTGTGCTGGTTATCCTTCACGATGGACTTTTGAAGAATTCGCTGATCGCTATTATGCGCTGGTTTCGTCGAAACATTGGGATCCACGTAACAAGCCCGATGGGAGAGAATTGTGTTCCACGATCCTTGACGCTTGCATTCATGACCAAGACAAATATCAAGTCGGTATTACCAAGATTTTCTTCCGTGCGGGACAGGTAAATATCCCATTAAATTTATGTGTTGGACTGGTACTGGTACTGATATATTGTTGGTGATTAGTTGGCCTACTTGGAAAAACTACGATTGGATCGTTTCAACGAGTGTGCTATTCTGCTTCAAAAGAATATGCGACGTTTCATTTACCGCACGCGCTATTTGCGTATGCAACAACTGGCCCTCAGTCTGCAATGCATTGCTCGTCGTAAGGTGGCTGTGGCGAAACTGAAACGATTGCGTGAAGAAAAGGCCGCCATTTGCATTCAGTCTCACTGGCGTCGCTATGCTGCACGCAAACAATTTTTGGCTCAACAACAGTTTGTGCTGCGTCTACAGACAGGTAAAGTGCCGCCCCTCTCCATTTTCCTCTCATGGAATCCTCATAATGCATACTTGAATCTATTTTTTTCTAATGCATTTTATCGGCTTTTTTTACAGCTATTCGCGCCTATAATGCACGTCGCGCTTTCTCGTCGATGCGAGTCAACAATGCCGCAACGCAAATTCAGCGTTTGGTACGAGGATGGTAAGTGCTCTGCCTATCATAGGATGCCCGTAGGGGTTGTCCCACGTATGTAGTATGTGAGAGACTAAAATTTAGGGGACATCAGGTTTGCGCGCAAGCATTACAAGGCCAAACGTGCGTTTGTCGTTCAACTGCAATCAGCGATTCGTCGTCGTGCAGCAAGGAAACAGTTGGCGGGTCTGCGTTTGGAAGCTCGTTCCGTCAATCATTTCAAGGAAGTGTCGTATGCTTTGGAGAACAAGGTGGTTGAATTGACTCAGACGCTGACGGTGCTGAAGGATGAGAAGAAATCGGCCGTCGACCGGGCTACTCAACTTGAAGCCCAGGTTCGTACATGGACCGATAAATATGCCAAATTGGAACGCAAAGCGAAGAACCTCGAAGAACGATTGCAAGAGCCGACCGTCCCTCAAGCCGAATTTGATGTTCTGAAAGCAGCACGGGATGAGTTGTTGACGCAACAGAAATCGCAAAATGAGAAACTCAAGACTCAAGAACGTGAACTGGCCCAGCTTTCCAAACAGCTGGATAGCCAAAAGGAAGAAAATGCGAAGTTGCAGAAATCATTGGACGAAGCCAATGACCGTATAAGCCGTGCCACGGATGAAGCGGAAGTGGCGGAACTGAAGAGCCAAGTCGCCGCTCTGAAAGCTCAGGTGTCGCAGGTATTGCATGCCCCTCAACGGCAACGATCGGCTTCCACGGTGCGCGGCCTTTCACCAGGTCCAAACGGACTTCGCAATGCGTCGCCTTCACCTTCGCCTGTGAAGCCTTTGGATTTGGAAGATATCAAGGAAGAATCCCCCATGGAACGTAGCCGATCGCCCACAGGTATGACCGCCGTCCTGAATCGTCGCGCAAGAAGAAACAGTTCAGCCGAAGTGCGCAAGAATGGTCCAAAGTCTTCCATTGATTACATCCGACAAGCCGAATTGTTGAATAACAACAAGAACCCTCGTCCAACCTCCGTGGATCAGTTCAGTGCCATCTTGGGCGGTAAAGCAGGTAGCTTAACCGGCGGTATCGATGAAACACCGGAAGAAGAGGTATGCAACCGGGCAATGATCATCACGAGGCAACAATGGAGTAGCTGATTTTTTTTCTGCAGATTCAACATTTGTTGCAAGATGAAGAGAACTTGCAAGAAGAAATATTGGAAGGATTGATTAAAGCGTTAAAGATGCCTTTGCCGAGTCTGCAGAATCCGCCACAGACCAAGGAAATTTTCTTCCCAGCACATACCATTGGTCTCTGTATGACAGAGATGTGGCGCTTGGGCTACATTCAAGAATCCGAACGACTGGCCTTCACCATCATGGACACAATCCAAAAACAATGCTTGGTAAGCAAAAAGATCAAAGGACGTTGGCATTTTGACGACTGCATTATGTTTACATGTCTGGATTGACCGATTAATATAGAGCTTTACTGGTGAAGAGGCGATTGTACCTTGTGCATTCTGGTTGTCAAATGTGCATGAGTTACTGTCTTTGATTTGTTTAGCCGAACAAAATATGGAGCATGAAGTTTTCTTCAAGGGGACTTCCGGTGGTCGACGATCGGCGGGTTGGCACGATTTTGAGAAGCTAGTGGCCACGATCAAGTTTGAATTACAATGTTTGGAAGACAATATTTTCCACGCGTGGATGGCTGAATTGAAGAAGCGATTGAGCAAGATGGTGATCCCGGCTCTTATTGAAGGTCAATCGCTGCCTGGCTTCATTACACAGGATACCGGCCGATTCTTTAACAAGATCTTGACCGGCTCGTCGCAGCCAAGCTACAGCATGGATGATTTGCTGAATTTCCTGAACAAAGTGTGGCGTACCATGAAGTGCTACTTCATTGAACAGTCCGTCGCTACGCAAGCATTGACTGAATTACTCAAGCTGATTGGTGTAAGTGCATTCAACGATCTGTTAATGCGCAGAAACTTTTCTTCCTGGAAGCGAGGTAAGCTCTTGTGATACCAGCCATGAATGGCGATACCAGACACGTGGCTGACTCTGTTTGTTTACTCCAAAGCCATGCAAATCCAGTACAATATTACTCGTGTTGAAGAATGGTGCAAGAGCCATGATATCCCTGAAGGCACGCTTCAACTAGAACACCTGATGCAATCCACCAAATTATTGCAATTCAAAAAGGTAAGACATGTCACCTTATGCACCATCAAAGAGATACGGCCCACTCACTCGATTATATCGCGCTTAGGCAACGCTCGATGACATTGAGAACATCTATGATGTATGCTGGATCCTTTCCCCAACCCAGATTCAAAAACTGATTTCACAATACCATGTGGCCGATTATGAGGTTCGTAAAAACATAGATGGCAGTGCATTGCTGGTTAAAGATATGAGATATTGAAACAATGGTTCTTAGAATCCCATTCGACAAGAAATCCACGCTGCGGTGGCGGCTCATGTCAGTGGTGATAAGAGTGATGCTTTGCTGCTTGAACCTGTCGCTCTGGACGATATTACCAATCCTTTCGAAATTCCTCTTCCACGTCAAAGAAAACCTCAGATGTATTTGCCAGCATGGGTAAGCTCTTTGTAATTGGTGGTTTTTTTTGTGAGATAGGGAATTTATTGAAATCTTCCCTTTCCGTAGCTCAATCTCAAACGCTTACGCCGTTTGACCATGCTTATTCAGCAGGAAGAAGCGCAGTAGAAAAAAAGAAAAGAAAAAGTGCTTGTATCATATTCCCTCTCCTTACCTAACACATATCTAATGTTTTTGCTCCCATACCTTATCCTTCTATCTATCTATTTCCTTGTACAGCACATTGGAAACCGATCGGTTTTTCTTTTTTTTTTTTTTTAAAAAAAAAAAAAAAAAAAAAAAAAACCACACACACACACAGTTCTTCCACGAAGAGAACGGGCAATTATTATAATGGGATATTTTTATTTGATTCCTACAACAACGATTCCGCGCTCCAGCAATGATGGTACTATCATGAGAAATTTCTATCTATTCAGAACTACATATCTCCAATAGACTGTGGACCCATATGTGCAGCCTCAAGTAAAACTCTGGGTAAGGAACCCATTTTTTTATAACTCAACCCAGCCCATTGCGGCGGAGAAGTGAATCAATTTCAAGTGGAGATGCATCAGTCCTGCAAATAGATCAACTCATGCGAAAGAACAGCGCAGCACACAACGGGGAAACCAAACTGCACACGCTATTAACGCGTTGGCATGTCTCGTATAGTTACTAACACCGGTAGTCTACATGAGTACCGGTGGCGCAGCAGGAAATCTCCTTGAGGATACTCTCAAAATCACTTGCGGTGTTCCATCGCCATTGCAACATGGCACCATGGGAATGACACCCTGGTAATGGGCAGTAGTAAGTGAGCTTTTATTGTCATAACAACTTGAACACACGGTTTAAAAACAAAACTGATACAAAGGGGCAGGGCAAGGTAGGAAACTTCCTAGCATACCACAAGATAAAAAACTGAAGTGCGTAAAGTCTGAAGCATGTCGCATCAGCGTTCAACTATAGGCTTTATTGAAAGGTATAGAGTGACTGTAGTAGCATTTTGTTGCTCATGGCAGCATGAGTGACATGGCGCAGTCCCCTCTTTGCATGGCTTACGCGAAAGAAGTGTGAGGCTATGAATTTCGCCAGTTTTGTTGCGAGAATCGAGCCAATGAGGTGCATTCGCGGTCAGAAACAGGGTCACAAATCGAAGGTCCGCCAAAAGATATAAAAAGAGGGCGTTTCTTCTGATCTCTTTTTTTTCTTTTGTGCGCCAGTTCGGAATCAGGGGCTGCTAGGCTGGTGGTTACTGGTAATGATGAACGCTCCGGTTTTTGGTAAAGCATTCGGGGTATGGCGAAAAATTCGAAAACCATCTTCTAATGATAGGATTGGCCATCCTCTGAAGAAGATTGTTTTCGTTCCCGTTGGCTCTTCCCTTTGGGCGCCTGACTAGTCATCAGCGCGGTCATTGTGGAAGGTATGTCGGTGGGTTTGCTTTTTAATCGCAACAAAGGTAAATGAAAAATAAAAAAGGCTTTTTGCCTTTATTATTCTTTTTCTCAGCCCTTTGTGGGTTGAATAATAAAAATAAAAAGTGGGCTTAATGTCCTGTGGACGAACTACGCCACTTCATATAAAAAGAAAAATAAATGAAGAACACTTTATTTTCATTTGATGCCAAGCGAGTTCAAGAGCTAAGATAAAACGAATGTGTGCGGTCCAAAGCGACTTTTTTTTTCCACAAGCTTCATTCGGGATCTTCCCTACACGAACTTGTGGGGATGAATGGTCATTCCCATGCATGTAATGTGAGGTATTAGCTCTGTGTTATCCGTCTTGTACGCATAATATTGGGCTCGTTATATGATTAAATGAGTTGAACTTGAGAAGCTTGTAGCGTATCAAGTCTATTAGTACCGATATGGATGAGTTGGGGCAGAGCAAAGGTTGGTCTTCAATGAATCAAAGATAACAACCGTTTCATCGCCCAAAATTGGTAGGCTCACAGCAGAAAGCCAAGCGGTGCTTCCTTATTACTGCCTTCATTTTGACATGCTGCCGCTATTTCAAAAACTTTCTCATATAACAGCATTTCTTTGTTATTTGCGATTGCTCGTCCCTACTTCTTGGAACAAACGGATGGTGATTACACATATGAATACTTTTGGGCTGTACAAGGCTTGTAACCTCGTGTTGTACTTGAAAATGCGGCCAATGAGAGATGCCAAGCAAGAGACTGTAGGATCGAAATGCATACATGACAAAAATTCGGTCGATCTACTGTCTGGGATTTATCATAAATACCGTTTCCGTAGCCGTCTCAATATTCAAGGAAGATCAGTGCTAAAATCACCCGCATACTGTAAGATACCTTCATCTCAAAAAAAGCATCTGTTGTTCTGAAGTTTTATGATTTGTTAGATAATACAATAGTAGATAAACGAGTTTAAGTGATGACCAAGAGGAAATGGGATCTGCTGTTCGAACTACAGTATGAGCTTTAACCCGAACTTCTGTGCATAAAGTACTGGTTTTGGTTAACGACCGATCTGGCCATGCATACCCTCACGCATGATATCTAGGATTCATTGATTTTGTGACAGTAATGAACGTTTACTTTCGTTGATCTATCTGATCATATGTCGTTCAAACAAGAGGAATAAGAAAAAAGAACCGAAAGTACACTGGCGTCTGCCCATGACATTGGACTTTATGACTGCACAGATTTCCTTTGTGGTCAGTTATTGGGAGCTATCTTTGTAACTTATTTTTTTACGACGTTAAGGAAGTATAATATCAATAAAGAAAATATAATCTATTTTGCAGTTTTACATTATGCAGAACTAAGAAACAATGTTGTGCTAAGAGCGCAAAAAAAAATAAGATTAGGGTTTTTTTTTTCGTTTCAATCTGCGAAGTATCAAAGGAAGGGTGCATAATGGTGTGAAATGGATAAATAAGGAGAGAAGAATTGGTCTCTCCTCGACGAGAAGGCGCTTTGTGGCAAGGATGTACAGTAGCTCGGGAGGAAATAGCAATTCAGCTCATGCTAAAAAAAAAAAAAAAAAAAAAAAAAATAGTTGGTCCATGACTTGGCAAGACGATTTGCTTCATCGATCGAGCTTAATATTGAGGTCGTACGACAGATGCAGCTGGATCCATTGCTTCGTCGTGTTCAGAGGCTGGATAAAAATCGTTGAGTTGTCGTAAATAACGATCGCGTTCTTCTTGGGCCGGCGTCGGTGAATCACCAGGTGTATGAGCCTTGCGGTTCGTAACTCTTAGGGAACCGAAGAAGCCTTTCTTTTTGCTGCTACTGTGATGGTTGGATGAAGGTCCCTCGTCGTTATATAGATGCTTCGCGGCAGCTGATCCATATTCTACTCCTGCTTCGCGCATGGTCTCCCTCTTTTTTCCAATAGGTAGCATCGTTACACCGCTTTCATCTCCGCTGCTGCTTCGATTGTCCTCGTGAATCAATGCCCTCTTTGACAGTTCCCCTTTGCCATTGGATGCCGAGGAAGAGTAGGGACACGGATGGATTTCATTATTACCAGTATTGAATGCGGCAGGAATACTCGGTCGTTTGGTGGAAGAATAACCGGCTACAGATAAGAATTGAGACGATTTGGACGGGGTTTGTTCCGATAGTGAAGCAAGGCTGTTCATGGATCCGCTCGGTTTTAAGTTGCCTGTCCAGGACCCTTGGATCATGCGTCGGATAGTATCGACTTTCTTCTTTTTGCCTTTGGTGCGAGGCCCGTCTATCGATGGTCTCTCATGATTGTCGGTACTCAACCTGATGTCCTCGGTAACGGCGTACTTGTTCGAAGAAGGGTTGGTCAGTTCGTCGGCATCATTCGGTGACACTTCCATTTTGAGACTGTCTTCCGCTTCCTCCTTCTTCGATGAATCGAATAGGTGTTTCGAAAGCTTGGACTCTTTCAAATCGGTAATCATTCGTTGCGTACTCCGTCCAAGAGTGCCAGCACGCTGAGAACAGCGAGGTTGAACCCCTTCCCATGCTGCAATGGGACTGATACCGTTGGCACCGTTCTGCTTTGTCATTTCTTTTCCAGCAAAGGCGGGGTTCGCCGATAACGAATCTCGAGGTTTTGTTTCTTCTTTTTCACTCGTTTGTGTTTCCTGCCACCAACCGGCAATATCTTGGGCGGTAGGGCCTTGTTTGTTTCGCATGGCAACAGCGGAAACCGAGGCACGACCGTTTCCGACAATGCTGTCACGAACCAATCGACGGGCCGAACCGGTGGTCATTGTCAAGTTTTCCATGACCCGCGGATCACGACTGCGCACACTGGAAAAGTAACCTGCCGCTTCTCGTCTAGCTTGTGGCGACAAATAAAAACTGCCGTCTTCAGCGGCTTGAAGTGCAGTCCTTTGTAGCGTATCATCATCCACCATAGTGGACCGACGTCTTGATTTTCGGGACGCTGTGCGAATAATCATGCGCGCAGCATGGATGGTGTTGGCGTGATTTTCATGCTCCGCCGGATCCTCCGTGTCACTCAAAGGCAGGGACGCCATCGGCGCTTCATCTTCTTTCCAGTCGTCGTCTTCTTCTTTGTCGAAGGTACATGGTGAAGCCGTGTTATCTACCATGATTTTATCACTTATAGATACTTGCGGTTGCTGGGCAATGGTGACTTTTTTCTTTGGCAGCGGAGCATCCAAGACTGTATGCAAATCTTGGCGCGACATGGGCCCTTGTCGGGATGCAATGGATGAACGACGGCCTGATGGATGATGGACTGATTCTTCCTCTGGTACCTGAGGCTCAAACACTTCTTGTATAGGCGCAGGTTTGGAATTGGATTTTTGGCGACGAAGTGACTGCCGTAGCGTATTACGAAGAGTGGCTGCTTTATGTTGCATGTTGGCGTACAGATACGGCATATCGAGATCAACCGAAACGAAGCCTTTGGATTTTTCTTCATCATGATGACCAGTATTCATGTATTTCTGGAAAATGTCGTTGGCCTCATTTGAGTTTAGTTCGAGCTTATCTGCAAACAGGGACGATGAAGGTGGAGGAAGTGGCAACGCGATGCTCATTTCTTGAAAGGGATGTGACAGATACTCGGTTTGTGACAAATCCTTTTTTAACGCAGGAACATACGACGACGGTAACGGAGGTGCATCGTTGGCCGTCTCAAATTCTTTTTCAACGCCTACGCGTGAGGTGACAAGGGTTCGCAGCGACCCGAAAGAAGGCCGCTTTTCCAAACTCTCGGTATCTTTTTCACGTAGCACGTCTTCGTTGGGAGTAGCGGTTCGACTGATTCCGTCTTCGGTGATTTTGGAACGGGGTGATCGGAAGATACGTTTACGGATGAAAACAAAGATCAGGGTAAGTGACAGGATAGCGATGACCACGATGCCAAGAATGACGGCCCAAATCGGGATGTTGGCCGTAGGTTCGCCATGGTCGATGGACGGATCTGGCGGACAGTGAATTAGTCTAATGAACAAGATGTTTTCCACTGGTTATTTTTCATTATGTTTTCTACCTGCAGTCACGAGCTGGCCATGAATGACACACACGAGCGCTACAGCTATCACGGTGAACTGCTTTTCGACGAATGACATTGCGACTTGTGGATAAAAGGAGAGACACGAGGGAGTGAGGATGATTCAAAAGAGAGGTGAAAAAAAAAATCACAAGTACACAACAGTAAATATAAAAATAAAATAAAACAATGGAATGAAAGAGATCCAGGGGGGAAAACAAAGCACCAAGTAAAAATGATGTTCAATGTTAAAGAAAGCTGTTGATTGAACGAGTGAATGAACAAGTGGATAGAACGGAAGGAAGAAAGGAAACAGCGATCAAAAGAAGAGTAGAAAGGAAGGTAGTAAGATAGATCAAAAGCGGAGTGACCCAGTGCGGAGAAGAGCCATGGGGTAAAAAAAAGGGGTTTTCACAAAAAAGGGAGCGACTTTTATCTGTCTCGTCGACCTAATGAGCATACTAAGCTTTACAACCATGCCAAAAACGTACAAAAAGGAGGCCCTTCTTCCAAAAATGTAGATGCAAGTGACTTACGTATATAATACCCGTCTCTCTTTGTTCGCTGCAGTAAGATGCTTTCTCGGACCTGAAATTCTTGAGAATGCCTCGCCACGTTGATTAAGCATTCATGACTAAACAAGGAGAACGGACGACCATGTACAATATTTTTCTTCAATGCAAAATACAGGTGATTTTGAATGAATGGCAACCAAGGCAAGCATGGCTGCTACGGAACAGGTTCGATCGACATGTCAGGTGCATAAGAAACTCTGGTTCTCTCCAACATGGCAAACCACTTTTATTAGATGCATTTTTCATCAAAGATCAAAGCACATGGTTGAAAAGTGGATGATGCATTTCGTCAGAACATTCTTTTCTTTTCTCCCATTTACCGCATATAATTGCTATAAGATTTTCGCAATTTAATCCAAGTATACTTCACCTTTTGATTGTTAATCAATGCGCGATTTCTTAATAAATTGCAAGAGATAATAAGGAAACACAGGACGATCGAACCCTTCGTATATGCGAGAAGTGTCTGTTCATCATTTCTATCAAAACCGTGGGAGATGGCGCTGTTATTGTTGTCATTCTCATCTAATCAATGACAACAATATTGAAGCATCAAGAGAATAAACAATGCTACTGGAAATGATATTAAGTGTTGAAGGGGTAAAGATAAATGGCAGTATAGAATTCATCCTTGAAATTGATTGTTTTTCGATATCTATGATCCAATATTATATATGGCAATTTTAAGGGATCAATCTTTTCATAGATTAGATAACACTGCACAGAAAATAACGATTGATAAGAGCATACTATAGGAATCAACGCCGACAAGAATCATTCGCGTTAAATAGGTAGCCAACACTGTATTGTACGTATAATTCGATATATCCTATATAAAAAGCGGTAATCTTTAGACAAAAATAAAAAAAATAGTAGATGTCTACTGCTTGTTATAATGATATTGACTGCATCCTCCTTTACGATAATAAGATAATACATGGACCTGAAAAACGCACAGAAACCGAATAATGTTACGATAATAATCATTAAATCAATCGAGATATGCGGATACTCGACTTCACTGATCTGAACTTCACACGGACTCAAATTTTTCAAAATAATGGCATAAAAAGTTGGTGCTTTACATCTATGGGATATCGTCCATTTATGCCATACTATAATCTTAGCACCATCTTCTTGGTAGCGCAGCTTCTTATTTTTATCATTGACGCAACATGGTTGCTATAGAGATACATCGATATGCGAGGCAAAAACTGTCAGAAATATTCGGTGAATGTCAGATTTCTGGTCCCTGGTCTGTTTTCTTTGGTTCAACTCGCTGTTTCTGTCGATCTGTTTTATTGTTGCGTGATATTTTATTACTCGAAATAAAAAGTTGAAGCAAGGAGCAATAAGCCTGAAGAACCGGACATGGATATCATTAATTCGCCTGCACCTACGAGGTGATCAACTACAAGCATACTGCAGCAAGAGAACATGTATAAATAGCGCACTTTTCTTGGACATATATGAGAATAAATTACAGTATATATAAGCAGCGTAGAAAATATTTGTTTCCATGTTTGCAGGTGGGATGCAAAAGCTTCGTTGGAAATGATCACTTACGTCTATCTGACCATGCACGTTTTAAAGTGTGTCTTCACTGCATCATCACACATATTCCACAAATCATATAGGAATACATGATTATGAAGGCATATGCAAGAAAAACTGGCTTGGATTGTAAAGTTTTCTGCAGTACAGGTTGCATTTCGCGTTAAGCATGTTGCTTATCAGAAATGGCGCTTATTAGCCGTTTGAGCCACCAGCGCTTAGGCGGCGTTTCAAATGCATTGGCAATCGTCATGTGCGAGAAAAGAGCGGCCATTGTGATGTCGCTTGTTCCTGTTATTGTTTTCCTATAAAGATACCATGGACAATGCACATACGGATCCAGCTTTTAATGCAGCATGGCACAATGGACAACTTACAGAAGAGCAACTGCAAACTTTGACCAAGGAGCAGCTTGAAAGGTGAGTAACAATGAAAAAAGCAGCCGGCCTCTTTTACCCTACTAATCTGACCCTGCAATCCAGATACAACATGCAACAGGAATATCTGCTTCAACATAAAGGTAGACAATGCAACAATCGTCGCTTCTACCAACACCAGCATCTTTACGAATGCTTCTATAGATCATGAATCACAGCACGAATTAATGGCATTTATATTACTGTTTGCCTTGTTTGCGTCTCAATTCCTTATTCTCTACTGGAAGAAGAGACATTATTCATCCTACCAAATTGTCAGCTTGGGTGGCCTTTATATCTTTCCCATGCTGTTTGCTCTTTACGATGGGTGGTATCGCTTTCTTTCAGTTTGGCTCCTTTATTCTCTTTTGAACGGATTCGGTAAGCTGCTGAACCGAAGCGTGATCTCGAATCGGCTCACCTCACAATTTTACTCAACATCATACAGTGATTCACAAGGCATCTCAAAAACCATTGGAAGCCATGACGCCTAGAATGGTGTACAAGTGGTATACCGTTGTTTATAATGTTTCGTTCTTCGTGGGCCTTTTAGGCTACGGTACGATTTTATTCGTATTTTTTGGCTTTGCTGCGCTGTTCTCGGCTGGTCCAGGATTGATGCAGGCAGGCATCTTACTGTTGAGCTATGGTCTCTATTTCGGGTATGGATAATAACTTGGAAAAGGAACAAGAAGCCATGATCTAATTGGAATGTGTTGTTATACAGTGTGCTTAGTAGAGATTTTGTTGAAATTTGCTCGGACCGCATGGCATCCACTATTGGCTATTTCTCAAAGGATGGACTCCCGAGCAAGCATTTGAGCGAGAACATTTGTGCTGTGTGTGGACAAGCAACCTCTTCCACAACAGGCACTTTAACCGAAGCACCACAACGTGCCATGTTCGAAGATGATGCCGTCCATCAACTTGCTTGCAAACACGTATTTCACGAGAAATGTATTCGTGGATGGTGTCTGATTGGCAAAAAAGATATTTGCCCCTATTGGTAATACGATTTTTGTTTACTATTATTATAGGCTGTCGATCTAAACTGCTCTTTTCATTTTTTTCATAGCAAAGAGAAAGTGGATCTGAAGCAATTCAAGAAGAATCCGTACGTATTTTGATGCTGGACAAATGGGTTATCTTGCTTTTGCGCTGACATTATATTTCCTTTATTTTTTTTTCAAAGATGGGATACACAGCAACAGTTATATCTAAATATTCTTGACGGCGTCCGTTATCTGGTGGTGTGGCAACCTGTAAGTTGTTATGGCAGGAAAGTTCAGGCACATCTTTCTAATCATTTTCCGGTTGACAGATTATTTTTGGTGCCGTTCAACTTTCATATTACATCTTTGGCTTAGATTAAGAAAAAGTAACCTTAATATCTCCTCCAACAAGTAGATTCTTTATCCACAAAGTAAACATCTAATTAAAAGTCGGCTCGAAAAAAGTTCCCATGTCAAATTTTGTTAACATTTACAAAAGGAAACTGCCTTTTTATTTTGTCCTATTTGCTTTCGATCTTTGGAGTTTCTTGTTTTTCAGAGACAGAGCTTGGATTATTAATGATTTCGAAAAAGACGGATGGAGAAAACAGACTCTTTGAAAGAGAGCTTTCTGAGAAAAGGCTATTGGTAATACGACAACATGCAATATCTGAATTCCAACCAGCCACAGCGATTGTAAATTGCCAATTTCCCAATGTGATAGTGTAACTTGCTGGATGACGCGGTGTCAGAGTGAGGAGTAATCAGACCAATGTGCCCCTGAGTCTCGTTACTAGAATCCCTTCTTTGTGTGATTGCCAGGATAATTTCCACCAAGAACAGCTTTTTTCGCGACTTTAGGGTGATTGCGTTAGTACGGTTTTCTAATAATAACGAAATGAGCTTTGGTCCTTGTATAGAATTTGGCGTATCACACCATTTACCTTGGATGAACCCGCTTGTCGATGGGAACGCACCCTTCTTTGTGTGATTGCCGAAAAACGGCATGTTTTCTATCAGAGCGGTTTGTTCGTGACTTTCGGGGTGGCTGCGCCAGTATGGGTTAGTGAGCTTTGGCCCTTGCATACTGACACATCACAATATATACCTTGCATGAACCCATTTATCGGTGGAATCGAAAGCAAACACCGGAAAGCTGTCCAGTAGACAGATCTATCCCGAACAGTAGACCGGGAAACGCCTTCTTTGTATGATTGTCAGAGCAAAACAGGAGGGTTTCTACCAGGAGCGGCTTTTTTCGCGACTTTTGGGTGATTGGGCCAGTATGGTTCTCTAATGACAATGGAGTTAGAGTTGGTTCTTGTATACAGTTTATCGCGTCACCCATTTACCTTGCATGAAACCGTTTATCGATGGATTCAAAAGCGAATACCGGGAAAGCTGTCCAGCAGACAGATCTACTCCGACCAACAGACGGAGAAGGACCCTTCCATACCCATTGGGGAAAGAGCAACACTCTTGCACTCGTAAAGAAAATCAGAAAGCTGTCCAGCAGACAGATCTACCCCGACCAGCAGACGAGGAAGCGCCCTTCTTTGTATGATTGTCAGAGTGCAACAGGATGATTTCCACCAAGAGCGGTTTTTTCGCGATTTCGAGGTGACTGCGCCAGTATGGTTTTCTATTGATAAGAGAGTGAGCCTTGGCCCTTGTATACAAGTTGGCATATCACACTATATACCTTGCATGAACCCGATTGTCGGTGGATTCGAAAGCGAATACCGAGAAGGCTGTCCAGCAGACAGATCTACTCCGACCAACAGACGGAGAAGGACCCTTCCATACCCATTGGGGAAAGAGCAACACTCTTGCACTCGTAAAGAAAATCAGAAAGCTGTCCAGCAGACAGATCTACCCCGACCAGCAGACGAGGAAGCGCCCTTCTTTGTATGATTGCCAGAGTGCAACAGGATGATCTCCACCAAGAGCGGCTTTTTCGCGACTTCGAGGTGACTGCGCCAGTATTTTCTAATGATAACGGAGTGAGCCTTGATCCTATTATACAACTTGGCATATCACACTATATACCTTGCATGAACCCGATTGTCGGTGGATTCGAAAGCGAATACCGAGAAGGCTGTCCAGCAGACAGATCTACTCCGACCAACAGACGGAGAAGGACCCTTCCATACCCATTGGGGAAAGAGCAACACTCTTGCACTCGTAAAGAAAATCAGAAAGCTGTCCAGCAGACAGATCTACCCCGACCAGCAGACGAGGAAGCGCCCTTCTTTGTATGATTGCCAGAGTGCAACAGGATGATCTCCACCAAGAGCGGCTTTTTCGCGACTTCGAGGTGACTGCGCCAGTATTTTCTAATGATAACGGAGTGAGCCTTGATCCTATTATACAACTTGGCATATCACACTATATACCTTGCATGAACCCGATTGTCGGTGGATTCGAAAGCGAATACCGAGAAGGCTGTCCAGCAGACAGATCTACTCCGACCAACAGACGGAGAAGGACCCTTCCATACCCATTGGGGAAAGAGCAACACTCTTGCACTCGTAAAGAAAATCAGAAAGCTGTCCAGCAGACAGATCTACCCCGACCAGCAGACGAGGAAGCGCCCTTCTTTGTATGATTGCCAGAGTGCAACAGGATGATTTCCACCAAGAGCGGTTTTTTCGCGATTTCGAGGTGACTGCGCCAGTATGGTTTTCTATTGATAAGAGAGTGAGCCTTGGCCCTTGTATACAAGTTGGCATATCACACTATATACCTTGCATGAACCCGATTGTCGGTGGATTCGAAAGCAAATACCGAGAAGGCTGTCCAGCAGACAGATCTACTCCGACCAACAGACGGAGAAGGACCCTTCCATACCCATTGGGGAAAGAGCAACACTCTTGCACTCGTAAAGAAAATCAGAAAGCTGTCCAGCAGACAGATCTACCCCGACCAGCAGACGAGGAAGCGCCCTTCTTTGTATGATTGCCAGAGTGCAACAGGATGATTTCCACCAAGAGCGGTTTTTTCGCGATTTCGAGGTGACTGCGCCAGTATGGTTTTCTATTGATAAGAGAGTGAGCCTTGGCCCTTGTATACAAGTTGGCATATCACACTATATACCTTGCATGAACCCGATTGTCGGTGGATTCGAAAGCAAATACCGAGAAGGCTGTCCAGCAGACAGATCTACTCCGACCAACAGACGGAGAAGGACCCTTCCATACCCATTGGGGAAAGAGCAACACTCTTGCACTCGTAAAGAAAATCAGAAAGCTGTCCAGCAGACAGATCTACCCCGACCAGCAGACGAGGAAGCGCCCTTCTTTGTATGATTGCCAGAGTGCAACAGGATGATTTCCACCAAGAGCGGTTTTTTCGCGATTTCGAGGTGACTGCGCCAGTATGGTTTTCTATTGATAAGAGAGTGAGCCTTGGCCCTTGTATACAAGTTGGCATATCACACTATATACCTTGCATGAACCCGATTGTCGGTGGATTCGAAAGCAAATACCGAGAAGGCTGTCCAGCAGACAGATCTACTCCGACCAACAGACGGAGAAGGACCCTTCCATACCCATTGGGGAAAGAGCAACACTCTTGCACTTGTAAAGAAAATCAGAAAGCTGTCCAGCAGACAGATCTACCCCGACCATCAGACGAGGAAGCGCCCTTCTTTGTATGATTGCCAGAGTGCAACAGGATGATTTCCACCAAGAGCGGCTTTTTCGCGACTTCGAGGTGACTGCGCCAGTATGGTTTTCTATTGATAAGAGAGTGAGCCTTGGCCCTTGTATACAAGTTGGCATATCACACTATATACCTTGCATGAACCCGATTGTCGGTGGATTCGAAAGCGAATACCGAGAAGGCTGTCCAGCAGACAGATCTACTCCGACCAACAGACGGAGAAGGACCCTTCCATACCCATTGGGGAAAGAGCAACACTCTTGCACTTGTAAAGAAAATCAGAAAGCTGTCCAGCAGACAGATCTACCCCGACCATCAGACGAGGAAGCGCCCTTCTTTGTATGATTGCCAGAGTGCAACAGGATGATTTCCACCAAGAGCGGCTTTTTCGCGACTTCGAGGTGACTGCGCCAGTATTTTCTAATGATAACGGAGTGAGCCTTGATCCTATTATACAACTTGGCATATTACACCATTACCTTGCATGAATCCGCTTATCGATGGATTTAAAGGCGAATGACTGCGGAACTGCCAATGAGTTTGAAAACAAGGTGTTAACCAAGCAGTTGAAACAGAAGCGAAATGTCTCAATTTCTGTGACTTGCGTCATCAAGGCAATTTCCTTTTTTTTTCGTGCATACTGAACACGCGCGGTTCTCTCTGATTCATATTCGCAATGGAGTAAATACGTACTTCTCCAGCTAGAATCCTCCATGAGAATTATGAGCCGAACGGTAATAGCCATTCTCATATTCGTGCTGACAGCCTTTGGGGCCTGGGGAATATATCGAATGTCATGGTTTGTGGCGTAAAAAGTACGGATCGACGAGAAATGCAGATACACCCGTTCGACTTGATACTATTCACCTTTTGTTATAACGAAGGCCGTAAAAACCAACCTACTTCGTTTGATCCCAACACTAAGTTCGTGAGATAAATAGATACATGTGAAAATATTATTAAATATTATAAAAAATTAATACCTGAATTATTTTTTCAAGAAAAAAATTAGAGCAAAATATTATGGCGTTGGATAATAGGCTGCTGCTTCAATACATTAGGGCCACCTACTTGGGAATCCTTGCAGTAAGAACTTGGCATGCTGGTTTTACTGCAGATCAGATTCATTTCGTGTGACGCTGCTTTATGCGTTTTAAACTCATTCTCATCATCACTGGTGCATAATGCACTGGAGCTGCCAATACTTCTCTTCTCTTTTCCTTCTTTTTCTTCTTGCTTGTTTGCACTTTAAGCCGCATGGCTAATCACGATTGAAAAATGCGATGGAGAAGGTCACTTGGGTGCATGAAATGCTGTCTGAACATCCTACCTTTATTTTACGAACCCACCTCAACTTTGTCTGAGGACGATATCCAACCCAGCTGGTAATCTCAAAAACATAAAGCAAGGATATGCAAAAAGGAAACGAAAAGTGATAGAAGCGGGGTAAGGACACAAATTTTTCATCGTCAACGCGATCGCACTTCTTCATTTAACCACTTGTAGCTCCAGACGCCGGTTCAAATTAGGCATCTCTATGATACTTGCATTCGACTCCACTCAGGCTGGATACGTGGTGTAACTTCTGACTTGGAAATGTTTAGCGCTAGGCAACGATCAATTCCGAGCATTCAACTGGAGAGTATATAAAACCTCGGAGGGCTATCCATGTAACGGCTAGTCTTCGCCCACCAAGCTTGCCATATAATTACCCCAGTTCCTGCCTTAAAATTTGACGGGACAACCACTTTTCTTGAAGGGCTATTCCAGAGGTGGCTGAAAATGGGATTGGGCAAAGGAATAATGAATCCAAAATAACACCTGCGAAGAAGCTGGCAGGCTGCATATCATTAAGCGGACAGTTAAATGAGTATCACCCAAATAGAACAGTCATATCAACTTGCAAAGTCAGCAATTTTTCATTCAGCGAATTTTTCCCCTCCATCTTCGCTAAAAAGGTAGGCCAACGGTAGGACGAATGCAACTTATTGCATTGTAAATCCAACAGAATGAATCGCATCGTTTAATTACGGGTGTCTGTAACTCCGACTGGCCGTATCAAAGGACGCTATTGTCTGCTGTGCACCCCGGGGTGAGACCCGTTACGGCAAGGATCAATGTTTTCATTGTACACAAAAAGCGGGAATGAAAAACTAGAAATTCTCGGGAATATCCAATGCTTTGCAAAAATGATCACCGTAGCGCGTTGCTTTGGTGAACAAATTATAAAATGTATCGAAAACTAACCCATTTTAGCACAGTATCGGGATCGTTTCCTTCCCATGCCGTATACGTAAATGCTCCTGCTATACTTTTTAACTTCGGACCTCTGAACTGACATTGTCCAATTCCAGTGCAGTTATTCAATAGATTAGGCCAACCATATTTATCCAATGGGCCACATGGTTTTGGGGAAACCCACGACCATTCGCTACGATGATGTGACAGCTATTATTCAACTGAAAATGATCATCAAAAGAATTCTCTCATGGAAAAAAGTTACCCGGTCAATGGATCGGACGACAAACCTTTTTTTTTTCGGAACTCGGTAGATCCACACGATCGTTCATCTCCAATTACGCCCCCAGTGTGGGGTGCGGACGATGAACGAGCTGCAGCGGCTATTGAATTTATTGTCATGAAAAACATGTCCCGAAAGGTTTAATGTTTAAAGTCCGCATAAACCCATCTTGCGTTTTTCCATCTTCCTTCGAAATTGGTCATCTTTTCCCAACCGTTTCTTTTCATTTTTTCTCCAGTCGCTTCCTGTATTTTTCTTTTTTCTTTCGTTTTCGTTTACCCTTTCCGTGATAGTCATGTATACGGATTCCCTTTTACCAAAATCGTCACCTTCTCCACGGTTTCAGAATAATGTTCTGGAAGGTACACCGGCCTTAAGTTCAACCATGGAACGACAGGGTTCTGGCGACAACTCACCTGTCTCCTCCAAATCCGTTCAAAGGCACCAGACAGAATTAAGCATCTGCTTATCCGATGCTTCACGCGGTATTATGCGTACCAATCGGATCATTCGAGGTAAGGACCAGTTCAGCTGTTTCTCTTTTCTGGCTCTTGCATTGATGCCCGTTATTGTTTTGTCTATCCAGGTGTGGTCAAGCTGCATGCAGCAACCCGAATCAGCGTTTCTCAAATCCGTATTAAAGTGAGTGGGACATATACCGGGACAATGCGCATTTTTCGATCTGACAGTCCTTGTTTTCCTCGGTTTTTTCCTCCTTTTTGTATGACCCCGGTTTAGTTCCGAGCTGAAGAAGTGGCCACTGCGAAAGTACGCGAAACGGGATTTGATTTCAATGTGGATCGAATTGACCAGGCGACAACGACTTACTTTGAAGTGACAGGCATTGTTTGGGGAGAAGAATCCAAAGGTATAGGGAATGTCGTCCATGATCAATGGGGCGCAGTTTTAAAGACGAGGATTCTGACGGAGGTGAGAAAACCATAGCATTCTGTCTGAATACATGGGAGGAACTTGAGCCTGGCGACCATGAGTTTCCGTTTGCGTTAAAGGTACAGTGTGGCTGAATGATCCAGGTATATACAATGGGATGGAGATCGGCTGGAACTGAAAATTCTGGTGATCCCTTTTTAGTTTCCAAACGTGAACTTTCCTCCTTCGGTAGACGATTTACCGGGGTTCTGGGTACGATATATTTGGACGGCGTATCTGGATGCGCCGATGCATCATCCCAGTCACCGCAGTAAAGATTATGTGATTCCATATCGACCCATCATATGTGCGCCGCCTGGTCGAGAATGGGCTCATCACGAATTATTATACAGTGAAAAAAAGGTGCCCATAGCTCAAGTACGATTAAAGCTAGCGAAGCAAGCGTTTTGTCCCGGTAAGCTTCGGGGCCGTAAAGCCTGTAAAAGTCATTTTGCTTTAACTCAGACAGCTCATGACAAAACGGTGTGAATCTTGCAGAGGAATACATGGATATGGAGTTAAATGTGCGTATGGTCCCTTCGGAAGCGATTGTGGCCGGTATCAATTTTGCATTACTGAAACAGTACGATGGCATCTTACTTGGCAACATCCGTCGTCAGCATCAACGCACGGTTTTACAGTCATCCATTTCTATGAGTGGCAACGCGAGCGAAATCACGGTTCCTATCCGTTTCCAGATACCCACACGGTTAACGTCGCCCTGTTTTACTTCCAAATATATCCGCGTTTACTACAGGCTCTCCTTTAGCATTCAGTTCAGCACGGTCGGATCACTACGCATCAAAGCCGGGAAAGCCGTTACGTTTAGTGTGCCTATAGGAATTGCCAATTTACCATACAGCCAGTTCTCACATGTCCCGGAACTCAGCTCGATCGAAAGCTATGAGGATTCGAAACAGGCGCCCGTGTTTTTCGATCCAACCTTGGAAGACATGCCCCAGGGATACGTGAATGATATGACGTCGATCCCGGCGCAATCGCCACCTAATTATTTTAGTTTGCCGAGAGCTCCGCACCTGTATTCACACGTGAAAGAACGCAATGAACACACGGTGTGGACAAGTCGGTTCGTCAAACCTGGATTTGCGCCCGAATTAGGTGACCCCTTGACCGCAGCCTCCAATTTCAGGGATTATAACGGATGGTAACACTATTGGAAGTGGTGCGTTTCATGTTCTCGGTAGGGGGTGAGACAAAAAGGAAAAGAAACAGAGAAACTCGATTCGGCTTTACCGACCCGGAATTCCAATCCATCTTTTTCAAGATGAACTGCCAACATTGAACGAGGAAGATGAGAGTTGTTTTTATTCTAACCGTAGCCGCTTGGATTTACTTTTATTATTACTTTTTTTCCACCGTCCTCTGGTTGCCTCCCGTGAAGAAGTATTCCTTCTCCATCTTCATTTTTTTTTATCCATTCATTCAATCCGTTGCCATTATCTATGAACACTCCCTGATTCGTTTTTTCCTTCTTTTTTGCTGTTAATAACTCATCGCACAGACATCAACAATAGAAATGATTGCATGATTTTTTCCATTCCTAGTCCCCGCTTGACACGAAAATAGAATGTAAAGCTTTTTTTTTCTCGTTGAGGAGAAAAAGATGACTGACAAGCTCGTGTCGACTTGATCAATGAAGTGCGTGTGGCGATCCTCCAAGCGTCAAGAAACAATGCGATTAATATATTTGCAGTACGGAGTGAAAAATCCAAGATCAATCAAAAAGGAAGACTAAATAAATAAAAAAGGGGGGGGGGAGGGCGAAAACGTACTTTCCGCTTGAGCTCACGGTGACGTGGAAACAAAGCAACACAAAAAAAAAAGGTAAAAAAAAGCTTCTTTCTTTCTCAAACCCGCTCCCTTTCTTACGTTCTCCTTTTTTCTGTTGTTCAGCCTAGTCTCTTCAGCCTCATCATGACTTTTTTTAACAAGCTCATTGACAAAGCCAGAGCTTCGTCTCAACCTTTGCAGGCCCAAGATCAGCCCATACAGGAGCAACAACCGTCACCGTCACTCTCCAACGATCCTGCAAGTTTGCATAATACTTTTACGGCCTTTCTGCATAATCATCACCAGGTGAAGCAGGAACCGAGTGGGCTGGTGACACCCCCGGCATCTGCAGCTGCAACTCCCTATGTTAATCTGGAATCTCGATCCACAGATGAGTCGAGAATGAGTGTGGATAGTCCAGGTAACAAGCGGGAATTGCTTTGGACAGAGGGCGAGAGAGAACATAAATTACAGAAGACCTCCGCCGGCGCAGTGCCTTCGAATACAAGTGGTTATTATCGGGTTTTTTGCAACATCGATGAGGGAGAGATGGATAGAGGCAGTACATTCGCTTTTTTTGACGGATGTTGGGCGTGTCCTTTTTTTTTTTTGGGTGTTGGCGGTTTTTTGCTTCTCTTTGCCGGATAGACTGACCAGGATGTTGCATTTGTAGAATATGCACAAGCTGTAGCCAACCAAGAAGATCGATCCCAACAACAACAAGGTAGAGATAAAAAGCGTCTCAATGAACGTGTCTCCCTAATTTCCCGTGTTTCATTCGTTTCATCTTTCATTAGTTGCCAAGGAGCCATCAATGCATCATGCGAGTCAAATATCTTACCACGGTGCCCCGATACTGAATAATACTTCACAAGCACAGCCATCGTCACTGCCACAGCATCATCAATTTTACGTCCCCAAAAATGGACATACTGCAGCCGAAACTTATTCCCATTCTCAGTCAATGGGCCATTCCCAAAATAATGCCAATTTTTCCACGATGAACCACCACCAGCAGCAGCAACAACCATCGGTGAAAGCAGCAGAACAACCGATCCAAGGCCATCAACTATCCATGCAACCACCAATGCCTCGCGCCACCCCCATGTTACAATCACCCCCGCCGCCCCGTCGCCCCGAAGATCGTCAAACCCGTTCGGCACCGCGACCGCATCCCAGAGTGGATGAGCAAACCGTTATGCAAATGCGTGCCAACCGACCTAAGTTGAAACTAGCGGATTTTAAGCTTCTCCGAACCCTGGGTACTGGTTCTTTTGGTCGAGTACATCTTATCCAATCACGCGTGAATGCCCGATTCTATGCCATGAAAGTCCTCAAAAAGAGCCAGGTCGTTAAAATGAAACAGGTTGAACACACCAACAATGAAAAACATATTCTCGAGTCCACCTCGCATCCTTTCATTGTGAATATGTGGGGCACCTTCCAAGATGACATCAACTTGTACATGATCATGGACTACGCTCCTGGTGGTGAATTATTCAGTATCCTTCGTAAAATGCAAGTAAGTATTGAATCATCTCAGAAGGAAATCCGGGTTGCACTGAGAAACCCACGGTTCTCCCAATGCAAAATGTTTTTATTCTCAAGATGCTGATCCTTTTTCCGTTTTTTTGATGTCCGCCAAAAACAGCGATTTCCAGATCAGATGGCGAAATTTTATGCCGCAGAGGTTCTTTTGGCGATCGAATACTTGCATTCCAAAGACACCATTTATCGTGACTTGAAACCGGAAAACTTACTGCTCGACGCTTTTGGCCATATCAAAATTACCGATTTCGGATTCGCCAAATATGTGCCTGACATTACATGGACACTGTGTGGTACACCCGATTACTTAGGTAAAATATAATAGATGATCCGAATCAGTTGATGGTTTGGAATTAACCAAAACCTCCTTCTTCGGCATGGCTCGCAGCACCTGAAATCATTCAATCTAAAGGTTACGGAAAAGCAGTCGATTGGTGGAGCTTTGGTGTTCTCATCTTTGAAATGCTGGCAGGGTAAATATCAGTAATTGGTTGAACTGCTACATTGGGTGCTTACGACAATCGATTCAATGTGTGGGGTTTGTTTTAGATATCCACCTTTCTATGACGACGATCATGTCAAATTGTACGAAAAGATTTTGGCTGGGAAGATTCGATGGCCACAGTACTTTGATCCCAATGCCAAGGATCTTTTGAAACGGTTATTAACGCCCGATTTATCAAAACGATTCGGTAACTTGAAAGGCGGAAGTGAAGATATCAAGCGACATCGCTGGTTTGAAGGAGTGGATTTCAACTACATCCTTTCTCGTCAGCAACGAGCACCCCATATTCCTCAGTTGGAAGGCCTGGGCGACGCAAGACATTTTGAATTATACCAAGAAACGCAAGAGCAGTACGGTGTTACTGGTTTAAGCGACCCATACCGTCATCTGTTTATTGACTTTTAAAAGAGAAAAAGAAACAACAAAAACTTTGGGAGATGTTATTTTTATTTTTATTGTGATTATTTTTTGTTCTCATTATGTTATCTTTTTTTCGCCTTTTTCTTCGCATTTGCCTTTTTTGGAATTACTGACTTTTGGACCGTGTGGCTTTTTCCAAGCTGCCACTCAATTTCCCAACTTGTAACTTGAATATTCACTGTGACACTCCGTTCCTCTCCCTTCACCACCATCATGTTGTCTGCATTTCTCGATTCTATAACTAAGCCCGCAGAGATTAAAGCGCTTCTCAACTATAAATTTTCCCCAAAGTCAGAGAATAAGCGTCGACATCAACAGGCTCTCGCTGCCGACGCGTCGAAGAAGCGCTGTTATGATTTCCTGAACATGGTAATGGGTTCGAAACTGGGTTTTGTTCCCATGTCCCTCATCAACGACTAATGCCCTCTCCTTTTTTCATTCACCCTTTTTCCTGACTCATTAATAGACATCCCGTAGCTTTGCCGCTGTCATCCAAGAGCTTGACGATGATTTAAGAGATCCTGTACGTTGGCTGAACCTTGCTTTGCTCGTACCTTTTTCTTTTTTTGCTAGGCATGGATTGACTCGTTTTGTTAGGTTTGTCTCTTTTATCTGGTATTGCGCGGTTTAGATACGATTGAAGATGACATGACGTTGCCTTTGGACCGAAAGGTCGAGCTTTTAAGGTCGTTTGACAAGATTATCTACCAGCGTAACTGGACTTTCAAAGAAAGTAAGAAGACGCGCCGCTTTTTTCATGGAATAGTAACGTTGACAACTTACCGATGGTCGTCGTTCTCATCATCTAGGTGGCCCCAACGAAAAAGACAGGGATTTATTGGTTCACTTTGATGTGGTCATTGAGGAATTTCTTCGTCTTCAACCTCGTTTCCAAGTCGTCATTGCCGACATTACACACAAAATGGGAAATGGCATGGCCGACTATGCCGTGGGTGAACATCGCGAAAATACCTCGGTAGCAACCGTGAAAGACTTTGACCTGTATTGTCATTATGTTGCCGGTTTGGTGGGATATGGTTTGTCGGATCTCTTTGTAGCGTCCGAGTTGGAAAATAAGCAAGTAGCCGACGATAAAGAGCTGTCCAACTCCATGGGTCTGTTTTTGCAAAAGACCAACATCATCCGTGATTACCGTGAGGATTTGGAAGAAGGACGTCAATTCTGGCCTCGTGAAATTTGGGGTAAATATGCAAACAATTTTGCTGATTTCATCAAACCCGAGAAAAAGGAAGATGTAAGTGCAGACAAAAAAAAAACCAGGCCCATTTTGCATTCGTTGGAACTCACGTTATGACCCTTTCTCTGAATAGGCACGTTCATGTCTCAGCGCCATGGTCCTGAACGTTCTTCATCATGTGCCTGACGTCCTCACTTATCTGTCCCGCTTGCACAACCAATCGGTGTTTAACTTTTGCGCTATTCCCCAAGTGATGGCCATTGCCACTCTCGCACTGGTGTTCAACAATATGGATATTTATCAACGCAATGTCAAAATTCGAAAGGGTGAAGCGGTCAAACTAATTTTGGACAGCACCAACATGGACAACGTCATCACCATTTTCAGACACTACATTAAGATCATCTCACAGAAGAACGAAGCCACAGATCCCAACTTCATGGAGATCTCCATGGCCATTGGCAAAGTATGTATTGTTTCTCTTGAGTATTTGTGTGCACCACCATTCCTTTCAACTCACATATTATACTTGTTAGATTGAACAATGGATCGCTGCCAACTATAAGCCTTCTAAAGTCGTTCTCAAATCCTCTGATTCCTCTCTGCTTATTTTACCTATTGTCATTGGTCTTGTCGGCATGCTTGTTATTAATTACTTGCAACATGCCTAGCTGCTTATTTCCATTTCTTTTTTGTCAATTACTATGAATTATAATTTTGTTTTAGATCCTTCTATCGTGCTAATATAGGATTGTTTTATTACTCTGGAATGATTGATCTTTTTTCCTCTTTGCAACCATGTCTGATGACCTCTGATCCGCTTTTGTCGAGCCAAGACGCCAAGCATGCGAATAAATTTCACTCAGCGAGCCACATACATGTTACTGTATAATGGGTACAGCTTAAACCACCAATGCATTTATTGTACGGTGTATTGGTGATACTGCAGCGGGGAGTAGGTTCATGATACAGATAAGCCAAAGCTATAAGCCAAATTTAATTTTTATATGTAACTTGATACGATGGCTGTTGTATGATACAGTATTTACAAAGAGTCAAAAAGGAAAAACATGAGAAATGGAGTCAATGACTACAGTTACGCTCTTTTCAGCAGAGCAGATTGTTTAACCTCATGTTTCGCTGCTGGTCAACCAAGCTCGGTGTAATGCTTGTGTTTGGCCATTCGCTTTGAGAAGGGTCTATTTCCAGAGTAGTAGTGGAACCAGTAGTTTGTAATCCAACTTTGTCAGAGCTTGTTCCCGTAAATTCAGCTTCTCTCGGTATTTTTTCGTGTTCATCGTCAGGAACAGATCGCAGTACAGTGGTAGTGAACTGACCTGTGGTCATTGTTTCTGGTGATAACGACGGAGACACCGGCGCGGTTACTCTCCTCTGTTGAGTGTCATCAAGCGGTAGACGCTTCCCATGACCGCTTTGGCTCAATGACAGGTTAATAGGTTTGGCGGCAGGGTTCGTTTTCTGATCCTCTTCGTATTCTTTGAGAATGGACTGCAGATAAATGATATAATCAATTGCTTGTTGCAAGACAGTCAATTTATGAGCATTGACTTGTGTGCTGCATCCAGGAATAAGCTGCTTCAACTGCATTATTTGGTCATTTATGCGTTCTCGTCGACGTCGCTCGATGGCACTGTGGGATGATTTCCGAGCCTGTTCTCTTTGGTGTGCACTTTTCTCAGAAATCGTGGGTATGGGTGGCTCCGTTGCTGGGTGGCACAATGAGGCCATAGGAACAATTTGGAACGGTACAGAATAAATGTGTGTGTAAGGATGGACATGAACAAGGGAGGGGGAGAAAGCCGAAATGACTGGATGCGAAACCGGGACAGACGGTGTCGATTTTGGTAATATTGGAGGTGGACGGTAGCTAGGGGAAGAAGAGCTGGAAACATGATTGTCTGTCGTAGTGGTAGAGCCAGACGGTGGCGCATCAGTGCTCGACGGTTGTCCAGGCAACGATGGCGGAGCGAGATGTTTAGCCGAAGTTTTCCGTCGTTGTTTGACAGAGTCTGCATGGCCGCTTTGACCATGATTACGCTTTGAGGAAGCCATACAGAAAAGAAATAACTAAGATTCAGATGAAGCACCTGTAACTCGAAAGGGAAGAAATAGTAGGCTATATACACATAGTTTCTGTTTTTTTTTGAGAGAAATGTAAGAAAGAGAGGATTTTCTTCACCCCTTGCCATCTGTGGGGAAACACCCACTTATGGATCGTCGTTTGATCCAATCGTAATGACACGCCTTCGCAGATCATGTGTTTCATTGGACAAAAGCAGTGTCACGTTCTCCTCGTTTATTCCAAACGTCCATTCTCCTTTCTGGCCCATCCAAGCATTCCATATTACGCTAACCTTCTTTTGGAAGATAATACGAAACTCCCAATCATATTGGCCATCTTGGATGCACGTACGTCCATTACTGAAATCATCACCCTACAGATGGAAGGGAAGAACCTGTATTTTCCTAATCTCGACGATCCACATGGCGTCCATACCACATTTTGGGTTCATGCGGACAATTTACTGTAACGTTCGAACTGTCCTTCATCGACTAGCACCAAAAGCTGCGAACAAAACGACAAAAAAACCACAAAAGCATTGAATGAAAAATCTTCAAAATGAAATAAAAATCTTTGATCGAGAAAAAAAATTTCTCTTTTTTTTATTTGACCGATATGACAAAAAAAAAAAAAAAAAAAAAAAAAATTGAAAACGCATTTTTTCAGAAAGCACGGTTGTATACATTGTATACCTCGGTCAAAAGACGGAAGTACACTAGTATTAGAGATGCCAGAAGAGCGATGTGAATCATCATCAAAATGCGTTTCCAGAAAAAAGGGAAATCCGAGATTTCAAACATCAACAGAACAAGACAAAGGGAATTGGGGGAAAAAGCTTCTTTATTGCAACTCACCATAAACTTTGACACTAATACAAGCAGCACTTACTGGATATTAAAAACCTATGATAAAGATATATGAGAAAACATGATCATAAACAGATATCATAGTAAATGTGAACCATCAGACATCCAAGGAAGTTCTTTCCTACATAGACGTTTCCCTTGCGGGGAGACATCTTCAAGTGGAAACTGCGAACACGGGATTTCATCATCATATGATTCACTGTCAAAGGAAAAATGATACACACCTTATATGACCACCAAACCAAAGTGAGATGGGATGGACGCCAAAGTAAGATTTCCTGTAAAATAAACTGAACAATTTTATGAGTAACTTATTCAATGGATTGAATGAAAAATAACAAATAAATGGTATTGATTTGATGGGAAGTCAGAAAAGTATACTGGCAAGTATCAACTGCGCTCAGCGAAGCACAGCGGGTTCTTTCACCATGGTCGATAAGACAAATGAAGACAAAGGTAGATTTTCATCATCCAAGAATACGGATAGTACCGTAAAGAAAAAAGATAGAATAAAAACATCTCAGCGATGGAGACACTTACCCTTTGATGAAATGAATTCCCAAACGAAAGAACTGTAGGAATTGTAGGAAAGCCTAGAAAAAAAAGGCTCACCCATCCTTTATAACTTTTTTTTGCTCGGTCGAGAAATTTTTTTTGTGACCACTTATTGCCCAGCCACCGACGAGCGGCTTCCAGAGTTTTCGATCATGACTGTCAACTTTCACGGCTTATCGATCGCGGCTGTTCATTATTCAAAGCGAGCCAAATAAAGCAAAGCATACCAGATCAATTAAAATAAGACATCTTCCTTGTCAATGAGTCGATTCAGCAACTATCTGAAGGCTATATTATCAGATGTCCTCCATCCGAAAATCAGGGGTACGTTTGTGGTCACAGTAAAAGTTCGGCGACGGACTTTTTGTCTGTGATTTAAACCACAGAACAGGGGTGCATTTAATGGCCACACAAAAAAGTCAATAAAGCGGGGTGCTTTTCAATAACTAATGTCAGTTGTTCAGAAACGATGTCTTATTCGACCAATATGATTTCATACTTTCATGAAAAATTTTTTTAAAATCACGCTGCATTGCTTATCGTGTGGGCGCATGAAAAAAAACTATGAAAATTTGATTTTTTTCTTCTCGAGTTCTTATGTTGTTTAAACTTATTAGAATGCAACGTTGAGTCATTAATTTTATATCAGGATGGGGTCAGGAAATCCTGCGGATAAGAATGGTGGCCTGGAACCCATGGACGACCTCGATGAGGAGGAACTGGAACTTTCAATGAACTGTATTTGTGGTAGCGATGATTGCTACCTATTCTGGGTATTATTGTGCGGTGCCTAGCTACCAGGGCATAACCCGAGCTCTCCTTGGAATCACATCTATCTCAGGTTTGAAACACATACTCTATCCTTTCCGCAACGACTACTTTTCTACGGAAACTTTGTATAGCGAACTCATTACTTTTATATCCTGCTGCGGATCTGTGTTGTGTCTACTCGATGGCACATGAAATGGTGCACGAAGTTTAACTGGTTGGTCCGAGAGCCTATTCTATCGTTATCTTTATCCAAGGTGAACGCGTCTTTATGCAATTAAAAACGAAAAGCCACGTCTGGTCTATTTTTAAATGTTTGCAGATGCGAAAATTATTTTAGTCAAGTAGCTTTTTCATGTATGCAGCCTGTCTCAAGAAGACCCAGTGGCTACTCAAACTGACTCAAACGATGGTTGGCTTATACGGCGCAAAAGTCGTGACGCCAGCGGAGAACACCAATAATCATCAAATGAAGAAGGCAAATAGCCTCAAAGACGGTACGGATTCTTTGGGTCTGGCGTGCTTGTACGTGAGCAAGTGACAAAAATGAAAAATCCACCAAAATTTTTACCTGATAATGAAAGCTCCCATGTACCTTGACCTTTTTATATTGTTTCGTCAACACAACACGCTGTCAATAATTCACAGTGAATTTGTCATTCAATTTCATTCGTGTCATTTATCGACTATCATATGCACAGTGTGGATAAAACTGTCAGCATGGCTTGCGGTATTGACGAAAGCATTGCAGTATTATTTGCTCATGTTCACGGTTTATTTTTTGGTACAGACAGGCTAGGACTGATTTGTGACATCAACCACACGACAGACTTCTTAACTTCATCTTAAATCCGTCTCCCCTTTATATCTCACATTTTGGACATGGAATCTCCTATGCAAAGCCACGGACAATTGCTCTCGCATATACAGCCCCATATCCTCCAGCAACCGATGCAGAACTTTTTCTTTTCAATGAACCCTTTTTTTTGCACTTACTATACCCTTCTCGCAATCTCACCAGGCGATTGTTCTACTGTAATAAAATAGTTAACATAAGATATGATGATAGTGAAACTGTTAAAATCAGCGTAAAGCCGATAAAACCAACATCCAAAGATAATTTAGTACCACATGTGAATAAACCAAGTTACAGTACAATGTATTCCAAAGCAAGCTGCTGTGAGCAAAAATTCAACATACACGCTATGTAGATCTAATTTGGCGCATCTCAAAAATAGACTTGCCATGGACAGGTATTTGATGAAAAAGGAATCGCGTAAGATGGACTCTTCTTGATGATTTTTTTCGGGCATCAAGGTCCTGTGATCTATGTTATCGAATGGTTCCCTGTACTAGCTTCCACAACGTAACAATGATCGCTAAACTTCATAGCACTTGATGGAACAGCTGTTTTGGGAATCGAAGAACGCCAAAGAAAAAAACCTTTCGATATGAAAATGAAGATAATATAATTCACGAGCTGAGCAACGTTTCATTGTGCATGTGTTACATAAAAGTTTTTTTAAATTGTTCCCATTGTTAGCAATATTAAGTGGTTTGACCAGATCTGTCCCAGAGTTGCCCAAAATCCGAACACAACTTGTCAATAAATATGGGTGGCGAACCGCTCAGATAGAAAAGCTCAAGTGATTGTTGAACCCCACAAAGTTGCAAGCCGTGTTAGATAATAGTCAGTGCGAGATCACTATCCTATTGATAACCATTTACAATACAAGCCAATTTGTTGACGTGACATAGCACTATACCGCACTTGGACATTTTCCGTGCGTCGGATGTGCTACCAACCATAATAATCTCTTTTGTTTTACAAAAGCATATGTTAAAGTGCCTGTTGCCTCAAAAAATGCTATGGCGGGCTGATAAAGAAAGAACTAGTGCGAATCATAGACAACCTTTCAAAATGTTTCGGTGAAATACTATGATATCGTGGCAGCCATATTCAATCACTGAATCGACTACAAAGAAACGAAAAGATACTTGTAGGACTGAAGTCTTTTACTTCACTGGCGACCCAGCTGGTTTTTCCCCAGCTTTTCTATTTCTTTCCCCGCCCGCGACCACATTGATCTCTTAATAGTTTGATCTTGCTGATTCAGCTTGTAATATAACGTACGATAGGTAATAATGTTAGTGAGCATAAACAGATATAACGGATACATCTGTTCAACAATTTCATAAAGTTTTCATCCTTTATTATTGTTTTTTTCAAGCAAAGCTGTTATAAGCAAATCCAAAAACATTGAAGCATGCAGCTAAGCGCGCGCTTCAATGTAATCCTTACCATGGCGTGACAGCAACTACCACACGTTACACCCAAAAAACCGTACTGCTTTACCGCGCAGGCAACGTCATTTCGTATGTCTTTTTACTTTTGGTGACTTCCGTTCTTTGACATAGTGCGAGAATGTGAGCCATGTATTTTGATAATTTCCTAATTACCGATCGCTGGAGCGTGCTGTTGATTCAGGTTTAACAGCATCAGAGATGATGGGAAAAAAGAGCTTCTGATTAAGATTTATCGGTTGCACGAAGCAAATTAGGCAAGGCACCATTAAAAAAATGTAGTTGCGCCCCGGATATGTTGGCGTTAGTCATGAAGAATATAACAAAATAATGACTGCCAAACGAGTTTTCCATCTCCAGAATTACTGGAAATATTCGACAGGATTGAGCTCAGTAGGCAGCAAATAAGAGTAACAATAACCCTCAAGGAGCAATATATTCAAGTATCTTGTCAGGTTACGATAGGAGTATTCTTCATACCTATGCAGCAGCCCTTCATATACGGTACTGATATATTTCGTCTATTGTATCCTTCAGAGGTTTAATTAGTCCCCTACTACCATTCCATTGCCATATTACGGTACTGTATTGTCAAGGGGCATCTGTATCTTCTCGTTTCACCAGTTCACATAGGCTTATCTCAAACCAGTTGTCCGAGTTTCTTGAGAATCGAAAGAAACTGACCAACGTGTGTATGACGGCATCATCTCGTCTACTGTACTGGCAACTGTTGAAATGTCCTTTCTTCCGCATGGAAAAATCAGAAGTGACATTTCTTCATACTGGATAACAATGGGATTTGCTTCCATTCACAGTTGCAAATATTCATTGTGTAATCAATTTTCAATGCTTTTTGAAGGCAATGAAAAGAAAATCGTTTCACTTCGTAATCGGAGTTGTAAGTTTGGCGGATGCCCCGCGGTTGAAAAATAGAGAACCACCAGCGAAATCTGGATATAGCGTACGCTTCAGTTCCAACAGCTTTATTCCAGGGTAAACATCACCACATATCCCAGATCTGAGCTATTTGCCGATGGTTGTTTTTCGCTTCTTACAAAAGCCATAAATAAACCGAACCTTATTTTCCTTTTTCATTATCTGTTCCTTTCTTTAAGAAACGTCTTGAAGTAACCCGATTCGTCGCCTGATCCGCTCTAAACATGCAGCAAAAAAAGAAAAAAGAAAGGGCGGAGCAAAGCGGCAATCGAGATATGGGGCCAACTGGGGGGAGTGTTCAAAGCACAGGAAGGGCTGAAGAGTGGCATTATTTGGGGGGACCTGAAAAGGAAGAAAGACATCATGATTTTCATTGTATTCTTTTTTTTTTTTTTGGCAAAACTGGATAGATCGTAGTTTCAAAACCTTAAACCGGATAGATTCGATGGTTGCCAGGGTTATAACGATGTGAATCTGTGCCCATATTGTGGGATTAACCTTTCAAAGGTAAAGAAGATTCCCACGAACAAACTTAACAAATGTGAGAACCTGGTTTTTACGCACGGTCATGCTTGGCATGTAGTGTGTGCTTTCTTTTTTGCACGTTGTCCGAGTCACCATAGCAGATGAAATAAAGATTCAATTCTCTGGCTTTCGCGGTGGATACCAATGGTGCCTTTCTTTTTTTTTTTCTTTTTTTTTTTTTTTTTTGATAGGCAGCCGAGGAAGCAAAGTTTGGGCATATTTCGGTTCTCATTGGGCAAGCGGCTATTGAGTCACTGTACGGACCAATGGATGGCGCGTCGTTAGAGGCCGGAAGAGAGGGAGTTTTAAAAAGATAAAGAGGTTTCAGAGTGGTGCAATCGGTGGGGATGGCGTGCGGCTTCAAGAAAGGAAACTGTAAAGATGAGGCGTTTGAAAATAGAAAAAACTTGCGATCCAACCGAGTTGACTATTTGGAAACTGGGCTCCATCATGGTTCGTGTGAACTGAGATCCTTTGGGAAGGTGAGAAAACCCAATCTCCCATATCGTGTAACCTGTCGGAAAAGGGAATTAATCCCAACCAGTAAACGGGTGGAGTAACGGGAATCCCTCGATATGGTCCCTGTAACACCCAATCAAAGAGGCCAAAATTCTAAACTCCACCTCTAGACATATGACTTACAATTGAAGTATCTCTGCCAAATTAGGAAATCTCGACTCCTATTGGCTTTCCGTGTTCCTCGTTGGAGCCTGTCTGCCAGTATATAAACCCTGGTATTTTTCGTTACGGCAACGGCATTACTGCTCGGTTGCTCAAGGTTCCACCTTTACCTTATTTTCTCCCCCTCTCCACATCTACCCTTCACAGTACCTTTCCATCGATCTTTTTTTTACACCGTTCTTCCATGTCGATTGAAGAAAAGAAGTACTCAGGAGGAGTTCCTGATGCGTACAAACATGACATCGCCAGTGGTAATTTTTTTTTTTTTTTTTTTTCGATGACATCTTACACAAATAAATTTTGATTCTTACTAATTACGAAATGTTTAATCCAGAACATGAATACAATATCGAAGAATTCGCGGATATCAACCGTGAACATGCAGGGTCCGGTTTCCTTGCTTACTTCAACATTGTTTGTGTGATTGCGGGTACCGGCACTCTTGGTCTTCCTTATGCCCTCAAGCAGGGTGGCTGGATCGGTCTGCTTATTCTATTTTTGGCCTGGACCATGTCGGTGGTAAGTCATCACTTTTTTTTTCTGCAAATTTATTTCTGTACTGTTTTGCTGATTTGTTTTTCTTTTGTTGGCGATGATTAGTATACCGGTGTTATTTTGATTCGTTGTCTCTATGCCAACGGCAAACATCGTATCTCATCGTACAAAGAAATCGCCACTGAATCTTTTGGTGCCATTGGTGGCTGGATCACCTTTTTCTTCAACGCATGGATTCTGCTCGGTGCTCCCGTTTTGTACGTGGTCTTGTCAGGTGCTAATCTTGCTCATCTCTGCCAAAACACAGTGGCTGAAGTGGTTGGTGCTACCAACTGGACCATCATCTCTTGCGTCCTCGTTCTCATTCCCTTTGTTCTCGTCAAATCTATGAAAGAAGTTGCTTGGATGAGTGCTTTTGGTGCTCTGACCGTGCTTGTTGTTGTGCTTATTGTTCTTGTCATGGCCTGCATTGACCAGAAGAACCAGGTCAATGTTCACCACGACCCCGTTATCTGGGATCAGTTCCCTATTGCTCTTTCTACGATTTCCTTCTCTTTTGGTGGCAACGTCGTGTATCCCAACGTCGAAGCTTCGATGAAGAAACCCAAGCAGTGGCCCAAGGTCGTGGCTGCCGGTATGTCGACCTGTGCTCTGATGTACTTCTTGACGGCTATTCCCGGTTATTACATTTACGGTGATGCTGTCAAGAGTCCTATCTACGATTCGATTCCCGCAGGTGTTGGACAGATCATCGCCGTTGTCCTGATGACTATTCACGTTCTTATCTCAGCTCCTATCTTGGTGACGTCTTTCGCTCTTGATCTTGAAGAAATGATGAACATCACTGTCGAACGTTTCGGTCGTTTCCGCGAATTCATTATCCGTGCTCTCTTGCGTATCGCCATTATCGTCGTGATCGCCATTATTGGTTGCTTCGTTCCTTATTTCGATAATTTAATGTCGTTCATTGGTGCTTTCGCCAACTGCGCTCTTATTTTCATCTTCCCCATCATTTTTTACCTGAAGCTGACGGGTGTCCGCAACAAGCCTATCTACGAACTCCTGTGGTGTCTTCTCATCGTCATCCTTGGTGTCGTCGGTCTTATCTTTGGTAGCTGGCAAGCCATTGACGCCTTGAAGGCAGACATTGAACGTGATCGCGCCCTTGGTATTTCTCCTGGCGCTTAAATGCATGGCCATTCATGCAACAACTCTTTTGCCTCTCTCATTTATTTTCTCACTATTTTTTTTTTCTTGGTAGAATCTGAGATTCTAAATTTTGCAGCATCCTTTGTGATGACTTGATATTTATCTTTGTGCCCTTTTGTAAATAGACACCTTATACTAAGAGATATATCCCATAACTGGTTTATTGACGAATTTTTAAAATATAAATAAAATGTATGTACTAGGAGGACGAACAAGCTGCAAAACTCAGTGAAGAAAACCATGATTACTGAACTTAAATTGTAAGTTTCGGCTAAGTTCCGTGCTGAATGATGATCATCGTTGGCTTAAGGATGACGACTGGTCCACGGTCGCCGCTCAATCGAGGAACACTCGATTTAAGAATCATTTTTTGGAATTTCCTTCCCATTATGTTATCTGGTGCATATGAGTTACCAAATCGATTCAAGGATAATTTGGTTCAGGAATCACTTTTTCGTGGCTTCCGAGGTGATTCTTAAATCGAGCGCTGACTGTATGTGCAGTAGACTTCTTGTCATCAATACCTCGACCGTTCCCGGAAGGCTTTCGCAGCAAATTTTGCCTCTACTATGCGGCATTAAACGTCCTTTCAACGTGAACTTCTGACCGATATTGCATATCGGTACAGAATATGTACGTGTACATGATATCCACTTTAAGAACGATCAAGGCCTTCTCAAAGACGATTCGTCACCGATGATGAGACGGTGCGGTAAAGTTTGATCTGACATGTCAGTTGCAAGCTCGGTAGCCAGAGCAATAAATCCACGCTCTAAATCATCGAAGCTACTTTCTCGGTGAAAACTCGCTGTAAACGGCAAACCCGGTGAATAAACGCTCTGAGAATTCCTTGTTTCCGCGAAATGAGTACTTTGATATGGTACTAATTTGATTCATGATTTGGGATAATAGGACAAACATTACAACAAACCGCCGCGGATCATGCCGAAGAAGAATTCCCTCTATAGTCAACGACCTACCCGCCTCTAGATCTCTTTCCACACACACACACACCCTTTTGTTTCTGTGGCATACTTGACATGTTATAAAAAGGAGACCGGAATATATGCATAGATAAAATGATAAGATTAAAAAGTATTTTCTTCTCAAATATTCTACATCTACAAAGGAGATGGTTCCTCCTTTTAACCTTTAAAATTAAGCTATAAAAGTTGAAACCAAGGGAAAACGAAAAATATTGACATGATTATCTGACAGAATGAGTATATGTGGATGCAAGAAAAAACGGAAAGAAAAGACTTATGATAACAGTTCAAGAAAGTCAAGAGAAAAAAAAGGAAGAAAAAGAAACAGGAAAACGAAGAAAATCTATGAAATAAAAAAAAAAAGGGAAAAGAGAAATGCTTTTGTTTTGTGTTTGTAACCTTCTCCTCTCTTTAGAACCAGCTGGTCTTGGTTTGATACTGAAGGGGAGCATCGCGAGGAGCGCTTTGACGACCACCGCCCATGCCGCCACCACCGCTGAAGGGAGGGAAAGCGTTGGAATCTTGAGGAGCAGGACGCGACCAGGAAGAGTTGTTATCTTGACGACGGTAATCTCTGCCGCCAAAGCTGCCACCACGACCACCACCACGACCACGGCCGCCACGACCACCGTACATACGGCTCTCGCGAGCAATGGATTCCAAGAAGGAAGGAATTTCCTGGTTGGCTTCTTTCAAGATATCGACCAAATCCGTACAGATGTTCTTGTTACCGCGGTTGAAGAACGCAGTAGCCAAACCAGTGTTACCAGCACGACCGGTACGGCCGATACGATGAACATAGTCGTCAATGTCCGTTGGCAAATCGTAGGAGATAACGTGAGCGACGTTGGCAATATCGAGACCACGTGCCGCCACAGCGGTAGCGACCATGATGGGGGTGCGACCAGTACGGAAAGAGTCGAGAGCACGCTCACGCTCGCGTTGAGTACGGTCACCGTGAATGGAAGTGGCAGGGAAGTTGTGATCCAACAAGAATTCGGAAAGGAAATCGGCCATACGCTTGGTTTCGACAAAGATCAATGTCAAACCGTTGACTTCGGTAGAATGCAAGATATCCAACAAGACGGAACGCTTATCTTCGTCTTCGACATATTCAACCTTTTGTGTAATGTTCTCCGAGGTAGAACCAACACGGCCCACCGACAAGAAGACGTAATCCTTGAGGAAATCACGAGCCAGGTATTGGATATCGCGAGGGAAAGTGGCCGAGAACATGAGCGTGATACGGTTTTCGACACCGGGCATATCTTCTTTCTCGACAATACGGCGAATCTGAGGTTCGAAACCCATATCAAGCATACGATCAGCTTCATCAAGAACAAGGTAACGGATGTTGGCAAGCGAGATACGAGCACGTTCGATCAAATCGACAAGACGACCGGGAGTGGCGACCAACAAGTCACAACCACGTTCAATCTGACGGAGCTGACCACCGATATCAGCACCACCATAGACAACAGCAGGTTTGACCCAGCTTCGGTAGGCGAACTTCTTGGCTTCCTCGTAAATCTGAGAGACCAATTCACGAGTAGGAGCGAGGATAAGAACGGTGGGGTAAGCCTTGCGGGAACGGTAAGCACCACGTTGGTCATCAACAGGGGCGGCTAAAGGACCCTTGGAGAAAAGTTCAGAGAACACAGGGAAAAGGAAACCGGCGGTTTTACCAGAACCGGTCTGAGCACAAGCCATCAAATCTCTGCCGGCACCGACAATAGGGATGGAATACTTTTGAACCGGAGTAGGGCTGGTGTATCTAGCCAACTCGATGTTGCACAACAAGTGAGCATCCAACGGAGGGGTGGTGAAGGTGGAAATAGGTTCGGGGCAATCATGACCACTGGCTTCGACGGGGATGTCATCATACTTTTCAAAGTTGATGCCAGTATGTTGGGTCAAAGAATCATCAGCGGTACCAAAGAGATCACGTTCGGTGCGAGGATTGCGAGTGCCAATGTGATGAACACCCTCTTTCCAGTAACCTTGAGTTTCATCACGACGGCCGCCGCCGTAATAGCCAGAGTCATCACGACGGTTGTTGCGATAACCACCATATGAACCACGTTCGAAAAAGTTGGAGCGGTTGTCGTTGCCCCAGTTGTTGCTGCGGTTAACATCAGATCGAGATGAGTTCCATCTGTAAAAATAGGAATGCTGATTAATCTCCATTATCAATACCAAAAAAAGTCATCATCTGTAAGAATTACCCTTCACGACCTGCAGGACGATCATTCCAAGCAGCAAAACCAGTGTTGTTTCGAGCGGGAGGAGCGTTATCATACGAAGGTTTGGTTCTCATATGAGGGGGGACATAGCGGCTAGGGCCAGTACGGCCGCCATTACCGCTGGGCTTATCATTCAAACCCATTCCAGCTGTACCATACCGATTCAAAGCATTAGTGCCTGATATTTCCACTAAATCAGTGATCATGTGCAATCTACTTACCAAATTGCTGGTCGAGACCTCCGGAATTGTATTGATCAATAGTCATCTTTCAAAAAGTAAAAAGTGGAAGGAGAAAGATTAAAAGGAAAGGAAAAAAATCTCTGTTGGGTTCCCCTTACACTTTTTTTTTATTTTATTTTATTTTGGCAAAAAAGGAAACTACGAAAAATTTTCTACGACTTGGCCAATGAAAACGTGTTGGGTTTCACCAGAGATAACAATGAAGGCACAGTGGCCGTATCTCCACCAATATCATCAGGCGTAGACACCCTATTTAAGGTATTCAACCAAATAATGGCATTTAACTTGCTGTCGGCCAATAGATATATATATCCAAGTGACGCATCTTTGTCATGACATGATGTTGATTGCTTTTCAACATTGAACCGCAGCACTAGTCCCTGTTGTCGGTCCAGACAGATCTCTTCGGCGGTTTCATCGGACGGCTGATGTACTGATCGAAGCGAAGCTAATGGTATGGCATGGACAGGCGCCTTATGCTGTTGACAAGGATGGAATAAAAATATGTCGGTCAAACTGGCACCTATTTCTTCTTTTTTTTTTTTGCGATGTTGCGTATTGAGCATTTACCTCGTTGGATAGTCGGCGTAGCAAAAGTCGGTGATTCGTGGTATCCAACGTAACCCAATAGCGAACCCACATCTATTCTGTGTTAGTCGAAATTTGTACAGCATAGGTTTCACACAATTATGCCATAAAGTCTTTACCGGAATACTCGCTCCTTGGACATAAAATGTCAAATAATCCCCTGCTGCACAGTGCGCCATGTCGGATCGATCCCGTTCGCTTTGCGATATGTCCTCAAAGGAATACACAACGGCAAGTTCAATGTCTTTGCACAGCATGTAACGGGTGATTTGATCCGATGCAAAAACCTCTTCTGGGCGATTGCCAGATCGGACTTGATAACTCCAGTTCGAGCACGCTGAATCCATAGTCTGAGATAATGATGGCCATAATGTCTTCATGCGACGTAACGCAGAAGAATAATGTGCTCGAACCTTCAGCACAAACGTAAGACAAAATTTCTCATTGACCGTGCTATAAGAATCATTCGGATAATCCAGCATGAGAAACGCATCACCATGTTTCGTTATCCAATGCATTGCTTACAATGCTACTGTTTCCCGCGGTGTGGCAGCAGTGACACCTTTGGCAATTTTCTTCATGCTGCCAACGATCGTATGGGTTTTTGCGTCATTAAGATAGATGTCCAGTTCATAAGAATAGTCTAGGATCGTCCATTCAATTTTCTATCCGTGAAGCAGACGATGATAATTTATGACATACCTCGTGAAGATGTCAAATTAGTGATCTGCATCACTACAATACTACATCAGCCAGTTATTTCGATGGGGCATCATGACCGCATTTACCTTTGCAGCTTAGAATGGTTTTTCTAAAAGATTGGTAATGACTTTGCGGAGGATGAAGTGATGTGTGAGGGGGATGATGAATGGATGCTGATTGTTTGAGCGTTAAATTATGCGATGTTAAGCTTTTTGTATAGCGAACAGATTTGGAGATCCAACAGGTCACTGCTCTTCTGAGCGGATGATGACGTTGAGGCAAGGTAGAGATAGGGTTGGCAGGGAGCGGCGGTAACGGACGGGATAGTAACGGATGATGCCTCTGTGGATGATGGGGACGATCTTTGGGTGGAGGTGTAGGCGGACGCTCCTTGGGTTCATCTTCCAGACTAATACTGTTATTATCGATTGTGTGCGATTCACTACTGACCGTACTGTGGGTAAAAGAGACGTTGCTTTCATGCGCAGGAATGACGACGGGAGTATCAAAATTTGTGATGATCTTGGTCAGACCGGCCGCTGCCAGCTTGTTGGTCTTGATCAACTCCGTATGGAGAGGCGCAACTTTCTTCTGCTTCCAATGCGACCAGTTCGTAAACGACCTCGTCAATTGCAGAGTGTCCATGATGATTCAATGGAGGACAAACGTAAAGTCTACAGAAAAAGAAAGGGGGATAATGCAAAAATAAAGACACTCGATTACCAAAAATGGCAGAGAAAAAATTCCCGAATCTTCATTCTTTGCACTTTACCGTTAAAAATGACGGGTTGAATCGCCATGATGCTTTATTTGACAAGGTTGGTGATGAAAAACAATTGATAGGCTTCTTGCACAACGCACCAAGCGAAAAGACTAAGGCGCAGCGTCCTAATGAAGCCATTATACACCTTTTTCCAAATAGCTTTTTTTTTTTTTTTTTTTTTTTTTTTTTTTTTTTAATGAGAAAATGAAACGAAATCATGCTGTATGAAGTTTTTACACAGACTGCATCTGTGCAATATCGAGAAGTAACAATTACATTGAGTGTATTATTTACAAAATTACTTGCGATGGAAAGCCAGTGCAGCACCTTTTCTGCCCGCACTTGTATTGAGAATCGCATCTTTCCTTGGGATGGCATTTCGTGCCATATGTCGATCACGGAAAGAAACAATCTTTCCATCCGCTGGCTGCGGACGAGGACGATGATTGATCACTTTAACTGTGTACTCGCCGACCTGACGCTCGGTTTGCTTTCGGCGCTTTTTCAGGTTTGCTTCGTTTCGTCGTTGTTCCTCCTCTTCCTCCTCCATGCGCTCAAAATCTTCCATTGTCAAATGGCTTCGCTTCTTTGCCGCTTTCTCTTCTTCCATAGCTTGAGCAAGTAACTCGGCAGGCAATAATTGCTTATCGCTTTGTTCTTCCTCCTCTTCGTCTTTTTCTTCCATCTCCTCTTCCACCTCCTCTTCGGATTCTGGCTCTTCCGCCACTGGTGGCTTGCTCTGCTTCTTTTTACTTTGTTTACTTTCCTCCTTCTGTTTCTTCAGAATCTGATCACGCTGTCGACGCTTTTCCTTTCTCGTAGCCTCCTCACTATATATTGAGATTAGATCAGAACAATCCACCTCATCATAAGCGCTAATGACGCAAATCGCGATCGTACCGTGCTTTTGCTTCCTTGGCTGCTTTGACACTTTCCAAAGCCATGGATTTAGCAGTGCTTGTAGAGACAGCTTCAGGTGCTTCGTCATCGGAATCACTCTGATCTGCCACAGCATTCTGCACTGGCAAAGGTGCTTCAGGCACTTCTATAATTTCATCTTCGGCAAAAACCTTCTTCACCATGATGGGTATATGTATACAATACTACGTCAAGTGGAAAAAAGTTCAATAGAGGAAACCAGCGTAATAAAACCGTCTTTTTACTTGATTCAATCGGAATTGCTCCACCAGGTCACCATGGAAAAAGGTCGTGAGTGGCTTACATTTTAGCGGTCACATTGACGTTGTTGAAGCTGAGCGCTTGCCAAATATGGAATATAAAAGCGGAGTGTGACCAGAGAGAACCCTATCTCTGAAAAAAGAATAAAGAAAAAAAAACCAAAAAAAAAAAAAAAAAAAAAAAAAAAAAACGGAGCGATTCGTCGACTGACAGCAATCAATGATGACTATTCGTTTGGTGTACTGCTTGAGGATGTCTATAAACTTGTGCCATATTACTTCATGTCTGTACCGTAAAGAATTGGACAGCTTCTTTCATGATGTGTCAGGCTCTCGGGAGTCATTTGTATCAGTTACTCGATCCGATATAAAGGTGGAAGACGAAATTACTAGATTCACCGAAAAAATATGTACGTTGGCTCCACCGCATTGCTGCAGAAGAAGAACGGCAATAATGTTACAGTTGTCACGCCAACCATATAAACAAAAACAATGTGTTGTGGCACATCATCAGAAACCCCTGTGACCGTGGTAACGTTAGAGTGAATAGCAAAAGATAGCAGCAAATAATTCAAGCATTGTGGTTGATACAATGATGCAAACCATGAACCTATTTCTTATCGATGGAACTATGTTACTGTTCGGTGGCCTGTTTGTTGGTGTACTTATTTTCATTTGTGATGGTGACTGAGCTTGTATTCAAAGGCACAAAACGGCGTTTTGATAAATCCTGTGGAGATTGATCTGATCAATCTGAGAGCGAAAATGTCAACGCCAGGCAATATGATTCGAATAAAGGAGCGTCTCTATTTTTTCGTCCCGCGGCCTTTTACTGGTGCAATTTGTTTAATTTCAGTCACAAAACCTAAAAGTCAGTGATAAAAAATGGAGAAACGACAGTGCAGAGATTCACAAATCAAAAAGCCGTGTAATCGAACGGAAACGGGGAAAAATGGCAGTATGGCAAAGATTTACATGTAATTCACTTACCCGTAAACCTCAACAGGCCTTAGGCCTTATTGCCCGGAGAACATACCAAGTGGGGAGGGCGGACTATGCCGTACATTTCATCGTTGTTCAACATGGCGAGTGAGCGCCGGAACCGCCAACAATTGGTAGTTCGCACCCAAATGAGGAAGCCTTAAAGCATCGACTGCAATGTACGGTAAAGAAAGCGATGCAATCCATGCAAGAAGCATAAAGAAGCCAGGTGGAATATGTTTTTCCTGAATTGAAGTTCCGTTTTTTGCAAAAGAGATGTTCTTCAAAGTTCCTGATTTTCATTCGTTCCCCCCTTCTTTCCTTTTTTTTATTCAAATTCAGGAGGCCGTCATGAAACCGTTCGCCTCCACAGCTGTCAATGATCCTGGTAGAGGCACCTTGATATGTAAACGTCAGGGCCCAGAAACCCAATTCGTTCGTATTCATGCGCAATATCCGTTGAAATTTATTCCTACAAAGGCATATGCCGATCGTCTGGCAGTTGTATATATGATATCCTACGGCGGAGGCATTGTATGTGGTGACCGATTTGATATCACCATGGAAATTCAGCCGGAAGCGATCCTACTGTTGATGACTCAAGGAAATACCAAAGTGTTCCGGGATCGTGTTCATCAGCGACAATGGTTGGCCAAGATTGCCCAACAAGCGAGACCATCCTTGCCATTCTCTTCATTGCTTCCTCCCACGCCTCCTTCTTCGCCGAGTTCCAATACTGACGGTGCTTCCCTTCAGCTTATCGAAGCAACTGTGGCTTCTTCTGCCACTCTTCTGATTATGCCCGACCCTGTCACCTCATTCCGCGATTCCTCTTTCAAATCGCACCAAGCATACCGTTTAGAAGACACGACGTCCCAGCTCGTTTTATTGGACTGGTTCAACAGTGGAAGATTGACACGAGGCGAGACTTGGGCGTTCAAACATTATTCCAGCCGTATTGATGTGTACCACGGAGATCGACTATTATTACGTGATCATATGGTGCTTGAAGATGAGGAATACATGCGAACCGATGCTATGCAGACATCCTATGCGGCCAAACTGTACCCATACACATGCTTTGCCACACTCATTGTCGTTAGTGACGGCTCATCGAGCTTGTATCGATCTATTGAAGCGTTTCAGAAAAAAGCAGAGGCGGAACGAATGCTTCCGGTCAATGTACGATCGAGGCAAGACATATTATGGTCCGTGAGTCCGCTTTTGAACGGCAGAGGAAGTCTGGTGCGTGTATCAGGCATCACAACCGAACAAGTGAGGGATTTCATCAAACATCAAGTTCTCGGTAAAGGGCTCGAGGAGATCATTGGTTCCGGCATGTTCTCCAAAGTGCTTATGTAATAGACTGCAGCATATAAACATTTTTTTTTTGTACACTACTTCATTTAAAAGAAAATTCAAAAACTTTAATGATACCACGACTTGGACTAAACCATTGTAATGATACTTTTCTTGGTAACATTTCAGATGGCTATTTCTCATTTACTGTATCAAGCCAAAAAAGGGTGATAAGCGAAAAGAGGTGATACTCAGCAGGTATCATCCATTTTCGCTTGATACCTACCAATATCACCTCTTTGCTTGAGACCTACCAGGTGTTTGTTACCCGATTATAGAAGCCTGGAGCAAAAATAGAGCTGGTTACTTTTGCTTGCTTGAAGAGCGGGCTGCGAAAGATCTTCTGCTGATACAAAGGCATAAGGGTAGCAGATTACGAGAATATAATAGATGATAATTTTTCTTTTTACTGATCATTCACTGGAAGGGAATACTTGAAAAAGTGTATGGTAACGTCATTAAGGGATAAAGAGGGGTATATAATGTTATTGAGACATGCTGTACAATTCTATTAAACATCAAGGTCGGCATATTTTCTCCTTCGGAGGTAACTATTTCCAACCAAAAAAAAAAAACCCGTGATCAATATATGCAGTGATATAGGACGCCACTTCATTATTTAAGTGTACCTTTTAGGTTGCGGCCGACACAGCACATGCGCCATGTTCAGGAATGGGTTCTTTTTCTTGTATGGATTGGCCATTAGATGCTTTGTGTCTAATATAGAAGCTCGTAGCTAAGCAGTGAAACAAAAAAAAAATGAGCACAGTGCAGTCAACTATCCGCTGAGACTCCGTTTTAACTTACTCGTTCATGCGTAGTGAGACCATGCAGTACCAGTGAGCAGTGATAGAACGTGAGACCGCCGATTAACCATAACAGTACAAAGCAGAAAATGGCCAACACAAAGCTCGCAGGCGCAGCATGGAACAAAGTTCGGACATCGCCGGGCCCTTTAAGCACCAATAAATCCACCAATGAAAAGACGATGACATAGATACAAAGGATAGTGGAAGTGGCAATGCACGTGAAAAATGAACGATAGTTGCGCTTGCCAATGCAATTGTTCAACCAGATACAGTGATGATCTTCGTTTTCTGTATTGCAACAATGAATTCGCATGCTTGCTCATACAAATAAACGATCAAAGGTCGATACATACCTACACAGTTATCGCATTGACGGCAATGGCTCGCACGAGGCGGACGATAAATCTTACAAGTATCGCAGTATTTTAACGTCCACACTGTATCCCTGATACGAATAATCTTTTGCGCAGGAATGGATCGACTCCACAGAGACTCGTCTTCCGACGCTTGATCACTTGTTAGCTCCATCATCGGGGAAGGATCTAATCCTCGAGGAATGATCTTTTGAAAGTACGAATAAGTACACCATAACGTTTTTTCTGGGTTCACTTTTCCATGTACTAAAACGTACCCCCGGATCAGTCCATGATGTCTTGATCATAGATGCTACAGAAAGGACAAAAAAGTAGGCGAAAAGAATAGGTACAACGGGATGCATTTCCCGCCAAAGAACCGGGCATCTGCGTAGATTTCGAAAAGTGTCACCTTTGAGTGGGTCGCAAAATAACAGACAATATAAACAATTCACCTACGTGAAAATGCCAAAAACAACACAAGGAGCCACCAGCAATATCATGGCAACGGAAAATGCCCAATATTCTCTGCTTGTCATTAATCGACCACCGCAAAAGAACTTATTGCGGCCGGGAAATACTTGGTAATTTCTGCTTCGAGATCGATTGAGATTCGTCACGCGCTTGGGTGTTGGTCGTTCAGAGGGAGTGGTAGCGTTTAATGCGGTATTTTCTTCGAGTGATGGGTCAGCGACGGTGGTAACCGGATTCGTCGGTGTGGTGTCTTTGTTGCCCGTGGAAACCGTTGCAAGTGGTTTTGTGTCAACAGGCTGTACTTTTCGTCCAATGAGGGTCATGTTATCGTCGGTCGTCGCATTGGACAGTGTAGTCACTCCAGAAGATTGAGGTACTGGATCTTCGTGAGACTGTGAAGCGTAAAAGGTTTGTACACTACTTTCATCGGTGACAGACGAGGTATATATTTGAGGCTTGTGAGGTGTTGATTCAAAATCAAATGTTTCTAATGACTCGGGTTCTTCTTCATTAGCAGGATGAAGCATAGATGAACCTTGTTGCAAAGTGGCAATGAGTGGTTGTGGCGAGGATGGGGGGTGGTGACCGAGCATGGAAGACGAAGGGTATAATCGTGAACGATCGGAAGGAAGAGGAACTACCCAGTCGTTGTGTTCCATTCTTTGGTTTGTATATGTAACCCAAAGAAAAGGGAGACTAAATAGCGAAAAAGCTCATCTATTCTCGAGGGATTATTTTTTTCTTTGTCTTGTGCGACTCATCCGTGTCTGGATTCTTGATGCATTTCGGTGCCTGAAAACTGCAAGTTCTCGAGAACGGCGGCTTCTGTAATACGAATGCAAAATTTGATTATCTTGCAGAAACCAATCCCACGATACTGCAAAGGTAAAAAAGGTGGCTCTTCAAGTTTAAAATATCACCTATTCTTTAAGCTTTATCCAATATAAGGGATAAATCGATCTTGTTTCAGAATAAGGAAACCGGCCACATCCACCATCCAATTTTTTGCTGTTTCAGTTGCAGCATTATCGGATTCATGCAGATCACCACACCCTGTTCTTCTTATAAAGCGTTGCCCTTGATAATCAAGCGAACATCATACTATCTGCGCACTAATCTCCAATTCTTATTGACAAGGCCGTCGGTCGCCACTGCACAAGCTTTTTTTTTGTTGATGTCTTCATATAAATCCTGAAGAAAACGGACTCAAAGGTTACAGAAATCGCCCAGTTTCAAATGTTGTCAAAAATTTAATTGCGACTGATGACCTGCATTATAGAACAAGCAAAATTACATTGCGCATCAGAAAGGGGCTATTGTCCATCATGTACCGAAAAAAAGGGAGGGATTTTCGGTCAATTATCATGCATCAGTCACCGCCAAAACGTGACTCACTAAAGAATGCTTATGCACGATTGACAGCACCAGTAGGAACGCGTCGAAAATGGTATCAATGGGGGAAGGACGGCGGATCCCCATGACATGGATCCAAAACCAGCAACTAGGATTACCCAATGGAAATCAACCGTTATTCCGTGCTGGCCAGTATGATAACATATAGCTCAATGGTGCTGTCATCAGAAGAATCTTAAAAATCGCATCGTTTGTTTGATACGGGAAACAATACACTATAACTTCATTCGATTGAGTTGATCCTTTCAATTTGGCAGAATCGATGTCGCGCACTGAAAGTTTTCACCACCTGCGCGTTTGTGCCCATTTCCAAGTCCGACCATTCGTGAGACGCCACCTGAACACTGGTAAGGAGGGATCGGGAAACACGATTGAAAAAAACATTACCAGCATAGCTTTTCATTGCCTCGCATTAAATCATGACAATTACCCGAGCCCGGCCTAAGAGAGAATGCCAATCGCTGGAGCAGGATGTCATTTCCATCGAAGACTGTGTGCAAAGTAGACGCTTAATACACAATGATCTGTACCATAAAGTTACACCAGCCGAGGTGTCATTGATTCGAAGATCATTACTTGATTGGTTTGATCGCGAACAGCGCACCAACATGCCCTGGCGTAAACCAGCCATGCCATCGGGGACGTATTGCGGTCAAAGGGCTTACGAAGGTCAGTACATAAAAGTGAGTTGATTTCTTCTTAGTGACATGACTGCTTACTTAAAACCAACGATCTACAGTATGGGTGAGCGAAATCATGCTGCAACAGGTGAGTGATATCGCAACATTGTACATAATTTTTGCAAGCCTGAGATATTGATGTAAGAGAATGTTTAGACTCAAGTCGCCACTGTAATTGACTACTATAATCGGTGGATGGAAGCGTTTCCTACAATTTATGATTTGGCAACGGCTGATCTAGAGGTATTGCTGCAGCAGTGAGCGATCAATTGCGAGAACTACGGTGTTGATGTTCCAATTTTAGACGGTGAATAAGCTCTGGGCCGGTCTTGGATATTATTCACGCGCTAGACGTTTGTGGGAAGGAGCCAGAAAAGTGGTGCAAGAGTTTGACGGCTGTTTACCGACAACCAGCAAGGAATTGGAGAAACATATACCAGGCGTGGGTAGATATACTGCGGGTGCGGTAGCATCAATTGCATACGGCCGCCAAACCCCCTTGGTGGACGGAAATGTAATCCGTGTGTTGTCCCGTTTACGAGCCATTGGTGGTGATCCCAAGAAAACCAATGTTGTCGAATTGTTCTGGTAAAAACGTGCCACACTACTTCCTGATTTCCCTATTTTTATATCTTTTAAATGTCCTTCTTGCTTTCAGGGAAATTGCTGCTGCTTTGGTTCCTGCAGACCGCCCAGGAGACTTTAATCAAGCGTTGATGGAACTGGGAGCGCGAATATGTACACCGTCGAAACCCAATTGCGCTGCATGTCCGATCAGCGAACAGTGCCATGCCTTGGCACAGGCGACGATTCAAAAGCGTCTAAATGCCGATGCCTTTTGGAGCATAGATAACAAGAAACGCAAATGGCATCATGGTAAGGTTATAGAACAACAAACATTATATCCTTATCCCTAAATGCATCTAATTATGCAATTAATTTCTGACAGATTGCAAGATCTGCCCAGAAATTTTGTCGCCAATGGAGACGGATGATTATGCAGTCACAAGGTAAATTTACATCCATTTCATTGCAACCATGGCCACATGTTCCATCTTTTTGAGTTATCAACTAACGTAACATGTCAGATACCCGCTGAAAGTAGATAAAAAGCCACCAAGGGATGAAGGTAGCGCAAACGATCTTACAGATTTATCGTCTGAAAAATTTCTGATCTGAGAAATAACATGGCCGAATTTTGGCAGAGTGTGCTGTATGTATCATTCAGCAAACGTCGGATAAACTGAATGAACCGGTGTATCTGATATCTAAACGACCCAATACAGGTAAAAAAAAAAGGACATTTTAATTTATCCAACAACGGCTAAGTCTTTCATAAAAAATTCAGGCTTATTGGCTGGATTATGGGAATTCCCAAGCTTAGAGCTAGGCAATCAAGCAACAACGTACAACGAACGTGCGGAGCAGGTTTCCGTATTTTTGAAAAATCGTTACAACCTTGATTTACACTCGGGAAAGGTCGAACGTCGGGATTTGGGAAACGTTGTTCATCTGTTTTCTCACATCCGGAAAGTATACCATATCGAGTGGATCATTCTCGAGGGTGCAATTGCAGGGACCGGCCAATGGATGACATTGGCTGAATTAAAAACAGCCGCCATTCCGACGGGACTTAAAAAGGCGATCCGATTGCTGGAACAATACCAAAAGGTTTGATAAAAAATATTTTATGTTTGATGGAAAGTTCCATCCTGTTTATTGACGATCTTGACCTTAGGACAAAGCAAATAAGAAGTCAAAGAAACGAGACACGGCAGATATCAGTTTGTTTTTCACCAGTCAGAAATGAGAAACGGACCTAAACCGCATGAACACCGTTTCAGCGAAGGTCAAAGGAAACCAAAGAGAAAATAAACATTAAAACTCCGCACAAAGGGAAAAATATCGTTGGGTGGCAAGCAAACAAATGGAGCATGAACGTATAAGAAGCCACTATAAGACAGACATGCGTTAATTTTTTCCTTTTCCCTCATCTTTTTTTTTCCTTTTGGTCATTTTTAATTATGCGATTGACGTCGTTTATGGCTTGCCTGCTCGGTTCAGCCTCGCTGGTTGCCGCTGCTCCTGCAGAAATTCCATTGACTGAATGCCGCTCTATGAAAACCGATTTCATGAAGGCGAGTAAAGGTTGGATTGCCGAAAACAGCGCGCAAGATACGTACAGTATCACCTCCAATGGTCTTGAAATGCGCTTGGTTCCACCAAGTCAGTACGTGCGCTTGCATGACAGTAATTCCAGTAAGTTTTGGACCGTGATCTGATCTGTATTTTGGATAATTTTGATCTAACGTTTTATGCAAAAAAGATATGCCTTATAATAAATACGAAGGTCGTGGTCCCACATTTAACGTGTCAACACTGATGCGTTACGGTCGTTTCTCTGCCACCATGCGATCAGCACCTGTTGGTGGCGCTATTACTGCATTTATTGTGCTGGCTGACGATGGTGATGAAATTGACTTTGAAATCTTGGGCGGCGATCCCCATCATTTGCAGTAAGTCATCGCGGGTGTTTATATTATGATTGCGTCTTTTGACACCTTATTTTTTTCAAGAACCAACTTTTTCTATGGCAAGCGTCCGCTGTATACCGTGAACGGTGGTCTTCACGAAGTGCCTGGCGAGGCGGTATATGATGCTTTTCACACGTATACGGTCGATTGGCGTCCTGAACGCATTGAATGGCTCGTTGACGATAAAGTGATTCGCACCGTGCAAAAGAAGGATACTTGTGATGCTAATGAATGCAGATATCCCAGTAGCCCAGGGTAAGTGGGAGTTTCACCTAAAGATTTTCGAGATGAAGAAGGCTAAGATGTTTGTTTTGCTCAATAGTCGAATTCAACTTGGTTTATGGGACGGAAGTTTCGAGGCTGGTACTGCGGAATGGTCTCATGGCCCCATTGATGTAAGTTGTTTTGTTACTATTTTCCTAAAAAGAAATTGATACTTATGGTTTGCCATCCCTTACAGTGGAGCCAACATCATTCGATTTCTTCTTACATCAAGAGCGTAGAAGTCGATTGCGACCCTCAGTATAACAAGGTCATCTCTTAACTGCGCGCTTCTCCGGACTCTTTTGGTTTTATCGATCTTGAACACCAAGCCATTACAATAATGAGGTTCTTAATTTGTTTGTTTGTGAAAGTTTCGGTTGATTGTATCAACCTTGAAAGAAATACAAACAACTTCTTCCGTATTTGTTTTTATGAAAATGACGTGATTTGACATGGAATGATGTTTATTCATTGGAAACTGCATCAATACAAACATATCTGACCTGTTTCGATCGTTGATACAAGCCTTGATTGACCAGCCGGTGATGCCATAACCCTTAATCCGCGTACATTTTCCAATTCATTGCCGGAATACTCGGCGAGGACTTGAACCTTTTTCTTTTCGAGAATAGCATCAAGGGAGCCTGTCTGATAGATGCTTCCATCCGCTAATGAAAAACCAAATTGTCAATATGACTATCTAATATACGAGTTTTTTAGATCCATACCATTCGCAACACAGAGAGTGCTGCTGCCCTCCTCATCCGGTTTGAGCTGGATATCGGTTACAGCATGTTCGTTGCGCTGCCACGCCACAACTGGTGCACTGTTTAATTAAAAATATTGGGAAAATTCGGGCCTCAGTCCATTTTGCGATGACGTTATTCAATTTGGCAAAAAGTCCTACATACTTTAATTCCGAAAGACAAAATACCCGAACAACGCCTTGTCGATCGCCCGTAACCAATACCTCAGTTTCGGCGTCGTATGCAATACATGTCAATGGTACATCGTCGCCCGTGGCAGAAAATAACTACATGAAATAAAGTGTTATTCAAGCAATATCCCTGTTGTCTCTGATCTCACCAATTACCTCCTGCTTGGTACCCAGATGGATGAACCTGGCAGAACCATCAGCAAGAGCCGCAATGACCATGCAGTCAGCCGTATCTACTTCACGCTCATCTAATTTTTAAACGTTAGCTTCCCTCTTTTGAAAAATATATAGCCATTCGCAGCGTACCGAGGGCTTTTGGATCGGCTGGTTCAATATGTTTTGGTAATTTTGCGAGAAGGATCTTGCTGACGGAACAGTTATAGGAGCCCACGACAGCAATGGTATCCGCTGTACCTGATCATGATACAAAAAAAAGTTAGCCACCACCGCGCATGTTTCATATAATGGCTGGCTTACCGCAGTTCCACAAACGTATAGTACCATCACGAGAGGAAGCTGTTGCATGTTTATTATTAGGCTTGCCAACGAGGCAGAAGCTTTGTCAAATGCAACTTACACAAAATATTTCTTCCGCGCGAAATGATAGCCGTATCTGTCACAGCTGTAAACCGCAAGTGTACAAGGTTGAGAATGTTAGGAAAACGAAAAGAGTAAGCAACAAAATTATATTACCAGAAGTATGTCCTTTTAGTGTTACTGGATTGCTTCCATCGATCAATGACCAGATTTTTAGCTGGAAATCTGCACCTCCCGACAATAATACTAGAGAAGGACGTACGTTAATCACTTCCTGCTTGTGCATAAAAAAATGGAGAGTCACATACCTAGATTGCTGGGGAAAAATTGGACCACATTGACATCGCTCACATGGCCTTTCAGCAAACGCTTGATAAACTCGGTTAATACACGTCTTTTCATCAAGTTAAACTATGCAATGCGCCAGTTGATTGCCAACCTGATTTTCACCATCGATTAGTTTTCCCATATCGATTTCTGCTCCTCGTCCAATCGCATATAATTCTCCACTGGGCGAAACATCCAAGCATTCTGCCTATCATATCGTATACATTAATGGCGCATGCTTGTACCATTTTCTATATAACTTACTCTATGCTTGATACTGAACTGCGATCGCGGCGCAAGCACAGTCGTTGAAGGGATACCAAGTACTGGACATTCCACTTTCATGGCTCGCTGGACAGCAAATATTGATCAGACCTCAGCCAGATAGAAAACCAACTCCAATGAATACTTACGGAATTGACACGTTGGACGCTAAAGTCGCCTTCCGCCTCCAAAGTCGAAGTGGTGACTGTAACTTTATGGTGCACGGATTCCTTTCCTATGCCAGTCAACGATCGCATTAGGACAATGTAACAACCGCGTATTCATGTTCTGTCTACCTGTGCAATAGAAAGATATCCAAAACTTCTCGGCTGCTACTGTTTGACTGGTCACGTCTTTGACGACTTGATCCCAGTCTGGCTGGACACTGACATAGGGAACTGTTTCGATCGACATGGTTTGAATGATACGCTTATAAACCGAAATTTTTCTTGCGTCGAGAATTTTCCATCTGCGCTTGGACAACGTTCCAAAGCCGTCATTCCCAAATCTGATGAATTTCATGCAGTAATTTTCCAAATTACAGTCTCGTCATCAGCACCAATATCAGTCTTTATTCATTTGTAAAAACAGTAAACAATTCAATAGTTTTTTTTTTTTTTTGCGTCTTGCTCTTGAATTATGAAGAATATTGTAAATTTGCATATATGCGTGTGCATGTTTTTCCTTTTTTTTTTTGCAGATTGAGTGCGCTATTCAATGATCAAAGACTATGCTACATCCATCTTTTCCATTTCTTTCTTTCCCAGTTGAATGTTCGCCATATTCCGAATTTTGTTTTCGAATACTCTTAATGACCGCCTGCGAAATCACGAAAATGCAAGGAAGTGCAGGTACGGTCATTGCAAGTTCCGCCTACCATTTCAAATGCACACAATTGCTTGTTCACATCCGTCGGAGCTGAGCTGGACGATGTCGTGGTATCTTCAATGTGAGAAATTCCCAGCATATTCAATGGGGATTGGTATGGCTTGAAAGCACCCTACAAAATACAGCCCCATATTAAAGCTTCCTTCAACTTCCAGTATCGATGAGCAAACCATCGTCACAGTTCTTTCCAACTGGACAGCGGAATGTAGTTTTACCTTATTGCTGGTGGCAGAGCTCTCCGCTGTAGAAGGCTTGTTTGTCTTGCTGGGAGCCGGAGAAGAACTTTGAACAGCAGTCTACACAAATGGACATGCTAAATATGCCTCAATCATCACGGCGGGCCCTGGTTATAAATTACCTGTTGCTTATTTCTGAGACGTGAAGATCGTCGAAGAGATGGCTCAGACTCCTGTTTTTCCATGAATGAACAGAGAAATACCACAAAGATATAAGTATGGGATCCACCTCGCAAAATTTGGCCCAAAGCTACGAATGCTTACCTTTGTTTGCCTGCCTGTTGTCGAGGATTGACTGGGATGAGGTGTTGCTGGTGATTGAATCGGTAGAGATGGCTTTTTATCTGCTTGACGATCGGGCATATTACTGACAGCCTTCGTTAATGGTACATTATTGAAGTTTGGCTGAGGAACCGTGGATGGTTTCTGGGGTGTAGATGGAGGCACATGACGTATTGCTGGTTGACTGGATATCGGTTGGCTGGATAAAGACTGGGATATGGCTGATTGAGCTGCTACTTTAGTAGCATCGGTAAGAACTAAGGTGGATGGAGTTGAAGAGGATTGCAGATGGATTGGATGAGAAGACGTTGTTGAATCGGCGTGCTCGACTTTTCGTCGTTTGGCCAATGCTTCATTTCTTTCTTTCATTTTTCGCTTTTTCGTCTCCAGTAAACGTGTCATTGCTTGGGCTTTCGCAGCTTCGGTTTCCCGCTTCATGTCTTCAAGCTTTTTGATTCTTCCATCAAAGAATTTCATCTGCTTTCTATAATCGTCGATGTTTTGAAGCAGGACCATGACAGGATCGGCTTCCTCGCCAAAGGTCAGTGGCCATCCCGGAGCATCGTGGAATTCTTCGTTATCCGAGCCTGAATCTGTGTTGCTACTGGTATCCTTCGCTTTCGAAGATGACGCCGCTTTTGAGAAAGAGGACTTTCTACCACTGACATGGTTGAGTGGAGGCTGGTTAGATAATGCTTGATCTGTGATCATTGAAGAAGGAGTTTGTGAGAATTCGGATCGCTTATCAAATGTAACACGAGTTGAAGACGCACCCGTGCTGGATATCGCAACCGGAGAAGAGCTTTCACTGTCACTTTCTACCTCCATATCACTCGAGTCATCTATATTATTCATATCGAGAATCATTTTTCGTTCAAACAGTGAGCTGCGACAAAAAAGCGGCCTTGCGGCCAAGCGCAAAATCCACGTGGAAAAATATATCACAGTCACAAGGTGACTACCTTCCGGTCCTTCTCGGGAACGAGTTAATGCGTTTTGCTGGTCAACCTCTTTTTTATTTGTTTTCACCGTTTAAAAGCAATGGGCTACGCGACTTTAGATGCAGCATTGGCCTTTCCCAAGAACGTTCCGCCCATGCGACAACATATCGTTATCACAGACACCGTCAAGTCGGATGCCAACTTTCTGATTCATCACTTTGTCGGCAATCAGTTAAAGGGCGATCGGCACGTTGTCCTTGTCGGCATGGCTCAGATCTTTAACCACTATTTTCTGATCAGCCGTAAATTGGTAATTATTTTACTTTTTACAATGGATACTTTAAGGACAGATACTTATCACTGAGCATTTAGGGAATTAATCTTCAATCTTACAAACAATCAGGACGTTTCTGCTTCATTGACGGCCTAACTCACCTTACTTCCTACACAGACGGCACCCCTTATCCTCCTGCTCGTGCACCGACATCACCGGCCGATACGTTAAATGGATCAAAGATACCACAAAATGCATGCTTGCGTACCTTTTACGATGTCATCAAACGCCATGTAACTGATAAGCAGCATCCTCTTCTTATCATTGACGATGCCAGCATATTTATGCTGAGCGGATTCGGTATTGGACCTGTGTCCATGTTCATCAACAAACTTCGGGTGCTGATGGAATCGGTGGACGGCACATTAATGACGATTATTCACGCTGATGAGGAAGGAACAGAGGATCCCGAGCAGGATGCGTTTGTCAAATCGGTGCTGTCAACGGCTCATCTTGTTCTCCAAGTGCAGGCACTCGGAAGCGGATTAGCAAGAGACGTTCACGGGCAGGTAAATATCCTTGCAGCTAAACAGAGATTATGAATAGAAATGTTTTGCTAAATCATGATGTCGTCTTGCTTAGCTGTCAATCATACACGGTCCGAAATGTTTACCACAAGCTGCGAATCAAATCATTCCTCAATCCTTGCACTATCGAATTCTCGATAATAATGCGCACTTTTTTGCCAAGGGCATCTCTCAGGGTGTTCTGTAATAAAATATCGAAAACTTTCATCTGTTGTTTTCATGTGCCTGAGTACTACTGTATGCTATACCGTGTCATTTTGTTGGGGGACAGACTCTTCCAAAATGTAACTCTCTGCCGTATACACAAGTGCTACGACAACACCAGTCCTATAAAGTTATTATTCGTCACTCTCGTCCTAATGAAGAGTGTAGAAAATAACTGAATATTCAATTACTTGAAGTGGAAACTGCTTTCCAATATTATGACCACATTATCTAGCGAAGTCGCTTGACGTGGTATAAATGGACCAAAAAGCTGTAGATGCAGTGTAATTTGCTATCCAAAATGAACCCATTGGCGGATGGAAATTAGTTTATGCCTGTGGACCAAATCTTTGATGTATACACATCGCCCAGTTCCGGTGTTTATGATGAGGCACAGGACCCAACTCAGCCCAATCAACAGCGCAACTTTTTGTGCACTGCCCAGCCTCCACTGGAGCCTCAACAACGTTGACAAAATATGGTTTAAAGCGCTCCATAGAACATTCACACGCTCAAACCTATTAGAATGCAAATAACCGTACAAAGGTTCGTTGCATTCGATCTAGCAAATAAATAATTAGCGTTCATTTTTAATCCTGATATGAACTCTATTTTGTCCCACAATCATCGAGTCAAAAGTTGGAGAACGGCTTGAAATGAAGGTTGAGAAGCAACATGTATAATACCCGGGATTGCACAGCTACACAATAAGCCTTGTGAAAGCTCCAATGTGAATGGTGTGTCTATTTTTATCTCTTTTTTCTTGACACGAGCGGAAGGTTGGTTATGTGTTTTGAAAGGGCGATGCTTATTTTTGGCAATAACGGCTTTTGTTTTCAACATCCGCGAGATTAACCTCCTCTCTGGACCACGATCTGCCACACATTAACGGACGATTAGCCTGATTGTTTTTTCTTAGGTTTTCCTCTTTTTCCTATTTCCCTCTTTTCCCCCTCTTTTTTTTTCTTCTTTTGCTTCGGCATTCCGCATTCTTTCGCATCATGAAGTTGTTGCCTCGCAATCTTCATGGTTACAAAGTGGCTGTCATCACAGCCGCATGTCTCTCGTTAACCCAGGCGAAACCGAGCGATCCTTGTGCCGCCATTGCTGGTAAATCCATTGCCACTTTTCATGAAGCCAAAGCTTGTCTGCAACACTTTCCGTTTGACGAATCGGTGGCAAATCAGACGTTGGATACTGTACGCAGAGTTGCCACCGATCTTTATGTTTTCAATGTAACTTTTTCGTCTTTCAACACTTGGTGGTTCTCGACTCAATTTCTGACCTGAGATTGTCTTTTTTTTTCTATTTCCGATAGGAAATTGCGGCGTCGCCTCCCCAGGTCGAAGGATTATCAGTGGTTCCTGTTAATATCACGTACGGACTCGACGTAATCAAAAACACAAAGTGGCATTCCGATCAAGAATTCCATGATGCTGTTGCTTTATTATTAGATAAAGTTCACGATGCTCATCTGGTAAATGACCACCACTCCCGAAGACTGCTTTTTTTTGAGCCTTTAAACTCACCATTTGGACCTGTTGATTCGTTAGGTTTACTCGCCTTTCTGCTACCGTCAATTTGTATTCTGGCAACCGATTCAGCTGAATGCTCTTATTCGCCATCGTCGCTTGGTGATCAACGTAGCCTATGTGAAAACCGATATCTGGCCTGACGCCAAAGAATCTTGGACCGGTTGCGAAGTAACTCACATCGATGAACGTGAAGCTTTAGACATGGTCGTCGATTACGCGGTCAATAACAATGGTGAAAGCAAAGATGTCAACACATGTCTCAACAACATCATGAACACAAAGAGTTATTTCCACGGCTGGGACGATGGTGCGGATGATCTCGGATATCATCGTTTCTTACCCGCACAAGAAATGCACTCCTATACCCTTCGCTGTCCGAAGAACAACACCCAGTCAGATCGTGAAGAGTACGACGAGCCTTTTACTGTAAAAGTACCTTGGGTTGCCCAGGTTCCGCAAGGTTTCAGCGACGCCAATTCTTACTGGAACAAGTATTGTCAATCGTCTCATGCCAATATGCGCAAACGCAATTTGGCAAGCTCCGACAACTTTTTAGACGTGGATGAACTGAAGATGATTCACGAAGGACAGGCTTTTGATTTATCACCCGAAGCTATTAACGGTGTTGGTGGCCGCAAAGGTCCTTACGCACAGTTCATTCCGTTAAAGGGAGAAAACAGCAAAGTCGGTGTCATTGATATTCAAAGTTTCTCCATCTCGAGCGAAGATCGACAAGAATTCGTAAACAACTTTACAGCCGGCTTGAAACAGTTTGAAAAGGATGGCATCGAAAAGATTATTTTGGGTAAGATTTTATATTGCCTCAGCGAATAAGTTATTTCTCAAAAATGAGGCTAAACTAACGATGGTTGATTGCAATAGATCTTTCATCCAATGGCGGCGGTGATGCTTGTGCTGGTGAATTCATGATCAATACATTTTTCGGTTCCACTCCAGATTATCCTTCGGATGTGAAGTATTCGCCCTTCCTCGAACGTGTGGTGAAGAAAGCTTATGAAACGCAGGCTACAAAGTGGATTGATTATCGTTCGGACAAGTACAAGGGTTCTGATTGGTATACACACACCGTGTCGTACACTCGTGGCAAGGAGCAGGTCAAATTTTCGCAGCCTATCTCTTTGAGCTGTGCTACGTGGAATGACGAGCTTTCCAATGTTAAATACAACAATACCAAATGGAAAGCGTCGGATATTTTGATTTTATCAGACGGTCGTTGCGGTTCGACCTGTGCTATTGTGGCTTCTCGCTTGCGTTTGTCCCACAAAGTACCTGCTATGGGACTCGGCGGTATCCGTGGTAACCGTATGCAGTTTGCTTCCTTCCCCGGTGGAGAAAGCGAACGTCTTTCTGGCTTTCTGATGGATTTGCAAGCACTCGATCTCCAAAATGATCCGGACGCTCCCGCCCCGTTCCCCATCCGTGCGGATATGGGATGGACCTTCCGCGAAGTATATAAGCCAGGCCAAGTTGGCAACGAGAAGGATTTGTTGGAATATAGTGTCAACAATGCTGATTGTCGCATGCATTTCGACGATGAAAATGCCGATGATGTAGAAAAGTTGTGGGCTGATGTGGCGCAGGTGTTGCTCAATGGCCAGTGTCCTTTGATATAACTCATATCCCTATTTCTGTTTTTTTCTCTCTTGTCTTTGTACCGTTTCCCTCTTCCTGCTCCTATCTCTTCACCGTATTTAAATATATCCTATTCAATGTACAATACTCTAGACATCACGTCGGATGTTTTTAAGTGACTGCAGGTTTTTGCTAATGATTCCCACAGTGTATTGTGAGGTGACAGACATTGAACGAGGTGAAGTCGGCGCTTTTTTGCAATATATTTGACATGTCAAATTGAGCTTTCAAAGATGCTGTTGTCGCATCGAATAACAGGTTCTCAGGATCCTTGTAGAGGGTGAGTGTTAATATTTAAAAAATCGGATAGCGCTTTGCTCTCATTTGACCAGAGGCCTATTTTGCACGTTCCACTGAGCGGTTTGAAAATTTGGATCAGCGCGGCGACTGGAATCTGTAGCTTTTGCTGCCGTCAAGTTTTTTTTTTTTTTTTTTTTTTTTTTTTTACTCTGTGAGACACGGACCCATTTTTTATCTTCACGAAAACTTGGATCGGTCACACCCGACAAATAGTCTTTAGAAGTTCATTTTGTCGAAGCAGTTAATTGATTACGACAGTATACTTCTTCCATCAGCTCAAAGTACGCGTCCAAAACTCGACCGGACGCGTCTACAGTAAACCGATCGCTTCTCTATCAGGTCCCGGCAGCCTGGTAAAGGTCAGCTTCGTTCGGTAACACAAGGGCTCATTTTAAGGATTCCAATGTGAAATGAAGCAGATGTTTAGCTACATGACAAGGGGTTTTCCGTTCTTGCTCTCTATTATTACACTTGGAGAGGTATATCATGCCGCATCAATAGAGTTCTCCGCAAGCTCTCCGAAATGCAAAATTATACGGTGAAAATAATCAGTTCATGATGCAAAAAGTGGAACATGAACGTCTGTTCTAAAGAGCGCCTTGTCATTAGTGCGCTCTTAAACGTCGCGCTAATACCATGTGTGATTGGATATGTCTCGGACCATGCGCCAATAAGATAATATCAATAGTGACATGAACATTGCGAGTGCCAGCTTAATCCATCTTAAGTCTTTCATGCATGTCTACATTATATGGTATGCCTCATCTGAATCCTGCCCTTTTTCCTTATATCTGGTGCCTGAGAGGTTGGACAATGTTAATGTTATTTAACAACCTGCATGAGCGGACATACAAGGCTCAATAGATAACACAAAGCCAAAGATTTTAATATACCAACCACGCCCTTGTACAAACCTTGCTGGGCACGTCAGTCGATTTCAAGCATTTTTACAGACCCTTCCATCAGCCCTTGCTCCGTAACATACTATAGAGTGCATTATCACAGCAAGATATTTAGCGTTAATTGTAAAGATCTATTCACTCAAGGAACAGTCACCCTACTTTTTTTTCCAAGCGCAAGGGAAAAGGTGGGAAAATGAATGGTCAGTTTCGGTGCCTTGATAAAGTTTTCGTGAAACCCTATCTCTTTTATTTTTTATTTTTTTTCTTGTGTGTCAACAAGCTTTTTTGTTATATAACTGCTTTCTTTGGCTGTTCATCAGCACATTTTATTTATACTTTCATTTCTTCGTTCCGACTTGCCATCTCCTCCACTTGCATGTCTGCATTGAAAGCCCTACAGTGACCATTAGAATGCGCTCCAACCGAAAACTTATTCTAGGTCTCATCAATCGCATTGCTGCAAGAGTAAAGTATTACGACATGCGCTTCATCACAAACAAAAACATCATGCCTCGCATTCGCTTAACGTGATGACTCTTTTTTCGTCTCTTTTAGCTGCCTGTCAACAACAGCGGCCGCAAAATCGAGACTTTGGAGCAAGATCCGATTATTCAACAAACAGGCACGCATCTCATAAAGAAAAAGATAAAAAAGGAAACCAAAAGAGGGGTATACGAAAAAGAAAAGAAGGGGAAAAGAAGGAACAGGAAGACTTGAATAAGAGGGTGTTTTTTTTGTTGTACCGTGAAAAATATGAGAATCTAACTCTTTACTTCCTTCATCATTTGGTTGATACAGTGGCGGCTGTTATTGAACTGTCAAGTCATAAACTCACCACCGTGGCGAATGCGCTGGGGACTGTTCTAGAGAATGTATCAAAAGTAAGTAAGCTTTGGAGTTTCCTAAATTAAGTAGCTGAAATTGATAATGCACATGTGGCATAGACAAACTCGGTGGATCAATTCATACCCTTTGAGGCGCTCCAATCCCAGTTATTTGTTCTCCGACTTTTCTCAGCATGTCTGCAACACCATTGGAATTCACACCAAAAACAATCCGCACCGTCTAATCCCTCTCAATCAAATACCGCTCAGAATACCTCACTGGACGTCAATACCGTCGACCCACCGCCTCTGGATGAAGCCTTGGTCGCATATATCTTCATGCTCATGAGCCAATATCTCAGCATGTTCCATCGTATGGATGCAGATGATATGGAAGATACCGAGGTTCAGAAACCCAAAACCGATCTGGCTACCTACGAATTAACTGTCGATATTTATCGCGCCGCAGGCAAGGTCCTGTATTACGTGAGCGCCAGTAATTGGCCAACTTACTACGCCAAAGTCAAGAACGCTGTCCATGCATTGGGTGCTGTGAGCGAAACAGCCGACCTCAGCTATGAGATTCGCATGCTCGAATGTTGTTGTCTTAATCGATCCAGACTACATATCGTCCTCTCTGGTAATTTTATTAGTTTTAGTTGCCCATTGATCGGACAACAACGATAACGAATTATGCCGTTGTTAATGCAATTTATTTTTGATCTCGTTTTAGAGTTAAGCCCCTATTTTCTTCACATGAAGGATTCAGGCAAGCTGCTGTTCTCAAGAATGATGAAACGCGCCATTTGGAACTGGATCCAAACCTATCCATCGGAGTTCGCAGAGGTATCCGCGACAACCGACCGTCTTTTGAGTGGATCCGAAGTGCTCTTTGATATGTGCAATGCTGCAGCAGACACACCTCGTAAAAAGGCCGTATTATGGCCATTGCAAGCTATTTTACTGGCCCTATCACCTGATTTATTAGTCCAAGCGTTACTTGAAAATCCATCGGCCCAGAATAATCGAAGAACCAGTTTCTTGACCGTTCTCAGAAAATCCTTACGAAGTTCCAAGGGCGAAATTGCTGCCATGTCTTACGTTGAGCTGTGTAAAGCATCCATGTACGTTCCGCCCACCGAAGAATCGGTTTTGCGCCATATTGCCGCCGATATCGAAAGCGATTTGCAGGAAAAGATCTGGGATTTCTCGGGAGGATCATTCGTCGATGCATCACTCGAAGTACCAAGCCTACGATCGCTCGCTTCGGATTATCTGTTGACGCGTTTACGCTTGGATCCGGAGAAAACACTTTCCACCATTGTACCTACTTGTACCGATGAAAATGCCCCTGTCGCCTTTCGAACCGCCCTCGTCAACGCTTGTGCTTCAATTGTGCATGACGATGTATTACCTTGGAATCCTTCCATCTCTTCCATGTATAATTCCCTTTGCTCCATTTTACGCGAAATTTTTATGCACACCATTGGTATCGAAATCACTAAGCGTCCTGAAATGCCTAATGCATCAAAACGTTCACTTGACAAGCGACCTGAAATACGAACCCGCGAAACTTTTGAATTACTCGAAAATCTGTTACGGCTGTTCAAAATGGATCCACTTTTGGCATTATTGGTAGGAATTATACTTTGCGATGGAAATAAGCGGGGGTAAAGGAGACGAGTGTTTAATTATGCGTCCATGAATCAAATGTAGGGAAGTGACGAAGATAGAGTTGAACAGAATGCGGCATTTATGACGGGCATGATTGCGTTGCTGCAACACAACGATCCACTCATACGACAAGCTGCAAGTGAATGTTTGGCCAAACTGCATGATCCAGCGAGCATTGTTCATTGGGGACCCAAAACAGGCAATATGCGCAACTTTTGGCGCGTCTCATCTCAGGTCATTTTTGCCCTCGCCAAGAACGTTCTCGATATCAAGCAAAACGATGACAGTTTGAAAGGCCTATTCTCGCTGTTACTGAAACTGTTGAAAACTCGAAACGCATTTTTACGTGATAATCAGGTAACACCCATTGGTAGAAAAATAAATGCAATGCAATCAGCCTTACACTAATTTATTTACCGATAACTGACAACGACGCAGGAACATGCAAGGGATGGCATAGATGTTCGAGAACGTTTACAAGGTTCGGTGGCACTTGAGATTGCGTTGCTGGTGTCATTGTGTTCTTCGACACCCGAAATATGCTCCATAGCCACGAAATGCTTCGATCTTCTGTGCGTGGAAGCGCAACTTATGGAAGAAGACGAAAACTCCCATCAGAACCAGATCACGTTTGTAAGCAATTTGCCAATTTACGTCGGTCTGGCATCCAAGGACAATGTATTTTTGGGTCGGAAAGCCCAACAGAAAAGTGTACGCAAATCGTTGAGGATGATGTCACGCGCGACCCCCGGAAACTTGGCGGCTTGGGAGGAAGTGTGGAAACGATGGAAAGTGTTAACACCGATGGTGGTCCGTTCCGGTGAGGAGTTGTGGGAAGAGGATCCGGTCACCGGAAAGAGAGTACCGCGCCTTGATCAAAAAACAAAAGCACCGATGGGCAAACCGACCATCATGGGTCGAACGGATATCCATGAGGAGAAACAAACGGAATGGCAAAACTATACCGGATTTCTGGCCGCCTTGGGCGGATGCTGCTTAGCGTCGCAAGAAGATAAAGAAGACGGTATCTCCGGAAGAGAAATGGCCAACATGATCGACCGATATATGACCGAGATGGTGGATTTGCTTACAGCAGATAATGTGGTCGTACGCGAAAGTGTAAAGGATACCTTGGGATGCGATTTATCACCTGGTTTATACGCCATTCTGTTCCGTCATCTGGAAGCCGCGATGAATCGATCCTTTGACGCCGACAAAGAAGTGATCTGTTCTCCGAGAACGACTCTTTTAGTGGAACAGGGCGTCTTTATACTGAAGAGTATTCTTGACCGTTTGACCGATCCAGGCGATTGCTTGCTGAGTATCGACTTTAGTACGCTGATTAACCCGTTTGCAGCCTACCTCAGTAAATTACCTTCCAGTTACGCCGCTCTTCGCATCAAAATTAAAATGTGTCATCTGGTGGAAGCGTTGGTTCTCAAGAAGGAACAAATCATTCTGCGTGACGAAATGCGAATGAGAAATAAATTGCTGGAAATCATCGTCGAATGGACAAGCGATTTTGCCTTGGTAAGTAGCTGGACCAACGGATGGAACCGGATAAGGTAGCGCTTGCCGTATCACTAACCGTTGCATTGGTTGTTCTGGTGATGATAGCAAAAACCGGATGTAAAATACTCGTCGGTGTACCAAGACATGTCGCAAAGCGATAAGCTGCACAATGACTTGGATTTGGCTTGTTTAAAAACGATTGTGGCTATTTTACATCAATTACCCTTGCAGCTGCCGGAACCAACACGCGAAGCCGATACCACACAGTTCAAGAATCGACTCTTTTACAAATACTTCACATTTTTCCTCAAGCTGTTGAATCGCTGCCGTAGCTCGGAAGCACTTCATCAAATGGAACTGAGTAACTCGTCGTCAACACGCCGAAGCAAAGAAACAGTCATGTCGCCATCATCCAAGGTAATAATGTTTTGCCATGCTTATCTCAAAGACGATTAGGCAAAAAATCAAAAATATACTCATTTGCTGAAAATTTTAGACGATAACACCGGATTCGAATCAAGATATGACAGCCCTCAAGGATTATACCATCCTAGCTATATCGAATTTACTTCGAGCCAATGTCGATGCAGGCTTAAAATATTCTTTGGCCATGGGATATCATGAAGATATGCGGACGAGAACCGCTTTTATGCAAGTGTTGACAAACATTCTTAATCAAGGCGCCGAATTTGAGACGCTGGCCGAAAATGTGATGACGGATCGTTACGAAAGTTTGACCGACGTAAGTAATGGATGATCATGCAAAAAATGCCATTGTCAATATTGCCATTTACACCGTATCCCATTCAGTTGCTGGTCGAGTCGGATCTGGAAATCGCGCTGTCGCTGTGTGAAGTCTGTCCCTCCATTGATTACACTGGTGTGGCTGAGGTACTACTCACCTGTTTCGAATCTCGGAACAAGGTCAGTCCTTTTCTCGAAGCCGTCATTAAGAAAGAAGTTGCATCGACAGGTGAGTGAAAATCGTCAATAAGTAAGGCACGGCTTCGCATATATGATTAAACCCCCCCCCCACCCGGGATCTGTAGAGCAAGAAGCTACACTATTCCGTAGCACCAACATGGCAACAAGGCTGTTATCCCTCTTTGCCAAGCAATGCTGTATTGATTACATCCGTATCACTCTTCAGCCAGCTATTGAAAGGATTAATAACTTACCCGAAGCCCAACAGACGTGGGAACTCGATCCTCGCATCATGAATCCAGACGAAGATATAGCTACGAACCGCCAAAATGTTATTCGGGCTACGGAGATTTTACTCGATGCCATTTGTGCCTCGCCACCCACCGCTCCCAGGTAAATATTTTTCTTGTTCGTTTCTAGGAAATATATGAGTGTGGGATCGAGCCGTATCCGTTGGTCGATAGGTTATGACAAAGAGCGGTTGAAAAAGTGGCAGTGGAAAGTATCTTGATTGTACGCTATATTTATCATGATGCTGTTTGCATGGATGCTCTATCCAATTAGGTTATTCCGGGAAGAGCTATCGTTGATTGCTGATGCTGTGCGTCAACGCTTTCCCGAAGCCAAATATACTGCTGTTGGTGGGTTTGTTTTCTTGCGTCTGTTTGGCCCTGCTATTCTTACCCCTGAGAGCTCTGGGTTCTCCAAGCAAGCGATTCCGAAAACAAAGAATATCAGAAAACTGTTACTACAGGCCACCCGTGTAATGCAGAATCTTGCCAACAATGTGTTATTTGGGGCCAAGGAAACGCACATGATTGTTCTCAACGATTTCTTGACAAGCAAGATCTACCAAGTCACGCGTTTCTTGCGCGAAATATCCGAGGTCCCTCCATTGTCGGATTCCAAAGATGAATTTGCCGCCGTGCGCATGGATCAAAAAGCATATGTCAGACTGCACCGATACCTTTCTGATAATTTAGATCGTATGTCCCGGGATCTGTCCAGTCGCAAAATCAAGACCGGCGATCACACTCAGGTGATGCTCGTGTGGAAAAGAACGCTCGATAAACTCTCCAACTTGTTGGCCCAGCTCGGTCGGCCTCCAGAAATTGCACAGCCAGAATTCACACCTTCGCGCAACTATGCTGTCGCCAATAGTAACCACATTTATAGTGAATTCATTAATCGCAACAGTCACCGCGATCTGTCGAGAATCAACTCTCTCAATATTTTCTATCAGGCCGGTGTTTCTCGTGGTGGACGACCGGTGTTTTACTTGATCTCGCGCAACGTCCCGGAAGAAGATTTCGATTTTGAATTGCTCGTTTATTATATGCTTAGGGTAATCATTAAGAAGAGATATTGGTAAAACGGGAGTAGGGCACTGACAGCAACGGTTTTTTTTATTAGGTGATGGAGCCATATCTAAACAATCCTTTCGAATTGCTGTTCGACATCACTCGGTTTTCAGGGAAAAGCGAAATTCCGATCCACTGGTTGAATCAATTTTTCCGCCTTGTATTTAGCGAGATGAACGATTACTTGGTTGCGCTTCACATCTTCAATCCAAATACTCATTTACAACAATATATCCGGAAACTGCCACTCATCCTGACGAACAAGCTCGTCAAGCGTACTCGATTTTCTCTCACACTGGCTGACTTGCAGAAATTGATCGCACCGGCTGAAATTCATTTGCCAAAGGAAACAAGTAATAGGATCATCAAGCGTGAACTTTTATGACGACAACCCTCATCTTACATCATTTTATCTTTCGTAGTGGATCTTGAAAAAGAACTGAGTACCATTTTTACGCCCGTCACGCGAGTCGCTTCCATGAACATTAATATCCCCGTTACCGTCAAGATTGGACCTGAACATATGCAGATTGTCACAGTAAGTTCATACAAAAGGTTGTGTAAAATACTACGAAAAGAGCTCACAGTAGCCCCGCTTCTTTTAAGAACCGCAAACAAGAGATCTTCTGGAGCTTGAATACTGTGCTGAACGATGTTTTTCATATCTCTGAACTAAGCGATGTCACGATATTGCCAACAACGAAGAATGACGTTGGTGGCGAATTATGTATCAAGTATGATGGAGGAAAATCGATGCTAGTACTGACGTCGCCTAAGCGAGAAGCCATGCTTTCTGTAAGTGGAGCATTATAGGACACTTCTTTACCATATCATACTAATCGCGTTTTTTCATGTTCTATGGTTTACAGCTGCTTCGATACAACAAACAACGTTACGAGTCATCAAGGCCATCTGGGTCGCATGAGCATGCGATCCGGCCGAATGATGTGCCTGGTCGTTTACTGAACATGGCCCTGTTAAACATTGGCAGCGATGATCCTGATCTTCGTCTTGCAGCTTATAATTTGCTGTACGCATTGAGCATTTCTTTCCGCTTTGATATTGGCAACCAACTATTGATCGCACGAGGTATAAACGTCATTTTTAATGATAATACCACGAGTCGCTCAATTGTTTCAATATAGATCTTTGTATTCCGGCCAACAGCACCGGTTTTATCGTCAGTATCAGCGAAAGTATAGCAGCGACGGAGCCTCACTTGACACTTGAATTCTTGAACGAATGGTTCGTGGGATTCAACAAATCGACCGAGAATATGCGGTTGCTGTGTTTGGATTACATGGCACCGTGGCTGCGGAACTTGGCGACCTTCGCTCGCAACGTCAATGATGATCCTAACCGAAGCTTGGCTAAAACCAAGGAAGTGCTGCGATTGCTGATTGACCTTACTGTCAGCCAGCCCGATGTAAGGCGTTTGATGATGAAAAGGAAGTTGCTGCTTTGTTCGCTGATGTTTTTGGTTCACTCTACAGATTTACAAACATATGCAAACGCGTGTATGGAAAACTTTGGCGCGTGTGGATGATATCATCAACCTAGTCCTGGATGCTTTTGTTCAATGTTCCGTTGAATGTGGCGTCGGTTCACCGCAGGCGGAAGCCATGGCGGATACATTCGTTACCATGTCAAGCGTTGCCGTACGCGGTAAGGTTATCAACCGCATGCGAAGGGTAAGCATAGTAAAATGCGTTCACATGTGCCTTGTTAGTGCTTATTAATAGAGCATTTTATCTAGGTAATTCAACGCACTTCATCCAAACCTTGTCGAACGCTAACGGACCATGCCGCCTGGCCCGAGATTGCGGTTTTGCTACGCTTCATGCTGATGATGTCTTTCAGCAACACGGGTCCTGTTAAGCCGTACCTTCCTGAAATCTTCCATACCGTTTCACTTATTGTTGCTACCGGACCTACCTTGATTCGTTCCTCAGTCCACGAACTGGTCGTCAACGTGATCCATATGCTCTGCACAGCGGTTCCTCTTCCGGAAGAAAACGTGAAGAAATTGCATTTTCTTCTTAACGATGTGTGCGACGGCAAGAGTCGTGTTTATTTTGGACTGATTAAACCGCATGCGAATGCTTTGACCGTGACCAAAGATACCATTACCGATTACGCGGATACCGTGAACTTGACGTCGTTGGAGAATATTGTTCGCTTGCTGTTAGAAGCTACCAACGTTGGTGCGCCATCCACGGATATCGGTAATATGTGGCGGGCCCGCTGGATGGGACTCGTCACCAGCACGGCATTTCAATTCAACCCGGCTATTCAGCCACGTTCCTTTGTTGTCCTTGGCTGTCTCGCACAGGAAGAAGTCGATGACGACTTGGTATATCAAATCCTCGTCGCTTTACGTGGCGCCTTGGCGGTATTCAACGAAACCAACCCAAGTTTGATTGTTTCGATTATGATGTGTCTCAGCAATATCATTGATCATTTACCGGCTGATTCACGCTACTTGTCGTCGTTGTTCTGGTTGGCCGTATCACTGGTGCAAATGGGTCATCCGGCTACGTTTGCCACCGCGGTCCAATTCTTGCAATCCGTGTTACGTGCGCTGGACGCTCGAAAACTTTTCTTCCATCATGCGATGGAACCCACTCTGAAACGTGCGCGTGAACCCCTGGCCGACATTGCTCGTGACCTTGATCGAGAGGTCGGGGTGTCGTTTGACAACCAATTTTCTTTTGCCATTGCTGCCATTCTATTGAAGGGGCTTAAACATTGTCCTCGGGAAATCGTGTTTGATTGCTTGGGCGCTTTCTTGGAGACGAACTGCAAGCAAATGTTGGATAATGTGGTGGAATCCGATTCGCTGGGCTACCTGGCGGTGTTGCTCCCGTTTGCGGCCAAGAACAATGCTCTGAAAGAGGTGCTCCGATTAGCAGGGCTGGACGATATTGATCTGCAAAGCATTGAATCGAATCAATACGTGCGAATGTTTGGTATTTTCGATATTCCCGATAACACCACGGCTTTATTACTGGTCTCGCTTCTGGTGACCATGCTCAACTTTACCGAGAACGAGGCAGAAAAATTATTCCTCTACAGCTTCTTATCCGAAGCCGCCGTCTCCATTCCCGAAGTCTTTACACTTGTGTAAGTTTTTTTTCTGAGAATGCAATGATGTTATAGTGGACTGGAGGACTGATTTTATGCTATTGCTTTCACAGGTACGAATCACTGCTGCCAAAGATGAACCAGATTTTCGTGACGAGCCAGAACCATGCCCTCATTGAAGCAGTCAAAGGCATTCTTCTGACCGCATGTTCTGAACCTGCGTTTTACAGTGGTCATGTGGCTCGACGTACGCAACAATCGTTCTTGGACGAGCTGGGCTTTTCCGCCTTGAGTGAACCGAACTTTGGGGCTGGAAAATCAAATGTGGCACTCAATGCCGAATTGGCAAGTAAATTGCTGGATAGAATCACTGATTGATGTATGTAATATCTTAACGTTTAATGATCACCCTTCAAATGGCCGGAAAAAAAAACCAACCGCGGTCTCTCTTACACGCACGATAGAAACTTATGCTTTTCCCATTACCTGTTTTCTTCAAATTTTTTTAAACCTTAGTAACGAATTATAATTGAACCGTTTCATTCATGGACAAAGAGATCGTCTACGACCGGTTGCCTATTTTTAATGTTCTTTTGAGACTTTTAATATCATACCATTGAACGGGGAAGCGCCGTAGAAGTAGAGGTAATAACGCATGAAGTGTACAAGAAGCCAACTGGAGTTCCGTTTTTGCGGCATCAAAAATCTTGTCAAACTGGTTGAAAAGAACGATAGCAGAGAAAGAAACTCCGGGGTTGCTATGCTGGTGGTTTCTGCTGACGATGGATGCCTGAATTTTGTAAAGCACTCGAGTTATGGCATAAAAATCCGAAAACCATCTTCTAATGATAGGATTGGCCATCCTTTGAAGAAGATTATTTTCGTTCCCGACGGCTCTTCCCTTTGGGCGCCTGACTAGCAATCAGCGCGCTCACTGTGGAAGGGATGTCGGTGGGTTTGCTTTTTAATCGCAACAAAGGTAAATGAAAAATAAAAAAGTGAGCTTAGTGTCCTGTGGACGACTACGCCACATCATATAACGAGAAAATAAAATGAAAAAACACTTTGCTTTTCCTTTGCATTACGGTCACTTTCATTTGATGCCAAGCGAGTTCAAAAGCCAAGATAAAATGAATCTGTGCGATCCAAAGCGATTTCTTTTTTTTTTCCACAAGCGTCGTTGGCTCTTACGGTAAACGAAGCTGATACAAAGGTGTAAAAGGAAAAATTGATAAATAAAATAAAAAAGAGCACGCTCCTTCTGGAAGCAAAAGTAAGGGAAGAATATTTAAACCATAAAGAAGAACCGTGAATTGGCATCTACACATAGCTTATGTCATCAGACAACCTCATTAAAAATGATACTGCCAGAAAACATATCGCGAAGCTTCGAAAGAGCATTTTCTGACGGAGTACATGTTAGCAATAACACTTTGCGCTAGTGCATAAAGTCAGTGCGTCGTTCTCAAAGCACCATGCATCGATCGAATGACAATGAACGGGGCATGGTCACAAAAACTATCTTCCTTATTGCGCACCCACAAAATTTTATGCGTCCAAGTCACAGGCAATGAATAAAGGCTGTGTGCCACACGCGGTAACAGCATGAAACTTTTTGGCTATGCTGTATTTTTGCAGAAGTTGGTCTTCCATCATTGTTGCAATAAAACTTGGAACAACACTTTTTATGATTAATTTATGATTCTGTTCGCTTCGTTTCCATCGTATTTAATTTTTTGTTGCGTTTTCAAATATTTACATGATGTCAATGTGATGCTGCCCAATCCTACAATCAACATTAAGGATGTTGTGCGTTTTGACGCTGAGCCATCATAATTTTGCGTTGAAGTTCTTGCAATGCCTGAGGGGTCAAATTGGCTAGATTCAACTGACCCATATTACCCATCATCATATTGTTCTGCAACGCTTGCTGCGGATTACCGAGATTCATATTGGATAATAATAGGCTGTTGGGATTCAAACCAGCCGGTCGAGCACCTGTTACAAAAAGCCCATCATCACTGTATCAGCCCTGTCCTGTTACAAACACTTGGTTTTCCTCGCTTTTTTACCTTGAGCATTCGGTTGATTCGGGTTGGTCCCCATGGCAGCAGCATTCATCAACATTTGCTGTTGTTGCTGCTGCTGCTGCTGCTGCAAATACTGATTTCTTAGCATTTGTTGAACGTTGGGGTTATTCGCAGCCATCATGTTGAGGTTCATGCCCGCTGCAGCCATATTGGCGTTCGGCATCACAGGGCTGTTCAGGTCCGGTAACGGAATCCTAGTAAAAACGATGCCCACCAGTTTGCCCGCCGAATGCGTTAGTACCACACCGTGGTACTGGTCAGGGGTGGAACCGGCATTAAAGACCACCGTGGCAATCTAACATAGTATATCAGCATCAAGGTGAATGGATGAGGCCCTTCATCATTTAGTACTTACATATTTCTTTTGATCCAAATTACGCATGAGCAAAGCGAAATTAGTTTGGTCTTGTTGTGTGCTGGTCGGCAAAGGACGGAACTGACAAAATGGCAATTTGTTCTCAATGGCCTGACGTTGTACAATCTGTGCCTTGACAAGAGGTGAGCGTCCAGCGATCTGAATCCTCGCGGGCCACATGTCCGGTCGACTGATGGCGAGGAAGGTGACAGATAAGAGAAAATAAAGCAATGTTTGCGGCGTGGTTAGGAAACTTCAGGATAGAAATGTCAATATGAAGATAATTGAACTTACTATTCTTCCAATCCAACGATATTGCTCCCTTTGAGTGTAATGGCAAAAGCACCGCAATGGCAGCTGAATTCTTCAGGTTTACCTTCCGGCGTTTTGATGTGCCATACAATTTGACCACTCCAGATCATCATGCCTTGCTGCTGCTGTGGTTGTTGTCCTATCTGTTGCTGTGGCTGACCCTGCTGTTGCGAAGGTGGAGCTTGCGCTTGTTGGGGCTGTTGCGGCGGTTGCATCACTCGGCCCTGTGCCATTTGCATCAACTGGGGATTGATACCGCCGGCCATATCCTGTGGTAGTCGGACCCCGGCTTGCTGCGGCGACTGTTGATTAGGTTGCATCTGGGCCAGCATCATGCGTTGTTGTTGTAAAGTACTGAGCGATTGGGTATTTGCCGTCTGCAGATTATGCTGCACGCCCGCCATCCCCTTGGACATATCGGCTGTAGGTCTGACGGCGCTTCCATCGCCAACTCCGGGGGCCATGGGCGAACCTGTGTTATTCAGAGCATTCTGCTGTGCAAGTTCGGCACGACGAATTTGTTCACCCAGACGTTGCAATGCAATTTGGATGGCTTGCAGCTGTTGTTGCTGTAATGGATTGAGAGGATTTTGCGCCATTAAATTATTGCGCTGCTGCAAAAGATATTGCTGCAATTGTATCGGGTTCTGAACGTTAGGCGGTATACGCAACGGTTGATTTTGTTGCGGTGGCATGGGTTGCTGAGGCTGTTGTAATGAAGTTGCTTGCTGCGGTGGTTGATATTGCTGCGGTGGATGCTGTTGCTGCTGTTGAGCCGGTTGTTGCTGTGATTGCGGTTGAGATGGAGGCTGTTGCTGGGGCGCTTGTTGTTGCTGCTGCTGGGGTGCTGTCGGTTGACTTGGTTGCTGTTGTTGCTGCTGAGCTTGTTGCTGAGCTTGCTGTTGCAACATCATGGGGTTTTGCTGATTGCGCATATCAGCTGGTTTGTTGGCTTCCACTGGCGGTTGACTTCGCATGGTAGCTTCAGCGGATGCTTGTTGAAGTGTAGATGGTTTGACGGCTGTTGTTGCGGCGGCAGGCGCTGGCCCTCTCGGAGGTTCTGCTTCCTTCTTCGGCTGTCGTTGACCAAACTGGGCATCCACACGAGCTGAGGCTTCGGCGAATTTTGAGGGATCCAGCGTCGGTTTAGGCAAACTAATCATATCCGGTACGTTTTCCCTCTTTCGTCGTTTGATAGTATCTGGCGATGCTGTGGTTTGTGGAGAAGCGGCCGACACGTGAGCTTCGGAGGGTCGTTTCTTTGATGTATCTACGGTCGGTAAGAATCCAGAGGTGCCTTCGAGTTCTGTTGCCGTTTACCAAAACAGATAACATCCGTTACTATGTATTCAATAGCTAGAGCTACCTAGACATTTACCTCGTTTTACATTCGTCGCAGTGGCTGCTGGCGCTGCAGGAATTTGCTTGGGAGGTAAAGTGAACCCGGCGAGTTTAACGACATGAGTGGCGGCGACCGGATCAGACACTGTATGTATTTCCGTCTTTTGTTTATTCACCTAATGAAAATGTATGATACACAGACTGTAAGAAATGAAAAGCTTCGAAGAAGATGAAAGACGCAAACAACTTACCTCAGTTACAAGGTCTTCAAGTTCTTTATAGCCCTTTCTTGGAGTAATCAGCGATAAATGGACATTCTCCTGAGAATAACATATGAGTTTCTCCACAGGACGCGCATGTGTTCCCAGCTTTCACAATACCCACCTTTTTCATCTCCTCGGCAACGCGATGTAACGAGAAATTATCATACTTGTTATCAAGATTGAACTGGGCCGCTTGTTTCAAAGGAAAGCTGTTGGATATCAGAATACAATGCATCATGGATTCGTAATTCGCCTGTAAACCCTCTTCCTTATACTGGTCAAACATCTGAGACACACAAAGACAGGTGAGTACGTCTTCACCATTCCAATGGACTCAACTCGATTGGGTCAAATGCATACCTCCAATGCCGCCACCAAACCTTCAACAACAGCATTGCGCACAATGCCGCCATCAGCGCACACAATGCTTTTGAATATCTTTTGGAAAAGACTTAAATCCGACGTGAAGAACTTTCGATCGACCGTCACCGCCGACGATGGTCCGTAATCGCCATAAATAACCAACCCGTATTTCAGCACAGGCTATATCGATGACAGTTTTAGCAACCATGTACGTAGATCAGGCAAAGCCTTAAGTTTTCATGCATACCGTTATATTTGCTTTGGACTGTCGTTCATCTCCGTCGCCCATGATAATCGGTTGACGCAATTGCCTACAGAGTTCACCCCAATTAGTTTTGCTGCCAAGGATGACATGCCCCGAACAGCCATGAATGGAAAAAGCTACCTTAAAATGGGTTCAACATAAGCCTCGTAAAGTGTATCAAGATACGGCTTCATACGGGCCGTGCCATCAACAACAAAGACACAAGCCACTTCCCTACGCTTTCGATGTGTGGTGATTTGAGGTGAAGGATGGTAATTAGGTGTAGGTGAACCTATAGAACCAGGTGTTGCTACGGGTGGAGTGCTGACAGCTGCTGCCATGGCCATTCTAGTCTTTCTTTTTCGTTCACTAATTTATGTGCAGTCCCTCGTTTTTTTTTTGTTCAAGAATAGCTGGCAGCTCTTGTATAAGGAAGAAAAACCGAGGTTGAAAGCAAAGCGAAACGGACGGGAGGAGAGAGTGAAAGAAGAAGGTGGAGGATATGAGAAAAATTCGCGGCAGTTGAAAATTCCTAAATTCAATTCAGCATGCCCTCAAAATGCACTTGAAAAATTTTGCGTCACTGACCCTCTGTTTCTTGAATAGGATGGTCTGATGTGCTAGTAGTCCACAGCAAATAACTTTACTAGCTGTGTCCTAAAAGGTCTCTGTTGAATTTGTATTAATAGTCTGAAACTGCTTCAAAGAAATATTCTTGATTACTCCTGAGTTGAGTGAGATCAGGCTACAGTATGAACAGACCGTTGTGGTTTCTTTTGTTACCGTTGCAGTTAGCAATGTCACCAATTTTTTCTAAAAAGAGGTAGATCTAAAAAACAAGATTTTGATGCCTTGGGTTTTATCCTTCAGTAACAAGAACACGAAGAGCAAAACTTCCATTAGAGCAAAAGGCTTACTTACCATACTCAAAGAATGGGAATTTTTGATCAGACTGATTAAGTTTCGATAGATGAATTGGATACGTATCTGTGCACAAAACCCCTCACTTTGTGACAAAGTCTTTGACCAGACAATGTAATGCGTGGACATGTCCTTATGCAAAATGATTCGTGTATCCCGATTTCCTCAACATGCTACGGCGGTTGTTTGTCAGGTGATCGTCTTTTCCATACTCACAGCAAATGAGCTATCGTGCAACGAAAGCTATGTTGACGTGTTTTTAATAGTTTATTGATTAACTGTATTTCTATGTTTTTAGCGTAATTCGCTCGCAAGCAGAGCGGGGTTCTCGATCAAGTTCTTCCAGTGATTACCGAAGCGGGCAATGGTGGCGCCATCAATGACACGGTGATCGGCTGACCAGCTAACGGGCAAAATCTGTTTGGCGACAATGTTGCCCGAGGCGTCAAAGCGAGGCAATTTTTGGATTCTTCCCAACGCGACAATGGCCAATTCTGATGAAACCACCACGGGGTTTGCATACAATCCACCAATGCTACCGATATTGCTTAGTGAAATCGTACCACCGCGAAGATCCTCGGTGGATAAGCTCCCCTTCTTTGCCAGCTCGGTTAATCGATGGATTTCCGAAGCGATTTCAAAAATGGTTTTTGATTGCACATCCTTCACATTAGGTACAATCAATCCTTGTGGGGTATCCATAGCGACTCCGACGTTATGCGAAGCCCGATACGTGACCTTCATGTTGTTGATATCTTCAATGCTGCCGGTCAACGTGGCATTCATAATGGGGTAGTGGGATAATGCGATGGACAAGCACTTGATGAAGATGGGCAAGTAAGTCATCTTTGTGAATGGATACATTTGAGGGTGGCTGGCCACATGGCGGTTCAACGCGGCACGGTAATCGGTAGTAGCGTTCAATTCGATCTCGTCCTTGTAGCCGAGCTGAGGGATCGACAATGACTTGGTCATGGATTTGAACATGGCCTTTTGGATACCATTGAGCGTTTCTACACGATCGTTTGCCCCAGCCACATTCAATACGGATTCGGCACTGGCTTGCGGTTGACCTACACCATCACAATAATTTAATAACCTCGTGGTGATTCCAATCCGTTGGCGTCTTGTGAAGTGCATACCTTGTTTTCCTGAAATGAAATTGAGGACGTCGTCTTTCAGCACACGTCCATTGTCACCCGATCCGGTGATTTGGCTAATGTCCACATTATGTTCCTTGGCGAGACCACGAACCGCCGGGGTAGCCAAAGTACCTGATGATCCAGCTCGAGACGAGATTGACTTGTCCTTCACGGTCTCTGACGCTGCTGCTGCTGGAGATGCCGGTTTCTCGGTGACAAGTTCTTGCGCTTTGGGTGCAGAAACTCCGCCATCGTCGATTTCCTCATCGGTCTCCACATCCACTAATGGCTCTCCTACTTTGGCGATATCATTCACTTGATGATGAAGTTTCACGATACGGCCAGCGAAGCGTGATGTGATCTCTACAGACGCCTTATCCGATTGAACTTCACAAATCTTGTCGAATTCTGCAACAGTGGCTCCTGGCTCGACAAACCTAACCACGGTCGCTTCCATCAGCTTAACCATCTCCTGGTAGCATGTTTACCGGTTTGCGCTTACCATTGAATCACTTCGCATTCTGTAATACCTTCACCGATATCCGCTAAAAGGAATGGTTTGATGGCTTGGTCAGCCACCGAGGTATGAAAGGCGCGCGTGGTGGGTAAAAACCGGGGCGAGGCATGGTGAGAAGTGGATCGTGGTATGCTCCATACAGAAGAGGTGGGTGTTTTGTTTGCCTGTGAGGAGGAGGAAGGTGAGATCCCAAGGTGTCCTTTTACGGATTCGATAATACGTACCGTGAGAAAAACACGACGAGAGTGTGTTCTGGTGGCTGTTCCAAGTAACCTGGCTGTCTGCTGAAATCGAAGGTAACGCATAATGAGGACTACTAATGAACGATGCTCTTGTTTAGCTCGAAGAAAAAAGAGGACTACAAAACATTGGCTGGGTAGCTACCTTTGGAAGTGAGTGAGAAAGGTGGAAAGGAAAGAAAACGCATCCATCAGCGTCGGAGGAAGTTCAGGAAAAAGAATGCGTGGGAATATCCGGACTGTCAATGAAAATTGGCAGGCGGACTCTGGAAATGTCTCCGCTCCAAGAGAGCACGGTCAAAGAATCCTCGAAATGCGCTGTCACAAATCAAACATCATGTCGCGCTTGCCTGATTTTCATTGAGGTGAAGCAGTTATTTCTGTAGCCATATTGAATAACGGATGTCTTACATCTGTAGATGCATACGTGTATTGCTAGTTGGTAAGAAGATACACCCAAATATTAATATCAATTCAGCCTTCATAAGAGATCGCACTGCGCTGTCAAGTGTAAGTCGCTGTAACTGTATAAGAGCCTTTCTCAAGATTAATGAGATACGTACTATGAACCATGTCGAGACTCGTATTTATTGATACGACTGTGGCAACCGCAGGGATATGTATATAGCAGGAAAGAAGTTAATTGAAAGCATGCGGTACAGTGGATTCCTCTGTTTTCTGATCCAGGTTGAACAGCTTGGTGATTAATCTCGTTTCTCCACATGAACAATCGTCTGGTGCACATTTGAACGCGATGGCGAATATAAGAAAGCGTAAAAAGTCAACGATGATCTGATTTTTACTAAATTTGGGAAGAAAAAGTCGTATTCCTTCTGATTTTTTTTTTATGTCAACTTGTCATTTTTAGTTTTCTTTGCTTTCTTTCTCTTTTTCTTCTCGGTCGACCTTTTCACATTTCACATATTCCTTCTCTTATTCCCTGATTTCGATCTTTCTTGCATTAACCGGCCGCCATGGGGCAAGTGGTGCGCAGCATGTTGGTGAATTCGCCTGAATCAGGCGACAATAGCACCTGCTCCGACAGTAGCAGTGATGAAGAGACTGAACCAATCCAACCCAGTCATTGCAAGCTTGACTATAAACATGCTACAAGTGACAATGTGCGTGAATGGAGTATAAGCACGACAATAGTGTCTTCCCCCGAACCGTTTCGAGTAAGTTTGTCTTTTTGAGAGGCACAGCCCGTGGGGGCGTATTTTTTGCATAGCGCGCGACGTCACTAAAGCTCCGCTCACGCTTTTTTTATTTTATTTTTGTAAAACATTTTTGGATTATATTCCATTTGTAGTCAGCCAGAACAGCATTTGATTACTGCGATATCAACCCAGTTGATGAACCTTCCATGTCCTTTGTCGTTGAAACAGCGAACAGCCAAAATACTGCATTCTCAAGTACTCCAACTGTTTCAGGTGAGTGGTCCCATCAACATTCTATGATGCTTACCTCCATCTCAACTAAACATTTGTCTGCCTTCTCATCGCATTCATTTTTTTTTCCCAAAGACTCAAATATAACTTCCGTTGCCGTACCGAGGAGAAATTGGACAGGCTATCACGGCGCACACTCCGCCCATGCAACAACGCAACCGATTTCCACCAGGATAAAACCTTCCGCCAAAGTTAAACCGCTGTTAAAGACACCATCTACGAATCGCACATCAGCACCATTGTCACGAAGCATAAGTACAAGGAGCGATAATGGATCCCGCTTAGCGTCAAAAGAAGCCGAAGGCCTACAGGAAATCCTGAGTTTCCTAAACTACCCTGCAACGACCGCCAATGCTTCCAGCCTACATCATGATGCTGCTGCAAACATGGATCGTTTGGTCAGCTTGATGAGTCATCATACTCTATCGGACGATACCTCCCAGACGCATAAAAACTATGCACAGCGTGCTTCCCGCACGACACCGCAGAATACTTCAAGCCGGATATTTAAGTTTTCTGGATTCGACACAGTGTCCAATAATACCTCGACCAACCGTCCCTCCATGATACCCTCGACCACTCCACATTCCGCAACCCAACATACATCTAGTACAATTCATTCATCTACGTCTTCGCATCCATCCCAGTATCCGACTGCGTCTTCTTCAACTTTTATACCATCTGCCGCCCCATCCTCCGATTTTCAGTTTTCCTTTTCAGCCAAAGTTCCTTCAAAGATGGAACCGCATTCGTCATCGTACCCTCAACGCCCAACCATGACTTACGCTCAATCGTTGCAAGATCTCATCCGATTTACTTGTGAAGTAGAGAATCGAATTAAACCCTCCATGGCTCATAGACAGCACGTTTGTGTCGATTCATGTTCCGATCCATCGCAACCCGTCAATGAAATACAACAATTACCGATCGGTCATGCCAGGAATCCAGACGATCTTTCGGATTATGTATCATCATTCTCCAAATCGCATTCTTCGGATGCGGAAACGGATACTTCTCACCTACGTCATCGAAAGATATTGCCCTTGCCCAAACCGCGATGGAAACGAAATGGACGCTCTCCATCCAGCAGTCTCATACAAACAGCAACCATTCCAACCTCGGCGGAATTCCGTTTATCTCATTTATCCGTACCTTCCACTACTTTCTCCATGACCCGTTCCACCACAGCCGGCACATTCTCATCCAATACTATGCCATCCTCATCACTCAATCTTACGACTTCACAATTTTATCCCCACGAATGGAATACCCATCCATCTGTCGACGATGGCCCCCCGTCCATGAAAGAAACCGAATTTCATTTCACAGACACATTTGAAATATTTCAAGAACCGTCAGCGCAACTGGAAGTTCGAGATAATGCCAAGAAGGCAAAAAGGGCAGTGGTCAATTCAAGGGATCGACGGAAGAACGACCGAAAAAGTTGCAGCAGGCGAATCCATCATCTGCGATCGAGGGTGGAGGAAAAGCTGGATGATCGTTGGGACATGCCATTCCTGGATAAACCCATCGAATTTAACGTCGGTAAACCGAGCCACAAACCAACAAAGTCGTCTTCCGTTCCTGAAAACGTACCATCCTCGAACATCCCCTCCAGCATGGGCAAATCTGCCTCAGCAACGGTATCCCGATCGACACCCTCATCCACCGCTTTGAATCAACCTACTCCAGCCATACCCACTAGTAAACCCTTAACCCCACAATCTCCACGTCCGCCCCCGAAAGGGAAATCAAGCATTACTGTACAGAAGAAAAAGAAAAGCAAATCCTCAACAGAAGCCTCGGAGCATTCTATAGCACCAGCCAGTGCTCGATCGACACCAACAATACAGCCAACTTCCAAAAAGGGTAAAAAGCCACAGAGCAAAAAGAACGCAGATGATCCAATCGCTTCTTCGAGAGGCAATGAAACTTCGGACCTGGCCATTGTGCAAAACGCCAATCCACATGAATGGATCTGTCTGTTTTGCCAATATGAAATATTTTGCCATGGGATGCGCACCGCTCGGCGCAAAGGCGGGTATTATAAACGCCAGCGCGCACGACAGCGACGATTAAAGGAATCCGATGCAAGAAGGGATGCTGCAACCGTTGGTGTTGATTCAGAAGAAGAACGGGCACCGACGAATGACCAGCAACAGCCGGAAGTGGATTCATCCATCAGGCGAGGTCATCGTCCCACTTAAAAGTTTGCTTTGACTGACAACGAGTATCCATCGGGTTTTTTGATGCTGTCCTCTTTCTCTCTCCCGCTCTCTTTCTTTTTCCACCTTCTCATTCTTCTATTTAATTGCTTTGTTCCGTGTAAAATACTTTTTTTTTCCCTTTACGTTCGTTTCTCGTTGTCTTTGTGTGGGTTTGTTTTAGCTTTCCATCTAATGTGCAATAGCGGTAAAAGAATGAAAGAGTATGGTATTGAACCGCAGCGTTCCTTATAACTAGCATGATCATGATGGCATCAATAAATGCATCGAAAACACATAACAGAGTGATATAGAGTTACGCAATCTGAATCAACCGTTTTTTCTGGTTTGTTATCGATCTGTTTGGTTGTAGAAATGACATTGACTCCGATAGGAACCAGGTTTGTTTCTTTTTGAAAGGATTTAATGACTCAAGGGAACTGTCGGAAGCATTGCAGAGCACGAATTTCTGGGTAATAATGTATTTCACGTGATAACTATGATAAGTGGTTCGCTGCCAACTACGTAATATCACAATGTTGCTATAGCAATGACAAGTGTTCCTAAGCCCTAAACCACGAATTTTGATCATATGACACTGGCGACTTGGTGAAACATACTGTATATGAGTGCAACGTGTCATCTATCATGACGAGGTTTTATATTCAGTAGTTGCTTGATTTCACGGAAAAGCTTGGATCATAAGATGGACAGAAATCCGTTTCTGCAAAAATAAACATTAAAAAAGGAATTCATCCAAAGACAGGTTCTTATTGATAGCAATACGGTGAGGATGGGGGGTCGCCTACTGAAGAACATGTCATATTATTGTGAGTAAAGTGAGCGGAAAACACATATTTGTAGCAAGATCGAAAGGATGTCACCACGAAATCGGTGTTTAGCGGCTGCCAAAGGCTCAAGTTGCTTGATATGTCATTTTTCGTCTTTTGCAGAAAGTCTGGAATTCAATCTAGCTGCTTTTTTCCTTATTTGTGTAATTATTGAGTTTCAAGATATAGGGTTACTCCTGGGAAAATGTGGTGGTAAACATTGCCATTTGCGCATGGGCAGCAATTGCAACATCTGATGGTGAATTCATCATCCAATGACAGACAGGCTTAATCAAAAGAGCCATCTTGTTCCGCTTTTTTTTGTGTTTCGCCATGCTGCACCACGAGTATAAGGAGCCTGTGTCGCATGTCCTCGATCGGCAGACTTTAAACACCTCATTTGATACAATGAATTCATGAGTAACTGAATGCTACAGTCATCATATTACCTCTTTGCGTACTGAAAACCACCATTAGTGGAACGGATACCCTTTTGGGCAATATTGTACAAAAAAGGAGATATGTGCCCATTCCGTGCGGCATAAGTTGCTGATGATTGGATAAAATCATATTTCCAATTGTGGTATTTTCGTTGAACTTTAGGCACCTGATGCGATTGAACACATCGAACCTAAATCTCTTCTTTTTATTTCGCTGTTTCGCAATTCAGAAACCGAAAATAAACAAGATGACCCTTATCTTATTGTAACGTTGGCTAGGCCAGATGCGGTATTTGTTTGCTTAAAAGGGGTTTTTCTTCTTGTCACTTGGATTTCTCCCACCAGTCGGCTCTCAGACGCAATCCGATTTGTCTGCGGGAGGTATCAGTTTTTTGGAAAAAAGAAGTGCCATCAATATCTAGATATCTTGTCCTTGGGTAACATCCATTTTTTTTTCTTGTGTTTCAATCCAGTTGGCCTCATAATTCTCTTTAAATGGTAATTGGTGATAAAGATTTCTAGGTCACTGCCAAACCTTACCTTGAATCAATCGACGCATCGGTTACAAATTTTTTCGTGCTACGAGTCCTCCTTCACGGCTCGTACACCCTGGAAAATTCTTCCTTTTTTCCTTGCGTCGGCTGCATATAAATACAGCGGTCCGTTGGGTGTGTTTTCTGGTACATTTCAACCTTCCTCCATTCTACCTTCAGTTTTATACATCTCCGCTTCCTGTTTCTCTGGTCATTTGTAATTTCATATCACCAATGACAGCCGCAGTGGACGAGACGATGGACGTAGCGCCCGAAAAGCAAAGCGTGCCGTCTTACGATGAAAAATACCAGGGTAAATCGTTGCACGAATCCGATATTGCCGTAGAGGAACACGTCGAAGATGAAGAAGACTCCCCTATCGAAGAAGTTCGTGCCGTTGTGCCAAAGTAAGATCCTTTCATTGCCGTGCTTTTTTTTTTATGCAAAAAGATCCATCTTCCTAACCTGTATTTACCTAGCACTGACGATCCTACCATGCCTGTGTGGACATTCCGAATGTGGTTCCTTGGTTTGGTTTTCTCTTGCGTTCTCGCTTTTGTGAATCAATTTTTCTTTTACCGTAAAAATCCGCTACAATTGACGCCTCTCGTCATTCAGCTGATTACTTATCCCATCGGCAAGGTCATGGAGATGGTGATCCCGAAATCACGCTTTTTCAATCCCGGTCCTTTCAATATCAAGGAGCACGTCTTAATCACGACCATGGCCAACTGCTGTTATTCCACTGCTTACGCTGTTGATATCATTACCATCATGAAATTATTCTACAACCAAGATATCGGCTGGGGTGGCGGTATCCTTCTTATTTGGACCACTCAGTTGATCGGCTATGGTATGGCCGGTGTTCTCCGTCCGTTCCTCGTCTATCCTTCCGCCATGGTCTGGCCCACTAATCTGGCCAACATTTCTCTTTTCCGTTCTTTCCATATCGCCGATAGGTAATTTATCAAAAATGTGATTTTAAAATCGTTGTGCTTTGCCTTTAACTAAATCTTTTGGTATCTTTCTTTCGCTAGGGATTGGACCGGTATCACTCGTTTCCGTTGGTTTCTCATGATCTTTGCTGGCATGTTCGTGTACTATTGGATTCCCGGCTATTTCTTCCAAATCTTGACTTTCTTCTCGTGGGCGTGCTGGATCGCGCCAAACAATCGAACATTAGCCCAACTGACCGGTGGTTACGGTGGTATGGGCATGCTTTCTCTCTCCTTTGACTGGGCTACCATTGCTTCTTACTTGTCATCCCCCATGATTGTCCCCTGGTGGGCTATTGTCAACATTGCTGTCGGTTTCGGTGTCGTGGCCTGGATTATTGTGCCTGCCATGTACTATACCAATGTCTGGGACGCTCAAACTTTCCCCATTATTACCTCGGAATTGTTTACCAAGACCGGAGAACTCTGGGATAATTCGCTCGTGTTGACCAGTGAAAACATTCTCAACGAAACCGCCTATCAGGAATACGGTCCCATGCGAATGACTCCCTTCTTTGCTTTCACTTACGGTATCATGTTTGCTGGTGTTACTTCCATCTTGACTCACACGGCTCTCTATCACGGAAAAGATATCATTGCTCAATTCAGAAAAGCCCGCACGGAAGATGAGGATATCCACGCCAAGCTGATGCGTGCTTACAAGGAAGTGCCTCACTGGTGGTATATCACTGTGTTCGTCATCTCCTTTGCTGTCTCGTTCGCTGTCATTTACGCGTGGCCTATCTATCTCCCTTGGTGGGGTCTCATTCTTTCCATTGTTATCCCTATCATCTTCACTTTGCCTATCGGTATCATTCAGGCCATCACCAACCAGCAACCTGGTTTGAACGTCCTCACGGAATTTATTATTGGTTATGCTTTGCCTGGTCATCCCATTGCCAACGTTACGTTCAAAACGTACGGTTACATTTCCATGTACCAGAGTTTAACCTTTGTCTCTGATCTGAAACTCGGTCACTACATGAAGATCCCCCCGCGTGCCATGTTTGCCGTGCAAATGGTCGGCACAGCCCTTGCCGGTGTCATCAATCTTGCTACGGCTCGCTGGTTAATGGACTCTATTCCCAATATCTGTACCCCGGCGGCCGATCCCTTCACCTGTCCCAATGCCAAGACCTTTTATTCCGCTTCGGTTATTTGGGGTGCCATTGGTCCTGGCAAAATGTTTGGTGTTGATTCGCCTTACCGTCCCATGTTGTGGTTCTTCCTGATCGGTTTTATCTTGCCCATTCCTTTCTGGTTGCTGTCCAAGAAGTACCCCAACAGCTGGGTTAAGTATGTCCACATTCCCTTGATCTTCAACGCCACCGGTATGATGCCGCCCGCCATGCCTATCAATTTCTCCATGTGGTGTCTCGGCGGTTTCATTTCCATGTATTACATCCGCAAGTATCACCACGCTTGGTGGCTCAAGTACAACTATGTCACCTCCGCTGCCTTTGACTCCGGCGTCGCCATTGCCACCCTGGTTATTTTCGGTGTCATCACCGGCTCAGGTTACGTACCTGATTGGTGGGGCAATGGTGGCCGTTATGGCGACTTTGCTACCCCGGATAATTGCCCGTTGGCAGCTGCTAATGCTACGAACCACTGTGTTATTTGTTAAGCAACAGATAACTTGTCACTTTTTCTGCGCACATATTACTTTTACCATATCAAACTTCAACTCATGCTGTTGTACGCTTCATTTATTTAATATCCTGCAGATATAGTCTGCCTTATTTTCTGTATCATAAAGTTCCTTCATCAACACGCTTTGGAAAAAAGAAAATTGAATTTCTGTATCAAATAAAATAAAGTATATTTATTTTTCTACATGACTTTTTTTATTATGTGCTGGCAGACAATGGCTACAGCTGTCAAGCATGGGAGATCGTGCGCCGTGTTTGCAGGACGAAAAAGAAAAAACCAAATCTGACTTCCAAAAGCCTCGGAACCACGAATCTGAGTGAGGCAAAGAAAAAAAGTTCGGGGCCTCTGCCACCAAGAAAGCTCTGTTCAAGTGCAAGATCATGCTACAGATTCTGGTCTCTTCGGTGGCAAGGCAATGGATCCGGCGTACTCCGTGTTCACGATCGGCCATTGTACTATCTTCCCGACTCTGCGGCCGTTCACGATCCTTTGCAACCTGTACGTATCCCGATTTATATTGTTGAGTAAGGGGATTCTAACTTGATCTACACAGCTACCAAGGACTTTACAACACCGAAAACCCGTAACATTGGTATCATTGCTCATATTGATGCAGGTAACGATAAATAAGCTCCTCCATGGCCACGAGACAGGCCGCTGTAACTCAATATGGTAATAGGCAAAACCACCACAAGTGAGCGCATGCTGTACTATGCCGGTGTCACCAAAAGAATCGGTGGTAGGTCAAAAAGTTCTTGTGAGGGCAGGGCAGACAAACATGGTGGATTGCTCAGATACTGAATAACCCTGAAAGATATCGACGACGGTGATACCGTTATGGATTACTTGGCAGCCGAGCGCGAACGTGGCATCACGATCAACAGCGCCGCTATTACATTTGGATGGCAGGGCCATCGCATCAATCTGATCGATACCCCTGGTCATGTGGACTTTACAATGGAAGTGGAACGTGCTGTGCGTGTCCTTGACGGAGCGGTGACCATTCTCGATGGCGTAGCCGGGGTGGAAGCACAAACAGAAACTGTATGGGCTCAAGCAGATCGATACGATATTCCGCGCATTGCGTTTGTGAATAAACTCGATCGTACAGGGGCTGCATTTGGACGAACGGTGCGAGAAATGTGGAAGAAATTGCGTGTTAGACCGCTCGTATTGCAAATTCCCTTATTTAACGAGGACGCCTTTGATGACAAACAGAAACGGGTCAAAGCCATTGCCGACCTTGTGTCCATGGAAGTGATCGAATGGGAACGAGACGATGGGTCAAACCTTAAACGCACTCCTTTGGCATCCTATGGCAACCTCGCTCTGTTGGAGGAAGCGAAACGAGGTCGCACAGCATTAATTGAAGCACTGGCGGAATTGGATGATGGTATTGTGGAAGTGTTCTTTGATGAAGCGGACGGGGATCATATGCTTGTGCCTGAAGAAGCTGTCAAGGCCTCTTTACGACGTGTCACGCTTGCAAATAAAGCGGTACCTGTATTATGTGGTGCTGCTTTCAAAAATGTGGGTGTTCAACCGTTGTTGGATGCCATTATTGATTATCTGCCCAGCCCTCTTGATCGTCCCTCGGCTATTGCTACTCTGAGGACAGGCAAAACCGCCTTGGTTCCGCTGTCGGATAAGGAAAAATTGTGTGCTTTGGCTTTCAAAGTGACTCACGATCCACGGCGCGGACCTTTGGTCTTTGTCAAAGTATATTCTGGTAACGCGTCTTTTTGTTAAAATTGCTTCTTTTGACAGGAAACTTATGAACTAATGCCCGGGAAAATAGGCAAGATCAATAGTCGCATGACACTCTTCAACACAACTACGAATACAAAGGAACGAGTCAATAAGCTGTTGCAGGTCTACGCCAAAGATGTGGAAGAAATTCCTTCCCTGGACTGTGGTAATATCGGCGTGATTGTGGGTCTCAAAGAAACGAGAACAGGTGACACGCTTGTACAATCCAACGATACAACCGCTATTCGATCGGGTCTGCAACTTGGCAATATCGATATCCCCCATCCGGCATTTTTCTCGGCCATCGAACCGGCCTCGGTATCTGAGGAACCAGTGATCGAGGAAGCCCTCAAAAATCTGACACGAGAGGATCCGTCTTTGAAATATTGGACTGACGAAGAAAGCGGTCAAATGCTTATCAGTGGTATGGGAGAACTGCATTTGGAAATCGTAAAAGGCCGCTTGTTGAACGATTTCAAGTGCAAAGCGGACATGGGCAGCATCCGTATCAGTTATCGCGAAACCTGCCGATCGGCCATTGCAGCGCAAGCTAGTTATGATAAACAAGTGATGGGCAAGCGAGCACGCGCCAATTGCAAAGTGGAGATTGCTCCTATCGAAGAAGAGACCTTGCCGGAAGGGTGGACCCAGAATTCTGGCAACTACCTGGGCATGGACTTGCGGTTCTCGAAAGACTCGAATTCACAAGAGACCGATAAAGCCCATTTGAATCCCGAAGAAGTTCATCAGGCAGTGCAAACCGGTTTGCTTTCTGGTCTAGCTCGCGGTGCAGTGGTGGGTTTCCCGCTGACTCAACTGAAGGTGAAAGCGTATGATTTGGAGACCTTTGCGGAATCTACGCCTGGTGCTATAGCCGCCTGTGTCTCGAATGCCGTACAAGAAGCTGTCAAGCAAGCCGCGCCGTGTTTGCTTGAACCGATGATGGAAGTTTATACCGAGGTGCACGAAAATGATATTGGACAGGTGATCAGTGATATTTCTGGCACCCGCCGTGGCCATATTATTGGACTGGAGGCCACTGCCGACGCGGATGTGACGAATGATTCGGTGGAGATTTACGCCCCTCGAGACGTGGTCCCTGTCACAGGCGATGTCGAAGGTTACAAGCCAAAACAAGTGATCAAAGCGCATGTACCGTTAAGTTCGATGCTCGGCTATTCGAGTGCATTACGAAGTCTCACTGGCGGAAGCGGTACATTCTCCATGCGTGTTATTGGCTATGGTGAAATGAGCAAAGACAGAGAGCGAGCTGTGATTAGCGAAATGAAAGGATGGTAAACAGATGACCCTATAGACGCGACATGAGCCTTCAGCTACATATTCTTATTCCTGTACAAATTACATTTCTGGATCCATTTTTTCAAATGAAGATCCTTGCATTCTAAGCATAAAGCAAACATTCGACATTTTATGTGTATTATATGGGCACTATTACAATACTGGAAGCTATCTATAACAGCAAAGATGTAGGTCTAAATAGTTCTGTTTTGGAGCATGCAGGAGAACGATATTTATGAAATGCAAGTAACAATGGGAAACTCTTTGGTGAATGTAACTAGAAAGATAAAATATTGCGAATATACAAGTTTTCCACAAAGTGATCGAGATCATTTTTGTGGATCTGAAGCACGGATGTCTCGAAGCTATCCAATGATATGCGGGCTCCAGTTCTCTCTGACGCTTCCTGAAATGCAATGCCAAATGGACTGAACATGATAGGGTTAGGATCTCGTTTAGCCATCAAACTTTATAAAAAATAAGCAAATGACTTACTTTTTACGAATATCACCAAATGCAGGAGCGCCTGTTTTCCCTACAACAAGATAGGAATCGTGTTCTTCATCCAGAGAAGCAAGAACGAATGGAAGATTTCTTTTGCCGTGTTCCTAGGTGGAGAGAGAGCGATCAGCATGCAGCATGACCATTTCGGTTCTTACCAAACATCCCCGTATTCTACTTATTCTACTTACTCTAAAGGCATCGGTCAGGAATAATGCGAGTTTTGACAGTGTTAAAGGATGTTGAAAAAGCGGTAGATCAGGACCGTCCTTGACGACGATGAAGCGGAAGGCTCTCACTTTTGACGCAGAACGTTTATCAATAATGGCTGTCGCTTGTCGCACAATGGCCTTTTGTATTTTCATGCATAATTTAATGCCTCGTTGCAGACCCTCGGCGCTAACCGAAACGACCGATTAATTCGTATTCTGAGGCTGCCTTCTGATGACCTCCTACCTGTTGACGGCGTCATAAGCGGTATAAAAGTTTCGCATCCACCATTTCTGGCGTACACTTCCTAGACCATCCCCGTGATCTCCTGATTCGTTTTCAAGAGCGTCCCAATCTTGATCTTCATTCCATTGCACGTTTTCTCCCAGTCGTGTGGCTGCAGCTGGACTGGTTTCTAATAATGTAGCTAACGCATAGACCACATCACTCGCCGAAAGCTGCATCCGCCAGCCGTAATGACGCGAGAAACTTCGAAAGCAAATGTCCGTTAATCCATACAGCGGTGCTACTTCCTCTATTTTCTTGCGCAGGATTTGTTTCAGGTCGTTATCCATATGGGTATATATCTGTTGGCACTGTTGCAAGGAAAATCTGAGAAATATTAAAAGGGATTAGTAAAAATTCATCCTTTGGACAAAGTCATGATTCGCGATAGCTACCCCATTTTTGCAAACATGTTGTTTAAACGCCTTTTACCGTGTTCACGCCAAACGCCCAATTTGCTTGCCACATAGCCTGAATGAAACATGCTGTCATAAAGGCTCCAATGTCGAAAGAGCACGAAGCGATATTCATCATCCGATTGGATTGTGTGAAGAGAGGTGGGTTGAGAGTACCCATCCATATCGGATGACATATGGATATTGAAGCGAGAAACATCGTCAGCAAATATATTCACTTGCTCCATGTATTTATCGGTATCGTTCCGTTCAAAGATATACTGCGATGTAACGCCGACAATGGCCAGCCTATAATAGGGAATAAGTTTCGACTAAAGTACTGTCACCATAACAATAGACTCACCATAGCAATTCATTGTTTGTTTTGGATAATTGGGAGGCAAGTAAGTAGACGATTGCTGCCGAGGAATTAGCGTAGTAGACGCCTGAGGAATAGTATTCGGCCAAGAGACGATTCTGCTGCCTTCGTTTTCGAGCCCGCTCTTTTCGTGAATGAACCTTTTTGGTAGACGCCAATCATTTTGTTACTTGGCCCACCCATCTTTGTTTCCCTCCAACCTGAGATACTTACTACATCATCATCCAGACGCCTTCGCCGCCGTGGTCGATCGCTCTGAATTCGACCATCGTCTCCGTCGTCCATATCCGAATTATCATCATCGCGACCCATGATATCATCTTCACCGCTGTCTTCTTCCGAATCCGAATTATACTAACGTTCCAACGAATAAGATCCATCGTATTCGAATCTGCAGTACAAAACACTCGACATACCATCAGTGCTTCGTGAGCTTCGATCATTTCAGCCATTTTTGCATCATTTTCCTTTTCATCGAATACGAATACGTTTCTGTTGTCGTGAACTGCATTATCCAAGTTCAAGGGTCGGTGACTGTCAATAATATAGATGTTGACTTGCTCCGAGACTTGGATGTACTGTGTGATATCAACGAGCCCACCACAATTGATGAGAATCACCGAGCGTAACTGGCAAAAGAGTGATCGTCAATGGGGGATTGGGTAATGCAAGTAGACAGGAAGCTATAATTACATCGAGGTCTTTCTTGATCAGCTCTTCATTCGCTTTCATGAGGTCTTTGTACCCTGCCACAGGGACGATTTTGTGCTGTATGATATCACTTTTCAGGAGACCCTACCAATGCAGTGGTATGTGTTAAAAAGGCATTGGTTTCATGTGCAGTGTGAATGCTTGCGTGAATGCTGGTAATGGCTGTACCTGGAAAATCTTGCAAGCACACAAAGCGTCAACATCAGAAGCGACGAATACGATGCAGCTGCCTTCTATAGAGTCACGTTTGATCTGTTCGTAGGCTTGCTCATATTGTACGCTTGTGATGCGAACCATGACAGAAGGAGTGGGGAGTCGAACGGAGGGTGGGGAATGATACTGAAAAAACACGCGTTGTCGCGTTCAAGCGCGCGCAATTGCCTTTTTTGTGCTCCACTTCAGTCACGTCGATTTTTTCCCAAACTGACCAAGCCAGCAGAAATAATCCAGCACAAAAAAAAAGTCAGCTCTTTATCAGAAACCACATTTGCTTTCGAATGACGGTACGAATCATTGAGACACCTATTTACTATTTGCTTCATAAAAGTTTGTCGAAATATGTAGCTTGATGCTTTTATTGATCATAAATTCAATAGGTGAAAATATACGACAATTTACAAAGGGTGTGTCTGCGAAAAGCTGTAGGCATGCCACAGCGAACGGAACGACACTTTTTGAGGTATATAAGAAGCTCCAGAACAAGGGCACCGTCAGTATTCATAAACTAGTTCTTTTTATTATTTTTTAGTTCTATGATTCTACGTTGTTTTAACGGTAGGGATGATCGGCTTGCAAGTTTCTGTAAACGCAGGATTAATCATTGTTGCCCAGCGTAACGCATGAAAGTGATGTAGTCTTACCTAGCAATTTCCACTTCCCATTTATCTCCGTTAGCCAGCAACTTTTCTTTGTTATACAACAACTCTTCGTGAGTTTCCGTGATGTATTCATAATTAGGACTTTCGACAATGGCATCAACTAAAAGACAGCAAAAAGCAAAATCGCTCGATTAACATTTTCTCCCCATGAATATTGAAGATCTCCATGCTTACCTGGACAAGCTTCCTGACAGAAACCGCAGTAGCTATAGGAACGGTTGGATTATTATGATACTGCCGACTCAATGCCAATGACCCTTCACTTACATGCACTTGGTCATATCAATATCGTAACGAGTAGTACGTCGTGATCCATCCTCTCGAGGCTCGGCTTCGATGGTGATGGCTTGAGCGGGACAGATGGCCTCGCACAACTTGCAGGCAATACAGCGTTCCTCACCTGCACCGAGCCAACAACAGCATATCAATAATCTGAAAAAAAGCTCCCAAGTATTATTCCCATGCGCTTACCAGTAGGGTAGCGACGAAGAGCGTGTTCACCACGGAAACGAGGCGAAAGAGGGCCCTTCTCGTAAGGGTAAAATATGGTGTACGGAGGACGGAAGAACTGTTCCAAAACGACCCACATGCCTCTCAATAATTCCGTCAGCAGTAATTGCTGAGCAGCGACATCGAGCGCGCCAACAGGTTTTCCCGAAATCTGGTGGCTTTTATTATCATGATGAGCCGCGTGACGAACAGGAGTAGAGGTGCTGAACCGAGACACTTGACTCGCTAGAGGAGCAACCGCGAATCGGGGCGTCACAATAGCTAATAATAACATATTCAGTGGTGTTGTCGTTATTGTTGCAAGTTCGTATTAGATCCTGACCTCTGGCCAAACTCGGACGTGCGGCGATACCAAGGTGAGAGATTATTCTCAAGGCGGTCATATTATCTGTGGAGAGTGGGGGGTTTTAATAAAGAAAAAAGTGGAAGTGGAGTGCCCCTTTTTGCATCTCAGCCATTCTTAATGAATTCGCTCCAGGAGCCAGCACCGGTCCGCTGCTGCCAAAAAAAAAAAAAAAAAAAGGGTGACGTCATTTTTGACGGTCGATTGGGTTTTTTTGCCTCACTGACTGTAACGAACGATATTGAATTCATTCTCCGCCCATCAGGGCAAAAAGTGAAGAAAAAAAATATATCTCTTGGTCATTTTGTCCACAAAGTTTTGGCGAGCAAAGGAAATCATTGCATATATACCACTGGCGCGTCATGACTAGCCTTCCGCCACCCGAAAAACCGACGGTTGACTTTAACTTTTATGAGCAACCAGGCACGATATTTTATTTTGACGCGATCCTCGAGAGCTTACGACATGACTTGGCCAGTGAAGGAGCCGATACAACTTTTACTGCTCCTGGTCTCGCCCATTTCACAGCGCGATTTCAAAAGTTTCAAGAAGACACCCTAGGTCGTGAAGCATCAGAAGTGGCCAATCACGATCTTCCTCCTCGCATACCTTCGTCACTGTTCCGGATAGAAAATCTTACCACATCCTCACCGTTATATGTCATTCTTCTTGCCGCATACTCATTTCAGTCCGACAGCGACATTAGCGATTGGCAATTTGATGCTCCTGAGGAAAAAGATATTTATCTCGATCTTGTCAAACATATTAGAAAGCGATTAGCGGAAACAGGCGTTTATCGAGCACCTTGTATTTACTTCGACGACAAGATGGCGCCCGAAAAAAAGGAAAAACTCGTTGGCATGGTGGAATCGTTAGGCGGTAATTTGGGAAACCATGGCAATGGCTGATGAAATAAGAATTTGAGCTAATGGAGACGTTTTACAGGCGAGATCACCAGTACGGCTGCGTCAGCAACCCACGTCGTGTATGAGGATGACCAGCCTATGGAAAAAGACAAATTGAATGTACTCGAGCAAAAGAATGGACGCATGTTGATTCATTGGCAAGGACTTCCGAATTCCTACGATAGCTGGGTGGATGAGGGAGAATACGCGAACGTCGTCACTGTCGATCCTGCCTTGCAGCAACCGCCGTGGCACGTGAAGAGCTATTGGGTACAGGACAGCTACACCTATAACGAATGGATGGCTCCTGCGGATTATGATTGTCCAGATAAAAGATTAGCACGTACCAGTCAGAAACGGTCCATTGAACCTGAAGACGCTGCGAGTCCTGCAAAGAAACCCAAGACACCGCCACCAACAACAACGACGGCAACACCCACAACAGTAACAACGACGACGGCGAATGAAGAATCAATGACACAAGCTCCGGTGATTGCCCAGGAAGCCAAAGATGAATTGGCGGACCCTGCATTTTTATTACGACAAGAAGAAGCGAAACGCAAATATTTATCAGTGCAAACACACGAGATTGTCATTCCCTCTTATGCTGCTTGGTTCGATATATCGAAAATCCATGATATCGAACGTCGCTCGGTGCCGGAATTCTTCAATAATCGCAACAAATCCAAAACACCTACCATCTACAAGAACTATCGTGACTTTATGATTAATACCTATCGAACGAATCCGCTCGATTACTTGACCATTACGGCTTGTCGACGTAATTTATCAGGCGATGTTTGTGCCGTCATTCGCGTTCACGCATTCTTGCAACAATGGGGTCTTATCAATTACCAGGTAAATAATTACTGTTGAGGGCACGCGCCTGCGCATGATGACTTTTTTTCTCTGTTGCTGTTTTCATCATTTAACTTACCCGTTGTTTTGATAATAGGTTGACTCCGAGTCCCGTCCTCCGACTGCACCGCCGAATTTGTCGGAACAGTACAAGGTGGTCAAACAGTCACTACCAGAAACTGACCAGGATGAGAAGGACGGCGACATTCACATCAAGTCAGAAGGCGCGATGAGCGAGAAGCTTACAACCGACATGGAGACATCAGATACAAAGCCAGTGTCGTTCGACGACAAAGAGATAAAGGCTCAAACCTGTGTCATCTGTGATGATGTATGTTCAAAGGAGCAGTACTGCAGTACGAAACGGGTAGATACCTACGTATGTAGTAATTGCTATCTGGATGGAAAATTACCGGAGAATCACAGCAGCGAAGACTTTGTGATTCAGCTATTGGATAAGCAAGAAGAAGCGTCTTGGTCCGAGGAAGAAGAAAGACGGCTGAAGGAAGGGTTAGAAAAGTATGTGGATGACTGGAACCAAATTGCCGATCACGTCAGCACGCGAACGCGGGATCAATGCGTGCTACATTATCTACAACTGCCAACGGAAGATCCTCTGAACCTTTTACCGGTAGCAAAAATGGGCTTACTTCAATTTCTTCGACAAGCTGCAGAAAATCCTGTGATGTCGACGGTGGCGTTCTTAGCATCTACAGTAGAGCCTCAAGTAGCTGCGGCTGCGGGACAAGTGTCGGTATCGAATGTTCAGTTGAAAAAGGAGGAAGAATCCGCAGCGAAGGACGGACATGATGATGACGATCATGATCAGTTACGGGAAATTGCGTACGATTACGTTCGTGTCAAATTAAAGCAATTCCAACTCCACGCAACACAGTATGAGGCGCTGGAAGATATGGCTCAGCAAGAGAGACGACTGCTTGAACGTGAACGACATCAGTTACAGCTTGATCAAGCGGCTCTAAAGAAGCAGATCGACAGCATCCATGTGGAAATTGGGAAACAAAGTGCTATGGCCGCCGCTATTGCCAATCGAATCACGCCTGCGCAAATTCAGCAACAAATGGCAGGAAATTCCGCGTATATGCAGCAACAACAGCAGCACCAGCACCAGCAGCAACCGTCACCATCCCAACCATCACCGCATCATTCTCATCAACCCCAAGTTTTGCAACAGCAGTTACATTTGCAGCAACAGCAGCAATATCATTATCACATGCAGCACATGCAGTACCAGGCTCAACAACACCAGCAGCAGCAACCGCCACAACATGATGGCCAAGTATCGCCTCCAGGACACGATTTCAACATGATGTAAATTTTTTTTAATCCTCTCTAACTGAGATGAAATAAGCAAAATTGTTGGAGTCAATCCCCTTTTTTTTCTTCAATGTTGCAGACGAATAGCATAGTTTGTTCTTCTTTTTTTTAGTTTTTGGTCTCTTTTGATGCTTTTTGTGGCTCCAAGCAACTTAAAAACATCGAGCTCATTTCTCTGCTGATTTCCCTAAAGCCAAACCCTTGGGTTCACTCCTTCAATCCCGAATTATTTTTAATATGGCAATCATGCGGGGAATGCATCATCTGATATGCTTTTTTCGAGGCGGATCGTCACATAGTGGAAGACAATATGCCACTATTGAAGTACGGTATCCCAACATTTCATTGGCTTTTCATAAAGCTATTTTCCGTACTCCAATAATTCAGAAGCTTAAGCAGATCGTAGGAACACTGTCAAAGTTTCTTTTCTTTCAGCGCAAGGGGTTGTGCTTCATCAACGTATGATGTAATCGAAAATTTTCAAGCTCCGTCGCACAGCGAGTTTGACTCGTGTCGCCAGTTGCTGAGCTGTCCCGCTGCTTGTTCCTTCAGCTTCTTTTAGAATGTCGGCCAAGATTGATACGGATAACACCATTGATGAGAGCTTGTACTCTCGCCAGCTGTAAGTAGAATTTTTGTAGCAATAACCACAAGCTGCCAGAACCTATGTACTGTTCTGTAAAAGAAGAAAGTGAGAGCTGACCCCCATGTGCTGCGCATTCGTTGTTCTCTCACAGTTATGTTTTGGGTCATGAGGCCATGAAAAAAATGAGTGTGGCTCATGTCTTGATTATCGGTTTGAAAGGTCTTGGTGTTGAAATTGGTAAGTGTGGATCAAGTTGTTGGACGTTTACTGCGGTCCAAGTAGGCTAATCGTATGCCCTTTTCAAATAGCCAAGAACGTTATTCTGGCGGGTGTCAAGAGTGTTACACTTTATGATCCTACGCCATCCACCCTGGCCGATTTGTCCGCACAGGTAAACCACCAAAGTCATTACGAATGAGATAATATTGCATCCATACTTAAACTATTCAAAGTTTTATATTCGATCAGACGAAGTCGGCCAACCCCGTGCCGCCGTTTCGCAACCTCGATTGGCAGAATTGAACAACTATGTGCCTGTCCATGTTCTTGAAGGCGAATTGAACGAGGAGACTTTGAAAAAGTACAAGGTGGTTGTTGCAACCGAGCTTCCTTTCGCCCAACAACTGGCCATCTCCGACATTTGTCATGCCAACAACATTCACTTCATTTCAACCGAAGTTCGTGGTCTTTTTGGGTAAGTGGTCCCATCGTTAGCATCGTAGCAGTTTGCAGGGGAGTTAACGTTTTTCTTAGTCGCGTGTTCAACGATTTTGGTAAGCAATTCGAAGTCATTGACGCCACTGGTGAAGAACCTCTTCACGGCATGATTGCCGGTGTCACCAAGGTAACGATCCTGACATTCAGCAAGCGTTCAAAAATAAAATAGCATTTTCTCACTCCAGGTATTTTTTAGGAGGCCAATGGTATGGTGACATGTCTGGATGAGACTCGTCATGGTTTGGAGGATGGCGACTATGTTGAATTCCGTGAGGTTCAAGGCATGACCGAACTGAATGACGCGGCTCCTCGCAAAGTGAAAGTGTTGGGTATGTATGCACATTGTATTATCCCTGGGTGAAGCGAAATGAGTACTTATCGGTGATGGCTTTAGGTCCTTACACTTTCAGTATTGGTGACACCTCGGAATTCGGTGAATACAAGACAGGCGGGATCTTTACCCAAGTCAAGATGCCTAAATATATCGATTTCGTAAGTTTCCTTTCGTATCTGTTTCATGTGAAGATGGTGGCGGAAAGCTTACTATCTCTTTTGTAGAAATCGTTCAAGGAATCGCTCGCTTCTCCCGAGTTTTTGGTATCCGATTTTGCGAAATTTGACAGACCTATGCAGCTCCACCTCGGTTTCCAGGCCTTGCATCAGTTTCTGGAAAAGCATCAACGCTATCCCAAGCCTCGCAACGAACAGGACGCAAGCGAAGTGTTTGAGTTAACGAAGGCACTTGTCAATACCGTGGAGGAAAAGCCAGAGCTTAGTGAAAAATTGATCAAGGAGCTCGCTTACCAAGCTTCAGGTGAATTGGCACCCATGGTGGCCATTTTCGGTGGTTTGGTCGCACAAGAAGTATTGAAGGTGGGTATGCAACGATTTCAGCCACATAAAAGCTTGCTAAACATCGGCATCATATTCAACAGGCTGTGTCTGGTAAATTCAATCCCGTATACCAACACATGTACATGGATGCTCTCGAAGCCTTGCCCACCAGTGTTCAGTTGACAGAAGAAGAATGTGCTCCTGTAAGTGTGTCGTCAGACATATCTTTTGCCTATCTTTGCATCTAACGATGTGGACAAACCCTTTTAGATCGGCTCGCGTTACGATGGCCAAATTGCTGTTTTCGGCCGTACTTTCCAAGAAAAGATTGCCAACACCAAGGAATTCCTTGTAGGCGCTGGTGCCATTGGTTGTGAAATGTTAAAGAACTGGGCCATGATGGGTCTTGGTGCTGGTCCCAACGGTCGCCTAGTTATTACGGATATGGATACCATTGAAAAGAGCAACTTGAACCGACAGTTCCTTTTCCGACCTGCTGATGTCGGTCAACTCAAATCGGAACGTGCGGCCGTCGCTGTGAGCAAGATGAATCCTGATTTGGAAGGCAAAATTGATGTTCATCAGGAACGTGTGGGCCCTGACACTGAAAACATCTATGACGATGACTTTTTTGAATCGTTGTCCGGTGTGACCAATGCTTTGGACAATGTGGAGGCTCGCAAGTACATGGATCGACGATGTGTGTACTACCGCAAGCCGCTTTTGGAATCCGGCACCCTTGGCACTAAGGGTAACACTCAAGTGGTGCTTCCTTTCTTGACCGAATCCTACTCTTCTTCTCAGGATCCCCCAGAGAAGGCCATTCCCATCTGTACACTCAAGAATTTCCCCAATGCTATTGAGCACACCATTCAATGGGCGCGTGATCTGTTTGAAGGTTACTTCAAACAGCCCGCAGACAATGTCAACTTGTACTTGACCCAGCCCAATTTTGTTGAAAACACATTGAAGCAGGGTGGCAACCAAAAGGAAATGTTGGAAAGTGTATACAACTACCTTGTTGCCGAAAAGCCTCTTTCTTTCGCACAATGCGTTGCCTGGGCTCGATGCAAGTTTGAGGAAATTTACAGCAACAATATCCGTCAGTTGTTGTTCAACTTCCCCAAGGATTCGGTATGTGATTCGACAGACAAAAGAAAAACGATATGCAGGCCAAGTTACTTATTTTGGAAAATTGTAGGTTACTTCCACTGGCCAAGCATTCTGGTCGGGTCCCAAGCGTGCTCCCGAACCCATCACTTTCGATCCCAGTAATGTAAGTTTTTTAATTGTACTATTTGTGAGAAAAAGTAAGTAGGACTCATGTTTGTCATCGATAGCCGATCCATATGGATTTCGTGATCTGTGCAGCCAACCTGCACGCTGCCAACTATGGCTTGAAGGGTGAAACCGATCGTGAATATTTCCTGCGTGAATTGGAGAATGTCATTGTTCCCGAATTCAAGCCCAAGGAAGGCGTCAAGATTCAAGTCCAGGAAGGTGAAACTATTGATAATAATAACAACAACGGTAAGTAGCATATTAGATTCCACTTTCCCTATTTTTGACCAGACATGGAATGTAACTCCATGCTCTTTGTAGATTCTTTGGATGACGTTATCAATGGTCTTCCTGCGCCATCGACACTTGCTGGTTTTCGTTTGATGCCTGCCGAATTTGAAAAGGATGATGACACCAATTTCCACATCGATTTTATTACCGCTGCTTCCAACTTGCGTGCTATCAACTATGGCATTTCGCCTGCTGATCGCCACAAGACTAAATTCATTGCTGGCAAGATCATTCCCGCGATTGCTACCACCACTGCTTTAGTGACTGGTTTGGTGTGCATTGAATTATACAAGGTAAGCTCTGAGCTCATGACTATAACATTATTGCAAAAGGAGGAGTGTGCTGATACATCGGATTTTTTAGATCATTGATGGAAAGGATGATATTGAACAATACAAGAATGGTTTTGTCAACTTGGCCTTGCCCTTCTTTGGTTTCTCTGAACCCATTGCCATGCCTAAGCTTGAGTACAATGGCAAAGAATTCAGTTTGTGGGATCGATTTGATATCAATGGTGATATCACTCTTCAAGAATTCATTGACTATTTCAAGAATGAACACAATCTCGAAGTTACCATGGTTTCGTCTGGCGTTTCCATGCTTTATTCGTTCTTCATGCCCAAGAAGAAGGCAGATGAGCGTAAGAGCATGAAGTGAGTCCGGGTCTTGAATGTGAAAATAGAATTATCCACTGATCATGATACCTGTTAGATTGTCTAAATTGGTCGAGACTATATCCAAGAAGCCGATCCCCGACCATGTAAAGGCATTGATTTTCGAAATTTGTGCAAACGATGCTGAAGACGAAGACGTTGAGGTGAGAAAAACGAACCGCACAAAAACTGATTTAGCCTCAGAAATCATACTTACCACTTTTATTTGTTCAATAGGTGCCCTATGTTCGCGTGAGGATTAGACAGTAAATTTACAAATAATCTCATCCGCCAGAATTGAAATAAAAAATAAAAAGGATCGCAAAGACAACGCATGGCCATTTTTGCACAAGGAGTTTATCTTTCTGCAATCAATAAACGGTTGCTAAATACAGGTCTCAAAGACCAATTCTGCTATGGTATTAAGATGACACATGTAACTCGGAAAGAATGTCAGTGATAAAGAGCATTCAGATGCGAGTTTCTGCCGTTTCTGCCCAAGCTTTCAATGAAGGGCAGGAGTATTCATTTCAGTGAAGAATTACATACTGTATACATCGATGTATCCTGTAGAGAAGCGGCTCCGTCGACTTAGGACCGAAAATGGCCTTCATCCACCAATCTATCGGTAGCTCTAATATAAATATGCGAATTCTTTTGATTCTCTTAGGGACCCCTTCCAGGCGTGCTGTAGTGCCAAATAATACGGAAGTGTGCAGATCGTGTAATATACATTTTTATCAACGATGTGAACCTAATTTTTGACCAATATTTGAGGTGTAATCACTCAACGTTGGCCGAATAGACGCCACTGCTCAAGAACGAAGACGTGCCTTGCTATCCTATATCTCAAAAATGGGACGTCTACACAGTACACTGTTATATCATTGACTTTTGCGAACGAAGTAGTCCGAGAGGAATTAATAGTAGGCCGGGATGCAGCGCGTTTAGCCTGGCAACGTTGCAGACTCAAACGTCAAAAAAAATCTCTGGTTACATGCGGACTCCGAAAATAAAAATGATGACGTAGCCCCGCGTATCAAAGATTTTTTTTTGTTGAAATAAAGTCAAAAAAAAAGCACCTAAGCATCTTGGATCTATAAGTGTGGCCATCATGTCCGACAAAGAAAACGAGGCTGTTGTAAACCAATTCGACGACGAAGAGGTATATATTTGTGCCATTAGTTTCTAATCTCTTTCTTTTTTTGGCAATCATATTGTTAACGTCATGGCCACTAACGGACGTGTTTACCAATGTAGCCTGATTTCTCCAAGCTCAAGAAGAAGAAGTCCAAGAAGAAGGTCGATTTTGATACTGAAATCGATGCCTCTGAAAAAGCTGACAAGCCTACGGAGGACGCACCAGGTAGGAATTGAAAACTGCAAGAAAAAACATAGTGTGCGATTACTAACCGCTGGCCCTTGTAGCTGACGATGATAATGCTGATGCTGATCCCGATGCTATGTTTGCTGATTTGAAAAAGAAAAAGAAGAAGAAATCCAAGTCGGTAGAGGTATGAATGGGCAGCATTATACGATGCTTCAAAAAGGTTACAGAAGGGTAATGAGTGCTTTTCATTGTAGGATGCTCCTGAAGAGGAAGCTGCGCCAGAGAATGCCGAAGAAGATTTAGATTTCGGTGCCTTGAAGAAAAAGAAGAAGAAGAAGAAAAACATGGCTGAATTCGAAGCAGAACTCGCTGAACAGGAAGGCGAGAGCGTTGACACAAATGCAGATACCGACGCCACAAAGAAGGTCGAGGACGAAGCATGGCTGAAGAGTGACAGAGATTACACCTATGACGAAGTAAGTCCACAAATTTTACAGCGTCCCGTTCCAAGGACATTTGTATTGACGTTTTATTCTTATTTTTCTAGCTTCTTGGTCGCGTGTTTAACATTTTACGCAAAAATAACCCTGAATTGGCTGGTGAAAAGAAGCGATACACCATTGTTCCTCCCTCCATTCACCGTGAAGGTAACAAGAAGACGATCTTTGCAAATGTGGCCGATATCTGTAAACGGTGAGTATGAATACCCGCCCATCACAATGAATCGATATGCAGAACCAGGATGAAACTAAACTGTGTTTGATAGTCTGCATCGTCAACCTGAGCACGTTATTCAGTTCTTGTTTGCTGAATTGGGTACCAATGGTTCCGTCGATGGTGCACAACGATTGGTCATCAAGGGTCGTTTCCAACAGAAGCAGATTGAAAATGTGTTACGACGTTATATTGGTAAGTCATGTCTTGGAAGAGAATACAAAAAAGTTGGAATTGTTCAATGCCATTAAACTATTTCATACACTTGTAGTTGAATATGTGACGTGTAAGACTTGTAAGTCGGCTGATACTATCTTGACAAAGGACAACCGATTGTACTTTGTGCAGTGTGAAGCATGTGGTTCTACCCGATCAGTATCTGCCATCAAGACTGGTTTCAAGGCTCAGACAAAGGAAGATAGACGTGCAAACAGGGCGTAGATTGAATCTCAAAGCAAAAAATAAAAAATTTCCTTGCGACCTTTTGTTTTTCATACAATAACCCTATCAACCAAGCGATTTTTGTTCTTTATACCGCTTGATTTTTTTCTTCTCTGTTTTTTTTCTATTTTCCGTTATTCATGTCTTCCGCTCCAAGCGCAATAGTCCTTACGTCTTCGATTGTAGGGCAGATATTGATGGAGGTCTCCAGAAAGATCGTCAGACCATCCATTATTCTCCCGATTATTGGCTTTGCGTTTTTTTTCGACATGGCCGAAGTTGTCATTAGCGATTATGTGGACGAGTGGGAAGACGAACTCGAACGAGAAGGCATTCACGTGGATTACGATGACGAGCCTTATGATGACGATCCATATCCCTTCTAAACCTGGTTCACCGTGTTCTTTTGCCAGTAACAAAACGTCCGTTGGTGCTTACTTCTTCGGAAAGCATTTCTGCAAAAGGAAAGAATTCACTGAGACATACGTCACATCAACACCATGCGCCTCTAAAAAAAAAAAAAAAAAAAAAAGACAAATCTGCAGCTCTCCTTTCTACCTTTTTCACACCATGTATCGTCAACTCACACAACAAAATCCTACTTTAACCAACCGTCCTACCCGATCACCACCTCCAATGCACAATGTCCATCCAGCATTTGGTACAAGTATACCCGCATGTCACTGTCCACCTACCCATCGGTTTGACTCGGCGATAATAAGTCCCATCTTTTTTGGGTACTGTAACCCTTCACGGCCAGAATCTTTGCCAAAACAACCTCAACAACAACAACAACCGTATCTCCAAACCAGTAAACTATAATAAGACCGAATTTCCCACGATCGGCGTATCTGCTGTATTTCATGTATCATAACTCATTACGTATTAAAAAAAAATAACTACCAACAAAACACATGAAACGAACAACTAAAGACTTCAAGAGATAATGCATTCATCTGGGCTGGATGGTTTGCCCTTGTCTCGCTTCGTTTTTCGTTGACGTTCGTCTCTCGTTCCAGATGACAGTGGAGGAAGAAACACTTCGCTCTCCTGAATGTCTTGCAGTGTTTCGGTGCTGCGGTTTTTGTTCAACGGATAAGTGGTGGAAGTGGGTTGATGAACCACCGATGTAAATACACGCGAAAGCTTCCTCGTTCGTTGACGGAGTTGAGACGACACGGACGATGTAGGACGAGGAAAATTAGCTTTGTCAGCATCATCATGATGATATGACGATCGTTGCAAAGAGCGAGTTGTTGATCCCTCCATATCAGTTTTCATCATGCTGGACATTTTGGATTTGGGGAGATCCGAAGTTGACTTTGAGAAAAAGGATTTATCCAGAGTCCCGCCATGGATATTCTGATGGCATACGCTATTTGATTTACACTTGGAATGACAGATGTGACCGCAATCTTTTTTTTTTTTTTCGTCAACAAGAAGTTTGGGCATACGCTTTATTGTTGTTAAGCTTACCTTCACAGACCAATGCATCCTTTTTAATAGGCAATTGGCACGCTTTACAGCGAACTGCACCTATCGGGAAAAAAAAACAGGTTAACCTATGCACTCATAGAGAAGACTACTCTACACATGAGAAAACGAAGTGTGGCCTACCTTTCGGAAATGAGCCTTTGACAAATCGATGGTCAGAATACCCTGATTTGGCTTGAACAGGTAGTTTAAACGAATCCAATAATTCCGTGACCGGAAGCGACGATCGTGATGGTTTTTTATGCGGTGTAGACCTGGATGTCCATGGTTCCACATCCTTCAAGCTCGCCGGCGATATGTGTCGTAGACTCCTTGGAAAGGATCCAGCACTGGCTCGCATGCCAATATCGGATAAACGTCGCAGCGCAGCAGATTCATACTTTACAATCCATGGATGTTTTAGGAGTTCTACTGCTGTCGGTCGATCTTCAGGGCATTTGCGGAAGCACAGTTTTAGAAAATCGAGCAATTCCTAATGTATCGTGTTAGCTACAACTTGACACCATAGCGAGCTTTTTTCTTTGCACAAAATCCACGAAGGTTGGGGAATTACATACGTCAGACACGTCTTCAGGTAATGGTGGACAGTCATCTTCCACGATCCTGAATAGCGCCGTCATTGGTATCAGATTAGCGTAGGGAGGTTTACCGGTGCAAAGTTCTATCACCGTACATCCTAACGACCTGGAAAACCCGCTCAATGAGTTATTTTTTCATCTTGTTTCTTTTGACGCAGAAATAAGAACTCACCATATATCCGACTTTGTAGAAGCGCCTTTAAGCTCAATCACCTCAGGTGGCACTAAACGCAGGAAATTGGCATAAGCGTCACCAGGATATACCGGGAAAAAAATGCAGCTAAAGAATGGGACTTACTCCAGTTAGGGGTTCCAGCGACAGCACCTGCGTTGGCTTCTTTTAATTTTAGGTTCAGCGACACGCCAAAATCGGATAACTTGACATCGCCGGTTTTAGTCGTCAATATATTGGCGGCTTTCAAATCACAATGGACTACATCGCGTTCATGAAGATAATTCAGGCCTTCCAATATTCGCAAGCAGTAATTCGCTACCAGGTTTTCCGGAAAACTCCCAAAATGCTTGAGAGTATTCAGAAGGGACCCATTTTCTACGAATTCCAAGACAATATTGATGTGTTCGGCACTTTGGATGAAGCCCTCATATTTAACGATATTCGGATGCATTAATGATTGCAGTAACTCGGCTTCTTGCTAGTAAAAAAAAAAGCACATTCTTATGAATAGGAGTGCGACATGCCTAGATCAGCACCTTACGTACCAGTACATCATCTATATCTTCTTTTCGTGCATCATCAAGCTTGATACGTTTAACGGCAACCATCCGACCGGTACACAGCTCTAGCGCACTAATCAAGTATCATTTGTCCTGTTGTTAGGGATCTAACATACAAAATAGTCGCAAAAAAAAAAAAAAAAAAAACCGGTCCGTCATTTTACCGGTATACTGTGCCGAAATGACCCTTGCCAATGGTATTTCCTAATTTCTGGTAATCGAGCTTCATCAATATACATTTACCTATAGAAAGTCCATCTGATGTGCACCTACATATCGAGCAATAATCATGCCTGCATCATCGAGCATATCAATACTTTCTTGATCAGAAGTGTTTAATACAGGTTTCATAGCGTCGCTCATTAGGGTTCCTGTCGATTTTCGTCGAGGCAATGGTACCTCAAGGCCATTCGCAGCGTTTGATATGTGAATGGAAGGCGCGTGAGACACGGAATAATTAATCTGATGAGCTTGCTTTCTTGGATAACTGTGAACAGGGTCCGCAGAAGTTAAACGAACAGAACATTGGGTTGGTATAGAGGGTTCTTGCGATACATTCGCTTTCATGCTGTTGGAGACTTCCTCAGTTGTATGCTTGACGGAAGGTATATGTTGTGGAGTCTGTCTGGTATCATTGTTCGTCTTACTTTGTAAGCGATATTGAGCCGAATGACCAAAACCAATCGTGCTAGGTTTGCTGTAATCGACGTGGTCAAAGATATGGTCGCCCTCTTCAGGTTGCTGCATAATCAGCGAAATATCGCCGGCAGAGAGCTGTCGTTGCATCGATGTTTGTTGTTCTCTTTTTACTTTTTGATCGGTCCATTCCTGGTAACGCATATGGAAAGGCATTTTATGACGCATGCTCAATTTCTTCGTAAAGGAAAGTTGTGCCAATTTACTAATGCGTGATGAGGCCGAAGTCGTTGATGCAGGCGAGGTTGTCTTGGTCGGGTGAGTATGGTCTTCCTGATAAGAATATGTGTTCGATGCGCGATCGCGTTGGGAAACTTCAACATGAGATCCAGTCATGTCACCCGAAACATCGTGTGGATGATCATTCTCCCATTGATCGTTGACTCGGTAGTCAAAAAGCGAGGCTAGATGAAGTGGCATCGATGATGATGGTTCTTGCTGATGCTTGCGTGTAGTACCATAACCGCTGTCTCCAGAAGAGGTGTTACTACGCGGTGATATTTCTTCTTCCTCTATGGACAGCGACTTTAGGTGAATATTAGTCGAATCGCACGTCAGTTGACTGGATAGACGTTCCAGTGATAAAGCTCCCAGGGGTAGAGTGCGCTGCGGTACGGCGGCATCTAAATCGTCCCCTTCCCAAAGCAAATCATCTTCGTCAGGCAGAGATACGATGGAATATCTCGGTTGTGGTGGGTATAAATCATTACTCAGAAAAGAAGTTGGTACGGATTCCAGGTGCATAGACGGATGGTTGCTCGCTGCGTTTCCGGCCAAGCTCTCCTCTTTTAACAATGTCTCCTTTTCATTAAAATGTTCCCCTATTGTCCAATCCCCGGTGCCGTGAAATCCCTGGTAATCGTTGTCTGAAGATAAAAGTGGTAATGATACGCTACGCGATTGTTTTTTGGTGAAGGGCGACGTATTGTGGGATGGCGATGTGACGATGGTATTGGCGGTGCAAAAATCGTACGTCGCTGATTGATGACTAGGAGACGTAAAGTGACGTGTATGTGATCCCCAGGTCTGGGCAAGAGGAACGTCTGCTTCTTGCTGCTCCCACATACGATGCGTTCGTTCAGTAAGGAAAGAAGGCGATGGTTGTTTGGGAGAATCGCATGGCTTATGGTTGTGGTGCAGCCAAGGATTGTGTTTCGAAGAATGCTCCACAGCTAAATCCTTGCTTGCGAGTAATTTAGCCAGGGACAAAATTGTCCAGGTCACCTGAAAAAAAAACGGGTTTTTAGTTCCGCGATTGAATAAAGTATTTAATTTTACACGTTGCATGACAACATACCGCCGCCATATTTCGATTGTCCAATAGATCAGTAACATAGAACAGATCCGTCATACGGACACCCATCTAACATATAACAATGTGTTGGATCAACAAGAGACGCGCATGAAGATAAAGGTACCCTAAAAGAATAATAGCTACATACCCGAGCGGCTGCCTGCAAAAAAGACGATATATTTTGGGCCTATCTCTCTATATCAGTAAATACAAAAGTATACATTGGTTGCCTGAAGAGACAAAGCGTACCTTTGCCGTAATGTGGTTGCTGTAAATAATCTGAGGCACTGTTCCCGCTTGTAGGTGATTTATTAACCTAGTTTCAACATGCAAGTGAGGGCGATCCGTGCGTTAGAACGATAATTTCAATTGACTCCACGCTCCGAGTCTTTCATGCTCCTTTTCTCCCCTTTTTGCCCCGTCTTCCAACTCTCTCGTTTTGATCGTTCATCTTCTTTTCCACGCCATGCACGCAATGGAACCCATTCACTGACTTGCACAAATAGACGCCATCCTTTAGACAGGAATGGAGATCGTTTCCTGGCAGTTTCTGTCGCAGCGTCGCTTCGATCCATTCTCTGGCCAGCCGTTGTTGTAACTGATCGTCTCGTCGCACATTGTAAGCATCGGTTTCCGGTACGGATTGTATTGTGGAACAGTAGTAGCTCGACGATCGGTTCATATTTTCATAAGTGGCTAAGCTATGGTACAGAGGAAAACGAAGAACGATATATGGATACGAAGTAGAATGAAAAAAAAAAAAAAGACGAAATAGAAGCAATAAAAAATATCCACGAGTCGAATAACTGGTTTTACTGCTTGAAAGAAGAAAGAATCAATAAAGAAAGAGAGAGAGAGAAAAAAAAAAAGAATAAGGACAAGGAAAGGAGGTAGGGAAATATAGGGTAGGCAGAAAAATGATGGCTGTAATTACAGCGTCGCTCGTGAGGCGCTGCTTCTTTCTGCAATTCAACTTGACTGCCGTTCGAAAGAGGCTGATTCGTGCAACCTGCTTCACATTTTCTTCGCTCTCATTAATGCATCCTTTATTTCTTTCTTCTCAGTTGTGGCAGAACCCAATCCCATGATGCTATTCACACATCGTCCGGTTAAAACTCACGTAAAGATACTGGTAATTCCTATGGCCAAGGTCGATTGGCTCTGTCAGCCGGTGATTATATAGTAGTCCATACGTCGATGATAAGATACCGAACAGTGCTTTACATTGTTTTTATCATGCTTGTCCGCCGGTAGAGCAACAAACAATAAAGCTTACCACTGTTGTTGCATCATTGGATATCTAGTATCCGTTACCTTGCGAAAGTCTGGCAGATATACGCCAGTTTGCCATTTATTTTTGTATATATAATAACATGAAGTGTACCGAAAACAGCTGTACAACAGCGACTCTGATATTATGGTTGCTGGGGGAACCTGTGAATAAGATGGTTTGTCCACCAATGACTTTTTTCTTGTACACAGGCAAGTGCATCTGTGTTTTCGTTGTTCAGTGTTTTATGATTTCTATTTCTTCCTGCGGAAGACATGCGATCAAATACCGTTTCAGATGCTATGTCATGAGTCAATGGACCCTTTCGTTCAAAAACCATTAGGTATCGTTGTTCCCTTCTTCCCACTCAACCGAGCTGAAATCGATCATCACTTATCATGATCAAAAATGGGTTTCTATGGAAAACCGGCTCCATCCCCATTGCGCGCTGAAGAAGCGGCAACGTGATTAAGAATGGATGCATGTGGCGGAGAAGAAAGTTTTTGTCTGTATGGGTCTAATAAACTGGGATTCAGGTCCAAATGCTTATTTCGGCATCCGAAATGATCTACGGTAGGTCCAGTGGGAACAACGAATGAACCTTCATTCGGGGAAATCATGAAACTTTTGTGCAACATCAAGTCGATTGACCTGAATCGGTAATGTTGCAGCAAATAAAGGATGATTCGAGACCTGCCCTTAATTGGACTTCCCAATTCATATCAGGGCAACCGTCAGAACCAGAAACGAAACAGGAAAACATAGCAAGAACGTAAAGTGACGATCCAGAATCAATTAATATTTAGTGTAAAATGAGTCATGATGTCAGTGCTTATAGCTGGATGCCAAGCAAACCAAAAAAGAACTACAGTAAACCAAACATCAGAAAAAAAAACAATCCGATGCAAAATCTGCCTGGAATGGCAAGTTTTGGGTGCCGCGACTATAAATAAAGTATTATTTGGGTAAGGTTTGGAGCGACATATAAATGCTGACCAAATAAAATAAAAAAAGGTACAAGTATCCCTCTTCCCCTTGTACTTCTCCTCTACCTCGCCCATCTAAACTGAAATCCTCCTTCTCTATCTCAACCCTTTGCAACTCCTTCTAGACAAATCTATTTCTTTCTTTATATACTTTATTGGCTATGCGATCACCGTTGACCTTTGCCGTCCTTTTATCAGGGTGTCTCCTAGCAACCACCGTTTCCGCACAACAAAAATGCAACGGTTACAGCGAACACTGCAGCAAAACATACAACAGCTTGACGTATGTATTAACCCATAACTCGTACGGTTATACGTCCAATCCTGCGGCCAATCAGCTATGTCCTATTAATTCACAACTCGCAGACGGTGTAAGAGGGCTCAAACTATCTGCGGTAAAACCGTCCAACTCTTCTTCCGCATCCGAAATTCACCTCTGTCACACATCATGTTCTATTTTGGATGCTGGCCCAGCAAAGGACACATTGACGTCTTTAACAAGCTGGCTGAAAAGCAATCCTAACGAAGTGGTGACTATCATGTGGAACAATTTGGGTGACTTTGCCGCATCCGATTTCGAAGAAATTTACAAGTCCAGTGGTATCCTGGATTACACTCACACCCAAAACGCCGACAATTACAACTGGCCTACCTTACAAGACATGATTTCATCAGGCAAGCGCGTTGTGAACTTTTTGGATGTCGGTGCGGATCAGTCCAGTGTACCATGGTAAGCATTATTGTTTTGGGCAAAAAAAAAAAGGAAAAGAATAGGTTTGATGCTGAAGATTGATTATTTCCATATTGCGATTCGTTTCATAGGCTGCACTCAGAGTTTGATTATGTATTTGAGACGCCTTACAACAATAAGAACGAGAGTTCGTTTAGCTGTACGATTGATCGTCCCAAGAGTCCAGCCGATCCTGATTCCATGATGTATGTCATGAACCACTTTCTGTACGGCAGTCTTACGCTGGGTTCCTCCCCGATTGAAATTCCTCAAAAAGGAACGGCCAATATTACCAATTCCGATTCTCTGATGAAACAAGCTCAAAGCTGTTCACAAACGTTCGGCCGTCCTCCCACTTTCTTGGAGGTGGATTTCTACAACAAAGGTGATACCATGGCTATTGCTGCCAAGTTGAACAATGTATCTTATGTTGACAAGCCTCTCCAATGCGATCAGACGGCTGAAGCGTCAGGCAAAAGTAATCAAGATTCAGCCGCTACTGCTGTCATGGCATCGCCTCTGTTGCTATTGATGTTCACCCTGGCATCCCTGCTTCTTGTGTAATGTTGTTCAACAATAATGAATGCTTTCATTTCTCTATTGTGCATAAACCATGTATTAGTATTCCGATAGTTTTTTCTTTTTAGAAAAACATAAGATTGTAAACATTTGTTCACTCGTCGAAAAGTCTAAATCAAAAATAACCAGCCCTTGCCAAGATTGTAAGCTAGTTTGTGAAGTTGTGAACGGATCGACGGCAATCGTTTCCCAAAATAAACGTGGACTAAATTTTGAAAGCCAACGTCACTCCTTTTGGGTAACTCAACATGAAGGAAAAAGGAAAAACAGGTGATGGTATCCTCGCTGTGCTTCATCGGAGAGATAAAAATAACCACATTTGCTGGAAGAAAAATTAGGCTCGTTTTTCTTTTTCATTTCAGCCTGAATGCATGCAGCCTGCAGATGTAACTTGTTTTTGTTCCTCTAGCACTGTCAATCTAGCACATCCAGGCAGTAAGCTTATTTATACGCACCGGTGCCTGGCTTTATCACTGCTTTTTGACCTTCAAATCTTAAAAAGCTCAGAGAACACCAAACGGAACCGAAAAAAAACGACTCGGTGGCGGACTTTGAACCTGCCTCGATTCGGCAATTGCAAGGCCGACAAGCAAAAAAAACCAAGGGAAAATTGGCCCGAAGATGAATCCTTCCCTTTGTGTTCTTGCGACATCCATCCGTCCCTTAAAGAGGCCATCCATCGCAAATCAATAGACCATCTAGCTCATATAGCCATGTCTACCACCACCGCCACCTTCTCCAAGAACCCTTTCGATCTCCTCAACGAGGATGGTGAGGTCCGTCCTCAACCCGTCGCCGCTCCCCTCAAGGAGGAGAAGAAGGCCGAACAGCCCAAGGCTCGCTCTGGCAAGAGTGCCAGCCCCAAGGCTTCCGGTGGTACGCATCTTCATTCTTTTCTTTTTTCATTTTCCCATTTCGAAAAGCTCGGCATTCTTCTGGATAACATGTGAATGCACGTCTGTCTGTGAATTTTATTGCAAGCGACGAAAAATTCTGTCCCTGAATCCTTAAATTGGGCGAATGGGTTAACTAATATTTCTTCCTTGGTTTAGCTGCTCGTGCCGGTAAGGGCTCTGACCGCCGTCGTGGTGGTGCTCGTCAAGGTAACCGTCCTCCTCGTCGCGAGTTCGATCGCCACAGCGGTACCGGCCTTGTGTAAGTGTAGTGGATCACTTTCAGAAGAGTGTGATTCAGGAACACATCATTTATCTCGACTTTTTTTGTTCGGTACAGTGACTCTGAGAAGAAGGAAAAGCAAGGTTGGGGTCATGCCGAAACTGCTGAAGCTGAAGCGTAAGTGAATGGATTGAAATTTAAATTTATTGGATTGTCGTGGGCTGTTGTATTGATCATTGAGAACCAACAGTGCTGCCGATTCTATTTCCCCCAAGGATCCCGCCGCTGCTGACGAAGCCACCGCCGAGGCTGCCGCTGAACCCGAGGAGGTTGTTAAGACTTTGGAAGAATACTTGGCTGAGAAGGCCAACAAGTCCTTGAAGGTCTCCCTCCCCGAAGCTCGCAAGCCCAACGAAGGTGCTGATGACGGCAAGTGGAAGGATGCCGTTGCCTTCAGCAAGACTGAAGAACCCGAGCTTTTCGCCACCAAGGTATATATCCTTATTTTAGGGTCGTTATGTGTACGATGAAATTCTAATGCGTGTATCTTTACTTCCCTTCAGGAAAAGGCAAAGAAGGCTGAGAAGCCCCGCAAGGAGAAGCAGTTCGTCGAAATTGAACAACGCTTCCAGGAAAGAAACACCCGTGGTGGTTTCCGTGGTAACGATCGTCGTGGTGGTGAACGCCGTGGTCGCGGTAACGGTCGCCGTGGCAACCGTCAGTCCAACGGTCCCGTTGTCAACCTTCAGGATACTGCTGCTTTCCCCTCTCTCGGTGCCACTGCCTAAATATTTGTCCTCTTTTGGTTAGTGCGATTGACGAAGATTTCATGTCCCTTTTTTTTTCCTCCATTGGATGAGCAAAAACTATATAAAAAGTAAAACTCTATATTTCTTTCATATCTTGTTGTCTCGATGGTTATATTAGGAAAAAGATTGGTTGATTAAGGAGTGTGGCACGATTTGATTGGGAACCCACTGATAGCGTGTTAAACATTGCCAAGGGAGAGCGCTCGAAAGTATGTACCCATATATGCATATTGCTAAGGGGCAGAAACACGGGAACCATCCTCATGAATTGGCTGAAGTATGCATCTCATTAAAAAAAAAAAAAAGTGGATGGAAATGACTTTTTTATGTCGGGTGATTTATATCTTTTTCGCTTTCACTTTGATGGATGAGGAATTGCATCTTCCTGCTTAACGCATATTCCGACATGATCGATCCACCTATCAATTGTTTCCCCCTCCTCACACCAATGAATAGGTTTACATTTGAGTGTAATTGCAAAAGCCGCAAATGGGTCATTAATAATAAGTAAATGATCTGCGTTCTTGATCACGACACTAACGGCTTTGGCAAAACTCCTTTTATTCATTTTCTGAAGTTTATATATAAAAATGTTGGATTACCCAATATCATTAATCTGGTTGGTCAACGCGAAATTAAGCTATCAAGCATTTAAAAGTCGGGGGGTTTTTTTTTTCGCTCACTGTACATTTCTTTATCCTACTTTTATTCTTTTCCTTTTTTTTCTCGCCTTGGAGTTTTAGAAAGTACTACATTGATTTAACCATGGTCTTGAAAACCGACAGTATCCTAGATTCGCAAAAATACAAATATACCCAGCTCTCGCAGAAAAAGAACCATAAGAAGCTTTCTCTTTTTGTTGCTCCGCGACACCCATCTTTACGGCGGTTCAACGATCGTCCTGGCTACTCCCGTTGCTTACCAGAACAAGAATCCTCTCAAACCGACTTTTATCAACAAGGACCGGCCGAAATTCTTCCCCAGCTATACCTTGGTTCGTCACATAATGCTTGTCCGAGGATACTCGATACCTACGGTATCACCTGTGTTATTAACGTTGCAGCCGAAATTTCCACTCCTAATTTTGGTGCATTTCCTTATAACAATGCACGGACCCCAGGAAATCGCATCAGTTATCATCACTTACCGTGGACACATAGCCAGGATAACCTGGCCGAATATGAATTTACACGCGCTATACGAACTATAGAAGAAGCCCAGCTCGCCAATACCACTGTTTTGATTCACTGTCAGCAGGGCATTGAACGCTCAGCCGCACTGGTTATAGCCTACGTATTTTACCTTTCTCGACGACGAACAACTTTAGCTGGGAAGAAGAAACCCCTTCCTCTTGATAATCTTCAGTTGTCCATTTCACAAGCATACGAATTTGTTCGGAAACGAGCGCCATGCATTCATCCCAACATGGAACTCATGTATCAATTGAAGGAATTTGAGCGAAAAATATCAAGCACAACAAAAAAGGCACGAAATCAACGATCTGGATCGGTGCACTCGCGAACCCATCATCGTCTCCCTAATACAAGTGCTCTGAAACGACCACGGTCGGTTAGTTTCCGAGAACCAACACAGCACGATAAATTTCAGCATTGTTATACAACTGTACAAACGAAAAAGCAAGCTGATCAATCTGCTGCGCCATTACCCCCAGTAGGAGTGGTCGTTGCTGTATCTCTTTTGGCCATCTTTCTTGTATCTTTACGCCACTTGGATCAGCGTCATGCAACAAAAGTAATGTTAGAATCAGATAATGCATCTCGTACGTGTGAATCGACAAATACCGGTTGCAGTCAACCATCAACACCCATCACTCCCGCCTTGTTTTCTACACATCCTATATATTAAAGTTCCATAATTAAGTACAAAACAGCTTCCTATATTCTGTGTTACTCTACAGCTTTGTCTATCGACACGCTTATTGTAGTAAAATACAAAGTGGTTGTAGTTGATATATTTTTATTCGTCGGCAATATACAAGAATGGATGCTCCAAGAGTTGGCCTGCTGTTGGTCTTTCGTCATGTTTCCTAAAAAGCGATTGCAGATGTTATTATTTTTGTTTGATATTGGATCCCTTCTTAAACATACAATTTAAAGGTACACTGCAAGAAGTCTTTGGCGGCATCGCTGATGTGTTCGGGGATATTGGGTGCGATGTAACTTCCAATCTACGATCCACCGGTTTAGCGTCGTCGTAGTAAAAAGCCAGGCTACCATTTTATATTTACCTGGAAGATGGCCTGCATTTGAGAAAATTCAGGAAAAGGATGATCGCCTGTGAACATCTCCACCATCATACAACCCAGAGACCATATATCCGCCTTTCGTGTATACTGAGTCTGTTTCACCACCTCGGGTGCCATCCTAAATATTTCGAGAATGAAAAATAAGTATAACTGATCATTTGATGACGACTTTTTTGGGGTATACCAGAATATTGAACCCTGTAAACTGGGCCGATGGGAAGAAGATACGGCAGATAATCGCATAATGCCTGATCATCATCACGGTAAAATACAAACCACACGAAATTAGCCAGTGCAACCCTCTTCTTTTTATGTATAATAGAAGTTACCTTCTTCCACTTTCTTTGAAATGCCGAAGTCGGTAATTTTTACGCCTCCCTTGTTATCGACTAGAAATACAATGGGTTGACAAACGCAATGGAGAGTTTCATTGGCATAAGTTTTGAAATTTACCTAGCACATTAGCTCCTTTGATATCACGATGAACGATATCTTTGCCGTGAAGATAATGTAATCCTTTCAGAATCTGTCGAACAAAGCTTTTCACTAGAGGTTCTTGGAAAGCGCCATAACTAGCCAAAAGTCCTGCCACGGATCCTCCAGGCACATATTCCAGGAAAATACTGAAATGAGCATCATCCGTTTGCGACCCTATTCATCATCATTATCAATATCCCGATCCATCGCGCCTTCTAGAATCTTATTTTCATTCGACACATACCTAAGTATTGAACAATATTTTCATGCTGCAATTCTTTGAGCAGGAAAATCTCCCGTCGTAAAGCTTCTACCATGGACTTTTTACGTTCTTCGGTAGCAGAATTTTCCACAGGGAGTTCCACTTGTTTTACTGCCATCAATGCACCGTTCAAAGGATTCAGTCCAAGATACACATCACCAAATGTGCCCCGTCCAATCAAAGAACCTTTCATCCAAGAAAGGGGCGTATCTTCTATTGATAAGCAGCACGCATTAAGTCCATGAGAATCAAGCAGCCGTTCTCGCTAGCCAAAAAGGAAATATTGGATGATTCATTACCTGATATCTGTGGGGTTTGCTGCTTTTCTGTTTCACTCGTCTTTGCGTCAGCTTCTTCTGCCAAAGCAAAAAGTCAATTTCCTGTTTTACCGAGGAATGAAAGCGCTATTTTACGTACTGTCTTCTGATTTCTTTGTCGGCTTGGACTTTGCGCCGCTGAGATGCAGTAAGCTGGAAGATCGTCGCTGTATTACGTTTTCATAGCTTAAAGTGTCTGCACCTGATTTATCACCATCATTATCGTTTGCGCCGAACCCGAGATCTTTTTCATCTTCAGATAACGTTTCTCTTGGAGCAGTCGATGACGCATCCCCGCTTTTCACCTGAATGCCACTCTTTTCTGTCTGCGCTATGCTTTTATTGTTGCTGTCATCACTGTCATTGTCTTGATCTTGTTGAACATCTCCGTCTTCCTCTTCTTCCACTTCTCCGTCTTCTTCCTCTTCCTCTTCGAGAAATTTATCCAGATCGACACCCAGAACTGAGACCAGTTCGGGTAAGACGCTGTTTCGAGAACTGTGACGGGTATCACGACGGGTGGATCCGGTAGCTCTTGGTGTGACAGACATGCGTTTTGCGTTCATGCCAGCCGTTTCAAGGGCTTCACGTTTATGGTTAGGAAAGAAGGATGGCAGATTGGATGAAATGATTTCGGAAGGTGGACGTTCGCCAAAAAATCGTTTTACTTTGGGGTTATTTTGGGAATGCGAGGGCATCGATCGATTGGTTTCATGATGAGGGTCGGAAGGGTACTGTTGGTACTGTTTAGGAAGATGAGGATGACGAGTCGACAATGGTGATATTGGATGATAAGCATGGTTCGCAGATGCACCTGTGATAATATCTAAGGTCATCTGCTTGTCGGGCAGACAACCATGGTATGCTAGTGTGGGTTCTTTGATGGACTGGCTATAGTTGGACATAGCGTCTGATTCTGCACGTTGTAGCTGTCTTCGGGCATTGATGGTCCCTTTTCTTTTGAATTCTTCGTGGGTTGGGTATTGGTGGCGCTTTCGCAAAATGAGTCGTTCCTTTTCTGGACGGTCAACCGATCGACAGATTTCCGTTAATTCCGCATCCGACAATGCACGCGCTAAGAAATACAAGTCGTGGTGAACATTCCAACCCAACTGTCCCAATCAATCCCAATGTATGATCTGGTTACCCTCTCCGTTCGTGCTCGATCCAACGAATATGCAGTAACTATCAGCATTTGTCTCCTCGATACCGAACTTGTGTAGCACCTTGCCCATGATGGCCTTGGCTTCCGTTGCATTATGCACATTCACGATACGTGTTTGCCCGTCTTCTCCGAATACTTTAACGCATGTCTGATAGGTGTCATTGTTGGTGATCATTGTTTTGCCGAATACCGATCCGTTGCAATACGCAAAAATTGCCACTCACCTGTTTCACTTTCTCCATAGACATTATACCTCCTTCCAAAGAATTCCGCTACACTCACGTTAATGGACTAGCCCCGAGATTTGGTCACATAACGCATACGACCTACCTACCTTTTGTAAATTGCGAGGACTGGGCGGCATGACCGGAACGTCTTGCGAGCTACTGTTGCTTGATTGCGGTGAACCGCGCTGCGATTTTTTTGAATCCACGCGACCCAAGAATCTGGAAAATGAATTTGATCGATTCAGGATTCCTTTGGTTTCGGATGATTTAGAGGTTTTATCGGTGTGAGGGGTGATGTTGAAGCCTTCATGTTTACTGTGGCTTTCGAGATGTAGGGAAGGCGAACTATACATAATCGTGGACGGTACGGGAATCGATACACTCGATATATAAGGAGATCGATAATCGATCCTTTGTTGCTCGTTGATCAACGGGTTCTAAAAGGAATGTGAAATCAGAATATGATAACCTACTAAGCTCTTTTTTTCGCTTCCTTTTTTGATCCTACTTTTGCTCGAGCGGCCATGGCCACCGCGGCATAACAATCCTGTCTCAGGGTTTTGACAGCCACGAGTATTCGCACGCGTTCGCCCACGGTTTTTATCTTCATGTCCTTGAGGGCTTCATAATCTAATTCCAGTAGTATCGCACCTGTAATATCGTTATCTGCATATAAACGGTCATCGTGTGAGAAGCCATGTCATCTGGAAACAAAATGAAAGAAAACTGAGGGAAAAAATACGAAACGCACCGATAAACTTGGATGCGAAGCGACCCAAATTCTGTTGCGCCAGCCATTCTGCCACTCGATTTTCCGTCCAATGTCGCACTTCTTCGAGTGTGTAATAGCGTTTGAGATGTTCAGCGTAGGTGGGGGTTGTAGGTGAAGCATCTCGAGACGAGGACTGGACAAAATGTCTCGCGGACGGCGATGAAGGCGGTGGATTGCCGCTACCGGGTATTGACATTATATATCGAGACAGGAAATGCGAAAGGTGTGATTGGACAACACAATCCTCAATACGCTTTCAACGTGAGATAAATCTCTACTAGACAAACCGACTATTCTCCTGAGGTGAATTGTCTGGTTTTTTTTCTGGGGGGAGGAGTTTTCTTGCGCTTATTTGAAGCGGCTCCTCCATGATTTTTTGACCCAGTCGTCATCAAATGAGGCAATTGTATCTGATTGGATGATCTCCAGAGACCGTTAATTTGAAAATTTTATTTTGACATTCGAACTTGTGCATTGGAAAGTCGGTTCAATGAAAAAGCTAGCCCACCACACACACAGCAATGGAGCGACCGTAAACTCAAGACATTTATCAGCCTTATTAGCTTGAGAACGCAGCTCCCCTTTCACCCTGAGAAAATCCAACCCTTGTTCCTGAAAAGTATGAAAATCTTGGTCCAAGAACTCGAAAGTAACATTTTTCGGAAACACAACGAGGACGAAACAGTAATCCCATACACTATACACAATATCAGACATGCTTGCTATGGACCAGTATAAAAACACAGCTTACTTACCAGAGCTCTTATTCGGCCATCAGGGATTTTTGTGAAGGCTTCGCGGTTAGAGCCTCTTGTCCACATTTTTAATTATCCTTCTTGTCTGTATCTATATTTCCTGAGTGTTATTCTGTGAAATGTGAACATTAGACAGCTGGCTCGTGCTGTGAGAACACCAGGGGTCCATTGCAAACTTGAAATGTGGTTTGTAAACATGCGTTACGTACCTTGCTCGCCCAATATCTGGGGATCCGATGCGTTTTTGCACGTTAATTGCGATGCATGGCACTGCTCGGTCTGTCCCCCACACACTTGATTGATTGGTTCCCCAAGGAACAAAGGACAGGCTAGAGATGAGAATTTAGATAGAAAAAAAAAAGGGAAAATAGCAAAGTCAGTATGGCAATATATCAGAAATGGGAGTCTAATCAACGTACCTGTAAACCTCGACATGCCCTTTCGTCAACTGCTCAATGAGTTATCTATATTTTCTCTGTTAAAGAAAAAATAAGTTGAAGATAGGGCTTGATGGGAGTTAAACGAGCCGCACGGGCAGCGTACAAAATAAATATAGGAAGAGATAATTTGACACACATCACTTCATCCAGCTACCGCCAATCGTACTGCTTTCGATCTGATAACGTGCGAGGTTATAGAGCTGGTAGCAAGTACGGTTTAATATTAAAACGGGAATACGTTTATTCGCACTGCACATGAAATGCCATCTGTTTCTATCTAGCACGGAATTATCCTCATGGCAATATTCGTAGAGTAGTTTATCTGAAGCCCCAGTCTTTGGATAGTTTAAATCAAAGCTGCTGCTGTCCGCTCACCGACGACCCCATGCCCAATGTAGTGGACTATCAACGCAACAAATTCCCAAAGCAAAGTTCTCCATCATAATGACCGTGATATCCCATTGCTTTCAACTAGCTCTGTCTCTCCTTTTCTTCTCGAACTTGAAAAGTCTGTCCATCCCGAGGATGATTTGACTCATTTTGGTTTCCCTGCTCCAGGAACGATTTTCTACGCTGGCTCATACCATCAAACGAACTTGACTAGTACAGCACCTTTCTTTTCCTCTTATTTATTTCTCTTATTTATTCCTGTCTGCCTCCTATCTTACCCTTGTTTCTCCCAGTAGCTATTTTTTTCAATAAAATCTTGTTCCAAGGTCTAGGGCGAACAAATAGTCCGAAACGGACGCGTGTTCATACACCCTTAACGAACCTTTTACTTTTTACTCTTCAATAATTTTTTTCTTTTTACATACCCGCTGAGTCTTTCAAGTTAGCCAACGATTATGGCATGTCAAAGATAAAAAAAGGCACGAAGCAAAAAAAAAAAAAAAAAAAAAAAATACGGCGAAAAATTAGCGCAAAAAGAACAGCCCGACGGGGGGCTCGAACCCCCAACCTTGAGATTAAGAGTCTCACGCTCTACCGATTGAGCTAGCCGGGCTCTTCTTATTTTTGAAAATGAAGGCTACACTACATAAGAAAACAAGCGACATACTTTACTGGACAAACGGCATTTGCTTACGTAGTAACGACAATTATAAGCATACCTTCACGAAGATGAAAAATGACTTTTCCTGTTACCTGTCAAGGGTAGCAGTAGACAATGTATTTATCACTTTTCACCAAGATTGACGAGATATTGGGTGTAATATGCGAGCCAAAAATATAATTCAGTTTGGGAGAAGTATGTATTTTTGATATGTCGCATGACAATTGTTTTGGGAAATCCCACAACGGATTACAGCGGTCACGTGCCGGGACAAATGAGGCTTGATCAGGTCGTCGGGTGTTTATTGCCACCATGATCATTTCGTTTATTTGCATATTTATATTGCTTATCTCTTATTCATCCAGAGGTTATAAATACGCTTACATATATATCAATAAAAATCAGATAGCTATCTTGTTTTCTGCTCCAAAAGCCGTACATCCACTGGGTGCCACCTGCCATTGGAGGTCACCCTCTTACATTGAGTGACTTTCGTCAGACACAAGCCAAATATATTATACAGCATCATAGTACTACGCAAGGAAAAGAGAGAGAAAAATCAACGGCAAAAGAAGAGCAAAGAAACAAGAAAATAGGGGGTTTTTGTTCTCATTAGAAAAATAGTGACACCGTCAATACATGAACTATGGCAGATCCAAGGCATATTGACTTGATCGCTTGAATCAAAAGTAGCCTAACCGTCCGAATTGGCACATCACGTAATCATTCAGTAATGAAAAAAGCCACGAATACAATCGGTAAGAGTGTAGTATCATTTTAATGTGATTTACATAAAAGAACAACGATCTTCTAGAATTTATCACCCATACAAAAAAATGTAATCAACCAGCTTTTAGTCACTCTACTACTCCGGCACGACACCGGTTATCTTGATATCATTCTTAGAGTCGTACAAGCTTCATTTAATCTCGAGCAAAATGAATTGGTCGACTCATCTGTACACAATCCAAAGTCGCTGCGTTCTGAGCCATGATGAGTTCTTTGTTCCGCTCGAAGCTAGGATGGCGTTTCCTCCAGAGCTGGATTGTGCCCGAAAACGCACTGCTTTGCTTGGACAAGATCTTTGGCGGTTTACCATTCTTCGACTGCCTTGCACAGAGTCTCGGCTGTTTTGTTACGCTAAATACTGGACCAAGCGACTGTATGTGTTTTATCGCCGACGGGGCTCGGTTGGATGTCCTTGCGAACATTCGTAGTAAAAGGCCAATTTTGATTGTAGGTGAAATCTGCCTTGATTTGCGATTCTACGACATTCGCATTATCTATGATTGGTCGATATAGACCGATAAACAGCAATTAGTATTTGCATCCCACGGTAGCTTCAGTGAAATACATACCTTCAGTGGTGGGTGTTAGTGTTACGAGAGAAATAGTCTTGTAAATGGATATAAGGAATCATCAAAAAAAGAAATGGAATGAAAAAAAAAAGGTCCAGATTTTTCGATCGCCTTTTGTAAAGACTGAAACCATCATGGGCTCGTGAAGAAGAACATGTTCACAAGCAGAAACATTCTTTCCGCTTACCCAAATTCATTGCTTTCGAAGCTGTTTATTCAGCTAACATCAACCAAAAAAACAAAAAAACAAAAAAAAAACAAATGCATACTAACCTCATTTAGAATAGATCGAACCAACCGTTGCAATAGGGCGAAAGCCTATTTTCAAAAGTCTCGACAATCATATTCGTATATGCAGTGGCTTGTTCGATACACGCAAACGTCAAGGATTGACCAGATCCAGGAACGAGGTATGCTTGGTATGTAACATCGTATTGTTCACTGAAATGGGGACAATGAAGCAGTATATCGTCAGGCATACCATTCAATTGGATGGATCGGTCTTCAGAATCAACTGTGATACGTAATAGAAGCAATCTTGAGTAAAAACTTTTTGTCCATGGTTGGACTCACGATGATATAATAATTTATGAAAAGCTGCGCTCTGATCATGATATTTTTGATGCCTTTGGAAACCCGAATGATCTTCTCCATCTTTGCGCTTGATATATTGGTCTTAATATCGTGGCGAGCTTGATTTTCTGGCAAGTGGTGAAGGGATTTCCCATTACGCTTTGAAGTTCCTGGTACTTTGGTCGGTTTATAAGAAAAAGAACGCGCGGATTCGAAACAATCAAAATCCATAAAAAGTCCGCACCGAATAAAGCACCCAGCCAATCAGAAGGGGTTCATAGTCACGTGATTTTTTGTGCCACCAAAAACAGATTGGTTTTCGGACCAAAAAAGCCCGGCTAGCTCAATCGGTAGAGCGTGAGACTCTTAATCTCAAGGTTGGGGGTTCGAGCCCCCCGTCGGGCTGTTTCTTTTGCTTTTTTTTGCTTTTACCTTTCGTTTGGCGGCCAATCATCATACCCTCCTTTTTTTATGATATTTGATCGCATGCTTTAAAAAAGAATTTGCGAAATATAAAAGGAATCTGTCAGTGGGACGAGTTAGCGCCGAGGTAATCGAGCCTAGACATCTAAGTCTAATGGATGCAAAGGGAAAAAAAATTAATCCTTCTTGATACTCTTTCAAAGCAAGACGTAAAGTTGAAGTATCAGATACAAATAATCATTAAAATATGGCACATCGATGGGGATAAAAAAGTGATTATTATGGGGGTTTTTGGTGTTTATGTTACAGGTTGGGAATAAAGATTAGATAAACCAATTAAAGTGGATTTTGTCCCAGATCAACTTTGAACGGAACTAGGGCGGAATAATTCCAGGGATACCGTATTGCTGGACACAAGCCATGGCGCCAACGATACAGACCATAAAAATGGAGTGAAGTATGGTGCGTCGAAGTACGCGACCTTCTTGGCCTTGCATGCCAATGGTGGATACGCCGGTTGTTAGATTCTGGGGTGAAATCATTTTGGAAGTAATGGCGCCGCTGGAGTTGGTGGCGGCCATGAGGACGGCAGATAAACCAATCTGATTTGCTGCAACCACTTGAAGATTACCAAACAGCGAGTTCGCCGACGTGTCGCTACCGGAAAGGAAGCAGGCAAACCATCCTAACCATGCAGACAAGAATGGGAATGCTTTACCAACCGAAGACAGTGTCAGTCCGATCGTATAGACAATGCCTAAAAATGGAGAGAATGAATTAAGCTGCGTTCTCTTTACCATCAGGTGCCATTCACATACCAGAATAGTTGTATAAATAGGCAAAAGCCATGATGAAAGAAACAGTCAGAATCGGGAAAAAGAGTTGCTTGCATGTGTCGAAGAAGGCTTGATATAATATACATGGCTTGTAGCCACATGCGAGAACCAGCGCAGCATAGACCACACCTCCTACTAAAATTGCGGTTCCCGTAGCTAACGGTTGGAAAGCCCAAATCGCGTCGTATTTCTTTCCGTAAAGCGTCAGATACACCTTGGAAAACCGCAAAACAGGTATTAGCCATGAGCTTTCATATACAGTTGATCCGGTTCTTCCGCTTACCTCTTGATGCAAATGCGGCCATTTGACATTGACTTGTCCTATTTCAGAGACCTTGGCAAAGGTCCATCTAAGAAAGCAAAGAGTGCAAAGGTAATAAATGAGTCATGGTGGATCGTGGGAAAGGATAATTAAAAATTGACCCACATGATAACAATGACAACGATGATCACCCATGGACTCCATGCCAACAGCGCTTCTTTTAACGTAGGCGGGTCCATATTAAGCGGCTGTTCCTTGTCGTCGTATTCATTAGGGTCCACTTTGGAGTCTTTACTGCCTTCGAAACTCGAGGGACTGCTGGGCGGCCGTTCTTCAGTTTCTTGCTGCACTTTTTCCTCATGGCGGATTTCGTGGGAATCATGGTGTTTTTCGATCTCCTGTTGTACTTTTTCTTCGTGTTGATGAGCATGTTGTAGATTTTGACCTTTCTCCACATCCTCAGCAGCAGATACAAAGTTGGCATGGAATTCCGGTCGATACTTTGGCTTCCAAAATCGCACAAAAACGACGATACTGACAAGGGATACAATACCAGCGATCAAATCAGGAAGTTCGGGACCAACCAAATTTGCAAAAATTGCCTAGGAATACACGCGTGTGAGATTTGGGCAGGTGTGCTCTCGTAACCGCGTTACCATATACTAAACTCACCTGGATAATTGCAAATGACAGACCTGCCACAAGAGCAGCTGGCCAACATTCAAGCAACCCCGCTCGCGGTCCTGTTTGGGCAAAAATATAGAAAAAAACCCAAGACGGAGCGTTCTGATTAGTTCAATGATTTACCATGACAATCCATATTTTACCCATCTTCGGGTATTTTGCCTCGTACCTGCATAAAACAGCAAAGCATACATGGGAAGGAACAGACTGAGTAACGGGAGTTGTCTTCCCATCATGGCTGAAAGCTTCATCACAGGCAGACCCGTAATGGAGGCGAGTGTGGTGACAGGAATACCCAAAGCACCGAAAGCGACGGGAGTTGTATCGAAAATCAATGTATAAGTTAACGCGTCTAACGGATCAAATCTGGGGTGACAGGTGATGCGCCATTTAGCGAACCAAAAAATAGTTACTAACAATTTCTTGTCTTACCCCAACGACACCATAAGCGAACTGAAGTTGAGAGATGCGTCATCAATATGGTTAATTTGAAAATCCATCACGGTGTAGATCCTAATAAGCTTATACTAATCGTACCTGCAAATCGCACCGGGAGTACCGAATCCAGCGACTCCTATAACATATCAAAATTAAAACATGGTAAATCACGACGCAGCGGCATGGTTACAGACCTTCGAGTAGAGCGCCAAAACTGTAACCGATAATTAAGAGAATGATGCGCTTATCCGGTGGTGTATAAGTCAACATCCATCGGCGAAAGAGATCAAAGATGCCGGATCGTACGGTGATGTTATAGATATACCTGCAGATAAAATGAGGAATTTCGTCAAGATGAGCCGGAGATGGTAGATATTAAATAATTCTCACATTGCGTTGACAACGATCCACATAATAGGCCAGTTGGCGAAAACCATGCCGTAACCGATGGATTCAAAGCACTGTTGAGCAGGCATATGCCATGCGAAAATAGCGATAAAGATACTGTGATGGTAAAAGGTCAAGAAACGGCGGGACAAGGAGATAATATCATTAGGCATACCATGTTACTAGACCAGCAAAGGAAGAATAGTGGGCGGGAACTTTGAAGACACCCAGTAGCACGAGGACCAGTAGTAAAGGAATCAGCCCAACAAAGAAAGACCCCACCAGACTACCGCCTATGGGTGTGAGCTCTTGTACGAAAAGACCCGCAACTTCTGATGCAGGAGGAGGGGGCGGAATATTTGGCATAAGAAAGCAAGTAGAGAACAAGCAAAAAAAGACAATTAAAAAAAGGGAAGATCAGTAAATATTGAGTGATGCATGCGTTATGCGCTTTTTCTTTTTCTTCTTTTCTTTTCCCCCTTATGCTTTAAAAATTAACCGGTTTCCTATGTGAAAAAACCACGATTAGGTTTTTAAGCCCATCCTCGTACAAACCAAAATCATATCTGGATGATGAACTTTAAATTTCGCTACCTTTAGGTGTTCCGTTCTCTTGATGGGAAAATTATAACCATCCGAATTTCTACTTTTGGTCACAAGCGATTCAAAAACTCAAAATTGCCTTTTTGGGTATTTTAAAGCGATTCCAAACAAAATGATCAACCTGGCCCCAGAAATGAAGTCATCCTCACATCGCGTACTCATCGCTGCGCGGCCACAACCATCCAACATCAACTGCATTCACGTTTGAGGCTCGTGGGTCTTTGTTTTTCTTACCTTTAGCGGTACTTGCGTCTTGGGGGATTAATCTTCGTGTCAATGCTGGGCAGCGAACTTGTTCCAAAGAGATCGCAGCATGGACAAAGGGCTTTCAATGATTAGGGAAAATAAATAGATGAAGCATTGTGAGCTTTAATTTTACTGTTACGTGACTTATCGTAGCTAGTATGTGCTTTATGGAATGAGATAAACTAAGGTGTCAAGATAGATCAATCCATTTTTTCTTTTCGAATGTATGTCCGTACTAGGTAAACAATGGAGTCAGAGTTTGCAAAGTAAAATCGTGTGAACGCAGAGATGAAATCAGCGGATAAACTTATTGCATGCTTCCACTGTAATTCAGCATTTGATAGATATCCATGATTATGCAGATCCTGTTGATCTTGAGCTCGTGCTGACTGGCCAACGGCGGGTATAATGATGATTCCTGGAAGGCGTTTTGGCAAGAAAGGAACCAAGCCGCGGCATCAATGCGATAAAAAGCAATCATCTCGATTATTCCTAAAGGGAAACAATGTTTACAATGTGATACTAACAAATAGTGAGCGAGGGTACTAAAGACGATAAAAAAGTCCGTATCAAAACCGGAAAAATCGGTATGACAAGCGAGCTGTCAGTTGATCAATTGTGGCACCTTTGTTTCATCGTTCTTCTCTTGTTTTGTGCACGATCCCTCGTCAACCAACTCGAGATCCAGAGGATCCTTTACATAACGGATCCACCGACTTGCCCATACCGCGTAGAAAAATACGTAGCAATAAGCAATGAGCGGAACGATAAACGAGATGTTGACATTTGTATGGTCTTTGATCACTGCCTGTATAGGCGGCAAAACCGCGCCACCCGATACACCCATGATTACTAAATCAAGAAAAAAGTTGTGTGAGTTACACAAACCAGCGGTTGATCCCCAGTTCCAACCATCACTCTACCAAAGGATGACCCCCGCTTATGGTTCCGTCCCAGATCCCTTGTTGCCAGAGCAAAAATGGTTGGGTACATGACGCTTTCAAAGAACAGAATAATTAGCAGGCAGTAGGTGGTTGCAGGTGTATGCATTGCGATAAGGAATATGTTGACAATCACCGCGCCGGCGGCGAACGCTGCCATTAACAGTTGCGGTCGAATTTTTCGCAAGAGTGCAGCTGCGATAAACCTGCCGACAGTGAAGCACACTTGCGCATAGGAGAGAAGTCGTGAGCTGAATGCGTCGGAAAAATGACCCACTTCTGCGCCATAAAAAATGAACAAGGAAGCCACCGCCACTTGGGCTCCAGTGTACATGAACTGCGCAAATACGCCCAGAAGCAGATGGGGTGAAAACAGGGATGCTCGGCGTACCGTTTCGCCGGTTTCTTCCGCTTCCGCCGCCATCAGTGCTTCCTCATCGACCTCTGGAATGGGAGCAAAGCAGAACAGAACAGCAATCACCGCCACTCCTGGAATGATTTCACAAGCATGTCAGCGGTTCTATTTTTTTTTCGCGTGAACAAGAAATAAAAACAAAGGCCAATTGTACGATTGGGTATTTTACCGGCGGCAACACCAACGTAGGTCCATTTCACTGATTCCAAATTTTGTATTTGGTTCTCGTCGCCGCCAAAAAAAGCATACGATGCAACCACAGGTGCGACGGCCGATGCAATACCATTGAAGCCTTGAGCAAAGTTCACACGGAAAGGAGCCCACTTTCTGGAGCCGATAATCGTGATGTAAGTGTTGGCACCTTTGCATAAGGGATTCGCAATTTTTTTTTCAGCTTTTTACGAGAAATGGTCCCGGTATGAAGTGCTTCTTACACGTTTCCAACGTTGCCAAGCCGCAAGCAATGACGAATAAGGAGGCGACAAAACCGCCATATTTCATGGAGGTGGCCGAAGGGTAAAAGCCGATGGCGCCAATTACGTATAACAAAAGTCCGAAAATAATCGTCTTCTTGTAACCAAATTTCTTGGACAACAAACCCGCTCTATCATGTGTTGTGGTCAGCTTCATAGTAAGAACAGCTTGACTGATGCTACTTACGGTACACTGAACACGAAGTATGCGCCAAAGTAAGCCACTTGCATAAAGGTGGTTTGAGTGGTTGCTGGAAATAAGAGGAAAATCAGAGCGGCGCCTGGTGATACGTGGGACATGGAAACAGGTGAGTATTAAGCTTACTGATTCCCAGAACATTCTGAAAATGTTTGTTGAGTGTATCCAGGAGACCGTAACTGAATCCCCACAAGAAGAAGAGGACGGTCACCAACGCTCCAGGAACGAAATAACTCTGTTGTTGAGTTGCGTCCTTCGACGATGCGGCATGTTTCCGCGTGATGCACTTCACAAAATCCTCCATGAAAAAAAGTTCTCACCAAAAATTAGTCATCTATTTATACATAATGCAAAAAAAAAGAAAAAACCAAAAAAAGTTCCCATTCTAAATTAGTTGTAAAGTTCTGTTTTCTTCTTACATTAGCTTTGTGACAGACCATGTCACAAGGGTGATCACTTCCTTATTGGAAGCAATGATGCAAATAGATCAACAAAGACTAAAAAACAGGGGACCGAACAAAAACAACCATATGGAAAGAATCGTTTGACATTACGGATTAGATTGATGGCTTCTATTAGGAAGCGTTGTAAACCAACAAAATGCAACCGGTGTTTGATGACCCGGTTTTGCAAACACATGCTGGGTTGTCACTCACATGTTCTCGCTGTGGCACTGTACGTACGTCAATGGCGCCTGCTTTTCGGATGACCGGTTCGCTTTAACACGATTTATCACATTCTGACATTGAAAGAATGGCTAAATATTGATGAACATGACCGTCCTTCCCCTGCAGTCGTTATCTATTTGTCGCCATTTTGGTCTCGAATAAAAACGTATTACTGATCGTACTGCTAGATGCACGCATTAATATTTTAACGTCTGAGATAAGCCTGCAGCAACACTTAGCTTGAAAGTTAATATTAAAGGTTTTATATTTTTATAATTACTGACGCACTGTTTGATTTGGTATGGAAACGGGAAGGTACACACTAGCAATCGTTTGATCCATGTGAAATACCTTTGTTTCGTGATAACAAATCTCGCAATAATTTGCGCCTACAGACGATCTCCCATATCAAGAGTCCTTTGAGCGGCAAACGCGGCGATGGGCAATATGCAAAAAAAGAACCCATATATCCAAACTTACTATTTTACACTTTATCAATGATTTTAAAGAAAGGGTTCGTCAACAATTCTGAGAACAAAAAAGAAAAAATGACAGTCCGTATGAGGTTTTAACATATCATTCTCTTTTTCTTCACTGTGTCCATAAATCAAGGCGCAACCTTAATTATCAAAGTTTGCCTCCTATTCTGAGTATACAGTAATAGAGGCAAGATTGACTGCTTGATGTGAATGTGAAGGATCCCTCATATCATGCAATAGCTTATTACGGTCTGTGCGCAGTTCTTCCAACGCGGAGTGGCAAAGAAGATGAGCGGAAGTTGGTAAACAGGTAACACAAACTACTATATAGGCGTCATAATCGCGTGGCATTCTTGATTTAGTAGGATAGGATTGCTTGCTTCTAGTCTATATTGATTCTTTATCACTCACCAAATAGTAAGAGGAATAGACAACAATGGGTTGGATGGGACCATGTCTATTTTTGTCTCTGAAATTTGTTGGTCAGCAAAACCTCGAGTTTCATTTTTTTTTTGGCTGCTGAGTCCTAATTAACAGTGCTGCTTATCTTGTCGCTCACATCTGTAAGTTGGTCTGATAAGAACACCGCCATGGTTTGGGCATCATGAGTATGAAGCTTCGATTCGCTGAAAGGGTCATTGATGATATCTCCATAGTTTTACGCATGCAATGCCGGTGTCCTTGAAAAGAACCAAAAAAATAAAGAGATTCAGGCGGGGATTTTTGATTTTCCTCACGGAACAAATGCGTGACTGCACCTCCTCAAAGTAGCGACGTCTTGCTTTTTCCTTTTTGCAGAGGATTCTTGGGGCCCACTCTGAGATAGCTTTTTTTTTTTTTTTTTTTGTGTGGCACTACTTATTCAGTCTTCCGTTGCTGGTGTTTGGTAGAGTCCCCTCAAAAGTCTTAAGGAGACAACTTATTCCTGGATATCCAAATCGTCCCGTTTCTTCTTTTTTCCCTCCTTCGTGCCCGACAAAAGAGCCCGTTTTTGCAGATTCTCTCGTCTCTTTGTTAAACCCTAACTGACAAACCTTGCCTCTGCTGGCTTCATCTGTCCGTGCGAATCGTTCCTCTAAAAGCCCTCTACGAGTTTCTACCCTCCATGTCGTCCTCCAATAAGAATTCGTCGAGTCTTCAACGATCCCTTTCAGGACATCTACAGAGACTGCATATTCGTCACCAAGATCCAAGTGCTCCACCGAGTCCTCAGGATTTCTCCGAAAAGTCGCAAGGTAATACCTTATTTGTTCTCGAATTCATCTCTCTCCTTCCTTTGTGACTCATGTTATTGCTTCTTCTTTTTCTTGCAACTTAGGTTTCTCTCGGAAACATTCGTTCAGTCTGTCACAAAAACCCTCGCTTTCACGCTCAGCAACCGCTGAAAGCAGTGGCACGGACACAGCATCGAGTCCCATCTCACTACCCGGCCACTCGAAAACCATATCTGGTTCACCTGGTTCCTTTTTATCTCGCAAGCTGTCATCTCAACGTGAGCGATCCAATTCCTTTGGCAAAGCACGTCCTTCCTCTCCACCAGTCTCCACCAGTTCTCCTCTTCTTCACCGATCTGAATCTTCCTCACACGCACAGCACCATCCGCAACCCATCATTCAAACAACTCATTCTTCGCAGCCAAACAGAATTAGCTCCAAAAGTGATGACTCTGGTAGTGGCTCGAGTACACCGCAGGGGTCTCCTTCCAAGGACGCTACTTCCTCCAATGGATCCTTTGGAAAAGCTAGAGATCGAACCACCTTCAAAGGTGTCTTTGATAAAGTCAAAGGAAGTTTTTCAGGTAAGAGCCAAAAAGAACCTTTATGAAGGAAGCACCAATTGACTTTTTTCTCTTTTTTGCCCATTTTTCCTTGAAATTATTATCTATCAATAGATCTGTTGAACAAGGATAATACGTCAAAACAAGTAGAGAAGGAAATGGAGATTTCCGGCCCTTACAACGCCAAACATGTCACGCATGTCGGGTTTGACGCTACCACAGGAGAGTTTACAGGTTTGCCTTATGAATGGCAGGTGTTATTGCAACACAGTGGCATTTCCAAGCGAGAACAGTATCAGAATCCTCAAGTAAGGAAAAAAGCTCATGCGAATCTTAGCTGCAGCAAAAGAAAAAAAAAAGGTTACCGTTCGACTAATGTTAAAAACATCTGCATTTTTTTTTCTTCCTTTTCTTAGGCGGTTTTGGATGCTATTGGCTTCTATCAAGAAACACGCGATCACGATGAATCGGTCTATCATAAAATGGAAAAAGCGCACGCGCAACGTGAGCATGCGTCACCGAAATTGCAAATTTCTACTGGACACATTGATCACGACCATTTGGCACCCACGCCATCGCCATCTCAGATCGAACGACCTTTCGATTCTCTTTTATCACGCGAATCTCCAAAGCCAACCCCTGATCTTGCACGCTATGACAACAACAATTACGTGGTAAAATTAAGAACGAATGAAGGATCAGAATGAAGGAATTGCGGATTCTTAAATTCATTGTCATCTATAGAAACCGCCCACCAAGAAAGTGTCTCATGATAAACGTAAGACAAGCTACAGTCATCAAAATTTATCGAGTATTGGACCAAAATTCATTAGCTAACACGGTCTCTCTTGTGCTCACAGTAGATTATCAGCATTATCATCCTCATAACCACCATCACTATCATCAGCCACAATCTCCCACCAATACACACGATCGATTCTATGCCGAAATGGGGATTGAGCCTCCCCGAGTTTCTCCGTCGCACAAAGGTTCATCTCACCCCGCACGAGACTATGACATTAAAAGAAAACTCAGCACCAAACAACGCGAAAAGAAGGAAGAGAAGCCCAAGGTCCATGAGACGTTGACGGCTTCACCGGGCACGGTAAAGCAACGTGTACCAAAGGAGAGAAAGAATGCGATGAAGGATGCCGAAGTGATCGCCAAATTGCAAGCCATCTGTACTGAGACGGATCCTGGCTTAGTGTATCGAAATATGACCAAGATTGGACAAGGGTAAATTTGGGCCAAAAAAAAAAAAAGCTTGCTCTGCCAAGGCTTTGTGCATCCCCACTGATGATAATGCTTGTAAATTCGTTAGTGCTTCAGGTGGTGTATATACAGCGTATGCAGCCGGAAGCGATTTACCGGTAGCGATCAAGCAGATGAATCTCGAACAGCAACCAAAGAAAGAGCTTATCATCAATGAAATCTTGGTGATGAAAGAATCGCAACACAAGAACATTGTCAATTTCATCGATTCATATTTGTGGCGTGGCGATTTGTGGGTGATCATGGAATACATGGAAGGTGGAAGCTTGACGGACGTTGTGACCAACAATATGATGATGGAAGGACAAATTGCCGCCGTGTGTCGTGAAGTGCTTGAAGGTTTATTGCATCTTCACTCCAAAGGTGTCATTCATCGTGATATCAAAAGTGATAACATTCTGTTGAGTCTGCACGGTGACATCAAACTCAGTAAGTTTTCTAGTTAATTCCAATTTCCTTTATGTATTTTTTTTCCCCCATGGGCTCACCTCGAGCAACTTTTGATAGCTGATTTCGGATTTTGCGCACAACTGAATGACATGCAAAGCAAACGTACCACGATGGTTGGCACGCCTTATTGGGTAAGTGGTAGTGCTGCGTTAGACGGAGGCTGGGATGTCGTGGCTGACCCTCGTATTAGATGGCACCGGAAGTGGTAACACGTAAAGAATATGGACCGAAAGTCGATATATGGTCGCTCGGTATCATGGCCATTGAAATGGTGGAAGGAGAGCCCCCGTATTTGAATGAGAATCCTCTGAGGGCGCTTTATCTGATTGCTACCAATGGTACGCCAAAATTGCAGAATCCAGAAGCACTGAGTCCCGTGTTCCGAGATTTCCTTGCTAGATGTCTTGCCGTAGAGGTCGACCGACGACCTTCAGCTGCAGAGATGTTGAAACACCCATTTTTGAGGTGCGCCGATCCATTACCGTCCCTTGCCCCTCTCATCCAAGCAGCTAGAGATGCAGCAAGACGCGAGGGCCAGTGATATTCCAAAGCTGCATCATTATTGTCTTTTTATGTAAATACAGGATTTTTTCAAACACACTATATAATATGATGTGTGAGTTTTTTTCTGTGATTCATCTGGAATGGATGGGCCTGATGCTGTTTCGTCCGATAACTCTTATGAGAAAAATCGGTTAACTTATTTTTTTTTTTTTTTTTGCGCATTTACTCTTTATTGTAGGATCAAGACGACGCGTCTGTTGAAATAATACTAATGGAGCTTCGTTTCTTTCTTTTTGGCCATTATTAAATACAAAGTCTAGAGCTAATTTCAGGCAACAAGGAAAAAAAGGAAATTCTGCGCTTGGAATCCCGAAAAATGCTTACTTTTCGTCCTTGAAAAATTGTCTCTTTCAGACCCCAACCTCTCTTTTCTCTCTCGCTATGCCGCTCACTGCATCCGACACATCGCTAACCACAACGGATGATAAGCTTCGATCACGGCGCAACGTACACCACTCGAACAACCATTACGACACTTGCAGCATTTGCTATGAACGGCCTGGCTTTCCGCTCGTGCCACCCCTCAATTTTGCCATGATTGCACCAGGTGTCTATCGATCAGGGCATCCCAACAAACAGAATTTCTCCTTTTTACGCAAATTGGGACTGAAAACTATCATGTAAGAATAGAAGCCACGGAACAGTATACAAACGTATGTCTAATGAGTGTTACCTGGTGCTCTGCATAGGTATTTTGCCACGGAAGATTATCCGCCTGAAATGGTACACTTCATCGAACGTGAGGGAATCGAGGTTTTTCACTATCGAATGGAAGGCAACAAAGAACCGTTTATTGAAATGAATCCGGACGATATCTCACATGCCCTAGTAAAACTGCTCGACGAACGCAGTCATCCTGGTAGCGTTTTTACAAAAGGGTCCTTTGTGCAAAAGGCATTCCTGCTAACGGTTCCGTCTTAGTTTTGATCCATTGTTTGAAGGGCAAGGTAACATATTGCCCTGAATTGGGTTCATTGTGTAGATAGTTAACCAAGTCAATAGCACCGTATTGGTTGCCTGGTAGGTTGCCTACGCAAAATTCAGCGATGGTCAATGACATCCATCTTTGATGAATATCGCAAATTTGCTGGCACAAAAGTTTTGGCCGATCAAGAGGTAAGATTTTATCATAATGACATGATAGCAATCAAACAACTGATCAAGGTTAATGGATATTTTTAGTTTATTGAAATCTTTGACCATCAAAAAGTTCCTTACGATCCAAAATACCAACCTGCTTGGTTATAAACATGTCCTTATTCCCCATCCAATTCTGATCGCGGAACATGTTACATTGACCACCGTATCCTCCAACCGACGTCCTTATTACGACCATTTCTTTCCAATCATCGCACATCATTTTACCGTTGGTATACTGCTTTTATATCATTGCTCAATAGAATAATAAAGATCAGCATTTCCTTGTACTCCCATACCGCCCCTTCTTCCGTAAGAACAAGTTTGGAAATTCAAGGAATCACAGTCACGAATTTCATTCGTTGGCACGTTTCCCGTTGCAACGAAAGTCTCAAACAACCCTCTCATCGATCCAAAGCAACCATGACTGCGGCTGTATCATGGCAGAAAGAGATGAGCTCTTTCTTCCAAGGCATAGGATTGATAGAGACCAGTAAATGCTTCACCACCGAACTTTTGGTCTTGTCACGGCACGAGCTGGCACGATTACCGACGGAGCTGGAGAAACTTGTAGACAAACTGCTGCAATCACTGGAGCAGCATGTAGAGGCCAAAGAGACATCACTAGATGCCCCGGAAGGTACCAATGTGCCTGGCTTATTATACAAAAAGCGCAAACGTTCGGAAACCGAAACTGAAGAGAAAGTATTGGAAGAGGATGCCAAAGACCGTGTGCATCAGTTCGACAGCGAACAGGTACAGATCCGTGGCACAAATGCCGATGTGAATCAGCGGATACAAACGTACATTCAAGCGAAACAGAACGAGGTGGACGCGAGTAATCGTACCGAGTTTCTGAATCGACACGATCCCAGTGGAGAAGACGTGACGTGCGCGAGAACCGATGCACGTGAAATCAATCGAAATATACAGATGAAGTTTGATATTGCCAACAACGAAGACGAGCCACTCGCACGATCGCTTCTGTCATCGAACGAACACGTTCGTTATGGTAAATCGGATAAGGCACCCGAAGAAGGCACAGAAGAACGATTGCGGAATTTGCAGGAACACTTGAATATCAAATTTGAGCGTGGTGCCACACCGCCTTTCTCTGTCTTTGAACGCATTAAAATCCTGGAAGATATTCTCGTCGAAATCGAACGCCAATATCCTACGTGGGCTGCAGTTCACTTTAATCAACCTCATCGTAAATTTCCTCCTCCTCCACCGCTCACCCTTATCACTCGTACCACGTCATCCACCTCCGATTCCATATCAACATCAGCAGAGCCCAAACCATCCGCCATCATCGATAACCCCAGCTACACTGCCACGCAAATGATGAGTCCAGCCACCACATCTCAACCGCGCACGCGTATCAATACAACCGGACGCGCCAATTCATCTCTAACGCGAGCGGTTATTGAACAACTGAATCGACAGCAACAAGTATCCCTTAGACAATCATCTGAATAAAAAAGGTCCCATTCAATTCCATCCACATAAAAACTCAATTTCCACAGCCTCGTTTCCACACAAATATCTAATAAACAACAAGAAATACAAGGTTACGTTTGCTTGCGATTGTTTTTTTTTTTGTGGTGAATTTTGTTTCGTTTGGCTCGTTGCGATCTGTTTATTTAAGAGGAACGAATCGGGAAGAGTGGGTGGCACCAATACCGGGACGACCGTGACGGACGGGCTTGTAGGTGATGGAGAATTCACCGAGGTAGAAACCGACCATTTCGGGTCTGATTTCAACCTGGTTGAAGGTCTTACCGTTGTAGATACCGACAACGGAACCGATCATTTCGGGAACGATGATCATGTCACGGAGGTGAGTCTTGACAACGGCGGGCTTCTCGTCAGCAGCAGCTTCCTTCTTGGCCTGACGAAGCTTCTTAATAAGACCCATGGGCTTGCGCTTCAAACCGCGCTGGAATCTTCTGCGAGCACGGCAGTGAACGAGCTCCATGAACTATTTTGCAAAGCGCCATTTAGCCAAAATCCCCCATTCAAAAGAAAATCTTCAATTGCAACTCTTAGTCCTACCTGTTCAGAGGACAAGTCCAAAAGTTGTTCGAGGTCAACACCGCGGTAGCTGAACTTACGGAAAGTTCTCTTTCTAGCTTGCTGGTCAGCCTATGGATTCCATGAAAAGAAAAAGAAAATTCGAGCAATGAGCTTAATGGTTCGTCAAGGTCGTTTTTTTGTGTCAAAAATTTCGCGCTAATTCTCAACAAAATTGCACAGTAGAGACTTGATGTATCTTTTTTGTGCAGGTAAAGAATGAACTAGACAATAATAATGGATGGATGGATGCAACACATACCATGATGGGTCAAAAGAAGGGAGGAAACGGATGGCAGTGCGATTCTTGGAATCCCCTTCCTCGGACAATGGTTTCGCACCCGGTTTCCAAAGACCAATAGGACTGCTTCTTACCTAATCACGTGACCTGTTCCATCCGTATCCGCATCACAAAACAGTGCGATGGTTAGTTGCACTTTTTTGGCATTCAGAAGAGCCTACAACACATCGCATACAACGTTGCAACTTTCATAATATAGGTGTAATTCCAATCACCAATACTCCTCGTTCCTCAGTTTTACATCGATTTAAATCGGACAGTTCAGAGCCCGCCAGCTGATTGTTATTTAAATTCGTCAGAGCGATAGTTGTTGTAAAGGAACCTTTTTAGTTCCAGGTTCTCGTTATCAGCGTTATGTAAAAGTATTGCAAAATAATAGCAAGGCATGGTGTCAATACGAGGCGAATAAACAAATACACCAATGATATTAACCTTTTTGGGTGAGCATGCGAAAAAAAATGCGCTGCAAAAACAATAGGTGCATAAAAGTTTACAGGAAGCAACAGCAAAGCTTCAATTCTTCACATAACTCCTCAGAGACTTTCTTATTTCAACTCAATCGGCAAAGATGCTGCTTATAAGACCTGAAACAAATCAAATTTAAAAGCCATCTTCACGAGGCATCTCGCCAACGTGGCGAATCCTCGTTGGGACGAGTATTGTATTCTTTTATTTATTGATATCTTTGCGTGTAAGTCACAAATCTTATTCTGTTGTATGCTTTTATGTGAACATGCTATTTTGGACATGTTAGAATCTGCAACGACTATTTAAAAACGGGCTTCGTATAGAATCAAGAAGTTTTATCTTTAATTGTGCGATATCCCCTACCGTTTTCTTCGATATAGGAATAAGGACCAATTGCAATATGCAAGCAGTAATGCACGTGTTGTATGCTCAAATGCTGTTAAATGCAAAGCATTGTGAAGCTGTTTATTGATGAAACGCCCGGGTATCATATATTTATTGGCATTAGGTAGTGCGATAACACGCTTCAACAAGTCAATTTTTTATGCTTTTTATTAGACAAACTATAGTAGACAAAAGGAAGTTCTTCCGGCGAGACAAGTTACTCCTTGATCAACTTCTTCTCATCGATTGCCGTTGGTCGCCGGGTGAAAATGCTATAAATGCGTTCTGTACCCTTTTTGGTGAAGAGGAACCCACTACCGTATTCATATGTTCTGAAAGGGATCGCTTTTCATTGGATATATCGATAATCATATATTACCAACAGGATATACAACATGGTTTAACATAAAAGTAATTATGTAAAGTCGCCGCTTCATGATAGAGCTTGATCTCTTCAAATTGCATGACCAGTATGTTGTCAACTTAATTGAAAAAGGTGGCGTACGTTTCTAATTGACGTCGAATCTCGATAGGTGAGCATGTGTGGTACACAAAGTTTATTGCACCAGGGTGAGCATGTAAGGTTTTCTAAGCTGATAAGACGTCTGGCCTTTGGGGCCATCCATGATGATATATTTCTTTTAAAGCTACTGGCAAGAAGAGTTCCTACGTCAATCATATGCTGCCATGTTGTGTAAGTGGCGTTGAGAGGCATATGTTTATCTTTGTCAATAATTGGTATCAGTATATTGAAGCTCGCTCAAACGGATCAAAATCGAAGTTGCATCCCTCAACAACTAGAAAAATTCGGATTACTACATATAAGGTTCAACCAGCTGTTTTCAAGAAAATTCTCGTACACCGCATATACTTGTATTTATAGTACGATTATATGGGTAAACCGTTCTTAGCTTGACGCGCCACCCTTACCCCTGAAACCAAGAATTGATATATCTGAGACGAAGACTGAGTGAAGAGAAAGAGAGAATAACAGGGAAAATTACTCCGTGATGTTGACTCCTTGAGTTTTTCATCCCCTAAACCAAAAGACATCTCCGTTATCGCATACTGCGTTCATATCATAAATAGAGACAGACGCCTCTTTTTCTACAATGCTCTTCCATTCCTACTGTCCCAATAATGATACCCTTTATTACTACCTCACTATGCTGGATTGTTCTGTTGTTTCCACTTATGCATGCTAGGCAGGATTGTCCAGCCCTAGCCCCACGGCGTGATCCACCCAAAAGCGTCCGTGATTTACGAACAGATGATATTGAAGTCATTGCTGCTATTGGTGACAGGTAACGATATCTATACAGATAATGTCTAACGACAGCTAGAATTAACCATTGGTTCAATTCAACAAAACCACTTTTTTTTTTTTCCAGTATCACCTCCGGATTCGCTTCTGTTAATGTTGATACACCGTATTTTAGCCCCGATCAACTGAGAGAATTTCGCGGCCTTAGTTGGCTCATGGGTGGAGTAACTATCTTTTCATCATGATGGCATTTTGTTTCTTTTTATTTAAAGCTTGCAATGGCATCAATAGGAATCAAACGCAGTTTCCATTGTCAATTTTCTGAGACCATACTCACCCAACATTGTCGGTGCGTCCATGGGCGTGAAAGAATCGAGCATTTTCATCAGTAAATATCAGAACTGCTTTTTTTATTTTTTCCTTTGCATCCACAATTCAGGATTTGTTATTAACGCCTATGTTTAGATTCAAACGGCACCGTTGGGACGACAGGCTTTAAACACAAGTAAGTGATCGAAAAGAGCCGTTCACAATGATAACCAGGATTCGTCACTAACAGTTTTTGATCCAGCCCCGAAACAGATAATCTTAACGCGGCTTTGCCTCTGGCTACGAGCCGTGATTTTATGAACCAGGTCGATTACTTGGTCGAGCGAATTGGCAAGGGTACCGCACTTGGTGATAAATGGAAGCTGATCAACGTCTTTATGGGCTTTAATGATCTTGCCCTGTCATGCATGCCTGGCTGGGACTCCCAAGGCTATGAAGCAAATGTCAAAGCTGGACTACAAAAATTGCAACAAAATGTAGATAAAGCCTTTGTAAATCTCAGTGAGTTGAAGTAAAAAGTCATTCTGCATTGTTTTCCATCTAACTCCTTTATGCTGTCTGTTCTCTTAGTTGGGCTTTTCCACTTTGAAGAATTCGTTTACATCACAGATAAGGAGCCGGGATATCGTAAACATCTCCAGAATAGTACGATCGATACACGCGATTACGAGTGCGGATGCTGCAAGAAACCTGGTGGGATTGAGACGATTAAACGCCAAGTGGATCTCTACAACGCTGCACTACAAAGGATTGCCAACCGATACAACCCTCGAGTTCGACCGTTGCTTACAACGAAACTGGACGCCGCATTAGGCTATAATAATCTGGCCTCTGACACATTCATCGTTCGGTTCCAGCCGTTCGATATCAATCCTAATAGCGTACCGCCAGATGCACTCAGTAACATTGACGGATACCATCCTAATCTCAAAGGTCTTGCTTTTATGACAAAGGTAAAAAATGGAACGATATCCACTGCCGCTGATGACTCTTTTTCTAACGGGTTGATAATATACAGTTGTTATGGGAAGACATGTTTCAGCCATTGGTTCGAAAGCAAAGAGTGGCGAATTTCCGCGAGGATTATCCTGTATATTGCCCCACAAATGATGACCGGCTCAATACCCGCTAATTTCTTTTTTTACATATTTCGAATGCTGTTTTCTCCCATTTATCATTGTTACAAAAATTGTTAAAATCACTGTCACAACTAACAACTATGTACATCAATTTATGTTTTCTACCAAATGAAATTCGAGAACATATATTTAAGCATCTTTGAAAGGTGATGATGAACCGAGATACGTTTTGATGACGCCCGGGGGTGTGTTGATCAGCTTGCCTCGAATGGTTTCTCGACCGAGTTCTTTATGCGCTGCCCATCGGTGACAACCTCCAAAAGCGAAATAGTAGTCATCCCCTTTGTATTTTACATGATGAACGTCGATCGGTGTCAAGTCTTGGTTATGGTTTTCGTCCTGCAGCGCACGCTTCATTTCTTCCACTTTGTCACGATCCAACTGCGAAGGTATAGGTCGGTTGATGCATGACATAGGGATATCATAAACTTCGCTGACAGCGTTTCCGTGGATTGAGAAATTATCGACTTCTGTAGGTGTATCGCTCATTATGTTATTTATTCAGTTGGGGGCTTGCGGATGGGAAAAGGACGGTTGGGGGAGAGGTTGATACTTTATATATCGTGGATTGAACGGCGCCTGCCTTTTTAAGATATGACGTTTTCGCTTAATAAGCGCGCTGTTATTGGATAAAAATGAAGGTTCCAAAAGCCCGACCACTAATAGCGATATTTTTAGGATTTTTTCTTATCAGATCAGGATTGTCAATGTCCCAAAGCCGATATCTTAAATGGAAATGGCCACTTCGGAAAAGTTCACAGCATAAATGACGGCTCATCGCTGTAGAATTTCGTAACGGAACTGTCAAGAAATAACTGAGTTGAGCAATGCAGATGGTGGCTGCATATACGCCAGATCCCGAAATTGAAATACAGAAAGACTTTTGCAAGGATGTAGAAAGACACACCGCAATGTTACGGATTTTGTAAACTGGCTGGTGTTCCAGTAAAATGTTGATCACAAATATGCGCATTCGCCAAACAGCACAACATTCAATGGTAGGCCGCCTGCCAAGTTAGATAGTTTTCCAACGCCGATGTCATTATGAAGTCATGTTCCATCAGACAAGGGTATAAAAGGTTGCCTGAGCTGCATATTCAGAAAAAAATTAATATAATTTTTCCTTGCTTATCATTATCTTTTTATTTCGCACAGTATGGTATTTAAAAGTAAGTGGCCAACATGAAGTGATTGGTTTGAGCAGGCACTCATATACAATACCAACAGTCGCCACACACGGAGGTCGTTACCTCTGCATGAACGACAACCACGAGCTCAAGGAAGATACCAACTATGACATGTCAGAGTCCGCCAATGGATTGGCTTCATTCGGTTCATTGTTCAACGTCACCCAGGACGACCATTTAACAGGGGAAGATGGAAAGACGCATGTTACGTTTGATAAGAAGGAGTTACTTGTAAAGCAGGTGGCGCCAAATGAGGTAGGATGACAACGGGGATGGGAAGTCAAATTAAAAAAGTTTCAAGGTAGACTGATCGGACCGTCTTAGTACGCTATCCAAACCTCGGATGGCAGTTATTTATTCGCAGGCTTGGACAAATTGAAGTTATCACAGGAATCCGGTGCTATGGCGATGTTCACCTTGAAGCATCATTAAAAATAATCATGATCCATTACGAATACAGAATTTCGGTTCTCAAAGCTAGCTCTTTAATATTTTTTGCAATCCATATAAATATATGGGTGGTTCCTAAAGGAGTACAATACAATTGCCCCATATTATATTGTAGTGCCGGAACGATAGAGATATGGAAAGTGCTGTCGTTAAAAGTCGTTGGGCAAGCATTTCTGGCTGATTTTAATATCCGATTAACGCTGTTGTAATGCAAACCATGACATAGGATCGCCATTAAACATTTTGAAGATATGGTAAAAATAAATATATAATATCCCGATATTGTCAAATATGATCCTTCTCTTTTTTTGTTTCTCTGTTTTCTTCTTTTACTGCGAAAATGCATTCTTCATACCTTTACGCTGTTTGCATGCTGTCCCTGGTTTCTCTTGGTAAATGATTGGGACTTGTACAGGATAAAACGATGCAATAGAAAGCTTACCTGAATTCCATGGTGATATTTTTTCACAGCCTGTGCACAGAGAGTCAGTGAAGAGGATGTGACTGTGACAGTGTGGCAAACCAAGACGAACCTTGTTCGAGCTGTGGAAGAACCCGGCCCAATGCGTATGTCAAGAAGCCAACGTGGCAATAGAAACCTCGCAGCCGCTCGTGAAGAAGCTGAAGAAAATGAGGATGACGCGCCCAAGCAAAATCCCTCTGCTCAAAACAGCCGTGAAAAGGAGGTCGAAACCTCCGAAGAAGAAGCCGAAGACGATGATGAGAACAAGAAGCCGGTGGCTCAAAAGAACGAGAGCACCGAAACCAAACCTGACGATGCAAAGCCTTCGGCCAGCACTGCTTCACCCGAGGAGAAGGATGCTGAAGAAGCGGATGAAGTGGCGGCCGCTGACAATGGTTCCAGCTCGTCGTCTTCGTCGGCTGAACCTTCGTCTACTTCTAGCGCTTCCGCATCGGCTTCCTCTGCTTCGGCTACCAGTGCCTCAAGTGCTGCTCCCTCTTCTGCTTCGGCTACCGGAGCCGCTGCTGCCAGCAAGCCCGCTACGATGCCTCCCTCGGCCGGTGCTTCCAACACCGTAAAGGTCGCTTCATCCGTGTCGCGCAAACCCACTGCACGTGCCACTACTTCCCGTGGAACTTCGGGTGCCTCCATGACCCAAATCAGTGTAGCTGTTTCTATGGTAGCCATGGTCTGCGCTGGAGCCTTCCTTTTCTAGATATATACTGACCTCTTTTGCTCCTTTCATGCCTTTATATGATCCAACATTTATGTTATAGAGATAACTTTTATTACCATGCTAAAAAATAAAAAAAATTGAAAACCGAATCTAAAACACGTATTATTGAATGATATAATTTTTTGCAAACAAGTGGCGAGAGAACGAAAGGGCAAGTAATGAGTGGTAAATGCAACAAGATGGAAAAATGGCGTGAATGTGATTGAAAATTCTATGAACGTAAAAAAGAAAAACAAAAAAAAAATTCCGCAAATGAAAGCGGGAAATATGCGTTTTTTACATAGATTTGGTTGCGCGCCAGTCTTTTAAACATTCAAAAACGGTCATACTGATGGCAGTAGTGGGAATGCCCCATGCAATACGGGCCAATAGTCCACGAGCCAAGGAACGCCAGCGACCTTCGTGTTTCCACATGTGAAGGGCGATAGCCAAAGGGCCTTGACGATAAGCCGTGCCCTGTTCAGCGGCTGATATCTGCCATCGTGTTTTGACGATATCTAAGGGGGTGGATAAAGTGATGGAGACGACACTTGCGACGGTGCTACACCACAAATAGGTACCAAAGGGTAGTTGCTGTGCGACGGATTCGGTTCGTCCTCCCGCCCATCGTTTCAACTCTTCATAAGTGGCAAAATAGGTCATTGTATGCGGGACAAAAACAGCCAGTCCCATCCAATACCCTTTGAAGAAACCTGGAATCCCTTCTGTTTGAAGTATATGCCGTGCTAAACGACCTGCCATGCGCGACTGGACCGTTGGATGGCGATCGGTTTGAAGGCGGTTTTTCATCACTTCCATAGGCGTAAACAGTATCCCTGCCGTGACTTCGGCGGCACAGCCCGATATTAAATGGTTCCCGATAGCATCACGTTTGAGCCAGCGAGCATGGATATCGAGCCAATTTTTCGTCAACTCGTAACATGAGAGATATACCGATAAAGCAGGGACACTGAACAGGAGCGTCACCGGTAAACCTCGGTAGAGAGATAAAAAGGCAGACGTCCGGGAAGTGGAAACCATGTCTGGAAATACCGCTTGACGGAACCATTGGTATCGGGAGTGCTGTGGCTGCCATGGCACATTGGCCACCTGTAGCCGAGTTTTGATCGTATCAACTGCGTGACATGTGAAACGGCATTGCTCATAACAGCAGTAGAACAAAAGATTTAAAAAAGCTTACTTGGATGAGTACATATACGAGCAGTGACAGCTGCTACGCTGGAGGCCAATAAATAATAGCCATCCACGTCTCCCATGAAATCGAGTGCTGCGGAACCTTGAACCGTAATAGAAAAACGTTTTCCGTCGTAGGGTTCGGTTTTCGAAGGCAGTGAGGGTGACTGCCCACCCGATTTTCCAGACTCGTCGACTTGTCTTTTTTTCACACTGCGTTTTTTTTCGTCACTGAATTTTTTTTTTCTTTCCTCTATCATTCAGTGTCTCTCCTTTGTAACATGCCGAAAATCAGAACACAACGAACCAAGCGACCGCCGGCAGGCTTTGACGATATTGAGCCGACGTTGGAAGAATTTGCAAAGAAAATGAAAGAAGGTAATGAATGACAAACAGCCCATGAATGCAAAGCGAAGATCTAACCCGATGCTACTTGTAGTGGAGAATGAACCTCACGAAGGAAAACGTATTGTGGAAAGCACATGGCCCGTCTTCCGTATTCATCATCAACGCACACGTTATATCTACGATCTGTACTATAAACGAAAAGCCATCTCGCGAGAGTTATATGATTACTTACTAAAGAACAAATACGCAGATGCTAATCTCATCGCCAAGTGGAAAAAGGTAAAAATGGGAATCAAGAGGATCAGCAGTGTGTTGTATGCTCACTTTTGATGTTCATATAATATAGCCTGGATTCGAAAAATTATGTTGTCTTCGTTGCATTCAACCTCGCGATACCAACTTTGGCACCACCTGTATCTGTCGTGTTCCGAAGGAAAAGCTGGAAGAAGGCAAAACGGTCGAATGCGTTCATTGTGGATGCAGAGGATGTGCAAGTGGAGACTAGATATTACACGCATTACATATATTACACACATATAGGATACAATTCTTTTCCAGGAAAAAAATATAAAAAAAAGGCTGAAAAATAAAAACCAACAAAGAATCAGTTGAGAAAGGGGAAGTATGTGGAAGAGAAAGAAGATTTGCATGACAAGGATGAAAAAAAAAGTCGGATGTGAATAATGTGAGCTTTAGGTGGGATTGTAAATGGCAGTGAAAGACAGCCAAAAAACAAGGGTAGACCCAAAGTCATCGTCATTCTCCAGCATTCGCTCTTCGGTTTGCATGACAATATCTGTGAACTGCTCTTTTTCCAGCATTCGACGAAAATCATCAATACCAGTATACTGTTTGGTTGAACCCCGGTTCGCTCGCCAAATCGCCATACTTTGATTGGAAGCCACATGGGCACCAGCAAACAGACCGCCAGGACGCAACAGGGCTTTGACCCGGATAATGAACTGTTGAACCGTGTCCAATGAATCGAAAAGGTGGAGCACGCTTCCAGATATAACAGCGATCGCCTGGTGAACGAATCGATTCAGCCCTTGCCTCGATACAGCTGGCGATGCCGTTGTCTGGCAACTCAGGAACCTGTCGTCAAAGAGGTCCCCCACTTCAAACTGGGCAGGAAATCGTCCACGATCTTTGCATAAAGCGTAACCGTAATCGATGTAATACTGCGATATATCGGTGCCCACCAGGTATTTACCAGGATAACCGTCCAATTGTAATTGTCGCAAATCGATTCCTAGAATCAAAGGTATTTTAAAATTAGTTTCTGGTGAGGTTGGACATGATTGCTTGCAAAGGGAAATTTTTCTTTGTTTGGGCATTTTATGCAATAAATTTTTTTTCCTTACCTGCGCAGCAGCCAATATCAATCAACCAAGGGTCCTTTGTGTTTCGACCAATCTCCAGCAATTGGTCGTAAAAGAAACGACGACACATCCGCGAATAAGCAAATTTATACCGTTCTATACATTTGTACGGAGGGCCGTGCTACGTCATTGTCAGTGTTTAAGTTGGCACCAGTTTTTTCACATCACCCATGTTACCTGTAGCAACTGTTGTTGAATGGTTTCCAAGTGATCCTTCAACTCTTGAGGATCGCTGATGCCAACGTAATCTTTGTAAAACTCTCTTGTTGACTGATCGGGTATCCATGTCTCCATGACAAGCTCAGTTTCAATAACTTGCGGGAAAGAGCCGAGTGAAACCGGTATGGAGCCATTACAGGTTGTATGTCCCGTGACTGTGGCAGGCGTGCAAATGAAAAAAAAAAAATTCCTAGTTTCTTTCGGTTCCATCGGGTATCGTGTGAATACAGTGGCCCTTCTTTCTCTTTTTCCATTTTGTTTATTATGCAAATATTTCATTACGGTAACTACCCTTGAGATCGTCCTGTTTGATAAACATCATGAGTTCAGACACAAAACACAAAGAGGATTCTCTGTTTTGAAAACCTATGCTGCGTGAAACGGTGGGTCGAAGCAAAGGAGAACGAAAGAGAGCCGTCGGGCAGGATCATGCTAGACTCGAAACCAGCGCAGGGATTGAATGCATAAGACCAATACAACAACAAACAGACCATCAAACGACTCCGTAGCCTGCCTCATGCGACATACGCGAGCACTGACATGCTCCGACGGTCACCCTGTAAACAATTTCCTTGCTTTCCGGATCGTTTATGCACACTGACGCTCATTGCAAAACCTTGTCTCTGGTTTCAGAACCGATACAGTAGCCATCGCAACAGTTGTTTGACTATGATTGAATCCCCATGAAGTGAGTCCTTGCACATATTTTGAGAAAGGGGCAATAGGCCAAGTTTTTGTATTTAATGTTGGCAGAGCCAGAATTGCAGGAACATTCGATGATGCAAAAAAGAAAAAAAAAAGCCGACAGAAGAGTCACTTCTGCATTTTCTAGTATTCTTTTTTTTCGCATAATCAGTTTTTGTACAATGGTTGTGTGATGCTTTATTTTTGTTTTTTGTTTTTCTTGAATGATCCCTTTCTGATATAAAGGCGACGACCAAAATCCATTTCGATCTTGAGTTTTTTATTTTATTTTTATTCAGCATATTTGATCTCGTTTCCCCTCTCGGTTTTACACATTCTTATATCTATTTCTTGGATTCCATTCTACCGTATAGTTATTTCTTCTTCTCTTTCTTTCAGTTCATCTTTTTCATTTCAGCATGTCGCTTGCCGTTCTCAATGTCCGTCCTCAAGACGAAGTGCTTCCCGAACAATTTGGTCTCCTAGTCGACAACCGACGTCGTCATATTATCAAGGCTAAAGTCATCGCTATTGGTCGCTTGTCGCGTACATTCACCGTCCTTAAAACCTATCCCGCTCTGATTCAAGAACTGAAAACCTTGTCCGGTAACAACAAGTTGCCCCAAGGTACCTTGGCATTGGGGGAACAAGGTATTCGGCAAGGTAAAATTGGGGATTTTTGGCACTAAATTTCGGTGAGTAACTTACACTTTTTTGCTTAGCCATTACCTCTTTCACGTCCCTCAACGATAAACCCGCTCCATTGTCTGAAGACAACCATCCAGAGGACCAAGGGATGATGTCGATTCCGAATACAAGAGCCATCAAAAATGATGTACCCCAATTGTAGATAATACTAGATATAGGATATACAGTGGAAAGAAAACCCCACACCGATGATATAAAGGATCGATCGATGCAAAGAACAATGTATATTTTGCTTAGGCAAAGCACATAAAGCATGACAGATGAATAACTACAAAGAGTTCGGCGAGAGAGTAATAATAGAATGAAAAAAATGTACAAGGGGAAACGGAGGTAAACAAGGAGGAAAAAATAAGGGATCAATACCAAAAACAGAATGGAGAAACAGAAGAAAAAAAAAACAATATCCACTACCCAAATATTATCATCCCACAGGACCATGGCCCATATTATTGTTTTGTGGACTTCGATGAAGTAAAGGTGAGCCTTGCGATGGCGGCGGAGGCTGTTGACCAGCTTGGGGCATTTGAAGAGGTTGTTGCTGCTGTTGTTGCTGCTGTTGTTGTTGTTGCTGCTGCTGCTGCTGTAATTGCTGCTGAAGCTGAAAAGCTTGCTGCAACTGAGCGGCTTGTTGGAACCGTTGCTGCAACTGTTGTTGTTGTTGCTGCTGAGCAGCAAGAATAGCCGCCGATAATCCACTGTTGGACGCTGCCACTGCCGCTGCTAATTGCTGTGGCGAAGGTGTATTCTGATTCACTGCCGGACTTCCCATCATTTGAGGAGGTTGAGGCGAACCGGCGTTACCTCCATTGGCTGCTGCAGCTGCGGCCGCTGCCGCTTGCGCTTGCGCTTGCGCCTGGGCTTGGGCTTGAGCTTGAACTTGATTCGCAGCGTTACGCATTTGCAGTTGGGCCAGGTACCTTTGAAGTTGCGCCTGCTGACTGGGAGCTAACTGCGGCATTGGATATCCCATTTGCGCCAACTGTGCCGCCACCGCTAACGTATTAGCCGGGTTCGAATGCATTGCGTTCTGAGCTAGGGTTTGCTGCGAAGTGAGATTTTGAGGTGGAGCTTGCTGCTGTGGCAAAGCCGGTGAAGCAACTTGAGGCGTCGCCTGCTGCTGCTGCTGCTGCTGAGCTGGTAATCCATCCGTGGTCGTGACCGGTGAATGCGTCGCCACTAATGTAGAAAGAAAAAAAAATGGACACGTATCAGAGACAATGATTTCCCCTTCCCATCAACATGATGAATGAATACATACTCTGCGGTTGCGATACAGGCACAACGTTACCGAACCGTTGAATAGGCGCTGATACAGGTGGGCGTGCTTGACCTTGAGCTTGAGCGGCTGCCATGAGTGCCATGTGGTGCTGCCGTAATAAATGTAATTGGGCAGCCGGGTATCTGTTAAGAGGCAATCCTGTGTTTTGGTTGGCAGGAATTTGCAACGGTCGTGCCACGCCAGAGGAAGTAGCGGACATGACACGGTTCGTGGTTGCCGCAGCCGCGGCCGCCGCTATGGAATTGGATGGAGCTGTGGTGGTTACCGCCGCTGGAGGTCTTGTTGGCGTCGCCATCTGGGCATGGTTCATTGGTACGCCCACAGGATGACCCGCACGAGGAACACCCTAGAATTATGATTCCATCGCATGAGCTTTCAATAGCAAAATCAACACTATCCTGTGTTTTCAACTTACAGCAGCAGGTTGCGATCCCAAACCATAGGTGGCCGAAAGCTGTCGTTGTTCCAACAATGCTTGGGCCATTTGACGATCGCGTTGCGCCTTGTGCATACTCATTTCCATGGCAGTGGGTAATCGCTGACCACCCGTACTCATGCCATGCGTCTCGATAGTACTACGCGGAGGCGCCGAGGTGGCTGTAAATAGGGTGCATTATGTTAGAAATCAAAAAAAAAATAGACCCATCGGTTAACCATGGCAGATGTCTGTGGTATCTTACAAGAAGACTTTTGAGCTTCTTCACGTTTCTTTTGCGTTTTCTTGATGGCTTCAAAGATGTTGTATTGTCGTTGCCGTTTCTTGGCGGAATCGAATTTGAATAGCGCAGGCGGTCGCTTGGTCATATCCTTCTTCAGTCGAGATATGTAAGCTAAAAAGAAGGATAATACCCGTCAGTTTCCATTTTCAGGGGAACATTGGTCTCGAGACAGGATCACGAACTGATTCCTTTTCTTTTTCCCCCCTTTTTAACAATCCATCCTCTAAGAAATAAATTCCATTTTACCTGAATTGACTTGACCAGACAGTGAAGTAAGGTTATTCTGTCGCCAACGTTCATGACATTCCCATGGTGTTCTTCGCTCTCCATTAATAGGACCACGTATCGCGTTCAACGCATCGCAGATCAGATCCCAGTTGAATGAATATTGTACAATGAGCGTGATCAAACACAAGTCGTCGTCTTCTGTCCAGCCACTGAATGTGCGAGGATTGCTGGGTGGTTGCGGCATCGGAGGTTGCACAGCAGGAGTGTCCTTTAGTTTTTTGGGTGCAAATAGAGCTAATTTATCGCGACAAAGCAAAACTGTCAGTGATTAATTTTTCGTTTTGATATTTATGGTTTCACTTACGCGAAATCAACGGCGTCGAATCGTATCGTTCGTTTCTTGGCAACGTCTTTACCGCAGGTTTGTCCAAAGACTCATCACGCATCGGGATTAATTGACCGTCGACGGTGCGCTTACGACTCACAGCATATGGTTTTTCAAACGTCAACTTGCGAGTAGATAACTTCGATATGGGTAAAATTCGTCCGTATTCGGATTCGTCAAAGTAAGGATCATTGGCGTCCGGATTGGGCGGTTCATAGCGGAGCATATCCGGAAATAATGCTTGGATGCTGATGTTTTCAAATTCTTCCATAGGCAGCGTAAACACTGTCAACGATGGATCGAGGTCTCTGATCAATGCTCGGTATTCGCGGATGATGCTCGCCGATAACGATGGTTCGACGGCCGAAGCCTCGGACATACCCGACATGGGCGTTTGCGCAAGCGGCGTTTCAGAGGATCTTTGGTGAGGTAAAGCATGAATGGGAGTATCATCTCGAGTCGACGGTGTTTCGGCTGTATTTGATTCCTTGTTATTGTCAACCGTAGGTTGAACACTGTCGGCGCGTGAAGACGTTTCTGTCATAGCCATCGCTGGTGTTCCCTCTTCCGTTGCCGCCGGAGTCGCAGATGTCGCATCCATGTTATGATCCGTTACAGGCATATCTTCGTCCATAGCCGTCGCTTCGGTAGTGTCTGCCTCCGTGGATGGTGCTGGTGCGTCGATCGTGGAGTCAACGTCCATATTTTCCGCCTCGTTCTTTTCTGCCGTTGGTGTAGCGGGTATGACCGTCTAAATATTCATGAAGGATGGTGGTGAGTTCATGAATCTCCTCCATTTTCCAGTGGCACCTGGGACCGCTTACCTTGACGCAAACCGTAGATTTATCCTCCGCAGCATGCCATGCCATCACCGCCCTAGACAGCATGTACGCGCTAGCGACCTTCCATTTTCGTTCCTCTTTAAAATCAGTGCGCATCCATTTCTGTCATGTTTAATCCCCGGTCAGTGATTTCATCTCGTCAAAAGGGGCTTTTTTTCGAGTTACCATTTCATCCAGTAATGAATCCCAGTGCGTTTTGGTGCGAGGAACCGACTTTTGTCGCCGTAACTGCTTCAAACTCCACATGTTCTTTTTCTTGAGTTCTTCAATATTTTGAATAGCTTTGATGGATTTCAGTTCATCGCGTGCCAACTAAACATTCGATCGTTAGTTTCATATCGTACTTGAATCGTTCCTCCATTTTCATGACACGTACGATCCAGTCATGGGTAGTAAGCACTTTACGCGCTGTTTGCAGTGATTTGAAGAGAGGTTGGGCATTGGCTCTCAACTGCCAAGCATACAAATCCATCCCACCGGGTTTATCGCTTCGATGGTCCGTAAATTTATGACCATTGTAAACCTGCATCGGGTAGTGTTTGGCATCCGATCTCTTCATGATAGGGGTCGTCGTTCGTTGTGGAGGATGCCTGGGCATGACGCGATGAAGCGGGGTGGACGCGGGCGTCGAAATTGTTTCGCTGGGAATGGGAGATGTCGTCGTGTCTTTTTCTTTGGGTGATACGGGAGAGACGAGATTTTTGTTCTAAAGAAAAAAAAAAGCGTCGAAAGAGCCGAGATATCAGTTACATCTTTTGTGTCCCACCGTACAATAGTACATACATCAATGCCTGCCAAAATCTCCTCTACGCTTCTATGACGAATAGCCCCACTCACACCACGGGTCACCATTCGGGCGGGGGGAGGTGGAATACGACGTACCATCTTCTTTGTAGGATCACCTTGTTGCGATTGTTGTGGATGGAGGGAAGGCGGTTGACTCGTTGATACAGATTGGGTTGTTTCCTCGGTCGTTGGTGATATATCGTCGACGTGAGGGGTGGGCGCTAAATCTTCCATCTCTGTGCCGTCTTCCTTCTTGATCTGTGGTACCATCCTACACATCCATCCATGGGCACTTTTCTAAGTCAAACGATTCTTCATTCTACCTGCACGTTTCCCAGTGATACCTTAATTTATGTTTTTCCAGAAATGCATTCCATTTTTCCATGTTGAGTTTGGATAGATCGCCCTCTTCCAGAAATTCCATCAAATGGTCTCCTCCGTCATCCGCTTGCCCCATCATAAGGAAGAGTTCTTTGAGCAGATCCTCGCGGTGACCAGCGATCAACCTATCGCCCATCACTCGTCAGTATTTATACATCATCCGGGATCGTTGGTTGTGTAAACTTACTTTAGCTTTTCTCGCCTTGCTTCTTCAGCGCTCATGCGTAATTCTTGTATGTTTACCTGTAAAGGAACCAGAAATTAGACACGAATGACATATCATTTATGTGTCAATAATAGCGTCGGTGATGTCTGTCTGTACATACCACTGGAGAGTTATCGGTGACTGTTTGGTTAAATGGACGTTCCTGTCCTGTATATGTGTTGTTTGGGATATCTGTAGCCATAATCTACCACATATGCAGAGAAACGTCCGTGTCGTCGAGTTTGAGGAAATAAAATAAGTTACGCGGATAAAAAAAAAGGTGGGATTAACGGTAGTAAGATCGTAGTGGTGTCAATACACTGGTCCAGCCAGGTTGATGGAGGGTTCGAGCTGGAGTGTCTTCAGTCACTGAACAAGCAGATTGACCGTATAGAGTCAGGAAACAGGAAGAAGATTACGGCTGCTGCTGAACCGGCGACTGGCAATAGTATTCAAAGGCTGAAAAGATAAAATAAAAGAATAACAGCTACGACCCCAGTTGAATGCGCTTGATCAGGTGTCGGTTTTGCTGAGCCTGTGATAAAAAAGGGAGTGGGTAAGTCGCGCTTCACTCTCACAATCAAGGACCCAAGCCACTTCATCATGCGGCCATCCCATCCATCCTCAAAAACCCTTCATCCACAACATTAAACTTGCGTATTCCATTCCCAGTGAAGAGATCCAACCAAATTAGCTGTAACCCATGACTTCATCCTGCTTTATGCACCATGAAAGATGCAGCTTGGCATGGCCAATGTCGCCCCCATGCCGGTTTAAAAAAACTCCCGAACCCAGCATATAATATGGGCATAACATACCCTCACCCATAACATAAAGAGCAACCGTTCAACTTACCACGAATACCGACCGAAATAGTAAGTTATTCTTTGATTATGACCTTCCGTCCTTGATCTTCAAGACGACGGCAAATGTGAACCACGACACCGCGGTAAACAAAAAGTGATGTCACGATTACCATATATGGTAATCGAGTTTCCAAGGGTGATGTTATGATGTGGATGCCCACACAATTTTGCAAATGATACGGGTGTTCTTCGTATCTTTTGAAGGTACATACAACGGTGGCAGCAGTTTAATATATGCTTACTGTTAATTCTTTATTGCTTTTTGCGTTATATTGTTCGTCTACACCATCCGCGCATGTAGAGGTTCAGAAACACAAAAACCAAACTCGGACTTGATCAATCTTGGCAGATTTTTATCCAGAAATACAATGAACAAATCAAGGCATAGATGCTATAATTTCTATCTTATTGTTCATCAGAACGGCCCAGGAAGCTAACAAAAGATGATACCGTCACATCAATTTGTATGCGACGAAAAAAACCGAACGAGTACCTTGCTGAGCTCAAGCACACTGCAGCTGAGCATGTTCATGAGAACACAGTGCGGCAAGCACTCCATAAGATGGAGTACACTTTAACGAGTGATTCAAATAAAACCACATTGAAACGAAAAGCGATGGAGAGGGTTTGAGGTCCTCCAATCACCCCAAAGATTCGAAAAACTCATTACCGATCTTAATTTCGCGTCAGGATATTTATCTGTTGTTTTTATGAAAGAATCTCTTTTGGGTAGAAAAACCACTAGTGAAGCGGCTTTATTGTATACACAGTTGCTTCATTTTCCATGTATGTATATGGTGTTCACCTTTTTCCTGTTAAAGTAAAATCGATCAAATATCCAGGGCGACTGAGATCTGTGGTTGGTTCTCTAGATAAGGCTCTGTTCAAGTGTCCTTTTCGAAGATTCTATCGACCGGGAACCGATGGGTCTGGACCATTACCATGTCTTTATTTGCACTGAGAAAAATCATTCTATCATGATCGTCTCTCCTATTTTTGCGGTGAACATCCACCAGCAGTTTGTGATCCACGTGTTTCTGGGTAGGATCGTTGGTATCTCCATAGCCATGACTCTCCTGGAGACCACCGTTTTACATGTTTTAGTTCCTTCTGACAAGACCCTGTTTGGATTTTCGTCCATCCTTTCCCCCGTACTTGTAGACTGCTCCTCTCTTGCTAGACGTTTCAACTGTTGCAAAATCGTGACAGGTTAAAAATGCGCTGTGGGAAGTCTCCTACCTCTACATGGAATACCACCCTCAAGCCTGCATTGACCATATTTTGACATAATGCATAGGAGTTGCGCATCAGACAGCTCTTGAGTTAAAAAAAAAAGAACATGAAATTTTAGTTTCCTTGTGGAAACTTCATATATGTCTGGCGTCATGTTTCGTGTTTCCAGATATGCACATATCGCATTCAGTTAGCACCAGTTATGTTTGCTGCATTCTCCAATACACTTAGTGTACTGAAAATTTCTCGGAAACTCGAGATGTATTATACAGCAAAAAACGTGAACAATAATGGGCAACAAATTAGAGTGTTTCGCGATATATTTTTCTATTACGATCACTTTTTCTCATATCTCAATCGCATTCGCTAGGACAGAGAGCGTCTTGTAAACCGATATTTTATCGCGTAACTGAGGTTGTCATAGTGAACGAGTCCAGCTACTTATTAAAGCACATTCAGGTGCTTTTGCCCAGCATAAATTTAGCAATGAATAAATAAACGTCTATGGCTTGATTGTGACATTACCGATGCCCAGTTGATGCTTCACCTTTTTATCATATGCATGTGTATCTTCTACAAAGGTTGAAATGTCAAGGATCGAGGCACGTCGTGATGCCTAAGTTTTGAATGTTTACGGCACTCGCCATCCGATTTCTGAAAAGAGCTTGAGTAAGGTTTATGGATTTAGGAATGGGTGATTGGGATTTTGGGGTCAAGCTATTTATGAAAAGAATAGACTACTGGTACAGGATTTATTCATTCTGAAAATCTTGAGAGGAGGTTCTATAAGTACAAACATCAATACAATGGCTTTTCGCTTCTCAAATAGGTAAAATGTATTTGGGAAAAACGAGAAATACACAAGCAACAGGCCACAGTGAATGTAGAAACAGAAGGATCTGCTTTCATGGCACCTTGCAGTAAGGGCTGTAAACACCCGTGGAAACTTCAGCACATCGGAAATCTTGACGCAGAGGGTCGGGCACTGGAGCTGCCAAAGTCGAAGGCAGCGACACGGCCACGAGAACGGCCATTGACACAACCAAAGATAAACCAGCGATCTTCATAACTAATCAAGTTGTTTCAGTGTGGAAAAGAAGTGATGCGCCAACAAGAAAAAAGGAGAGGACAAGCGACGATTGGAAGGAAATCACGAAGAAAAAGAGAGGAAAATCAGGAAAAAGCCAGTGAATAAATCATCATGAGGGCGAGTGATGAAGCTATTTATATTACCGAAGCAATTAGCGTTCAGTCACAAAAAGACCCCTTAATTTTTCATTCCATTTTTTTTTCTCCACCGAACCAATCTCATGAGGAGACCACAATAGAGTTAATAATAACCATTCGACCAAAAAGACGTTGTCGTCATGTCAATCATTCGTGCCTCTCCTTATGGAACATGTTTCGATTTAGATTTTTGGGACGTTCTCAAACCGTTACTTGGTCGATTTATTTAGACGAGAAACTTGGAATAGAACTGTTTGTTTTACCTTATCTCCCTAATCATGACGGACCAAGCAAAAGAAAACGTGCCCTTACTGCCCGCCCGTCGTCCCCTCTCTTGGCAAATGGCTCCAATAGAAACCATACGACTAACATCATTTTTTTTTAGAATACATTGTAAGTATCCTTTCTTCTTCGAACAAAAGTTCCAGACACCTAGATTCGACAGTAAGGAGCGCAAAAGGCAAAAGCATGACGCTGGGCTTACTAGATGGCGAAACTCCATTATGATACGCAGGATTACCACGGTGTGATGTTTATGCACTGCGCATATTTAAGCTGCTTAGATGGTCATGCCACCATGGAGATCCATTTTGTTACGTCTAGAAGCATTTCAAAACATCCAAAGCTAAAATTACATATTGCTATCTAAGATGCACTTCACCCTTTCACAGCGCCCATGGACTGGACGATGCCATGTTGAGAAAACAAACTATTCCGTAAATACTGCGTTTTCTTGTTTTTCCAACACATGGTTCGACAGTGGGTAGTTTCAATCCAACGCACGTGCCACTGACAGCGCAACAATAACAATAACAATAACAATGACAATAGCAATAACCGCAATTAATGAGGGCGCATATGGCGCTATCAGCAAATTTTTGTAAGACATACTGCAGCATCGTATTGAACGAACCATACAATGTGGGTCTTAATAAAGAATGGATGGCTCATACTGTTCCGCAATTGGTCTCCGTTCCTACCGATTGAAATGGAAAAAAAAAATTGCGTCGTCATGACTTTTGAGTGGGATATTAGATGGTTCCACCAGCCGATCATTTTACGGAAACCCGCCACGTATAGCAATTGTTTGACGCCAAGAAACAAGGGGAAGCAACAAACAAGTAGAACCTTATTACCGTTCTCACCGTTCTCACTGTTCTCATTGTTCTTCGAAATTGTTACTTGAATAGAGGCAACAACCGGTCTTTTCCGTTCATATCAATGGAAAATAAAGCAAGATAATCAGTTTTCATACTTTTGTTATCACGGATGGCAGAACCTTCAAAGTAAGGAATCAACGCGCCGCCGGATGATTGTAACACCGAGAGCTCCGTGAGTGTGACTTGGCAACATCGAACCGGGCAGAAAAGCAATTCAAAAAAAGCAACTGTTTATCGTGGGCACTTTGTATGATAAAAAAACCAACAATCCTTAATAGTGATCTATGATAGAGAAGTTGTACATATATGGATCGAGTAATTCGATAGGACTAGGCCAAGAAAAGTATACGTATTGGGCACGCCTTTCTCCTTTGAAATGCGCGCCAAACTGACAAAGAACTATTTCTCGTAGTTAATAAGGTCTGTACGTATAAAATGTATAAAACTATTTTTGATTATCGCAATTGCAGACAAGTCATCGGAATGTCCTGCCACGGATGCTCGGGCACCGTCGAGTGACCACTTTTTTCATTCTCCGCCGCTGCGAATCGAGATGTCTGTCCGTATCAAAAAGGGTAAAAAAAAACCTGTTCAACCTTGACGATCAGTGCGATCTCGATATACAACCTGTTCTTCTCACTTTGAGGAGCGGTTTATAGGTACAGTGCAACAAGTTCTCTTGCATAGGAAGTATTCCATTGTCTAATATATACTAATGAGTTATGTTGCTTGTCATCTCCCAGATCTCGTATCGTATTTTTGTTCATTATCAGTGACATCTCCGTCTTATTCAAAGTCAAGATTCGTCGCTGGCAATGCCCAAAGAACGCTTTGAGCACGATCGTAACGATGATCCCGTAGTCGACGAGGAAACAAGCCAGCTATGGCCTCCATTATGCTTTCGACTTCAAAATTCGCTTATATACCCGACGAACGGTCCTCGTGTCAAAGGCGCCAACCTTGACATTGCTTTACTCGACCACCTTGACAATCAGGACGTAAAACCAGGTAATTATTAGTCACTGCTCGGGAAATTGGGACTGTACAAGCTCACGATGTTAATGTCACAGGTATTCTGGCGCCTGTGGCAGGTGAACGTACCGTTCTCCCGCATACCTTGAATTATTGGGATGAAATTCTGAATGTTTATGAGGACGTCATCGAGAAGGTAGTGTCTTATCGTTGCTGTCACTGCATACTGAACGAGGGTTAAAGCTTAAATATAACTGCGATTTTTGCCCTAGATGTCGAATTTACCCAACGTATGGAAAGAGATGGCGGTTGTTCCTCGTGATGTATTTAAAGAGATAGTAGCTCAGGACGTGGAGCAAAGTTGGACTACATTCAAGTATAACCCCTTGCGAGACAGCCTGATCGCTTACTATACCTTTAACAATGACTATATCATGGCATTTCCTGCCAAGGATTCCTCTATCTTGTGTATGTAACTAGCCGTCATGATGGGTCGTGTGCCCCAGAAATCTCATCTTTTTGATTTTGTTTTTGCAGATATCGCATGGGCCATTCCGGGTAGATTCGCTTTCAAAGTGAATGACACCAACTTTGAAACGTCGTCCGCTCCGTGGGAAACGCTTAGATCAAGCACTTTCCTCCAGTTTTCAACACCGATTCTACAAGTCACTCGATCTTATCATACACAATATTCATCATCCGCGGATATACGCAGTAAGACGACGTGTTGTATGTCATTGAATTAGGTTACTTATTCATCGACGACCTGCAGATCCTACCTTTTTGTTCGGCGTTCGCACAGCGATCAGCGCCTCATTGGTGGAGGTTCAATGGATGCGCGAAAGTAGCACAAAAGGGGATACAGAGGGGCAATTGGTGGCTACCATACTTTACGACTATGTCCCAATGCGTGAACGAAGCGGACCGCGTCGGTGCGCTCCGTCGCATATGACGCTTAGTCCGTTTGACAGTGACGAGTTTGCTGTGATGGGTGATAGTGGTCACGTTGTGGTTTTAAATGTGAAAGCGTCACGGAAAAGGTAGATGTACCATCGACTTGTCTGTCTCCCTATGGGAATCTCACACGTTGTACCAGATTTCAGGCAGAATGTGCACTGTCCATTTCTGAGGAACCATCCTACAGCCATCGCTGGCGATCCTGCCTATTTGGTTTTCATCGGCAATCCTTAATAGCAGCTTCGAGTACCAAGGTGGAAATGATCGATTGTCGAGTAAGTTTGTCTTGGTAAAAAAGGGAAACATGGCCGGGGTAGCGCAAGTTTACTGATGTGTAGTTTCCGCCAGACACGACAATCGACGCTTTTATTTCAATGTGAACGAGACGATAGAATCTACGGACTTGATCAGGCATCCGCTCTTTCGCAGTTCAAGTTCACAGTGGTCACAAGCACTACGATATTCCTTTTGGATATTCGGCGTCCCCAAAGACCGGTTCTCTCCTGGTCGCATCAAATGATTGATTGTCCACCAACCAACGTCGAGTTTTGTGACGCTTTGCCGGACGATGAAGGATCCAAGGCCGGTTCCCGCCAATGTAAGTGACGTGCCATGAAAATAGCTTTGGTACGCAGCTGATCATTTTTGCCCTGGAAACTTTTGTCTGTTTAGGCCTGTTGTATGCCTGGAGTTCGCGCAATGATCGCGTTCTTGTGATTGAGCTATATTATTCTGAGCAGACGTAAGTGAAAAAAGGGTATGAAAGACGCTTCTCAAAAATAGAATGACTTATACACCGATCTGAAGCCATTCGTTGGAACGGTCAATCCAGTGTAGCACTCTCAAATTCCTTTCTCTCGAGTCTCGTCCGTATGGTCAAAGCCATGTGCGAAAACTAGGCCCTTTTATGGATGCAGACAGTGTCAATACATATATCCGCACGGACGGGATCAAGATTATTGGCGTTCCTATGCATGCCGACTCGGACAATGGCACCAACGGTTACTGTTATTTCCTTTTGCGCTTTCTCGGTGACGGATCCTTTTCCATTCTTCCTTTTACCATAGCACAGCAGCGTCAGAGCTTTTCGGTGACTCAATGGCCGTCTTACCAAGTTGAGGATGACCATTTTAACCGCGACGTCATTGACACGGCACGTACCGAGGACTATGCTATCCGCTGTGGCACAACGGAGCTCAAATCGTGGGGCGACTTGGTCAAATGTAAGCTAGCGGTTCCTTTCGATTCGGTATCGACAATATACTCATTGACGTTTGTTAGACATACGCGATCGCTATGTCACCTCTCCCATCTTGTCCAACCCCGAATCAGTGTCGGAATTGGCGGCGGAGCAATTCAAACAGATGGCCGAGAACAGTGCCAAGCATCGGATGCCAGTGTCACTGTAAGAGATCACCCTCCCCATTCTTTCCTTTTGCTTTGCACCATTTACAGTAGACTGATATACTCATTTGTTATGGCAGGAAAACTATAATTGATGACGTACAATCGCATTCCAATCTACCAACCAAGGCTGTATTGGAAGCGGACCATTTTTTGGAAAGCGAACAATCGATGCAGCGTCTAACCACTGGAGGCGAAAACAGTGTGCGAAGTGTGTACGCGCATGTGGAGATAAGGAACGATGCAATGCTGCCTGCTGCTCCTGTGATCGGTGCCTTGCAGGACACCCCATTTGATGGTAATATATCTCGAAGGGTGTATCTCTCATCGCATGCCATGCTAAATATCTGTTGTATTTTCCTCAAAAAAACAAGATCCTAACTTGAAGGAAGCAAGGATCGAAACAAGTACTATCATTTGTGATGCTTTGAGTCGTGACATACAAGCGAATCGGGTCACGTATCTCCCGCTGCCAGATCATGACGGTCAGACCAAGTTGAGCTATCTGTTACCGGCCAACAAGGGATTCACCTTGACACCTGCCGCGCGAATTCTCGCTCAAGAATGGGACCTGGAGTTGCCGCTGAGTGCGCCGTTAATTTTTAATGACGAGCGAGTGTTGCCAGAAAAGACCCCGCCGCTGTTTCCATTTCGTCGATCGAAACAGAGAAAAACAGCCTTTTCCAAATCAGTGGTGGTATCTGCGGCGGATGCTCAAGGGTCTGTGGACCTCGTTTTGCCGCCCTCTATCTCCGTGACAAGCAAAGCAATTGAAAAGTCGGTCCGTAAACGCCGACTTTCAGCGACAGAGGATTCATCCTTTGTGACATCCCGAGTCGGTCAAACTAGTTCATCTGTTGATCAGGAAGAGCCGTCGATGGATTTCATGTCTTTTGGCGACATTTCTACGCAACCGGTTCCTGGCGCTTTCGCTAGCCGGCAACCCGTGGCCAAGAAAGTTAAAAAGAAGAAGAAGACCAAAGGTTTCAAGTAGATTTGTTTTCTTCAAATTTCATTGCATTTGTACATAACGCACCCGCTCCTTACATATCTTACTGCATACATTTATTATCACTTTGGGAATAACAGATGTGTTAAAATCAGTTAAAATTTTTTCGACTGCGTACTTTGTTATAACTTGGGATAGCATCGAGACTTAACTTCTTTAAACAAGAATTACATTCACAAAATTACAAGGTACGCTAACAAATCTTCTCACAGAACCGCAAGAACCAGTAATCTCATATTTTTTCGCTTCCTTTCTCAGCTGAAGGGCGGGAATCGGTCAGGAACCAAAAAATTGGGACTGTAATGACATTACTGTTTATTTCAAAAAGTCACCGTAGGAATTTGAAAATTACCGAAAAAAAAAAAATCGCAAAATTATGATACAGACAAAAAAAAGAGAAATGGCAATACAAGAAAAAGACATAAAAGAGCATAAACATCAAATGATGAGAGTAATCAAACATAGTCAAGTAAAAGAAAATTAATTCGCGAGTTGGAAAATGACCAGATTAGGGAGAGAAGACATAAAGAAAACAAAGAAAATAAGAGTCGTCAGTAAAATTATATCTAGGGACAGGCAAGCAACCCGGACAACGGAAAAAAAACGAAAAAACCTTCGTGACGGGGGCCACCATCAAAAAGGCATCTTCAGCAGGACAGGACTAGAAAGAATGCGGAAAAGGAAGGGTGCCTGCAAGCGCCGTAGTGATTAGGTGCCCAATAGGTGCCGCTTGCCGTAATAGAGAAAGAAGACGGTCAAAAGTCGTATTAAATACTGTTTGTTATACATTTATTCATTTACAGGTTATCGAATATCTCATCTATAAATTTTGTAGTTGTTCGGATGGCCTTTTATTATGGACACTATCCATCGAAACATATCATTACATTTTCGATTTTTTCTACGGTGACTTTTGAACAGGAGTGTACACAACAACGAATTCATCTTTCATTAAGACATTCTTCAATTCGCTCGAATCTGTTGATGATTTTTTTTGCGTAATCGGTTTCCTCAGTGGTAGAATAAGCTAGTATGCTGTCTGTAATCTCCTACCCTTCTAAGCAATTCCTTGTCTCTTGGGTTGCTTCCCAGTTCCTCACCCCGGGGCCTGCCAACCTGTTTCCTTTCCAACTGGACCAAGTTTTTTCTTGAAACGCAAGTTTTTTATTGATGAAAAAAAACCTACTCCTCCTCCATCATCTTCTCCGATGGAGGAGGTGAAGGAGGAGGATGACGAACGGACAAGTCGAACACCAACGGTGACAGACCCGAACTGCAGGCCGGCAGCAGTCGGCCCCGAAAAGCCGACAGGAATCGAAAGGGTCCCCAGGAGCCGAAGTGGGCCCAGAAACCGAACCGCCAGAATCGAGAGGGAACGCCGACACAGTGTGAAGAGGGGATGCCGACACTCTCGGGGCAGGGCCCCGGACCATTGTTTGACGGTTTAAGACCGCCTGTTAGCGGCGTCTTCTACGTTGTCGTTGTCCACCTGGTCGTCGGCGACGAGGAGGATTTGACCAGGCCTAGAAAGAAATAGTCAACAGTCAATAGTCAATCTCATTAATATCTGTTGCAGCCATAAGGTACTAACCAGTCTTTTGTGGGAATGGATGTAGCGGAGGAGTAGCTGGATGAAAGAATTGTGCATGATCAATGATACATAATTTTTTTTTTTTTTTTTTTTTGGTCAATTTTTATTGAAAGATGGAGTGGTTTTTATATCTCACAAAAGGAGAGATCAATCAAATTTACAGATGACCCCATTGATGTCAAATGGCGTAAGACAAAGAGACCTCATACATGATGGTATAAAGAAACCGAAATGTAACGTCCCTAAAAATATACCTGTCTTTGGCTGACGATGAGATCCAAGGATGCAGGAAAATGGAGAAAAGTGAAAAAAAAGTTCTACCCTTTAACTTCCCCCATTAGATGCAAACAGCTGAAAAAAAAAAAACCGGTACGATAGTGTACGTGATCATGTACATTTTCAGTAATAATCGGGTAAGAAAAGGATCATGGATTCAATCGAAAAAGCAAACGAGCTTCAAGCATGTTGTTATGAATACCCACCTCCCCGGTTTCCCGCAATGGCGTATTCCCGATCCTATTAATCGTCAATATGTTGCTGATGCATCCTATTCCGTATCGTAACTGTCCATAATTTACGATCCATGGGAGTCTCGCTGTCGTTTACACATATCATATTTTGTCAGTGTCAAACAGACAAGTTGCATTAACTTCAGTATCAGTTTCAGTACGTATTGTGACCTCGGTTTCCGTTTCTTCAAATCGGTTTTGTTTCACCAAGTTCACTTGCGCGTTGGATGGAAAAACGAATTTCATTTATGGACTCCTTTTGCCGGCTTTGGGGCTTGTTTCCCCCATAGTGTATCGCCCAAAGCATAAATATGTAAATACAGACTCTTGGATTGATGATTTCATGCATGATTGGTTGACCGTCTCGATAAATGCGTTTTACATTATTAGACGAATAGTCCAGAAAGCGGACGCAAATCGATTATGACTTGAATCATGCAATGCAAATGAAAGATATCGTTTGATATGGAAACCATTTGAACTCAGCCATGGTGGCATCAGCTAATTCTCTGAATTTTGGAGAACGAACCTATTAATTTCTCAGACGTCAATATGTCTGGGATACCGTATAGGACACATGATTGTAAATTTTTGACTCTGGTGCACCTATTACAATTCAATTTATTCATATCCTGTGCTTTCCAAAGGGTTGTTTCACGGTGAGGAAAAGAATGAAAATCGGGCATATAGGAATTATGGAAGGCGACAGCCAGAGGAAAAAAAAAAAGCCACCTCGAATTGCATTCAGCGAAAACGGCCACACGTCTCCTTCCGACTATCGGAGAATGAAAGATCCGGGTGCCGGAGTGAGCGGTGCGGGGGTACAGAGTTAGCAAAGAAGTCGACTCTGGCCAGCGTTTGTTCGCTCTTTCTTTATTCACAATGGTAAGATCTGCATCCATATCTAACAGTGTTGATCAAAGGGCAACAGATGGGGCATACGCATCCTTTCTCGATACCATCTGATGAATACGCGGATGGATATCATCTTTTTCAAACACATCACAATCGTCCATCCTTGACAATTTGTTGGGCACCTGCCGGGGGGTCAGCTGAAATGGGATGGATCGACCAAAGACTTCATTTGGTTCGATGACGCTGAACATTACCCTTCTTCCCACGATACTTGCCTTTGACTTTGTTGCCTTTATTGATTCAACCTGGAAGCAAGATTGATGAATATCGTTGTACTGACGAACGGATTTTTTTCTTTAGGCAAAGAAGGACGTTGCTGCTAAGCCAAGCTCCTCTTCTGGAGGAAAGAAGGCCAAGAAGAAGTGGTCCGCTAAGAAGGTCAAGGACAAGTCCAACAACATGGTTGTTCTCGACAAGCCCACCTACGAGCGTCTTTTCAAGGAAGTCCCCACCTACAAGCTCATTTCCCAATCTGTCTTGGTGGATCGTCTTCGTTTGAACGGTTCTCTTGCCCGTATCGCTATCCGCGAACTCGAGTCCCAGGGTCTCATCAAGCCCATCTCCCGTCACCACGCTCAGATCATCTACAGTAAGTTCATTGACTCCCCTTTTTTTTTCTTTCAATAGTGTCCTAATTCTCCTTTCGTTTAGCTCGTGCCACTGGTGATGAGAAGAAGACCAAGGCTGGTGCCGAATCCGATGACGAATAAATCTTGACAATTCACAGTTTATCTTTGTCAAAATAAAAAATATTCGCTTGTCACATCATGTATTTATGGAATGAATTGCACATTTGCGTCTTTTTGTTGGTTGAGTCTGTAGGTGAGATGATTGTAATGGGAGGATTTATTATGAGTGGAGTGGAAGGAAAGCGAATTATTGATCCTTCCACTGCCAAGGACCACTTTTACCACCTGTTTTTTCTACAACACGAATGCCTTCAATGGTCATGTGTTTGGTGGCGGCCTTGCACATGTCATACACAGTAAGAAGAGCGACACTGGTGGCCGTGAGCGCTTCCATTTCAACGCCTGTTTTTCCGGAACATTCAACCATCGATTCGCATTCCACACTGCATTCTTTGTCATTCAGTTGCAGTTGGACATCAATTTTACCAAGAAGCAAAGGATGGCACAACGGGATCAGCTGACTGGTTGCCTTGGCCGCTTGAATCCCGGCAATTTGGGCCACCACAAGCACGTTGCCTTTGGCCGTGTGATGGTGATTTTCCTTCAACAACTGATACGCTTTTTTGGGCATCACAATCCGTCCTACCGCGGTTGCTTGTCGCTTGGTGACTTGCTTGTCGGTAACCGATACCATGCGAGCTTCACCCGTATCAGGATCTGTATGAGTTAAGCGCACATCATCCGTGTTTCTTGTCGTTGAGTAAAATCGAGCATGAACCCCAGCCGGGGTATAGCTGGTGGAAGGAAGCATGTGGAGTGGCACTTTCTTGTGATCAACCCCAGCACGCCCAAAAGGTCCCAGAACTCGCATGCCTACATGTATACAGCATTAGATATCTGCCACTCACAAGTTCAATACACACCAGGAATCCGTCAAACCGAGGGAAATATATGTATGTATATGTATATAAATATGTGTTTACATAAAAATTACAAAGGAAAAATACAATCAAAGCGTTTGATATGTACAAAGGATATATGTTCTTTTTTACACGAAAAAAGCGGGACGGGGAGGGGGAGAAAAGTGTTTATCCTCCAATGAGGATCATGGGCCGATTCTTTCTTGAAGCCAGCTCGAACATACCTGCATGCTGTTTCCGTTTCTTCTTGACAGCTGCACCAATGATGCGTAACAGCTCTTCTTCTGAGCAACCTTGCCGTAGCAGATCACGTAAAGACACTTCGGCATCACCAAAAAGACACACTTTAATATTGCCGTCGGCAGTAATACGTAACCGATTACAGGTACCACAGAAATGTTGGGTCATGGACGTGATGAAGCCAATTTTGCCTTGATAACCAGGCACGCGCCAGGCCTAAGAATAAAAAAGATATTTCAGAAGACGGTTACTACGCGTGAAGTAAAAAGAAAGGCCTACCTTTGTGGTATCGTTTGCATCGTCTTGCAATTTGTCGAGGTGGCCAAAAGTCGATTGGATACGGTCCAAAAGCTCTTGATAAGGAACCAGCTTTTCCTTGTTCCATCGATTGCCATCAAACGGCATGTATTCGATGAATCGGACGTTGATCGGTCGATTCTGTGTGAACCCCACAAACTTCAGTACCTGATCGTCATTCATGCCTCGAATCACCACCGTATTGATTTTCACGTGTGGAATCCCGATATCAATAGCTTCATTGATTGTATTCATCACTGCATGAAATCCTGTAACCAACACCACCCTCTTGTTACGATGGACATACACAGACTACTACCACTGGAAAAATATTACCTTTTCTGCGAGTCATGATTTCAAACATGTGGGGATCCAAGGTGTCCAAGCTAAGGTTCAGTGAATCGAGTCCAGCATCACGCAGTGCGGGTAATTTTCGCTTCAAAGCAAGACCATTGGATGTCATGCCAAGGCTTTGTAAACCGGATTTTTTCAGTTCGCCAATTCCCTGTACGAGATCGATGATATCCGGTCGTATCGTGGGTTCTCCACCTGTCAATCGGATTTTCGTGACGCCCTGAGCTACGAATAATTTGGCCAACGATAAAATTTCTTCTGTTGTCAAGAGTTTGTCATGCGCCGTCAAGGGAACGCCCTCTTCTGGCATGCAGTAAGTACCTATCCTGGTGTCAGAAAACGGCGGATGCTGACAGAAAGAAAGAATACTTACATCGTAAATTGCATTTTTCGGTCAATGAGATGCGTAAATAGTTGTGTTGCCGACGATAGGTATCGGTGAGAAAGTCAGAAACAGCAGGTTTTTTACTATTCACTGCGAACAAGGACGGCGATTGTACAGCTGCCCGATGCACCTTCTGCTGAATTACGCTAAATTAGCCATCTTGCCAGCCAGTATACACAGTCAATCTCGGATAGTTTTCTATATTACCGGACAAGAAGAGAAAGAACCGACGATGCTCCTACGCAGTAGCCAATGTCGATGGCTTGCCCAATTCATTGTCAATTTGTTCTGCGCAACGAACAAAGCACGAAGATAAGGATCCACCCGTTATTGAACGTCACTAAATGAGGTTGTATTTTCGGTCTCCCTGAGCACAAGCCCACTTGCAATTTCGGTGCCGTTCGAGATTAAACTCCGACAGATGGATTGGGAGCGTGAGAATCAAAACATCGCTGTCGGATTATCCCCGGTTAAAAAGATAATGGGTGTGGCTCTTTTCTCTTTTTGTCATACTTTTCAATGCAATAGAAAACACAGAAAAAAACATCAACTGTATTATTCAAAGATTCTATATTTGGGCTACTGATTGGAAAAAGGTAGATAAGCATCAGTGCGCTGATATCTTGCTAATGGGAAAGCATTAGTGCTTTTTGGAGTAATTGCCATTGGTCTAACGAGAATACAGCTGGACAGCTGTAGTCATTGCTTTCTAAAGGTAGATGCGGTAAAAGACATGGAACAATAGAAAAACCTACCGGCCCCAATGGCTGGTTGAGTGATGTTGTATTTTACAGTTTATCAAATTAAGCAAACAAATACCCACTTCATCACAAACATGCGAGGTTTTTTTTTTTAACCCGGCTGTCAATTGGAGTTTCTGAACCCTGAGATGTCAATAACATTGTAGCTGTCATAGAACATGCATGTGATCCGAGTTGTTTGTCTCAGCAATCAATTGATGTCGTCATGTCAACCAATCGAAAATCCTCACCTTCTTCACTTTTTCTGTTCAAAAAGGAGTTGCCAAATACAGCAAACGATTTTTTTGCTGGCATTGTGACGTTTTTTCAAAGTCCACAATAAGCAAGCGTTATAAAGAAAAGTTGTCGTGATCGTTTCCTCATTCCGCTCGGATCATGTATGGCTTCTTGAAAGGCCAGCCCTCGGAAGACGAGGAGAACGCAGCGTTTATACACAGTGACCGAGATTATGGGGCTATCCCGGCGCATGACGATCCTGCGACTTCGCATTCCGAGGCGGTTATGCCGATAGACATGTCCGCCATCAATGGTCATTGTTACGATACGAACGACTGGGACAGTCTTGCCCAACGAAAACGGGAACGACTCCAACGGCGCCACACGTCGCGTCGAAAATTGGCCAATCGTCTTTCGAGTCTTGTGCTCGGAAGCGGGCTTGATCGCCTGGCGAGCCAGGATAATCCGGACTTGGTCTTACCAGCACTGGATCCAAGGTAGATCACAGAAAACAATAACGACTTACATGGACAAAAAGTACTGACATCTATTCGATAGTGCACAAGAAGTCATGGCTTCGGCTCCTTCCCAGGCATCCTTGGATCAATGGTTCAATACACGATCCAACATCAATTTCAGCACCATTCGTCAAAATTATCGAGCCACCCATACCCAGCTACAGTAGGTTCCCTGTGGAACGAGACGCTGTGTGCTGATGACTTACCCCTCATTATCATCCAATGTAGTATGGGAAAACCGGAATCACCAGGTTTCTTCCGTCGCATCAAGCAATATATTTATTATGATACCTGCATGGCTACCATCAAAAAGACAATGTATGCCAATAGCACGATCATCCTGTTTGTATGTCTCACAGTCTCATCAAATCGCTCGCTGAAAGGTCATCTAAAAAATCATGATTACATCGGATAGGTCAAAGCGGATGTGATGGTCGATCTATTGCTATGCTTCCTCTATCTTATAGACATGAAGCAGGAAGTGAGCGTGAATCTTGATCCACCATGGCTGTACAAATGGCGCTCCTATGACCTCTGGTAAGCAAATGACAAAAGGTTGTGTTAACTTGCGTAGAAAAAAACTGACGCACAGCTTCAAAGGTTATGTTGTCGAATACTATCAATTTGGAATCTCAGTTCTTATTTAATGCGTAATTTTTGCTACCAAGATATTCTGATTCCACACGATGAGTCTGACATGGATATTTAGGTGTATATATGACCATTCATCCTCTATCCGTCTTCCTCAGTTTCCGCTTCCTGATCGAGCTTTTCACCACGATTCCCTTTCTCATCTCCAATTTCCTTGAACACGGTCAATTTCTTTACGGTATGTCGCACACACTCTACGATTCAATCATTGCTTCTACGGGCAAAACTAATTCAGTATTTCGATGATTAGTCCCTTATTTTTTGCGAAGCTGGGTCTTGCTCCTCAGGATCAAAAGCGCTTTAAAAATCAAAATGAATCTCCAAATCACCGGTAAGAGCTGGTAAAACACAAGACCTTTGATCCATGTTGGTAATAGATTGGTTTAGATAAACCGGTGGATGCACTCAACACCAAACTCGTTTACCTCGTTGGAATGCTCATTGTTTTATTATACAACGGCGTCTCGGCATTTCAATATTGCGAAGTGACCTTTGCCAATATCAACTATTCGATACTAGACTCTTTGTAAGCAAAGGAGCACCGGGTCCGACTAGATGGAGATATCTAAACCTTTTTCCATTTCGTTTCCGTAGATATGTAGTCATGGTGACATTGTCCACCGTAGGTTACGGAGGTGCGTTCTATGATGTTCTTTTTTTTTTTTGCAGAGGGCTTCCCAAGGTATTCGTGTCTGACATTGAGTTTTTCCCGTAGATATCACGCCACGTACGGAAGGCAGTCGTGTAGTGATGATGCTGCTCATTGTTATTTCGCTCGCGGTCTTGCCTGGTTTATTAACTGATGTGATGAGCACCTTACGAAAACGACGCGGTGGGTAGCGAATATCAGTCATGCGCACTGCAGGCAAAACTAATACGCACATAGAGGGCGGAGGATGTGTTTCGAAAGGGGCCATGCCATTTATCTTAATTGTCGGTGTTTTCCGTCCGGACCAGGTCAATGACATACTGGAAGGCTTTCTCAACAGGGTGGGTACAGAAAAAAAGAGTCCTGGTTTTTCGTTCCTTCTGCTAAAGACTAGATTGTCGGATGATAAGGAAAACAAAGAAGCTTATTTGAATGTGGTGTTCTTGGACATAAACTCACCCAACGAGGAACTCAAGTTTTATGAGAGAAATTCCATCTGGGGTCATCGCGTCCAGTTCCTTCATGGCTCGGCATTGGTAAGTGATTCTAAAATACCTGATACGCAGCTGATCAATGGGATGATTAACCTGGAAATCTCAGAATATTGAAACATTGAAACGAGTGGTCAGTACATCTTTAAACTATGCGCATCTTTTTCCGTGAAAACTAATTTTCTCTTTTGCGCGTTGGTTCAACAGCGAGCTCGATATGCTAAAGCTATCTTCACAATGGCAGGTACGTAGAATTAAATTTTATATGGAATCTTTAGCTAAAACGCTTTGTTACAGATCATTATGCTGCCGATCCAGCCAAAGAAGATGAGCGTAATACCGTTCGACTGTGGTCACTCTACTGCTATACTGTTGGATACAATGTGCCCATCTACAGCTACAACCTGTCGCCCGATACTGCCGTCTATCAGAAAATGGCCAAACAAATCATTTGTGTTCGCGAATTTAAACAATATTTACTGGCCATGAACTGTTGCTGCCGTGGATCTTCCACATTACTGACTAACTTACTGCATCAAAGACAACCCATGAATCGATACGACGAACCTTGGCAAGCGCAATATGGTTAGTAAAATTCGCACATTTCTACTATGGATTCTCTGTACATTTTCATTAAAAATATTGGTAGATGACGGCTCATGCAACGAAATCTATATCGCGCCACCCCCGGCATGTCTTGTTGGGCTACACTTTGGTCATGCGGCTTTGGTAAGCAATATTTGCTTTGCTACACAATTTTTGTGGGACGTTACGTTGAATGAGTTACTATCTTGCGCAGATCGTCTTCAGAGAGTGCCAAGTGATTTTATTTGCGATCAAAAGACAGCATAAACGCGAAGGGTCGGAAGAAATCATGCTGAACCCTGGCAATCATTACATCATCAAAGACACGGATCTTTGCGTATACATGGCCGAAAGTCCCAGTGAAATTAAAGATATTAATCAATTGGTAAGAGTCGAATCAGCGTCTCGGCTCCCTATCCAGTCCAATTGACCTCGTATGTTATTGGTTTTTATTTAGAAACCTTCGTATGTGCAGCATGCGCGACAAGCATTGGAAAACGCATCCGACATGAGCGGGGAAACGTTGTCGGCCAAGTTGCAAGTGCCTAACAAGCTGAAGAAAAAATTCACCGTCGGTGCCGGTTCACAGCATCCTTCACCGTGTCCCACCTCGCGAAGTCGAGCATCAAGTATTTCATCGTCCACCGTGTCCACGGCAGGTCACAGCGGCCGGTTTCCTTATCAGTTGTCCTATTTACCCACGTCTCGTCACGCCTTGATGACCGGAAGTTCGTCCATCGTTGGTCAACTGAGTGATGGTACCCCGGTGGACCGTGAACGCCTGGGATGCTACCTGCTGGATCATCCAGTGACGCTAGATGATGTCACGCTGGAAAACGCCGATGGCATGGAAGACCACATCCTCGTCTGCCTTCATCGACGGTTCACTAATATTTTCAAGTTTATTTATAATTTAAGGTATGGATTGTGTACAAACCAAAAAAAAAAAAAGCTACTGCTGCTTCCAATGCAAACACACCGAGGAACCAACTCTATTTTTTGCATCAGATCTCCGCATTTAGCCCCTGAAGAATTGCAGGAAATCGTCCTGTTATGCACCGTGCCACCTACACCAAAAATGTTTGAACTTTTAGATCGGTTTCCCAAAGTGTATTACATGATGGTCAGTCGCGTGCTCTTCAGAAAGCGTGTACGATTCTGTATTTTCTCACCATACATATAGGGCGATTGTCGACGGCCGGATGATTTGCTTCGCGCTGGTGTGAAACGGGCTCGACAAGTCGTCGTGATGAGGTACGTGCCAAGGTTTCCGATCATATACAGAGTTCAGCTTTTTCACCATACCTTTTTATATATTACTTAGTGAGAAAGAATGTTTGGAACAGTACGAAAAGTCGTCTGACAGTCCGGCGATGTAAGTTAGATATCTGATGAAAATGCGCGATCATCGTATTCATACGAGGAGATAGTATGGCGAGTCATATCATGGAACTATTGCTCAAAAATAATGTCAATCGCGGTTTTCGCATTGTCAATCTTGGTAAGAAGAGGACTGGTAAACGAAACAGAAGCGAAACAGCCATCCTAAAGCACATGTATTTTTAGTGGATAAATCGAACATCAAGTTTATGCATCTACTGCAGGGCAAGGATGTAGCCGAGGAGATTGACGTTCTTTATGCTCCAGCCTATGCTGCGGGCGATGTCGTGGTCGACAGTCTTATCAGCAACGCGCTTCTGAGTCAAACTTACTTTAAGCCGGATATGGTCTCAATCATCAAAGCACTGTGTGGCATCCCGGGTTCTTGGTCCCATCGTAGTTGCCATAAAGCTCTGTCGAATACACCGTATCTGCAAAGTGTACCTATGCCAGATGCATTCGTAGGATCGACCTTTGCGCAATTGTTTGAAGCGTTCTTGCTGGACTACGAAGTGCTTCCCATCGGTCTGCTACGAGCGCCTGGCGAAGAGCTAGGAAACGAACTCCCTTTTGTATATACGAACCCGGTGCCGTCGCTCATTTTGAAGGAAACCGATGCTATTTTTGTTTTGGCGTCGCCCGATAATGTATCTAAACACTTTTAAATTCCATTTGCTTTTTCTTATTTTAGTTTCCTAGACATTGAAAAATAGAACTTTTCATCCATATCTACTAATCGACCATCTTTGATGGGCCATATGCGGCTGACAGTAATTTTTTTTTTCAGTTGTAATATGTATTGTACAATTTTACATGGGTTGACAGAGTAATATGATGAATGAGCCAAGGAAGAGATGATGTTATTTTTGTAGGTCTAACCCCAGCCTTCATCGCCTGTGTATTCTAATTTTTCTACTTCATAAAAGGCGGTCATGCCTGCTTCAAAATGTTGTGCGACGTGGCAATGGAAGAGCCATTGACCTTCATTATCAGGCATGAGATCAAGCGTTTCAAAACTGACGGGCATCAAATCCACTACGTCGACTCGATGGCCGTGTTGCAAAAGGGTAGCGCCGTGCCAGTGGGCGGTATGAACATCATCATCTGCAAGACCGAACGAAATCAGATACCATCGTACGGCGTGACCATAGTACAGCCGAATAGCCTCATTGTTATTGTAGACATAGCCGTTGATGTGATACATGCGATTGGATTCCAGAAACAGCGGATCGGTATCGGTGAGATGTTGTAAATTCGCCTCGTCGATGCCCGCCGCGGCCGCCGAGTCAATTAGATATTTCGAGTGTCCTTCATCGGTTGTCATCATGATGGTAAAGATTTCTTGGTCGATGCCTTGAGGTTTTTCAAACATGCTTCCCGGCGACGGTTTGGCCAAGGTGCCAGCTTTGTAGATGACAATGGGCCCGAGAAGACCGGCATTAAGATCGGCCAAAGGATCGGCGCGGGATATGTAGGTCCAGAGCACCGACGATTGGTTGGTTGGAAAAGTAAAATCGGCAGGCACGTCCCAGATATATTGGTAGGTATTGCCCGGCTGGATGGATTGTCCAGGGACGCTGGTGAAAGTGGCCGTATGAGGATGAAGACTGAAGGGTTTGGTAGCCTTGTTGTAAAACAAGACTCGAATTTGATCGCCTGCCTCTGCACGGATGATGGGACCCAACAGGCCCAGGCTGCCGTCATGAGTCAAAGGCAAGGTAAACTCCTTATCCATATATTGACGATAGACGCACTTGACGTAGCTTGAACCGATCCGGGTCTCGTTTTTTACAGTATATAATGCAGAGGGGAGTTCGGTCAAAGGTTGATCTCGAAAGTTGTCCCATTGATTAGGCGCATAATTCCAAACGATCTCTTCGGCTGTGATGAAGTAGTCTCGAACTTTGCGTACAGGTGCTGCTGCAATGGAGGTGCAAGACAACATTACCAAGAATAGCAGCATCACAGCTCGAAAAGACCACGATTGCAACGTAAATGAAGAACCCATGTTGGTCATGATGACATGGTCGAGAACTGAATTTTTGTTTGAAATGAATTTTGGCAAGCGAACAAAGAATGGCCCTTGGCAAGCTATTTTGTTAAATGCGGCAGTTCAAAAAAAAACATGATACGATTTTTCTGGATCGAAACAAGATTTTGGTATTATTCTCTATTTTGTATTTGCCATTTCCAAAGCTGGATGAAGGATGAGAACAAGCTAGAAGCCGTATAAAAAGTCACAGGTGCCTATAGCTACAACCCAACCTTTGGTGTTATAGCTTTACACAAATTGATGGGCAGACTAAAAAAGCGTCCCATACGTCTTTGTTCCATGGTTGGTTCCGCGGACGAATTTGCACAATGACAGGGATTCTAACTTCTGTTGTTTCGGAAATGAGTGACCTATAATCGACGAACTAACTACCTTTTTCTCATTGATGAATTTCTGTGTGCAAGCCAAAAGTGATTTCTCTTTTACTGTTCCCATTTAAAAATCGTAGTCAATCTAGTCACTTCAGCCTGCTAGGTTGCCAAGTTGTTTGCTTTATAAAAACTGCTTAATCATCATACAGGGGATCCTTTTCGGATCTGGATTAAACCGCTTAAACGTTTTGTCCAGTGAGGAAAATGGTCATAACATAATGCATTTAACTATTGGTTAATGAAGTGATAAAGCAGAAAATCCAAGACTCATCTAACAATTCAAGTTGATAAACTGTGTAGGGTAAATATCATATACAGGGATGATCTTTTGCGCAAATTTATCAGAAAATGATGAAATTTTAAAAGATGGTATAACATGTTCACATGCTATCTCATCGGAGTGGATCTTCTCTTTTTTTGTGGGGGAAGCGATAACGTAATCAAGAAACCTGTGGGCCCTTTTCTGTGCAGAAAAAAAATATATATAAAGTCCAATGAATTGACCAATCAAATGGCATAATTTGAGGATCTTCAATTCAAATAAAATGTTTCAAGGCAAGTTATATTTATAGAGGATGAGCAATGTTAAACCAGCTTATTATTGTAAGGGAACAGTGGTCTAATTGGCAAAAAGTTATAATCATGCATTTTACCTGCCATTGTTTATATTAAGGAATTTCCTTTTTTCTTTTTTTGCTCAGGTCATCATTCATCCCATCCAAGGTTAGGCGGCGTTTGAATTCGATTTAGGTAAGCAAGCCTCGGGTGAACTTGCCACACCTTCCACTTTTTTTTTTTTTCTTCTCTTTTGTCACCATTAACTTTTCCTTATTCGTTTACTTAATCCCGTCCCCCACAAAGTTATTTGATATTCTTATCCCTATTTCTGCTATTTTGTTAATTAGTTAAGTCTTCTTGTAATTCCATGTCCCATACACCGGAGGTATCTGGAGACGATTTAGAGAGCCGACGTCCTGACACAGCCGCCTATACAACCCATGAGTTTCGATTGTCAACCACAGGAAGTGATTCGGATAACGAGCCACACCAGGAACTAAACCAACCATCCAATTCTTCCTATGTGTTTGAGACCGAGGTAAGCGTACCCGCATAAACCATTGTTATTGTTCGCCAAACTAAATGACCTTTTGGCATTGCTGCAGTTCGCTAATCATCGTACGGCTTTAAGCGAAGGCAATATCGACAAAGCTTTGCACAGTTTTGTCATGCTGTAAGTATACTCTATTGGTATTGGAGGGTTTATTAGTGGGGAATCAACTCGTGTAGTGACTGAACCATTGTCGATGTTAGGCAAACAAATAGTCCTGAAAATGAGACTTTCCAAAAATATCTGATCGAACTAGCCGATCACATCGACCCATCCCGAGATACCAATATGAGTCGTACGTTACATCCATATAGCACTTTATAAGAATGATAATTGATACTGATGCTGAATTGGATGGATAGGTTTCTTTGCCACGCTTCCTACTTTGATCCAATCAACCATCATTGAAAATGTTACAGGTAAGGCATAACACACCAATCGATCACTATATCGTCAATGCAATTCGTTGATGGTAATACTGATAACGGAAAACAACAGACATTTTGGAGGAAACGGATGGATTACGAGCGTTTCAAGTGTTATTCGATTACACTCAAGCTTATCCTCGTCATGCATATAAATATCTGGTAATGTTGTCACTGAAATGCGAATCAGGGGGTTTAATAAGTGTGGCATCTTATTGTTTTTATTATTATTTTTTTCTTTGCAGATTCGTGCCATCAAATTATTACTTGCCTGTGCTCAAAACATGAAACAGGACGACCACAGAAAGTGCATGCAAGTATTAGGTAAGCGATCATTTGCTACCGAAAGAGGGAATGGAGCATTGACTGAATGTGCGTTTAATCTTTTGGTCTAGTTACCGAGCTATTTCCAAGACTCTGGAAGACAAGAATATTGTTGACAAAGGGCGATAAAATTCCATCCGTGAAATCGACCGACAGCAAGCATTTTATCGTAATTCCCTACAGTCTGTTCGAGCAATATCTACTTTTGGGTCAACAGTATTACATTGAGCGACGTCAATGGGACGAACTGAACAAATTTACTTGTAATATGTTGGAATGCTGCGGGTAAGTGTACAACTTTTCGACACTTTTGTTTTCTTCCCCTCTATGTTTTTCTGTTCGTCGTCTCTTACTCATCATCTATTCATACAGATACAAAGGGCTTGGTCGACTCGGCTTCTTACCTCATACGAATCGATTTCAGCACTTGAAAGAGCAGCGATCGAATATTCGATTGGATCGTGAGGATGACCAGGAACGAAGTAGTTCGCCCGAAACCAACGAATTGGCGACGTCGATTGTATTCATGTGCGAATTTAAAGCGGTCACGGCTCAATTTGTCCAGTTCAGTTACGAATATTATCGCGCTGTATGTGCATTGGATGCTAGCGACAATGAAAAGACGTGTCTTATTCCAATATGTACAATCCAACCTTCACTCGTTTCACCTTCGACTTCGAAAACGGTGCTGATCGATACAATGCACCCGGCGCATGCTCATAGGAACATGAAAAATGGTGTTGAAACGCAACCTGGAACTGACGCTATGCAGACTACTGAGAGTCGCAGTGGTGTCAGCCATCGTCGCGAATCCGACCTTCACGATAAGAAAGGAAAATTAACCGTGCCACAGCTTGTTCATGATGTCCTTTCCGATATCAAGCCGTTGTTGGATACGGATGTAAAGATTTCGAATCGTGGCGAAGGATTGAATGCCTATTGCATGCGTGGCGTCGATGAAGCCCTACAGCTGCTCAGTCGAGCCGCCGATTGTATGCGCCATGTGGTGGAGTTATGGAATTGGGCGGTGAGCTCCTCCTCACATATCAACTGGGAGAGTATTTTTGGTGGATGGGAACAAGGTAATTTGATAAATGAACACAGTGATTGAGGTTACATACTTATTCTTGGGTCTTTTGGCTTTGTAATAGAATTATGCCGCGTGATCGATACTTATCGGTTACCCTTTGATATTTACAATGCCGTACTTTTGGTCAGAAGTGATCTGGCCTTGTCTTCGGTAAGTGAAAGATAGAAAAGATTAGGTGATCATTGTTTATTTATTATATTCGTCAATCGCACAGCCTTCTATCACCGGCAACTTGTCAAAGGCATTAAAACTGTCACAGATGATCTGTGATCGAATCGAGGCTCAACGACGGCGCGAGCGATCGGAGCACGACAAGCAAAGCAAAGAATTTGACATCCCTTTCATGTTTGCTTTCCGTGTGTTATATAACATTGGCGTTATTTATTTGCTCGTTGGTAGTCTACAGGTATGTATCAATGATGTGATCTTTTTTTTTTTTTTGAAGACTGGGAGGTGAGTGCGCTGACAAACAAATTGTACGTGTACCAGCAATCCACTTTAGAAATCGCCATCATTCTTTCGGTGTTCCCCATCTCGGACAAACTCAGTGAAGTGGATTTTTTGATGGATGAAATGGATTGTGATACGGCCGCATCGATCTTTCACGGGCATGAATTCGGCATGATGAGAGTATCACGCGAAGGACTCGTAGTGCGGTGTATCAAGCATCTCATTGTCAGTCTCGACAGCGCTTCGGCCCAACGTGGAGGAATGGCATCGATTGATTCAGCGATGCGATGGGACAGCAATGCGGGCGCGATGATGGTATTGATGCAAATAGGCTGGCCTTACTGGAGTTCACGAACCAATTTTTGGCAACGCATCGTTCAACGGATGTGTGAAAAGCACACATTTAGAAATCGCGTATTTTTAGAATATGTATACGGTAAGTCAACAACAATAGGGTTGGTGAAACAGGGGCACAAGTGAATGAACGCGGGAAACTAACGTGCTTTGCGTTACCTTATTTTTCTATCGTTAGTGCCTGATATTTTGAACACCATCAAAAAACTGCATGAACGTCAGGCCGTTATGTTTGATATCATTCCACCAGAATTTGCCCTGCGTAGTAGTTACCGTCATCTTGCCTCTTCCGCTTCTGCTTCCGCTCCCGGTAATCTAGCGGCCAATCACCACCCTATCCATCCTTCATCCTCATCTGCCACCTCGTCATTGCCGACCTCTCCTTTGCCTACGCCTGCATCTCCTCCCAACAGTGAACATCACCATCATGACCATGACCGTATAGAAGATCATCAGTCACGTAAACTTCCCTCCATACGTACATTGCCATTATCGGCGGATCAAGCCGTCGCGCCACGTCCACCGCCCATGTATAAACCCTCGTTTACGGATACTTCGTTGCCGAGCATGAGTATGTCGCCTTCGTGGTACACGGCTTCAACGCAAAAGAATCTTCACAACAATTGGATGTCACCTTCATTCTATTACAGTCGCGAAGAAGGCGCGCCGGTCATACCTAAAAAGCGATCCCATTCCCACGAAGACGATACTGGGACTGACGATGTCGGCGTTTTAGAGTCGATGCAGCGACCAGTGATCTCAAACGATCTTATCCTTCGGTGTCTGGAGCATCGTATGCGACGGTATTCGCCCAAACTCACCCCGCAGAAACTGCGTCATGTGGTGCAAAAGTTTTTAAAGAACATGGTGTTGGAAGCCAACGAAGAAACGGCCTAGGTTCGCTCGCTGATGGCTTTCCTTGAGGACATGTTAACCTGCCTTTATTCTATCTATCATTCATCTATTTTGAACCATTTAGCTGTTATCTGGTTTTTTTCCCCTCTATTTATCTTTGTACATAGGCCACACTTGCTATATATTGATATATTTCATTTGAAAATACGGATTTTCGTGTGATAGACCAAAATGAAAGGTGCCCTTTGTTTGAAGGATCGGCCTATTACTGTTTTATAATGGAGTTCATTTCTAGGAACGCCCAAATGACGATAGTGACCATACAATAAATGTGTCCTTGCAGAAGCTCCTGAGGAGCAATAGCATATGGGTGACGTACAATCATCCATTGATCGTTTACAGTATGCTGTTTAAAGAGTAGAAAAATTGACCGTGTAAAATCGCAAATGCTGAATGAACAGCCGGCAGACATATTCTTACGATCAAGCTCATTTCAGATAGTGGAGAAAACTATTTCGTAAAGCACCTTATGAGTTATGCTTTCAGTTATCAGGCAAATGGGTCGATATGTCTAAAATTTCCATTCTTACTATGTACAATCATATCATGCTAAAAAATGTTATATGGCATTAAAGGAAAAATGGACACATCAAGTGCACCAGCGATTCAGGACGTCGACGACTGGTCCGCATTGCATAGCACGGGCAATAGGTAACAAGTACAGTGCTAAATGCCGCTTCTGGACTTTGGTCCGTCGTCGATCGCATTCGGCCAGTATTGCCAAGATCTTTGCATCATCATATTCTGTCATCCACGTTAATAATGCCCCCAATCTTTTGATCGCGACTTCTTGATAACTTACGGGTATTGGCTGCTGTAAGCAATCGAATTAATTGTAATTTTAGTGGCCACATGGTAGAAAGTGTCTTTTTCGTTTTCATGCTTGTTGTTGCGGTTTCCGGCGTCAATGGTGTGGATACGTCTGTCAACAAGTCAGTACCTAGAAGACTGGGCATTTTGCTGCCTGAATACTTGCACTCACCTGTTAGTTTATTTTCATTATCTACGAGCATGGGCTGTCCCAATGGCTCCGGTGAGAGGGGTTGTATAGGTGAATAATGTTCGGCGGGTCGTTCTGGACTCGCAACGTGAGGTATCTGCTCGGTTGCTGGTGAAGGATCGGTCCAAAAGACCCGGCGCAATTTCGACCATTCCTCATAAAGATCGTTCCGTGAGATATCGAATGCATTTTCACAGAGTTGAATAGACTATATAAATGAGACGTTAGATCGAGACACAACATTGTTGAATGCATTGTCAATATTTACTTTTGGCTGCTGATATTTGTGTGCATCCGTTGCATAAAGAGCTATATTGAGCTAAAACAGATTGGAAGGGTATTAGCCGTGAGGTGAAGACCATTGTATTCAGTGTCTTTAGATACCTCTGCTAACGATGGGTATCTAATATTTGCCATGACCTGCAGCGCAAAACGTGCCGTTGCAACATTCAAATCAAGCGCAGTGCAGCAAAACCGCCTCTCACAGACACAACTGTCCGGCTGGTCTGGCAATGAATTACCGCAGTGTGCACGTGATGGGAGAAGATGAGCCGCTGACGTGATAAATATTTGGAGACGATACTTTTCTTACCACAGCGGCGCTAAGGCGGCTGTTGCTATCCACTTTCAATTTGAATGTTACTAAACAATTCGAGTGATAAGAGAGACCGGGAAAAACGTTACGGACGTATCTAATTGAATGCATGGTGGCAGGTCCATATCGGGGAAGAACCATGCATGGGTTTGGAAAAACAGCTCAGTATATGATGTGGTCAGACCAAGGATATCCAAATCAGGCACCAGTCAATCGGCCACCTATCACGTTCCGTCCAGAACTATACAATCAAGCGAACATGGCCCAAAAGACAATGACCAATCAAGATAATCCGTGGCATTAAAAAAAAAAATGCAGTGGGAGAACTTTGACGTCACAACTTAACTCAAAAATGATTGGTGTGCGATCTTAACTTTTTTTCCAATTTTTTTTTTTTTTTTTTTTTTTTTTTTTTGGTAACTTTTTTTTTCTTTGACAGTTCTGTGAGAAAGTAAAAAGAACAAGCATGGCACAGGAATTGGAATGGCCGACCACCAAGGTCCGATCGACCTTTATCAAGTATTTTGAAGAAAATGATCACGTTTACTGGCCTTCTTCATCGACCATTCCTCACGACGATCCCACTTTGTTGTTCGCCAATGCGGGTATGAATCAGGTAAAGTCTAAATACAAGGCCGTCTTTCAATGACCTCTTTAACTCGATGCACTAACGACCCAATCCATTTCTACAGTACAAGTCGGTCTTTTTGGGTACCGTCGATCGCAACTCTCCTTTGGCCAGCATTCGTCGTGCTGCCAACTCGCAAAAGTGTATTCGTGCAGGTAAGGAACCAATACGCTGTCACCGGCTGCGCAAATTGATTGTCGCGTTTTGCTGGTGAAGCGATTTTTCCTTTTTTTCGTAGAGAGTTAACTCACAGTATTTAGGTGGTAAGCACAATGATTTGGACGATGTCGGTAAAGATACGTACCATCACACGTTCTTTGAAATGTTGGGTAACTGGTCGTTTGGCGACTATTTCAAGGTAAAACTTTTTTTTGTTTTTCTTTTTTTTTCATGTCATTCCTGATTTGGGAGAACTCACATGGTGGAATCGAATCTTGATTGGGTTCTAGGCTGAAGCTGCCAAGTATGCCTGGGAATTTTTGACCAAAGTGATTCACTTGCCTGAGGATCGTCTTTACGTGACTTATTTCGGTGGTGATGAGAAGCAGGGTTTGGCTGCTGATGATGAAGCCAAGCAAATTTGGTTGGATATTGGTGTGGCCGAAGATCATTTGCTTCCCGGTAATGCAAAGGATAACTTTTGGGGTAAGTACACACACACACACACACACACACAGGTCGGTATTTGGATGTGAGGTGCTCAAAACGAATTTTGTTTTGATCAGAAATGGGTGAAACTGGTCCTTGCGGTCCCTGTTCGGAAATTCATTACGATCGTATTGGTGGACGTAATGCTGCTCACCTTGTGAACATGGATGATCCCAACGTGCTTGAAATCTGGAATCTTGTGTTTATTCAATTCAACCGTGAAAGCGACGGCAAACTTCGTCCTCTTCCCAACAAGCACATTGATACGGGTCTTGGTCTCGAACGTCTTGTCTCTATTCTCCAGAACAAGTATTCCAACTATGATACCGATTGTTTCGCTCCAATCTTTGCCAGGATCAAGGAATTGACCGGTGCCAGAGATTACGCCGGCAAATTGGGAGCGGAAGATGTCGATGGTGTTGACACCGCTTACCGTGTGGTGGCCGATCACATCCGTACCTTGACTTTCGCCATTTCCGATGGCGGTGTTCCCAGCAATGAAGGTCGTGGTTACGTCTTGCGCCGTATCTTACGTCGTGGTGCCCGCTACGTTCGCAAGTACTTTAATGTGCCTGCTGGTAATTTCTTTTCTTCGCTCGTCGATACCTTGGTCAATCAAATGGTAAGTTTATCATGATGCTCTGCATTTTCCAAATGGTGTCATGTTAATGATTTTACGGTTTCAAAAGGGTGAAGCTTTCCCTGAGCTTCACAAAAAGGTGGATGATGTCAAGGCCATTTTGGACGAAGAAGAAGTGGCTTTCTCCAAGACTTTGGATCGTGGTGAAAAGTTGTTTGAAAACTACATGAACAAGGCCAAGGAAGCCGGTTCCAAGACCCTTTCCGGTGCCGATGTGTGGCGCTTGTATGATACCTATGGTTTCCCTGTGGATTTGACCCGTATCATGGCGGAAGAAAACGGCATGGAAGTGGATGAAAACGAATTCCAAGCGTGTCAGGAAGCTGCCAAGAACGCCTCTCGCAAGGTCAAGGGCGGTCAGGGTGATCAAGGCGTGGTTGCTTTGGATGTCCACGACATTGCCGCTTTGGATGCCAATGACGAAGTTCCCAAGACCGACGATGCATACAAATACTGTAAGTGCGCTTGGAAAGTTTTACCGATCAATTGCTCCATACTGACGTATCTGCTTTTTGTTTGCTTTGTATAGTGGCTGGCAACGTTCAAGGTCGCGTCAAGAGCATTTTCTTTGAACACAAGTTCTTCAAGGATACATCTGCTATTCCTGCCGATCGCGAATTTGGTGTGTTGACCAACAAGTCCAACTTCTACGCCGAATCCGGTGGTCAGGAATACGATACCGGCAGCATCATCACTTTGGATGGCAACAGTGAATTCGTGGTGGAGAATTGTCAGAGCTTCGGTGGTTACGTGTTGCACATTGGTCACTTGAAGTACGGTCAGTTGGCCGTGGAGGATCAAGTCGAGCTTTGCTTCGATGATGTAAGTTGAAATAGTGTCCTTTTTAATTTTGATTTCGCAGATCAGCAAAGCAGGGACCCCCTTTTTTTTTTTCATTGGATGCATGCTCATACGCCACTTTGTTTTGTAGTTGCGTCGCTCTCCTTTGAAGAATAACCATACCGGTACCCATATTCTTAACTTTGCTCTTCGCAAGGTGTTGGGCGATGTCATTGATCAAAAGGGTTCTTTGGTGGCTCCGGAGAAATTGCGTTTCGATTTCAGCTACAAAGTGAGTTTCCATGCCCATTTTTTTTTTTTTTTTTTTTTTTTTTTTTTCATCAGGACAATGACTAATGAGGAACAAAAACGTATAGACGGCTGTATCCACCAAGCAATTGGCTGAAGTGGAAAAGATTTGCAATGAGTTCATTGCCGAGAACAAAAAGGTGTATTCCAAGGAAGTGCCTTTGCCTGTTGCTAAGGCCATCCACGGTTTAAGAGCTGTGTTTGGTGAAACTTACCCCGATCCTGTGCGTGTGATTTCCATTGGTTACGATGTGGACGAGATTACCCAAGATGTGTCCAACCCCAAGTGGGCTACTACCAGTGTGGAATTCTGTGGTGGTACTCACGTGGCCAAGACGGGCGATATCAAGCATTTTGCCATTCTTGAAGAATCCGGTATTGCCAAGGGTATCCGTCGTATTGTGGCCGTGACCGGTGAAGAAGCCGCTGCCACGCAACGTCAGGCTCAGGCTTTCGTCAGCAAGTTGGACAATCTGGAACATCTCAAGGGCGCCGAATTGGAGTCCCAGTTGAAGGTGGTTTCCAAAGAATTGGATGCTTTGGTGGTTTCTGCCGTGACCAAGGCCGAATTCCGCGATCGTTTCAATAAGATCAAGAAGGCATTTGACGAATCTGAGAAGGCTCGCAAGGCCGAACAAGTAAAGGAAGCGACGGAAAACGTCAAGTCTTACTTTGCGGAACATCCCGAAGCCAACTACTACATTGTGGAACTTCATGTGGGTAACAACAGCAAGGCATTGGCCGGTGCGATCAACTATGCCAAGAGCCATCTCAAGGATAAGGCGTTGTATTTGTTCAGTGCCGATACTGACAGCGGTCGTGTGGCTCACAACTGCGTTGTTGGCAAGAACTTTATCGAGAAGGGTTTGAAGGCTTCCGAATGGGCCGGTGTAGTGTCCGAAAAGGTCGGTGGCAAGAAGGGTGGCAAAGATGATGCTGCTCAAGGTTCTGGTGATAAGATCAGCGAATTGCCCGAGGCAATGAAGGTGGCTGAAGAGTTTGCCAAGATGAAGATTGGCGCTTAATCATTTTTGTTTTCTTTGTTGTTATTATGCTGATATACTGTTTTTTTTTCCATGTTTCTTATTCTTATCACTATTACTTTCTTTTCAATGTTGAAAATATGTTTGTTTTTGTTCCTGGAATAAAAATATGACTCTTACGCTTTGAGAAAACAAAAAAAGCTGAATGAGGAAACTCAATGTTCAAGGGCTCTCAGGTTCCCATCTAGAAAAGACTGAACGGCATCAAGTCAAAAGGCTCAAGGGCCAGGCCGACACGGCCTCCATCCAATTCATGCACGCTCATGCTTACAGTATCGAGATACGGCATGCAGCGCCCCTGCGTGTGTGTTGCCATGACACAGTGCTGATAAGAGAGGTGACAGTGATACAACCTGATGGGTTGAGATAAGGGAAAATTGTTTGGTTCTGGGCAAGGGAGCATAGAGTGCCAGCACCAAGGGAAAATGATTAAAGCATAATGCGGAATGGCGACTCATTAGAGATATGCAAGGAGATAGAATGGGGATTTCGATTGATGATAGATTGGTGATATGATGTCAACAGGGAATTGTTTTAGCATATTGTACGTTTTAAAAAAAATTGCAAGTCAGCAAAAAATGGGATTTATTTGTCTTGCGTGTATTTTCAGGGCTAAAAATGGCCAACTCGGGATAGACAAAGTCGGGGAAAAAAATTGATAAACAGGCATTCCCTCACAAAAAAGTAGGAGATTTTTTTGGGGGGAAAGGCACAACGGAAAAGCGAAACAGTGGTTGACTAAAAAAAGTAATAAGCAAAAGAAAAAAACTAGACCTAAAAAATGATTAGTGTTAAATCAGGGCTGTTAGCTTCACTTGTGCAGAACAAGTGAAAAGTGAACAGCGACTGAACCCGAGCCAAGTTTAAACCACATTGTATGAGATCATCGGTCCGTGCCACCATGCGATTTCAAATATTGCGGTTTTGCAGAAATGTCTAAAAAAGGAAAAGGGAACCATCGAATGAGAAACCGGGGGTGCCGTAAATAAAGTTTAAGGGATGTTTTTATGTCATGATCCTCCAATCTACACCAATCGCTGTACAGAGAAAATATGCATACATTTCATCTGGCGACGATGCACCATCGGGCGTTGGAAAAAAGAGAAACCACTACAATGGTCGATGAAAAAAATAGATCACCTTTAGCCGAGATCTCGATTGCTGTGTCGCCGCACAGGATCGCCCCCACGGTACTATTGCTCTTAGTGCCATGCTGTGTACCAATTAAAAATACGATCATGTCCCGGTATGTCATGATGGTTATTCCTCAAATCAGTCTAGTATAACTTTCTGCATTTTTTTTTCTCGTTGTGTGTGAAAAAACCATGGAAGCAGGGAGAAAAAAAAACCTAAACGAAATGTGCACATTAAAGAATCTTGGAATTGTTGCAAAAGAGAACAACCCTAATTATTTTAGCATCATTGTACGACAGATGATCAAGAAATGACAATTTTTTCTATTACGCATTGTGGGTCATAGAATCGGATGGAATTTTTTTGGTGTGAAATGGGAAGATGAACTTTATTTGGCTGGATTAAAAAAAACACAGGGAAATAAGAAAAAAAAATTGGGGTTTTCTAAAGCCGAGCGAAAAAAAAAAAAATCAACAAAACGCGATGTTTTCCAAAAACAAAATGCCATCTTTTTGAAAAATGGCATTTTACCCAATTTAACTATTCTTAGATTGCGAGGGGATCGGACTGAAATACGAACTAGATTCGATCATGATGTCGACGAGATTCGAAATTGTTTAGTTTAAAATATTGTTCACCCGCATGAGCGATGGATTAAGAAAAGCGGCAGGATCTAGTTCGAGTTTTTTAGAAGGATCGGAATGCATGCATTGCGGATCATGTTGCTGCGGTGAAGTGGATGATTGTGACGACTGTTGATGATGTTGAAGCATGGTGGGGGTGCTCATATCGGTGGCAGGTGAGTGAGGAGACGAACTACCACGAACGGAACTTGTTTTCGAACTTTCACTTGCCAGACTACTAGGGACGCCTCCGAAAGTGGCCGAGAAAGCGGACATTGGGCGCTTTAATCTCGATAAGAAAGAAGCGACTTTAGCTTGCTCATTCATATCGGCCGTGTAATCTCGCTGATCCGTACTGTAAAACGAGGACACAAGGTTGAAATCCATCTCATCGACGCCCGCGGTTTCAGCTAAGGCCCCATGGCGCATGGTCGTTTGATGTGTCAAGTCCAACGGATGATGCGCCGGCGTGGTTTGCGTTAATTGGTGCTGTTGCTGTTGCTGCCAGTATTCAATGTTATTCAAGAATCCGCTGTCCAGAATTTGGCGGCCAAAAGTCGTATTGTTCAACTGCTCAATATCGACAATCCAATAACCGCCTTTGGACGATTTATGATGCTTGCCGATATGATCGTGCGGCATCCGTGGAAGTTTGCGGAAACAGCGATTCAATGACAGATTATGTCTGATTGTGTTCTAAATTTTTTTTTTTTTTTGGAAAAAGATGAGTAATGAGTGATCGGGTTCATACATATAGCCTATGCCGTATATGGAAGAGCTTACCTGCCAGCCGGTTTCATTAGATTCGTACAAGTGGGGGTACCTCGTTTGGACCCATTCGTAGATTTCCCGAAGCGTAAGTTTTTGCTCGTCCGAGGTAAGGATGGCTTGAGCTATTAACGATGCGTAGGAATGTGGGGGTCGTCTTCTCTTGCGAACCGGGCGTTTTTGTAGCACTTCCGAGAGCATTTGTTCCCGGTGGTGCTGCTGTTCTTGCGGTGGAGGATGTTGTTGTAAATGAGGATGATGATGATGCACAGATGGTTGCTGTTGTAGTTGGGGTGGTGGGACTTGTTGTTGCGGAGGTAAATAATAGGAGGGATGGTACATGGAAGTGGATGGTTGCATGAAATGGTCTTGCGTAAATTGCGGAATGGTTTGCCGAACTTTGAGAAGCCCTTCACAGAATTGTTGTTGTTGTTGTTGTTGCTGCTGCTGTTGCTGATCATGATCATAATCCACGTGGAAATTAGGTTCTTCTGCTTCTTTATTCCAACCGGGTGGTAGAAATCGTGCAGATTTATCGGCCGAATGTTCTTCGATTAGGCCATCAACTTGGCCGTTGCGCAAGTACCGCAGACCCGGCAAATGGATGACGGTTGACATATTAGGAAGCTGGAAATTTTTTTTTACGAACTTGTGTCACTTTGTGTTATTGATGTTTTTCTTTCTTTTTTTTTTTTTTTCAATGGCACGGTTGCACTACGTTGGGGGACGAAACAGAAAAGCAAAGAACCTCTTATCTTTTCATTCACATTATATACGACTTTGGAAGCTCTACTAGGTTTTTTTTTTTTTCCTTTTCTCGTCTTTTTCACAACGGGAAATTTAAATTCAAAGTCGGATGTATTTTCATAGTCGATTGTCGAATACATACAATTATTTCCGAGAAAAAAAAAAGCGGGACGAATAGCAAGATAGGTGAGAAAACACTGTGATAGTTGTATTGGGGTCGGGCTGGGTGGGGGGAGGAAATGTGGAGAAATATACGATGGTCCCGCATGGGAAAAGTGTAAAGACGAAAAGATTGATTCCATAAATCCTTAGTTGCCCCCAGTAGTGGGATAGATTATCCCGTTTTGGCTACATCTGGTTTTATTTTGGCTTTCAAAAAATCTTATTCTAGCTTCCGCTAGATTGTTTGCCCATTCCAGTCCTTCAGCAATATCCAACTCTCATTGACAGGCAAAATAGCATGCTGAAAAAAGCTAAAAAACCTACCCAGCGCATGATATCATGCGAATTGGATAGCCAAAAGGGCTAAACTCCGCTAATAATATGACATCATTGACTGATGCCAAAAAAAAGTCCACCCGACCCAGGATGAAACCTAGACCATGTTAGGAAGGGTTGTCATTGCATTGCGACCCCCGTTGATCCTTCCACACACACATCATTTTTTTTTGGTTACACAAGTCACAAAATCCAATTTAAATAAGAGTAGAAAAACTTTACATATCAAATTTTTTCATCTTTACCTTTATTCCTTCGTTAAATCAATCAAGTAACAATGTTTGAAGGTACTCCCATCTCTTTTCAATCAATCTCTCCACTGTTGTTTCTTGCTGGCCCGATACAATCCGAAAGAAGCAAGATCAACATGCATCCGAAAAAGCGAAAAATAAAAAGAAGATTATCACGATTCTGACCAGCATTTAATTGTTTAGATCAAACCACAGCTGTCACATCCACTTCCGGAGCCGTCGTTTCCACCCCGACGCGTTTTCTCATGGAGTGTGGCGAATGGAATCCTACGCCAACGTTTGGATCCATCGTGAATGAAATCAACCCTTTTGAAGTTCAGTTCCAAGGATCCCGTCCTACCTCCAAATCCGATCCGGTGACTCCACCCAGCGCCAACGCCACCAAGAAACATTTACTGGTATCACCGCCACAACATCCTACCGAACCACCATTGACTCCACCCAGTCCATTGAGTATCAGTCCTTCCGATACCATGATGGATGGATCTGTATCCCAGTCACAACCTCCCGCAGATCAATCACATCAGCCATCCGTTTCTTCCACTTCCATGTTTCGCCGAGGCAGTGTCAAACGGCAGTCTGAATCCAAAGAAAGCTCGGCCGAGCCCGCCAATCATTCAGGTGGCCGCAAACGACGCATCATTTTCGAAGGTGAAGACGCTGAAGATGAACGCAAAAAGTTCCTCGAACGCAACCGTGTGGCAGGTAAATTTCATCACTTTACCTCATCTCAAATGTATCAGTCTATATTCATTGCACATTTTTCTCTTTTAGCTTCCAAGTGCCGACAGAAAAAGAAGAAATGGATGCAAGAGTTGGAACAACGGTCCGAACAAGTGGCCAACCGTAACAAGGAACTCCATGACCTGGTATCACAGCTTCGTGAAGAAACCATGTATTTACGCAATCAACTATTGGCCCACGGCAACTGCGATTGCACCGTCGTGGTAAACATCACTTTCACTTTTTTCCGCAGTTTCCGGTTAATTTATAATGAATGACAAATGCTCATGTCGTTTTTTCTTTTTCTGTTACAGCAATCCTACTTGCGAAAAACATCCGCTCAAATCACAAGTTCAGTAGCTTCGGCCGCCGCTGAATCGACAACCACTGTACCTGTCCCTCCTACAACCAACCACAACTTCTCCAATATGGTCAAGGCCCCGGAACAGTCCACTGGCTGGACCCCCTTTATCAATCAAGCGGCCATGAAAGCGGACTACTTTTCTCAAACCACTTTACCGGAAGCTGCTACCCAATCGACCTGTTAAAAAAAAAAAACAAGTCTCCCCCGAAAGCATCATCATCATCCATTCTATTCTCCAGTGACAGCGAATTTCTACAAGCTTCTTTTTCGCATTCCGCCATGAATTACCGATCGATCACCAACAAAAAAAGGATAAACCTACCGCCAAGAAGCCCGAAAATTTTTTTAGTCCCAACAGAAATGCGCAAAAATACTGATGATAACGACCCAAGACGGCAAAAATGCGGACCAGAAAACTTAACCCCCTATCTTCCACATCCAACCTAATTTTACATACTTCCACTTTCGTTTGATTTCTCACCAAGTGCGCCAAAAATTTATCGATTTACTTATCCATTCTGACATTTTCGCTTTCTGGTGTAAAAAAAAAAAACCCTTTCTACTGCTTCATTACCATTATGTCGACATTTTTTTTTTCTCTTTATCCATTTCACACTTTTTCTTCCTCTTTCTTTTCTTTTTCTATTGACTTAGCTCTCTCATTCTCTATGTAAAAGCCCCCCCCAGTATAGTCTTATTCCCTCTTTCATGGTACTCAAAGCAACTGGCGCCGTGCTGTGTATATAGTTTTTTTATCCTTCTCTTTCGTATATTTGTTATGATGCAAAATGAGTAATATATATTTTTTTTATCTTGCAACAATAACTCTTCATCAGACAACTGTGGGTCAATGTATGACATCGTGCTGTGCTCCAATCACGCAATTTAATGAGCTCTTGATTTATCCATGACTTTTTGCGTTTGGAAAAAAACAGACTATCTTGCCATCATCTGACCCTTTTTTTTTTCTCAAACTTGTCAAGAACCATGCTTCCAACTGGACCTTGTGGGTTGTGATCGAACACATCCGGTGAAAACAAGTCTTGAAAGACTGTATTACATCATGGTCCCCTTCAAGTTCGCAGTACCCTTTTTTTATTTATTACATCGACGATCTCTGTGTGTTTTTCTTATTAAATTAATGAGCTTACAACCTTTCGCCACTCATCCAACTTATTACACAAGTCAAAACAACACTAGGCTACTTTAGGTCATTGGCTAAAATACTCACTTCTACATTTTGGACATGTAATAACCAAATCAAGGAACACGGACTTTATTTTCATCATGCCAATCTCTGTTTTTTTACTGTATAACCTGTAAATAAATACGCTGTACGTCACATCCAGTAGTCATCGTTATGATAAATCTCGTTCATGCATTTTTTTTGTTGGTTTCTGCATACCTTCTATCTATGCGATACACCGGTTGTCTGACTATGGTAGCGCATACGTCAACCCTAAAGTAAATATACTGTGGCACGTGGAACTCGACAAAAGGATTACCTTCTTGGAATAACCACGCAGGTTTTGTCCATCCTGCGTGTATTTTGATCGTTAGTGCGCTTGGACCATCCTATATTCTGCTCGTCGCCAGATCATCAGCTGCTTCACGGCACATGGATAGAGAGCCTTGATCCATGCAGATCCATCAATCAAACCTGTCCCAACCCCCAAACGAGAAAAAAAAAAATGTTTGTTCTTTCGCCACATCTGTTTTCCTTTTTACTAAAGAAATAGACCGTATCGGAACTTTTTTCCCGACCATCCTTACGCTGTGTGGTTACGTCAATTTCATCACGCATCGATTGTCAATCACAAGTCACCAGTTATCAACGGATTTTGGTTGACCTAATCATGCTTTCTCTACACACACACGCACACACACACTCAGCCTTGAAGCACACCATTTTACGTTTCCTCATATGACCATTAAGTCACCGTATCCGTTCCTTATGTTATCTTGCAGTCCAGGCTATATCCGACAGCTCACAACGCTATTATTTAGATTTTTCTTGGGCCATGCCAGGAAAAGTCTATCACGGTATATATACCACTTTCAGTGTGCCGTAATGTGTATAGTCGGTACGCGATACAAAAACTTTGATATATATGTCGTAAAACACTGGTAGAGATGTTACACATACAGTATTCGTTACGATAGATTTTCCGCAAAAGCAACATGGCCTTATACAAAAGTGAGATTGAATTTAAAATATACGCAACGTGAGAAACCTAGAACTGTTCGTCTAACCAAAGGTCCACATCCTCGTCTCCACCGCCCTCGGTGTGATTGCTTGGTGTCACTGTATTTAATAATGATGAGAGCCATCCTAAACGAAAAAAAGCATTTGTCTCTGTGGCTATGCTCAAATTATTACACAAAAGACGATAATGAACCATCGAACGGCCGACTTACTAACATCACTAAGGCAAAGGAAAAAAAAAGCTGACAATCTGTTAACCTGAGTGCCGGTTCACCAGACCAATACTGCACTGTGTATTTGTTTTAACTGTGTACGCCTTGATTAGTTACACTTTGCTCTGGCCTTGTGTTCTAGGGAGACTGTTTTGAACGAGACTGTTAAGCTCTCGCTTTACAACGTAAACATAGTGGCTACTCAATCTATGGGTAGTATATGGACATAAACATAAGTGAACAAAAACTGCTACCCAAGGCATAATACTTTATCATACAGTACGACACTCTTGAGCATTCATAATGAGAAGTAAAGAAATGCATTCTACAGTATCATCGATGAGTTTGAGGAAGAACCACCTAGTGCACAGTAAATTCAGGACATTCTTCTTGTTCTAGTGCTGCTTCATGTTATTGTATTTTGAAATGGAGAGATGGTAAATCAATTCGACAAGGTATGCTCTTAAACTTTTGGAAACCCGTCTTTCTAAAATAACATTGATTTGGTCTCTGAGCAAATTTGTACACAACTAGGTTTTGCTCTTTTGAGAAAATAAGTTTTTTTAATACAAACATCAATCAAGCCATGGTTTTATGCATTTCCAAGAAAAGGGTGGATGTTTTGAGACGAGATTGCGATTTTAGAATAAGAGGTTGTCTAACTAGTTACAGGTAGGAGATAACAAAAAAAAAAAAAAATGCGAAAGTAGAAAAAATATAACAAGCTAAAGCAGGATAACGAAAAAAAAAGGGATGATATACTTCTACAGTCTGCCAATTTTTAATTACTGCTCTCTGCTGTGGAGGACTCTTTAGCAGCGGCCGCAGCAGCCCTCTTCTCTTCGTACTGACGATGCTTCGCTTCTCTTTCACGACGCTTTTCCTGTTCCTCCTTTTCGTATTCATACAATTCCACCAGTTCTTCCTTGGCTGATGAAGCGTCCTTCTTGCGTCCACGGATAGTGATAGCACCGGAAGTATCGGTCGAAGGACTGGCATCGCCCTTGGAATGAGGGAACTTGACAAACACATTGTATTTGTCTTCCAGTTTCTTCACGTAGCGACCGTTGGGACCAATAAGGAATCGATGGAATTCTTTGGGAACATTCAATGTAAGGGTGACCTGATCGGCCAAAGTATTGACAAGCGCCAAAATGCGTTCCTTGGCCGCTTCCACATTGGTCTTGATACCCTGAATGACGACCTTGACCTGTTGCTGGCCCTTCTTGCCAGACTTGGATGCCGACTCGAACCCATCTCCACCCTTGGCTGCATCGCCAATATCAATCTTTACGCCCAAATCTTCTTTCAACTTGTTGATGTTGGTTCCAGTCTTTCCAATCACGTGAGCGGAATAATTGGCAGGAATGCTGAATTCCGTGGTGTAAGAGTTGACAAACTTAAAAAAAGTTACAGTCGTCAGCCACTCTGTTACTCTGATCCCTTTTCCACTCCTCTCTTTTGTGTTTGGCTACAATGTTCCTTACCTCTTCATGCTTGGCAGCTTCATACACCTTGTTGATTTCAGCAATAATGTGAGAGACTTCATTGGTCAAACCACGGACAATCACGTCATCTTTGGAGGCACCGCCGAAACGAACCGTGGCCGTGGATTCGTCGCCACCAATAATAGCATTCAAGGTGGTACCCTTGGGACCAGTGATCAGACGATGATATTCACTGGGCACCTGAATGGTCTTGCTTACAAAATCAGACTGTCACCAGGAAATTTTTTTGTTGTCAGTACAATGATCCCAATCTATCCATCCTGATCTATCTTCCCCCCCGGTGCCAACAATTACCAAATCAGATGCAATCTTCATAAGCTCAGCCGTGGCGCCTTCCAGAGATTGTTGACGATCCAAAGCTTCGTCCTTGCTTTCAAACACGACAAAAATGGGATCTTCTTCTTCGTTATCCTTGGGAACAATAACTTCCACTCCGTGGCGCGACTTGATACGCTGCAAAGCCTTGGCGTGACGCACACGAATATGACGGTAAAGATGAGGCTCAATATTGACCGTGGCAAAGAGCTCAGGCGTCAATGCGCGACACAATTCAAAACCGGCCTTGTAGCCTTCAGCAGCATCCTTTTCGTTTTTGCTGACAAATTCAAGGGGAACCGAGTTCTTCAATTCCTTGGCGGTAGGAGTACCGACTTGGACCTTTTGCTCGTTTTCAATCGTCTTCAAACTTCCCTTGGCCAGCAAGTACTTCAACATGCATTGACCGTGCTGCAACGAGTTGGGAGCGGATTTGTGCATTTCGGCAAGATCAAGGACGTTGACATGGACCGATCGCGCTTTCTCCATCACAAGCGATAAACCGTTGATCAAGCGTTCATCGGGACCGCGAATAGTGACGTTCTCGGAAGGATCATCCAGAGGAGGCAACTCGACGGTACAACCACACTCGTTCAAAATTTCCTTCAATGTAGCACCATTCTTACCGTAGAGGTACTTGTGCTGGCGTTTCGGGATGCCAATCGCCGCGCTACGATGGGTCTTTTGCAACTCAGCGTAGCGGTCCTCCAGGGACTGCTTGGCCTGCAACACCTTGTCCTTATCACCTGTAATAAGGATTCCGGTCTCACGCTTCGTTTCTCCGTCATCCGTCGTAGTACCCTGGATTAATCCAATCGCGGGCATTTGAATCTTGACATTAAGCTCGCTTTCCAAGTTCTTGACAGCGCTGTCATGAGGACCTGCCAAGAAAAGATGATAGCAAGGATCAATCGTGTCCACACGAATGGTCTGCTTGGCAGCCTAAAAAAAGGGGTATCCATGGTGAGATCAACCGCTTATTTCAATATTCATGATACTTATCACAGGTATTATCTTACCTTTTCTCCCACAATCTTTTCGATTTCTGATTTAGCGATATTGATACCCGCTGCATCGCCAACAATAGTGATGGGCACCATTTCATCGATTTCGGTCTCATGGGAAGGTTCCTCGCCTTCCTTGCGAGGAGGCATATTGATACGAGTACCTGATTTAGTTTCGATTTGTTTCAAGGTGCTGCCTTTGGTACCAATAATGAAACGACGAGTGGAAGAGGGCACCATGACCTCGACGGTACGCTGTGCCAAAGAAAAGAAGGAAAAAAAAAAAGGACTTTACATCAGCCGCCTGAACCCTTTTTTTTTTTTTTCCATTGTCCATCTATACTTTCTTACCTTGACAACGAGACCAGCGACCAACTCTCGTTTGGCTTTGGCGACATCGGTCGGGTTACCTTGGATGAGGAAGGTGGTAGTACCGACACGATTGGTGGAAGCGATGATGTTGGTGCTTGTTTTGCTCATGACCTGCTGAAGCACATCAGCACTGCTTTTGAAACCGAGTGGCTTGCTTGGTTGATTCACAATTTGTTGGTTGGCGGGCAATTCCAAAACATCTGTGATGGATGTGGCGGCCTTCTTTCCGGTTCCAGGAGACCCAGCAGCAGGAGAGTGAGTACGTCCAGAGACAGGCTGGGACTTCACACGCGAAGCGGTGGTGGACCATCCGGACACGACGGGGCTTCGAGGAGCAGCAGCAGAAGACAGAGATGGGAACGCGGATTCCGAGGATAAGTCGAGTTTGGCATCCTTCTTCTTTTCCTTCTTCACGGGAGCCACGGCTACCGGTTTGCCAATAGGCGTAGGATAGTCACCGGCGATGAGAGGATCAGCGAAAGCTGTATTGTCGACCACTACGGGATCATCTGCGCTAGGGACCACGGGCTCATCGACGGTGGTGGTGTCGACACCGGCATGGGCTGCTTCAGCTTGAGCATGACGAAGGGCCAACTGGGCGGATGGCGGCAAAGATTCCAAAACCGGCTGCTGTTGTTGCTCAGTAGAGTCCATATAGACGATAAATTACGCGAAAATTTGACAAGGTTCTTTTGAAGAAAAGGACAGGTAGGCTCAAACTAGGGTTTCTGCTTGCTCACCAAAGAAATACTTGTTGCTTCAGAATATAAAAAAAAACCAAGAAAACAAAGATAAACTTTTTTGATAGCGTTTTCTTCTTTTTCTTTTTGGTCCTTTTTCCTTGCTCAAGAGTGGTTGGGCTGGAAAATAAGAAAAGAAAGGGTTAAAATTTGCGGCCCAATCGTTGCGCGATAAGTCGTTGGGTGGTGCAAAAAATCGGAACGTGGCTTCACCAAACTTATTCACCTGAGTCTGAAAAAATTGCAACCCTTTTTTTTTTTCTATCATCCACACACCCAACACTGACGATGTCCAAACCCGTGGTCATCATCCCCATGGCCATCCATGCCGCATGTCTGGCATGGATGGCCAAGCTCGTCCAGCATAATGTGCCACAGCCTTATATGGTAAAGCAATGATATACAACATTGATGAGAGTGTATTCCTACTATTGTCCACTTGGCTAGCCTATGCTTGCTTTATATCTGCCATCCCATTGATGATTTTTTTGGTCTTTTTGATCAGGACGAAATTTTCCATATTCCGCAAGCACAACGATACTGTTTGGGTGATTATGCAACCTGGGATCCAAAATTGACAACACCTCCAGGCCTGTAATGTGCTTGATCTCTTTTTGTTTTTTTTTTAACACGTGTTTCATGCCATTGACGCGATGCCTGTTTCTCTAGTTATATCATCAGTCATGGTTTATTTCTCTTGGGCCGCGTAGTTGGCCTGAACTTGTGCGATGTGAACAGTCTTCGCATGGTGAATCTTGTCTTTGCTGTGGGACTTTATCCGGTCATTTATGGCCTTTTAACTCAGCTTCATCAAACGACAAGCACTCTTTCAAGAGCGCTTTATGCATTAGCCCTGTGTTGGTTCCCGGTTGGCTACTTTTTCAACTTTGTCTACTATACAGATACTGCATCCACGTTCTTCGTACTACTATCTTATCTATTTGTCCTACAACACTGTTATGCCCTCGCTGCTCTGGTAAAGTCTTGACATTGGACGCTTCAAAGAAATCATTCATCTAACAGTGTGATATGTACAGATGGGAACCATAGCCATGACCTTTAGGCAAACCAACGTTATCTGGCTAGCTTTTTTCATGGTGTTATCCATCATTGACATAGTGTCTGCGCAACCCAAGAAAAAAGACAGTGGGTCGACATTATACAATCCATTGTGGTCTGATAATACCTCGATTGGTAAACTTCCCCAAAAACTTGAGCAAATCAAAACTTGCTTGGCTAAATCGAGAACTTTCTGGTTAGTCGATATTGTGAGGGCTCTGTGGAGTTTGATGGTTGAAACCTGGCGATCATTTCCCGCGATCGCCCCTCGAATATTCCTGTTCATGATGGCTCTGGTCAGCTTTGCGGTGTTTCTCGTTTGGAACAATGGCATTGTTCTCGGTCAGTAAAAATCATGAAAACAGTAAAACAGTGGCAGTTTCCAAAACAAAAAAATCAAGACTAACAAACGACAAATATATACCAGGCGATCGATCCAATCATATTGCGGGACTGCATTTTCCCCAATTGTTCTACTTTTCTTCATTTCTGTCTTTTTTCCTTCTTCCGTGGACGTTGAAGGTCACCTCCATATCAACATGTCTGAGGTGCTTTGCCCATGACAGGTAAAAAATCATCTCTTTTCGGCGGAGATACAAATGGTTTGTTTATTGTGTTTCTAAAGTCACTTTATTCCCGTAGATTGAGGAGTTTACTGACGGCAAGCATCATGGTGTACTTTGTTTATTATTTCACGTAAGAATGCTTGAGTTGATCTTTCTGCAGAAATAACCGGGTGATTGAACCCTTTCCATCATTCAGTTACGAGCACCCATTCTTGCTCAGTGATAATCGTCATTACTCATTCTACGTATGGAAAAACATCTATCGGCGGCATTGGAGCATTCGTTATCTCCTTGTTCCTGTTTACATGGTCAGTGGATGGCTGAACATGGTACATCTCAGTAAGTGCCGGATAATGGGGAGCAAGTTTATTGGATGCTGAGTTTCAACAATTAGGGCGCCACGCCACTATCTTGTTTATGGTTGGGTATGGGTGTGTCATCATACTCACTTTAATTCCATCGCCATTACTGGAGTTCCGGTACTTTATTCTTCCTTTTATGTTTTATACCCTTCATTTAGCTCCTGCTTACCGGGGAAGACGATTTATCCTTGGTCTCAGCATGTACCTGATACTCAATGGATTGACGATGTATATGTTTTTGTATCGTCCATTCCGTTGGGACAGTGTACCCCAGGAATGGCAACGGTTCATGTGGTAAAAGTAGAAAATTTAGAATAAAATTTTTTTTGAGCTTATCTTTTATTTGGCGAGTCGGTGGAAAACTTTCGATTTCAAAAGAACACGTCAAAAAGGATCAGATTTTCACCGACACTTTGGTCGGTGTTTCTAAATGTCGTAATTGCTGGTTTTTCTTTTTCCGTTCATGAGATCAGAATGTTGAGTTTTCCCCCTCCTGCCCAACCTGCGGAAGAAGGAGGGGAACATTTACTTTTTGTTATACCTGAAATTGCCCGATAAGTTCGATATCTGACATAACATTATGTCACCATCAAAAATACCGAGAACAGAAGATGAGATGGTGAGGGTTATAATACCTTTTTAGCTTTAGTGGAAAAAAAAATGTAAAACAAAAAAAAAGAAAAAAAAAATCCAAAAGCATAAGAAAAAATACTTGAAACGTCACAAAAAATAAATTATTTTTCTGAGCGAAAAAAAAAAGGAAGATAAAGCTGTAAAACCAACATTTTCGTCTCCCTACATGAACCTCAGCTTCACCATTCCTTCATAGACACCAATCTCACTGCTTATCAAGCTAACTAATTTTCTGGGTCCTGCGTCTATTATCCTTGTTTCTCATTCAGTGACCGACCGACTCGCCTCTTAATACAACGATTGCACGACTTCTTCCTTATTTCCTTGTTACTCGAATCACTGTCAACTCGGTATTCAATCATTCTCATCGATTCCTCCTTCAATGGACGACTCAGTCTCCTATCACTTTGCCACGGTCAAGCAACGGCGGGAGAACAGACATGAAATGTACGTCGTATTGCCTTATTTTCGCGTTCGTCACACTAGTTTTTTGATATTAACGCACCCCACCTCTTCATTGTTCATTCAGTGAGTACCACTTAGCATTGCGACAACAGCCTAAACAGTCTCGCATGTGCGGTGTGGGCGAGAAAGGTATGTGTTTGAATAAAAAGAAACAATAGAAAGATATACGGTCCAATTCAATGGATTGAATATTAAAAGAACATGTACTAATTGTGTCTTGATTGGCTTTTTTGTTTATTTATTAATTCGATAACAGCGGATAGAAGACCCATTGATCCACCGCGTGAGTGCTGGCATAGATAATACATTTCTTTTTTTTTTTAGAGGGGGGGGGGGGATTGAAGCAGAGTATTAACGCACAGTTGCTAGCCATTGTTCAATTGAAGGTCTACGATCCGTCTACCAGCTACACCGATCGCAAGTAAGCTATTTCCCGGAATTGCCTCCAATCTTGTCATTGGATAATTATCTAATGTGTTTTGCTGTGTCCATTCAGTGCCTATCTGCAAAATCCGTATTATTTTATGTACGCTTCGCTTATGGCTGCTGATCTGGATGAAGAACTTCATTTGTTGGGAGATGGGAAAACACGAAGTACGACAGGTTCAGTGGTCTCGTCCCTGTATCATTTAAAAGATATCGACAACACAGATGCCGGTTTCTTTGTCTTTCCCGATCTCTCTGTACGCATGGAAGGCACTTATCGCTTAAAACTAAGCTTGTTCGAAATTATCGGGTACGATAAATATGCAGGGTGTAAAAAGTCTGTGCGAGCCATCATTACTCATTCATTTTCGTTCTCTCCCTTTTTCTTTTATTTTCCTTCTACGGGCATCATTCTTTCTGATGTATAGAAAAGAAGTATTCCATTGCAAGTCCATCATTTCTGATGTGTTTGTCGTCTATTCCGCGAAAAAGTAGGCTTTTTTTTTCTCAATTCTAACTTGGAACGCATTGTATTATATTAGAGTTGGCTTTGCTTACTTTTTTTCTTTTTCGGCCACGTTATCTAGATTTCCCGGGATGGAAGAATCTACGTTTTTGTCACGATCGTTTGCAGACCAAGGTCTGAAAATCCGTATCCGAAAAGAACTTCGACAACGACGTAAAATCAGTCGACGGAAGGGATCTGAAGAAAGTTCCCCGAATCCTATCGATCTCGACAGCAAAGCCGTCGGCAAACGTATAAAAAAGACTGGATCGACCTCGGCTGATATGTTAGTGCAGGCAACGACGTTATCCGATACTTCCACCCCAGTCATCTCTTCCGATGCTGAATCCGCTCATTCCACTCCCAGTGCACTGTCTTTGGCATCGTCATCCACTCCAACTGCAACCACTCACACCGCCTCCAATCTTTCCCACTCCAGTTCCTCGTTTTACCCAGGTTCTGAAGTATCCCATCGCCACCTTGTGGGAGACACATCCTCTTCCTCTGTTCCCGCCTCCGATATTCGTATAAGCACCTACTCACCGGACGTCCATGCCTATTATCCATGCTATCCGTTGAAAGCCGATAGACCTAGCATCAATCCTGTTCATAATAACCCAATCCATTCCACTTCCAGGGGCGTCGTTGCTGCCAAGACCCCAGATACTGTTTCCTGGACGCCACTCACGGGCCGATCTTCCGACGACGGCACTCGCAGACAAGGTAAATTTTGCTATTACATCTTCCATGAAAATCTTTGTAAATCGCTTTTCGCTCACTGCTCATATTTCTTCTCACTTTCTCTCTCGCCTTTCTGTAAATTGACCATAGATAACAATGAAAATACACAGCACCCACCGTCTACACACTCTATACAACACCATCCATCGCCACAGCAGCAGCAGCAGCAGCAGCAACCATCTCATTCTACCTACTATTTGTCACCTCCTCAGTCCATGGGATTGCATCGTTCTACGCCTTCTAATTCAATAGAACAAGTGGTTTCCTGTGCATACCCTCCTCCTCCTCCATCCTATCGCCCTCCATCGGACACTTATTATCATGCTTCACTTTATCCCTTAACCACGTCCAACGCGATTCATCCTGCTTTAGCCGCTCATTCCCTCAACTGTCCAGATCTATTAGCTTCAAAGTCTGCTGATTCGATGCCATCAGCGGACTCGCTTCATCGTTCATCCTCACGCCCCCAAGGTTATCCCAGTCCATCCACAAGCAATCTATCGACGACGTCGAAACGGGGTTAATCCCACCATCTTTTCCGTTTTTTGAAGCGACACAACTTTTTTTTTTCTCTCCCGTGACATCCTCTTTGGCCGATATATATATCCATTAATGAATGTACTTTATAGTAACAAAAAAACAAGCGCCAATAGCAATAGCAAATATCATTTCCCGGCATCCATCATCTTATTGTCGAAAAAATCCGCAAAATTTCGATAGATCAAGCTGGTGAAAAAACAAAAAAAAAAGTTCTATGTGTAAATTCGTATTCGCTATTGTCTTTTTCTTTCCTGTGCAAAGGTTTTAGATACTAGGTGTACATTATAATCACTGACGCTCAGCGGTGCCTTGAACTAAAATTATCTAATATCAAATGGACGATAACCTTTAATCGCTCTGTGAGATTGAAACCACAATGTCACGCTAAAAAATGGCGGAGCATGAGGGTCCTCACTTCTGAGCCCATCGAAAGAATTAACAACAGAGTGAAACTAGCTCATATGATATCGTGGAACTGACATCATTCGTCATCATTGCAGCCAGTGATTGGGGAACAAGGAAACAGCACTAGCCAGCAGAGAATCCATCCTCTTCATCACATGGTGCATATGAATATGTTAACTTTCTGCCATTCGTGCAATAACCATCTACTAGTCAATTTTTATTGTACAATTGTATCAGACAAGAATGCTAATATTCTATATAATGAGGGAATCGTGATCATCTATGTGCAAAAGAAATAAAAAAGCGAAAATTACAGACCATCTCTCCTATCTGGAGGGTCAACGCAAGCATATATAAACAGTAAAAAAGCAAAAGCATATGTTTGAATGGAGCGGTTAAATATCGACGATTTCGATGCCTTCCGCCGGTGATTCATTTGCAATCATCAGCGTACGATTTTCCATGTCGGAAGGATGCATATCTACATCAGTCACGGGACTATCCACGGTATTCTCTGTCATCACGATATTCTCCGTCATCGTATGGTCTTCGGGATGATATTCTGGTCGATGCCATGCATTATCTTCCACATCGGGGACATCTTCCTCCGATGTATTTAATTTAGCATGGATACGGCGGCTAGAACGCGTAGGCTTTGAGCGCTCCGGCATGACAGGTGGTGACTCCAAAGAGGGATCCTCGTATTCATCCGACTCATCCATTTCGTCTAGTGGATCGTCGAAAGTATACCGTACATTTTTTCTACGGTCGCGCGGCCGTAATTCGCGTGGTGTGATGGCCATTTCCATGGCAATTTGCCGTGCCTTGGCTCGATCTTTTCTTTCCTGTGCACGTTGATACTGTTCCACTCGCGGTATCACATCATCATGGATCCTTTGCAAGAGTTGCCGGTCCGTTCGTGATCCTGATTTCTCTAAATCCTCTGCGAAATCCCGTAGCTCGTTCATGCTCTTGCATACTATTGAGTTTTTTCACAGCCCGTATCAGCATGGACATATGAAAGGTATGAACCATTATTGGCGGGGTGGCTCACCTGTTTCAAACTGATATTTAGGTTTGTTGCTTGGTTTCTCACGCCATAACCATGGTGAATCTAACCCGCATGTTTAGCATTCGTAGGGTAACCTCGGGACTTGTCGCACGTTACCATCAAATTGCCAATAAGTATGTTTTTTGTTATCTGTACCCATTGGAATGCCTCTTGCCGGATTAGTTTCATTTTTGCTTGTATTTTTGCAGAAATGATCAATGGCTGCACGGACAGCGTGACAATCTTGAAGCTGCCACTCAACCAGCGAACGAAGAATTTTGAGCTAGGCATTTTCCATTTTAGTCAATACCGACTTCTTTTTTTTTCGACAATAAAAGTCCACGCTGTTATTTACCTTGATGTTGGGTGTTAGTGAGTGAAAATCTGTGCCTCCTGCCAGCGGATTAGCATTCAGATCGAAATCAAACGATTTCAGTTTGGTGTTGATGAGATCGAATAATGCACGATTGTAATGATTGCCTCTGTACATCCCGTGTTAAAAAGGATCCGTAACCCGCCACATTGTCCTTGAGTCATGTCCACTTACTCTATCGCCTTTTTTCGGTTCAAGGCGTTGCTAACAAAGGCGCACAATAACTCATCCATGAGATCCGGGTTGTTGCGAAGAAGAGCATTTTCAAGCATCTAATAATTGATCATGGAAACGTAAGACACGCAAAACGTTGGATGATTCTCCTTTTGATCCTATTCTCTACGCTCTCACTGTCTCTCTGTTTAATTTCCCCAGTTATCGCTCATATTCCAACGTACATCGGGTTGAAACGGAGGAAATCCGTGAACGCCTGTCAGATCGGTCGCCGATCCGAACACGCTGACGAACCCATAAACGAAGGCTAGCTCCCACTGTTCCTCGGAAGTCCAGCTAACAGGATCTGTATCATTCATCGAGATAAACCGATTGGGGAACGAATTTACCAAGAAAGCAAAGAAATAATTAAAAAAAAAAGGAAATATACAAGCACACGCGACGCTGTTCTTTTCAGCGTCCAACGAATAAGGAAAAAACTATCTATGGTGAATTTTTCAAGCACCGAAATGGTAGGAAAATCTCTGATGCACGGTTTCCAATAAATCATGATGTTCGTCCGACGTCAAGTAGACAGACGAATATAGCCGTGTTTGCCGTCGATGATTGAAATCCACCAATCTGCCGACCCATGATGCTTTGAGAGCTTTTTTTCCTTCAAAGCTTCGCGTTGGTTTTCTTTTGAATACGTTCGGCTCTTCCAACAACGTGAGACTGCTGGCGGGCGTGATGAGAGAACTTTCCGTATTGGGCGTGCCGTTTTTTGGCAGTAAAAGCGAGTGATCGTCAGCACTCTGCGTGTCTGATGGTTGGCTGTTGTTACCGTCCACTGGGTAGATGTAGTCCCATCCGTGACCATACGATCCGCGGCGGTCCGTTAGACTTCGAGCATTGCGATCGTCGAGCTGGGGTTCTACTGGTTGTGAAAGCGTGGGCAAATCCGATATGGAATGCGCGTAGCTGTGTCTGAATTGGGAAGCATCGATTTTATCTCTTGGAGATCGCAGATCGTACACTTGCTGATGAAGCAAGTTGTGAAGTGCACAAGGATAAAAGTCATAATCCGGACGCGGTAAAAGAACGCATGGCTCAGTTTCAATGGGCTTGACAATGACCAGCAGTCGAACCGAAACGGGTTTATCCCAGGACGCGTGACGATGGCGGCGGGCCTCTCGGGAGAACATATCCACGAGGGTCATTTTCTCTTTTTCTTTACAGACGTGCATGTCTTCCAGTTCATCGTCCGTGTCTGTAAAATGCCGGCTGCTTGGTGGTACAGGCAACGACAGCTGGGATGTTTCCATGACATCTTCATCCGTGATATCGCTCGACATTTCAGCGCTGTGACATACGCCGGACGGGGACCGTTGAATACACACCGTATCTTCAAAAAAGATATCCTTCAGCTGCACATCGATCCCTGTCATACCTTGCAAGTCGGAGCATCCTTGCATCAACAGACGCTCAAAAGGTTGCGCTTGGTGGCGAAGTTCTTTTTGTTGTTGTCGGTACATTTGCTGCATTTCCTTGGTGAGAAAGTCGTACTCATGTTCCAGGTCCTTTTCGCCGTATTTCGACAGTTTCTGAAACCAATCCCATTCCTGACTTGTCAAACGGGCGTCTCGACGCAAACGAACACAGGGAAGCATCTGCTCGCGATGTTTGGGTAATAAAACTCGCATGCCACATCGAGACGACGCGCGCACACAAAATAACGCCAGGTACAACCCGTCGTCCAATTGACACGACTGTTCTTGTACAATGTCGCGTACGGAAGTCCAAATATTGCTAGGTGTGTGTCTGAGACGAAACACGGAATGGAGCTTGCAGGGCGACTGCCAATGGAGGTTGCCTCTGATCTGGTAGCTGGCTGAGGCCGGTTGCAAAGTGACGAGTAGCTTAAAAGCCGGACGGTCGTACTCGACAATGTGATGGAAAAGTTCGCCTAAATGGCACCCTAATATCTCGGACAAATGTCGAACCGCGGCCAAAAATCTTTTATAAAAGTCATCGTCCTCTCCCCCGTTATTCTCTTGACGATCGCTGAATTGACCGGATACATTTACATAGGCGAGTGTGCCAAAGGCTTCGGATGCATCCGTGCACCCCAAGGCATACCATGATAACGATTCTTCCATCACTTTTGCGAATCGGTCGCTGCTGGTGGTGAAATCGTGATAAGCCGACTTGTTGTTCAAGAGGATGGGCCATGTCGGCAATTGCCCAGCGGACGTCGTCAACAGTTCGCCACGATCATTGAATATCACCGATGTCAAATAAATGCTGTAAGATTTGGGCTTAAAATGCAAGCTATTTTTCCGAGATTTGAAAAGAGCATGAAAATAGCTCTTGCATCAACGGGTTACCTTCACACACAGAAATAATAGTTAAATTCCTCATAGTTTACCTTTCGCTTGGTCATCAGAAATATATCGGTCAAAAAAAAAACAAAAAAAAAAAGAAGAGGTCAAAAAAAAAAAGAAACAACAGAAAGAACAAGGAACGTTGCATACAAGAGCTCTCGGACGATCAGATTAGTCCCATTCTCCTTTCAAAAAAGAAAAAAAAAGTTGAGCCCCTTACTACTGACTGATGTTACCCAAGGAGAGCAATTCAATGCAGTCAATTCGGCGACAGATTGTCTTGTATTCGTGCCACACGTGCACCAGGAGTTAATTACCTGAAAACTTGACACTTTTTTTATCTTTGTTACAATACTATCATAAATATCATCTAACAAGGGTGTACTATAGTTAACATGTCGTTGATCCCTCCAAAGATATTGCGTTGATATTCTACTTGGCCCTACTGCTTTGAACAACCATTGGCCATGAATGAAAATGGACGGAGAAAATTCGACAAGCCGGTCATGGTTTGGGTATAATCGAGATGATCCAGTCCCTTTCGCTTTTGTTATTTTTTGTTATTTTTTGTCGTTTCCCTTTTTTTTTCTACTTTTTTGTCTTCAAATTCATCGAGCTTTTTCGTTGTTCCTGTCTTTTTTTTTTTTTTTCTTTGTGGACTCCCTGACGCTCGAACCGGACAGCAATCTGTAGAGCGCCTATGGCTCGTAAGAATAAGGAACAGACGGTTCGCATCTCGGAATCTTATTGTCCGCGCAGTTAAACATACAAACTTAGACATGCCGTCGTTCTTTAGATCCCTCATCGGTCTCTTCCTGCCGGTGCATTGTACGAAGTACGAAGTGTCGTCATTCCGGCTTCAACTATCGCTCTGCGATCCCAGTTTAGTAGACCTCATGACATTAGCAGATACCATTCACCGTTGGATAATCTCGCTTCGTCCGAGAGTGAATCTTCGGAGGACGAATCGACCGAGATCGAGGATCTGAAAGCCGTAGTCAATAAGCGTGTGAGCGAATCGGGAAAAGTGCAATATCAGATTGTCTACAAGAACAATAACCACTTGATGTGGGTAAGTGGCCGACATGATAAACTTTTGCACCCATTCGACACTGGGTCGTGTGGATAAAGAAAAGAGTCATGGAACCCGGCATTGAGAATCCACTGTTTCCAATTAGATTTCACCCCACAATTTGCGACCCAAACACTGGGATCAAGTGGAAGCATTTGAAAATAACCGTTTTCGGGAACGATTTCGCCATTCATAACCCAAAAACTATACTACCATTTTTTTATATAATAACAACCAAGAAAGATATATACAATTTGCCGCGACGTTTCTTGCTACCGCCTTAAACGCATAAAAAATGCGTTCTTACTGAAAGGACTGTCGGAAGGCAGATATTTATCATAAAAGTTGACAATAAATTCTTCTGGTTTGAAACCGAATTTTTGATACAGAATCTGCATTTTCCCCCATCCCCCAAGAAAATGTCAATCATGTGCACACGATACAACAACCTAATTATAGCTTACCATAGCATTGTTGTTGGCAGATACATGCAACGTGACGTCCTTGCTGATCGCCGTCTGTGGTTGTTGAAAACAACAAAAAAAGAAAACAACAGCAATGATGAGAAATGATGTACTGTGACATAAATAAAATTCCATTGCTTACCTGAAATAAATGATACAGCATAAACCTTTTTTTTTTTTTTTTTTTTTTTTTTTTTTTTTTTTTTTGGAAAGCGACATTTGATGAGCGTTTCGTCATAATATGATTTGTATACCCCACTTACTGTCCGATACCAGCATCTTCCCAGCCAGGTGACACAGCAATATAAGTAATATAGGCTTCAGGGGTCATAAATGCACACGCAATAACGCATCGTTTATACAGTACTACAATGCTGAATTCCGGGAATTGCAGAGACTCGGATACATCAATGCCATCCCAAAACGACCGGCAAAGCATCTGATTCACTTGCTCCAAATGCTCCGACTGGAAATAGACGTAATCAATGCTAGCACCTCGATGCGTAAGGTGATCCACGGACTCATGGTAGCGTCGTTTGGGTTTCCCGTTGGCTTCTTGGATTTGTAGCAGCAATTTCATCCGGGTCGGCTTGCTTTCAAAATCTCGGCGAATATATGGTCGTAATTTCCGTCCATTCCACGGGGATAACCATGGATCATCGCGTGTGATCGTAGTACTTTTCCGCGGTAATCCATACAATCTCGAAGCAAAGGAATGCCGGTAAGGTGTGAAGGGGATTTCAGGAACCAATGTTTTTGATACATCGGGTGTGGCAAGGTCATCCCCATCTTCCACCTGATTAATAGCAGGTTTAATGACAGATGTTTTCGACATGACTGCCATGTCCGTTTTGGAGCGTAATTGAGCGGCCACCACTGCATCGAGATCAAACACTTTCATACCAAGGTTTCGTTTCAACTAGATCATACAGCATCAGATACCCATCTTGCCTGATCAATTGGGACGAAGAAAAGAGTTTCACTTACACGTCGTACAGCCAGCTTTCTTTTGAAACGCACCGCAAAGGAAGGTAACGGTTTGGAGGCATGATCTAATTTCTGTAACAGCGACCATTCATCATGTTGCGTGAGCATCGCTGTATATGGTTTCTTGGGGGTCGGTTTCTATACTTTTCACATTAGTATCAAGTGAAAACTGCCAGCTGATAATCGTATCAAAGTACCTCGTCCCTGGGAGGTTCCTTGGCATCCTTGATTTCCTTGGAATCTTTGGTTTCTTTCACTTGATCGCTCATGTTGCCGTCTTTGGCGATTTCTTTACTTTTCGCCTTCTCCACCACCTATCACCTCTGATGAGCTGAATGCCCACATCGTGAAAAAAATCATTCATACGCGTTACCTCTGTCTGAGCGCCTGCAATGGTTGACGGAGCGACCGGTGGAAGTTGGGGGGTATGTTCTTTGGTCGATACGTCGATAGGGGAGGCAGATGGCGTTGCTTGCTTTGATGTAACTGCTTCGTTTTTTTGTCCATCGGCTTCTATCGGTGCTTTTCGTTTACTGACACTATCTGTGTTTGTTCTTGAATCTTGTTTATAATGGGCTGCAGATGTCGCGGATGGTACGCTAGCTTGGTGATGTTTCACTTTATCCAACGGTTTGTGGGTATCGTCTTTCTTTTTCGTACTTGCTTGACTTTTGGGTAATGAAACGGCCGGCGTCTGTCATGATGAGTTTAGCATCGATTTCTCTTGATGTTGTACCATAAATAAATTCGGCACTATTCAATACAACTGATACCTCATTATCGCTTTCCGCAGAAAATAGCTCCTCGTCTGATGATAACTCGGACAAGGAACTCAGATCATCATCCAGCGCGTCACCTTCTTTTTCCTAATACACCGATCGTCAGCTCATATCTCGCCGAGTCTTTGATAACATCTACCACTTACTTTTGTGAGAGGTGCCGATTCTTTGCGGGTTTTCAGTTTGTTCTGCCGTAAACTACTCCGCCGTGACGATTGCCTGACCTGTGCAGGAGACTGAACTTCGGTGGTTGACTCTTTTCGTTTTGGTCGCTTTTTGGTTGCGTCAGCACTGTCTTGTTCTCCTGAAGGTTCCGTTGCTCGATTTCGCTTCAGTGGTTTTTTCAAGGTGGGTTTGATGCGCGGAGGTTTCGCCTTGGTATCTATCGAAACGCATCGAGTCAGCTACCAGTTCAAGCATACAGGCAACCCATATCCTTACCTTTGACAGGCGGTTCTTCTTTATGCAACGTCCACCAAGCTAAGGAAACACACAAAAAATTCGAAGTAAGAACCTATCATCGAATTGACAGCTGCACAGCATTTTGCATAATTACCAGACTGGTGGAATTTTTCAAACCCAGACAAGAAGATGCTGCTGTGGGTGGACAAGACACTGGCGATGGTGTTATGCCAAGTCACAGATCCTGCAGGGAGAAATATCGACGTTCAGTGATAAGTTTTTTTGACAAGGACACACTGCATTACTTACGTTGTTTACCAGGAGCAAGGTATTCCCAGTAATCGTCAATAAAGGCACACACGTCTTCTTTCCAGCGAAAGTATTTGTGATCGCGGTCTTTGGACAGATCCGCTTGTTTCATGAGATTATAAATGACCAGATGCACGATGGTCACCCAGCTCATATTGGTCCGTTCATACGTTTCGGGACCTTGGGAGCATACTGAGCAACGAAAGTTCATAAACGTATCACCGTAAAGTAACCGTTTCGGTAGGGAGTTGATACAATCTATGCAACAGGTTACACTGAAATGTCCGTTCAAGACGACACTTGCCCGCCAAAATTTTTTTCCTTACCTGCATGGAACCATTGCTGACAAGAATCACATTGAACCATAGGCTGATCGCTGATGTAATTTCTTTGTAAGTACAAATTTGGACGTTGGACCATTTTCATTTTGCCTTGTACCTTTTCAAAGGTCCTCCGCAGTAACAGTACTCATTCTCTTTATTCTGTTGGTGATCGTTCGTCCAGGTCAATGCCGTAAGCTGAAAGAGACAAAAGCTTAGTCGCTTTAATAATGCTTTGCGTAATTTAAGGCCATGCTTACATCGTATGGAAACTCCTTCATTGCATGATCAGCATGGACGCCAAATGGCACGTCGCGCGGCAAGATCTAGAGAACGGGCGAACAGCTGTGACTGTCATTGATCTCATCGGTCTCCCAACTTGAGAATCACATAGTTTTGATTTACAAGAGTGAGTGGCGCACAAAATTAGGGTCGTATGACCTCTCTTCTTCTGTTGTAATAGGTTGAGTACTATTACTTTCTTATTAATGATGTCTTGGTTTGTCATCCAAGAATAGCGACCGATTTTGTTTTATCCAATAGCTAGTAAAAAAGGTTTATGGCCAAGAAAAAACCATAAATTGCAATATATTTCTTATTTATTTGTGCATCGATTGGCAAGAAGCAATCTTGTTTAGGTTGCTGTGAGTATCCACGTTATTAGTCATGCTAATAGTAAAAAGGAAAACTTTATGCGGTAATCACGTTTAGGTTATGAACTGGAGATACTCTGGAGATCAACTACCTCATTTCTCAAAAAACCATTTTGTATCAAGAAATAACCATCATGCCACAAAAAAAAAAAAAAGCCAAAGTATAATTCTTCGCAGCTGCATCGTCCTTGATATTTTGGACTTTAGATGATAAAAAAGTACACAAAAGCCGATCTGAGCTAAGCGAGGATGCAACTTACTGGTTTAGTGCACAGACCAGAAAAAGCACAGATGAAACACAAAGGAATTCAGCATTGGCTTTAGTATGTGTCAGGATCGGCAATATTTACCGCCTCTTTTATTGGTTTACACTGTCATTTCGCTCACATGGACTGACGTAATTCTTCCACTGGTTCACCAACCTTGCACCGTTAAAGATCACAGCAGCGCATGCGTGTCAAGCCCTACTTTAACAAAATGGGCCTGTTTTTCTTATTGATCGCGACATTTGTCGTGGCAATTCAATAATCCAATATAATCAATGTGAAAGTGCATCAAAGAAAGTTACCGTAGCTCCAATTTTACAAAAATGGATTGTTATCATTTTTATGGCGCATAAAAGTGGTTAGCCGATGAAAACACCGATCTGCAATATACATTCACTCCTTTCTATTGCTGCTAGACTTTGCCTATGGACGATGATTGGAAACTATAGAGAACATTATAATGTCGTCCAAGATTTGGTGAACAAGGCACATATCCAACGTATGAATCATTGCAGAATCATGTCACTCCTTATGGGTTTTCAATGAACTGTCAAGGAGAAAAGGTTCAGCAGAATGCAAATAAAATATCAAGAACATAACTACAAATTAATACAACGAGGAAAAACCCCATAGGCGAATCGATTGCGAAGGATAGATTGAATGTTTGCATCGACACGTTTTGGTTGCCAATTTACCAAGACCTCATGTTCCTTATGACAGGATGAAAAAGAAAAAAAAAAAAGTCGTTTGAGAGGAAGCTTATCCGAGAATTTACTATGTTTCTTTACTCCTGTATTACTGTTTCGGTTCGTGCTTTTGTAAAGTACGTCATCTTGTTTTGAAATTTCGCAAGAGCTTCCACTTTGGTCTACTGTTGTGCGTCATTCAGGTAAAGAAGTACTGTGGGAAGTGTGAGTTGGCGCGGCCCACGATTGAGAAAAAGCGCGGAGTAGGACGAACCCCGACGGTGAGAGAAGACTCCTCTCACCAGTTATCTGGTGTTCTCTTTGGGATAATGGGCGAGAATATCTTTTTTTGGGCTACTGAAGCCGTGATGCGGATAGGATAACTGTGTTTCAAAAGCAAGAAAATCAAGGTTAGAGTTTTTCTTATAGATTTCATCATCAACCGGGAGACAAAACGTCCCGTGACAATCTATCAGTTGTGGGGACCTTTTTTTGTGCAACATCATCAATCTAACAATATAAAGAAATAATACGGAGGGAAATTTATTTCTAATCTTTTTTTCTTTTCCTTCATTTCTTCTCTTAATCCTTTTTTCTTTCTGCTCTTCCATAATCCTCTTTTGTGATGACGGAACGATCCAGTCTACTCGATCGACGCCGAACGAGCAATAATCACACTTATAATACTCTCAATGTCCCTTTACCCCCACCCTTTGAAGATTTACCAAACTCCGCCCCACCGACCGCCACCGTTTTTCACACATCGTCTCAGGGCACTCCCGCCGTCAGTCCACGAGGCGAACATCGGTTCAGAATCTTCAATAAACGCACAGGGTACTATGACGACGATCGTCAAGGATTGGTGAAAGAGAACACAGGTGTCAGAGTATGGAGCGAATCCTACTCCAGTATAGGCAAGTGCCACAGACTCCCCCTTTATGCTCGTTGGCAGCCAGTGAACGACCACTGCGGTCCATTGAAATGGATGTTTTAATATGTTTTTGCATAGATTGGATCCACGATCGTATCAAGGAAGGGGTTCGTTTACGAAAATTGCGCGATGGACCGGGATTGCGAGGTCAATGGGAGAAGGCCAAAGATGCATCGCAAGCGTGGATTTTGGTCACGATCATTGGAGTCACGGTTTCTGCCTTTGCATGGTTCATTGATGTCGTGCAGGAATGGATGTCGGATCTCAAAGAAGGCTATTGCACCACTCACTGGCGCTATAACCATAACTTCTGCTGCTGGGACAAATCAGGTACATGTAAAAAAGATAAGAAAAAAAATAATCCCCGCCAATCCAAATCCGGCTATTTTAGTTCATGCGACCAATCATTCCACAGTGAATTAACTGACTTGTCACTTGATCTCCATTTTTTTTTTCTTTTATGTCTTTTTTTTATATATAGAATATGAAGCATGCTCCGACTGGAAGAGTTGGTCAGAAGTATTCAATGTGGAGACAAAGAGCTATGGGATTTATGTGTCCTTTCTCATGTATACGGGATTTGGTGTAAGAAGCCAGTGAACTGATAGATGGTTCGTGCGTATAAAAAGGCGAAATGGACTAAAAAAATATGAATTATGCACTATGTTAGTTGCTATTTTCACTGGTGGCGGCCCTGATGGTCAAGTACTCTGCGGAAAAGGTAACGACCCGCGTTCCATCCAAACCGGCTCCATTTTCGAAATCGCCTTCGCTCGCCTCAATGCCACGTGATATCTATGTGGACAATACCCCGACGATGTTGAAATCCAACGAGCCAGAGTACAAGACGGAGACAAAAATTGCTTATTACAGTGCGGGTTCGGGCATTCCTGAAGTCAAAGTGATTCTGGGCGGGTTTGTTATCAAAGGCTTTTTAGGGATCAAGACCCTGATGGTGAAAAGTGTTGGCATGGTAAACTCCGCTCGCCTGACATGAGGGACCAGCAGATTAAAGTAACCTTATTCAGATATTTTCTACATCAGCCGGCCTCACCTGCGGAAAAGAAGGTCCCTTTGTTCATCTCGCATGTTCTGCCGGTAATATCGCATGCCGTCTGTTTGCCAAGTTTAACAAAAATGAAAGTAAGTAGTATCTTGCAGGTGTCATCCCCCGAGACTTTTTAGATGAAGCGAAAAATTTACCGGTTTCTTTTTTGTTGCTCAGGCAAGCGTCGCGAGATTCTGTCTGCTGCGGCGGCGGCCGGTGTATCCGTGGCTTTTGGGGCTCCCATTGGTGGCGTGTTGTTTAGCCTGGAAGAAGTCAGTTACTACTTTCCTATCAAGACCATGATTCGTAGTTATTGTTGTGCTATGGTAGCCGCCACCATGCTAAAGGTAGCTTTATTGTGGATTTGATATTTGGGGGGAGCGGACATGCGCGGAAGGGCTATGCAGAAAATTTAGGCGTGTCGATTTACACCGTGTTTCGTAGATTGCGGACCCATTTGGTACGGGAAAAATTGTGTTGTTTCAAGTCCATTACGATAAAGAATATCATTTGTTTGAAATGGTTCCTTTCATTTTGTGTGGTGCCTTTGCGGTAAGTAAGCCTAAAACGGTTTGAATGATACAAGAAACAGAAAAAAGAAAAAAATATTCTAAATCATGTGAATCAGGGATTTTTTGGTGCATTCATGACGTATTTCAATATCAAGTATCAACATTTCCGCAGATCCACCGTCATCGGCAAATGGCCCGTGGCCGAAGTCCTTGGTATCATGTTGCTGACAGCCATCAGCGGCTTCTGGAATCCTTTTACAAGGTATAATGGAAATCTATAGGATCCCAAAAAAAATCATGGTATTCACCGTATATCCCCTTTCTTCTACCCAAATATAGACTAAGTCTCAGCGAATTTGCCGCTAACCTCTTTTCGGAATGCTCTCCTAACAATGATAATGCCGGACTTTGTGTGTAAGTACCAGCATGGCTACAGGCACAAAAAAACAAAAGCATCATGTGTATGTGCGCATGTGTATGCGTGATACCATTTTTCTTTTGGTTTCTGTATGGGGGATTTTCTTGCGTTTTTATTCACATTGGAGATGGGTGGTGGGTTGGATAGGATGACGACCGGCGAGATTCCACGTATTCTGTATCTGTTATTTACCGCTTTGATCATCAAAATGGGACTTACGATTATTACGTTTGGTTGCCGCGTCCCCGGTGGTATCTTTCTGCCGGCGCTTGTTATTGGGGCAGTCACCGGTCGCATCATCGGTTTAATTATGCAGTATTTGACCTTGACCTATCCCAACTTGTGGCCCTTTACGGTGTGTGCCGAAGATTTGGCCACGCGTGGTGAATGTGTGATTCCGGGCGTCTATGCGATGGTAGGCGCGGCCGCAGGCTTGGCAGGAGTCACTCGCACCACAGGTACATTGACCCTTGCATGCAGAATAGAGTAGTGATGTCTGACATTGATATATTTTTCTGCAGTCTCTCTGGTCGTGATTATGTTTGAACTGACTTATTCGTTGACTTATGCTCTGGTAAGTAAGCTCTGGCGCGGACATCCATGCTTTCATACACTCACCCAACGTAATTCATGCACGGTTTATTTTAGCCTATTATGATTGCAGTGATGGTAAGTAGTTTGGTTACTATCTGAATGATAAAGGGAGTGGAGCTGTCGGCATCTCCATTATTAGCAGTATTCTGTATAATGGAAGCATCCATTGGTCAGTATCCAAATATTCACGGGTTCTCTTTTTTTTTTTTGAATATGTTAGGTGGCGAAATGGGTAGCAGATGCGATGTTTGTGGAAGGAATTTACGATCTGTTGATTGACTTGGGGCAGTATCCTTATTTGGAAGCACGCAAGGAATATGTGCATACATTGACGATTCCGGATCTGACCGAATATTTACCGGTGATTGATGTGGATCAAACCATTACCGTGGAGAAAATACGTCAAAAGATGGACATTATTGCCTCGTTGGGATATCGCGAAGACGGCGGGTTTCCTATTTTGAGCAGCACCAATGGACTCGAGGGATACATTGCAACAAGTGAATTGACCCATGCGCTTGACCAGTTATTGTCATCCTTTGATGGTATTCCCATGATCTCTGATCAAGATAAGAACGACTTGCCGGTTTACTTCCGAAAATCAAGACGTCATCCAACCGAAGAACAACAGCCAACTGGTATTGGCGCTCTGGTGGCATCCATCATGGAAGAAGAAGAAGATTACACGGGTCATCAACCCTTGAATGACTTTTCACAATACGTCGATCAGGCAAGTATTCCTTGAACCTGACGAAAAAAATTGGAAACAATAGCATACTGACCTGTAATTTTTACAGGCACCGTTAACGATCAACCAGCATGCTTCCATGGAATTACTGATGGAGATGTTTATTAAACTGGGAGCGCGTTATGTGTGCGTGACGCAGTCCAATGGCCGGTTCCTGGGTATCATCCACAAGCGACGACTGTTGGCTTATCTGAAGGAACTCGATGAGGACTGAAACCCCGCCTCCACCGCTTTCCCATTGTAATTTTTGTTTTTGTTGCGTTTGTTTTAATTAGATGTTGCTTGCACAAAATGGGGTACCAGGTCCCCATTGGGCCACCCTGCCATGGAAGGACATGTGCGGTTGTAAATGATTTTGCTGGTACCTTTTTTTCTGATCGTATATAATTGTTTATTTTTTTTGTTATTCCTTTTCATACTTATATCGCCTTTCTCGATATTTTATACTTGTGTGTCTCCATGGTTTTCTTCTCGAAGCAAGAAATTGACACTCGCTGAGTGAGACAGATTGCTACAAAGCAAAAACTCGATCGAGCCTTTGCAAAAATGTGAATAGAAGGCTTTTCATAACTTGTAACATCAATTTTATGTTTATTCCATATATTACAAGTTCAATACAGGTAGAGTTTGATCCGCAACTTGTCGATGTCCGAATCTGTGAATACTAAATGCGCAGTCTTGGATAAGTTTTCACAGCCTTTTGAACTTTTTACTGTATTAAAAAAAAATATGAGAAGAACTTATTGCCTTTCATGTCCTCGAAACTTTTTTCTTTTCGAAGGGTCACAATGGAGGGCCATGCATGAATTTCAACATTGGCATTAGAGGAGGATACAATGGCACCATATCTTGACGCAGGAATTTTAAAAATCGGTGACTCTTCCACTAAAGCTCCAGTCTCCGTGACGTAAAGGCTCGTTCTTGGGACCGTTGACTTCACCAGTTTTGGGATTCACATTGCCCTCGAATTCAGGTTCAAGTTGCAGTCTTGCATCGTCATGCAAGGCTCCGGAATCCTTCATGTCTTGCTGGTTTTTTTTACGAATGAGATCCAGCATTTCTTGCTGTTGCTTCTTATTACCCAGAGGAATAGGACCGGGACGATTCAGGGAGGTATAAGCACGTCGAGAGATGTGTCGAATGGAGAGCATTATAGAAGTTTGATATTAGTGATGAAGCGTAGCAAATTGTCCTTGTTACGATTTTTTTGAGTCTGTTTTTTATTTGTTGCAGCTTACAAGCGAAAACCAATAGCAGTGTCCCTTGTTTGCTAATTGTATCCCCGAATCACTGGTGATGCTTTGATGTCCATTGCGAAAATTCCAGAAAAAGCATCTCCGTGTTTTGTGCAACACTTTTGACAAATGACCATTGCTGTTGTTCGAATTTATCGCAAGCGTTAGCCTTGCCTGACAAGGTCATTTGAGAACTACAGTAGCATGTTTGGTATCTGCCAGCAGGGATCTCTGCTTTTCAGGCATAAATTTTATGCTTTTCATGCAAGTCAACCTCTGAATAATACAACTAGGATATTGTCGCTGACAAAAGAATGCCATCATAAAAGCTTGCAGTGTAATGCACGAATATAGGATTTTGCATTCTCAACATGCAAGAAACATGCAGTGGACGTCGGATGATGATTCTACGATGACTTTCTAGGTCCAGTACTGTGAGACGGGATGGATAGGTAGTGGTATAGGAAGCAATAGATTTATACTAAGCGTTATTGTATAAAAAGAATTGCTGCTTTTTTTACTTTATCTGAAAACCCAATTGGACTTTTCTTGCTTCTAGTTTTTCCTGCTGCACTTTTGCTTGGGGATCCAGCCCTAAGTTTGACTTTTTTACATCCTCGTTTGCCTCGTCTTTCGTGGTTGGATTTTCATTCGTATTGGCGGTTTCCCCGGTGCCTGGGGTTCCAATAGATCCAGCAACCTCATCGAGGACTAGCAACTGTTCAGGTGTAAACCGCATCTCGAAAATGTCAAGTACATATTTGCGTACTGGGGATCGGAAATGATAACTGCCGAGCAATTGGCATACGGAATAATATAGATCCACTCGTTTAAAGTGATCTGGGTATCTCTGTCGTAACCTAATCCACAAATATCGTCGGTTGATCCGGATGGGTATGCCTTCTTTTTTTTTTCCTTACCTTGCCAGATTTTTGGATGCTTCATTCGCCAGAATGTGATTGCTCATATCTCCAGTGTTTTTCAGAATCTCTACTGCGATGGCATTGCTTTTCGCTGTTGCTGGTAGTTGGGGTGGATCGGACAGTGCGGGTGTATATTTCCAGTTACGGATCTGTTTTGGAAAGTGACATCAATGATTCCATCGTCCATCAGCCAGAGAAACATCATCCAGTTATACTTACGCTTAAAAAGTCACGAAGATTCAATGGCACGCAGAGCCCTTCCGCTTCCCCATTAGGCGCAATCATACTCTCCCATCCAAATTCTCCGAGAAGTTCGATACCCTGATGGGTTTTTGCAATAAGTCCCAACACATAGTAGCATGTCCTAAAATTTTTACGGAGAAATCAGAACATGTTGGAACGAAGGTTGAATGTGATGGCGGTTTTCATGAGACAGTGAACGTACCCTTTCAACGATAAAACCTCGCTATTCTCCGCCATGTAGACGATATCTTTCACAATTTCTTCTTGTTCCAAAAAGGGCAGTCCGTTTTTGGTGGCTCCGATATTACCGAGGGCCCACAACACCGCTTTGAGACGCTGGAGATTGCCTGCATCATGATCCTTGACCGAATAGTTGCGAACAAAATTGGCGAACAGTTGAAAATGTCCCTTTTCGCGTAACAGACTGCATCCTTCTTCGGTTTTGGTCAGTTCGCCGTAAAAATGCGGTGGAGTTAAGCCGTCTCCCGGTTGACTAGATTGAAATCTGCAAGTCAGTGGACGTCGGGGCATTTGCGGTGTGAAAGAAAGAACCGGAAAAAAAACTTACAGAACTTCAAAATCATTTTCGCTATCTACACGTTCTTCAAACGGTTTGACGCTCTTTTTGTGAGGGGTGTTTACCAAAGCTCTCGCCAGCGAAAGCTCCAACTGTGTGACATACTGCTGATTTCGAAACTAGAATTTTTCGCAGGTTAAATCCATAGTACTGATGTGAAGACCGCATTTGTATCCCTACTTCGAACCAATCGTCCATTTCCTTATGTACATATCCCAAATCATTGAGGTATCGAAATCCAGTAGATGTTGATAAAAACCTAAAATATCCGTGAGTGTGATCATCGGGGGCCGCAAAGAAACTGGGGGCGGTGGTGCAAAAATTAGACGGGCACTTACCGTAGCAGCAAAGGGTTGCCAATTTCGCCAAGATGGCCCAAACTGGGACGGAATTTCACCAGCAGTTCCAAGTTGGCCGGCTTTTCGCATGCTTCATCCAGCAGGTTCACCGCCATCTGGCAAACATCCAAATGGGTATCGTATAGTTGAGTGACGAGTAATCGGATGATCCAGTCGTTGCATTCGCTTTCGGATTGCTGTAGAATGATGCCCAGGAACTGGGTAGCAAAGAGTCGGATCGGATTGTATCCCGACGTCATAATTTTCGACAATAGGACGCGCGGATGGCCGTCCAAGGTGTAATCCATATTGGTGATAATCGCCATTTTGAGATCGTCGCGATTTCGCAATTCGGACAACTGATAAAATAAACTGAAAATCTTGAATTTCTCCATAATCCGGACCCCGTCCTTGTATTTGCTAAACACGCCCAAAAGCGTAAAGTAGCCACTACTCAGCGTACTTTCCATCCTCTCTTTCGAAAAGATGGGTTCCGTTTCCGGATCGCCGTTGAGTGGATCCAGTTCATTCAACGCTTCGGCCACCTGCGCAAGCAGTTTGTTTTCGCTGAGGTACCGTATCCCGTCGGGATTACTCAGTAGCGTCGAAAGGAGGGTGCAGCCCGTTTTCACGTAGCGAGCCACATTCGCCTTGGTCGCATTGAAAACTGCATTTTGAAAGGACGATAAAAAGCCAGCAGACGTTTGATAAACTTTTTCCCCCGCATAGCCTCCTCCAGTCGCCGAGGATTCAGAAGCGGTCCCTGCAGTAATTCCAATATACTGTCCCAGCTCCATTTGGTATAATCTTTGGTGTTCAAGACTTGACTGTCCATCAAGAGTTGTCGGAAATGAATGTCATCGATGGCGTATCCGATTTTCAGCTTGACTTCGTGCACTTTTTCCTGAGACCGTGTGGCGTTGTCGGCCCGTTGGCCTTTATTCGCTGTGGCCGCTTGATTGGCGTACCGTGTGCGTGCTCGTGTGAGTTTGTCAATGTGAGCGAGGGCGGCAGTGGCATTGTGGCGCACTTGTTCGTCGTCAAAGTTGGAAGCAAGCGCGAACAATTTAGGTAGCGATTGAACTTGGATCCCCATGCGCATGGGAAGCAGCCGCGTCGATAACTGCAATATTTCGCCAATCAACAGGGTCGCTTTTCGAGAAAGATAAATGTCGTCTGATTTCACCATGTCCACTAGAGCCATCAGAATATCCGAGTCAATGAAAATAATAAGGATGATGCTGAGATGATGATCCAGCATCTTCAATCGTTCCGAGTTACTAGCCGTGGTGCGTCCGCTGCCGATATAGGCGCCGTCGCTGGCCGATGCGCCTACCGATGACAAATCGCTCCTCACAGTCGTAGTCAAGCCGAGAGTAGGCCCCGGCTTGTACATTGGTTGGCTGATTTCTGTATCGGGAGAAGGTGCAATTTGGACCGTATGTTGACGACCGTAAAGAAAGTTGTTGTATTCCTGAGGTAACTTGACCCGAAAAATGTCAAAGAACATGTCCAGGACCATTTTCTACATTGAGGGAGGGGACATGAGTTGCGGTCATTCACACAGATTTGTCTTGTTTGTCTGCAAAAACATTTACCTGGGTTTCAGGCACAGGCAGTCGTAGCGCTTGAACCACGGATCGGGCTGCGCGCATATCGTTGGCACACATGTAAAACACGCCTGCCCAACTTTTTAACAGCAGTGTCACCACTTTGGCGCTGTTCTTTAATCTTTCTTCATAATTGGGGCCTTTGCTGGATTCAGTAAACGGTGCAATGATGGTTTCCAGTTCAACACCTGGTCGCAGGTAACAACGCCGATTCGGGGTATCCAAAACATAAACCAGCGCATGCACAAGCAATTCCGCCATGTTTAACGTGCCATCCAACAGTGCTTGCATGAGTACCCGCAAACCGCCCGCACGAACCGTCACTGCCACATCCAGCACAGCTATTCAAAAGGGGGAAAAAACACCAGCTGGTCAATAAGAGTCTCCAATTCCCATAGAGTAAGAAAAAAACACATACTCAGTTCGGCCAACGTTTCCAGACATATGTTCCTTAGACGAGAATCGGTTTGTTCGGCAATCGCGACAATTGCTCGTACAATGCCCTGATGCACGTGCTGAATGCCGCCATACTCGATAAACGCTCGTATCAGTTTGATGATTTGTTCCCGCTCAGGTTCATGAATATCCGAATCGCGTGCTAATGCTCTGAACTTATGGTAAGTCAGAGCCCCACTGTATCATGTTCATCCTCCGTCCTACCGAATAATAAATACGTCCATGTGTGCCTGCATCATAAGTTCAACATCGCTCGCATCATCTACCAAATGACGCAGAGCTCGGATCGCCACCACGCGGATTTCTCTGTTGGGGCTCGCCACACACTGTCGAAGACTACAATAAAGTGTCAGCATGGGTTAAGTTGCCCCATACAAAAACATTACAAAGTAGAATCCTACCATGCAACCAATTCTTTCTTTGGATAGTAGGCATCAATGTCCGTCGTATTCTTCAATATCCGTATAAGCGTATCTAATTTCTCCAGTTTCGACTCTTTTAGTGTGACGGCGTCAGTGACAATGGACGCTTTGACTGCTTTCCATTCGTCGATTTTCAAATGGTGGACAATGTGGTGCATGCGTTTGCCCAATGGCCATGCATCTACAGACAAAGCATATATCATGAGACCATGGCAACAACAAAGAAAGTGGAATTGAGTGTGTACCATCGTCAGGAAACGAAACATTTTCTTGCGCGGCTTTCTGTTTAGCTTTGAAATTGGGGGTGCTGTTGGATCTGGGTTTCCCCCGAGAACGAGAAGCGATTTGTGAAGAGGCTACGGGAAAAGGAGTGTTGCCCGTGTAGTTGTGTTCTCTCAGTTTCAGGGCCACCTCAGGTAAGCCTGCGCCTAGAGTGAATGGTGAATGGTAAGGGATTAGAAACCGTCATTATGTAGTATTAGACCAGCCACACCCACCTTCGTTGGTTCTAATCTGTTCAATTTGGTGATTCAAAGACTCAATGGCCGCGTTGTATCCTTCTAATTGGGCTTCTAGATCCCTTTTTTCCTTAATCTTATCCGGCTTTTGAAAATACGCTTCGAGCATGTTCTCTACGCCCGATTTCATTTTAATTTCTTTATTAAGCTTCGACAGTAACTCCTCGAGCTGTTATACAACTATGCATATTAGTCTGTGTGCCAAAAAAAAAAAAAAGAACCATTGCACTTGTAATGCAACCCCTCACCTTTTGAACCACCATGGCCGACGATTTTGCTGGAGGAGGTGGAGGCGGAGGTGGCGGTGGTGTAGTAACCGTAGGCACTACCGCATCCATCTCTTCTGCCTTTTTCGACAATGCGTCTGTGGATATCGTGGAGGAGGAGGAGGAGGAAACGTGCATGGACAAAGGAAGCAAAAAAATCACGGGACCGGACACTGAAAATAATTGGTTGGCCGACTTTTTCAGAAAAGCTTGTCGTCATACGTCATCTCTGCCGGTTGGGCGAATTTCCTTTGGAAGCTTTGAAATCGTCTTTGCCTTTTTTTTTCTCTCTCTTTTTTCACAAGTGGTCTGAAAGAAAGATAAGGTTTATACATAGAGAAAGGCACCATCGTATCCATTACGACAACATCGGTTCCTTTGTTCACTACCTATCGTTCATCCACCTGTCGAATTACGAGAAATGAGGTCGAATTCGCAACTTCATCACTACTTGCAACAGTCCGGCATGCCGGCGACTTCGTCATCCAATCCTCTTGCAGCAGTCCTTCAATCGGCTAGTGCAGGCACTGGCAATGTGAACTTTAATACGCTTTCGCAACAGTATCCCAATGTGGGGGTGAATCCGGGGATTCCACAGCAACACGCCGCTTTAGCTGGACGCATGCCCACCAGTGGTTCTGGCGATCCTTTTGCAGCCTATGCCGCTCTTGTCAACAACAATGCCGCCAGTCCCGCTTCTCAGAATCCCAATCTTCCCATCAATTTCCCCTTTATTCAACAAGAGCAACAGGTCCAGCAAAAGCTCGCCCAGCTGGATGAAGAAAAGATCTACACGCTAGTTCTCGAATTACTGAATCCAGCTCTCCGAGAGCAAGCTTTGTTAGATCTGAGCAAAAAGCGTGAGCAATACGAAGATCTTGCTCTTATTCTTTGGTATTCATATGGTATGTATTCATTTTTTCTCTTTTGACAGGAGCCTGGAGAAAAAATAAGACTAAATTGCGCTTTCTCGTTCACAGGCGTCATGTCCATTTTGCTGCAAGAAATTGTGGCAGCTTATCCTCTGTTGACACCGCCCACGCTGAGCGGAGGAGCCTCCAACAGAGTATGCAATGCGCTGGCTTTGCTTCAATGCGTCGCAAATCACAATGAAACTCGGACTTTATTTTTGCGTGGTATGTATGACAAGGGCAAACCGTGAGCAAAAAAAAAAAAAAAGGAAAAAAAATTGATGACTTTGGACTAATGTGAATTTTCATGGGTAGCCCATATTCCACTCTATCTGTATCCATTCCTCAATACGACCAGCAAGACGAGACCTTTTGAATATTTGCGTCTGACGAGCTTGGGTGTGATTGGAGCTTTGGTGAAAAACGATAATCCCGAAGTCATCAGCTTTTTGTTATCGACCGAAATCATTCCTTTGTGCCTAAGAATCATGGAAACCGGCAGTGAACTCTCCAAAACGGTGGCTATCTTCGTCGTGCAGAAAATCTTGCTGGATGATACAGGCTTGGTAAGCGAGAAGAAAAGGGATGATTATTATTGTTGATTGGAGAGAGACTCACATGGATGATCATCAGTATTACATCTGTCAGACGTACGAACGTTTCTACGCTGTGGCTACAGTACTTCATATCATGGTGAATCAATTGGTAGAAACACAAGCCATGCGTCTTTTGAAGCATGTTATTCGATGCTATTTGAGACTTTCGGATAATCCTAGGTAGGTTGGAATGGATGGGAAACTGTTGGGTTAATGAGAGATACTGATGTATAGCTGCAGAGCACGAGAAGCCCTTCGTCAATGTCTTCCCGAACCGCTGAGGGATTCCACGTTTCATGCGGCTCTCAAGGATGATGTTACTACGAAACGATGTCTGGCACAACTGTTGCTCAATTTATCGGACGGTATCAACTAGAATTCGGGTTTTCAAGGGGATCATTATTGCTATGTTTTTTTCTTAATCATATCTTTTGTTTGTTTTTTTCTGGCATTCGAATCATTTCGATCTTTTGCAAGAAAACGACGACAATCTCATTTATTGTATATGCGAAAGTATTTTTCTTTCGCTATTCAGACGAATGTACAGTTCATCAATACCTTTCTTATCATTTTTTTTTGTCTCTACCTTATTTTTTTTTCTTTATCTTTCATGTAAACACAAGTTCTATACAAAGTTTTTCTACGGCTCTTTTTTTTTTCTCTCTTCAATAAACAATGTCTAATCCATTTCATACTGCACAAACGCCGCTTCCTCTACGTAACTGACTTGTTCGATATCCCCTGGATGGCAATCACGTTCGCAAACAAACACCAGCACCGTGCCGAATTCCATGCCCACGTTCCAACTGTCAAGTAATGCTTTCTTATTCTGAGCGGGAGTGGGTTCGTTAGTATTTCGTGCAGCGTATTCCGCGGTAGGAAGCAGTGACAATACGTTGGGCATGAGTTGAAACTCAAACGTCCGTCGTCCGCCGCATGATTTACATTTTCCTGCTGCGATGTCCTGTTGATGATATAACAATGGCGCGCCGCCCCAGTCGTATCGCGCGCATTGACTTGGCTCGCACTCAATTCTTTCCATGAAACGTTTGAATTGTTTATCGACGCCGCGCGGTAATTGCTGCTTTTCGTATGCTTCGCCTACCCACACTTCCCCACCTTCCGATGCCAACTGATCCATTTCCAGTAGTTCCGCTTCCATGTCCAGGTATTTTTTGTACTTTTGCACATCCATGCCCAAGTTCTCGTACTGGTTCAGATTTTCTTCGGCAATATACAAGTACTGGGCGTCGAATTTGGGCAACAATGAGGCATCCACTGGATCATCAATGGTCGGTACTGTTGCCGGTACTGCCGACGTTGTGGAAGGTGTGTCTTGCAGGTGGAGTTGACTCAATCTTTCTGCCAATGTCGGTTCCGCCGTTGAGGTTTCTTTGATGTCTTGCTTCTTTGGCGCACCAAACGTTGGTGTGCCAAAAGGCTTACTTGACGAGAATCCTTTATCAGCGCCCCACAAATCACCCAGCTACATACAATCGAGCTGTATTAGTCAAAGTATTCTCCAATGACAGCGTGCCATTCTGTGTTTTTCTCATACCTGGAAACCTTGCCCTGCGCCAAACATATTGGCTGCTTTCTGCTGTTGTTCAAGTTTCTTTGCTTCTTGCTTCCGCTTTTCTTCCTCCTTTTTGCGTTGTGCTTTCAGATATTGTGGGTCGACAAGATGTGACCGAAGTACTTTGAAACTGCCAACAACGATAGCAAATTTTAGGTTTGACTATTCCTCGTCGCAGTACTGTCTCTCATTGGAGATCTTATTTACCTGCCAGGTTTTCGCATGCATGATCGACGGTTACATATCCACAAATACAATACTCTATGGAAAGCTGACTTGGGAAGAGGAACATAGCCCTGAAATACGAGATACATCCACTCGTGGCAAATATCACACCGGCAAATGCTCGAAGACGGCGGCTGATCTGGTTGAAGCCAAATCTAAACGGCAATTCGCCAAGTTTAGTTGTTATGTGAATCGAACGAAACCAAGTGTCGTTATAAAACCTACTGGTTTACCACCGAGCTTTGTTGTGTAAACATCGGTATCGTCTGCCTCTTCTAATTCACCATCGGGTAAAGCTAGTAAAACCGGAGTGGCAGTTTTGGAAGTCTTTTTTGAACTGGACTTGGGTTTTTGTGTATTCGTTGGCGTAGAAGTGTTTGAGCTTTTTGATGCCGCTTTTGATTTGCTATAATGACTCGACTCTTGCATCTGGTGATCGGTTGGAAGGAAAAAGAATTCCGGCTTTCTCTGGCGTTTTCTGCTTTAATTGTTATGCGTCCAATAATGGATCAAGAAAAAAAAAAGTGATGTGACTTGCATTTCCATTTCCAGCCTCGAGGAACCGCGCGATTCGTGCTTGAGAAAAGCTGATTACCCTACCGCAGTAATTTATTCAGCAAGATCAAATTGTCATGACCATTTTGCTATCTCACATTGTGGTAGCAACGGGAGACGTCAATAGAGTCCTGCAAAATGCATCTGCATCTCTTTCTTTGTTGGCAATAAGCCACAAAGAGCAGCTAGATTTGTCGATCATGTATTGATTCGACGAAAATAAGCAAAGTCTCAAGGAAGGAAAAATAGACATAAAAACAGTTTCCGTTCGCTATTTTCGAATAGAAAGTGACACAGACCCAGCATTCAACTGCTGCATGATTCAGGATTAAGACAGCTTCCAACCATTATTCCTGCAACTGTATTTGAGGTTATATCATTATATTGCGTTCCAACCATTTTGAGATCAAGAAGTATACGTCGTCAAATCTTTTTTCCAGCATGGCATAAACCTGTATTACTTATTTTTATCATATTCCTTTTTTGACGCTATCTCCTTTTGGATGATCAAAGAAAATGCTGTATGGCGAATCATTCGCTTACATCATAAGTTGCATAAATCGCTGCTCCATTAGTATCACCTATTTTCCCACAGAACGCAACGTGCTGTTACTGCGTATAAATAAGAGTTGGCGGTAGAAAACCATCTACAACTGCTTTTTCAACCATTTCTCCCATGAACGCCACAGCTGGAAGTTATCTTGGTAAACCCGCCGAAGATCCTGATGCGTCGTTGAGAGACGTGTTTGCCAAGGAAGAAAACCACCCGGACGCTCTTGCCTCCATTTTAAAATATTGTCAAAATGAGTCGGGTTTCAAAGTCGGCGACCGCGACACGTCAAAGTTTGGCGAATTGCTGGCAAGCTTCCAAGGCGTGCTGGATCAACAATCAATGATGCCCTACTCTACGAGCGGCAGCAAGGACTCGGTCATGGGTAGCATTAACAACTTTTTGTCTGATTTGCCTGACAAATCAAAACTCGAAACTTTCACCGTAAGCCTTCCACCCGGTCCATTTGATTCCTCACTCGTGCATTTTTGCATCCAACAGCAAGGCTATCGCCTCTTCCTCTATATTGCTACTGTATTAGCGAATGGTGATGATTATATAACCATCGGTGTTGCCGTCATCAGCAAGTGGGAACTGAACCGGGACGAAACAATTGCTCGTGCAGACGAACTGGTAGAAAAGACAAAGTTGAAGGAACAATTGGATGATTGGCTGAATGGTATCACAAGCAGTGGATATGAATAGGATGGTGTATTAGCTCTGCTTACTTTGCTTGATATGTTGCATTTGATACCAGATGCTGTTGGCATAAAACAACATTCTGACAAATAAAGTACCTACATATATAGCTCAGTCAATGAATAGGTCTCATTGATGGCATAAATTAGAGAAGTGATTTGATCCGTATGGTTTAGCGTTACGCTAATATGCAGGCAATTGCCGTCACATAGAGTAAATATGGCTTTTGACGTTAAATTACACAGCTTACAGGTCGGATCGCTTATCGTTTATTGTGTAAATGACACTGGATACATAGAATGACTATTACATGCTATTCCATTGAGTGAACTTATAAGCCGTGTTTCCATGTGTGGATCTTGGTAAAATAGAGGACCCTGTGTCGTAAACAGTCGCAAGTTTGAAATGTACTGGAAAATGTCGTTAAAAGGTGAATTCGTGTTTTGATAGTTGAAAGTGAATTCAAGGTAGTTTGTGGTGCTTTTTAGTAATAAACGGTTAACAATGAAAGTATTGTTTGAGGTAAAAGCCCTGATTTATTCGCATATATGACATTTGTGAATCTCAATATTACCAATTTAGGTTTCCAACTGGGAAATATGATTGCTAATCCAGACCATACACGAGCTGATTGTATAGGTTTTTTGAGAACTTGTTGAACACTGCATCGAAGATCGCGGAGTTTTTTTACCCGGTAGCCGGGCCGTCATTGTGATGGTGTCTAACAGGAAGCCAAGGTGCTCCAGGGCTTGTTGAGGTTTCAAGAACGATTTCCGATAGTTGATTAACCAGCCTAAGGATTCGAGTTTTCGGTGAAGCAGGCCTTGGGCGTCATAAAATGTGTCGGATGAATCCATGTCGTCAGGGTCAGGTGAGCCTGGAAGAAGCGCACGGGTAAATCATCCATAAAAATAGAGGTCAAGGTCCCCAAGTACGAGTCCAGACTGGCCAGCGGACTGGACAGGTGACGCAAAAATGAGCTAAGGTATCCATCGAGGCGCGACACAGAGGATAGATATAATTGGGAAAGGAGTGTGGAAGGATGCCGTGCCTTGCGGCCGTCGTAGGTCACCTGGTACGAATGGAGCGAAACCATAAACACGCGTACCGCTTCACAGAGATGTCCGATCCCCGCAAGTGATGGCAAGGGCGTTTGATTTACGTGACTTGGCATAAATTCTTTTGCCATAATGAAACATTTCGTCTCCCAAAAGCCAAGTTTAAACGACCACAAGTATGGTCTTTCGGACATTTTTCGTTACAATGCGGGCTACCGTCCTCCCGATTCCGATGACAAGGAGTACCGGAAATTGGCCATACATGTCATAAATGTTCACTGCGTACCGAAAGATTTATCGGCGTGGACCAGAGCGGTTCCCTTCGTGGGCCAGAATGTCTAAAGGTCTAAGGATGACCGACACCTGATACTGAATGGTTTTGAGGGAAGCATCTTCTCGTTTTTGAGGGTTATTCATAGCCTGCTACGCCTCAGGAACGGCATTCGGTGCAGTTTAATTGACGAAATCAATCGAGTGGTAGGCTTCAATGAGTCGTTTGCGATCAGGATTGGTCAAGAGATTGCCGGTAAAGAGGCTGCGCTCCATTTGTAAGAGGTTTTCCCTCCTCGGTCTTCACTAAATGCATCTTGATGGCTTTTATGCCTTCAGCCAGCCCGTTCAACGTGTTATTCAATGACTTCGTATCTGAATGTGGTGGTGATAATCTTGACACCGTCTCTTCATAGACATCGTGGTCACTGTATCGTTCGTCCACCGTTTCGATATTTTTCGCCATGGCTATGGTTTTCGACCAAGATTGCGGAACTCCACATTGTCCGCTTTTATATGCCAGATCCTTCTTGATTGCTTTCAAAAAGCAATGGATGCGCATTCGGTCATTCTTCAGACCAAGTAGCTGGAATAACTCCAACAGATGAAAGGCCACTTCGTCGATCGTTTCACCCGGACCTTGTCTTCGGTTGTTAATTTCGTCCCACCAACTGTCTTCTGCAGACTTGGGAACGAATTGCAACTTAAACTCCTTCTCGAACGTTTTCCAGTTGTGAACATCATCTTCTCTCCATCATCGTGCGGCCACATCGAAGCAATCAAATCGCTTCCTCGTTTTTCCAGCCCCAGAAGCGGTGCCATTGGTGGACGAGATGTGAGGCAGTGGAAGATGCAGGTACGTAGTTGCTGAGAAGCGGGCTGCAGCCCAATTGAGATTGAGCGTATTCATGGCGCGATAAAAGAGGCTGAGGGTTTTGCCTGGATCTCGTCGAGCAGTGGGTCGGAACGCAGGGAAGACCAAAGCAAAACGCGGGTCAGTATACATGTTTGTCGAGGTAAGCAGGTGGTGGGCTAAATATGCGGTGATGTACGAGGAATCGGAGAAAAGATGGAACAGAGGTTCTAGCCAGCGAATTCGCAGGGCCGCTTGTTGCAGTAACGGGTCCAGGACGCCCACGCCGCCGCAGCTCCGTGGTTGGCACAAGGTCTCATATTTAATCCTGGGGAACATGCGATGCATCATGAACTTACCGCCGATGGACTTCAATTGGGCAAAAAAGGTAGTGGGCGCAGCGCCGACAGACGTGGCACATGCTAGACTTTCGAGAGTATGAGTGTGTTATGAACTGTGGCTCGGCCGCGGATAGATAGTTGCCGTTCAGAATGTAAACATGCCATTTTTACTGTATGTAGTAAGGAATCGAGAAAAACTTACAGTTGAGCACGAGACGTAGTGAGAGGGAAGCCCAGATAAGTAACGGCGTGAGTATGGGTCGCGTCATAATATTCGGTAATCCCAGCGTCAGCGAGCGCCGTAGGGTGGATCATAAATGATACGAAGGAGCAGAGAGTCCAAGATTAGGTTAAAGAGAATTGGGCGAGAATGGAACTCATTGTCGTAGACCACGTGTTTGTAAAGATCGGTTCACAGAGATGGCCATTAACTTGGACGTGTTTTTATCATGAACGAGAGAGACCTCATTATAATAGGAAACATGCCTGCTCTTGTCTCGCGTGCCATAGGGTCCACATGCTTTGAGTAATAATTTCGAGCCCACTCTTTGCGATAAACACAATGTCATCAGCATCGTCCTTTCCATATGTCATTGCCCTCAAAGATGTCTCGCCCACACGAAAAGTCACATATGATATCGGTGCCTTACCAAAACGTTCCCTATTTGCCAAAAAAAAAAAAAAAAGGTCGACGCATGCATACTTTCGCCCTGTGATTTCTCATAATTTACATCACCATCGGGAGGCTTCCAAAGCGACCAGTCCATTTCCAATACCTCAGCGGGAACGTGTCCCTGTTTCTGAAACTGATAATCATATTGGATTATGCGAGATTTTCCACTCTATTCCAAATGTCAGATTTATGGTGATAAGTGTTATATGCCTGTTGCACGTATCTGTAAAGTGCGATTTTGAATAGTCTGTATGCGCCTTGAAGTGGCGCGAACAACCTTGTGATGTAAGAAAAACAACTTCTTGATCTTGTCTTTGATTTCTGCATCATCGATGTCTGCGTATGTTTAGTCGGTAGGCAGAGAGAATGCCGGAACGGTCGTATTCTTCAGGATCGTGATCTAGGAAGTAATCCATGACAGTTCAGATCAAAGATGCAAAGAGATCTCATGGCGCGGTCGGACCTCTGGTGAACATAATGTCAAATTTAGTTTCCTATACCTTAGGAGGTGCGCCCTTGTGTTGCCCGCTCTCTACATTGCAAGTCTGGAAATTTCCTCACATTTTTCAAGATGTACCTGACTTAACGGTGGACATTGCTCAAGAAAGCTTTACATTTACCATTGTCTCATAATATTATTAACTTCACAATCCTTCTACTTCTTGTATGTATCCACATCCGGAGTTTACTGGATCTACGGGAATCTCAGAGAAATTGCGCCTGTTCCGTTATGCGTGACCCCTTCTAACCTTGCCCGGATTCAAGGGAATTATCTAGATGACGCCAAATCACAGAAAATATCGAGGAACCTCTTCTTTTGTCTTAAAAGAGAGAATGAGATTATTGAATTTAGGACGAGCCTGGGACAGTGATGTTTTATGTATTATAAACCTCCTCTAATCTCATTCTTTAAGCTTCATGATAGCTTGGACACTGCGAGGAATTAAAGGTTGAAACGATGGTTACGCGGGTGTTCAATAAATTGCTTTATTTTTTGATGATGGGCCACGACTTGGGGATTCAAATGAAGACAAAAAGTTGGTGATGATGAAAAAGTCCACACAATATGATCTACCATGTAATTGCCGACTGGCTGTGCGGACTGTTTTCCAGTGCAAAGATCTGAATGAATCACATCTGGGTGGCAGATTGTCATTCTCGCAATTGATTGTCCGCCAATCATTTGAAGCAAGTTCAGAGGGCAATCGACGTAACCTGTAAAGAAAATGTGCAATGTGTTTGAAGCGTTCAGCGGTGCGTTTTTACTGTATGACTCTGGTCTATGAAATACGCTTGTTGACTTCAAAAATACGTTCACCTGGCACAAGACACCAATGTGTCGTTTTATTTGGCCAACCAAGCAGTTGCACAAAAGAAACTATTGACCGAAACCTTATTAAATGGTGCAAAACAAAGCCTGACCTACAATCCACTACCAGCAATAAGAAGAGAAGACGAGACACTGGTTGTTAGCCACGTACGCTTTCACAGGAACACCAACTTTTGACATTTTGATACAGTCAGTATCTGACTGTGAAAAACGTCGGAAGTTTTATAAAGGGGAAAAATCAAAGCAAAATGACAGTTCATCCACTCCAAACCGGCAAAAAGCCAGACCATGCATGGCACATCTTGTTAAGAAGCGAAATGACCATGCTGCACAGAAAAAAAACGAAATGATAATTTAGCTTGCTCGAATCTGTCTGTGAAAACATGCACATCCATGGTTTCAATCGGCGAATGTTTCATGGTTAGTCACACCAATTGAATCATTTACTTTGCTGCTGATTGGTTGCAACGATCGCTCCATTTGGGCATCTCCATCTGCTTTTTTCGTTTCTGGCATGATATATTAAGATTAACCATTTCAGTTCTTCTCTTTTTCTTTAGCGGTTTCATTAGTGTTTTTTATAGCCCCTAGTATTTTGTTATGACCGATATTCTTCCTGCTTCTCCTTCGCCTTCCGTCGCTGGTCGACGCTATCGTTTCGCTACTGAAGTGGTCACTGTCGACAACAATGACGACCCTCACAATGCTGCATCGGTTCCTATTTACCAATCAGCTACCTTCAAACAAAAGAGTGCCACAGCTGGTGGCGAGTATGACTATTCACGCAGTGGTAACCCAACACGTACCCATCTTGGTAAGTTTTTGCAAGCACTCAGCAGGATAAAGAGGTGCGCAGAGGTGGGGTTTTCCTAATGGTGTTCTTTCAACAGAAAACCATCTCGCAAAAATCATGGGGGCCAAAAGAGCTTTGGCGGTGACGAGCGGTATGAGTGCATTGGATGTCATCACTCGTCTCGTACATGCGGGCGAAGAAATCATTGCTGGTGATGATCTGTATGGTGGTACCAACAGATTGTTGACTTTCCTCGCAAAATCACAAAACATCAAGACCCATCACATTGACACCACCAAAGCCGAAGCTATCTTGCCTTATTTGGATCCCGTCAAAACGAAACTGGTTTTGCTGGAGACGCCTACCAACCCATTGATCAAAATTGCCGATATTCCCACGATCGCCAATTACGTTCATGAAAAGTGTCCCAACGCTTTGGTGGTGGTGGACAATACCATGATGAGCCCTTACCTTCAACGTCCACTCGAACTCGGCGCCGATATTTCCTATCATTCCGGAACAAAGTATCTCTCGGGTCATCACGATTTGATGGCCGGTGTCATTGGTACGCGTGATGAAGCTATTGCCGAGGTAGGTGTAGTGAGTTAATGGATAAGAGAGTTCTCGCTTTTAACAAGGCTATTTTTTTTTCTTTTGAAAAGCAACTCTACTATGTGATCAATGCTACGGGATGTGGTTTGGGTCCTTTTGATTCTTGGTTACTGCTTCGTGGTGTCAAAACTTTGGCGGTTCGCATGGATAAACAGCAGGCATCGGCTATTCGTATCGCCGACTACTTGGAAGAACAAGGCTTCAAAGTCCATTATCCCGGATCCAAGAAACATCCCCAGTACGAACTTCACAAGAAAATTGCATCAGGTCCAGGAGCCGTGCTCAGCTTTGAGACAGGGGATATCGGAATTTCAGAGCGTATTGTGGAAGCTGCCAAATTGTGGAGTATCTCTGTATCATTCGGTTGTGTCAATTCATTGATCAGTATGCCTTGCAGAATGTCACATGCATCCATTCCTGCTCACATCCGTGCGGAACGTGCTTTACCTGAAGATCTGATCCGACTTTGCATCGGCATCGAAGATGTTGAGGATCTTTTGGAAGATTTGGAAGCTTCTTTGGTCGCTGCGGGCGCGCTTCCATCGAAACAGTAAACCCTCTTTATTCCCCACCTCCTTCACTGCTATTTTTTTTTTTGTTTTGTTTGTGTTCATTTGACTTTATTTTTATTTCTATTTCAACTCTTCCACTTCACACACTTGACACCACTTCCGTTTTGTAAATGCTTTCTCAAGAGATATTAAAAAAGAACCAATACCATTTATTTTACATAATGACGCAATTGTCACTGTTTCGATTTTGGTCCATCCCGTTGATAAAGCGATCAAGCCACGACAGGTCACCGGTACCTTTACCAAATTCAACGTAGAGACATCCAGGATTAGGTATATTTGGCTGGCAATTGACGTTGTACTTCTTTACGAGATCGATAATAGCGGGCTTCAGCTTGGCAATATGATCTAGCAATGATAGATACATTATTTGATAGATCCCATTGGCCCAGGAGGCGCAAACACTTACTAGGACTGTGTAAACCTTTGCCTACAATGATAACGAGATGATCTTGACCTTCGCTTTGGCATCGTCTTATTGCCTCTTCCACTTTTTGAGAGGCCTCGCTTACGTAGAGACCGTGGAGATCGATCTCGTTGGAAGGACGATCCTGATTTTTTTCTAAACGGTGGTGAGCCTTTGTGGTTGGAGATTGGTACCTGAAAGCTTCTTACGTTCAAAGACTCGATCAGCCGCTTGTTGGTTGTACTGTTTCATTCGATCATCGTGTTCGTGTCCCTGAACAGAAAGTTCCTTGGCTAAACGGAAGAAAGCAGTCAACAGTCCATTCTTAAACATTGGTACCAACCCCACCAAAACCGGCATCTCATACCCAGGGCACCATCGCCATCGCGGTAAGCGGCTTGACTTCTCTCGTAGCAATCGTTGCGTTTCAAGGCTTCTTCGTGAGCTAATGCTCGCAAACGGCTATAGTCGTCATCGTCGTGTTCCTCCTGTACCTGTTGATACGAAGGGCCAATGTCTTGGTGTTGATAACTGCCAACATCATTCGAGCTGGAATGATTCAACTCGTCGCGCAAGTGCTTGATTTCTTTGAATATCTTGATGCCCTTATCAACGGCATGATCCAACGAATGTGAATTACCCATTCTGAGAACAAGCGGGAAGATACCTGGTCCACAGCAACCATGGTTTCACATGAACTTTAAAATCAGCAGTGGCAGGATGCAGCTGACTTGAAATTTCTGCACAACTGCAAAAGGAATGGAGTGAAATTTTGGACACACAACATATCAACATACGCAGTAATTGGATCCACCAAGTTTGACAGGTAGAAAGCATGTCGATTGAATAAGATTTAATTCATGTTTATAGATAATTTGCATTAAATAATATTTCGTGGTTTTTTGATATGTATTCTTGGAGTCCCCCCTTCTCGGAATATTTTGAACTGGCGGTTACTTGCGATTGTAATATATCAATAAGCTGCTTTACGGGTCATTATCTCACTTTCTCATTGCGTTGCCTCCAATTGAAAAGCATGAGCCTTGTACATGAGAGTATAATATATAGCCATTTTTAAATACAATTATGATGGTGAGTTTGATGATCCGGCAGAGGCACTTGTATGTGGGTAAGCAGGAATGAACAAATCGGGGCAGTACTGCTGTATGCGCTTCCAACGCAAATCCAACGTCCGAATTTTGCCATGTTCTCGTGAAAATCGAGAAAACTGTATCGTTTTGATGACTCGCACACTTGATCTTGTTGTCTTGGGCTTTTTTTTGGCATTAGACTTACCATAGTTTAAATCCGAAAGAGGAAAAAAAGGGTTACTGTAAGCTGAGTCAAAAGGAGGAAAAGAGTGTTGACTGAATTCACGTGGTGCGACTGTTGTCTAATGCCAATTGAATAGAGTTGTGTAAGGCATTTAATTTTTCTTATTTTTTTCTCCAATAGTACCTCTGAACCCATCATGAGCAGTGGAATCTTTGATTTGAAATCGCAATTGGTCATATACGGAGCGCATCATAACAACAAAGTCAATGTCATTATACACATGATCTTTGTCCCCATTATTCTGTGGAGTGGTAACGTTTTCGGCTTGGACATTTCGTATCGGGATATTGTAAGCTTATGGTCCTCATAGCTCTTGTCTTTGGAGCCAAGTCGGGACCTCTTGTCGATATGAATGCATTACCATCCTCGTTGCAATGGCTCAAGCTATTTGGTCCTAATTTGAGCTTCTTCACCATGTGCTTATACAGTGTTTACTACATGATTCTTGACCCCGTTGCCGCGGCAAGTTGAACCATTGATTAATTTTTGAGTACGGCCATGACTAAATTCCACTTTTTTTTACTCAACCACAGGCATTGGCTTCCCCACTCTTGTTTGCTGCGTGCTATCATGCAACGAATTTCTTAAAGACCAATCCTCAAGCCATCAAGATTGCACTCTCTATTCACATTGCTGCTTGGATTTTCCAGTTTCTGGGTCACGGCGTAGCCGAAAAGAGGAGCCCAAAGGTTTTGGACAATCTTGTGCAAGGTAGGGAAAGTCCACATGTCATCTGGACCATGGACCGTGGGATAATGATTTTCTTAATTTCCATTACAGCCTGTGTGTCAGCACCTTACTTTGTCTTTTTTGAGCTTCTCTTTGCATGCGGATATCGCCCTCAATTGTACAGGGAAGTAAGGACCGAGGTCGAAAAAGATATTGCCGAATTCCGTGCTCGAAAGGCCGGCAAGAAAAACAAATGAACAACCAAAAAAAAAAAAAAAAAAATATTTACTATGGTCTACAAATACATATGATCTATCATAAAAAGAAAAAAGTTATACAAAAAAATAGGCTAACGAATAAATTATATATGATTACTGTGTTTTTTAATCCGGTTCGGTAGATGATGGTCGGACAATGGGGTAAAATATACAGCATGTGTAAATGATAACCCCGGCTTAAACACTAAGGATAAAAATATAATCGTATGGCACAGATACTACCAATATCTGTATACAGGTTTGTAAGAAGGAAGCTTGACGACTCTTCTTTATCGATGGTTCGGATTCTGAGGTCTCTGTTGTGTGGAAGCTGTTTCCGGTTCGTCGTAGGCGTTAGGAGCAGAGTAAATCGGATCGGCTGGTACAGCAGGGATGCTAGGAGTATGCAACATATTTGGATGAGTTGCATAAGGATCGCCGTAATGGACATAGGATGGATCATAGTATGGATAACCTTGAGGAGCTGCATAGTAAGCGCCCGAGATGGCCGCATCGGGATAATTCATGGTTGGACTCAATGCTTGCGCGGGCATGGGCGGTGAATAGTAGGCATCACGAGTCGCAGGAGGCATTTGCGGTGACATGTATCCATGACCGTAGTTGCCGTATTGAGCCATAGGTGGTGGAGGAGGTTGTTCATGTTCCCATCCTTGGTGTTTGCTAGCGTGAATACTGTCAGCTGCGGCGATAGCCGCTGCGGTCATGGCCGGTGAAGGTCGATTTTCGTAATCCACGGTGCTGGCATATGGGTTTTGCGAAGGGAAGTCGTTGGAGGGTTGATCCGTAAAGAGACGCTTCTTACGGTTGTTGCGTCGAACTTTGGAAAAGAAGGCATAACCAAAACCAGCTCCGAGAACCGCTACGAATGCACAGACCGAACCAACAATGACACCAGTGTTATTATTTCCTCCTTTATCGTTGGAATTGGCATCCGTTGGCTGTGCAGAGGGCGTGGCAGAAGAGCTGCTGCTTTGCGAATTGCTACTCTGCACGCTATCTGATGGAGGTTTAGCCGAAGAGGAGATGGCGGAACTAGAGTGAACCGATTCTTTGGGAGGACGCGAAGACACAGGATGGGAAGAAGAAGCGACGATGGACGAAGCTGGAGTGGAGGGAGGTAATTGAGGGCTGCTCGAAGAAGTTTTAGGTGGTAAAGCCGATGAACTGGTAGGTTTAGGCACGTCGTCGCTGGAGGTGGGGACTGGGACCGATGAATGTTGCGTACTTTGTTCCGCAGAGCTGGAGGAAGGGGAAGGCTCGGATGATGTAGAGGAAGGTTCATCTTTACCGCCGGTTAACCAATCCAAAAAACCAGCTTGCGCTTGAGTTGCGAACAATAAGCAGATCAGAACGCTGAGCCAAAGGAAGGAAATCTGCTTCAAGCGCATGATCTCAGATAAAGGAAAGGAATAGATAAATAAGAAGAAGAAGAGGAAAAAAAAAAACAGAACATAATGAAAATCTCAGGAGGAATAAAAATAGAATAATAACAATAAGGACAAAACAGGAGAAAAACCCAGATCGAGAGGGAATCGAGTCGGTTAGTACGCATAGGTAACTAGAAAAAGGTTCATTTGCAGAAACTGAGCACGCGTCCCAGTTGCTGAGAACTCACTCAATGTGCCACGAACATACCATAGTGCTATTGAGTTTTTCATTTCCTTGTCACCTTTCACATGGATGAATGAAATCGTGAAGTTCTAGCGCGAAACAAATTAAAATTTTACGGTTGCACAAACTTGCAGAAACTCAACCTTAGATCCATTTGCTTTTTTTTTTTTTCGCGGAAATCGCGGTGGAAATATGGAATCCCCGATCCACCTCAGCTCCTGAATCCACCTTGGGCCACAAATCACGGTCCGTATCCTACTATCATCTTGTAGGGAAAGCAATTTAAACTTATTAAGATGATTTACCCATCGTCCCATTTTCAGCTTTGATTCCGGAAAAAGTAATCTGACAGATCAGTGACGGTTACACATTTTTTCTGATGTATTTGATGCCATTCATTATTTGCAAGCGATCAAGTGCGATCATGATCGGTGGCACACCACAAGAAAAAGCGTGTGTAATGGGCAAGCAAAAGAAGAGTCAGAAACGAGTCGTTGCCAGATCATGTCCAGAGAAACGAAAGAAAACCCTTTTTTTTTCACTAGCCTGATAAAAGCAGTAAGCTATGCATCTTTTGGAAGATCATGTTCTACAATGTCCGTCAGATTATGTATCACTTTTCCCTTGATTCCATATCAAACCGAAAAAAAAAAAACGCACTGTGCTTAAAGAAGGTGTAGAATGTCTGATAAAAAAAAAGTTGGCACGCATACAACAACTTTATTATAAGCATTTTGCTGCTTGCAATTAATAATGTGAATCGACTTTGTATTTTTAGTATGGATGTTTATGTGAAAGGCCATGATTCATCATATAATCCATCATGTACTGTATTATCATTAGTAAATTAGAGAGGCCAGATATTTCGTAATCTCCTGATGTTATATATTGATAGATTAAGGATCCAAGAATGTCCTAATCTCTGCGATACACACAAGCCATGATATTGTGTATTCGTCAGATTAGCAGCTTGATGAAAAAGATATGAACCTGCAAGTCTCTCGCCCAATAAAAGCGTGCTTGCATGATGCATTAGGGATGAATGCCACTGCTAACAGGTGGAATCCTCTACATTGAATCCAATGTCCATCATAATGAGACCCAAAAATACAGTCAAAACCAGTATTAGTCTTAACAGCTGCTGAGTGATTGGCATCAAAAACACTACCTTAAAGGATTTCATATTAGCAATGTAATTTACTGGATATTAATGGGCTATAGTTTTAGAGATATGAGCATCGCTCTATGGAGAACTTCACGTATATAGCGTAGATCTCAGCCTTGGATAACAACTGAACCAAAATATTGTAACGCGTAGCATCAACTGATCTGACAGGGCAGTAGACACTGCTCTGAGACCTTTGCCAATTCCCTTTAATAATTTGATCATCAACGATGGCCACAGTATGGCGACACAGCACATGCTGTCAAGAATATATTATCGGATTACCCGTTTGCACTAAAGTATGAGGAACACATTATAAAGCGATTTTATAGACAAAGAGATACAGCTGAAAATTACAAAGAAGCATGCTGTGGAATTCAGAGAAATATACAAGTAGGGTATATTAGAAGCCCTTTCTGACTTTGGCTGTGATGTTGTCGCGCTTGTATTTCAGATCTTGCAGTACAAAGGCGTCCACATTAACGGTCACATTGCTATCGACAGAGACGGTGATCTCTCCGTTCAGGGCTTTCTTAATCGCGTCCATGCCGAGTTTCTTCGTGACGACAGGAATCTTTGGCGTTTCAATCACCACTTCGGTGCAGTTACTGTTTTCACAGGAAGGGGGTGGCAAAACGATCGGTCCGTCCCAACCTTCGCCCTTGTCGGCAAAGTTCGCTTTGACCGTGCCAATTTCATGGATACCGTAACTTGCTGACGCATTCAGCTTGACGATTTCCAGCTGCACACCGTTGAAGGGGTTCTGTAGATACATCACGGTGGTCGATGATAAAATGTTCATCTGGACGTTCTTCAGCAAGGGACTTTCATGGAAAGGTGGCGGCTGCACCACAAATCTCAACTGTTTGAAAAAAGCTCGCAGCAGGGGAGCTTGCGTGGCATTGGGATGATCACCTGAAATAGTTAAGCTCGTATTGCCATCATCTAAAAAACAAAAGGTTCAGACATGGATGAATTCTCGACAGATTGGATCTGATATGGCCACTTACTGCCAAGGTATTGTCCGACGAAATCGACAACGTTCATTCGCGAGTGCGGGTCATCACCGTGTAACCAAACGGAGCAAGTAAGACGATTTTGGCGGCCAGGTGCAAGCTTAAATTCCGCGATTGAACCATTTCCGATTGGTTCATTCTTATAAAGCAATAAAATGTTTAAAGCACCCAGGTTGATGTTGACATCCGCTGGGCTCTCAATCATCAACTGCGTTTGTACATGTAGAGCGTCAGGATATCCTTTAATTATTTCCATAGATGATACAGCAGGTGGAGGATCAACCATTCCTTCCATGCCTTGAAAAAAAAAGAGACAAGTGTTATTGATATTCCATCTCTCTTTTAGTGGCCAACAGACACATTTTTTCGAGGATCATGATCCGTCTATTTTTTTTTTAAACATCAAATCAAGATCAGATACCTTTCGTATCAATGGTGCCGTTGAACTCGAGGTCCTTGATAACTAAATGACCGAAAGCACTGTCCACAGACGCGTCGCTGACCCCTCGTATGTAAACCTTGGCACGCGTGCCGTAAAACACTTTGTGTAAGAACTGCTCGAATTCCTTCTCGCCACCCGGTTCGACTTTGAAGGGAGCCCGGTGAACTTTGGAAATGACCTTCATGGTACCGCACGGGAGATCATTATCCGCACTATCTCCATCCAGTGTCGTGGCCGGAGACGGATCTTCGGGAGCCAGTCGTGCAAATGGTTTTTCCGAATCAGGGCGCAGATAGATAAAAACGGTTGGATGAATTTGGGTGACATCCATTGGGAATTGCATTTCCTCGGGCTTTTTCAGCATGGCCACCGCATCACCCGAAATAAGTGGGTTGCCTGACCGTGAGAAATCCATTTTGATATTTTCCAGTTCCAGCGACTGAATCAGATCCGTGTGATTGGTGCCAGGAAATGGAATATCAATAGCAATCGACGCGAGCGCTTTACGCAACCATTCAGGTACGCTGGACAGTTTCCGTTTACCGAGTTCATCGTCGGGACCATAGGGACTGCCTTGCACACGAATGACTGAGCTGTTTCCGTGAAGGTAAGCCGTCAAGAAATCGCCCATCTGTTTTTGCGTCCACGGGTCATCTTCATCCAATAAAAAGGATCGACCTGATATATTAAAGTAATTCATGCGTTGGCTCATCAATTTGGCCTCGTGAGCTCGCACCACACCGATCAGCGTATCGTTTTGATCCTCCGTTTTCGCTGGCAAAAAAATGGCAAAATCGACATCGCCGATGCTGAGTCCAAGCATAGCGGATGGATTATAGATGCCGACAGCACCCGTTAATGCAATGCCACCAAGACGATGAGGGCCTGGAAAATTGACTGACTTGAGCTCGGCTGTCTTTAAGCCATTCATACCTAGTAGGAGAAAAATCGGTACATCAATTCACTTGCAAAGGAGGGAGCCCATGCCATTGACTTACCGTCCAACGCAATCATTTTATCGAGATTGAACTTGGTATCAAAAGGAAGCCATCCCATGCTTAATTTCATCGGGCCCATGACTCGCCAAGAGACCGTCTTGGCTTTCACTGCATCTTTGCAAAAGGCGGTCAGAGCGTCGACATCATCCACGACGAAACGTGTCACAAAATCAAACTCTGTTTTCTCGGCTTCTCGACTGAGTGATAAGGGTGGTAAGTGGATAACACCCATCGGTCCATACACTTGATCTTTTTTGGCGCCCTTGGATTCATGATAGACTTCCAACGTCGAATTATGTATACCAACGTCACCGAAAAGCCAGTTGGCCTTGTTTTTCAGGTAGTAAGCGGTATCCCTAAGATACAGATCGCCTGTGACATGCATTGTAATAATGTTGGTATCATCTTGCTCCGTTATGTTAATGATATTGGCTTGCTGGAATGAAAGTTGCACATCATTGTCGAACGATCGTTGAGCGAATCCAGGGGCGGACAGCAACAGAACTATCGCAAATAGGAAGCACAGTCCTACAAGGATAATAAAGACGAGACAAAAGCGAAGTCGACAGTAATCTGAGAGATGGTTGTCCAAAGACGCATCGGGATCAGCCAAAGTGGAAGATCCATGGTGAGAGTTCTCATTGTCAACAGGGTATTTGTTTCTCCGTTGCTTCGACGACCGGGATAACAGTGGCTGTCGCTCGGACGACGACGGTTCCATATTCGCTCGTGAAGAAGACGCTTCTCCGTTCGAATCCGTCGCTGATTTCATAATAACGACTTGAAGAGGGTTAAAAACAAGACTTTTGTGGAAAAAGGAAAGATCATGCCTTGAGTGGCCTATCAAATTACGTCATTTTGGGAACCACCTGCCTCTCTGAAAAAAAAAGAAACCAGGTTTTTTTCCACAATGGGTGAAAAGCTGATCAAATTTTTCACAGAGATAAATGTTTCGCTGCATTTTAGACCTCTATTGGTGGAAAGATCAAAAAATAAAAGATGTATTTAGGCGGGAATTGGGGATTAGACTGGAAATATGACTATGCAAGTGGTGATTGTGAATGGAAGCAGCATCACTTCATACGGACATTCTTGCTCTCCTTTTCCAAGTTTTCCTTGAAGGCCTTGATGAATTCACTGCCGGTTTTGGTGCCTATAATAAATTTATTGACAATGAGCAGTCCGACCCCAGGTTTTTTTTTGTTCATGTTTTTCAACAATTTACCTTTATCGGTAATGGACGACACATGCTGATGAGTTTTCTGTGCCATGCGGTGGAACAACGGACTGGCCAATAATCTTTCAGTGACAAAGGAAGAAAGCCAAAAGTTCACAAGACGCTGGAACATGGTGATTAACTGCTTCTTGAAGGAATGAACGACAACGGGAAGAAAAAACAAACTGCGGTTTGGAGTTATATTGTATCCGACCGTGGGCGGAGTGAAAGTTTTGTGACATTGATTGGTTCTTAATTTCTATTGGTCATTCTTGATCGGGACTACCACGTCCCCTTCTTCCAATGGACCAATGGTCCCCCGTCAGAACTCGATTAATACTGGACAAGGATTGCCATTGATCTGGATGTTCGCGCAGTAACGAAGGACCGTTCCCCTTTGCAAGATGAGCATAAATGTCGCGAGTAAAAAACAGGATATCCATTAACTAGCCACTAATCAACATTGCACAGTTATTGTCTTGGGCTTTTTTTAACAAACCAAGTTGAAAAAAGCATCCAAATGAAAAAATGGTATTCGAAGGATCAAGAAGCTGCAAAAAAAAAAGTGCAATCAAATTATTTTCAAAATGACGGAATCTATCATATTTTGATAAGGCTGGTGACCTTGACACTTCCGTCAATACTGCCCACCAGGCAGGCATTGGATGAAGTGGTCCAATCCACGGCGGTGATTCTTTGATAGAATGGCTGTTGAACTAGTTTCAGGGCGGGTTTTTCATTCGGGATATGGTATATAGTTCCATGGGTTGCACGGTTGTTGTTGTTGACGCTTTCGGATACTGTGGGATCGGTAACCACAGAAGACGAGGAAGAGACGGAGGCCGGTGAATCGGGTACTGTAGCTGCGCAAAAAATGTACTCAGTGTCGGCGCTGAAAGCCACTAACTGAGCTCTTGCTGCCATGGACAAAAGAGACTGGGTGACATTGTCATTGATAGCAATGCTGGAGAATCGACCGGATCGTCCTGATGAGATGGATAATTTGGAAAGGGAGGAAGTAGATGGGTTAGAGGTTGGGCGAGGTGGCTCGGAAGGAGAAGGTGGTTTAGGTGAACTGAATGGTTTGGGTGGCGAAAATGGAGGTGGCGGTGGGAAGCCTTCGAGACGAATACTGTTGAGATTCACACCGGGTTTGTGCATGGACCATTGCGCCATCTTTATCAAGCAAGCATGATTAATTGTATTGAAAACTGGATTTCAGTTCAGCTCTCTGTTGTTTACCTGTCCACCATGGTCGACGGTGAAAATAGAGTTTTCATCAAAACTGAATTGGGCCATGCATGGAGGCTGGCTGGACCCTGTTGTCCACTCCATGATGGATTTCATGGTGCGTATATCTTGTACAAAACTTCAGTGTTTGACGGAGTTCGAGATGAAGTGTTTTCATCAGGTTTCATCTTACCAAAAATGCGTATTAAACCGCTTTGATCGCCAGCCACCAGCATTTGTCCATTGTGATTGAGCTTGATCGTATTGATATCCGTACAGCTATCTTCGGCATCCAATTTAAAAGTACCCTACATAAAAACATTATCCTCAATAAGCGATGTTTTTAGCCACTCAAACTCGTTGTACTTACTGTTGCACACATAGATTTCAAATTCCATGCCACCAGAGCACCGTATCTTTTGCCATTGTCGGTCGACATTCGACTGCTGGAACCTGCGCAAATTAGAATGGGCTCGACAGGACTGTAGGTCAACTGTGTGATCCTATAGCTCATGTTAGAAATTCACAGTAGGTGGCTGGATCACAAACAAAATAACTGACCATGGGTATTTCTCATTCATGGCAAGTTCTTGTACCACCGATTTTTGCTCCAGATTATAGGCTCTGATGAAGCCGGTATCCGTTCCAAGGAAAAGCTAGAACATTCACCAGCGGTTATTCTATGCTACATGATTATGATTTTTATCAACTGATCCATGACTTACGAAGCGGTCGGATCGTGCATCCCATTCCATGGACAAAATATTAGACGTATTATTGCTAATTTTCATTGGATTGAACGACTGGCCCTTGTAACTCCATATACTGTGTAATGGTAAATGAATGTTCCTGTATGCCCCTTTCCGATGTTGTTGTTCACCTACCGCACAATGTTGTCCATGTCACAGCTGGCAATCAAGTTTCCTCGGGTGGAAAACTTGGCATGAGTGATAGCAGACGCATGCTCCGAGAATTCTTCCTGTTCAATACCAATTGTCACCACTCCATCACCATCCAACAAACTATCGGGATTCCGGACATTACCTGACTGACGACAACAAAAGGTTCATCCACGCTAAGCTGCTGTGCTTTCTCCAAGGTTACGTTTTCGGACGATGCATTCGGATCCTCCGATTTTTCCACCACAGCTTTGGTTTTCGCCCCGTTTTTCGGCTCAAGCGTCATGGAAGCGGCTCGCTGTCGAATGAGACTGATACCGTCGGTCACTTCCTTTCTTGTTTCTATGAGTTCGTGCTTTAATTTCGCGATTTCATTTTCACGTGCTTGTATAGATGCTTTTAGGGAATCAATCGTGGTTTTGAGTGTCTCAATTTCGGCTTGTTGCGCTTTTCGCTGGAGACGATCAATATTAAACAATAGTAAGCTTGGTAAGGCTATTTTTTTTTTCCTGTGGATCAGTGATTTTGCACACGACGCGCATCCCAGTCGTACATGTCGCCTTACGCATATTCTGGAATGTCGTGGCTAAAAAATTGTGCAGCGAAATTGTATAGTTGTCAACCCATTGTTTGGAGAAATACATTTCGAACTGAGGATCGGTCGCTGGTTGCTTCACATACGGTAAGGCTAGAGTGCGGCTTTATATCAGTCCTATTTTTTTGCTTTCTTCAACGGTTGCCTTGCTTACCGAACCATTGCGACCACTCTGGTTTCCCATGCAACTCGGCACCGTAAACGTCAAAGAACTCGATAACCTTGTCACGTCGTTTATGTTGGATAGCTATTGGTCGTTAGAGCCAGGCGACAAGTGTTATGAAAGCGCAAACGACTTGCCATGAATCAGGTAATGTCGTAAAAGACAAAGTTCAAACTTTTTGACGGTACGCTGGAAGCGACTGTCGAGACGAGAAAAGAAGCGTAAATCGAGGTAGCGGTAATAATCGATGAGATTCTGGACATCTCCGTTGACAATGCATCCCAGCAGTTCTTCGATTATTTTATCAATCTTCTCGGACAAATTTTGAGTGGCAAAGAAAAGAAGCAAGAACCAAAGTGGCGTTCTCCTCGTACCTGGAAACCTTTATCTTTGTCCTGCCGGCTTTCGGACTCCAGCGTTCGAAAGGTGTTGGTAAAGCCTCTAAACTACAGGTAGTTGGAGCATGCTGCCACGGTCATAGAGGCGACAAGAAGAAGCGGAGAGGCTTACTAGAAGATATTCTTTGACGAGTTCATCCACTTGGTGTAATGAATTCATAACTGTTTCGAACAAAAAAGAAGAGGGATTCCGAGGCCAGCAGCAGGAATTCTGTGGTTCGCTTTTCCCTCCTTACTCGCCCAAAAATCGGAAGTGCAGTCACCTGGGGAGCTCCTTGGGCGGCATAATTGAATCTTGAAACGGTCCCGCATAGCGTCAACTCTTGCTTTTATCATTAGCTTTTTTTTTTTATCTCACATCGAAAAGTGGCTGTTCCAAGGAAACCAAACGTACATATACCTTTTCTTTTTTTAAAAGCGTCCACCTATTTCACGCCATCCCATTTTGAAATGAAAGAAAAAAGAAAAAAAAAAGGTCAATGGTGCAAACATATACTTTATCAACCTATTGCTTCGAAAGGCTTAAATACCATCAACATTAAATATAAAAACTGGATCGAAATCAAACAAAACAATAACAGAACGAAATGATCTCCCTAGATATTAGACGTTGGATGCACCAGCATGATATTGATCGTAAAGCGGTTGTTGTTGACCCCACTGCGCAGCTTGGGTGCCTCCGGCGTGAGGATCAAGACTAGCCAAAGAGTTGGGAGCAGCTGACATGAAGGGACTTCCGTTCGTTAACTGGGATCGGGAATCGTCATGGCGGTTATTGACGCGACCAGCATACAATTGATGTCCGTTGTTCCAGTGCTGTTGAGGATATGAGTGCCATCCGGCCGGAGGACGATCTTTACCCCACGAAAGCTAGAAAAAAACCGGTCCGGGTCAATTTTTTATACTTCATCACGTCCTTTGTCTACTGTCCTGCTTACCTTTGCAGGTCGTCCATGAACATCCATATTTTGCAATTGAACAATGGCATTGGCTGCGTTTTCATGCGTATCCATCCTAGCAAAACACAAGTGTTTATGTGAGTGTCGCTGTTGTTTGTAGCGGGTAAATGATAGGGTACTTACTTGACAAAGGCAAAACCACGATCCACTTGCAGCTTCACTTCTTGAACAAAGCCAAATCTTTGGAAAGGAGCCATAATATCGTTTTCTACGAAATTATATATAAGATGAAATGAACCCTCGACACACTTTTTTCATCGAAACTTACGCGTGGCGGTAGGAGGAAGGTTGCCGACATAAACGCTCGTTACATAGGCAGGGGTTTGATGAACTGCCACTTCATAGGGTAACTGCTGACCAGGTTGGGGTGGAGGAGTAGCGGTTTGACCTAATCATAACAATGATCCATATATCAAAATCACTTGTCCCTCTCTTTCTCTTTTCAATATGTTTTTCTCACCTTTCTGGGTGGCCCAATTGCAACGAATAGCGCGCGATCCAAGCCATTCACCATTCATGGTAGCAATGGCTTGCTCCGCGTCGGCTTTGTCTCTGAAAGCAACAAATCCAAATCCTCTCGATTTGCCAGATACGCTGTCCCACATCACATGAGCATCACTATCAAAAAAAAAAAAAAAAAAAAAAAAAAAAAAAAAGCGTGTTAACAGCGTTGTTTATGCCAAGGGAGAAGGGTCTTTCATCCAAAAAAAGATACGCACGACAAGGTACCAAAACCAGCAAAGGCTTTTTGGAGCATTTCGTTTGTGATTTCAGGTGCCAAGTCGCCAACGAATACGTGGAAATGGTCGGCGGTGTTCTCCTTTACAGGTCCGCCTTGCTGAGCCCAGTTGACCTTGATTTCCTGTTGTGTTGCTGGTCAGTGTTGCCCGGCCAACGAGGGGGAGAAAATTTCACACGTCAAAGACAGAGGCTTACATAGTTGAAAATTTTGCGACCATTCATGGCCATGAGGGCCTGTTCTGCCACACGAGGATCGGCATAATCGACGAAACCATAGTTGACACCGCCCTGTAGTTCAAGATTAATAAGACACGTTCATCATAGATGGGAAAAAATAAACTCGTACATAGGAATAAGAGCCTTGACGTCTAGCCTAAATGGAACGTGTTATTGTCAATTCTACTTAAATTAAGGTTTTCTTTTTTTTTTTCTTTTTCTACTGTGTGTCTATTTGCCAAACTTACTGAAACGATTTTGACGCTCACAACAGGGCCGACGGTGGCAAAAATTTCTTGGAGCATGGCATCGGTGACCCTAAATGAAGCATTTCGATGAGCTTTTTTCAGATTTTGTGACATTGGATGAAGCTTCATGTTTATCGAATTTTTACCTCTGATCAAGGTTGCCGACGTAAATGGTGGAGGTTGAAGAATCCATGTAGGAATTAAAAGTTGCTAACAGAAAAGGGAAACCAAATATAAACGAAGGAGTGCAACACACACTCACTCAGACATACAATAAAAGTACAGCACCCAAAAGTTAAAGCACTGCCTAAATTCGGTCACGGCACAGAAAAAAAAAAGGCCTGAGCAAAAATTTTTGAGGGTTTTCTAAAGTCGGACTTGCCAATTTGACGTCACGCTGCCATTCAGCAAAAATTTCCAAGCACGTCATCGGCGACGCTTCGAGTGAATAGATTATATGCGTTTATGTGCCTGTGGCGATTTCACCCATTACAAATCTAATTCATCATGCCCATGAAACGGAAATCAACTTCACAAGCAGCGTCTCCTCCTCCGCCAAAGAAGGGATCATCTAGCAGTCTCTCCCATTCGTTGTCATCGCACGGGTTATTGTCCAGCAGTCCATCTCACGGACGGCCCATGACCACCGCCGCCGCCGCGGCAGCAGCTATTCGTCGCACCGCTTCCAATACAAGCATCAATAACTGGGCACAAAGACGATCCAGTGGCGGTACGGCAGCATCATCGCGCCAAGGCTCGGTGGAAACTGATCGTGAAGGTAGCGTGCCGAATACAGTAGCTGATGAGGAACAAGAACAACAAACGCCGAACGAGGCCGAAACGAGTCAACAGCAACAACAACAGGAAGATAACGAAGACGATGATGAAAACAAGGAAGACTTGGTCATGGATATGGATGCGCATATGCAGGCACAGATGGAAAAAGCAAAAGAAGATATGAAGTAAGCATTCGTTATCAGCAAGAGAAACGAGACTCGCTCATGAAAACTAAAACAACTTTTTTTGTTAGGCTGCTACTAGAAAATTTCACCGATGATCAGCTTCAACGGTACGAAGGATATCGTCGTTCGGCATTGAATCGAACCAACGTGAAAAGAGTAAGAAGGGCGATCACATATATTTCAAAAACTCCGGCTTCTAAATGATTGTTATGGTAGCTTGTAAGTCAGGTACTGAACCAGCAATGTTCACAGACGATGGCATTTGTTGTAGCTGGTTTCTCAAAAGTATACGTTGGCGAAATTATTGAAAAAGGTAGGATTCAGCTTGATTATTTTGGGACAGCGAATTTAATGCGTCCATTTTTTTCAGCACGTGAGGTTATGGAAGAGTTGGGAGATACGGGTGCCATCCGACCGGAGCATCTTCGGGAAGCACACCGAAGATATAAACAGAGTCAGACCGTGTCATCGACGGTGGGCAAAAAGCTATTTCGCCGATAGAAAAGCTTATTCGACGAGGGATGATGATGAGGGCTGTTACAAAAAACTTTTGGGCGAATGGCTATTATCGCAACCTGACATACCCGGCCGTGTCACATTTGAGACAACAACAGCTAATACGGCAAGCAAATACTGCCAAAATCGCATCTGTAGAAACTCATAAAATAATTGTATATACATTTTATCGATGATTTCGATACTTACCATAAATGTGAGTTGGTTTTGGGCAGGTTTCCCGGAAACATTGTCGCTACATCTTTCCAAATATGGAATATGGAAACTCCTCAGAATAACATTTGCCTTTTACAACTTTGCAGCTATATCTTATCGGATTTTGGCTCAAATTATTTTCATCTCTTTTTGCTCGCCATGGATATGGATTTCAACCTTCTGAAGCCACAAATTAAAAACAGATACGTTCACACCAGCAACCAAGCTCTGCGTAAATGCTGTGGATGTATCCATCTTCGGGTGGGCGCCGTGTTTAGCTGCATTATTTGGGCGGTAAGCATATCTTTTGCTGGAAACTCAGTGCGCAAAACATCCGACCGTTATTCATGAAATGTGATAGGCTCTCTCGCTGTACTTTGCCATCATATCTTTCCAAGATCAAAGCCGTAAGCACACGTTATGACGTCCTTTAAAACATTGTCACTAACCTAAGCATTACTTTAGCTTTCTTTTCTTACATGCCACGAGAGCCCGTACTGGTATTTGGTGTCGCCAATCTCATTCTTACTCTGGTCTCCTTGGGCGGACTCTTTGCCTTATTTATGGTGAGCAATTTTTTGGTTACCGCAACGGTTTTTGTGCATGATAATTTATCGGCTCACTTTAATACAGGACCGATGGGAAGTGGTACGAAGGTTTTCACATGCAGTATGGGTGTCTATTTTCCTTGTCCTTGTCGACGGTCTAGTCAACGTGATTCTTTTCATCACTGTACGCAACGATTTTCAAGATTGGTGTATTTCGGCCTCTTCCAACCATCTTCAGCATTTACTGCCGAACAGTACCGATTCCACGAATTTCGATTACCAAGGCGGCGATTTTTATAACTGCGATAAACTTTGGCAGGATGAACTGAAATTCAGTTTTATGGCCATTATTTTAATGATGGTACTTTATGTAAGTAGGATAATGATGGCTGTGATAGGACAATAATCTTATTTCCATTGCGTGTTGATTACGTAGGTATATTGGGCTGCCTGTATCTATTCTTTCAGTCACAAAAAGGGTGCTGTTCGGTTTACCGCAGCTCGCATGGGAGACCCTGCCATGGCGGCCGCTGCGGGGGCTATGCCTGCGCCTCCTCCACCCATGATGCCTGCTCAATTCAACGGAAACGGCAACGCTCCGGGTATGATGCCACCCATGCCACCTCAAGGAATGCCTAATCGGTCCAATATTATTGTACTACAAAACGAAAAACCGCGTTCGAAGACGAAAAAGAGCATCAAGAAACCGTCATTTTCGTTTCGCAACATGAAGCCACGCCGGTTGAGGAATACTGTTCATACCTTGCCCTCGGAAGACTACTTGTTTGATTTTAAGATTGCCTCTGATGGCCACGTTATTGATTTTTCAGAGATGGAACCTGAACCAGCGCGTACAGATAATGCCAGCAAGACAAAACGCAAACCTTTACCTGACAGCTATGACGTATGATCACAATCTAGCTACCTTTTTTCTTTTTTCTTCGTTTTTCTTTAATATGCTTCGCATTATTTCCACATCAAATGTCCGGATGTATACCTTTTTCTGTTTTCCGTTGAGAAAAAAAAAAGACTCATTTAATTTGGATCAACCTTCATTAAACTTATGCATAGAATATTCTTTTATATACCCTGCCCAAAAAAAATGCTGATGACAGCAAGCATAAATGACTGTATTCACGTGCAAATGTGATGAGGCTTTCATGTAATACTGTAGTAACCCTTTGTATGTGGCGCATTTGCACGATAAGCGATAAGCTTGCAGGTGAGATACGAAACTTTACATCAAACAATCAAAAACAGACGTACAGAAAAAAAAGAACTCTGTGGGGTCGCTATAAATCAAAGCATAAAAGCAATGCTTCAGGCAATGCCACATTTTGCGGCAGGTCAGAAATCCACAAAAAATGTCCAAGTAATACAGCCTTGCGTAAAGATGGAATTAGGAAGACAATCAAGTGTTTTCCTGATACCGATCCCAGAGTCGACGCTCATTGGCTCGTTTGCGGAATTGTGTAACACTGGTAACAGCGAGACTTTAATTTTGCCCCGAGACCGACGCTCATGGGTTCGTTTGGCTTTTTGTGTAATGATGGTAGCAGCTGCTACCAAGTGAATTGGTGTTCCCTAATAAAAACCACGTTGGTTGATGGCGAAGTCGAGTTTTCTTGACACCGAGCCCGAAGTCCAACCCCCATTGGCTCGTTTGGCCGTTTGTGTAACGCCAGTAGCGGCCGAAACCGAGTGAAGTGGTTTTCCCTAGTAATAACCACGTTGGTTGGTTATGACCATAATGGCGTCTTTAAGGAAAAGGGATGGCGTGAAGCAACATCTTCATGGTCGGAAGTTGAATTGCATCGCCTGATAAAATTTGAATATATTTACCGTATTTTTTATGTTAAATATTTGCGAAATTGAGATATCGTGAACAAAGTAACATGAAAACGGTTAGTCAGAGCAACCCTCCGAGAAAATGCAGCGTTTATGATATGCACAGCTGAAGCGCTGCTGTTATCCAATACAGATTTCACTGACTTATAACATGCATGGAACCTATACATCGATAATGTAATACTTTATTTTGGTCTCAACAGCACACGCGACACCAAATGCAGTAAATGTCTAGGATCAATATCGGACGGTATACTATTCATATCCGCTGCTGGTGATGCCATCAAGCCAGTTATCCAGTTGCTCCTTCAACTTTGTTTTTACTACCAATTCGTCTGCGCGAGCTATCATTTCGTTACAATTCAGCTCCCACTTGCTCAGGACGGCAACGCCGTAGGTGGTTTGATCATTGCCGGCGGCCAATACACCAGCAATATAGAGAGAAATGTCATAGCCTTGCTGTTGGATGCAAAAATGCACAAGTGAGTAATCAAATGTGCCCGGCGGAAGGCTCGCGGCAAACTTTTCGAGTCTTGATTTATCGGGCAGGTCAGAAAAGAAGTCGTTGATGTGTGCCATGGCATAGTCCTTTGGACCAAGGGTAATGAATGGTTTCGTCGATACCGGATCAAGCACTCCTTTAAAACTTCCTAGCAACTCGGCAAATTTTGCCCAGTCACGACTTCCTTTATGAAAACCAGATTCGTTTTCACAATACTTCAAAATGCAGGCAACAGCGTCAGGGTGATTTTCTTCCTTGGCAAACACGTCTCTCAACGACGCGTTGGGATCTTCTGCAGGATTACCGAGATAACTTCCAGCTGTGGCATTCATGGGTGAAATATACTTGGAGCATTGAAAAATGGATCTCGTAGATCGGCCTTTATATATGCGCAGTAAGAGATTGCGGCCGATGGAAAAATAGTTACACAGCACTTTTATGACGATTTATGCAAACGAATTAAACAAGTGAATTGCTGATGAGAAATAAAAACCATTTACCATATAACAGGCTTTGACCATCCAAAAGGAGATTGAGTTGAAAAAGGAATACGTTAAAAATACGTGCAACAGGCTCATGTCACGCTGGAATAAACTTGACGATCATAGCTTTGTGACCTCAAATGGCCGCAATACCTAAGATAAATATATCAATTTCCCAAGGTGAAATGTAGGCTTAGCTTGGTTTCCTTACTCTATATCAGCGTGAGTCGGATATAAGGTGATAAAAAAGGACCGAAGGATCATGGAAAAAGGGGACGATCTGGGACTGATCGTTAATGCTCATTTGAAGAAATCAGCTATGGGAGTCATTCCATTTGCGAGACTATGCAGCACGTCGTCTGTGGGTGTGGCTGTGTAACTTTTGTATTCGGAAACTAAAAACAGAGCTGCTTTGATGTTCTTTTACTTAAACTTTGTTTGTTCCGTTCGAATGATACAGGATCGACAATTCCGTCTGTTCGCTATGTTCATTACCGATAAAGAAAGAATCAGATGATAAAAATGGGTTGAAGCGCTCGATTTACTTGTAAATTGAGATCATGCTTAACACTGGTTCAAAAACGTTCAATCCGCTTTTGGTACGAAAATGAACGCAACCAATGGCAACAATTAGATGTAGTACCAAGCCTTTGTCAGGCCATTACAATATCTATCTTTTTGAGTGTTCTTGATGTTTGTCCGCATATATGTATCGGGTCTTGACTCGAATTGATTATTATACGTCGTGATCTGAAGTGGTCCACAAGCAGAGATAATTTATCGGTGGACTGCGGTCTTTTATATCAAGGATGCAACAGATGCAGTTGCAACAGCGGACATTCTCCTGATCATTGAAGAATTTATAGCGGAAAAACCAGTTCTTGTCAAACAAACGACTGTTCGTTACAGGATCTCCCCCAAGCAGCTGTAACATTCCACACAAAAACAAACTCGGTAAGATTCAAGCTTACTAGTTTTTTGTCATTCATATCTTCGTTTTGTTACATTTACCATGGTCTTAACCAGTGACAAGGTGGGTCATTAATTTTTGAGCTACCAAATTCACATTAAAATCCCAAACACTGTCGGTCCCATAGACTGAGACAATGACAAAAAAAAGTACTTTCAGGTACCGGCCTGTTGCTGGCAATTTTTATAAAAAAAAAAAATAATGGGAATATTACAGGGAAACATATACAATGATACAATAAATAAATAGGGTTTTAGTCCATAGCAGTTTGCATGGGACCTTTGTAGAATTTGCGTCCTGACACAAACCAGAAGCACATAGCAAAGATTACTACTGCGCCAATCATTAAACTTGCCCAGTTCATGGTCACTGCATCTACGGGAGATACGGATGGAATACACAGGATGACACCAAAGAAGCAGATCCAGGCTACACTGATGTAGTTGAGAGGTAAACTGAATTTTCCAAGATTGAAAGGACCCTAGTACAACATCATGTCAGCTAAAAAGGAATCTGCGCCAGGCGATGAGAGTTACTTACCTTGGGCATGTCTTTTCCAGCCCAAATGATGCGACACATGAGAGGAAGACCTGTACAACAACAAGTGGTTAGCCATATTTCCAATGTAAGCTGGAGGTCGTCTCTTACCATAAGAAATGTTGACACAGATCACGGCTGTACTCATAATTGCTTCCCAGTAAATCATGGTACCAAAGATCTAGAAGCGTTATAAGCTAATCATGCCAAAGCCATCGTCTGCTGAAAAAAAATTACCGGCATAATAACGACAATAGCAATGCCTAATTGCAACATGAGTGCGCGGACGGGAATGCTGCGGCTATCCAGCTTGTAAAAGAAGTTGGAATAAGGTAAGCATCTATCACGAGCCATGGCCCAGAAGAGATGACCGGTGGCCAAGATACAGTTGCTGAGAGAACCAAACTGAGCGACGAGCAAAATAACCAAGAAAAAGGTGGTGATTTCTTTTGAGGTAGCGCGAAGGAACAAGACAGCCACGGGCATCTCGGAGCCGATAAGTTCGTCCACATCTTGAATTGAGAACAGAACAGCAATAATAAGGACGAAACCCTGAACTACCGCGCAAGCGATGCAAATAACAATGCCTCGTGGCGCAGTGATATCGGCACGCTTCGTTCCTTCGACAATTTGAGCAGCACATTCGTATCCGATCTGTCATAAAACAGTTAGCGAAAAAAAAAAAAAAAAAAAAAAAAAAAAAAAAAAAAAGATCGTCGGATATCCTACCAGAGTCCAACCGGCTTGCAGCAATCCGAGGAAAAATACCAAACCAAGGTTTTTATATCCAGTTTCGTTTCCGAATGAAGTAAACACCCATTTGGCGCTTTGATGCGATGGTGCCATAGCTACATCGTCAATTTAGTCATGTAACTGATATGTAGGTTACTGTGATAATTAACTTACCGGGAACGGTAATAATGACAATGATGGTACCGATGGCGACCCAAATAACTGAATATACATCTCAGAACAGAGGAAAATCAAGGCGTACAAGAAAATTAAACTTACCCATAAATTTGTTCAACCAGCTACTGAATTTCATTCCCAGGTAATTGTAGGCGGTGCCAATGATAAACATGCCGCAATAAACGCCGACGTATGCGCCTGTGGGTGCCGTTTTGTTGTCATTCATCACGCTCACGATACTGAAAATGAACTGTGTGCTGCTCCAGGCTAATGTCATGCACGTTGCAATAAGTCCCGCAACATACATATAACCAGTGATCCAGGCCATGACTACAAAGTAAAACGGCTGTCTCAATATCGTTTTCCATGGAATTGTCGTATGCAGATCATATTTTTACTTACAAGGACCCCATTTTTTGTTGCTCAGTACATAACTCCAAGAGTAAACGCCTCCTGCCAGTGGATAGGCGGAAATGACTTCGGCCATGGACAGAGCAATACAAGTGACAAAGGGAACGACGACGACCCAACCCCAGAATAAGGATGAGGGACCACCAGCAGCAAGACTACCTCCGAAACCAACTAGCCTGTGATCCGAAAAAGGTTAATATATAAAGGGACAATTCACTTTGAAAATGCATACCAGCTAGGCAGTACGGCCATGGTGGAAAAGGCGAATCCTGCTTGTACGAATAAACTAATGTCACGTTTGAATTCTTGCTTGTAACCGAGATCCTGGAGTCTCTGTGCATCGTAATCCAGGGAGCTGGTTTCGATGTGTTCAATTTGTTGACCATCAAGGGCATTGTCGGATTTCTCCTTCTATTCAGTGAATATTTAGCCAATGTAATCAAGCAAAAATAAAATTATAATTAGGCTGTACCGTTGACTCTATATTATTGGATGACATTGTTCAACTTTTGAATTAGAGAATCAAAACCAGGGCAAAGTCAACAGAACGTCCTGCTTTTATGACATCTTTAGGCGCCAACACCTTCAAACTTTATCAGGAAATTTCATATCACATGGTCCAGAAGAGATCCTTTCATTTACTGCATAAGGGTAAACTTGATAAGCCGTACTACATGCTGACAAATGATACTACCATTTCCATCAAAATAAAATTCACCCTAAACATGGCTTTCTTTCCTTATCTTGTTACGTCAGTTTTAACGCTTGGTATGACTTTCTCACGAAACGAAAAAGGACAATCTCCCGAACGCTCCTTTAGGATTTTGAGTTTTTTTTCTCTCACTCTTTTTTTTTCCCTCGCTGTATGATGCATCACTTTCTTTTCTACTTTCTATGATATGACATCCATCCATCGCTCAATAGATGGATTGGTTGTCCCTGACTTTTACCGATGGATGAATCTGCTGTAGCTAGAGTTCATTCCAGCAATACCTCACATACAGCGTCTTCTTATAGACGAAAACATATATTGGGTGATGAATGATGATGGTGATCATTAAAACATATGGTTGAAGCCGTTCATCATACACAGGCTGACAATTTGCAGAATCGCGCAGAGAAGAAACGAAGTGTGAGTGGCCCCGCTTGGGATCATTGATCCATTTTACTGATGAGCCAATCAAAATCCTTTCACCGGACCTCTGTATATTTGTATTATAAACGATCACCCGCATAAAATGCCTTTGAATTTGTGTCCTTTCCTCTCTCCTCCTGAGTTTTTTTTTTTTATTTTTTCAGTTGATAAAACTTTTTATTTTTACGCGTGATTCTTGCTTGATCGCGACATCCACTTTTAATCATGTCTGATTCTGAAGATGAAATTCCTCTTGCGCAGAGAATGGCGCAAATCAATCCTTCTGGCACTCATCGTAAGTGTTGGCATGATCTTTTGGTGTGAGACCGGTAGTCAGTAACACGTTTCGTTTACGTCATTAGCGAACCCGCATCATCATTTGCCAGTTCCCGTGAAAAACGAAACGCCAGATCCTACTAAAGCACGCACCAAGTCGTTCATTCCTGATGAGGACGACGACATGCCATTGGCTCAGCGGCCAAAGAACGGCATTGTTAAACGCGAAGTAAGAAGACAACATCGTCTCCATTGACTTCAAGGAAATATAATTAAAAAAAATTCTCATTTTATTAGTCTTCATCCCCCGAATTGAAGAGAAAGAGCGATAAAAAGAAAGAGAAAAAGGCCAAAGTGAAGAAAGAGGTAAAAACTCCCTATCGATCTTTTTGTCTTTTGATCATTGAATGGCATACGAATGACTTGTTTTCTAGGATATCGATTCAATGGACATCGATGAGAAAGTGAAGAAGAATTTGAAAAAGCGCGCCATGGGAAAAGAGTCTGAATCGGTTTCATCACCCAAGCGATCCAAAGCCAATGATGGCGCCGTAGCAACCAAAGAAGCCAAGCCCAAAAAGAAAACCAAGGAGGAGGAAGAAGAAATTTATAAATGGTGGGAAGAGGAACGTCAAAGAGACGAAGAAGCCGATGGTACAATTAAATGGACGCAATTGGAACACAACGGTGTATTATTTCCTCCGGAATACGTTCCTCACGGTGTCAAGATGAGGTATAATGGTAAACCAATTACTCTCACACCCGAGGCCGAAGAAGTCGCCAGTTTCTTTGCCGCACTTTTGGAGACAGATCATGCCAAAAATCCAACCTTCCAAAAGAACTTTTTCAATGATTGGAAAGAAGTTTTGAAACAAGATCCTCGTGTAAGTTATCAAACTCATCAAACCATCCCTCTGAATATGGGTTCTCATGCCTTGTTTACTGTAGAATCCTCAAATCACTGATTTTGATAAATGCGACTTCCGTCCAATTTGGGAGAAATTCGAAGCCGACAAAGAAAAGAAGAAGCAAATGACCAAGGAAGAGAAACTGGTAAGTTTTGTTACATTTTAAATGACCGATTCTAATGTTGGGCTCATGATTATACTCTTTTGGCGACACCAGCAAAAGAAAGAGGAGAGAACCAAGATGGAGGAACCGTTCCTTTATGCTGTGGTGGATGGCAGAAAAGAAAAGGTCGGCAACTTCAGAATCGAACCTCCAGGTCTCTTCCGTGGCCGTGGCGACCATCCAAAGACTGGAAAGTTAAAAGTAAAAATACGAACAGTCGTAGATGGTGTTGGCTCTTGAACTAAACGAAGAAAACTTGGGTTAGAAACGAGTGATGCCTGAACAAGTCACGTTGAATATCGATGAGCATGCCAAAATACCCGATCCTCCAGCTGGTCATAAGTGGGGTGGCATTGTTCATGATCAGACAGCGACATGGCTTGCTACCTGGAAGGAAAATGTCAATGGATCCTTCAAGTATGTGTTTTTGGCGGCCTCTTCATCTTGGAAGGGCCAGAGCGATATGCAGAAATTCGAGAAAGCACGCGAGTTAAAGGTAAGCCGAAAAAGCCGGAAGGCTAATGCAATTATCGTGTGGAACCCACTCCAATATTATTGTAGAATCATGTTGGAAAAATACGCGCGAATTACACTGCCGATTTGAAGGACAAACTGAGCGAAACACGACAGCGCGCTACGGCCATGTATCTAATTGATCGACTGGCTCTCAGAGCCGGCAATGAGAAGGGCGATGATGAGGCCGATACGGTCGGTTGCTGTTCGCTGAGATATGAACACGTTGAACTTGAACCGCCGAATACCTTACACTTTGATTTCCTCGGTAAAGATTCTATTCGTTATCAGAACTCGGTGGAGGTGGAGCCACAGGTCTTTAAGAATATCAAAATCTTCAAAAACCAAGTCGGACCTGGTCATATGATCTTTGATCGCTTGACGGTAACATCAATTGTTATTTTCTACAGTGACGGAAACCAACTGATTGATCCATTCAATAACAGACTACAGGACTGAATAAGCATTTGAATAACTGTATGAAAGGACTGTCGGCCAAGGTTTTTCGTACTTACAACGCTTCGCATACATTCCAACAACAATTGGATAAACTGACCAATCCGAAAGACACACTGCCGGACAAGATGCTGTCGTTCAACCGTGCTAATAGAGAAGTCGCCGTTCTTTGTAACCATCAACGTACCGCCTCAAAGACCCATGTTCAGCAAATGGCTAAAATGCAGAACAAGGTAAAGTAGTGGCTGTAAAAAAGGCGCCGAAGCCCAGGACTCACACCACCCTATCTTAGATTCGAGCACTGAAATATCAAAGAATGAGACTTCGCAAACAGCTTTTCCAAATGGAACCGGGAATGAAGAAGAAGAGACCTGACTTGAAGCAGGATGAATCAGATCTGGAAGATGACTGGATTGTTGAGCATGAAAATGATCTGATTGAGAAGGAACGAGAAAAGATCAAGACCAAGTTTGAAAAACAAAACGAGAAACTGGCTGCTGAGGGTGGAAAACCGCTACCGCAATCTGATCTGAAAGACAAGTTGAAAGCTGTAGACGAAATGGAGGCGCGACTAAAGAAGGAACGGAAAACTGGTGCGATCACCCCCAAACCCAACATGACGGTCGACAAGATTCTTACGCAGATCGAAAAAATGGATCAACGAATCAATGCGGCAAAGATCCAAGCAACGGACAAGGTAAACTTTTAATTCTTTTTTCTGCATCCAAATATTTATTGACGCTTTTTTTTTACTTGCTTGATGAATTACAGGAGGAAAATAAGGAAATTGCGCTAGGTACATCCAAGATGAATTATATTGATCCTAGAATCAGTGTTGCATGGTGTAAGAAGAATGATGTACCTCTGGAAAAGGTGTTCAGTAAAACATTGCTGGAAAAGTTCAGATGGGCACAAACGGTGGATGCCAAATGGGTAAGATCTAAAGATTTACTAATGCCAATGGAATGGGGATATTAATATGTCGTCTCGTAGACCTTTTAATTTCCCTGACCTTTTTTTTTCGCCTTTTTTTTACACAAAGATGAATATACTAAACACACTTATAAACATTGAACAAATTAACCAGATACAGCAAACATAAATTCGATATAGGTTTTTCACTTCATAAATAAACATTTGCACTGATATTTTGGTATGTCAATGTGGTGATATCATTGTGTCATATAACGATCGACGTCGTACGAACGGAACGATCTCAAAAGAACATCAGTTTGAATCCCAGACGTCTCAATTGACGACACTCATTCTCGATGAGGACCTCGTATTTGCTGTCGCTCGGCTTTTTCATGATAAACGGTAATTCTACCTTTTGGTATACTAAACATATTCGAAGAGTGTGCGGACGTGACCCGCCCGTCTTGCTCATAATAGTGACTTTCTCCCGAACCGTTACACTCATTTTTAAAATGAGCGCCGTATCCTAGGTTTCTCTCTTTCCCAGATCAATGAACAAGTTGCCTCTTTAAAGAATGTTCTAACGTATAATAATGAGGTGGCAGTTCGTCGATTATTTATTTACTCATGGAAAAGATGTCAACTTTTTTTTTCACAAAGCGCGACCCAGTTTGTGACTCGGCGTCTGCGTTCCAACTTTAAATTGAGAAGCAAATTCGGGAAAGCGTCGTTTCTTTTCCATTAACTGCTCTGCAACCATGGAGGAAAACCAATATTACTCGACTCAAGGATATTCTCATCCTAACAACCCTGAATATCAGTATCCACGCAACGATTCCCCCTCGGAAGAGAACGAAAGCAATGACTATGGGTACCAAAACACGGTAAATCCACATGTTGAACCAAAATACCCGGAACTATGGACTCAAAATTTGAGCTTAGGACCACGCTTCCTATGTCGCTACTTCACAACACTATCGCCGTTCCTCAAGTGGCGATGAGAATGATCCCAACTTTACGGCCGAAGACTATGCACATCCTAATCCAAACTTCCCTCAGCCTCCAATGTCACAGTATAATCCGGCCCCTAACCCCGGTAAGTTACACTCAAGCTTCCGAGTGTGCTTTCCAACTTAAAAAAAATCGTTTCATCCAGTCCCCTACGGCAACAACTATACTCCCACTGGTTCCGGTGATAATAACTTTTATTTGCACGTCCATCCCGCTTTGCAGAATAAGCCAGCTCCATCATTTGAGCTTTCCAACTGTAAGTGATGCTAAAGGGCACTATTGTGACACAACATCAGTGGTCTGAATCGGAATTGAATAGGCAAAGGAAGAAAGCGCGCTCTTTTAATTGGTATCAACTACTTCAATACTCCCAATGAGTTGAAAGGTATGTCACCATAGTATTGAAAACAGGGACTGGCATTGACCTTGCGGGAATTGTAGGATGCATCAATGACGTGCATAATGTGAAGGATTTTATTACCACTTTGTATGGGTTTGAAGAGGTATTATTCCACATACTTTTAAAAGCGTGCAAAATCATGATTTAACCATGTTTGTAGAGAGATATGGTGATTTTGACAGATGATCATGACAATCCCAAATTCCTTCCTACCCGTGCCAACATTATTTCCGGCATGCAGTGGCTAGTGAATGACGCCCAGCCCAACGATTCGTTCTTTTTCCATTACAGCGGACACGGTGGACGAGTATGCGATCTTGATTAAGAAACAGTGAGATTGAATTATTTACGAAAAATGTTACGATATAGTCCAGCGATAACAGCGGCGACGAAGACGATTCCCACGACGAAACAATATACCCATTAGACTTTGAAGAATCAGGACAGCTGAAGGATGATGTACGTGCTCCATGTTTTGGGTTATAAATGCGCGCGAGTATTGAAACAGGGGAACACCATAGGATATGCATCAGCTTTTAGTGAAGCCATTGTGTCACGGTTGCCGATTGACTGCCATCTTTGACAGCTGTCACTCTGGAACTGCATTGGATCTTCCCTATGTTTACTCCACTCGTGGCGAGATTAAATCAAAGAATCTTTTCAAAGATGCTGGAATGGGATTGCTTTCTGCCGGTGTTGCGTATGCACAAGGCGATCGGGACGGTGCTTTGTCCAGCTTGATATCTCTTGGCCAGAAATTATTCAGCGCGCGTGATGTGGAAGACGAAATCAGAGAGAAGCATAGTTCTCCTGCCGACGTTATTATGTTTTCCGGGTAAGGTTTTCACATTCGCTTGCAGAACCCAACAATCACTGACAATAAGTCATAGATGCAAGGACGATCAAACTTCGGCCGATGCACATGAAGCAGGCAAAGCAACAGGTGCTATGAGCTATGCCTTTACCTGTAAGTATATAAGTACTGTCTGTGTTGATTACCAGTGCTGATCCGATTTTTTTTCAAGCGACATTACGAGAGAATCCCAACCAGTCCTACCAGCAACTTCTCAACAGCGTTCGAAATATCCTCAGCGATAAATACGCGCAACGACCTCAACTAAGTTCATCTCATCCTATTGACGTCGATTTGGAATTTGTATGTTAAGCTTCTTAAAAAAGGAAGGAGAACATGGTGTTAGTGTATGGCTTCTTTTCTTCTCTCTTTCCGGGTCACTCCATAATACAATCTCAACTCCATGATACCGTTGTCCAAAACGATCCGCGCCTATATGGATTGCAAAGATTCTTTATTGTTATCTAAATGTTATGTTCTGATAGAGGATTAAATGAAAGAGTTAAACGTAGAGCTTTGGCTAATTCATTCTTATCTAAAGCATGACTTACTTTTGTTGGATCACAAACGGTTTCAGCTACCGACGCATCGAGCGGAGAAGTGAACTTCATTTTCAAGTGGAGATGTTCCCCAGTCCTGCAAACAAATCAATGCGAAAGAACAGCGCAGCACGCATAAGGAAGTCCAAACTGCACATGCTGTTGCTGCGTTGGCATGTCTCGTCTAGTTACAGGCACTGTATGTATTCGTGAGCACTAGTGGCGCAGCCTAGCAAATCTTGAATATGTTTTGAAAATGCCTCGCCGGCGTTCCATCGCCATTGCAACACGGCACCATGGGAATGGCATCCTGGTATTGTCCAGTAAGTGAGCTTTTATTGTCATAACAATTTGAATACACGGTTTTAGAAACAAAACTGATACAAAGGGGCAGGGCAAGGTAGGGAAAACTTCCTAGCATACAACAAGACTAAAAAAAAAAAGTGCGTAAAGCCTTAAGCATGTCGCATCAGCGTTCAACCATAGGCTATAGTTCACGTTATAGTGTTACTGTAGCGTACAATTGGTGCTGATGGCAGCATGAGTGACATGGCGCAGTCCCCTCTTTGCATGGCTTACGCGAAAGAAGTGTGAGGCTATGAATTTCGCCAGTTTTGTTGCGAGAATCGAGCCAATGAGGTGCATTCGCGGTCATAAAGCAAGGTCACAATCGAAGGTCCTCGAACGATTTTTGAAAAAGATATAAAAAGGGGGCGTTTCTTCTCATCTCTTTTTTTCTTTTGTGCGCCAGTTCGGAATCAGGGGCTGCTAGGCTGGTGGTTACTGGTAATGATGAACGCTCCGGTTTTTGGTAAAGCATTCGGGGTATGGCGAAAAATCCGAAAACCATCTTCTAATGATAGGATTGGCCATCCTCTGAAGAAGATTGTTTTCGTTCCCGTCGGCTCTTCCCTTTGGGCGCCTGACTAGTCATCAGCGCGGTCATTGTGGAAGGTATGTCGGTGGGTTTGCTTTTTAATCGCAACAAAGGTAAATGAAAAAAAAAGGTTTTTGCCTTATTTCTCAACCCTTTGTGGGTTGAATAATGTAATAAAAAAGTGGGCTTAATGTCCTGTGGACGAACTACACCACTTCATATAAAAAGAAAAATAAATGAAAAACACTTTGCTTTTCCTTTACGCTACGGTTATTTTCATTTGATGTCAAGCGAATTCGAAAGCCAAGATAAAATGAATTTGTGCGGTCCAAAGCGACTTCTTTTTTTTTCCACAGGCGTCATTCCGGCATCCCTCCCTATACGAACTTGTGGGGATGAATGGTCATTCCTAAGCATCTAATGTGAGGTATTAGATTTGTGCTATCCGACTTATATGTGTAGTGTTGCATGAAACCCAAAACTTCGTGACATATCAGACCTGTCAGTGGCGATATGGACCAGTTGGGAAAGTGAAGGTTGCTCTTCAACAGATCAGGGATGACAGGTATTCGGCGCCCAAAATTGGTACACTCACTCACAGCCGTAACTTAAGTACTGCTGCCCTATTTGGAAAGCTATTTGTTTTTTCGTTTCATTCTGCGAAGAATCAAAATGGGTGCATATTAATGACGTGATGGATGAATAAAGAGAAGGATTGGTTCTTGACGAGAAGGCGTTTTGTGATAAGGTTTAATGTACCATAAGTCGAGGAGAAATAGAAATACAGGCTCATACACAAAGTCGATCGAGCTTAATACTGAGGTCGTACGACATATGCAGCCAAATTCATTATTTCGTTGTGCTCGGGAGGTTGGATAGGGAGGTTGGATAAAAATCGTAAATAGCAACCGCGTTCTTCTTGGACTGAGGTCGGTGAATCACTGGGTGAAATGAAGGAACCAGAAAAACCTTTTCATTTTTCGCTGCTGCGGAATTTGTAACACCGACACGAATTGATTGTTTGATCGCTGGTTGTTCGGACCTGCGATCGTTCAACCGTTTTCCATCACTTTCCATAACCTCCATTGGCTTTTGATCGTCAATGACAAGCAGCAATCTGTACGAGATCCTTGGAGTTGATTCTTCAGCGACCGAAGCCGAAATCAAAAAGGTACATTCTTATCGATCAAGTAACGTTTTCGATCACCGCAGCTAACATCTTATTCATAGGCTTACAGAAAACTGGTACGAGTCTTTTGAACTATATATGCCACTCGCGGTATTACAAGGAAATCTAACTTCTTTCCATAGGCCATTCAATATCATCCGGATAAGAATCCTGCAGGCGCTGAAAAGGTAATTTTGGCGGTCTTTGGTAAATATGAGTTGTATCACTGCTAAAATTTCTTCGATCCAGTTCAAGACGATATCGCATGCCTATGAAATCCTTTGTGATCCCGAGAAACGTGCAAAGTATGATCGAGGAGACGAATCTCAAGAGGACGATCATATGTACGAAGCATATGGTCACCCTGCCGGCTTTTATTTCAATGACTTCTTTTTTGATAACGGTAAGAGTCTGGGGAAAACGCTCTTTGTCAACTCGTTCTGTGGATTAATGCGATGTTTTCGTAGCCCGGAACCACGATATCGAGATCACGCATTCTATTTCGCTCAAGGAATTGTTCTTTGGCACCCAATTGCAGCTATCTTATGTAAAAAATATCATATGCAGTGGCTGCCACGGGTGAGTGTTGGCGGTGTTACTCGTCTCGAGTGAATATCATATACTAACGTACAGCAACAGCAAAGGGCGTAAAATGGTGAAGAGAGTTCCGTGCACTCTGTGCGCCGGTAAAGGGACGCTTGGAAAAATGCCATCTCGCGACAAGACTTGCCATAAATGCAAAGGCATTGGAAAGATCAAAGTGAAACAAAGTTGCAAAACATGCCATGGCAGGAACATGGTAGAGGTTGAAGATAGTGTATCCGTCGAGGTCATCCCTGGCATGAAAGAGAGACGCATTATTATGAAAAAACAAGGTCATCAGATGGTAAGCGATGGGCACCCTAGTATTCGTGTCGGCCAACAGTCATCTAACTTTTAACTGCCCATAGCTACATTCGAAGAAATTTTCAAATCTGATTGTGAAGCTTGAAGAAGAGAAGCATCCTATTTTCCAACGTTATGGTTTCGACTTGCGAACGGAAGTATCAATCACCTTGTTTGAAGCATTGACCGGGTTCGATAAGGTTCTTTTCCAACATCTGGATGAACGCGCTATCAAGGTTCGATATGAACCAGGCAAAGTCATCAAGCCAGACTCTTACAAGCTTATTCGACACGAAGGCATGCCTATTGCAGGCAACAAAGACAACCGTGGCGATCTTTATATCCAATTCCGTGTCGAATTTCCGGACACGATTACGTTGACAGATACGTCCAACAACGAACTTCGAAATTTACTGCAACCTACCGAGAAAATTGAGTCCGATGGTTCCCGGCTCATTGCAGCGGATGCTGATACCTCGGTGGAAGAATGTGCGTTATTGGACGCCCCTGTTGTTAATGTAAGTTTACCACATTGGATACGTATGATTTATCAGATTTACTCAAAAAGCTATCTAGTTTGAAAATTCTGAAAAAGCGGAAAGCATGGATCATGACGAGCCGAATTTCAGTGACGATGATGAAAGCTACGACCACGGATATGAGGAACATTATTATGATCCTGTGGGTGAAGCTTTTGGTGCCATGAACGAAGACATATTTGAGGGAACCCCTGTAGGTTGCCGGCAACAGTAGAGTAGTAAGAAATTCTAGACGTGGATATCATCGACCTTCATTACAGCATACTATAACAAGCCCAGCGACACCTGCTCGTGGACTATCAACTTTATACGGATTTTTTTTTCTTTTTTTTTTGCATACCTTATTTCATTCAATAATAGATTCTTCACATTCATCTCTCCAACATTTTTTTTTCAGTGTTGCGGTCTAACTGTGGTGAATTTATTGGCTTGGCAATGGAAGCCTGGAATTTATACTGTAACTCAATACTATTGATGCGATAGCAACAGATCGAGGGCAAAAAGCAAAAGATTGCCACTCTTCTGGTGGCACAGGTCAGTCTTTTCGCCTAGGCTTTCCCATCTACAGATGCGTTCCATTAGCTAATGACCGTTGATCGAAGTTTCGGTAGTGTTCTATCCTTCATCTAGCTCATGTCATTTTCAGATATAAGAAATTTTGCTGAGGCCATCCATCACAGATCAATAATACCGATTCCGCACTGCAGTTTCCCTTGTACTTACGATGTTTATGATTTAGAATAAAGCAAAAATAATCGATTGAAATAATATATATACAAAAAGTGGACCATGAATAGGGGGAGATACTCTGCAACCTTATGCGGCTTTTAGTTTGGCTTGTCGAGCTCGTTTCCTAGCATAATAGCGTTTGCGATAGGCTTCGAATCCTTCCTGAAAACTTTTGGGTATCTTTCTGTAAAAGTTTAGTTCGCCTGTACTGCCGTGGCGCTGAAACTGTAAGTTGAAGAACTGCAAGGCACGGTTGCAATGGGGTACGAATCTAACGGATGCAAAGTGAGATAATCGTGACAGAAATAGCTAGCCAAACGGTACATACTCTGATGCGTATACAATTTTTTCAGAATACATTCCAGATCGATAGAAGAATACAAGACTGCCTGACGCAGCGAGTAAAGCTGCCGTATTCAGTAAATGGATGAAGAATATCTACGATAGGTTCATGAGCCATTCTTTTCTTGACGCTGAATCAAAAAAGCCGGGTTTTCTATTACCTTGCTTGGATCAACAAATACAGCATAGAAGAAATATGCAAGCGTCACTAACAGCCCGCATAGCAACGCTAGCAATACATATGAGAAAGACGTACAGGTATCACCGAAGCGTTGACGGATATTACCTTCAAACTTTCTTTTGCGCCGTAGTAACCGAGTCATATTCCCACGTAACCGTTCCTCAAAGATAACCAGATCTCTGTAAGCGACTTGGGCAGAATGCGCGGGTAAATTGCTGTGAGTAGAATCAGAGGCTGTCATTGTCGCCGATGAGGATGATGATGCCTCAGGCTCCTTTGGCGGTGATTCCATGGTTTCGTTTTCTATTATTTTACAACCGAAAAGGATCCTCCCCACTCCGCTTCCTGTGATTTTTTAAAAGCCGAGAATTTCCAAACTGGAGAAAGCCGTGACTGTCGTCCACTTTTTGGGGGAGGGGGAGGAAGGATTAACAGCCAACCCGGCCATCAGAGTTCTAAGAATCCCCAGGAATTTTGGAACTTCTGCTCAGTAAAATGCTCACTGACGCGAGGTTGAACACGCTGGCATAATGAACCACATTCACAACTCTTCACAGATTAATTAACCTTCATATACTCGCAATTATACATGCAAACCAACTGCAGTATACGTTTCAATGGAGATACAAGGAGTATTTTAAATTTAAAAACACATAAAAAAACGGACAACACTTGACACTCACAAAATTCACTCCAATTCCTTCGAGAAACAATGAATTTGCCAACACACGTTATTATTTGCCGCCCGTCTCTTTTTCCTTCTTCCTGCTTTAGTTGCTGCGCCTGCGTAAGACATCTTTCGTTTAACCATTACGAAGACGGTTCGAACGAACTCATGCCCATCGTCCAAGCAAGAAGAAAGGCCCACTTTGCATCATAAGGTGGCGCTCATGCAAGCAGAAGACGCAATTCTTTCGACGTTCTCTTCGGTTTTTGGATTGAATTTTGGAGTCTACCAAGTGTTAGCCCCCCAAAAAAACACCCACCCCTTTTCTTGTCTTGTCTTGTCCTTGTCTTGCGAAAGCACTCAGCACCACCCTCTTGCCCAATTGCACTGATCCTTCCGTAATCAGCGCATAACAAGGACCCTCCTCTCCCTCACGGAGAGGCAAGTTCACTTTATCTTCTCCACATTCCCTAAAAAATGTCCACTGGAACGACTCGAATCTGTCCGAAACACACTTGTCATCTGTGTGAAAGGGACTTCAGCTCGCACTATAATTTACGACGCCACACCATATCAATCCACATAATACCGCCCCGAGAACCAGATGGTAGCTACCCATTAGAAGGAATAACTCTGGTGAATGATGACTTGGACTTATTCCCGCAATATCGACTGGCTGAAGAACCACATCCCATCGCACGTAATTCAGCAGAACTATTGTCCACGCTCCCATCAAAACAAAGAAAGACATCTTGCAGTTCCGCGACGCGTCCTCATCGTTGCATACACCGAAGCGACCCCAGCTTGCTGGCGAGACGATTCTTTACTTTTGCCAACCCTTGTAAGATGCAAGTCTGCAATGGAAAAGATTTTTCTGGTTGGCCTTGTACCTGAAAATGGTATGCCAAGCACTGACTTGGTGATGGCCTACACACAGGTATGTACTGAGATGAAAGCAGGATACGTAATACATATCGCTCATTATATGCTTTTATTTCCAGATATACAGCAAAGTCAAAGTTTTCTTTACGACTTTGCTGCCGACAAAGATTGAGATGGTATTACCATATCGCCTCTCAGATCCTCGGACCTCTATTTGGACTGGTGTCATGATTCCTGAGGTGACGCACAGCAACTCTGCAAGACAAGAATTTACGGAAGATTACAGGGTGCGACGACGATGATTGATCGAAGCAACTCTTGCTCAAGAAGGGGAGCATGATGTCTTTTGACGGTTTTTCAAGGGCTGCGAACCATCTTGAGTTCTCAGATGATTTTCGCAGACAAGTCTACTTGCGGCGGGCATCTCTGGCTGCCCTTTGGGGGATCCACATTTATGGCCGATTTGCTCATTCTGAAGACAACCACCGAGATGGGAAGGTCTGACTGGAAGGTGCAGTCACCTTCAAGGAAAGATATGGTCAAGATAGACGGAGCAAGGCGGGATAAAGAACAAGATCTTACGGGTGAATACGTAATCCAAGAAGGAAACCTCTGCTCTACGATGTCACCCAGACAAAGTCTCTCCCGCCAAATTCTGCGCTGTAACCTGCTCCACGTTCCCCGCAGGCATCGTTTAATTGACCCAGTTGTGCTGATCACACTCGGTTGATTGGCTTCCGATGGTGCGAAGTTCCGACAGAGGAGCACGTCGAATTTGCATTGACCCCAACACATGGACGCGAACCGCAACAACAAGTTTCACGATGGTCTGGGATACGATATCAATGTGCGTAGTCGTTTCGTCATGGAAGGGTCAAGCAATAATGTCCAAGGAAGAACATTGAGCACACCCAGGAAGATACTGTCAAGACACTCCATGCGTCAATCGAGATCCTGAACTCGTTCGTCTGTCGCCATCCCCCTGCGTCCTTCGCGAGTCTTTGCTCTGCCGCTTCATTTTCGGTCCAGTGTGTTTGCGCTACAATCGCTCTCTCAAGCACCACCATGGACTGCGACAACATTGGTGCATATATACACTCAGAAGTACGGTCAGCAGATATCCCGCTCACCTTTGAAGACCGTACCTCAGCGATGTATGTATTCGAACTGATCGTCTACCTGTATACGTCCCTTCGAGAGCAAGAGACCATCTTGGAACAGATAATGAAAGAAAGTTCTGGTTTCATTCCTGTTGATGACCAAGATCGTGGATTATGCGTTCTGGCTGGAACATGAATCGTTTACTTTTCATATTTATGCTACTATCCATTAGCTATGGCTTACCGTGAATGCAAGGAATGGCATGTCGAAAGTGTAGACGTTGACTTGCGATGGGCTTAAACCCTGTCGCCAAATGTGTATTACAGGGTTTAATAATGCTTGCAACGCGCAACAAGAATAAGAATATTGTCGCTAGCAATATTGAGTCGCTTGGGTTCATACGGCGATGAAGACGCGTTACGGAAGTGAACAAACTTTCTTTTGCGCGTAGCACCCGAGTCATATTTCCGCGTAACCGTTCTTCAAAGATAGTCAAATTCTCTATAACGACCTGCGCAGAATGCGCAGGTACAGTAAATCTGAGTGGAATATGAGACTTTCGCCGATGATAATTCAAGCCTCAGGCTCCTTCAGCGGTGATTCCATGCCTCGTTCCATTAATTACTTAACAACTGAAAAAAACCCCTACTCTGCTTCCTGTGCTTATAAAAAAGCGAGTATTTTCTACCGGAAAAGCCGAGGAATCCCTAGGAGCTTTGGAGGAAGCTTTGGAGGAAGCTTTACTTAACAAAAAAGCACATTGATGCATGTTGAGCAGGCTGACATAATGAACCGATTTCGAACGGCTGAAAAACCACATCCCCTCGCAGGACCTTCAACAGAAAATGTTCTCATCCCATTAAAGCACATTTCACTTTCGCAACGCGTGTTCATCGTCCTATGTACCCAGGCGACTCAATATTGCTAGCGACAATATTCTTATTCTTGTTGCGCGTTGCAAGCATTATCAAACTCTTTAATACACATATAGCAGCAGGGTTTAAACCCATCGCAAGTGAACGACCTACACTTTCGATATGCCATTCCTTGCATTCACGGTAAGCCATAGCTAATGGATAGTAGCATAAATATGAAAAGTAAACGATTCATGTTCCAGCCAGAACGCATAATCCACGATCTTGGTCATCAACAGGAATGAGACCAGAGCTTTCTTTCATTATCTGTTCCAAGATGGTCTCTTGCTCTCGGAGGGACGTATAAAGATAGGCAATGAGTTCGAATACATCCATCCATGAGGCGCGGTTTTGAAATATGAGCGGGACATCCGCTGACCGTACGTCTGAGCGTACATATGCACCAACATTGTCGTGGCCCATGGTGGTAGTAGAGAGGGTAATGGTCGCGCAAACGCACTGGAAAGAAAATGAGGCAACAGAGCAAAGGCTCGCGAAGAACGCAGCGGTATGGCGACGGACGAACGAGATCAGCATCTCGATTGACGCATGGAGTGTCTAGACAGTGTCGTCCTGGGTGTGCTCAATGTTTTCCTTGGTAACATTATTGCTTGACCTTTCTATGACGAGACGACTACGACCATTGATATCATATCCCAGACCATCATGAAACTCGTTGGTTGCCGTTCGCATCCACAAAGGTGAGATCGCTCCATCCAGTCACAGCAACCCCTTGCATGGAGGTTGATCTTGTCAATGACATTCTCCATATGATCAAGCGGTAAAAAGAACAAGAAATAATCGCATGGCGATGCTGTTTTCGGGTTGTTCAAAGTGATAATGGTCTTGTCACTCTTATACCCGTTATTACTGACTAAATGTTTGTCGTGATAAACCTCGCTTGCAATCCACTCGTCTTGAAGTTGGTTCAACCAGTAAGATCTGCGATCCCTTCTTCAATGCTTTCTTCCACCGCATCTTCGAGGTAATCCTCTTGCTCTTTTTCGACAGCTGTGGGTGTAGCTCGTACACGCGGCGTCGGTGTATTGTTACCAACATGCCCTACATACTTCAGGCCACCGGCTGGAAACTGCATTGTAATGCTGGCTACTTCATCCGGAATGACGTCGTACAGGTCTTTCCCATTCACACTGGAACGACCAATAGTCCTCCCCAGGAAGTTCAGGGCTGGGGCATTCCGGTCGTACCTCGACTTGATAATAATAAGAGCGTCGTTATCTTTCACGAAACGGTTATTAACGGAAATTCGAACTTTGAGGGCGAAGAATGTACCACAGTTTATGTCGTCTATTCGCCAATGGCGCTATTATTCGTGGGGCTGCGTGTCCTTTTGGCGGACTTTGTATTGGACCGCTGCTCCTTTCCCAGAGTTGATATTTTTAAATTAAAGAACACACAAAAAAAAACCACCCTGCCTGCCATATCCAATTGATCGCAACAAGTTTTTACATCACAACACGCAAATTGAGTGGTAAAAGAGGTAAATTCAAAATATTATTACATTGAGAAAAGAATGATATGTATGTGGTGAAATATACAAGTATACATTTACAATTTGTTCTTGAGGTTTTCAGCGGCACGCTTGGCACCATGTTCGGCTTCATTAATCTTCTCGCCAGCTTGGTCAACTGTACTCTTGGCGGCACCCTTGGCCTGTTCAGCGGTACCTTGAGCATAGCCCTTGGCATGTTCAGCAGTGCCCTTGGCAGCACCCTTTGCGTGTTCGGCGGTTCCCTTGGCGGCACCCTTGACCTCTTGGAACTTCTCACCAGCTGCCTGCTTGACACTCTCGGCAGCACCCTCAGCAGTATCCTTTGCAGTCTCAGCAGCACTCTTGGCGTCACCGGCAGCTCTTTGAGCAGTCTTTGAACCAAGGCCAACGGCTTCCTTTGTCTTTTCTACAACCTTCTCGACCTTGTCGATACCAGCCGCCAAACCTTGGCCAGTCTTGATGTTGACTTCGTGGCTAACTTCCTTAATGGTTTCGGCAGGCTTCTTGCTCAAAAGGTCTTCAACCTTGTCAATACCCTTGGCAATACCTTCACCGGTCTTCAAGTTGGCTTGTTGGCCAACAGACTTGGCTGCATTAAGAGCGTCCTAAAAGAGAAGGTTGGACGTTAGGATGATCAAATGCAATACCGCCTTGCTTTTCTAAATAACATACTGTTTCTGCGACTTTATCCTTGGCTTGGTAGGCTTTCTGGGCAGCTTGGTCCTTCAATTCGCTTGCCTTGGAAGCAGCATCTTCGGCGGTTTCCAATACTTTGTCGGCTCCCTTACCAGCCTTCATGTTTGCTTCATGACCGAGATCTTTTGCTTTATCAACGACGTCACGGTTCTGAAGAAAAACGATGATTGAGTATTCATAACGTTATTGCTATAGATATAATCTCTTCTTACCTGGACGACAGATCTGTGGAGCATAGCAGCGGGGACATTGTTGGCTCTGGCGACCATGGAAGGCATCATGGCACGACGAGAAGCCATACCGGCAGTTGTGGCAATAGCATTGAATCTGGTGAACGACATTTTTGTTGTGAGAGAAAAGAATGAGATGTGTGAATACAACGTGAAAGAAAAACTGATCGTCTTATATGCATTTTTATGCATTGGCAAAGATTGATGTCATAATTACGCGACTAAAGCCAGCGGGCCGGCTCTATTGGCTAAAAATTTTGTAACGTCATGATGTAGTGCTTCTGCACACTTTCGCCTCTCGTTTTGCGGTTGCCAATGTTTCAATACTTTAACTTTGCTCTCCTTTTAATATAAAGTATTGTAGACATCAAGAGTATAAGCTGTTTGACTTGCTCGGATAGTGATTACAGACAATTTTTTTTCTATTTATTGATGAGCGATTGTCGGGTTATCGTCGGGGAATTTGAGCTGACCCGCGATAATTTTTTTACGTGGAAAACCCACTTGGCAATTCATAGCCAATCGTCATCATGACATCTATGCAGTTATCATTTATTCAATTTGACCACCAAGTCGCCGGTTGTTACATCTTATGCACCGACCCCCGCACTGGCCACGACGTCCTTTCCTTGTAATTACTATGTAAGGTAATCCTATGCAGTTCCTGAACATCGTCACATCGCGTATAAACAAACACATGAATCATAAAAATATGAAACACATTTTCTCCAGAAGTTCGACTCCGAGGAACACGCCTGGATTTCTTCCTCAATACAATGTGTCCTCATTGGCTGCTTAAACCTCAAATAATTGTAAGGATACAGTCTCCTCGTCATTTCAACTTCTTTTATGTATATTGACAACAATTTCAAATCTTCACAATTACAATTTGGAATGGCTGCCAAAAACAATGACCGCATCTAATGTAAACGTTGAGTAAAAGAGATACCCAATGGTGTTGCCTGTTAGTCTTTACCTTCTTTAACACTGATATCGGTAGCCGTAATAATATCTTTCAGGAAAGCTGGATCGTTACACCAGCGATTCACAGCTATAAGATCGCTCTCGCAATTAGAATTGCCGGTTTGAATAGCCCAAGCTGCTTGTTCCAACAGCAGAACGGCAGCCAATACACGTCCCAATGCAAATGTCAATTGGCGTGCACCAACTTCCATGGGAAGTTGTGATTTCGCATTTTGGATGAATCGATCGATGATGGTGAAAGCTTGTTGGATTTTGGCTGCGGCACCTTTCAGTCGATCCTGCGAAATGTTGAGGGCATCGGCCACTTTTTGCGAAAGCACCTGCAAAATACATATTGGTGAATACGAAAATGTCCGGCTTGAGTTGCTAGGCACCGTACCTTTTTAAAGTGTTGCAACGCTTGACCCTTTGTTTCACGAAGCACTCGTAAAACATCCATGGCGAGTACGTTTGTTGTTCCTTCCCAGATCGTGTTCACTTGCGCATCTCTCAACAGTCGTGCAACACCTATTTCTTCCATGTAGCCCTGTACAGGTATCGATACAATTGATTAGCTTGATTCGGTAAAACACCTTTCACAGATCCTCTTACCTGCCCACCGAGTGCTTCCATGGCTTCACTACAGGCATTTAGTCCGATTTTGCACACGTAAGCCTTGGCAACCGGTGTTACAAATCGCAGCATCTGGAAATCCTCCTTTCGCTCGTCATTGTCAGGTAAGCATTCTGTGCGACCCAACAAGGCAACAGCGTAGAATGATATCTGACTGGTGGCTCGTAAGATTATTTCGAGTTCGGCAAGTGTAGCAACATGAAGAGGTAGCTTGTCTAATTGCTTGCCGAAAGCCTGTAACAAATATGACCGTACAAAATATAAGTCCGGGAATACTGATAATGATAAGGTGTAGTTTTACCTGGCGACGTGAAGCAAAGGATTTTGCTATAGCAAGTGATCGACGCAGGCCCGTGACTACACCTAATGCAGCATAGATTCTGGTAATGTTCAAGATCGATGCAATATTAGGGACACCACGGCCGGGCCTTCCCAGCTATCATCATTGTACGTCACTCAATGTTGAATATATATATATCAACATCGCGTTTATGATATACTTACCATGTACGCTTCCATGCCGCTCAGCTGCAGTTCCGCTGTCGGCAAACCTTTGGTGCCATATTTGTTCTTCAGCCGGTGCACTTGAACACCATTTAAAGACCCATCGGTACGCCTCATTTCAGCCAAGTAAAGTGACAAGCCCTTACTTCCCTAGGAATCATGAAAACTGTATCAGAAGCCGTGACAGGAAACTCTTCTCTTGGCATGTCTATATTACCTGCACGACTGTGTTTGTCTGCGGATCAATCGTTCTCGCCAAAAGCATGGTCATGTCAGCTGTGGTAGCGCTAGAGAACCATTTAAAGCCGCTAACACTCCATTTATTGTTCTGAGGGTCGATGGATTCTGCCTGGGTCTCCGTTCGACCTGGAGAAACATGTCAAATTACAATGGTAAATTGAGACCCTTTTTTTTATCTGTTGTATAATTCTTGGAAAATTCAGGCTTACCAACATCACTTCCTCCGGGCCGTTCAGTCATCCATTGACCGCTCGTCCAAAACTTCTTTGGATCCCGACTGAAAGTTTTTCCTGATATTAACTTCTCGTTTTCTTGTATCATTGGAGTAACAGACAAGCAAACCTCGTCAAACGCGTGAAATATTTCTTCTTCATTTCGTCTGTGCCGATGAGTTCTAAAACACGAGCAGCGCCATCTGCAATACAGAAATGCTTCTATATGAGCCATTGTACGATGATGCTGGATTAAAGATCCCGATCGCACCTGTCATAGATAAAGGACAAGAGTACATCGCAGAGGATGGCATGTACAAGTATTGCTTAGCAAATTGGTAAATGCGAGAATATTCCTGGAATTTGCGCTCATACGCAATGGCGATCAATCTGTATGTGGTTTATGAAAAAAAAGTTTAAGATGTCGGTGTAACCATATCAGAAAATTCTGTGTTTTACCCTTCTTCGGCTGCAACATCGTTCAGATCCTTCCAACCCTGGGCGACCGTAATTTCATCGACTCTCCTGTATATCTATCATTGAGCGCCTTGTGAAGATAATAATGGGGGGGGGGGGACATCCTACCGACACCACGCATCGTATTGCTTAAGACGAGGGTGATTGTTGGGGTCCTCAACGTTGTCACCCATGGCAGCAATATCTGATCACACGAACAGATTATGCACGGTAAGATTATAAACTTTTTGAGTGATAATTAGTCGCTTTTGATACATGCCATTGATGACGCGTTCTCCAAACTGGTGAAGATCAGGCTCAATAGTTCGCAAAACGTCCTCCGGAAGAAGGCGCTTGAGTATGTTCTTTAAAACAAGGTCGTCGTCATATTGATTTATAAGTTGTGGGGGATCCTAAAACGGAAATCACGTTTATTCGATGATGATAAGCTGAATATCGATATCTACTGCTATTATATTCGTAGGCACCTGAAGAAACCCAGTATCCGCAGTTGCTTGTGGTGTTGGTGGCTGACTTCTATGCATATTGAAAAAAAAAAGCGGCGAAAGAAAGAATCCAAATGATCATATCAAATTTACATTTTTCCCCACCCATCGCTGTCACACGTGAATTTTCTCCAAGATTCGTGTGAATTTTATCCATGATGAATCAGCATATTTATGCTGTACTCCATTGTTCAATTCTTTTATTGTCCTTTCATTTATACGGTAATTGTGAGCTTCGTTTCAGTATTAATTTCCAATAGGTGGGATGGTTCTTGCTTCCTCTATCAGGCTACTTGGTAGTATGTAGCGACCTTTTACAACCAAATGCAAGACGGCCAACTATCTTGATATAATTCGCATGATCCGCTACTTGAACAATACAGGGTCATCAAATAAAATGAGAACACAACAGATACGGTGACACGGTGATCATGTTATTCTCAGTACAAACTTATACTTTCATATATCATTGATTCAGATGTTGCTTGAGTGTCCACTTACAGCAAATGATAGGATGCAGGAGCGATATTTCTCATTGTTCACAAACCGATGTGCCCTTATGCAAGTTTTTTTGCAGCAAACCTTTTGTTTTTGCGTCCTAATCCGAAAGGAGCTGTTACCTTAAACTCTTTTCATTCATACATGAAGACAATGACATATTGGATTTGTTAACAATCAGTCCAGTTATTGTTGGCTTCAACGTTGCAGATTTTATACGGGACCGCAAAGTGACATTGTCTGGGTGGGATTGTCCTAACTGTCCAAGCCCGGATGACAAGACACTTGGTCAACATAAGCGTGTAGCTAGTAATCCTATAGAAGAAAATAGACAATTAAACTTGAAAAAACCGGTATATATCAGATTTTTATGTGCTCATGACAGAAAAGAGTATTGTGACAAATGCGGATTATTGTCTCCTGAATCCGGCTGTTGAAAGGGCTGCAAATCTGTTTGGGTGAATATGCACTCCGACCGACGCAAAAGTATGGCTTCAGTTTGATCAAAACTGATTTATTTATTTTCCAGGTCGACAGCACATAAATCCCATGGACCAAACTATTGAACGTTGCCCGCTTTGTATTAATGGGAATCTATCCGATACAGACGTCCATGCCGAACAGTACGACAATTGGCTGCAATGCGACGTTTGTTCAACATGGTACCATTCCGAATGTTTAAAAATATCCGCCAAGGAATGCGATAGCATTGAAACCTACCACTGCCCATCATGTACCAAAACTCACGGGCCGACCACCTGTAAGTCTGGAGTGTACGTTACTATTCGAATATTATAACTCTAAACACAACAACAAAAGATAAACCCAAACGACGAAAGTCAAACAGAGACCACATAAAACTGAATTATGCAGATCTCAATGAAGGCAAGACAGGCGACGAGAAGATTTGGGGGAAACTGCTCAATGCCAAAACTTTTGCAACCGACTGCTTTCCTCGTTACAAAGGCGAGGAGGTGACTTTGGATCTACTACGACGAACCGGTATGAAGGAGCCGTTCATCGTGGAGAAAAATGAAGGTCTCGGAATGCAAATGCCGCCAAACGATATCAATGTGTACGATATAGCACATGCTGTTGGTAATTATCGGGAAAATCTTGCCAATATCGTCGCAAATACTGTCTCCATTAAAACAAGCTTGACGATCTGTAGGAGAGAATCATCCTGTAGAAGTCATTGGTAAACTTTTTCGTAGAAAACCTTTGTCCTTGTGACACAGGGCTAAATCAGCATGATTGTATCCAGATGTCGCAACACAGTCGGAGCAACCGGGATGGACCATGGGTCGTTGGGCCGCATATTATCACAGCGCAGAACGTGACAGGATCCGAAACGTGATCAGCTTGGAAATCAGTGGGACCGATTTCGCTGCAAGTATTACCCGACCAAAAATTGTAAGGTAGGCTAATCCACGATGGTTTTGATGTCAGACTGTGTAAGGTTCTGACATCTACCCCACAGAGACCTCGACTGGATTGATCAAGCGTGGCCAAGTGAATTAAAACCGAAAGAATATCCCAAAGTGCAGTTATATTGTCTGATGGGCACAAGAGATTCATATACAGATTTGTAAGTTGCAGTATCACCATTTTCCCATTTCAACATCTTGGTATTGATGAATCTATCCCCCAAAAGCCATATCGATTTCGGAGGAAGCTCGGTGTTTTACCATATCATCAAAGGAAGCAAGACATTCTATTTCATCGAACCATCTTCTCGCAACCTGAAAAAGTATCAAAAATGGACCTCATCTCCAGATCAAACGACCACTTTTTTTGGTGATGAAGTCAAGCAATGTACGGCCGTTCATTTAAAAGCAGGAAACACCATGTAAGCGGCTTGTCATACGTTAGGCTAGTGCAACAAATTTTTAATCAATCCGCGGTGGCTGAATGACTTCTTTAGGATTATTCCTACTGGTTGGATTCATGCCGTTTATACGCCAGAAGATGCTATTGTCATTGGAGGCAACTTTCTCCATGGTCTCAATATACCCGTCCAGCTGCGGATAGATGAGATTGAAAAGGCGACCAATGTTCCATCCAAATTTCGCTTCCCTTTCTTCAAGACGTTGAACTGGTACGCTGCTGCTAAATATTGTGAGATTTTAAAAGGTAATTCTCGGTCACGGTATGCTTTCACTTTTGTATAGCAATGAATTTACTAATAAAAGATTTAACTTAGAACGACCGGTTCAGTTGTCGCTAAACGAACTGCAGGGGATCTTGAAACTTGCTCACTGGCTCGGAAATGATATAGCTAAAATCACGAATACGGATAGCCAATCCTCGGCGGAAGAACGCAAATCCTTACGAGCCATGATTCCACTGCCTTTCGAGAAAGCGCGCGATTTACCGGTGCATCTTATTACCAGCATTGACACCATCATCACCGAGAAATATCCACCCACACCTGCGGCAAAACCGGAAGTGGAACCTCCGACAAAAACTACATTGAAGGTGAAATTGAAAGTAGGCAGTAACAAAAGCACGGAACCTCAAGAGAAACAAAAACTGGTGAATACCAAGAAAACAGACCATCCAAAGATTACACTCAAACTGAGCGCCAAGAAGGTCGAAGAGGATCGTATAAGCGATGATGAATATGTCGCCGAAGAGGCAGACGCGGATGAATATATGGAGGATGACGATGCCATTGACGCGGTAGAGGATATACCGTTGGACAGTGATGACGATGATTATGAAGAAGCGAAACCATCCGCATCTCGGAAAAGAAGAAATAATCGAAAACCCGCTTCAAGAAGCCGCGTAAAGGAAACCTATACGGCACCTGCATACGATTCTGCGAGTAGCAGTGAAGATGACCTGGGTACGTCCAAGAAGATCAAACGAACGCCGTCAAGGCCGTCCTTATCCAGCCTTGCCGCAAGTAAAAAGGCCACGAGTACGACGGCCAGACAGCGCTTGTTAGAACGCATCCAGAATTTTAGAAAATAAAAAAGCAACTATATTCACATGGCATTGCTTATTTGAAACGTCGAACAGCCTATCAACGGCTAGCCCCATATTGGCTGTTGGTGGACTTGCAATAGGGGGTAATCTGAAGCTACGATGTCAGATAACGGATCCATTTTATAAAATAAATGTATCGTGTCTTGAAGAAAAGTACATGGTAATGGATGGGGTCAAGGTACTAAAAAAAATACCCAAGAGAACAAAGCAGTACAGTACAACAAAAGGAAAAAACTGGCAAAAGGTGTGGATTCGTGTGTGATAATGATGAGTTGAAAATGGTATTTGTAAACAAAGGTTCACTTGATGCGCAAGATAATAATACTGGTATGTATGAGGGGGTTTCCTATGAAAAGTCGTGATGTAGAACCATCTGTATCAGTTGGCTGGACATGGAATGCCCCAGACCTTGATCGCAATAGTATTTCAAGACCTCCTTCAACTGTTCCTTGGCTTTCGCTCTTCTCATATCTTGCTCTGAAAAGCTGTCGCTGTCTTCCATGGAATCAATTTCATTTTCGGCTTGATCACTCGGATATCCTGATAAGCTTTCAGTATGTTGTGTCGCTGACGGTCGTCTGTATCCGTCTTCGGACTCTCTTGGTATCATGTATTGCTCCCGTTCGTTGTCTCCATTCGTTCGATTCGTCAAAGAATTATTACTATGAGAATGGGATTGTTCTTCGGTTGTGTCCGCTTGGAGACTGGAAACACTGGTAGTTCGTGTTTCCCACTCGGTCGAGTGGTCTAGGGTGGGAAGTGCCACCGGAGCCGCGCTCGAAGATGCCGAATCGACTGAAAATACGGACTGGTAACTCTCTAATTCCGATCGAAACCGTTGATCGTCGCAGGATACTTCACATTCTTGCTGATGCAGTTTCAATGCTGCTGGATTAATCTTGTAACCCGACTGACTGTCATTTTCGTCAATGTATCTTCGTTTAAACTTGGCAAGCCAAGTGTTCGAGGCTTTGAATTCTTCGCCACCACCTGTACTGTAAGTCTGTGCACATTGTTTTGCTTTTTCTTGTAGCATTTGATCGGTAATTATGGTATGTTGCTGCTCTTGTTGCAACCACAATATTAAAGCATTCTCAATGATAGGATAGCGTGCACTCCGTTGCCGCAATCGCTTCGCAGCTGCGTCTTTGGGATCCACAGATAACCACAGATCCTTTCGTTTTACGATCTGAACGAGAAGTCATGACCCAATGAAGAGACCCACCATTGAACAAAAAGAAGGTCAAAAGAAAAATGCAAGAGGCATAATTAATCACATGAGACAGGTTGATGCAAGGTTCTAAAGGGGAACTAACTTTGGCAATGGTGGTTCTTTTGCATCCGTATTTCCTCGCTAATGCTTCTTGTGTGATTTTCGGATCATGTTCATATTCTTGACAAATGCATCGCTTGGTCTCAGCCGATAAGCTCGTGCGACTTTTGCTGACAAAGGTAGGAAGGTTCGAGCTATTGGTGGTCGGCTTGCGGTTTGTTACGCGAAACACATGGATACTGCCATTCTTCCGTTGTATTGCACTCATTATTCGCAGATTTAACCAGGTAATTCTCGTGCAACAGTGATAAAGAGATCTTTTTTTTTTCTTATGCAAACGAAGAGGAAAAAAAATGCAAAAAGCTGGCATAACAAATTCAGCTTGTGGGACGTCATCAATTGAGGGCTCCGCGCTGTAATCCGTGAATTGTATTTTTTTTTTTTTGGCTTCTCTGGGTCAGAAATTATGAAGACGCTTTGGAGGATCGTGGTTTCTTTTTCCGCTGTTCGTCTTGTTCCCAATAAATTTGTTCCTCTTTACCTACAGCAATGTTTTTAAGTTCAAGCACCACCAGTCTCATATTTGTAGTCATGGAATGGTTTCGAGAACATACCGGATATCACCCTCACATTGATGTGTTGTGCTGCAGTAGAAGGGTCCACTTCTTTTCCTGTGGCATCATTTCCGTGTTCCTGGATAACTTTATGCTGCTCATAATAAGATGCCAGTGTCTGTGCGTCTTCTGAGCTCTCTAGTCGTGCGTGAACCTATAGAGCAAATGTCAGTGGTTTCCGCTTATCAAATATATCAACAGGGTCATACCGAAGGGACGCCTTTTTTGTAATTGAGAAATGCAACCGAGACCCCTGCCTGTTCTAATAATTGCTATACATTGTCGCAATGAAATCAACCATTAGACAAACATAGGCATCACCAGACGAACTAAAAAAGAGGTCCATACTTTGACGACTGTTTTTGAGCTCTTCACATGGACATTGGTAACCAGTACAATGACTCCTTTCTGGAACGCTGGTGCAGCTTCGCCGGGATTCTCGTTTACTTTTTGCTTTTTATTCGCTTGCACGGCCGAGCGATCATCCGCGTCAACCGCTCTTTTGTTGGATGTGGCAGGAACTGTTTGTGTTTCTTTATACTCGGACCAAAGTTTTTGGATATCGGCCTTTCGTTCTTTCTGATGTCGAAGGTATTGCGCCTTGAAATCATTCCACTTATTTCTGCATAGTGCATTAGATTGAAGCGGAAAACAACGTCCGGTACAGGATACTTACTTTGACATGACACGCAAGTTCAATTTGTCGATTTGTTCTTTGTCGGCTGGATCCAAATCCTCATCTATGGCCTCGGAATCCACGTTGTATCGGTTCAATAAGCGAACTGCTTTGTCAACGTTGGCCTGGTCGTCGAATTCAACAAAGCAATAGCCCCAAAATCGAGTATTGCCAACTTTATCTGCTGGATAACGAACAAACGAGATGTGACCGATCCATTTGCGCAAGAGTTCCCGGATATTCTGCTCTTGATCATAAGGTTTCTGTAAACCTTCCTGTAACATCATCAAGTACTTGAATCAATAAACCATAGAAACTCAATGGATCGACAGCATCCTACCACGTAGATAGACCAATCATCCAATTCCTCCTTTTTATTGGGTACAAAGGGCTTGATTCTCCGAATACTTGATTTGTCACTGCTCAACTAGTGATATTTCAGCCCATTGGTTCTATCACCCAAATCTTGGTCCACTTACCTCCAGCTTATTCAGTGAATACTTCTCGGCAGCAGATTTTATTTCCTCAGCAGTAACGTCCAACGCTTTGAATTTTTTGAGCGATTGAAGACTCGTAAAAGGAACGTCTACCAAAAGATTCATAAGCACAATGTTCAAAAGGGCCCATGTCACGTTCAATGCTCGTACATCCATTCACGTCCGCCGCGATTTTAGCTTGCATAATCTTATCCCACAATAAATTGGCATCGCTAAAGTATGTCTCTAGCACTTGGCTTAATTTGTGCTCTCGGTCTTCTTCGGTGGCCATGGCTCGTATATGTCTTAAGAAAAAAGAGAAGAGAGCATAAACCGCAGTGACTGTCAGGCGAATTTTATGCTTTAAATCAGCGGATGCCCTGTGCCACCAGCTGTTGCTTGTTTGCCATACCCAACCGCTTGTCAATTCTTACTCGTCTCGCCATGGCATCTGATGCACCTCAAGAGCTCCTCATTCCTCTTCACGTAAAATATATTCAGTCGTTGGACACCCGGCAGGAAGACCTGGAATACTGGCTCACCGAACATTTGCGACTGAACGGTGTTTACTGGGGGTTAACTGCACTGGATCTCATGAACCATATTGATGCTCTGTCAAGGGACGAGATCGTCAAGTACATTAGCAGCCAACAGCATCCTAATGGCGGTTTTGGCGGCCATGTAAACCACGACCCGCATCTTCTCTACACTCTTTCGGCCATTCAGGTCCTAATTATGCTCGATGCCATTGATACCATTGATGTCGACAAAGTTGTACAATGTAAGCATTTCACCTTTCGAAAGTCTGATGTAATGGACTTATTCTGGTGAATAGATATTGCAAGTAAACAAAATGAAGACGGTTCTTTCCGAGGCGACGACTGGGGCGAAGTCGATTCACGGTTTTCGTACATAGCTCTGTCGGCCCTTTCTTTGCTGAAACGGCTGGATGCGATTGATGTCAATAAAACCGTGGAGTGGATTTTACGGTGCAAGAACTATGATGGAGGTTTCGGGAATCAACCGGGAGGCGAATCGCATGCAGGTCAAATTTTCTGCTGTGTAGCAGCTTTGGCTATTGCCGACGCCCTTCATCATGTGGACGCTGATCTTCTCGGTTGGTGGTTATGCGAGCGTCAACTCAAATGCGGTGGTTTGAATGGTCGCCCTGAAAAATTGGAAGACGTAAGTATGCATACTGTGGTGACCTTGCACTTTATTCATTTTGCTGACTCTCGTACGCTACTGCTGCTAGGTATGCTACTCTTGGTGGGTTATGTCAGCTTTGTCGATCCTTGATCGGATACACTGGATTGACAAGGACAAGTTGGCCAGTTTTATTCTCTCTGCACAAGTGAGTCTTTCTATGCCAAAGCGTAGTAATCGCGCATACTGAAAGCATATCATTGTTGTAGGATCCTGAAAATGGGGGTATTTCTGATCGTCGAGGTGATATGGTGGATGTCTTTCACACTGTCTTTGGAGTGGCAGGTTTATCTCTTTTGGGCTATCCCGGTCTTAAGCCTGTGAACCCTGTTTATTGTATGCCAACTTATGTAATTGATCGTCTCGGTATTCAACAGAAATACCATCGCTAATGGGTAATTGTAAAGAAAATACCAAAAACTTCCCAAACTTGTTAATTCAAATAGACACCCAAGACTTTCATGTGCAATTCTGCAGCAAAACATCCTTCATCGCGACTGTGGTAAAATTTGATATCTTGATATTTTTGTCCATGACACGGTGGATTGATTGTAAGCATGAATAATGAATCTCTATAAACCGGATACGATTTCAAAAAGGAATGCAGAGGAAATATATTTACAGTATGTCAAACCAATAAAAGATGACAAGGTTAAAGGAAGAAGCGCTTGCGGCTTGTTTCCATATCGGGTTTGAACACCCATTCATATTCACCGTTACGAGAATAAATGCCCTTCTGAAGCGATCTCAATTTCAGAGTGAATCTAGGACCCAGTTCCTGCAATCCAACTCGTTCTGTATCCCTGAACACGTAACCTGAATAGATAATATGAATAAGACTGGACAAGGCGAGAAAAAAAAAAACGGAAAAGAAAACTTACGATGACGACGGACAAAGATGAAATCACGTTGATTATGAAAGGTGACTACCTGTCTACCTTGAAATTCGGGAAGCTGGGGAAACAATGCTTGGAACATACGGCCAACTGTATGACCAAGTCTGGTATTGAAGTTATTGAGGATAATTTCGGGATTATGAGCAGTAACAGCACCGTGATTCTACATATTCGCTCAGTAACAAATTTCTCGGAAAAGCTATCGCCAAGGTCGAAACTTACTGCAATACGTTTGCCTGGAGTATAACTGGTAAGCTTGAAGTATGCTGTGGGACCGTCAGGTAAATGGATCAGCGTAATTGCATCTAGCCACCATCGAACAACCACAGATCAGAATAATGTTTCATAAGGAATTTTCACCCTTCCAATACTTACTGGGCACCTTGCGATCCTCGTTCACAATTAACAGATCAGTGAACTCCTTCGCTTTTGCCTGCTTGATGACATGCCGTAATTCGTGATTGGATCCACGTTTCGCGTACTGAGCATTAGGAAGCATGGTGACTAATTCAGCGCAGAACTCATAAGAAGCCTACAATGTAATTAGCCAAATATGCCCTGATCAAGCTATCAGTTGAATGACATACCATGGTGCAATTCTTGCTTGTGGTGATCACGATCTTGGGAGCTTTGCCGCTGAAATAGCTGGCCAATTCGTCCAAAGCTTCATCTTGAGCAACTTCGTCGTCATTGTCCACCATAGTTTCATCAGCTTCTCTGGTATTATCGAGCGTTTTTGGTACATTTTCTTGAAGACGTTTCTAAAAAGGATCCAAAAGGGAAAATTGAGCAAGATCTGGCTGTGAATACGAACCGATCGGGAGTGCCTTACCTCTTTCAGCTCGGGATTCTTTTCTTCCTCTTTGGCAAGAGCCTTTCGCTTCTGAGATTTGAGCTTTTGCTTTTCAAGCTTCTGCTTTTGATAAAGCTTCTCACGCTTATGCTTGTTCTTCAGTTCGGAAGGACGAATCGGTGGTGCCATGGTTCAAAAAAGTCAAATTGAAATAGTCGTTGATACACAAAAAAGAACTATGCGTCAAAAAACAACAAGAAAAATTGTAATTCCATACCGAGTCACGCACTGATCGGAGTCCTGGTTTTTCCGAAAAGAATGTCACTCCAGATCGAAAATCATTTCGTTGCTGCGCCAACGACAGGGAAAAGAAGCGGAGAATGATAGAGCAGCACCTCAGGGCTCTTTTTTCAGAGTATTTGAAAGTGAACACTTCGTTATCTTTTTTTTTACCTTGAGTTATTGCACTAAATACATCCATTTGCTGCCTGTTAAATAATAAGATGTAGTCCGACGGGAATGAGCAGACAATTTGTACAAACGCTCAGTGCAGCGTGTGCGGGTTCAAGCGTTCAAAACGCGCATCTGTTTATTGTAGAAAGAGCAAAGTAGTGCTTTGTGAGGCACTAGTTTATTATTGTCACTGCTGCCATTTCATTGATGATGTCCGGTTTAATTAACTTGAAGTTATGTTTTTATGCTTTTATTTCTCAATCTTCACTTTGAAAAGTGTGCTATGGATTACTTCAACGATGCCCTGATAGATTTGAATGTTCAGCGCAGGTTGCAAGTAACCCGGCAGCAGGTGTGGGGTGAGTGAATTACGACATTTCTGAAATTATTTCCGACGAAATTCGGTTTGAAAAAAATCGGATTGAAACTCCACTGTACCCAAATTGAAACGAATGACCGCACATCATCATCCAATTTCCCTTTATCTTTTTTTTTGTCCTCATAAGTAATGTCATTCAACGACTTGGAGCAAGGTTTCGGTGCTTCTGGCAGTCCGAGAAATGCTCGACTGGGAGGAGGCTCTGAAGGTATGATATCAGGATACACTCGACGACGGGAAGCAATGACACTCATGAGTAACTGTTAGACGATGACGACAGAGAATACAAAACTTTAACACAGCGAGTTTCCCAACAAGTGTTCCATATTAACGGAAATATCTCAAGTATTGAACGACTGGTCGGATTCCTTGGAGGACCACGAGACACAGCCGACATTCGCAGCAAATTGTAAAGTGTCACCAAATATTCTCACCGGTCGAGCGAATGCATCACTGACACTTGTTTTTTTTAATTTTTGTTAGACACGATGTAACGGAAGCGACGAGAGAACTCATTAAGGATTCCACCAGTGATATCAAGAATTTGGCACAATATCAATCCTTGGATAGTCGAAAAGCGGTACGCACTAAGGAAAAAGAATGGATTTTGGGCTCGTAGTCACTCAACCTTTATCCCTTTAGCGACAACGGAAACTAGAACAACAGAAGCTATCAAAGGACTTTCAAAAGGTCTTGGCAGACTTTCAAAAGGTTCAACGGTTATCGGCAAGCAAGCAACGAGAATACGTCGACAAAGCAAAAGCCACGGCGGCAAAACTACAGAACCAAGCTGCGTAAGTAGAATTGGTAGTACTCTCAATATGGGGAGACTCGAGCGCTGTTCTTCGTTTATTTTTTGAGCCGTGATTGACAGAGATTTCTTGTTTGTTTCAGGGTTGACGAAGAGTTGGAACGCGAACAACAAGAGGAATCACCGTTTGTCGATGACACACAAAGAAGGATTCAGCTTCAAGCTCTGGATAACGAAATTCAATATAATGAAGTATTGATCTCCGAAAGAGAAGGAGAAATTCAAGGCATTGAGCAGGGTATCACGGAGCTCAACGAAATCTTCCGTGATCTTGGCATGTTGGTCAACGAACAAGAAAGCGGCATTCGTAAGTCATGTCCGACGCAACCAAAAGTTACACGAGCTGACTTTTCTTTTCCCACTTTTTAGAAAGCATTTATGGCAATGTGCTCAACATTGCTCAGAATACCCGACAAGCTGCGGATGAACTTACTGTAGCCAACCGTCACCAGAAGAACGCGAGAAAGAATATGTGCTGTTTGCTTCTTATTGTAGCCGTAGTGGCATGTGTTCTAGCCCTCATCATTGTTGTTGCCAAGTAACTGCATGGTACCAAATTTATCAGCACCTCTTGTAGAGTGGATTTGTTTCCGACAAATTTGATCAAAGTTAAACTAATTTTAATGTATCTATCCCCAATATCATATTGTATTCAATTTCTGTGTACAGATTCTTTCTCCTCGTGGTTTATTATTTACCATGTTCAGCTGCGTGTCGTCTTGCACTGTTTGATTGGGTTTATGACATTCATGGAACAACAAACTCATCCCTGCTGGCAGTCCAACAAACGGCCACTGCAATGTCAAACTTTAGCTTGTTGTGTAATTGGATGATGTATCGGCAAATATGGCTGTATGGCAAAGCAAGATGATATTGTTGAAATAAAATAAAACGGTTTACTCATATGTTACATAGCTCTCTAAATTGCCACTTCTATTATTTAGATATTATCTATCCACTGATAACCTTCCCTGAACGCTTCTTCAACGAAATTATTTTCTTTCAAGTTTCTCCACCTCGTTGGCAGCCACTTCTTTGAGAATTTGAGAAGAGAACTTTCTGTTGGCATCTCGGTCAGAAAGTCGGAGATCTTCGTCAACATCACTTTCTTCATCATCCACGCCGGTCAATAACGGATCATTCTCGTAGGTCGGAAGAAGATACCTTCACGTGGGGTTAAAAAGTCAGTAGAATGATAATTATGAGAACTAAATTGATATCCCTTACTTTGGATCTTTCCAGAATTCCGCATCCATCGGCACAAACTTGCCAACGCAACCTTCTTTCTCTAAATGAGGAGCAAGCAGACTAAAGTCATCCACGGTGGTTCCGCAAGAGAAGCATTGGTTCAGCGAAGACTGGTGACGAATATAATTGATCAACACAATGATTTTGTAGAAATCAAGATCTATGGGTCCGAGATATTAGATGTGATCATCATTTCTTTCACCCGAATTGTGCACCCACCTTTTTCTTTGCGAATCTTATCCAGGTCAAAGGAATGGGATTCTCGCATATGGTTTAGAGCCTCTTCTGGCGATGGGAACATCTGATTATCAAATAAGCACATCGTAGACTGGGATTCTTCCTCCTTCCAATCTGCCCACGATCTACTCAGTCAAATTAACACGTTAGATGACCGACACCACCAGTAAACGGTACTGATCCACTTACTCGTCCTCACGTTCGTCATCACTTTCGTAGTTGTCATGTTCGAGGTTTTCCCAGTTTTTACCAGGTTCACGATAGTTGATGACATAGAAGCGATCATACTGGCGATTCTTGGGCGCAATTTTGAAATGCTTCTTCTTGCGCATATGTTTTCGTAACACAGCAGGGCTGGTGAATGTCTTTTCACAGTAAAGGCATTGCAATCTATCGCGATTGAGTGAATATTTCATTTGGTGAAGCAAGGCTACGAATCACTTACTTTGATAAATGTGATTCCAGTATACCCAGAAACTCACTGACGTTCACAAGATTGTCGGGTAGACCAATGTTAAAGTTATGCTCGGAAAACATGTGTTTAAATAGCACAGTTCTAAAATTCGACGTCAGCACAACGTTGTACATCGATGGCAATATTGACTAGTACCTGTTATCGCAAACAATCTTGCAAAAGAGACACTTTCTGGGGAGCTTGGAATCGGTCTCACGCTCTCGTTGCTGAATTTCTAATATTTCATCCTATGGGGAACGATGGTCAAACAACGAGATCAGGAAACAAAAATCATACCCGTCCATTGCTCACCAGCTTGTTCTTTTGCATTTCTTCTCGAATTTTTTTGTCAAGCTCGCAGTGCGCGGGATCAATGATATAAACTATTGAATCAACAGCGTCAGACCATAGGCTCATCATGTCATGCCTTTTGATCCGCGTACCATTATCTTCATTGGGGCATTTGGAAGCGAAGGTTGCCAAAGGTTGTTGTCGAAGCTCAGTCGCCCAACGAGCCAAATAAGAGTCCAATGCCATATACATGTGGTGCAGGTTCTTGAACACGATGTTATGCTCGTCTTTTATGTGCTTGATCAACGCGGTAGTATCGACGATGGGCGCGACCAAGTCGCAGTTGTCAAAAGGACAGTTGATGACAATGTTGGTATGGTACGGCGGCACAGGCATATCGACAGGATCAGGACGGTCGTCTTCTTCTTCGTCTTCGCTAGTAGAGTCGTCATCGTCAGGAAGGTGATATGGATTGGTTCGTTGGCTTAGATTAGCTTCTAAATAACTGTCCTTTGGCACACTACTGCCAAGTTTCTCGTTCTTATGCTTTTCGTTCATCGATTTAGGTTTAACGTGGGCGGCACCAGTTTGCTTGGATTTTCTACGTTCATTGTGTTTAGAACCATGGCTTCCGTTCTTGGTTGGAACCGTATGCCACTCTCCGTCAGCCATTATGTGAGCACTTGAAGAGACACACGCCACAAGCGAAATCTTGCCAGAAGTTTCAGCTTCTTCTGGATCACATGACTCTGTGTGACAAATTTTTGAACTCAGATTTCTTTTGATAGATCTAAAATAGAAGTCGCCCTACTTAAAATTGGAAGTCGCTATTTATTTATAAAGTCATAATGAAACCCTTCCCCATTCCATAAACAATATTGTGCTTACGCCCTTAACAAAGTGCACAAAGATCTCCCTCATACGAGTCTTGGAAGGACATTTTGTATTCATGCCAGTCATCAAGTGGTTAGACACAGCAGCCTAAAAAGTGTCTATGCTGCCCCGCCATGATATTTAGCAAATCACCAATCCTTGGTGCGATCCAAATCCAAAATTGCAAGCAACAACGCAGCCAGGAACTTGAAAAAACGACAAAACAACAGCAATAAAAAAATAAACTTACATGTTTTGCGGAGCCGCGGATGAGGGTTAGATTGTCAAATAAGGTCAGATAAAAAAAAATTTACATTCATGCAAGCGCGCGCGGGTCGGCGATAGTCTAGCATCTCCCAGTTCAGCCGATCATAGAATTTTGCTTGCCTAGTATTTTTTTACAGATTTCTTTACTGGCGTAGCCCTTCTCTTTTTAAGAGGCTGCCATTTCTGCCTTTTTGATAGGTACCATTTCCGCATTTGCTAGCCTATCTTTTCAACGTTTTTGTTTGCTAGTCTATCTGGCAGAAACCATGGAAAGATTTGTGCATATGTACATGCACTACAGGGGTTGACGCTATGTTAAGGCCGTCTGTCATTAGCCAAGACGTCTAATAATATCTTTCCTTGGAAACATCTGCATTCGTGTAGGGGTTCGAGGACAGTCCAGCCAAATACTGATGCCAGTCTTGCATCGGCCCCCTACACGCAAGAATAAAAGTGATAGACTACCGGACGGAAATGATGGGCTAGAATCGATCTCGATTTCGCATATCTGCATAATTTTTTTCAGAGTTCGGTAAAGCGCCTATTCCAAGATTAAGGTTCTTTTCAGTAAAGAAAAACTGCCGCCTTCTTCGATAAAGTCTATAAGCCGTTTTGGTGACGTACTTTCTTATATCCGTTGGACAACATAGGAAAAACCTCGATGTGACTCTTTAAGATTCTTATCAAGAATCAATTCTGGCGACGTACTGTGATACATTGGTCAGCTATACACCCGGTGCTCGACGAATACTCCCATAAATTACTCGGTTTTCAGAGCAGACAAACACGTTAGAATGCGGATCCGATGTTAACTTTATTTTGGTAGCTAGTGTTACATGTGTTACTTGAACAGAGAATGTGAACGCACTGTGGTGGCGTTGTGACAGGGAGATTTATGATCGACGAACAGCTCAAGCACGGCTTTGCATCGGTCCCACATGCAAAGTCTATATAGGGTGCATAAGAAAAATGATGTATCAGCCTCAGCCTCAGCCTCGCACGCATGTACAACTGTCTTTGATGGCTTTTGCATACATTGCACAATTTTATCTCTTGCGAAGAGGCGGCACCTGACACATTTCCCAATGATAAACGATGATAGCCTTGCATTGACCCCTTGTACACATGTATAAACGTGTTTCTGGTCGGATTCAAATAGCGTAACAAAGGCAATGGAAGATGGCCATGGCAACATATCAAAGGGGATAGGATAGACCCAGTAACGGATATGATAGTCTAACAGAAGAGGTGACCGACTGACGATGAAAATGTTAGACTTCAGAGTCTTCGCAAGAAGGCACAAACCTTCTTGTTGCTAATCCTGGGTCGATTCTGAAACGCCAGGCTGCACTGTGCCTTAACGATTTTTGCTCCGGGTCATAGGCAAGGCTGGATCGTGTCGATTACAAATGTCATTATAGGAGGGGAGCCACTGTCATGAGTATGTCGCATTCATTTCATGTAGCGCAGCTGAGCTCGCATCATGCTGCATCGTTTCACAATCTGTGTTCGAAAACTTTTCATTGTTTTTTGTCTCGGTTTTGACAGGCACAAACATAAGGACGGTCAAAATTTGAATACTATATGGCATGTTGATGGTTGCGATTTTGATGAGAGTCTTTAAAGGTTCTTGGGCTGGCAAACTGATAAAGTAAAAGACGACTGTAATATCATTGAATGGTATGCCCTGGATATTTCCGAAGAGGGTCGAATGTCCAACGCCTCCTTACATGCCCAATTTGGAAAGATCCTTGCACACAACGAAAAATGGGCGGGAATCTAACTTTATTTTCTGATATATTCGCATTTGTGCAACGCTTATGCAAGAGAGAAGAAAAAAAAAAAGAGATGATTTTTTGCCAAGTCAATACGACTTTGCAGGACGCTCGAAAAAAATATGAGAAATGAAAGCAGTATAATACTTCTTTATTGCATTTAATTTCAGTAGAATCGAAGCATATAGTATTTTTACCGAACAAAAGTTTCCTATTCTAACACAAAGTACCTTGAGAAAGGCTTTATTGCTATGATACATCTTCATAACCTTAACAAAAGCATGCATAGATCTAAGCAATTAAAAGCTTTTGATTCGATATCTGACGATATCCCCAAGGACGCCCGTGTATGGGGTGGTTATACAGTTCAAGCTGGCCTTCGTTCACCAGTTCATCAGCAACTGTACGCCGGACAAATAATTGTCTTCCATCCTTCAAGTCGATTGCCACTGAATGCCAAGGTGTACTGCCTCCACGATTGGGAGCAACATTGATAGGGAATTTGGGACCGCTGCTGTCATAGCCATGGATCGAGAACCGTACGTGATTCGGATAACATGCTTCCACCAGCTGCGAAAAGGCTACATTACGGGCAATCATTTCTTTGGCAATGAGGCGGCACTCCTTCTTGATTTTCGATTTACTCATCTCTGGCGGCCACACCCGATCGTCGGCTAGATACCGAACAAATCCGACCATGACGACATCGTTACTTGGAGTCACCGAGCAGTAAGACTTCATCAGCCGACTCCTTTGCCGATCATGCACCGACTGCGTACCATTTTCGGTCAGGTTGTTGGCAAAATGCTCATCAAGATTACTGAAACGTAGAGTATTCAACTGATGTTCTCCGTGAATGTGCGTTTTCAAAAACTCGGTATATTTGGTAACCAATTCGTCATCCACACCGACAAGATCGGCAAACACCCGCCCGTCAGATACGATGGTAAGCTGAGCTCCCTTTGGATAATACTGCGAGACTTCGGAACAAAATGCGTGGAGCTTCTTCAGCGCAATCTCCTCGGCACGATCAGGTAGGGTGCCCAGAACCTTCAACTGCGCATTTGGTGACTTGCAGGGGAACGCAGGCAGTACCGCCAATATTGGTTCATTCTTGCATACATAATGATGCATCTGTCGAGCCATAACATGGGCGCCCTCGGTCCAGTATTTATCATCGCTTGATGGTGTAAAATGATACCGAATACTATCATCAAAATGCTGCAGCGCACGTGTAACAACATTGATGCAGCGCAATGCTGTAGGACATTTGATCTGTTCAAACAGAAACGCATATTTTTGATCGTGAAGGACTTGAAGCTCGGCCGTGATATCGTTCACTTGGTTCGACTCCGCCTGGATAGCTCCAATGTGTTTGCTTCGAAAGGTTTGCTTGAGCATTTTAAACCACTTCTTTCCTTTAATGAGCATATCCAATGGTACGATTTTACGCTGCAAAGCTGGATACGATAGAAACTCCTTCTTGTAGTCACTGTTGAGTGACGCATCAGTGTCCTTCATATGCTGTTTGTCAGTTTGGTTGGGTTCGAGATAATTCATAATGTGTGTGATAATGGTATAAAGAAGAAAGAGCCTCAATTTTTTTCAGGAAACATTTCAAAAGATGTTGTTTATATACTCGTGTGTGAATTTTAATTTCCTGCATCTCACATGGATAGCAAAATGAATTCATCGACAACTGATATATCGCATGATACGAAACGCTCTTTATTCATGAAGTGGATATTTTAACGGTGTCACACTACTGTGTGTCAGCTCCTGTGATAATTTGAATTTGATCATCATCAAAGTGTTCTATCACTCTGTGCTCGCTGCTGTATGAATTACTGCATTTGACGGCTCAAATCACATCCAAGCACCCCGCCATTTTTGAACTCCGCTCACGGCTCACCATTATTGTGACTGCCGTTCGGATTTTGGGACGCCTTTTCTTCTGGCGCAGCTTTTTTTTTCTTTTTAAGCAAAGATCATTCATCCCTCGATTAAAAAAAAAAGGTTATCATGAGTGATCAAGAAGCTGCGGTTCCTTCTTCTGGATTGTATACCTGTATATCATGTCAAGTTGCATTTCAGTCGGCTGATAGTCAGAGACTTCATTATCGATCTGATTGGCATCGTTACAATTTGAAGCGTAAAGTGGCGAATTTGCCACCGATCAGCAACGAACAGTTTCAGTTGAAAGTCAATGGTAAGATTCGATCAGAGTTACAGTCGGTAATCCCTTTAGGCCAACTCAAAATTTGTTACAGCAAAGCAGGAAGCCGAGACTCGAGTTACGGAGACTCAACAGTTCAAGGGCTACTGTGACGTTTGCAGGTAAAAAGATCACCTTGCCTTATATAGACTCTCAAGCAAACAGCGGCTCATGTGAAACTCATAGAAAATCCTTTGCCACCGAGAATACTTACAACAATCATGTGCAATCGAAGAAACATAAAGAAATGGAGGCCAAAAATGCCAATCGTGTCAAGGCACCTGCAGCAAAAGAAAAGGAAAAAATCGAGCGAGAAAGCCCGATCGATCTTACAATTACTGATGAAACCACTGAAGAAGAAATGTTGGCGAAAATCGATGAAAAAATCAAGTCGGCAAAACGCTTGGAAGAAACCGATTGTCTTTTCTGTACTCATAAAGCCGAAACATTCGAGGATAACATGACCCATATGACGACCACACACAGCTTTTTTATACCCGATATTGAGTTCTTGGTCGATTTACGAGGATTGGTGCGATATCTAGGCGAAAAAATCAGTGTCGGTAACCTGTGTTTATACTGTAACGGCAAAGGTCGAGGATTACGGTCGCTTGAAGCTGTTCGGGCCCATATGGTAAGACGAAAACGCGTATCTTGGATTTTTTTGAATGTCTTTTGCTGAATCACAGGTTGCATCATTCGTAGATTGACAAGGGACACTGCAAGATTGCGTATGAAGAAGATGACGATGCGGCTGAACTAGTCGACTTTTACGATTTCTCTTCGTCCTACCCGCAATTGGATGGCGAGGAAGTGGATGCGGATGCCGATTTGAGTGCATTAACACAATCCTTGCAACTGGCAGATGACGAGATGTCCCTGGTACTCCCAAGTGGTGCGATCGTGGGGCACCGCGCGCTCAAGCGTTACTATGATCAGAGCTTGAAACCCGAAGAGGTATGTCTGCCCTTATACAGATGCATAATGGTTGTGTTACGACACATGCAAATGGGCAATTTTTGAGTTCAATTGGATAATGCGGGATTATTTTTTTTGCTGATCGTATTTGTACTTTGTCATCTTTTTAGACGCGAGACTCTGTATTAATTAACAAGCTGATTGGCCAGTACTCAGAATCTAATGTCTATCAATCCCTTCGATCGTCGGGCAACAGACGCCTATTGATTACGGACGGGCGTAAGGCTAATGTGCGACATACCGAAGCGTTCAAGGATGCTCGCGTTCACGATGAGTACCGAACACGGGTGGGAATTCAGTCCAACAAGCTGCAAAAATACTTTAGAATACAGATCATCTAGAATAGTCGACCGTTACAAAAATATATATCATTATTTTCATGCATTATGCTTTATTCATTCTCGGAAAAACTGTTGCATTAAACATATTGAGCCAAAAGTGCCAAAGTAAGCTTGCAGTGTCACCTTGGACACATACGAAAATCAAAAGGGAGAGACAAATGACGCTTGAAGATCACGGTGTTGCCTTCCTTTATAGGGGAATACAGACAATTTTGGTCAGAAATTATCTGGTTACAACAATCACGCTCTTTACATATTCTCATACTTTATTCGCTACTTCCGGAGCTTTATCTTGTTCTTGTGCTACCGTCTTGTACCAGCGGGAATGCATGGATCGGTGATTTACGGCTTCAGTCATCCTCATTTCGAAAGCCCTCGTCACTCTTTATGGCAAAAATCTATTGAAATGGGATGCTGACGCCATTTGCAGTGAATGTGAAATGTTCTCAGGCGGAGAGGAACTTGGTGCCTGAATATCGAACGCCTATCAAATATATAAAGGCTCTCGTTAGCTCACGGCAAGAACCTTCAATCAATTAACCATTGGTTAAACTCCTTCTTCTTTCAATTCTCATTTCTCAACCTTTAGTATGGTAAAACTCTCGTTGTATGCTTGTGCCGTCGCGGCCATGGCCATGGTTTCCACCGCTGCCCCTGTCGAAAACACGGCACCCGTAGTGCGCATGGATCTTCAGAGAAACCCTGATTTCCATGCCAACGCTACCTATGCTGTAATCAAGGCCCAGAGAAAGTACGCCAAGTACACTATCCAAACAAAGAGCATCAAACCTGGTAGCGTGTCAATGACGGATTACTTGTATGACGTGGAATATTACGGCGTCGTGAAGGTCGGCACGCCTCCTCAATCGTTGAAACTTGATTTCGACACTGGTTCATCGGATATGTGGTTCGGTAAGCTGGGGACTTGATTTCACGTCAGAGATCGACGACGACTGAGATTGACCATGTCGCACTGTTTTGTAGCTTCAACATTGTGCAGCACGTGCAGCTCCACGCAGACCAAATTCGATCCTTCGAAATCGAGCACTTATCAGCAAGATGGTCGTCCCTGGTCTATTTCCTACGGCGATGGTTCGACCGCCAGTGGTGTGATTGGCTATGACGTTGTGGACTTGGGTGGCCTCAAGATTAATAAGCAGGCGATCGAACTTGCCAAGAAGGAGTCGGCCGCCTTTCAGAGTGATCCAATTGACGGCTTGCTGGGTCTTGGCTTTGATTCAATTGCCGCCTATTCAGACATCAAGACGCCAATGTCGAACCTCATTAGCCAGGGAGTAGTGAGCCAGCCTGTATTTGGCGTGTTCTTGGGCAAGCAATCTCAAGGCGGTGGCGGAGGTAAGGACAAAGTCAATTATTTTGATTGAATGTGATTTATAACTTACGAGTTGTATTGCATAGAATACGTGTTCGGAGGCTACAATGAAGCTCACATTGGCGGTGCTCTGACTACAGTGAGTGTCGACAAGTCTCAAGGTTTCTGGGGTATCACTGTCGACGGCCTAAGTTCAGGCAACAGAAAAGTGGCCGGTGCATTCCATGGTATTCTTGACACCGGTACCACGCTCATGATCTTCACGGACTCGATGGCTCGCCAAGTAGCTTCTCTGTACGGCGCTCGCGACAACCGAGACGGCACGTTCACCATCAGCTGTGACACTGCCTCCTTGCCACCTCTGGTATTGACGATTGGCGGCACTAAGTTCACCATTCCTTCTTCCGATCTTATTTACGCTAAATTCCAAGGTCAATGCATTGCAGGCTTCAGTTACGCAGGTTTACCTTTTGCAATTTTGGGCGACGTCTTTTTGAAGAATCATTATGTTATCTTTAACCAGAAAGTACCCAATGTTCAGATCGCGCCAGTAAAATACTAATGCGCTAGTTACTACGCCTTGAGTAGCAAGGAATACGATCAATAAATATTATATAATCTCAATGGTATTATGCTAAAGATGATCTGTTTGTTGTATTTTCAGTGAAATTTTTCTTCAGTTTTACTTTTTGGCAACCACATTGCTACTGAACTTTCGGAAATACAGACTGCTTTCCCCGCAAGCTAAGCTACGCAAAACAAATAGAATAGGTAGGAATGTACTATTCGACAATTGGAAATTGCGAAACCGAAACTTTTTGTATAATGACAGTGTACAAGATGTCTCACGACAACAGCCGTCGCTACGTTGCGAACGGGACCATGTTTGCAGTTGGGGCGTCATCTTGATTCAAACAGGTCTACGCGAATTTTGACTTTAGATTGGATGGGTGTCCCCTTTAACGATGTAACTTCAGATTTCCAGAATTCAACGTGCAAATCAGACAGCGATAACCGTTTATATTTATGCTCTGTTGCAAACACAATTCCGTTCAGGGACAATATACACAGCTGGAAATAAACAGAGTGCTGACGATAGGGCAGAAAAAAATCATGGAAGTATTTTTATGCTTTGGTCAGCAATATTTACTTGTTAGAGCAAACGAGGGTATGCGATAGAGCATAGGTTGGGGGTATAAATCATTCAACAAGCACATCCTCCCGACGCTGATGTTGATGAAGGTTGGGTTATATCCAATCGACCATTCGTGCCTGGGCCACGCATATTACTTGTATTTCTTCCGGATGACAGCAAGTATTCCACGGGAACTTTTTGAGCTAGAGCAAAAGAGAAAAAGCGCGTGGTGAGTGACTGATAACAGTAATCAAAATCAAGTTCCTAATTACCGATGGCTGTAAAGACGGCGTCGACATTTTCTGCCGATTTGGCACTTGTTTCGAAAAATATCAAGCCTGCTTCCTCTGCATATGCCTGTGCATCTTCTGTGAGAACTTGTCTTTCTACATCGCTCTCTGCATCGTGTTCTTGCACAAGATCAAGTTTATTGCCGACCAAAGCGATCACAATGTCCGGGTTGGCTTGGCGTTGTAACTCTTTCACCCATGATTTAGCCTTCTCCAGCGTAGACTAAGTTTGTACGTCATTAGCGTTCTTTTTTGCATATTTCTTTGTTTTTTTTTTTTTTTTTTTTTTATAATCCACTCACCGCTTTGGTGATATCGTATACAACCACAGCCGCCTGAGCATTGCGATAATACATTGGAGCAAGCGAATGGAAACGTTCTTGGCCGGCAGTATCCCAGATTTCTAATTTGATAGATCGATTGTTGACAAAGCACTTTTGAGTCAAAAATGCGGCTTCAAAACAGGCAGTAAGAAGAAAGAGAGCCGTTAGAATAATGTATCAAAAAAAAAAAAAAAAGCATGGTGACAGACGGCGCGTAACAGTTTGCCTACCTCCAATAGTGGGTTCCCGATTTTCCTGATATTCACGATTAACGAAGCGTAGCACCAAGCTCGATTTCCCGACAGCGGATTCACCTGTTGTTGAAGACTATAAGCACGTCGTTGTCACATTGCAATGGTTAATTCCTGTCAAGTTTTCAATCTACAAACCTAACAGCACGAGCTTCACTTGGATCGCTTTGCCAGCGGTGGCGGAGGAAATGACACCAATGGGTTCAGTTTCAGATGACATGAACAAGTATATGAACGACCGGGAAGAGGTGGAAAAGTATATAAAAAAAAGGAGACAGAAGCGGGTACGGAGAAGGGGAGCCAAAAAAAAAAAAACCTGAGTATGCTAAATATGTCGACTGGTTGTGCTGCGTCCACAAAAATAATTTCCACGTGCTCGCTTAAAATTTACCTCTGTGTTTTTCTCAGCTTACGGATTTGTTACGCGCGGTTTATGCATCTACTACATCCATGGCCCAAGCTCAAATATTTAAAGCTACCTACTCTGGAGTCCCCGTATATGAAATGCAATGCAATGGCATTGCTGTCATGAGACGACGCTCCGATTCCTATCTAAATGCCACGCAGATCCTAAAAGTGGCCGAATTCGATAAACCACAGCGAACCCGCATTTTGGAACGAGAAGTACAGACTGGCGAACACGAAAAAGTTCAAGGCGGCTACGGAAAATACCAAGGTAACGTGTTCACTTTCTCCATGGCAATGGCGCAGTACTGACTTCCCAGTTGTATAGGAACGTGGGTCCCCTTTGAACGAGGCGTTGCGTTGGCAGAACAGTACCATGTTGACCATTTACTGAAACCCATGTTTGACTTTGTCAAAGGCGACACCAGCCCACCTATTGCACCCAAACATGTGACGGCAGCGTCTACACGGCCACGCAAAGTACGCGAACCACGTGAAGCACGAGAAACACGACGCAAAAAGCCCAAACGATACGACGACGAGTTTTCAGAGAATTCTTCCCAGTACAGTGAAGTCGCGGACAACGATATCCCGATGGTAACAACCACTCGGAATTCGGCCTCTCCTTCCACTTTGTATCGGTCGATGACGGCTGGAGATACAATGATGGTTGACGATATGGGAACGCCGCATACGTCCCATGGACGACGAAAAAAACGGTCTAGATTATATATGGATGAAGTTGAAGTGGACGACGCGATGGGTGATGAACTCGAGAATCGCGAACCGTATGCACAGAAACTGCTTCAACATTTCGTAGCTGATGATCCTGACGTTCCGAGTCTGTTACTTCATCCACCGCGTGATCTCGACGTGAACGTTATCATTGATGATGAAGGACACACCAGTCTTCACTGGGCCGCCGCCATGGGACGGTTGAAGGTCGTTAAACTGTTGATTCATCACGGCGCGGACATCTACCGTGTCAACTACAAAGGGCAAACAGCACTGATGCGCAGCGTCTTGTTTACCAATAACTTTGATATCAAATCGTTTCATCAATTGCTGGAGATGCTGCAAAGAACCATTTTCAATATCGACAAGAAAGATCAAACCGTGTTTCACCACGTCGCGGCCACCGCAAGTTGGAAGGGCAAAGTGCATGCTTCCCGTTATTATATGGAATGTCTGATTGAGAAATTGGCGTATAACCGATCGGAACTTATTTCCATACTCAACGTCCAGGATGTGTACGGTGACACGGCCCTCACCATCGCAGCGCGGATTGGCAACAAGAAGCTTGTGCGTCTACTGATGGACGCGGGTGCCAGTACAGAGATTGCCAATGAAGAAGGAATGACTTCCCAAGATTATCTTGCCGAAAGCGAACGAACGAGACCTTTTCGTGATGCAGTATCGCCCAAAACGGCATCCAGCAACGAACACGCCACACGGGCACGTCTCCGTCAGCGCGTTGAATCCATGTTTAAGCAGATGCTTGCCAATGACCGCTCAACACCGGCGGTATCCCAGCTTTTCGACAGCTTTGCCGGCAGTTATGAACGCGATTTGACGCAGAAGGAAACACTTGTGAAGGAAAAGAAAACCGAGCTGGATCTCAACCGAAAACGTTTAGCAAGCACCCACCATATGCTGGACCATATTCAATTCGATCCCTCCTCACTCACCAAATCCAATGCAGAAGCTGATCATCTTGAGCTCCGTCTACGTAAATTAACGCACGAGCATCAAAGATTAAAATTGTCACATATGATTGACTCGGAAGAAAAGAACGCAAAAATGAGTGGCGGGGATGGACCTAAACCGGAAAATGACGCGGCAAAAAAGCAGCAATTGATCGACGACGTCGTCAAACTTGGACAAACACTGAAGACTCTGCAAGAGAACCGGCAACAACTTGTGAAGGACATTATGAAAATGAAAGCACAAACGCCCGGAAAACGGTATCAAGAATACAAACGGTTGATATCCATGTGTTGTAACGTGGCATATGAAAATGTGGACGTCATGCTATCTCCCTTACTGGCGTCTTTTGATGAAAGTGCCGCGTAAACGCCCTAAGATTGTTTTTCCGAGGCGCCCATGGCTCGGTTTGTGATGCTTTATGTTTGTAATTATCCAGAAAGTAAGATTCTATGATTTTCAGCCATCTAATCTAATCGATCAAAAGATCATTAGATATCTTGTATTCTACATGATAGAACTTTTTCCCGGTTGTCGATGCTGTTAACCATCTCTGACGACCCATATCATTTCGGTTTGCGTTCTGTTGGACACAAGCTACACTTTTTTTTCTTTTTAATAAACTGTGATAACCTAACTCTTCTTTCGATTAAAATGATGCTGTGGCCATTTGGTTACTTCAGTACCTGTGAAATAATTGCTTTGCTGGCATCATAATAATAGCGACTAGGCCCGAAAATTTATCGTAGAGACACCCAAACTTCTTTCATCTTCACTTTAGATTGATTGCTGTAGATGATATATTTCTTTGCTTCGGAAAGCGTATCGGGGAACCCTCATCGAAGAAGTTTACCCGACAGTCACTGACTTTGAAAACAGCACGGTTGATTTGATCAACCGCAAGATGTCCCTTCCTCTTTTCTGAAATAAATCTAATCCGCCATGGCAGACTCTTTGACCTTCGATGCCTGGAGCATTGTGGGGTTGATGGTTACGTTTCTGTCAACGACTGCCAAATACCTTGCCGTAGCTATCCTTGCCCCGATCACCATCGCCGTCATCGTCGACATTGTCGTCTACATATATCGACATGCGAAACAGCCCAGTCGAGCTCATCAAAAAGTTAAACATGCCTAGTTATCTCTCTGTACATACGAATAAAAAAAAAAGGGTACCGTGAACATTGATATTGATTGTCTATTGCTGAATTCTAACTCTCTATGCTATTAAAGGATTTTATACAAATGGACCTGTCGGATCTCTTCCAACTCATCTTCGTGGATGTCCTGGAACCAGCCTGCTTCGTAATTCAACTTGACCTCTTTTACCCATCCCTTCAACAACTTTTGCGATAAGCCTGCTTCTTTTAGCTGCTCTTGCAGTGAAGGCAGTGTCACTAATAAAAGCCCGGGCTTTTTCATTGTCTCTGTTCGGATATACTTCCAAATTTTTTGTTGGGTGCTGAGATCGTTGAAAAATTGGAAAACGTTGTTCATCACCACAATATCGGCCTGCTGCAACAGTTCCGGAACTTGTTGTATATCCTTGGAAACCACCTATGATACATCCATTGCATGAGAATACCATACCATATAAAATAAAATAACCATCATAAATCATACATCATAAATGGGAGAAACATACCTCAATACGGTCGTCCATCTTGTATTTTTTAGCCATATCTCGCTGCAAGTTACAGAACCAATCATTGATCTCGACGCCAATAAGTTTCTTGGCTGCCGTAAATAAATAGCCCTAAAAAAAAGCTTCCCATTTAGCATCGTACCATGCGGATGAAGGAGCATATCACTTACGGTATACAAAACAGCACCCAGTCGAGATCCCACATCAACAATGACCTTGCCCTTTGTCTTATCGGCTAAAGCCACCTGGTACAGGAACTGCAACTGCAATACCGAGGCAGAATGCGAAATGAAATCTATGGTGATCAAATAGGTCAACCTTTTCATGCTATCATTATATGTCGTTTTAAATGCGTACTCAAAGGCGCCACGTTACGTGATTGACAATCCAGACAATAATTGCGGGAAAGTTTGCCTTCGTCGCAAATTTCGTCAACATCTTCTTCTGAGAATAAGAAACCATCGACATGGACAGTATTTTTCTCAGTGAAATCTTTAAACTGTAAGCCATTGGCATCAATAACCCGTGTGCATATTTTCCATAGAGGTGTAAATTTGTCTTACTTCTTCGCTGTCGGGTATCATGGTTTTTTCCTCGGGCGCTTCAGCGGAAAGAGGCAGTTTGGTACGCAACTCCTTGATGATACGGCCTAAACGGACCATCTTGAGATCGTTGACAGGTTGGAAGCTACCGTCATGATCTTCCATTTCGATATCCTCGGCATTATCGTCACCATGGTGATGCAACTGACCATGATACTCGTCTACATCAATCAATATAAGTAAAAAGGTCGGTCAACTCAACGTCAATCCCGAGACAGACCTAAAGCCGATCGTACAAAGGCATCAAAGTCATGAAATTCATTCTCGTTGATTTGTGAAAGAAGGTTGATGAAAGCCTCTTTAGAAGGTTCTGCTACGGTTGCCATGACGCTCAGCTACAGTTTTCGCTGTGAAACGATCAAATACCAAAACGAAAAATCGCGGAGGCTCGACTCTGAATTTGGCGCATTGACGGTGGCTTGCAGCCTTTATCGTTGCAAATTAAAAGAGCCAATCAAAGGGGATTTAAAAGCCCAGGAAAAAAAAGAGCTAAAAAGATTTGTGCTGGCCGTAGCTTAGCTGCATGAAATTCGTTGGGGAGTTGGGTTACGCTGCAAATTTTGTGGCGTTGCTTAGCAAGGGTATAAGTATTCATAGGGAGAGGGCCATTTAAAACTATCAAAGAAGTATGTACATTAAAACTACATCCAACCAGACTCCCCTAGGGCTTCTTGTGAATATTGTTGCAAGAGATGTAAAGCTTCCTTGAGTCGCTTGACTTCATGGTGTTCGGCTTCAAAGGCTGTTTCGGCGTCGCGTAATTCAATTTGAACCGTTTTGAGTTCATTCGATTGTTGATTGATTTTCTCGTTCAATTGATCGATCTCTTCCGCCAACTTGTATATTTCTTTGTTTGCGCGCGAAATTTCCTCGTCGTGCTGGCGTCGCTCTTTGTCCAGGGTCGCTTCGCATTCTCTCGCCCATTTACGGAAATCTTCCACTTCCTGAGTTTGTCTATGTTCAATTTCTCCGTGTTTGCGAACCGCATCGTCCAGTTCATTTTGCACATGCTTCACGGTTGCTTCCAGTTGAGTGATGCGCGCCGTTCGTTCTGCTACTACCATATTAGCGTCGGCATTGGCTCGTACTTTAGCTTCCAGCGACACAATTTCGGATCGTGCATAATGAAGTTCTCTTTCGGCGTCTTCCAATCGAGCCACTGCATCCGACTGTAACTGCTTCAATCGAACAATTTCCGTATTTCTTCTCGTCAACGAATCCTGCAATGTCTGCATTTCGTTCTCTCTTTCTTCTAGACGTGAATTCGCCGTATTCAGTCGTCCATTCAATCGAGTCTGGTTGGATTCCATTTGCGAGACATACTGCTCGAGATCCGCAAGCTTGTCTTCCCTGGCATTGGCTTCGGCAAGGACCTCTTGCAGCCGCTGCGACGTGGTGCCATGCTGTTGCTGAAGCTCGTTGATTTGAATATCCCGTTCACGCAATAAATTTTCCAGCACCTGCATATGCGCCGTGGTATCCTCCAACGTTTCCGATACGATTTCCAGCTTTTGCAGCATGACGTTCTTTTGTGAAACTTGTTCCTCCAGTTGATGGTTCGCAGTTGACAATGCTTCCTCTCGTGATAACATCTCGTTAAGACGTGCTTGGTCATTCGATTGATTTTCTTCGAGGCTTGCAATGTGCTTCTTGCTCATGTCCAAGTCTTGTTTCAGCTGTCCAATTGTCTGCTCTGATTCTTTTTCACGTGTCGATGCTTGATTGAGTTGATACTCGAGGTTCAACTGCGCGTGCTCCAGCTCGCCCATCCGATCTTCTCTCACGGCCATTTCCTCCTTCAGCACCACCAATGTCGCCTCCAATTCTTGTTCGCGGGAAAGTGCAGTATCAAATCCTTTTTGTAAGTCGGAACGGTCTTTTTCCAGCTGCGTGATGGCGTGTTCCTTGGTTTCAATATCAACCTTCATCGTATCTATCATTTCCTCCAAAGCCTTCTTCTGGCCAAGTGCTTCTTCCAAACGGTGACGGACATTGGATCGCATGCTCTCCAGTTCCTCGATGTGACGTTCTTTGACCGCGACTTCATCTGCCATCTTCGTCAAACGTCGACCTGCATCGTGGAGTTCATGCGAAAGTGTGCTCTTCGATTCCTTGAGATCATAGATAATGTCATCTTTCTGTTCCAAGTGTCGCATACGCTCTTGATTGCGCTCCAATTCCAACTGTACTGACTCCAAGCGTTGCTTGGTAATGCGTAATTCGGATCTTAGCGACGCTACCAACGAGTCTTTCTCGGCTAATTGACGTTCAAGGGATTTTGAAGTATTCTGCGTCAACTCCAGCTGTTCAATCGCATGGTCCTTTCTACGCAATTCGGTCTCCAAATCTTGAATCATTGCATTCTTGTCTTCGATTTCGTTTTCCAGCGTATGGAGTTGGCCGCGCACGCTATCGATCTCGTCCTGGGCATTGGAAACGAGGAATTCGGTATCCAGGATCATCTTCAATTTCTCCGCAATCTCTTCTTGCAATCCCTTGATCATCCCATTCTTATTATCAACTTGCTCCTGTAGACTGCGCAACTGATCCTTGAGACCGGCTGTATCGTGCTCGGAATGCTGATAACTCTGCTCCATATCTCGAATTTTGCTGTCATTGCTCCGGATGATGACATTCAGATCGCTGATCTTCGCGTCTTTATCGTCGACTTGGTGGCGTAGTGTCGTTAATTCCTGTTGCAACGTCTGCACTTCAGCTTGTAAATGGGCCTTTGATTCTATCATCTCGTCGATCGTGCGACTCTTCTGTTCTATTTGTCCTTGTAGATTGCGCATCTGATTATTGAGAGCCACCGAATCATGTTCAGAATGCTGATAAGTTTGCTCCATATCGCGAATCTTGCTATCATTGCTCCGGATGATGACATTCAAATCGCTGATTTTCGCGTCTTTGTCGTCGATTTCCTGGCGTAATGTGGTTATTTTTTCTCGCAACGTCTCGACTTCGGCTTGCAGATGCGTTCGCGAATCCGTCATCTCGTTGATCGTGTTTGTTTGCTTGGCTACCGTGTCGCGTAATTCTTTGATCTTAGAGTCTTTCTGCAATAGGTGATCTTCAACGTATTTCAGATCTTCTTGTATCTTGCTAATCTCGTCAGAAGATTCGCTCTGGGTGTTCTTGAGTTGGAAGATGGTGTTCTCGTTCTCTTTAATTTCGTTTTTCAACACCGTGACGTATGACTGGCTGTCTCGTAATTTTTCTTCCGTCGAGATCAGCCGTGTTTTCACCATCTCCAACTCAGCTGCTGCATCCTCTTGTGAGAATTTCAGGTCGCGGATCGTCTTCTCTTTTTGCGACAGTCTGTCTTGCAAATCACGCAGCGCTGCATCCTTATCGTGCAGTTGCCTTTCAACGGATGACATACTGTTTCTGTTTTCGTAAATGCTGTGCTCCAGATTGGATCGCGCTGACGTTAAATCCTTGATCATAGCTTCTTTGTCCGTCATCAATGACTGCAATCGTTCATTCTCCTTTGCTTTCACTTGAATTTCATTTTTCGCTTCATTGATTAAATCTTCCAAATTCATATTTTGATCTTGTGCATCCAATAAACGTTGTTCGGTATCTTCCAGTATTGATTTCACGTTGTTCAGTTCGCGACTTTGTTCCGCCAGTAAGTCTTCCTTTTCAGCAAGATTTGCTCGCACCTCTTGCATACGTTGGGTCTCGGTATCGTTTGATAACATCAGCTCTGCTGTCTTTCGCTCTATTTCCGACACCTTTGACTGATATTCTTCCAGTTCCTTCTCTTTGGCACGTAACGCTTCTTCAAGCTGGGCTATTTTATCGGCATCCGCCTTGGATCGCTGTTCGGTTTCTTTCTTCCATCGCATTCTTTCCTCGTGTAACGACTCCAACCCTCCGAGTTTATCATATTCCGCCATGATTTCTTTTTGTTTTGCAAGCTTTTCGATAAGCGTAGAAAGTTGATTGTTGTGAGAGCGGCTCAACTCTTGCATTTTTTTATCCAATTCGTCGCGTTCCAAAGCAAACTGTGATGCGCGTCGTTCGGCTCTCTGTTCCCGCGAGTGTAGTTCGAGCATTTGAACTTTAACTTCTTCCATAACACTGCTCGATGTGACATCTTGATGCGAAGCTTCAATAAGTCTGCCTTTCAAGTGTTTGATGCAGCGTTCTAGTTGGCGATAAAATCTCATTTGATCTGTTGTATTTGCAGGAACGTAGCCTTCCAGAAACGATTCGAGTTCGCTAAAGGCTTCCGTTACCATGGAAAAGCGATCTTGCGTAAGTTGACGATCATCGTGACTTAAAACGGAATGGCGGGGACGTGATCTGGTTGACGGTAAAGGCGATAATGCCGCGGACGTTAATGTGCTGTATCGACCCTCTGCAGGCCCTCGAATGCGTTTCCGAACTGGAAGTCCAGATTCTTCGTGGGATATTTGCACTATCAAAACGATTAATTAACTGCGGGCATTATACACAGCTCATAACGTACTCGATTGCCGTTGGGGAATGGAATGAGAAGAAGTCATGCAAGCTGTGGCATAAGCAATTTCAGAAGGCCCACCTTTTTTTTTCTTTAGGAATTTTTTTGATCGCTCCCGCGCGCTCACGCCCCGCCCGCCCCGTTTTGCGTCATCAATTCGACCAATCTGCGATTTGATTGGCTGTTTCGCGTTATGCATTTGACTTCATTGTTCTTCGCTTTCCAAAAGTAGAGCGTCGTTAGTTTTTTCATGACAGAGGCACTGCTAACCTTACCTTCCTCGGTTCGATTGTCAGAGTGTGTCTGGCGAATTTTAGGCCTTAACCCAGGAAAATTTACTCTTCAAGGCAGGAACAATATACTGCTCGCAATGTATGAATGAAGTGGCTCACTGTCATGGCATCTAGGGACCAACACTTATTTACTCGGTAAAGGCAGGAAAAAGCTACTGATAGACAGCGGAGAAGGTGTGCCTGAATATGTTTCGCTCTTGAAACAGACATTGCAAGAGTCTTCTCCCGATGCCGCCATTTCAGACATTATTATTTCCCATGGTCATCGGGATCATTGGGGCGGAATCCGTGATATCCTGTCTTCCGTTGATTTGAATCCTGATAACGATATCCGAGTTCACAAGTTCCCTTTGTCGACAGGGAGCTGCTCGGGTCACATGGAACATTTTCCTTCCGATATCGATTTGCAGCCAATGCACCATGGTCAAATATTCACTGCAGACGGAGTCACCTTACGTGTCGTTTACACACCGGGTCACACAAAGGACCATTGCACTTTTTGGCTGGAAGAAGAACAGAGTTTGTTTACTGCCGATTGTGTACTGGGTCATGGCAGCGCAGTATTTGAGGATCTTTCCAGTTATATGGACGGTTTGCAACAACTGAGACAACTACAACCGAAAAAATTGTATCCTGGTCACGGTCCTGTTATCGAAAACGGCGTTGCAAAGATTGACGAATATATCCAACATCGACAATACCGAGAGCAACAAGTTATTCACTTGATGAAGACAAATCGTGATCGTAATTGGACGGTCATGGATATCGTTGAAGAATTGTACAAGGATTACCCACCTTCGTTACATCTACCAGCTGCAGGAGGCATTGTCCTTCATTTGAGAAAATTACAGAAAGACGGTCTGGTCCGTACTGCATGCGATGTTCAAATGGAGGATATGCGAACCAAAGTATGGGAATGGCATGATGAAGAAACCCCCAAGGTCTGAGACCATAACATCTGACTTATCCATACATACCCTTTTGTGGCATGATACCTCGCCCGGCTATGATTGTAATTTCTACCGTAGTAACCCGATAGATCTGTAGCAACTATAATACCACATGTATACGGGTTAAGATAAAAAATGCCATGCTCGTTTATTAAAGTGATCAGTAGCTAACAAGCCGTACACCCGCTGTGCAATGGATGCCGCCTGCCACCGGAGGCCGCCCTCTTACATTGAGCGACTTTCGTCAGACAAAAAAGCCTAACGCATACACGGCATATCCTGGGCGAGAACTCTTGACGGACTTTGGTATATTAATGACAACCTTATGGCATACGTTGCAACGTGATTTGTTTCTGAACACGCGCAGGGCAGCACTGATTGACCCCCTCAGTTCCATCCCGTCCAGGCTATGATAGATCTAGAAAGATGTGTGGGTATGTTGGGTAGTTAAAAAAATGAGTTAGTAAGCTCTTTGATTGATTCAAATTTTCGTCACCCCTTTTTTTCCCACAGGGTTTTTTATGAGGTTTTTACTGACGCGACCATTGTTTTTTTTTTTATCATCATGTACTTTATTTGTTTTTCTTTCTTTCCATTCGGGGGACTCTCGATATCTGGAATCCAACTCGAAATTACCGTCACTTCTGGCCACGTCAATATTTTTTGCCTGCTCAAGCTGACACCACCGATCCATCGCTTAACTGTCCCTGGAAGCAATTTTATTTTCCGCATCGAAGAAGAAGCTTACCTGGCGGTCCGTATTCATCGTTTTTTTTTTTCCGGTACACCATTTGGTTCAAAGGCAAGTCCAATTTCTTTTCCTTTGCTATGATGTAATAAACGTATACTAATTCAAAAATTTTTCAATGTCATATAATCCAAGTCATGTCAAGCGATCAATGGCTATCGAAAACTCAAATAACAAAGGTAAAATATCTTGAAAGACTGCGAAAAGAATATGTACATGAAATATAAAATACAAAACAAACTAAAAACTAAAAATACAATAATCGGGAAGACATCTCGAATACCATATGATGAGAAGCAATCCAAAGGAGAGGAACATGAAGAGGACACGTAAGCGTTGCTGATTAAAAAGAGCACACCACCGACGATGGCCTTTGACGTCATCCGATTTCGCCAGATGGATGGATGGATGGCGAGAGAAAGTCAACTTGTAGTATCCAGAACTTGTCAGGCGAAAAGAAAACGGAAACCGGAAGCTGGAAGAAGGATGGAAGTAAAGGAGAGGTAAGTCTGTTTTGCCGGAGCAAAATCGATGGTAGACCACTCGACGCTTACCTTTTTGAGGATGGTGGTCGATTTAACCAAGTTAGATACACGGGATAAGAATGGTCTGGATGATGGATGCGGATGGGATCTTGATACAATGATAGTGAGGGTTTATCAAGCAAACAGAAAGAGAGAGAGAAAATCAAAAGAAGAAAGATAAAATTGAAGACAAGAATATATGGTTTTCCATGGATGAAACAATAGTCACCCCACTGATGCATGAATTCATAGATCGAAGCACGTCTGCTTATGTATTATTCGATTCATTGAAAATTGAAAGAGAATGAAAGGACATATACGTATAACTGACAAAAAAAACAAATTGAATGATGCTACAGAAGAACGCCGGTCGTATCATCAACCACTTTTCTTCAAAAAGAGCTCTACTCGCATTTTTATTCGAAAGACGACGATGCTCTGTTTGACCATAAATGGCGCAAACGGCATCTTGCTGCTGATTGTTTCGCCTATTATTGTGGAAGTAGGCAGCGAGGCATGGTTGAAAGATAAAAAAAGAGGTTTAACAGGCCCTGATAACTTAGTGTAGATCATGTGATTTACAAATCGCTAATTTCCGAAAGATTTTAATTATGTAGACAAGTAGCGCCTGTTGATCTTAAAGATCACAAAGTTATGCTCTTTCGGTCTGTAGTTTGTTGTTAATCTGAGGCTAGTGGGAATAGTAGCTGATTAAAGATGCGTTTGGAATGGGATGCTCCATTTGCAATATTCAGAACTCCGCACTCGAATTTGTGTATCCAAAGGTCTCGCTTGATGGTACTCTAATCTTTTGTCAATAAGCGGTTGATTTTTCGGTAAGATTTAGTTGATGTGCGCATAAATCTTTGCGTATTCATAGACAACCTACACACGATACGATCATAGTCATCAAGTGTTCTCGTTTTAATCATATAGACTAGTTGCGCGTGTGACCTTGAAGATCACAAAACTTCAGTATACACAATATTATTTGTGTAAATGTCGTTGTCAGTATCTTGGGACGCATGAGAGACCATGACTTTGATGGAGCTCGGGTTCTAACTCGGGACATGGCAACATATTTTAATTATATAGATTTTCTGCTTCTTCTTCTGTAACTGCAGCCAGCATATCGACCATATCCTTCAAGGGTTTATTATCTGGATGCAAAGATTGTTAGTAGATATTTCCATGTATTTCAAATATTGTAGTTACCTGGAGCCAGTTCCAGAGCTTTTTGTAATATCGCAGAGGCTTGGTCGTAGTATTCCAAAACTTTATCTTCGTCATCTTCCAAGTTTGATAATGTGAGTTTCAGAGAACCCTCCTGAAAATTGATATTAGTCTCGGGTCTTTTTACTTCATTGCTAAAAATTGAAATGACAGTAACTTACCAACTGCATCCTCCATGGATCATCGTCTAATCCCTTCTCTTCCCGAATTTGCTTGCTTTTTTCGAGCAACTGTTCTGCCTCTTGACATAATGGCTTGAAACACCCAGCTTCATTAGCAAACCACTCATTTTGGATCAATGTACCGACCTACCTTTTGCTTGTCAAAGTCTTCGAACAGTTTTAGTTCCATTAAAATAAAAGCGGCCCAAATAGTGAGGAGTTCCTCATTCTTCTCAAATTCGAGTAGCTTGATATAGCGAATTGCCGTCTTCACCATCGACATACAATGTTCTGAGTGTGATGGCTGATCTAATAGTTCAGCGTATACTCGCATATCCTGGAGAATCCGGCATGCTGAACCAATTGGTAACTTGTCTGCTTCTTTGAATACCTAGGGAAGTATTAGATGTAGGAAATTATGGAAATCCTCTGTCTGTATCTACCTTATCGGCGTTGATAGTAGCTTCTCCACAAAGTTTTACTTCTTCTTTCGTTAGATCTAACTTTTGCAAAAGTTCGGTATATGCAACTTCGTCTTCCTCATCGCTTTCAAGTTCCTCCTGTAATGAATCAAATGTCGCAATCTTCTGCTTTCGGATATCGGCAGCCAATGTCAACGCAGCTTGGATTAATCGAAGGAGCACCTCTTGATCTGGATTGTTCTTGACCTCTTGTCTAAAAATATCCAATCCTTCTCTTATGCTTTCTTGGATTCGTAAACAACGACCGCATTGCACCAGGCCACAGGCATATCCGAGACGATCGTCGTCGTCCTTGAATTTCTCCAATGCCATGTCAAAGAGACGTTTCGCCACTTCACTATTTTCTCCACCGTCTTCCCATTCGTCAAGCGCCATCGCTAGCAGATCGTGTCCATTTGGTTCCACCGCGCTTCCTACTCCATCTTTGTCATGTCGCACAAAGGAAATGTCGATATCGCCAATATCGCAACCTTCACATTCTGGATCATTGCAATCGGCAGTGTGATTATCAGCATCAGCACGTCGAATTCGTTTTGTGGCACCTTCGGCGACGGGATCGTCTGTGTTTGTTCGTTTAGACATGCAGGAATAAAGATGAGAAAAGGGAAAATATCGAGCTCAGGCCAAATTTGATGTGGCTTGCGAAAATCCATGAAACTGGCACCGCTTTCCTGCTTCGATTTCCCATCTTTTTCTTTATGCCGCGTATTCCTCGCATAGTTCCGTGGACAGACTACCACGAATTCGAGCAAGTTTATCATTGGCTTCATGCTGATGTGGACGAATGCCCAGAATTAGTACAGCGAGGCATCGATCGGGTACGGTCTTTTTCTTGTCGCAGACACTCGATGGTATTTCTGATCTAAACCTGTCACCCTAGGTCAAAGCCTGGACCAGCCGAGGAAAACTTCCTAGAGCCGTTGAAAGTACGGCTGCCTTTGTGCAAGTTCAACTACGTGATCATAGCGGGCTTGGCGGCAGCTGGCTTTCACATCAAGAGTTGCGTCTCATGTATGCGATGGCCATCGTAAGGTAAAAGAAAAAAAAAAGCTCATCATCTTTGTCAAGCTGTTTTGTTAAGCCTGCGTTTTCTGCAGATTCGTTAATGGCATGGTTGATCCTGAGCAGACAGGCAGTTTTGCTGTATCTATTGCTGGATTAGCCGATCGACTTGGTTTGCCTCTTTGGTTTGTCGAACTTCGTCATGCCGGCACTCACGAACACTTGCCTAGTCTTGCTGTATTACGATCTGCCAGCCAAAAGGTATGGTGCACCTTGTTTCATGATAACAATTGTAGAATAGCTGACAATGTTGGATTAGGCTATCGACTGGTTACACGACTCTTTCTGGTCAGCGTCCATAAAGCCGGAAGGCTACGCGGTGGTGGATCCTAAAGTCATGGACACTATTAGATCGTTGGTCAGCAACTATAAAGACGCAAGAAAATCATATCTGAAGGGTAGGTCAAAAACTGCATCCTACATATTGCTCTTTCTAAACTTTCGTATCATATAGACCTCAAAGCATCGGCAAATTCAAACCGAGGGATTTACATTTCTGCTATACAAAAGATAATTCACAGCATTTCACCTGAAATTATCCGCGATGGTGTGATACCGCTGCTGCTCAATGTTGGAGGCCTGGTGCCTGTAGGGAAAAAGTAAGGTCAATGGTCAAATATGTTCAGCTCTATCTGGATTCTCACATTGCGGTTTCTCTCCACAGAAAGCATGCTACATTAGACCATTTATCCGTCTCGGATGATTTGATCCAACTGTGGACACCGTTACTCAAAGAATTGGATAAAGCGTTTCCTGGCTTTGGTAATGACTTGATCGCAGCGATAGTACAAACAATCGGAGTTCAAGACTGTAAGTGCATCAAAAACTGGTAACCATCTGGAAATCTGCAGGACTGACGAGGAAAACTTTACAGCATTTACTCTGGACGAAAAGTTTATTCAACCGAGGCCTATGTTTGTAAGACTGAATCATGCTTTTAATTTCGAAGGGGGACATTTGCTGACTAATGGTTTAGCTGAATTCCTTTGTGGAGCCGTTGAATAGCCCTACCCACAGCGCCAGCTATCTACTAACATTAGGTTAGTTGGAACCAAGAGAGAGAAGAATCAAAAAAAAGGATATGTGGTGCTGATATTTTGACTAGCTTGTTGGTTAAAGTATTTCGTCAAAGAATGCAATACCCTCGATTGCACCTTTGAAGACGTTTTGGTTGACGATATCTTGGAATTATGTCTGCGCAAACCAACTTATTAGTGAGTCATGACCGAAATTTTCGCAAATCCTAAGACTAACTTTATCGTATTAGCACGCGTATTGTTTTGAACACGATTTTAAGCAACCAACCTGAACTTGCAGAGTCCCTTAAGCCTTTCTTACGATACATCGACCTCCTGTTAAGGAATAGTCAGAGCCCTGTACGTTTCCAAGCATGTGAAAATGTTAATCGTTACGAGATTGTTTATATGATGATTAGGAGACTTCACAAATGGCACATGGAACAGAGGATCAGTTACAGCAAGAATTAGAAAATCTCGCCAATCAAATGGTTTCTCTGAAACAGAAGGTAAAAAAAAACTTGCATACCAAATTGCTTATTTTACTTAGCGTGTTTGTTACACAGACAAACTTTGCATCCTCTGATGCGTCCGCATCCGAAGAAACTTGCACTTGGAGAATATATGATGCTGACCAATGGAACGCCTGTCCTATTGGCTGTCTACCTGACGGAAAGATTCCCGTTCTCGATCTACCGATGACTGAACAACAGGTCTCACGGTAAAAAAATTCATGCACTTTAGAAGTAAGCAACATTTTGTACATCATCTTTCAGTATAGACTTCCATTCGATCATAATACACTTTTACAAACTCGAAATTGCATCAGAGTTGTCAGAATTCAATCTTTTTTTCCGTTCTGTATCGGCGTCGTTGAGCTTTCAAAGTCGTCCAGATGTTCTAGAAAAAAATAAGGGGGAAACGGGAAAAAAAAAGAAGACAACAATGTATATAAAAAGGGTCCCTCACGAGGAAAATATTTCATGTGAAAGCGATAATAAACGGCTCATAGAATGACATGCATCATTAGTCTATAGAATGTTTACAACCGTCATTGACGACGTTCCAATTTTTTACAGTATTGTTATGACCCGGCCTTTCAGCTTTTAAAAAGCATAATTTGGAAGCAAAGGTCACAATAGTTTTTTAGTTTTTTTTTTTTACTGCTTTGGTCTTTTTTTTTGCAATTATAAAAATGATATCTGGATCTGTCGATTTCAGGAGGGAATCGGCAGGTAAGAAAGACATTCGTCTTTTCGAGTGTACGATCAGCGGACATCAGACTGTTACACGATGCACAAATCTGCGTTGACTGGTATAATTACTTTTATGGCTTTATTTGTTAACGATATTGCATGTCAACAAGGCTTTAGCTGTAAAAGTTTTTAACTTTGTTGTTTCAAATGAGCATGATGCGAAAAAAAAAAAGTCCGGACAAAAAAAAAGCTCCTTACTAGTATAAAAGGAACTGTTTGCTTCTAAAAGCCCTAAAATTCGTGTTCTTCCCTTCATTTTCCACAAAACCAAAAAAAAAAAAAACCCGGACAAAGACAGGGCGTGCAGTCATTGATCACTATGTCTGCTATCAGTATTGTAAACCATTCAGCGCCTCGACATGTAATATAATATTTCACCTTGCTCAGTCGTCTGTCAAGCTAACATTGGTATGCCAGGCGATCCAAGGACATACGCAGTTTTGGGATAGGAGGAAGAAAGGTTACATTACACCGATGGATTCGGTTGCAGGTAATTTGCGACAAGACAACTAAACCGCATGACCGTTTTATTTACCAAGTCATTTGCACAGGTTTCATGAATTTAGGTTATGGTATCTTGTTCAGTGTTACCATTGGCACTTTTCTCGGCGTGGTATTCTCTTACGCATCGCAAGATTCATGGTTACCCGATCCACGCTGTCGGGTAGACATAAATAGACTGATTCAACATACACAGGTTGGATATCTGATTAAAACTCGACTAGTATTGGGTTATTCATATCCAATTATCTAGAAAAAGCCAAATGCTAACGGTATCTACGACGCTGACGGCAATTTCGAGGCTGAGAACTTTGAACGACTGTTCGCCAAGTATGCAAGAACAGATATTAGCGGTAATACCATCACTTTCAAGGAATTACTACAGATGACAAACGAAAATATGAATCTCGGAAAAGACCCTACCGCATGGTATGACAGAATTTTCTAACAAGGAGGGTGATATGGATTAACCAACATTGAAAGCTAGGACGAATGCTATTTTGGAGTGGTGCACAGCCTATTTTTTTATTGGGCAAAAGGGTGTTCTACGAAAGGAAGACGTGCGTGCTGCATATGACGTAAGGATTTGCTTTCCGTTTCCGTATGTCCAAAAAAGCTCTGAAAAGCAAGCAGTGTCTCAAGTGATGATAACCATAGGGATCTTTGTTCTATCGGTTAAGCAACACCGGCAGACCAGCGATTGAAAACACGGGCAACAACAAGAAGAAGAAAATTCCCTTGATCGAATCCGGCATAAAAATTCCTCAAAAGACGCTTGTTTCCCTCGAAGATCATATCAACGGGTTCCTGCAAAAATTACCGAGATCGTATACTTCGTTTATTCTGGAGCAAGTTCAGCACATTCGCTCCCTTTCGCTTTCAGCACCCATGGCATTACAACCTCACCTTACTGGCGTCAGCAAACAAACGACTGACAGTGTGGCGAATGACAGTCCCGTTACGCTTTTCGCAGGCGGCCTCACTGGCGTTAAAAGTATCCACTTCACCTCTGAGAACTTGCCATTAACAGGTATCAAGGGTTCCATTAAACAAGAAAGCGACATCGAAGAGGAAAACGATGAAGGACAATACTATTACTCACCAGAAATGGAGGATATGGAAGAACGCGGTGGATCGTCTCCAACCTCACTGGTTGGCATTGTTCCAGAAGGTGGTAATTACTACCGAGAAGAACCGGTCAAGGATTTGCTCAATGTTGGGACGTTGACTGGTGTAAGGCACGACGACTTCAATACTGCATCTGGTTCAGGATCATCATCGTCGTATGACGGATACAGAGCAGCAGAGCAAGAAGAGGAGGAACAATATTCACGGGATACCAAACGTGGACTTACAGGAGTACAATACGATGACTTGCAAAACTATCCTGATCTTCCAGGACTGGCGAATAACGATGACAGTAACGGAGACAATGACAACCAGTCGTCCTATTCTGATAGTAGCCGAGATTCGCCCATGTCACTTCCTAACGCAGGACCACAGCACGAAGAAGAACATTCGCCCATCCATATGAGTACCCCCATCATGGACACATCCGAAAAATTCCAAGCCTCTCAAGAAAACCATATTGCAGAATCGGACGCCCAATGGCCGATTTTGCCAGGGGTGCTCGAAAACGAGGATTAACTGAGACACAGCAACCCATGGTTACTAACTAAGCTACGTTTAAAGTATCATTCTGACCTGCTTTCAACAGTTATCATTTTTTCAGTCTAAATAAAAAAAAAGTTATGTATTGAAAGACGCAAAATAGGATGCAGTATTACAATGTCCCAAGTGTGGCAAAGATAAAGATTTTCGTGTTGATTGTCTCGACTGTGAAACAAGCCTGCATGCAAGCGTGTGAGAAACCGTAAGTGAATCTGCCAAGGACGGCTTACGCACATGCTTTTAACAGGATTTCACCTATAGTGCTTACGACGGAAACTCGCTATCTTACAACTACTGAATGGCTCTCTCCTCCATTATCCCGGTCAAAGCGTCTGCCAAATTGCTCTGCAATCTTTTTCGATAGAGATGATGATAGAGAGAAGCACCCATTGAGTGATAAAAAAAACTCATACCAAAAGGGGTAGCATACCATAGTAGGAAACCAGTGGGATGGTTTTGACAAGTGGTATAAACATCCATTGACGGTGAATACACAGAAACTTCATTTCCTAAAATCTTTATCGGAATGACTAACCTTTTTGCTTGGGTTTGATACTTTGTTATTTTTGTCCCGCCACCTGTGCTTCTTGACTTCATTCGGAAGAGCATATCTATCAGCATAGAAATGAGTGCAAAGAATTGGCGTTAGCCGTTTAACCTGCTGCTTGATAGAATAATGACAGGCATTGATTTATCAGTAAGTAGATTCTGCAATACTATCTTACTGCCGTGGCACAAGCAACTGCTGTTTTGCCTGCCTTTGAACTTTTTGCTTTCAGAGAAATTCCCCAACCATGCCCCCCTTTTTCACCAATCTCCTAGATTTAACTCCTATTGTATTTTTTTCATCATTCTCCATCTTCTATGCGTGTCAAAAGTACAAGAACTCCTCAATGGATGAAGCCCGTTTGACCATGATTGATTAGCTCCTTTTCTGTTTCCATTTCGGGAATGAAGCTGCTGTTTCTGTCTATCATTCGATAGGCGGTCCAAAACATCCAATCAGGGTAATCCCTTCGGGAGAACAACCGAAAGAAAAAAAGAAATCTTTCACTCCGACAGTTTGCTCTTTTTTTTTCCGTCGAAATACAATACCTCTGCCCTTGCCCTATGACCCATCACGCCAGTGCTGCTTCCAATCATCCTTCTTCCTCTTCGCACAATATTGTTGGCATTCACTACAGAGTGGGCAAAAAGATTGGCGAAGGAAGTTTCGGCATTATCTATGAGGGTAAATGTTCAGTCCGCCGTACGAAAAAGCAAAAGTCCAATGTCATCACGAAAGCTCATGTCTTTGTTCAAAGGAACCAATCTGCTGAACAATCAACAGGTGGCTATCAAATTTGAGCCCAGGAAGAGTGATGCTCCACAGTTGCGAGATGAATATCGAACGTACAAGATCATGGCCGGATCCAGTACGTACTTTGGGTGCTGTGTGTGCCTTCTCTTTTCTTAGCATGATATACTGAACGTTTGTCTGGCGCTTGCATAGCTGGAATCCCCACGGCGTATTATTTTGGTCAAGAAGGACTACACAATATTCTTGTCATCGATTTGCTAGGTCCCAGCTTGGAAGATATGTTTGATATCTGTGGTCGCAAATTTTCAGTCAAGACGGCCTGTATGCTGGCTAAGCAGATGGTAAAAATCGGCGATGCGAAATGGATATGATCCATGGATGCTTATTATCATTGTAGTTAACGCGTGTACAAACGATCCATGAGAAAAATCTCATTTATCGCGATATCAAACCTGACAATTTTCTCATTGGTCGACCTGGGACGAAAATGGCTAATAATATTTTTGTGGTGGATTTCGGCATGGCAAAGCTTTACCGTGACCCCAAGACCAAGCAGCACATTCCTTATAGAGAACGCAAAAGCTTATCGGGTACAGCACGCTACATGAGCATAAATACCCACTTGGGTCGCGGTAGGTTGACAGATACTACGACACCCGGAACGTAACTTTTTTGACTTACAGAAAAAATTTTCTCAGAACAATCTCGTCGCGATGATCTCGAGGCTTTAGGCCATGTGTTCATGTACTTTATCCGTGGATCGCTTCCGTGGCAAGGTTTAAAGGCCGCCACCAACAAACAAAAGTACGAGAAAATTGGAGAAAAGAAACAAACAACAGCCGTGAAAGATCTGTGCGATGGTTACCCTGGTAAGGTGGACGACGAGATTTTTTGAGCGTCATCAACCCTACCCTCGATCATCGATCATCCATGATGGTTGTCTACCTGATAAAAAGTGTATTATTATTCTAACTACAAAGGGTTATCTAGAGGAATTCGGAATTTATCTGCAGTATGTACGGAGGTTAGGCTTTGAAGAAACTCCCGATTACGACTTTTTGCGCGAGCTGTTCACGAAAGCTCTCAAGAACACTGGAGAGAAGGAAGATGGTGTATACGATTGGATGCTGCTCAACAACGGAAAAGGCTGGGAGACGATGTCAAAACGTCAACCGGCACGTCATCATCAAGCTACTGGGGCTACTGCTAAAAGAATCGCTGACAAGAGCCAACAAGCTCACCAGCATCATCCTAAAGATACGACGGCTAACCAAACAGCAAGGCAAGATACTCATGGAGCGAATCAAGCCCCTCGTCAGAAGCAGGGCCTTTTGGCCAAACTGACCTGTGGTTTGTGTCAATAATCTCGGCCTCAACAAGCTTTCGGTGGAAGAAGCGATGATCACATATGACATCTCTTTTCCGTTTCCTTTTTCTATCACCTAATTTTGATGCATTCTTCTATTTATTCTATTATCCTATACGTATTGTGTTTTTTTTACTCCATCAACCCATGCGACTTTTTAATTCTCATGTTGTAGATGATTCTTGCAGCCCACACGATTCTTCTTTCTTTTCCTCATTGATTCGCACTTCACTCCCAAAGCACTATTTCTTTATTTATACACATGTACGACACAAGCACGCCAAATGCATTCAACGTCGATGACGACTCTCACACATACGCAATTTTTTCTTCCCTGTCATGAAAACAAGCAAGCATCATTACATTGTTACACATGCCGAAATAACACATTTCAACTTGTTCATGAATTTTTCAAAAATAAAAACTTACCAATTTTTACTGAAGATTGATACGAGCGATGATGTCTTTAACTGCCGTCGGGTAAGAGGTGTGTCCTTCCAGTTCCAGCTCGATATTTTCAACACGATCGAGTGGCACCGGGCTCAGTCCTGCTACTGACGTAGCCAGAGAGTGCATACGGTATACAAGAGCTTTTTTTACAATGAGTAAATGCTCGAGTTTCCTAAAAAGACACTCGAAAACTTACCTAAAACCCAATCTTTGGAGGTATAACAGTTGACAAAACGTCCCGAGGTTACTGATATTGCATGTTGCCATTCTGATAGATCTTCAACTGATATGGGTGCACCCATCAAAACCACGTGGTCCACAATACCATGGCAGCCACGCCGATGTAATTCCTGTAAACAATGCCAGATGACCAAACTCCCGCAACTGTAACCTATTAGAGTACACGGACGGTTGCCTTGCACACGTTGTTCTAATACGTCAGCCATTACGATTCCCGCCTTTGCCGACCGATCAGCCACGATTTGCCAGGGATTATCAATAACGTCAGATACTTTTAATAACGTAGCCGGCAAGCTGACGGCAGCTGTTTGACTAGGTATTAAATAAATTGTCAAAGCATGATCAAGAGTAACGATATTACCGAAAAAGGCATGCAAAGCCGTCTTTTTAGCCACCTCTAACCCGGCGTAACGTATAGCATAAGTGGTGATGAACCGCTTAAATGCAGTGCCAAGATCGAATAATGCGTCCTTCTCATATTTAAGGCAGTATATGTCGTTGACAGTCTTGGATTCATGAAAGGCATCCTCCCATGGGGTCTGGCATTAAACAGTATGAGATAAAGCGATTATGAATAGCAACCAAACCTTTCTACGTACCTGGGTTTCATCTTTGCTCTCCAACAGAAATCCAGAAATACAAATCTTGCACTATAAAAAATTAATATCAATATAAAGTGACCCAGGTCAACCCGTAAGCCTTACCTGCAATGCGGGTATAGGCGGTAAATCAGCGTCATTCAATATTTGCTTAAACTCGAATTCATGTAACCCTTTCATTCGTCGATGCATCTTCCAGCCTAAGTCACCGTTCAATATTTCACGAAATGTCCTTTTGAATGAATCCAAGAGCGGGGGAAGGGGTACTAAAAAAGAATAGAGCCATACCTGTCAAACCGCCACCTACATAGTACGCACAATGTAAGTACCATACCATGGCAGATAATGTTGAACATAGTCTACTTACCTGTTAAACCAAACAAGCTCGTGACGAGAGCAACTCCTCCAGCGGTTGCAAAAAAGGTAGCACCAGTTAATCCTGTAAAAAATGGCGTCAGCTGCGATCACGAAAAGCAAACAACAGAAAGTGGTATTTACCAGCGATCAAAGGTGCGAGAAGAGGCGCTGCCAGTCCCCCGGTCAACGCTGTAAACCGGATTAGCATGTTAATCATTCGTTAACACTTTCTTCTTACCTATGATAGCTCCTCCACCGAGAACGCCTGCACCGGTAGCAAGCCATCGCATGGCTTTCTTTTTGCTGTTTGTAGTTTGAATCGTATGCCGAGCTGAAGCATCCATTTTTGCTGTGCGCCCTTCATGTGAGGATTGACCGTCGAGACTGTTCTGCTGAATTGCAAAATACATCTGCTGGCTGATACTTCTTTCAACCGCGGTCATATCATAAGGTTGCAGTCCGAGTTGACGAGTCATTTCAAAGAGAAACCGACGCGCCCGCGCATCATATGTTATGGTGAGATTATCGGACGACGATTTTCTACAATGTCATGGTATGAACATCGAAAATATTGATACAGTAGAATTTTTTGATGACAAACATAGGATCATCGCTGGTTTTATCGAGGTTCATGGAAACTGCCAATAGGTCGATCAGTATGGCAATACGGATATCCTTTTTATCGCTGAGGATTGCCACAGCAGTATCATGGTCCAGTGGTCTAGCAACTGTAAAAATGTTACCAAGACTATCTTATTTCAAGAACCAGGTTACTACTAACCACAATCGCTTTGCGATAAATTCATATAGGCAAGCATTCGCGACCACCATGCTCGACCCCAACTCGGCAGCACGATCGGTTCCACTACAGTCAATGCTTCGCCTGCCAAGCGAGCAATGGCTAGCTTTTGGTTCATATCCCACTCTTGTACAGATAGCATAATTGACGATAGGTTTTGCTCTGTCATTACGGTTGCAAGTGAACGGAGACGATGATCGATGGCGATTACTGCTGCGTGTAATATCCGAAGTGATCTTATCCAATGACACAATTCGCGCGATGGCGGATATTGAAATCCTCACACTAAAAATGCCATTGTTGATGGAACGAATGCCAAACATGCGATACAACCTCATCTCAGCTAATAACGCTAACAATAAGCTTTTTCTTTTCTCATATCTTTCCAAGTTAAAGGTTTGAAATAATTTACCAATTCGAGGGGGAGGGGGCGGAGGAATCTTTTTTGAGAAGGGGAAAGGGAAATTAAAAAATGATGCAAGAAAGATAATTGCCAGAAGTGGTACCGTACGCGCGTGAGTATCACATCTTTGGTTTTTCGTTCCTTCAACTTGGTATTACTGAGCACAATTTGATAGCTCTGTAGTCTCTTCCCGCCAAAAAAAGGAAGAATCAGAGGACTCGTTGACGTGTCCGACTATATTGATACAGTGATATTTTCGCCGCAATGGCTGAAGAATTACATTATATGCAGCATGGATCTCAACCAAAAAAAGAAAAATAAAAAAACAAAAAAAAAATAAAAAAAATAAAAAAAATAAAAAAATAAAAAAAAGCGGAAAGTTGATGTAGGGAAAAGTATTACGTTAAACCATGATCCGCATGTTCCAACCAACTCGAAAAAAAAAAGTAAGCGTTTATTAAATGGGTGGAATGTGGTCCGACTGTGCCGAAATCGCACAGTAAAAACACTCACTTTTCTCAAAACTTAGATAAACAAATGAATGGTCTACTCGTATATAAATCAAAAGCTTAGCATCTTGACTTTTTAGCTCCAGTATTTTCTGGGTATAGGGCTTCTGGTTGTTGAAGTATAGAGTATTTCAAAGCTTTGAGTTTGGGATATTTTTTAAGTGTGCCGATTTCGGCGCAGTTTTTATTTGTCTCTCCCACTTTTTTTTTAGAGTCCTACTTCAAAATGTGTCAGCTTAGACAAAAAAGTATCTTGATTTCTACCATAATACCTCACGATTATTCGTTATTGATGTGTACTAAGAACCAATCAATACAAAGGCCCTTCGAAATGTCACAAAGCAAGGTTTTTGTGTCCGCCGGTGGTAGAACTTGCAGCGTTTTCTTTTATAAAGCTTAACGTCTTCAAAAAAATAGGAAGAAAACGAACTATCAAATGTTACTTCTTGGCAGATTATTAGTCAGGTAATGTGGCAGTGACCGCGTCGAACATCTTCGTTATTTCGTGTCTCAACTTTAGAATAAAATACCTGTCTGCCGCTTCACTCTTTTCTGCGCGCTGTTTTTACGTTTGTTGTTTCTCTCGTGTCGAACAACTGGACATTTTTTTCCATTGATCCCTGGACGAATAATAGCCTGCAACAGATGTGTGTTCGCTCACCTTTGGTACGAGATATTTTTACTTTACCTTTTAAAAAAAATGACAAAAAGAGAATACTTCATGGAATAAAATTAAGGGTATCTCTCTATCCTTAGTCTAAGTTTGTGGTGATGTTTATAACGTCCGCAAACCCATTGTAGCCAAAAAAAAAAAAAAAAGAAAGGCACTGATTGGTTGAAAAATAATTCATACTCCCCTTCGCCGGAGGCAAAAAATGATTCCTGCCAGATTCGAACTGGCGACCGTCTGTGTGTTAGACAGACGTGATAACCAACTACACCAAGGAATCGTTCCGTTAGAACCGCCAAGCGAAATCGAGCATTTCCGTCCCGCGATTCCACCATCAGGCCACCTGCTTAAAACATATTCCTTAAACAAACGGCGCCGGTCATCTCTGCTTCCGCTACGCATTTCTCGCCTACCTATTCAAAAACGCACCCGAACCACACTTCCTGAACTCATTACTCCATCCACTGAACGCGAACCTCAGATGGGTGCGATAAAAACAAACAAAAAAATAGAAAAAAGCCAAGAACCGGCTGGGATGGCCAAATCTCTTAAAATTTTTTCACCCAGTGCCCTGAAAAAACTGAACTCCGATTTTGAGGCCTTGCGCCACACTACCCTCAAGTGTCCGAAATGTCTTGCGCTTGGCCACATCAACAAAAATGGCCACAGCAAAACTGATCCCGCAATGCCACTTTTTCTCTGTCGATGTGGACACCGCTTTGGTCATATCGATATGCAATTTCTTATCGACCAACATCGTGGTCGCGCCGACTCCGCTTTGCTACCATTGGACTCCCAAATGTCTGATGTGCAACAGGATGGTCCTGTGCCTGACAACGCCTCTGTCACACCTTCTGCCCCTGGTGAATCCTCAGTTTCCCAACCACCACCTGCCCTTCGTTTCGAACACCATGAAGCCCTACCAGAATTCATGACGACCATCATGGCTGAACTTAACCAGCTTCGCAGCCGCATGGATCAGTACGACGAACTGATCGCCGAAAACCAGCGATTGAAACAATCATTGGCTGCCGCTGAAGCCAAAATCGCCCAGCTCGAGACTCAGCGCTCACCTCCCACTCCTTCTGGTGCCATGGCATCTAAATATGCTCATGAGAATGATTCGACTCCCGCTCCAACCACCACCTCACCTTCTGACGAAGACACTTGGGCAAAGCGTGTTCAGCGCGCCAAAAAACTAAAGGTGTCCCCCAAACGCATGGCAACCCTCGCTCGAGCCTTCACCCCCACTAGCGAAACTCATGGTTTCCAGTATGTGTACATTCCCAGCAAGTTCCGCATGAAAACCAAGGCACTTCGCCAAACTCTCCGCACTCTCGGTTTTGACAATTCCCGAATCCTTGATGTCCACTATCCGGACCGTCAGGTGGTCGCCTTGCTCATCCACAATGACTACCATGATACACTGGTTGCCTCTTTTGCTCGTCACAACATTAACCCACTCAAGGACTTCAACCCCCGCGACCCATCACACTTGCGTGACCCCAAGTTTGTTGGTCTGTCCTTAGAAGATCGCCAGCGTGAAGCCAATCAGATCCATCTTCAACGTCTCGAACGCGCACTCCAGTTCATTCGTGAACCTGTCAAATTCGCTGTCGCTCGCTCCTTCCACAGCCAACAGTGGATTGATGATGATATGCTTCGCTTCTTCCTCCAATCGCGCACCCAACCCACTAACACTGGCCTCACCAATCCTTTCGGTACCAATGATATTGAAGATGAACACATGAATCTCAATAACAGCACTCCCACCAGCACCTCTACCCCTGAAAACTCTCATCAATGAATGATCCTATAACTATCACTTTATGGAATGCCAACGGGCTCCAAAGACACCTCATTGATAACCTCCTCTCCTTTACATCTGATTCCTCACTCATTTTCATAAGTGAAACCTGGCTCCTCTCACCACACTCATTTCCCACCCATTGGACCCAACACCATAATTATGGCCAACGCCTCCCCAATGCCTACGTTGGTAATCTAGGCATCTCACTCCTTGTCAACCCTTCCTTTCCCTATCCCATCACAATCCTTCCGATCACCTCACCCTATGTCCTCTCATGTATTACCGCCGATCATCTAATCCATTGTTTGTACCTACCTCCATCACTCTCTAATGCCGATTCCCTCACCATTCTCACTACCCTCCCTTACTCCGCACCTGGCACCACAAATACCATACTGTGCGGCGATTTCAATGCTCGTATCGGTTCCTTTGTTGGTGACCATAACGTTAATTCCCGCGGCACTTTATTTTTAGAATGGATCCATGAACATGGACTTACATTATGGAACGCTTCCCTGGCCTATGCCCAACCTACCTACCTTCGTGGTAACGGATCTAGTATCATTGACTGGTTTCTAAGTACCCAACCGCTCCTTACCCCATCCATACACATCGATCATGACGTTTCCCTAGGTTCCGATCATAAACTCTCTCATCTCACGTTTATTTCCACTATGCCTCCTCCTCCACCCGCTACCAACCATCCGCGTCAATTATGGAATCTTAGCAAACTTGCTGACCCTGCCGATCGGGACCGCCTCATTCACTCATTTACCTCCAATGTACGCTCCCTTCGCCATGAACTGATCGCACTTTCCGATTCCCCCACCATTCCTTCCCTTGACTCTCTCCATCATCGCCTATGCGATGCCATTTATTCCTCCCTCGACACCGCTGTTGGCCGACGCAATCCCCCACGACGTTCCTGCAAATGGTTCTGGAATTCACAACTCCAAGATGCCTTTGATTACCGTGAACAGTGCTACCAAAAATGGCGCCGTGCTGAAGGCCTCAGCAAAATGTCCCGCTGGATCGAACACCAAAGAGCCTCTGCCCAATTCCGCCGTTTAGTCAGCCGACGCAAACGACAAACCTGGCGTGAATTTTGTGATAAGCTGACCACTGGCAATTTTAGTGATGCCACTGCCATGATGGGGAAATTACGACGCAATCGTAAAACCACACCTCAGTTCACCGACCCTGCTGGCCCCACTACTGCTGCCAACCGCATTGCTTCTCATCTCGAGCAAGTATATGCTGGTAACCTTCTCGCCCATTCCACTCCTTCCGACGATCCGTCTAATGTTTCCCTTATTCCCTCTTCTCTCGTTTGCCCCATCACTTCCACCCAGGTTGCCGCCGCTATCAAACGCCTTGCCTCCCGAAAAGCTCCTGGTGTAGACCACATTCGCGCTGAGGTACTCCAAGTCCTCATTGATCCACTCTCTCCACTCCTTTCCCACCTTTTTGCACTCTGTTGGAAATGGGGGACTAGTCCCTCTGACTGGCGAGTTGCACAGGCCGTACCGATCTATAAAAAGGGCGATATGACCGATCCAGGAAATTATCGACCCATATGCCTCACCTCCATGTTCCGAAAAATCCTGGAATATTGTCTTATGCCAGAAATCGAACGTATTGCCCCTCCCCTCGACATCGCCCAAGGTGGATTCCGCCCTGCACGTAGTGCAATGGACCAAGCCTTATGTCTCCACGAACTTTCCGTCATCCACCGTACCATTCATGGACAAAGTCCTGTTATCGCTTTTCTAGATATCAAATCTGCCTATGACACCGTTGATCGGAACGTCATATGGCAAGAAATTGAATCTACGGCCCCACCTCCACTCCTTTCTCTCCTCCGTAATTTATTCGACGATGTTTCCATCGAAGTCCTGCTCTCAGGCACCAACTCCTCTCGTTTCCAACCTAAAACCGGTGTCCTTCAAGGTTCCGTGCTCTCTCCATTCCTTTATTCCTTGTACATCAATACCCTCCCTGGTGTCCTCCGTCTTGCCGAAGCATCACTCTTTCCAGATGATGATGACTTTGTTGCTCCTTTCCAATTCCTTGTCCGCGGTCAACGCATCAATTGCCTTTTGTATGCTGACGATGTTGCGATCATTGGTACTTGGAATACCATGCCTACTCTCCTTGCCGCCTGTGAAAGGCATAGCCAACAACTAGGCTATCGATGGAATCCGGAAAAGTGTGTCGTTTTATACGATGGTTCACCTTCGGTTTCCCCCTCCATTCCTTTAACACTTTACAATGTTCCCCTCCAATCCGCCTCCACCTTCAAGTACCTCGGTATTCCTTTCAACAGCCAGGGCTTGATCGATCCGACTCTCCTCATCCACCAGAACAGCAGCGGCGCCTTGGGTACCATGCGTGTCTTACGTGGCCTGGGTGTCAACCCACATGGTTTCTCTCGTTTGCTTTCCGCTCGCTTGTACCAACAATTCGTCCGTCCCAAGTTCGAATATGGCCTTGCCCTTCTTCGCCTTTCTGTGAAACAGCGTATTCAGCTCGATCGTGCTCAAGATCAATGCTTACGCATGATTTTTGGTGGCCATCGCACCGCATCCACAGTTGTTTTCCGTCACTTGACCCGCTTGCCCACAATGGCTGAACGATACAGCATTCTCCAAGCCAAATATTTATTCCGATCTTACCACCTTCCTGACGACAGTCTTTTGAGTGCTCTAAAGCCTCACATTAAACATACTCCACACCTTTGGCCTTCCTACTACAGGAATCAAATCTGGGTTAGCCTCCCTCGACCCCGCTCTCACACGTCTGCAAAAGACTTTAAATCCGCCCTCTGGACGTTCCTTCAAGACACTTTCCAGCATCGGCTGGATAGTCGTAACAGCACCCTCCTTCGCGCCTGCCGTCCCCGTCTGGGCATCGATCCCATCATGTTCCTGCCAATGACCCACCATGAACGAAGTCGTTGCATCCGATGGAGAATGGGTTGGCTTCCTGGCCGCCCTATTACCTGTTGGTGCAAGCATGACCACACAAGCCGGCACCATTTAATCTGGTGTTTGAACATGCACCGTCGTCTCAACGTTCGCAATGATCCTGATCACGCTGATCCACTCTCTTGTATTTTGAACCAGCTCCCAAAAACCCGCCCCACCTCATCCCATCGCATTGCTTACTGGCGCCGTACCTGGCCGATTGTTTGTCAAATCCTCCTTGAGGTAGATCAGGCTTGTCATCCCGATCCTGATTTCATTGCTTACCGTGATCCCGCTCCTGGTTGTTCCCTCGTGAACTGGCTTTTGCCCCCACCTGTTTCTGTTTCTTCGGAATCAGACATTAGCTCCGTTTAGATTTTTTATTTTTTTTATTTTTTACCATGCATTTGTTTCCTTTTTCGTTTTTTCCTGCTGTCTAGTACAGTAGGTTTTTTTCATGACCTATCTCCCCCCTCGATCTGGCGAGAGCAACGTTGCTTCACCCCAGAAGTCTGTGCTCGGCTTCGCCTCGCTTTAATAAAACTTTCATCTACACCAAGGAATCACTGGTTATTCCGTTATTCATCACTTTTCTCGTGGATAAACGTTTAACCGGATTTAGTAATTACCTTGACAACTAGAGAGAAAGACACAACAACCGAACCTCCCAATATCCTACCTCCAACGCACTGCCCACCACCAGCTGCGCAAGATCTATTAGAACCGCAGAGCGAAATAGTGCATTTCTGCCCCGCGATTCCAACATCTGACCACCTGCTTAAAAAATATTCTTTGAACAAACGACGCAGGTCATCTCTGCTCCCGCTCCGCATTTCACGCTTACCAATTCACAAACGTACCCGTACTACTTTTCCTGAACTCCTTACTTCATCCACCGAACGCCAACCTCAGATGGGTGCGATAAAAAGCAACAAAAAAATAGAAAAAGCCCAAGACCCGGCTGGAGTGACCAAATCCCTTAAAATTTTCTCACCCAATGCCCTGAAAAAACTCCACTCCGATTTCGAGATCTTGCGCCACACTGCTCTCAAGTGCCCGAAATGCCTGGATCTTGGCCATATCAACAAGAATGGCCATACTAAAACGGAGCCACCCATGCCCATCTTCCTTTGCCGCTGTGGATATCGCTTCGGCCATATCGACATGCGATTTCTCATCGACCAACACAATGGTCGTGCTGCCTCTGTCTCTGCCTTGCTCCCCAAGGATTCCAAAATGACCGAAGCTGAACAGGCTTCTGTGCCACCTTCTGCTCCCAGTGAAACTCCGATTTTCCAGCCGCTGTCTGCTCTGCGTTTTGAACACCATGAAGCCTTGCCTGAATTTATGACCACTATCATGGCTGAACTTAATCAAATGCGCACCCGCATGGACCAGTATGATGCACTAATTGCTGAAAATCAGAGATTGAAAAAGTCATTGGCTGCTGCGGAAGCCAAAATCGCCCAACTTGAAGCTCAGACCTCTTTCCCTGCTCTGTCCGGTGCCATGGCATCGAAATATGCCCATGACACCATTCCGCCGCCCACCCCTGCCGCCCCCGCGACTGATGACACATGGGCTAAGCGTGCGCAACACGCAAAAAAACCCAAAGTGTCCCCTAGGCGCATGACCACACTCGCCCGAGCTTTTGCCCCCACTAGTGAAACTCACGGATTTCAGTATGTGTACATCCCCAGCAAATTCCGTATGAAGACCAAGGCCCTTAGACAGACCTTACGTACGCTTGGTTTCGACAATTCTCGAATCCTTGATATCCACTATCCAGACCGTCAGGTCGTTGCTCTGTTGATCCACAACGACTATCACGATACGCTGCTTGCTTCCTTTGCCCGTCACAACATCACCCCAATCAAAGACTTCAATCCCCACGATCAATCGCGTCTGCGTGATCCCAAGTTCAATACTTTATCCTTGGAAGACCGTCAGCGTGAAGCCGATCAGATCCACCGCCAACGGCTTGAACGCGCTCTCAAGTTCATTCGTGAACCTGTGAAATTTGCTGTCGCCCGCTCCTTCCACAGCCAAAAGTGGATTGATGATGATATGCTCCGTTCCTTTTTACAATCCCGTACCCAGACAGAATCCAATGCTGCCACCTCCACCATTCCTTTCCGCACCACGGATGATGATGATGACAAGATGATTCTTTCTGGCAATAATTCCACCAGCACCTCCCAACACGAAAAATCTGATCAATGAGTGACCCTTTAACGATTACTCTATGGAATGCCAATGGGCTCCAACGACACCTTATTGATAACCTTCTCTCCTTTACCTCAGATTCCTCACTCATCTTTATTACCGAAACTTGGCTTCTCTCACCACACTCATTTCCCACCCACTGGACCCAACACCATAATTATGGCCAACGCCTTCCCAATGCCTACGTTGGTAATCTGGGTATCTCGCTCCTTATCAATCCTTCCTTTCCCTATCCCATCACAATCCTTCCGATCACATCACCCTATGTCCTTTCCTGTATTACCGCTGACCATCTCATACATTGTTTGTACCTTCCTCCCTCTCTCTCTTCTGCCGACGCTCTCACTATCCTTAACAACCTCCCTTTCTCCGCACCTGGCACCTCAAATACCATACTGTGCGGCGACTTCAATGCTCGTATCGGTCCCTTTGTTGGTGACCATAACACTAATTCCCGCGGCACATTATTTTTGGAATGGATACATGAACATGGTCTTACCCTATGGAATGCCTCACTGGCTTACGCTCAGCCCACCTACCTCCGCGGTAACGGATCTAGCATCATTGACTGGTTTCTCAGCACCCACACACTCCTTACACCTTCTATGCATATTGACCACGATATTTCCTTGGGCTCCGATCACAAACTTTCCCACCTTACCTTTATCCCATCAGCACCTCCTCCTTCCTCTGCCATCCCACATCCACGTCAATTATGGAACCTCAGCAAACTCGCTGATCCCACTTACCGCGACCGCCTCATCCACTCCTTTACATCGAACATACATTCCCTACACCATGACCTGATCGAACTCTACGATTCTCCCACCGCTCCTTCTCTTGATCGCCTCCACCAACGTCTCTGTGATGCAATTTATGCTTCCTTAGACACCACCGTTGGCCGCCGCACCCCTCCTCGAAGATCTTGTAAATGGTTTTGGAACTCACAACTTCAAGACGCATTCGACTATCGTGAATCCTGTTACCAGAAATGGCGCCGCGCCGAAGGTGTTAGCAAAATGTCCCGATGGATCGACCATCAACGAGCCTCTGCCCAGTTCCGCCGTTTAGTCAGCCAACGCAAGCGACAAACCTGGCGTGAATTTTGTGACAAGCTGACCACTGGCAATTTTAGTGATGCTACTGCCATGATGGGGAAATTACGGCGCAATCGTAAAACCACCCTTCAGTTCACAGACCCTGCTGGCCCCACAACTGCCGCCAACCGCATCGCTTCTCATCTCGAGCAAGTATATGCTGGTAACCTTCTCGCCCATTCAACTCCTTCTGGCGATCCGTCTCATTTTTCCCTTGTTCCCTCTTCCTCCATCTGCCCCATCAATTCCACCCAGGTTGCCGCTGCTATCAAACGCCTTGCCTCCCGAAAAGCACCTGGTGTAGACCACATTCGCGCTGAGGTACTCCAAGTCCTCATTGATCCACTCTCTCCACTCCTTTCCCGCCTTTTTGCACTCTGTTGGAAATGGGGGACTTGTCCCTCTGACTGGCGAGTCGCACAGGCTGTACCCATCTACAAAAAGGGCGATATTACCGACCCAGGAAACTATCGACCCATCTGCCTCACCTCCATGTTCAGAAAAATTCTTGAATACTGTCTTATGCCCGAACTGGAACGCATTTCGCCTCCCCTCGATATCGCCCAAGGCGGATTCCGACCAGCACGTAGTGCAATGGATCAAGCCTTATGCCTCCACGAGCTTTCTGTCATCCACCGAACCATCCATGGACAAAGTCCTGTTATAGCTTTCCTAGATATCAAATCTGCCTATGACACCGTTGATCGGAACGTCATATGGCAAGAAATTGAATCTACGGCCCCACCTCCACTCCTTTCTCTCCTCCGTAATTTATTTGACGATGTCTCCATCGAAGTCCTGCTCTCAGGCATCAATTCCTCTCGTTTCCAACCTAAAACCGGTGTCCTCCAAGGTTCCGTGCTCTCTCCATTCCTTTATTCCTTGTACATCAATACCCTCCCTGGTGTCCTCCGTCTTGCCGAAGCATCACTTTTTCCCGATGATGATGACTTTGCTGCTCCCCCACATTTCCTTATCCGCGGTCAACGCATCAACTGCCTCCTGTATGCCGACGATGTAGCGATCATTGGTACTTGGAATACCATGCCTACTCTTCTTGCTGCCTGTGAAAGGCATAGCCAACAACTAGGCTATCGCTGGAACCCCGAAAAGTGTGTCGTTGTATACGATGGCTCTCCTTCGGTTCCTCCCTCCATTCCTTTAACTCTTTATAATATTCCCCTCCAAACCGCTTCCACTTTCAAGTACCTCGGTATTCCTTTCAACAACCAGGGCTTGATCGATCCGACTCTCCTCATCCACCAGAACAGCAGCGGCGCCTTGGGCACCATGCGTGTCCTACGTGGCCTGGGTGTCAACCCACATGGTTTCTCTCGTTTGCTTTCCGCTCGCTTGTACCAACAATTCGTCCGTCCCAAGTTCGAATATGGCCTTGCCCTTCTTCGCCTTTCTGTGAAACAGCGTATTCAGCTCGATCGTGCTCAAGATCAATGCTTGCGCATGATTTTTGGTGGCCATCGCACCGCATCCACAGTTGTTTTCCGTCACTTGACCCGCTTGCCCGCAATGGCTGAACGATACAGCATCCTCCAAGCCAAATATTTATTCCGATCCTACCACCTTCCTGACGACAGTCTTCTGAGTGCTTTCAAGCCTCACATAAAACATACTCCGCACCTTTGGCCTTCCTACTACAGGAATCAAATCTGGGTTAGCCTCCCTCGACCCCGCTCCCACACGTCTGCAAAAGACTTTAAATCTGCACTCTGGACCTTCCGTCAAAACACTTTCCAGCATCGGCTGGATAGTCGTAACAGCATCCTTCTTCGCGCCTGTCGTCCTCGTCTAGGCATTGATCCCATCATGTTCCTACCAATGACCCGCCATGAACGAAGTCGCTGCATCCGATGGAGAATGGGTTGGCTTCCTGGCCGCCCTATTACCTGTTGGTGCAAGCATGATCACACAAGCCGGCGCCATTTAATCTGGTGTTTGAACATGCACCGTCGTCTCAACGTTCGCAATGATCCTGATCACGCTGATCCACTTTCTTGTATTTTGAACCAGCTCCCAAAAACCCGCCCCACCTCATCCCATCGCATTGCTTACTGGCGCCGTACCTGGCCGATTGTTTGTCAAATCCTCCTTGAGGTAGATCAGGCTTGTCATCCCGATCCTGATTTCATTGCTTACCGTGATCCCGCTCCTGGTTGTTCCCTCGTGAACTGGCTTTTGCCCCCACCTGTTTCTGTTTCTTCGGAATCAGACATTAGCTCCGTTTAGATTTTTTTTTTATTTTTTACCATGCATTTGTTTCCTTTTTCGTTTTTTCCTGCTGTCTAGTACAGTAGGTTTTTTCATGACCTATCTCCCCCCTCGATCTGGCGAGAGCAACGTTGCTTCACCCCAGAAGTCTGTGCTCGGCTTCGCCTCGCTTTAATAAAACTTTCATCTACACCAAGGAATCTTTTTGTTTAAAACCGACTTGAATTATATCATCAAACAGCGCAGCCCGGACCGGATTCTTATGTGATTTGTTGTGGCTGAAGTGCTAGGTGCGGACCGGGACGCCTTGATCTTTTGTACGCTTCGTCGCAAAACAATATCCGGGCTGAGGAGCTTATCCCGACTTCCTGTTCATAGAAAACGTCTTTTGTAAAGGCATGTAGTCAGTTAAGTACATTTGGGGTGGTCCGTATGAAAAGTCATTAGGTGTTTATAACCGTATTAAGTGCAGAAAGAAGATAAATATTGCTAGAGATGAGAATAATGGAATCGATGAGAAAAGATTGACACAGACAACCAAAAACAAGGGATCGAATATAGGTTAATAAAAGGAACAATAACTCGTTGCTTTATTTCAAGCTGGGATTTGCTAGATATTTAATACTATAGTGGATATTCATTGAGTGTATTTCTATAGATGCATATAATTTTCAGTCGATGCCTTCTTCATTTTCTACCGATAAATGAGGCTATATAATTGTTGATTGAGATTTTTTTTTCATTTTATTGTGTGAACTGAAAGGAAAAAGAGAGTTTGCCAGCCGATTAATAAATAATAATGATAAATAATCGAGCAAAGGCGTGAAATAAAGTGAATAAAAAGTGATGATACATCGAATCACTGGAAATGTAGCGGACTGCCGGAGAGTTTACTTAAGCAGAAAGGTGGTGTTTTATCAAATACCAGTATCGCGTTCATTTCAGCCAGGTTACGAATAGCAGATGAAGAAAATGTGAAATTTTGATTTCTGTCATTCGCTTTTAACCAAGCTTATTTTCTCTTCTCTCTCAAACGACCCTTTTGTCTTTTTCTAAAAAGACTAGCCAGATTTTTCAACCTATCATTGAAAAATCACATCCAGAATACACATGCTATGATACATAGGTTTAGAGTTTAATACAGTTACTAAAGAGTATAATAGAAGAATATTAAAGACTTGTACAAAGACACTAATAAGGAGAATTAGCAGCATAATATAAATAGTGAAGTGGTGAATATTTGCACGAATATGTCCTGCAAAATTCGGCGAAACTGTGGATCTATTATGCGTAGTATATGATCCACGTATAAAACCATTGTCTATTGATGCTTCGCATGTTGTGCAGACGTATGACCTGACGGTGATGTGGAGATATTATCCGTTAACGGAGATGGTGTTGAGTTTGTTGTAGGATTTGACAGAGTCTCATTAGTATCATGAGGATCTCGGGGATTTCGCTGCACTGATTCATCGTTTGCAGTGATTGTTGCTGATGTTTCTCTGTGAACCAAATGCTCTGGCGGGCTGCGTTCTGTGCTGTTTTCAGGTGCCTCATGACCAGTTGCTGGCACGGCTGGATTCCCTGCCGGAGGTAAATCGGCGGGTTGGTCCGCCGCCGTTTGTTCTCGTCGTTCTGCCGGCAGACAATCCCATTTACAGATCGGACAGAGAGTGGACTTTTGAGTCAACCAAGGATCTGATGTACTAGTTAGGTATGTTCTCCTACGCGACTGGATAAATTTAATTTTTTAACTTACCGATACACAAGACGCAAAAACCGTGTCCACAAGGTAAAATACGGATATCTGTCTTGTTTTCCACAAAGTCATCGAGGCAAATAACGCAACTGGAGTTCTTCACAGCTTCAATACTGTATTTTGCGGTAGGCAAGGAATTGACGATATCCACAGGGAGAGGATTAGCTTCCGGGCGATTACGTTGTTGCAACACATAAACATTGGCAGCAAATAAAGGATCCTCCATACCCTCCCGCATCCGGCGAATACGCCACCAACGTAAAAACACGATACCTAGGAGATGACGAGTACGTTTAGTAGCTGTTTTTCTGTTGTATCCGTGTTGTTAAAATTACCAATAAGAAAAACGGCTGATAAGGCAATCAAATATGATAAATAATAGGGACCGGTCGTCAGAGCATTAAGTAAGGGGTTTCCATCCTTATTCCCATCGTGGTAACTCTTCAGGTGAACTTGTAGAAGCCAGAATGTTCTTAAATCACCGTGGGTGGAATTTTTTGCCGACACCACCTTGGATAATAAATTTTCACCGTAACTGTTGGAAACAAAGTAAACGGACCGGGACGACGGGTTATCGAGGTCATTGTCGGGCATGTTGGCCGCTAATTGGTCGTGGGGTAATGGGTCTTGATAAGAGCGAAAGGAGACATGGTACGATGGTTGCTCGTAATCAACTGGTCGAGAGGTATTGTAAACATTGTTGTCGTAGATTACTGCATAGGTTACGTTTAGATGGTGGGAATCGGATATGTTGGCTAAAAGTGACATTTTTTCGCTCCATGAACAGTGACCGCGCTTGATGAGAGCGACCTTGTACTTATTCTGGGTAACGGGAAGTGACAGTGCGTAGTTGTTCAGTTCCTGAAGTGAGGAGTAAGATGTATTCGTCGAGGAACAGCAGTACGAGAAATCGAACAGGAGGGATGGATTGGCATGCTCTACAATGGCGTTGGGATTGATCTGAACCGCTTGGAAGTCCTGTGAAAAAACGTATTCCTGGCTCTTGATTTCGGTATCGGTCATGGCGGCTTGAGAGACATTGAGTTCCACATCAGCCTGCCAAAAAGCAGCGTTATCAGGGTCCGCAACAGTTATTGAGCATATATGACCAACAAAAACTAGGAGAAGAGTAATCAATCGTAAAAAAACCATGGGAACTGGTATAGAAGTAATGAAGAAATAAAGATTGCTGGTGTCTCAAAAACCGAAAGGCATTGTATCAAGGCTGGCGACCTTTTTTTTTTTTTTTTCGAAAATTCACAGACCCTTCTTTTTTGCCACAGAACAAATCAGCTCGAACTATCAGAATCAGAGTTGCATCCAAGTTACAGAATTCGGTATCACTACTTCTAAAAAAGGCTATGCATTAAGCTTGATCGAACGGGGTGCTGTTGTCTAATTTCTAGGAGTGCTTGCGTTGAGCAGCCATAAGTTGCCGACCCAAGCACTGTTGCGGTTAAATAATTTGCCTTTGACAAAAAAGATCCAAGGGTTGCTTATTCAGAAAAAAAGTTTCCATACGAAAGCCAATAATTCAAACCCAGAATAATCTGAGCAACCACCAGCGGGCATTGTGCGAGCGCCTGTTTGCGTTGTCGGACAAGAGCAGACAACCTTAACCATTTACAGCGCATGCGCGTATCGCTCGAAGCTTTCGTTTATGAGGACATCTACTATGAATAGACAATGGGCTATTGCATTCATTCATCAAGACTGAGAAATTGTTGGTAAATTGCAAAGTGTTTGAAACGCTTTGTTTCTCAATAACAGAAATGGCAATGAAAGGTAGCAGCAACGATGGCAAAATAGCGCATTTAACCATTCTTACAGGATTGATCCAGGTTATTCAAGAGGTTGTAGCAAGATCAATTGACGCGAAAAGTTGGGAATATATTTTGCAGTGCTTTTTATTTCAATGTAAACAAAAAGCTATCTTTGCATTGAATTGTTACACATTGTTGTTGTTTAAGCTTTTCCGAAAAAGATCAACTACACCACTTTGAAAGTCTTTTTGCAGCGAAACGAAAAAAATAAAAGGCAATGCTAAAATTATATTGATTGAACCGTTCCCCCAGTGGGTTAGAACAATGTTGGAAAGCAAAAAAAAAGAGGGTTGATATCTTTGACTTTGTTTCATGTTTCAGAGAAGAGCTCAGTTTGAAAAAAGTTTTTTTTATTTTTTTCCAGACAATTGTTGAAGACCAGCTTCAGTGAATGACCGTACTGCGGGAATACAATTTTGGGGACAAAGAAAGGTGAGCCAACTTGCAAGGTGAATGAAGGCTGAGTTGAACTGGGTGTCTTTGTCTTGGTAGTTTTTTGGGGTGAAAATCTTGGAAGCAAATATTTTACAATACAATTATACAAACAGGACGTTGTTTTATAGTAGTCACACCGACCACATCCGCCCCTACGAAAAGGCCAAAAATGGGTCGAGATATTAGGAATGGGGGTCTAAAGAAAAAAAAAAAAAAAAAAAAAAAAACTCTTTCAAGCAAGACTTTTGGTGACTCTGCGGTTTCTGTTTTCTTGGTTTTTTGCTCTTTTCTTTTTCAATTTTTTTTTTTTCTTTGTTGGGGGAAAAGACCACTAGACGAATACATAATCATTTAGAGATCATAAAGGCTTTTACATTTGGATACACACACACACACACATACACACACACACATATCCAAGCCTTCCGTTCTCTGTTTTTTATACATTTCATCTGTCTATTACACCCACAAAGGTTTGTAAGCTGGCATTTTTTTGTCAATGTTTGATATTATCGGTTTCTGTGGTTATGAATCATGAGAAAAGGCTAACGATGTCAAACATGATTCCTTTAGATAATTTTTTCACCCTCACTCAAAACTTTCATACATTTATACATCAAAATGGATCAAAAAACCCAACAAGTTTTGCGTCCCTTGTCCGTCAAGCAAAACCAGACCGAAGTCTCGGTCCTCGTTCCCGCCGATATTTGGGTATCTGCCGAGCAATTGAAGGAAGAGTTCCCTACATCAAATGAATCCGAGGAAGTGTCCGAAATAGAGTTGGCCGCACGGTTCATGAACTTTGCAGCTGAACGAGCTGCCAAGGAATCCCAATTTTTACCTGTGGCGAGAACGGTGTTCTTGAATTTCCGGGATCAGTACTTGAAGCAAAACGATGTTCACGCCATCACCCGTTCGTTGGAATCTGAATCCAAGACTGTTGTCATTCAAGCATACTTTACAGCCTTGGTGGTGCTCAAGGAACAACGTGCTTTGACACCCGAGGAAGCGAAACCCGCTCAGTCCGCTTTGTTTGCTGCCGCTGCCCGTGGTGATACTAAAATTTTTGCAATCTTTGGTGGTCAGGGCAATATCGAGGAATATTTTGATGAATTGGCTGATATCTGGACCATCTACCGAGGTCTTGTCCAGCCTTTTGTCGAACGTATGGCTGTAGTTCTCGCCGATTACGCACGTAGCTCCGAAGCTAGTGTCTTCCATTCCAAAGGCTTGGATATTCTTCGCTGGCTCGAAAATCCCGAACAGAGACCCGATCTTCAGTACCTCGTCTCGGCTCCCGTCAGTTTCCCTTTGATCGGTCTTACTCAACTCTTGCATTACTATGTGATGTTGCGTGTGTTGGATCGCTCTCCCGCTGATATCCGACAACTCATTGCAGGTACGTTTTTGGTTTACATCCGCACAATTCCTTTTGTGTTTGGAAGATCGAACTCTTTGACTGATGAATAACCAATTTTTTGTTTTATTAGGTTCTACCGGTCACAGTCAGGGTATTATTTCATCGGTGGTCATTGCTTCTTCCGCTACCGAGGAAGAGTTCATTAGCAATACCGAAAAGGCACTTGGTTTATTGTTCTGGATGGGTACCCGCGCCCAACAGGTGTTCCCTCCTACCACCTTGAACCCCACCGTTCTCGAAGATTCCTTGTTGAATAACGAGGGTACTCCTACCCCCATGTTGGCGGTTACTGGTCTGAGGGAAGCCCAGGTTCTCAAGCATCTCGAGGCTACCAATGCTCATCTTTCGCCCGATCGTCAAATCGAAATCACCTTGCATAATGGACCGCGTTCCTTTGTTTGCACTGGCCCTCCACAATCATTGTATGGTCTCAATCTCAGTTTGCGCAAATTGAAAGCCCCGACCGGCTTGGAACAGTCACGCGTGCCTTTCTCTCAGCGCAAGATCAAGTTTTCATCTCGCTTCTTGCCTATTACCGCTCCTTTCCACAGCACTTATCTTAAGGCTGCTACCCAGATTTTGTTAAGCGATGCCGAGCGCTGCGGTCTTCTTGTAAACGCAAAGGATTTGCAAGTTCCTGTGTATGCAACCGATTCAGGTAACGTATGGGGAGCGGAGTTTATGTTTTGGGTGATGGGGCGTTGGGGCAATATGGCAACCGGATTTACTGACTGACGTGTTACGCAGGCGTTGATCTTCGCGAATCCACCAACCTCACATTGGACCTGATCTCGCTTATCTGTGAACGCCATGTCCATTGGGAAAAGGCTATTGCCCCCAAGGATCTTACTCACATCATCGATTTCGGCCCCGGCGCCACTTCCGGTATCGGTGGCTTGACTCATCGCAACAAGGAAGGAACGGGTGTTCAGGTCATGTTGGCGGGTGCTTTGGAAGGCAATAACCGCGATTTGTCTTACAAGGCCGATTTGTTCGATGCCGACTTGCGTGCTGTCACTTACTCTCAAAACTGGGCCAAGATGTTCCAGCCCCAGTTGGTCAAGACGACATGGTATGTTTGTGCTTCCACAGATCCGATTTTGTACTCTTCTGGGATGTTTACGGTGTACTGATTGATTTTTTTTTTATCGTTTTATCTAGCAACAACCGCATCCATGTTGATACTCGTATGTCCCGTTTGTTGGGTAAGCCTCCGTTGATGGTGGCTGGTATGACTCCCTCGACTGTCAATGAAAACTTCGTTTCCGCTGTGATGAACGCCGGTTACCATATCGAATTGGCTGGTGGTGGCCATTATAACGAAAAGGCCCTTCGCAGCAAGGTCGACAAGATCATGGCTTTGACTCGTCCCGGTGAAGGTATCACCCTCAACATGCTCTTCTTGAACGTTCGTCAGTGGGGATTCCAGTATCCCTTGATTCAAATCATGCGCCAAGAAGGTTTGCCAATGGAAGGTGCTTGTGTGGCTGCTGGTGTTCCCAGTCTTGACGTCGCCAATGAGATTTTGGCCAACTTGCAGGCCGCTGGTATTCGCCACGTTGCCTTCAAGCCAGGTAGCATCGACACCATCCGTCAGGTAATTATTTTCATTCACAGAATTTTTTTTCACATAACTGTATCAGAAGTCTGATAGTAGAGACATGGTCTTTTTTCATTATGTTGAAAAATGCTCACCTTATCATTTGCACAGGTCGTCTCTATTGCTGCAGCCAACCCTACCATGCCTGTTATCATGCAATGGACTGGTGGTCGCGCTGGTGGCCATCACAGTTTCGAAGATATTCATCAACCCATTCTCGAGACCTACGCTTCTATTCGTCGTCAGCCCAACATTGTTCTTGTTGCAGGTTCTGGTTTCGGTGGCGCCGACGATACTCTTCCTTATCTCACTGGTGACTGGTCTCTTAAATTCGACTATCCTCCCATGCCCTTCGACGGTATCCTCTTCGGTTCTCGTATGATGGTTTCCAAGGAAGGTTTGGCCTCCGAAGCTGCCAAGCAAGCTATGGTGGATGCTCCCGGTGTTGACGATGCCGATTGGGAACAAACTTACAAGGGTCCTGCTGGTGGTATCATTACCGTTCGTTCGGAACTTGGTGAACCCATTCACAAGGTCGCTACCCGCGGTGTTCGTCTTTGGAAAGAACTCGACGAAAGCATTTTCAATTTGCCAAAGGACAAGCGTCTTCCTGCTTTGTTGAAGAAGAAGGATTACATCATCAAACGCCTTAATGCTGATTTCCAAAAGGTTTGGTTCGGTAAAAAGAAGAATGGCGATGTCGTTGATCTGCAAGACATGACCTACGCCGAAGTCGTCAACCGCATGGTGGAGTTGTTGTATATCAAGCACGAATGCCGATGGATCGATGTTTCTTTGCGTAACCTTGTCGGTGATTTCTTGCGCCGTATTGAAGAACGTTTCACCACAGAAGAGACTACCTCGAAGCTTCAAAACTTTGCTCAGCTCGATCCTCCCTTCGATTTTGTGGAAGAATTCTTGGCTCAATTCCCCGAAGCTGATGAACAGCTCTTGACCTCTGCTGATGTGTTGCACTTTGTCACTTTGTGCCAGCGCCGTGGCCAGAAGCCCGTTCCTTTCATTCCTGTCATGGATAAGGACTTTGACGTTTGGTTCAAGAAGGATTCCCTTTGGCAATCCGAAGATCTCGCCGCCGTTGTCGATCAGGATGTCCAACGTACCTGTATCTTGCACGGTCCCGTCGCTGCCAAGTATGCTAACCGCATTGATCAACCCGTTGGTGAAATTCTTGGCGATATCTACGAGAGCCACATCAAGAGCTTGAAGGAACGTTACTACAACAACTCTGACGACCAAATTCCTCAGATCGAGTACCTCGGCGGTGTCAAGATCGCCTCTACTCATGTGAAGGAAACCTCCTCTTCCGCTACTGAAAGAGTCTACGAGGTCGGCTCCAAGGTTCCCGAGGAAGATGCTTGGTTCCAGGCCATCAGTGGTCCCAAGTACACCTGGTTGCGCGCTTTGTTGACTTCTACCTTTGTCGTGCAAAGCAAGAAGTTCATTGATAACCCGCTCAAGCGTATCTTCCGTCCCCGTGCTGGTCAAAAGGTGACAGTTTCTTTGAAGGGTGACGAGATCAGTGCTATCAAGGTCGAAGACAAGCGTCTTTGGAGCGCTACCGGAAAGACCAAGGACTTTGTTGTCTCTGTTGAAGCCACCGTTTCCGGCAACAAGATCAGCACCACCTTGTATGAGAAACGCGGTGATGATCTTATTCCTTTGAACTTGCAGTTCGAGTACAAGCCTGAACTCGGCTATGCTCCCATTCACGAGATCATGGAGGTATGTAGCAGGAGCTAACTTTTTTTGCTTCCAACATTGAGATATTCAATTTTTTTTCTATTCCATTTAATAGGGTCGCAACGACCGCATCAAGGAGTTCTACTACAAGTTGTGGTTCGGCAAGGATAACAAGGATGATTTCTTGAGCATTCCTGTGACCGAGAAACTCATGGGCAAGGATGAGGTCGTCAAGGCTGAAGAGATCAAGGAATTCTGCCAAGCTGTCGGTAACCAAGCGGAAATCTACGTTGATCGTGGTCAAAAGGTCAATGCTCCCATGGACTTTGCCATCGTTGTTGGCTGGAAGGCTATTATCAAGGCCATCTTCCCCAAGGTTATTGATGGTGATTTGCTCAAGCTTGTGCATTTGTCCAATGGATTCCGTGTTTTGGAAGGCGGTGATCTTCTTTCCGTTGGTGATGTCGTCGATACGTACGCCGAGATCAATGCCATTGTCAACACCGACTCTGGCAAGCTCATCGAAGTCAAGGGTGTTATCGTCCGTGATAACAAGCCCGTTTTGGAAGTGACTTCCCAGTTCTTGTACCGCGGTCAGTTCGATGACTTTGAACACACTTTCGAGCGCAAGATGGAGACTCCTATGGAAGTCAAGTTGAACGCTGTTAAGGACATCGCTGTTTTGAAATCCAAGAAGTGGATCGAATGGACCGAGGAATTGGACAACTACGAGTTGGCTCCTGGCTCCTCCCTTATCTTCCGTTTGAACACCGAACTCAAGTATAAGAACAAGAAGGTGTTCTCCAGTGTCAAGACAGTCGGTACTGTGACCATGCAGGTCTCCACCAAGGAATTTGTCGAAGTTGGCAAAGTGTCCTACGAAGCTGGTGAGAGCCATGGCAACCCTGTTATTGAATACTTGAAGCGCAACGGTCAAGAGATCGAACAGGCTCATTTCTTCGAAAATGGTGGTTACTCTGTCATGCCTAGCCAATCCACTTACTCGTCGGTCGTGCATGCTCCCGCATCCAACGAACCCTATGCCAACGTTTCGGGTGATTTCAATCCTATTCACGTCAACCCTTACTTTGCTGATCTCGCTTTGCTTCCTGGTACCATTACTCACGGTATGTGGACCAGCGCCTCGACTCGCAAGTTTGTCGAAATTTTCGCTGCCGACAACGCCCCTCGTCGTGTGGTCGCTTATGACGTCAAGTTTGTTGGTATGGTCTTGCCCTCTGATCGTCTCGAAACCAAGTTATCCCACACTGGTATGAAGAATGGTCGCAAGATCATCAAGATCGAAACCGTGAACCAGAACAACGAAAAGGTGGTTGAAGGCACGGCCGAAGTCGAACAGCCTGTCAGTGCTTATGTGTTCACTGGTCAAGGTTCTCAAGAACAGGGTATGGGTATGGCTTTGTACGCTAGCTCTCCTGTTGCCAAGAATATCTGGGACAGAGCCGATAAGCATTTCATGGAAAACTACGGTTTCTCCATCTTGGAAATTGTGCGCGAAAATCCCAAGGCCAAGACGGTGCACTTTGGTGGTCCCCGCGGTCAGAAGATTCGTAACCAATACATGAGCATGTCGTACGATGTCGTCGATGCTGACGGTAGCATCAAGACTTTGCCTTTGTTCCCTACCATCACCGAACGTACTGCTTTCTACACTTTCCGATCGCCCACTGGTCTTTTGTCGGCTACTCAGTTCACTCAGCCTGCTTTGACCCTTATGGAAAATGCCGCTTTCGAAGACATGCGCTCGAAGGAATTGATCCAAGCCAACTGTGCTTTCGCTGGTCACTCTCTTGGTGAATATGCCGCATTGGCTTCCGTCGGCGATGTCTTGCCTTTGGAATCTTTGGTGGATGTCGTTTTCTATCGTGGTATGACCATGCAATCTGCTGTGAAGCGTGATGCTGAAGGTCGCTCCAACTATGGTATGGCTGCCGTCAACCCTGCCCGTGTCTCCAAGTCTTTCAATGACACCGCCTTGCGTTACGTGGTTGATTCGATTGCTCGCCAGAGTGGCGATGTTTTGGAAATTGTCAACTTCAACGTCGAAAACTGGCAATACGTCGCTGCCGGTTCCATCCCCAACTTGGATGTGCTTACGAATGTACTCAACTATTTGAAGGTCTCCAACATTGACTTGCAGAAATTGATGGAAACCATGCCTCTTGAAGATGTCAAGAAGCATTTGTCCGAAATCATCGATGGTGCTTTGGAGCAGACCCAGGCTAAGCAGGCCAAGGGCCGTATCCAACTTGAACGTGGTCACGCTACTGTTCCTTTGCCCGGTATTGATGTGCCTTTCCACTCGTCTTTCTTGCTCAGCGGTGTCGCTCCTTTCCGTACCTATTTGGCCAAGAAGTTCAATCCCACTGATATCGATGTGGCTCAATTGACCGGCAAGTACATTCCTAACTTGACCGCCCAGCCTTTCAGTACCAAGAAGGAGTACATTGAAAGTGTGTACAACTTGACTTCCAGCCCTCGTCTCGGCAAGGTGTTGAAGAACTGGAGTGATGACAAGTACGTCTCGGCTGCTCAGCAACAACGTCTTGGTTACACTTTGCTCGTTGAATTGTTGGCTTATCAATTCGCTTCGCCTGTTCGTTGGATCGAGACTCAAGATCAACTCTTCAAGCACTTCAAGATTGAACGTCTCATCGAAGTGGGTCCTGCTCCTACTCTCAGTGGCATGGCTACACGTACTCTCAACCTCAAATATCAGGCATATGATAACGCTCTGAGCAACAGACGTCAGAACTTGTGTATCGCCAAGGATTCCAAGGAGATTTACTACGAGTTTGAAAACGCTGCCGAGGAAGAAGCTGCTGGTGATTCTGCTGCTGCTGCTCCCAGCGCCTCTGCTCCCGCACCGGCTGCTGCAGCTGCTGCTCCCGTTGCCGCTCCCGTTGCCGCTCCCGCGGCTTCTGCTGGACCTGCTGCACCTTTGAGGTACGTCATTTAAGTATACTTTATTTTTGCCTTTCGCAATTGCTAATTCAGTTTTATTCTTGTTTAGTGATGCGCCTGTCACGGCCATGGAAGTCATTCACGTGGTGATTGCTCAAAAGTTGAAGAAGACCGTGGATGAAGTTCCATTGTCCAAATCGATCAAGGATTTGGTTGGCGGCAAATCCACTTTGCAGAACGAAATCCTCGGTGACTTGCAGAAGGAATTCGGTAATGGCGTTCCCGAGAAGGCTGAAGAGACTCCTTTGGATGAACTCGGTGCTTCGCTCGATGGCTCTTTCAGCGGTACTCTTGGTAAACACTCCAGCTCCATGGTGGCCAAGATGATCTCCAGCAAGATGCCCGGTGGTTTCACCTTGGCTAATGCTAAATCTTACCTTACTGCTTCTTACGGTCTCGGTCCCGGTCGCATCGACGGTGCTTTGTTGATGGGTCTTACCATGGAACCTGCTGCTCGTTTGGGCGCCGAAGCCGATGCCAAGGCTTGGTTGGATTCCGTTGCTCAGGCTTATGCCAAGAAGGCCGGTGTTTCTTTGAATGCTCCTGGTGCTGGTGCTGCTGGCGGTGCTGCTGGCGGTGCTGTGGCTGTCATCAACTCTGAAGAGTTCGATGCTCTCAAGGCCAAGCAAGATAATCTCATTTACCAGCAGCTGAACTTGTATGCTCGCTACTTGCAGAAGGACCTCCGCGATGGTCACAAGAAGTATGAAGAAGAAAAGACCATGACTGCCAAGTTGCAAGCTGAGCTCGATCAATGGCTCATTGAACACGGTGATATCTACGCTGAAGGTATCAAGCCTGTCTTCACTCCTTTGAAGGCTCGTCGCTACGACTCGTACTGGAATTGGGTCCGCCAAGATGCTCTCGAGATGTGGTACGATATTATCTTTGGCAAGTTGGCCATTGTTGATCGTGAAGTTACTGCCAAGTGCTTGCGTATCATGAACCGTGCTTATCCTCAATTGGTTGACTACATGCGCTACAACGTCGAAAACTGCGCTGGTGACAAGGGTGAAACCTACCGTTTGGCTAAGGAACTCGGCCAAGCTCTCATTGAGAACTGTGTCGAAGTACTCGCTGAAAGCCCTGTTTACAAGGACGGTAAGTTGCGACAATTGAATGATTCAGTGCGAATGTATATATACTCATATGATTTTCGTTGTATTTTTTTTTATAGTTGCCTTCCCCAAGGGTCCTAGCACGACTGTGACTGAAAAGGGTGACATCCTTTACAAGGAAGTTCCTCGTCCTGGCTGCCGCAAGTTGGTGCACTACGTCAAGGATATGACTCAAGGCAGTCACTTGTCTGAATATTCTAACCGCCTCAAGGTGCAACAAAACTTGGGTCGTATCTATAAGATCATCCGCAGCCAGAACAAGATGAAGAAGACCACCAAGGTCGCTATCAAGGAACTTTACAGCGATGTTCTCCGCTCCATGGCCATGTCCAGTACTATTGTCAAGGAACCCCGCAGCCGTCAACGTCGCTTGTCCAGCACCACCGGCCGTATCCCTGATCGCAAGCGTGTGTCTGCCAAGCAAGCCAAGTCGGAAACCATCCCCTTCTTGCATCTTAAGAAGAGAAACGAGAACGATCCTACTGGCTGGGAATTCAGCAACCGTTTGACCAGCACTTACCTTGATGTGCTTAACGAAATTGCTGAGCAAGGTATCACTTTTGCCGACAAGTGTGTCTTGGTTACTGGTGCTGGTAAGGACTCGATTGGTGCCGAAGTCCTCAAGGGTCTCGTGTCCGGTGGTGCCAAGGTTATCGTGACCACTTCGCGCTTCAGCCGTCAAGTCACTGAATACTTCCAAGGTATCTATCAAGCCTACGGTTCCCGTGGTTCCGAATTGGTTGTTGTTCCCTTCAACCAAGGTTCCAAGCAAGATGTCGAAGGTCTTCTCGACTACATTTACGATGTCAAGGGCTTGAACTGGGATCTCGACTTTGTCATTCCTTTCGCCGCTATTCCCGAGAATGGTCGTGAAATCGATTCCATCGACTCCAAGTCCGAATTGGCTCACCGTATCATGTTGACTAACCTGTTGCGTCTTTTGGGTGCTGTGAAGACTCACAAGCAAGCCATTGGCTCCGACACTCGTCCTGCTCAGGTTATCTTGCCATTGTCTCCTAACCACGGTACCTTCGGTGCTGATGGTCTTTATGGTGAATCCAAGATTTCTCTTGAAACCTTGTTCAACCGTTGGTTCTCTGAAAGCTGGTCCAGCTATCTTGTGATTGCTGGTGCTGTCATCGGGTACGTATTTTCATCTGTCTTTTGTCATTTGCTTTTGTGGTGCTAATTTTTCAAACTTTTTTTTACAGCTGGACTCGTGGTACCGGTTTGATGAGCGCCAACAACATGGTTGCTGAGGGTATCGAAGCTTTCGGTGTTCGTACTTTCTCCACTGTCGAGATGTCGTTCAACATTTTGGGTCTTATGCATCCCAGCATTGTTGAACTTTGTCAGAACGAACCCGTCTGGGCCGATCTCAACGGTGGTCTTCAGTTCATTCCCAACTTACAAGAAGTCAGCAACAACTTGCGTCAACAAATCCGTGAAACTGCTGAAATTCGTAGCGCCGTTGCTGCTGATAACGCTTTGGATTTCAAGATTGTTTGCGGTGAGGAAGCCGAGCGCAAGAACAAGCCTCACAAGGTCACTCCTCGTGCCAACATGAAGTTCGATTTCCCCAAGCTCAAGCCCTATGAAGCTCTCAAGCACTTGAATCATCTCAAGGGTATGCTCGATCTTGAGAAGGTGATTGTCTGTACCGGCTTCGGTGAAGTGTCTCCTTGGGGTAACGCCCGTACCCGTTGGGAGATGGAAGCCTATGGCGAATTCTCGTTGGAAGGCTGCATTGAAATGGCCTGGATCATGGGTTACATCAAGCATCACCACGGTAACTTGAAGAACGTTCCTTACTCTGGCTGGGTGGACGCCAAGACCAACGAACCCGTCGAAGACAAGGATGTCAAGGCCAAGTACGAGAAGCAGATCTTGGAACACTCCGGTATCCGTTTGATTGGTAAGTATAGTTGGTTATACGCCATGGATGATTTCAGTAAAAGTTAATGGTGATAAAATATAGATCCTACTGTGATGCGCGGCTACGATCCCGAGAAGAAGATGTTGATGCAAGAAATCGTTGTCGACCACGACTTGGAGCCTTTCGAATGCAGTCAAGAAGAAGCTCAGCAGTTCAAGCATCAGCAAGGTGACAAGGCCGATATCTACGAATCTACTACTGGTGACTGGATTGTGGTTCTCCGCAAGGGTGCCACTCTTTATGTGCCCAAGGCTCTTCGTTTCGACCGTCTCGTTGCCGGTCAAATTCCTACTGGCTGGGATGCTGCTCGCTATGGTGTTCCCAAGGACATCATTGATCAAGTGGATCCTGTGACATTGTTCAACCTCGTTTCTACGGTGGAAGCCTTTGTTTCTTCTGGTATCACTGATCCCTATGAGTTCTACAAGTACGTCCACGTCTCCGAAGTGGGTAACGTTACTGGTTCCGGTGTCGGTGGTCAGCTTTCTCAGCGTGCTTTGTTCCGTGATCGTCTCCTTGACAAGCCTGTCCAGAAGGATGTCCTTCAAGAATCTTTCATTAACACGATGGCTGCCTGGATCAACTTGTTGTTGCTTTCTGCCTCGGGTCCTATCAAGACGCCTGTCAACGCTTGTGCCACTTCTGCCGTTTCGGTTGAATTGGCTGTCGACTCTATTCTGAGCGGCAAGGCCAAGATCATGATTGCCGGTGCTACCGAAGACATTACCGAAGAATCCAGCTATGAATTTGCCAACATGAAGGCTACCTCGAACGCTGTCGATGAAATGGAACATGGCCGTACTCCTGCTGAGATGTCTCGTCCTGCTACTACCAGCCGTAACGGTTTCATGGAAGCCCATGGTGCTGCTAATCACATCTTGATGACGGCTGCCACTGCTCTTGAAATCGGTGCTCCCATCTATGGTATTATTGCCTTGACCAACACTGCTTCCGACAAGGAAGGCCGATCCGTGCCCGCTCCTGGTGCTGGTGTGTTGACCACCGCTCGTGAATCCTCCAAGAATGCTTCGCCCCTTTTGAACATCAAGTACCGTGCTAGACAGCTCAAGTCGCGCCGTGCTCAGATCAAGAGCTGGGTCGAGGGAGAATATGATGCCTTGTATGAAGAGCTCAACGAACTCAAGGCCGCCGGTGAAATCGAAGACGAGAAGGAATGGATTGCCGAGCGCACCACCTTCATCCACAAGGAAGCCAAACGTCAAGAAAAGGAAGCTCTGTCCACCTGGGGCATGAACTTCTATCAACAAGATTCTACCATCGCTCCTCTCCGCGGTGCTCTCGCTGTGTACGGCCTTACTGTTGATGATATCAACGTCGCCTCCTTCCACGGAACTTCCACCAAGGCTAACGACAAGAACGAATCTCGTGTGCTCAATGAACAGCTCAAGCATCTTGGCCGCTCCAAGGGTAACGCTTTGCTTGCCATTACTCAGAAATACTTGACAGGTCACCCCAAGGGTCCTGCTGCTTCCTGGATGGCCAACGGTGTGATGCAGACTCTTTTGAGTGGTATCGTTCCCGGTAACCGTAACGCCGACAACATTGATGAAGTGCTCAAGGAGTTTGAGTACATTGTGTATCCCTCTCGCAGCATTCAAACCGATGGTTTGAAGGCTGGTCTTCTCAAGTCCTTCGGTTTCGGTCAAGCTGGTGGTGAAATTCTTATCATCCATCCCGACTACGTTCTCGCAGCTCTTGAAGAACACGAGTACGAAGCTTACAAGAAGAAGAATGCTCAACGTTACGCTCAGGCTTACCGCTACTTGCACGACTCTTTGACTGGTGTGAATGACTTGATCCAGGTCAAGAATGCTCCCCCATACACCGAAGAACTTGAACACAAGGTCTATCTCAACCCCAACGCTCGTGCCGAGTACTCCAAGGAGAAGAAGACCTGGGAGTTCAGTGCCAAGTCCGCTGCTACCGCCTCTCCCGCTTTTGGCGACGCCGAAACCACTCAAACGGTGTTGAGCTCGTTGGCTGAACAGCAAGCTGGTAAGAAGGGTGTGGGTGTTGACGTCGAACTCACATCGGCGGTCAACATTGACAATGATACCTTTGTGGAACGTAACTTCACCACTGCCGAAATCGAATATTGTCTGTCTCGTCCTGATCCCCAAGCAAGCTTCACTGGTCGCTGGTCTGCTAAGGAAGCCGTCTTCAAGGCTATCTCCTCCTACGGTGGTATTTCCTCGGAAGGTGCTGCTGCTCCCCTCAAAGAAATCGAAATTGTAGCCAACGATGTTGGTGCTCCTGAAGTCAAGTTGTCTGGCAAGGCCCAAGCTGCCGCTCAATCTGCAGGCATCAACTCTGTCAACGTTTCCATCAGCCATAGTGGGGCCTACAGCGTAGCCGTTGCATTGGCTCAGTAAATTCCTTTAATTTTCTCTTATCTTTTTTTTGCATCTCTTATTTTTCTTCTTCTTATATCTCTTCTAGTCTTATAGTGTGTGTTTCTCTTTCTCTTTTTTAGAATATTATTCAAACAAATAAATTGTGTATGTGTGTCCAATAACTATTTTATGTGTTACCAAATCAGGATAGGGAAGAAGACCGGATCTGGAAAGGATTGGCATGGATGTTTTTTAAAGCATGTTTTGTCATACGGGCATTCAAACGTCAGTAGGCATAAACATTCCGTTCTTTTACTTTCGCGCTCCAATGAACAACCACGAAGACACTCGAAAAAGTATACGGATGCATTACACGGCATTTCCAGACATTCCAGTGAAGTTCAAGTGCCCATGTTGTCTTGACTTATTGGATGATAAATCAGTGCTTCGAGAGCATATTGACGAACAACACAACTACGTGTCGTCCCTCTTTTGCTAACGTGTGCTTTCGTTGTTTTAGTTTCACCAACACACTGCACAGCTGTTCAAGTCAATGGGTTATCAGCGATCTCGATGTTTCAAGGAGATTCAGTGACTTCCGTGAGGATGTCATAAGAAACGGCCATGAACACACGAGTTTGGATCAGTCTTTCAACCAACTTTTGATAAGTCTAACTCGTAGTTTTATTTATTTTGCCAACTGATTTACAAATCGATTTCTATTGAAAAGGCCATGTCTTCGATTCTCGTCCTACAACATCGCTGCTCGTACGGTGATATCCCGGCTGAATATTTCACCTCGTCCCATCTGCAGCAAATCCGCTCACACGTGCTTGACGAATTGAGCTGGCACCAAACATTTGATATATCGGATTCTGCTCTGATCAGGAAAACGCTCAAGGTAGGCCCAACCATATGCTGATACTGGCAAACACATCCATAATTTCTCTTCTTTTATTTCCCCTTTCCTCAAGGATTTCCGGGACGATCTCATTGACGGCCTTGAATCACGTATTACCCTCTTGCAACTTGCCAAGTCCAAAGAAGAACCCTCAAGAAATGTCACCTTGGCCATTGAATCATTGTAAGTAGTTTGCGATATAGACCATATTACATATTACTAATGCATTCTTGAAGGATACCAGCGCTTAAGGACTTGGATCTTCCAAAGATATCATCCGAAAGCAATATAATAGCGGCTTACGTCCATCCCATTATGCAGCATCTCTTCGGTCACAACCTCTCGCACGTTGGACATTGGTAAGAATAACTTGTAGAGTAGCGTTCATTAAGTGGTTTTTTTTAACTCATCACTTTCCCCTTTTATTGATTCATTTTTCCAGTGCAAATATTCCTCCAGAAAGTGACGAAACCAGTAAACGACCAGATCACGCCACAGATCTGTATAAAGAGTACCAACGCGCCTGCCCTTTCTGCTTCGGTAAGGTCAAAAGGCAGCAATCCACAGAAACTGCCAAAATCAAGCATTTTTACCGGTTGGCGTTGTTTGCCAAAGCAGAATTGGATAAGCATTCTTTGAATGGGGTGATATGCTTTCAAACCATCGGTAGGATCAGGTGAGGTATTGGTACTGAATGTTTCTCCTGATTTTGATTTTGGTCTTTCTAGGGATGTCAACTACATTCTACTACATGACTCGAAAATCAAATGTACTGGTATTTGTGGAATTGACGACATTTGTATTCCCAAACAAGAAACAGAATGCGATTGAACTCTGGACATATTTGGATGAGCTCATTTCGTTAGCGGCTCTGCACCTTTTATTGGAAACAAATAGCACCACGAATTCCACATCATTACCTTCGAGAACCGTCTCCACAATTTCGCAACCCATGCCGACCAATGGAGGCCTTGAATATTCAAACACCACTCATTATCGAACGAACTTGGAGTCAGACGATCAATTCCCAGCTGTCTAGGAAAGGGTGTCCACAGCAATTTTTCCCGGCAGAACAGATCGAAATCGATTATCATATATAAATTCGCAATAGAATGCATGTAAGAAAAAAGATTCCATGGAAAAGATGTATGGAAGGTAGAACAGATAGAAGCGCGTTGATGAAATATATATGAATGCCTAACGGAACAGTGCATAATGAAAGATGAGGTTATGGAAATGAAAATAGAAGCAACCACGACGACAAATGTGAGGGAAGCTTTTTTTTTTTTTTGCCGATGTCGCTTGGCCCCTTTGGACAAGCTCGGACGGTTTGAAAGCATATCATCCCATTGAAAGAATGCTTACTCAAACCTGCTTTGGCAAACGACGCCAACCGGTACTAGTCCATGAGTTTGTCAGTTTCTGTAGATTGCTGCCTTTTGACCTCAGCGAAGCAGAAAGTGTGGGCGTATTGGTACTCTTTATACAAATTCACAGCGTAATCTGCTCGTCTCGTTTCCTCATTTTGTGGAGAATGTTTACATCGGAAAAAAAATTAAAGAAAAACGTGACGAGCTAATTAAAGAAGAGACACTTAATGAACGCTACTCTACAAGTTATTCTTACTAATGTCCAACGTGCGAGAGGTTGTGACCGAAGAGATGCTACATAACGGGACGGACGTAAGCCGCTATTATATTACTTTCGGATGATAATGTGGGAAGATCCAAGTTCTTAAGCGTCGGTGTCCTTCAGCAAAATCCATTAGAATTATATAATATGGAACCACTTACAATGACTCAGTGGCCAAGAAGACATTTCTTGAGGGCTCTTCTCTGGACTTGGCACGCTTCAAGAGCGCAATACGTGAGTCAAGGTTGCCAATACGATCACCCTGAAAATCCTTGCCGGAAGGAAAAAAAGGAAAATCCAGCTAACTTCGCGGAAACATTTCAAACCAATGGTAAGCGGATACTTGTGGCATGACAAGTATCGATTGACTTAGCATGGATCATAGATCAAGGCAGAAACGATGACCAACCTTATTTCCATTGGCGCAAAAATCAGCGGACTATTCCACATATTGTCGATGTTGGCTGGGTACTTCTGTTTGGTCTAAAACTAATATCATCCAAATTTGAATAAGCGTTGAGACAGTTATTCGAAGATGACTCATGTGCAGCAGCTCTTCGTTAATAATATTGCTGTGTACTAGACAGACCCAGAAGATCACAAAAATCATGTCTGCGAGGTGACTGACAGATTCACTGAAGTCGATCTAATCTTAAATCCAGACAAAATGCCACTTCGCACAACAATCTGTGTATCTTATTGGTTTCTCTGTATTCGGACAAGGCATTTCACTTGATCCTCTCAAAGTGACAAAGGTTCAAGAACGGCCTATACCGCGCACAGGCAAAGATGTGCAAATATTCCTCAAAGCTATTAGCTAATTCCAAGACCATATATCCGATGAGTCCCGATTGACCGCACCACTGGATGCTTTGCGTAACGCATTCCTTACTTTCTATAGGGACCCGTAACCACACCCAATGCTGAAATTTTTTTAAAATGCTTTGTTGTTAGGGTACCTGCTCTGAAGCATGTGATACGGTTCGTTCCCCTTTTTATGTTCCAAATGAATGCAATTATACTAAAAAATGACGGACACAATTATCTCAACGGTTTTATGGCCCGGGAAATCACCAAATCAGCGTTAACTGCAGTCACCGCTCAATTTTGGAATCATTTTCTGGAATTCCCGAATGCTTTGTATGCGAAGATAAAAATTCAATTTTCGCTCTTTCAGGGCTGATTCCAAAATCGAGCGGTGACTATATTCCATTATAAAAGAGAACTTTTACAGTAGCTGTTTGTAGTGGTTCTTATTTGCTCTGAAAATATCCCGCGAGTATCTATGGGGTGCAACGCTTACATTAGATACCGATCACAAAGTTCTTGTGTGCATACATATCCAAAAACATCTCAACGCTATGATAATCAACTTGATACCATCTTGGACTATGCCTTTGAGATTGCCCACTTGACTGCTGGTCTTCAGTGCCGATTTTCGTGGCAAACAAGCTGGAGGGGGATAAAGACAAACATACTAACCAAAATACTAAACATAGCCCATGAGAATGTAGTCCAACCAAAGAAGATTTGTACATGCGACAAATCAAAATGGAACCACCCGAAGAAGGGAGAAAAAGACATCTGGAGAAAATATACATCTCTTCGGTCATTTTCGGTGTCAAAGCCATAATCAAATAAAAGAAAAACCCAAAAATGATGGACTTCACTGGACCAATGTGAAAAATGAAACATCACATTCCATATTGTACAAAAAGGATACCATCCACTTCGACTTCTCGTGATCATATACCGTTGACCATTGGAGGTAGTCTAACCACCACAACAATGGGAATAATTTTATATATTGGTCCTGCCCGACATTTATTACAAAAAATTCTGCATTTTGCGCCCTATACTTGATAACCATGGCACGCCATCGTACAAGTACAACTGGTGGACACTGACTACTCGCGCGTGTGCAATCTGACGCAGAGTTTGTCAATGCAATTATGAAAAAAATAAGAAGCTTCAGGGTTCGGACATCGACTCTCACATCTTATCATCCACACGCTAATGGCGTTGCACAATGTATGCAAATCGCCATACTCAGTATTGGAAAAAAGAGCATTAAAGGAGCCATCAAGAACGGGACATGTATGTACCCAATGTTCAGCTGGCTGCGAACTAAAAGTGCCAGAAGACTCCCAACGCACCACTGTTCCCACTGGTGCTCGTGAGCAAAAAATTAATGATTTCCGAGGCTACAGCACGGAAGAAGAGAAAATACTACGAATGAGCTGCAAAGACTTGCTCAAGCGAACAGAGCACATGTCAGGACAGCGTTATTCCAGGCTGTAATAGAAATAAACTGAAGCGGTCGTCAAACAACAGAAGGGCAAGTTTGTTTATAAAAAGAAAATAGTCAAATTCCGACCAAACACTTATGACATTATACATATAAGTCAAAGTCCTGAGTATCCACCATATCGACTCAGTCTCATAACACAAGGTGAAAACATAGATCCCAAAAGAGATATGAAGAAGGATACAGACCTGAAATTGATACCTGGGAAGAGCACAAAAATTTCAGTAAGCCTACATCCATAACCAAAGATTGGGAACCTTGGCCAAGCCTAGCCCACCTACATCCTTCCTTCATCCACCTTCACCTTCCTTCATCCAAAACTCCGCCTTCCTTCATCCACCTCCACCTTCCTTCATCCAAAACTCCGCCTTCCTTCATCCAAAACTCCGCCTTCCTTCATCCAAAACTCCGCCTTCCTTCATCCACCTTCACCTTCCTTCATCCACCTTCACCTTCCTTCATCCACCTCCACCTTCCTTCATCCACCTTCACCTTCCTTCATCCACCTTCACCTTCCTTCATCCACCTTCACCTTCCTTCATCCAAAACTCCGCCTTCCTTCATCCAAAACTCCGCCTTCCTTCATCCAAAACTCCGCCTTCCTTCATCCAAAATTCCGCCTTCCTTCATCCATCTTCCCATGCCCCTTACCTCTACACTTATTCTCATTTCTCTCTATCGTTGTTCTCTCCCTTTTGTTGATTCATGCTTTGCTTCATGGCACGCCCTGCATTTAATAAATTTATTTTATCGTCATATCATTTAGTATATATACCTCAGTTAAGAATTGTGCTTCTTATCTTAATTTCTTGTTCTCCTTATCCTTGTCTTTTCTTTCTTGTCTTGCCTTGTGAAAGCACTTAACACCACCCTCCTGTCCAATTACACTGACCGTCCCATAGTCTGTGCATAACAATTCAACACTCATTAACCTTCACCCAACATTCATTTCATTCTGTAATTACTATAGTAGGCGAGACTGAGAAGGGGGCGGCGTTGATATCTTAAACTTGTTGAGAATTGGGGCGAGTATGGACGACAAGCTCAACAATCTGACTGTGTGAAGTGTGGAAGATGGTCTTTCACTGTCTTCTGGTTTGGATGAACGGGCTGCTATTAAGCTAAGGGTCACTCAACTTATTAATTTAAAAACGAATGGGAAAATAATCCTCGGGTTACTAAAATTCTCTTCAACTTGGGAACAAATGTTTCTGAAATTTCATGCGGTGTGGACGCATTGTTTGTACAAACCAATGTGTTGAGAAGGAGCCTGAGTGAATATGGGTAGAGTTAATAAAAGTGTAATATGAGTTCAGAAATCTGAAACGATAAAATGGTGAATCTGGCAACGTCGTCGTGAAAATTACTGCCACGGTTCGTGATTGTCGATTCCCCTGTCCCTATTTTTCAACAATGTTTCATTTCTAAAAAGCCGTACACCCGCTGTGCAATGGATGCCGCCTGCCACCGGAGGCCGCCCTCTTACATTGAGCGACTTTCGTCAGACAAAAAGCCTAACGCATACACTCGAATATAGAGATGAAGTTATTTTAAAACTTATTTATTATTGCTCATTGTTTCGCCCATTATTTATAGTTGTGTTTCGTGGAGAGAAATTAGGGCAACGACCATTGGTAGAACGCTGGTGATCGTTGCCGTTGCAAGATGGGCAGCGAGACATGGTTCAAAGATGAACAAAAAAAAAGGCACCAATCAAAAGAATTGAGATTCTAATGACTTGGTGTATTGCAAAAAGATATTAAGAGGTTCTGATAGCTTAGTGTAGTTGAAGAAGAAAAGAAGGCACCAAAAAAAAAAAAGAAAAGAATAATAAGAGGTTCTGAAGAGAGAAGGCACAAAAAAAAGGTTCCGATAGCTTAGTGTGCAAGTCATGTGATTTACAAATTGCTAATTTTTCAAAGATTTTAATTATATAGATAGACTAGTTGCGCGTGTGTTCTTGAAGATCACAAAGTTTGGTTCTTTGGATGTGTAGTAGGGATGTTGCTCTTAGGGAAGTGGGAATAGTAGCTGATTAAAGATGTGTTTGGAATGGGATATTCCATTTGCAATATTCAAAACTCCGCACTCGAATTTGTGTATCCAAAGGTCCCGCTTGATGGTGTTCTCTTAACTCTAATCTTTTGTCAATAAGCCTCCATTCGGGTTGATTTTTCGGTGAGATTTAGTTGATCTGCTCATACATCTTTGCGCATTCAATGAAGCTCAGTCTCTTTTCCTTTTTCCCGGGGGGCTTGCCCTCCCTGACCCACCGCCACATAACGATCGTTTTCTTCATCCACGACAGAGGAACAACAAT